TGGTGGTGGTGGTGGTGGTGGTGGTGGTGGCCACCACTAAGGCAGTGGTTACGGTGGCTGAAGAGGGTCAGAAGAGAAGAATTTTTACGATATAGAAATGAACAAAGCATATATATGAATTCGTATTGGCTCACTTGACTGTCCTCGTGCTGTTAGACCTCGGCACTGTGAGGGGATTCTGCGACTAGCTAAGATACAGTCACGGTTCCCCAAGCCTCTCAAGAACAGGTCTACACCCGTACAGGAATCCTAGCGTAAGAATTATCCTTGTGAATTGATAGAAAGATGCACATGGGTACCGGTGGACATCATTCCTAGAATAATACGTTCTCGGGGGTGGTAACCCCACCATGGCTCAACAGAATTGAGGCCTATAGCCCTAGTTGTAACCCCGCGAGCCAAAAGTCTGACCGGTCTGTTTTGTTCGTAACCATGCCCCGAACCATGGTACTGTAGGTATGATGTTAGACTGTGGAGTCCATTCACCGCTACTGATCAACCGTATTCAGCTCGCCGAGGATCTCTTAGTGGGGGCAGTAGATCTGAGATGTTCAGCTCGGTGGGGCTGTATCTCCCAGCCGCTTGGTTGTGGTCAGCTTCTGCAGATCTTTCTTCGCTACCAAGTCCAGTACTTATAGTAAACCAGTATATACGACCATAGGGGTGTGGAGAACAGGGCTTCCCATCTGCCCAGCCGTACTTGAGCCACCTGTTGAATGCGGCCGACTGGAAAATGAGCCATTTGGAAGTTGCTGCTTTTATAGGTGAGCGTGGCCGAGTCGTAGGGTGAGTGCGGGGAAATACTGGGAAACTCATTACTGTTGCTTCTCTTATGATCTAGTTTCCATAGCCTTCGTAGGTGTTACCTATACCTATGTGTAGATATAATCCTGTCGTTGTCCATATCCATGTCATTTTCTCTTATATACGTGAGCATCGAGCCACTCCTCAATATCTTCCTTTTCGGCCTCCTCGAGCAGTCTCCAGATCCGCCGGCGATTCCGCAGGCGGAGGGGAGCATGCTCTAACGGGTGCCCCGGTTCAAATATCTCCACTTGTGCAAGGGTGCGAACAAGGCGCTCCCAATCCCAACTGTCTGCTGCACATGTCACAGGCCAGCTCTGTAGGGCGGAGATATCCAAATCCCACAGCCAGGGCAAGATCTGCCGATTGAAAAGTAAGTCACGCCACAGTCTTGGTGGTAAACGGCGGGTGCATGTCTGCTCGGGATTGATGAAAGGATGTAAATTTGTATAAACTATATCTTGGAGCTCGATAGGCAGTGTCTCTAGTTCAAGAGAGCATCCAGATTGTGATTGTTCTTGGAGGGACAGTGGCAGAGGTTGCAGATATGAAAGAATCTCTTGAGTAAGTCCTGGTATAGGCAATGGTGCCATTTCGTATTCCTAATAGCAGATTGTTAGTGATAGGATGGAAGTACTATAGATTATACAGAACTTACGTAGGCCTTTTGCTCCCCAAAAGCCCACGCGACATTATCAAAGAGCTCAGTATCCCGGAAGTAATAGCAATGTGGCTGAACTATGCGACGGGGGTTAAACGAGCCGTTACGTCCGAGAGGATGATCGGAATGTACCCTAGTTAACCGCTGTTCAAATACTTCATAGAACTGGCTGAGGGTTGTGGGACACATTGGGTGAACTGATACTTCGGCTTTTAGAAGAGCCTGGCGATAGTCTACCAGATATCGCATCATATCAAGACATTCCGCATGTACTGTTATATAGGGGTACTCTGCATATAGATGGTGGACTAATTTCGACGAGTGTTCCCCATAACGGACGGGTTCTAGTCTCAATAGCTGCTCCCCATAGTGCACACCGTCGGTCTCGGTCTCTAGGAAATCAGAAATCTCTTCGGTAGATAGAGCTGAAAGAATAGCCTACCATCTATGCCGAGTACTTCTAGCAGTAGATCATGATTTGGCAGGCTGGCAATATCCCAATCTTTCTCATAGTGATAATTCTCAGCTCGGATAGCCTGCGGTACAAACCACTTATATCGTTCAAGATTTCTGTCTCGCACTTCTGCTTCTACCACCTTGATCTTTATAAGTAGGCTATTACTTTTCAGGGGGACGGAACTCACAAAGCCGGGAGCACCGCAGATAGCACAGCATATATCTTCCGCGTCATAGCCCTTATCGAATCGCTCGAATGTGAAGAGATCGCCCTCGGATGGACGCTCGCTGGGGTGAAAATCCATGGCTGGTGAGATGGAACTTTTGCTCGGATTTTGATGCAGGAACATGGACTCAAACAGCAGGAAACGGATACGATTAAAATGAGTCAGACAAGGTTACATCGTTTAGCGCCTTTGAGTATAGGAAACCAAATCCCTAGCATGGGAGCCCATCAATATATTTTTGTTTCTTGGTTAGTTCTACCGGGTTTTGTTAAATCATCGGGTTAGGCTTTTGAGAGGTAGTCAGGGCTGGTATTAGGTGACCCTGGAAACCAAAGCTCCGAAGAACTCTGACTGAATCAGGGGTTTAAAGATTTATGTGAATAGCCCTGAGGTAGCCCGAGCTGCCTTTTCTCACGCCTTTGGAACTGAGACCCCTCAGTATTTCCCTCTTTTATATCAACCACTACTTAGAGTAAGCTAGTACATACGGCCATAGGGTGTGGAGAACAGGGCTTCCCGTCCGCTCAGCCGTACTTAAGCTATATATTACACGTGGTCAGTAAGTATAATAGTCTTTAGTCCTTTAAAAGTCTGAAATAATAGTGGCTATCGACTTAGAATAAGTGCTGATAATTGAGGTGAGTACTCTATATCCGGCTATTATCAGCAGTGATTTCTATTTATTAGAGATAATATAGTTAATCATAGAAATATACGCGGTCTGTATCCGACGAGCTCTCGACTGTGATATAAGCGATAATAATCTCTACTTCTATAATCCCTTTTAATTTTATTTACTTACTCTATTATATAATTGTAAATCTGAGATTTATATATAAAACTCAGAAGTATCTCTGAATTTTATCTCTTACTTGTCTCCCACTAATACCACCCCGGCTATCACCCTTACACGTCGAGAAGATAAGAGTGTATAGCGTTAGTGATTGATGTGATAATTTTGTTATCTTCGATAGATAGAGGTGCAAATGAGGACCATACTAAGTAATCCCAGGGGCCAAAACCTCGATAGATCCGAGGAAAAAGGCTTCCACTGCTTTGGATTTCCAAAGTTGTTAGAACTGGTACTCTGGATATTATCCAGAGTAACGTCCGATACGATTGACAACCACCCAGCACCACCTAGAGAAGACCGAGGGAAGGTATTAGGCTACTGAAGTAGAGATAGAAGCATTCTAAGCTTTCAGGACGTCAAATCCACGTACATTAAAAGATCTGGCCGGTTGCGGATGGCTCTGACACGGATGTCCACGCTCCAAATCATGGTCCGACCATCCATCAACGTTTGTTGCCACCTCTGAGCTACAATGCGATTTTCCATGACTTATAGTGAATGTTCGGACTAATAATCACCTCCCAGAATACGATGGATAAGTTTATATGGGTAACGGTAGATCATATGATAGAATAATAGTACTCTCCACAGTAGAACGCTCTAGATAATCATTCCAGGCCTCTCATAAGAACCTAAAATGTGTATTTGGAGGTACCCAGGGCAATGGAATGACGCTGAGACATCTTTTTTTTGCCTGGGAAATTTTATTTATTTATTAATTTATTTATTTCACTAACGTTCTAAGGATCACAGAGATAGCCCTCACCAAAGTTCACCCTCTTGGCTCAGTTCTGTATAGAGTTGGCAGCGGGTTGAGTAACAAAACTGCATTAAGCCCGCTTAATTAGTAGCTATCTTGTTAAGTACACACACACATTATCCCCTTCAAAATTACTCTGCCTAAAGTCGTGAATATCTTGAGATAATATATAAGCAATACTTGGTTGTATAGCATGTCCTAATAATTCCCCTGCTTGGAACAGGCGCCCACTGATAATAACTTTTATTCTGCTGACTCACTAGACCCTGGCAACTCTTGAAGTACAATATATTCACCCTTTTCCCACACAGCAAGCAGTGTCTGGCAATTCCCGCATCTATGCTCCACATTTTTGTGTGATACAAATAGACACCGTTTAACACCGAAAATAGATAATATAAAGAGCACAAACGCCCACACACTGCGGGAAGAGAGGTATAAAGACCACAGGAAAATACCTACCCATATACTATACAATATCCAAGTGTCAATTTCCGTGCATGGTTCTGTTTCTTGTATATCTGTGTAGGCCGTGATGCTGCAAACCGGACAAAACGCGCGTTCAGAAATGCTCCTGAGTTGCTCGAGCGAAACTGTCGGCCTGGAGTTTTGCGATTGTTCATCATCAGATGTGAAAGTGGTGCCCCGATCCCCTGATGCATGCTCGGCTTCAGAGTGTTCGCGGCTAGTATTAATGCTGTCCTGTAGGTATGGAATCAACGTCACGACTTCCACCATTCTGGTATACGTGTGCGATTGCTTTCAAATCAGAGAAGCTCTTAAAGCCTTCGAACATTTACACTTACCTGTGTATTTCTGTAGTCCCGATAGAGCTGCATCCATTCCCTTTCCGTTATTCCATTCGGAAATGTGATTCTGTTACATCTCCATCGATTAGTGCATCTGGACAGACATCAACAATCCTGTAAGAAAACATGAAGAGCAGCACTCAAGACTCTGTCGCCCACCTATCCTTACTATAAGCAGGATACATTTGCTTCCAGGCTATGTCCGAGAGATCCGGTGGGATATTGGACCTGTTAAAATCATGTAAGTTAGTGTATATCGAGAAAGTGATTAAATATTGGCACGCCGAAATGTTTCAATTTTATACTGATCGAAAATAGGCGCATACAGATCGTAGCGTTGCTGCCCAGAGGAACTGCCGGAAGGATATTGGCTCTCGCCTCCACTCGACATTTTTAATTCAAGGTGCTTGGAATCTTTCGATCTCAGGCGAAGGATCCTTATGCCCCGTATAAGTGTAGAGCAACGGGAAGGGTAGATTGAACTTATCCCCGATAGAATTATCTGTGCTCCCTCCCTGTCGTGAAGAATAGTGTACTGTGCCAAGCACGATCCAGGCCCCCTCACGCGCGCAGCGACCGACCATCATTGATTCGAAATTGTACCCACACAAAACAAATGCCGCTGGCCATGATATCACTATATTATCTTTGAACGGGGATACTTTGCCTTGGACCACGAAGTGCGAGATTAAATTAGTGGCCCGTTTAGCTTCCCTTACATCAGTAGCCATCTCTTACTACCAAGGGACGGGCCATCATTCCTAGCTGTGAAACCGCCAACCGTAAAATATCGCTGGCTATGGATCCGGCCTGGATCATACATATGATATAAGAAGAAGAAGCCGCCTACCTACCCGATAGTCAGCAGACCTACGCTCAGTATTCTAGGCCACGTAGGCTACGGAAGAGGAAGCAGCAGAGCGGAATTTCCGGAAACGGGAGACCGTTTTAGCTTTAGGCTTAGATTATTACTAAGGGATACCGAAGATCATTCTTTCGGTAGGAACTTTAATTGAGTAATCTATACATGCATTTGCTCTGGCGGATATACACCCGAGATGCCTAGAGATCGACAGTCCCAAACGCTACGATATACGCAGAACATTTAAACATTCTTGGCAATGATCAATCTAGACTGTACGGTGAAAGAGGGTGTTCGTTTATGGCTTTCTGTGGCGGCCATGAAGATACTTGTCACGTTGTTTGACCTTCTCCCGGGCATTGTTCCTCGATTCTTGCCAGACCCATCAGCGCATATTGCCTATCCAGGGGGTTTGTAACTATACGGTTTGATTGCAGAAATGAACAATGCATCGCGCACAGTAGTAGTAGAGGTTGTAAAAGCAGTCAGAGCGATGAAGGGTAAGCCAATATAGACAATTCCACATCGGCACATGTTGGATCTGGCTTTCAACTCGGTGGCTGCAATATGGTATGCACGTCCAGTTTCTAATTGGTCCCCTGCATTTTTCATATGGTAATAAACTTCAGTCATGCTACACGCACTTCGGTGGCGGGGGGGCTGGGCGATGGCGTGAACGATACATACCCATCACCCGACATCGTACCGGGAGAAGGACTCGCGATGCCATAGGGAGCTCTAGCATCCGTACTATGACCCTGTCCGTAGCTGGTGTAGTTAAAAAGGAACCTAAGGACCCAGGAGTAGTCGGCACCTGCGTCTCCTAATCTTCAAATGCACCAATCCGGCGAAGAGAATACTTTTATGAAAAGTCGTATACGATGGAAGCGCAAGCTGATCATGATACCCATCGAAGCAACCACGGCACGACGGAGAGCTTCGTATCAAACATATCCCCATTTGATTCTCTCCCGATCGCTGCCAGACAGCAAGAGCTGCTAGATATAATCGACAAAGCTCGCAGGACGACCACCACTATCGACCTTCCACAGATCGCGGTGGTTGGCGATCAGTCGTCAGGGAAGAGCTCCGTCCTTGAGGCGATTACCACATTGAAATTCCCTGCGAGCGGGGGCAAATGCACGCGGTTCCCCATCCAGATTAGTGTCCGGCGTGGACCAAATGAAAAAGTCGCAGCGAGCATTATTCCATATGACAAGAGGCCACCGGAACAAAAGAAGCAACTTCAAAGGTTCTCTCTTCACATGCGAGATTGTAATATCGAGGATCTTCATGATATAGTGGAATCAGCAAGAAATTTCATTTGGCCTGATCAGAACAATATCAAAGACTATGCCATGGACATCTTGAGTATCGAGGCTGTCGGTCCCCGAATGCCCAACCTCAGCGTCATCGATCTGCCCGGATATGTTCAAATTAATGCACAAGATCGGTCGGGGGAAGACTCTGACGCAGAGCAGGTGATGAAACTGGCGGAGCGGTTCACGAGAGTGCCTAGAACCGTCATACTAGCAATTGTCCATGCTGCCACCGACTATGAAACCCAAACCGTCTTGAAAGAACTCAAGAGGATAGATCCCCAGGGTGCACGTACCATTGGGGTCATCACAAAGCCAGACATACCCAGCGACAGCCACAGTATATCGGAATTTATCCAACTGGCAAAGAACGATAGATATCATCTCAAACTGGGTTGGTACGTGTTAAAGAATAGGAAGAATCCAGAGGGTAAGAACCTTTCTTGGGACGAGCGGAATGAAGGAGAGAAGTCCTTTTTCAATAAACATCCAGACTGGGCCCAGGCAGGTCAAGAAAGGTTAGGAATATTCCCACTCGTTCAGAAACTGCAAAAGATTCTCCTCTCAACAATCGCGCAAGAGCTCCCATCTATCTTGAAGCAACTGCAGCAGGCCCGGGATGAGTGTGCAAAGAAATTAAAAAAGCTTGGGGACTGTCCCAGTACAGTTCTGGAGATGAGAGAGCAACTCAGAAGGTGCTGGGTTCAATGCCAAGGTACAGTCACTCAGGGAGTACACGGGCAGTATATGATAGACCAGGAATTCTTCAACGCGGACAAGAAGCTGTACGCTGAGAGTGGTATTTCTATTTACATGCTACGTGCTTGTATTGCCAAGCAGAACGAAATATTTGACCGAACCCTCAGAGATTGGGGTTGCGCCTACGATGTTGTTGACAACCGTCTTGAAACGCCATCCAAGATCCATTATGGAAGTGCAAAGCCCGAGCTGGTACCTCCTCCGAGAAAGGTCACACGAGCACAGTTCATAATTGAAGATGTGGAGCCACTCCTGAAGCAGCACCGAGGACAACAGAATCCCGGAGACATCGATCCGACTGTAGTGTATCCCCTTTTCCAAAAGCTATCCTCTAACTGGCAACCCCTTGTTGAGGATCACGTCCGGCGGGTCTATTCGATTTGCTCCGTATTTATGCAATTAGTTATCCAGGAAAAATGGCCAACCAGAATGCAGGATTCCTTACGGAAGGTGATGTTGAATGACCAAATGGATATGAGACTCGCTAGTGCTCACGAAGAGGTAACAAAGATTTTCACGGATCACTCTAGATATATGCAGACACATGACCCTGAGTACATCCGAACTTTGTGGAATTTAGGAGCAGTCAGCGCCAGACCGACAGATGCCGATGCCGATGTAACGATAGCCTTCATGATGTGCGAGGATATTCTGACAAAAACATGGGTATATTACAATGTGTGTTGTCCTTCCCCCCCCCAATCTCTTATTAGCCGGAATTCAAGAGCTAATCTGGATAAGATTGCGCTGGGCATCTTTCTTCGTAACATTATAGTTCAGGTTATTGAACGTCATCTTGTATATGGTCTAATAGACATATTCGACCAGTCCCACATCTCCACCCTTAATGATGAACAGATCAAGGAAATTGCCGAGGAGAGCGAAGAGGAGCAGAAAACTCGTGATATGTTGAGAGACGAAAAGAAGCGTCTAGACGACTGTGTACGGACGATACAGAATATCAGTTGGGGAAATGATTGGGGACATGACCTGGGAATGGTCAGTTAGTTGTCATCCTAGCATATCTACTGTGTTGTACAGTCCTATTTCTGTTCTTCTACTAATACGTGGTGTATCCATGCCTACCAGCATTCTATCCCAGAGTGGAAGGACCCCAGAAACTCCCCAGCTCCACGAGCATCAGAACCTGGGCCATCACCCGTGCCAAAGCCACCACCTAGCCGAAGGGGAGACCGCCCTGCAACTACCTTAACTTCTAGTTCCAGATCAGGAGATACTGAGCCAAGCAGGGCACCCGAACCGCGAACTGGCAAGCCTGTGATAGTGCCCTTTCCGCCACCAGGTTTCCTGAGGGTATTAGCTGAATAACCTCCAATTCAATTTTGTTGATGCAGATGATATCTCTTCTTCATGGTACCAAGTGTCACGTACTCTGTCATGTTCTATTTTTTTCTGGTGCTTCCGTGTTCTGTATCCTGATCTGATGTTGAGGTGTTACTCTGCTTCTGTCACTTAGCTTATCGGCTCCCTTTGTCTGTCCCCTGTGTTGTTATGTATCCACTAAGCTCCCGGACCAATATGGTTCATGAGGATGCTAATCATTTACTCCTAAACAATGGCCATGGTAACTATCCCGATTGTCCAAATCGTAAAAACGGTTGTAGACGAATGACCTACTTCATATTTCCGGCAGCATATCACTAAACCACACATAAGATTGTTCTTTAACATGGGTTATGCATAACGGTCAAAAGCCTGATCATAGTCTAGGAGATGATCACGCTCTCTCTGATTTAGTCCTAAAGCATACGCCTCTGCCCCCCCCTTCCAAAAGGTTAATGTCCACGCTCACACTCCAACATCAATGGCAAGCGGCAAAAGTTCAATACCAAATTATAGTTTAATGGTTTGCCGAATCTTGTGGCAACACCCAAGTGGTCTAGGCTGGACAGTAAAACTCACTAAAAGCAAATGTTTGGGGTGTTCTGGAACTATAATGAGTAGTGCACGTCATATAACTTTATTCTAAATACTTAGAATTCCACCCTAAGCCAGATAATCCGGATCTACTTCTCCATTTCCCGTTCTTTCTAGGGTTCTAAAGCCCCACAGATAGCCTGTCCTTCGAGTGGAATAGACGGATGGATTTTAGTGGACGGGGAATAGGTCAACATCTCACATATAGCTATACGATGGCAGTGCAGAGAAGTTGCAGGGGTCAACAGATGATAGACACGTTAATGAATAGAAAACAAGAACCTTTGAAGGGTATTGCCATAAGGTCTTGCTGTTACTTTCTGTTGGGTACCAGGCTTTTGGTATCACGATACAAAACATATTCCCACAAAGTTACCCAGTGTAGATGGAATCAAACAGCTGCCGTTGCCAAGGTTGGGCCTATTAGAACCATGCCAGTATCTTCGCTTCTATATATCATTAGAGCCGAATTGGAAGACTAGATGCCGGTGCCATTCTCATAGAATACCGACCAAGGCACACTTACCCCACTTCGAAATAAAGCGAGCGTTCTATTAGATCCTATCGACGGTTCAGCCATGGTAACTATAGAGAGATATAATTTGCCATAAGAAACAAGCGGTCTAGAATTTATTAACTCTACTTATCATGGGAAAAACAAAGTTTCAGAGTGACAGCGCCCGAGCCGCAATCTTATTGATGCTGGAAGTAAGTCAGAGTATATAATTTAATAGGAAATGCTGAATCTCACCGTATCTATCTATTTTTATACCATTTATCCTTAGGCTTGAGGCGTTTCAGTGAGGTTCACACCATATAAACCGCAGCTACGATATCAAAACGATGTCTGAACCAGCAGATGTATGTTAGCCCAAGTTAGTAATGATGTCTGTATAGTTCAGATCAACTTTAAAAAGGTTCGCCACTGTAGCGCCTCTCGAACCAATTATAAGGGCGGAGAAGTCAGCCGATCACCCAAGCCCTTATCTAAAGCTAGACTACGATAAAGTTTGTCAATCCTTTGTTATCCTACTATCCCAGTCCATTTGATGTTTGGCTGAGATATTGACTAGACCTTGACAGGCCCATCCCATAATGGGGTAAGCCCATACCTACTCATAGCTCATCATCTCATTCGAAGCTTTCCTTTCTTAACACGAGCCTTGAGAGTGGTACCGTGTACTTTACAAACAGCCGCTGCTCGGCGAATATTTCGCCTTTCACTATTTCGATAGGCTTGTACTTTAAGTTAGACTCTACCCACTTGCTTCCATTAAAACCTTATCTACTTGGGACCTGTTTGGTAGCATCACGGGAATGGTGGTTGTTTGAACTGCTCGAGTAGCTTGACACTTGGGGAAAACGATGACTCGCTTGCTGGGGAATTACGTGCGTTGGCAATTCTATCATGCTGAATTAGTAGATCATAAAACATAATTAGAGAAGGTATACCTGATGAGGTCGGTTACCCCTAGATACTGGGACCATACCCGTGGGCGGGAAATAAACACAATATTGATAGACCTGGTGAGGTTTAAACCTGAGCATGGCTACGGACTATGACGGTGCCTCTAAATTTAAATATCATATTTATTTGGCCGTCATGTTAAGGTGGCATGGCTATAGTTACAACCTTATTCCAAACCCTAATATTATACTTCGTGGCGTCTGGCCGCGGCCTGACTAGAAGTGAGGGTGCTCTGAGGGTGCACCAAGACTTGTGGAGGCTGTGCACTGCAAATACAGAAACAAATTCTACAGTGCTCAAGTTTCTTTTCCGTGTCCCAGTGGGTTTCAAGGCAAGGGTTAAATACGTGTATACTTCCTTTCCCAAAGTAACTAATATTGTTAGAGCCACTATTACCTCTGACACGCATGGGTGCTTCAGAAGTCCAGTGATTCGTTTTGTATTACGTATGCTATCATACTTCTAAACATGTTAGAACTCTTGAATAGTTTGGTCTGGAGTTTATTTGCAGACCCGGACGAAGATGAAGAATATCCTTCAGATGCCCAATGCTTCGTTGGCGCATCTGATGGAGATTTCAATAATGATGCTTATTCTGCCGTCAATTCACGCGAGAGTAAGTCCAATCCTGCTTGATCACTCAGACAAGGGTTCTATATTGCTCTATCATCTTGGCTGATTGCGGCCCTGTGTATCTCATAGCCTTGGAAGGACAGTCTGAAGTCTATCATGATTCTACACCAAATGATGATAGTAATGCTACCATGTACGAGCCCGGATATAGGAGTATTGATCCAAACACGCTGCATGATCAAAACAGCAGTCTAGAGACTGGGAGAGCTCAGTGGACAGATGCTTCTTCCAGTCCCTCAATTCCGGCGGGGTCCGAGACTTGTGGAGTGGTTGATTCTGAACTACACAAGTGCGATCAAGTTCACTTTGGGGCGTCAGAGCAGGGTACTGATAACTGGGGAAAGCCATTAATACAACGTGACGATACTACTGTATATAGGCCTGCAACAAGCACTGCTCCGGCCGTTGAGGTTGATCGTTCGACCTACCACCCTCCATAGCCGAAACCAGAACCCTCATGTACACAACGTATAACACCACCACCAACACAAACCTGAAGGACTTAAAAAGTCAAGCCGTCTTTACTTATCATGTAATAGTTATTGCAATATGCTAGGGCTTTTTCTGTTATGTTAAGACCATATTTACTACATACTTTTGTGCTTGCAAGTAGTAGTAGGCCAGAAGAGGTAGAAGCTTGCCGGCCGCCTCTAGTGACAGGAGGCCACTACATCTTTGTATACAGTCTTGACAAGGTCCTGACTTAACCTCCTCGCAGCATCGCGCGCGCGCTCACATAGTTATGTTTTGATTTACACTTTTGCAACCTACCGTAGCAAATTTTTTTTTTATATTGTCTTGCTCGATAACGGACCGTTTTTGCTGTTAATTGTATACATTGCACAATATCAATCCTGGTCCAAGAGCGATTTGACAGAAACAGCACAATATCAGATCCCCACCTTTCATTATTTCTATTGTGCATCTATGTCATACAGCATATCATCAATACCAGGTTTATAAGCCCCTTAGATACGATGATTTTGTTTCGGGCAATATGTGGAAAATTACACTACTAAAACACTCAGCGGAGGTACGGTATATCCGTGCGCCATTGAAGTGAATTCCACATGGTGAGAAACAAAAGGTCCTTCCCGATTAGGCCCAAAACGTGGGACCTCACAAGTAGTGATATTCGTAGATGATGGCAGGCCCCCGTGCGATTCTTTAAATTGGGCAGCAAGAGGAAATAAAAGAACCTAATGGGACTGGGTGGGCTTGCTAACAGCCCGTATGGGCTGTACAGAAAGCAACGAAACAAGCACTGTACTGAATATGACAATATTAATTTCCCATAGTCTGTATTCCAGACGCACTCACGACGCTATCCTAGACTCGAGTTGTACTCATAGAGGTTATGTTTGCTGCACCATATGCCTCTAGCAGTCCAGATCTTATCTTCAGGCCAAAAAAAAGAAGCTCCAGTTCGATATGTTCTACTTCATCCAGGAAGCTTATACTCCAGTCCTATCAATAAATGATATCTTAGCCCCACCAATGCTGCAGGGATCTGGAAAATTACCTGTGGCTGGCGAATACTTGACGTTTGGTCTTCTGTTCAACCCTTGACTAATTTAATAGGGTAACTACTATCGAGAAATCATTATGAAACATTCACCAAGCACAGTATACCAGATAAACCTTTGTTGTGTTGTTCATGCCAAGAAAAGCTTAAAAGGGAGGCGAGATTGGTGAACAGTGTTGAAGATCCACTAAAGTGGTCAATATTATCCACAAGGCTTCGATACTCGATACTCCTGCTGTGAAAGATATCTTTAGTCTAATTCTGGTAAGGTTGAAAGGATAGGTGCTGAAAAACCTCCCTCAAGATGAAAGTCCTACGTTGGTAGAATTTCTCCTATGATGGATGAATCGAATCCCACAGAAATATTCTTGCAGCTGTACGCCCAAACCATTGAATGGGTTTCCGGATAACAGACTCTACCTTGCTTTCCCATAATTGCCAGGCAAAGTTTTCCTGAATGAAGGCACGCATACCTTCCAACTTTGGGCGATCGTTGCTCTGGGGTGCCCAGACAATGGTGAATACTCGCAAATGTCCAACCACCTCTGGCGGACCAACAATGATATCCCTAGAATTGGCCCTGCAGAAAGATTTTATTGACTCTCCTGATACAGCCTTCCACAGAAAAACCTTCTGCGATATCATAGTTTCCATATCATGGTTCAATCCACTGCGGATATCCGGATCAAGCTCGACGCCAGATGTTGAGAGTCTGTCATAAGCTTCTTGAAAAGTCGGCAGTTGGACCTTAAGGAACAAAACATTGAGCTTTGTCGGCGAGAACCAAGATAGTCCATACGCAGTAATGTCGGTCCACGTTGTCATCTGGTAGATGATACTAACGTCATACGACCATGTTTTGTACACGATGAAGCGGTCGTAGCCGAATGTTGGAGTAAAGTTATCCATGGCAATTTGAAAGATAAGTTTTGATTTGGTTGTTAAATAGCTCTGAGTATAAAACTATCTCGAGGGACGCCATCAGCTATATATGTATGTCACGTCAGGCGGATCCCACGGTGGTAAGAACCTGGCTAAAACAGCTGTAACTGAACCAACAAATATCGACTAAAAGCCCCCAAGGCAGGCTGATAGAAGAAAAACTCTCTTAACCCATTCCAAAGAGCGACTGGCCCTAACGACTCATGGAGGCCGTTTAAAAAGTGGCAATGATCGTTTATGGCTGGTTGTGGCCACCTGCCCACTGCCAAACTCTCCGCTGATCGCTAATTATGGATGACCAGGTGGAAGGTCTGTCTCCCAAAGGCCCTGGAAATAATTTTGACAGTTTAAGAGGTGCCGAGCCACTAAAGTTCTGGACAATTCTAGACCGGATATAGCCCGTGGTAACGACAAGTCTATAGATCAGGAATGTCGAGCATTGTGGGTTTGAGGTCATACGAGATTTCGGGTTTCTCAAGGCTGCGCACAACCAATGTGGCAGATAGTAATAATGTATTATAGAAGTAACGTATGCATGTGGTTCATGGATAATTAAGACAGTAGAGTGATTTACACTAGCCTTCTCAATCTTCCATAAGCAGATGGCTACATAATCAACTGTTGATTTGCGTGCCTTCAGTATTGCCTACAAAATCGCATTCAACTATTTCCCATCGTTTAATCAAAAGTCCTCTGTAGGTGTCAATGTCACCAATCTGAGCACCAAGAAAGAGTAATATCATCGAAATAAATCGATGTTAGAACAAGGCCACAGGCTCTAACGTACATCAATTGTAGGCTGTGGATCGCAAAGGCACTGTTCCATATAACTTTCAGTACACGGTAGTATTTCTTCTGAAGATGTGCATACACATTCATTTTCCCTTCATGAGAGTGGACCAAGCCCTATTCACATATACGAATGTGTCTTCATGTCAGGCTACCCTATCTCTACCTGTTTTACGTAGCCTATGAACATTGCAAGAGGGTGTGCTGAAGACTTACTGTTGGCAATCCCTAAGCAGTAAGGATAAAGCTAATGTAAAGTAAGAGTGAAAGAAGGCCACAAATAAAGACCAACGACATGAAGGACAGATTAAATACCGATCGCCGTAAAGGCAGCAAAGTAATGGCAAAACAGAAGAAGAAACAAAGCAAAACTTTTAGTTTTCTGGCCTCCAGACTTAACAATTTATCATCCGCACCAGCTTGGAGCAGCTGCTGGACTATCTTATCATATCCTCTGGAAGACGCTGCCTGGAGCGCTGTGCCATATTTCCCACCCGGTAAGTTCACATCCGCACCAGCTTGAATCAGCTGCTGGACTATCTTATCATATCCTTTGTAAGACGCTGCTTGTAGTGCTGTGTGGTATTCTCCACCCTGTAGGTTCACTTCTGCACCAGCCTCAAGAAGAAGTTGGACTATCTGACTGTAGCCCTTAAGAGAGGCTGCCTCCAGTGCTGTGCAGTACAACCCTCCTTTTATGTTGGCGTCCACCCTGCAATCCAGCAGTTGTTTAACATTGCTATATCTACCGCAGTATGACGCTATCCGCAATACTGTAGCATTTTCCGGGTCAACCGTTGCACCAATCTTGGGCGAAAGGTGCGCTCCCTATTGGTTAGCACGTTGTAATTGCGTGCTCAGCTGAGACTTGCCTGCACAGGATCGACGTGTGGTATCCATAGGTCTATATCTGAATTATTCAGTGCACGGGGAGCGAAGCAGTGAGAGGAAGGGGCGAAAAACATACAACAAGGCACAGGTAGTTCGATCTAAGGAAGTTTTTGGTGTACTCCTGTTCCTCCTTGGGTACACCTAGTATATATATATATATATATATAGATAGATAGATAGATAGATAGATACGCCTCCAGCAGCTACTCTTATTGGTTGATATAATTTCCTTTAGGTCTCTTGTGTTCTCTTCCTTAAGACCATAGGGATGGCTTAGTACCGGTAAGCCCCTATGTGGATATTCAACTAAGAACCTTTGGATAGCAATCTTGCCTAGACGTGGAGGGAACACCGGAGTAGCAAAGTATCCAATGTTCCATCATTCCAAATATATAAGTACTGATAAACATGATAAGATACCATTAAAATTCTAGCAGATCGAGTCAAGTGCTTGTAGCCCAAGGAAGTGACGGGCCGGCTGGTGAGAAAGGTTCTCAGAGGCGCCAAACAAATCTCATGGGACTTTCTATGGTTGACGAGTCATTTTCACCTCTGGTATCAGGCAACACTTCTCTTGCAAACTGACGTTACCTACGAAGTGTAAAGTTTGACTGACGAATTCACCTATCCTTCTGTAAACCTATTTCGAGTCCCACAAGGCCAGAACGCCGATGACACCAGTGGACTAGTCTAGGTCGGCTGCTGGTCAAAGACCTTGAACAGTGATCTTGTTGTCGGTGCTCGTGTAACAGTGGGTCTACTATGCAGGATAGGTAGTCTCTTTCTAATTCGTCTCAAAGATAAGCCAAATTCTCAGGGTTTGGTAGAGGGCTTATAGGCATGCATGACTTCACTGGCCCATTCAGAAACATCTTGACCAGCTCCAACTAGGCGAACAGACACCACGTCCTTTCTCAAGGACACACCACACCGATTTACAACAGTTGTTAGGCAAGACAACCGAACCCAAACTAAACCTTAATATTACGTCTCCTTAGTAATAACCTTAAAGTTTCAAAGAATTAATTCATAAAAGTCCGAGAGAAGCGTGACTGACATCCATACGATGTGGTGATTGTCTTGCCACCACAAGGTCCCGGTTTGTCCAGTCACGCCACCCCACTTGCCAACCCTACACCCATCAGTACCAGGTTTATATTGTTTCATGGGATCGGCGCTGTTACGAGGTAAGGTATCTACGAAAGTAGACTATGAGACCAAGCTATTGTGTGACCTAGGTGCTATGCTAGGTTGTTAGCCATCCCACATCTCAGATTGCTCGATGGGTTGAACGTTCATTGTATTGATTAAGATCATATCGGGTTCTGCAAGATTTGATTAATCGTCGTCATGGGGCCCGGGTGTGATCATAGATCACACGGAACGAATTTAAATACTAATTAATATGTTGTCAAGTTTAGTTGGTATGTAAATGAGAATGATAAACCACAGCAGTGGCCTAGTGAATCAATGAGTTATGGGTAATTGCCACCTAGCTAAGTAGTCGTGCAATACAACTTGCACTTTTTTTTCTGGACTTGCCAAGAAATTATATATATAAAAGGTGTCATCTCCTCAGTGAGGATTGTGATGAACGCCTAATCATGCTTAGTCCCTAGGTTATGCAGTATCTGTAACTTATATTCCATCTACTCCATCCTCATTCTGGCGCTACATCTATATTACGTTTTTATTGAGTTTATGTATTAATTAAACTCCTCACCTGTCAGAACCCTGTTCCATTCAGCTCCAGCGCCTTGCAACCCTCAAGGCCGAGTATCTATCCTCTACACCTGAGATTACTTAGAATAATGGCCAGAGAAAACGCGGTGATCGGGGTTACTGAAGAAGACCTGAACTATATTATTAAGGAGCTCTTTCCACTATTCCCACGTTTTCATACAATTGGGCCCGTTGAAACACCTTTCACGTCCGCAAAGGTCTCACTGACCATTTACGAGCCACCTATAGTAAACATCCATGAGGTCTGTATTATCTATCTATATACGAATGAATGTTGCTAATATTTTCAATATACAATAAGAGATGCTCATCAGATGCTGAGCTATATCGAAGAGAGACACACTCCGGGGAGCCCAATGGCACAAGTATCCCATTGCACGAAAGAGATCCTGCTCTGCAATCGCCGCATGTTGAAGGTTCCAAAATTGAATTCAATCTTCGAATACTAAGATGCACGCTATCGTTCGTTCATGGTCAGCCAAATCAACCAAAGTCTCAGATCCCCACTTCCAGAAGTTGGCCATGTGCGCTTAATCTTATAGCATCCTTAAAGGTGCATGCAAGCCAAACAACGCCATCACTCATTGTGGTAATCCATAATGGCAAATTAATAACCACTGGCTGTGAAGATGATTCCATCACAAATGGTGTCGTGGTACCTGTTCTGATTGATTATATAAACAAGGTTGGTTTCATCCTGCATCAAGTTCATGAATTTGAAATGATCTTAAAGCTCTAGGAAATATTAAGACCCTTCCCCATCCCGTCCGTTCCAATCCTCAAAAAGTTGAATCTTTGTGTGACCCGTAAGTTGTCGCGTTGCGTTAGCATAATCAAGCGGTTGAAGGTATACTACTAATATTTAGATAGACATTTCAAGCCAGAACCACCAGCTAATTGTATCTTCTTCTACTGGCAAGACAACTCCACGAGCTTCGCTGCCAATGGGTAACTGGCCAGGTGGTGCATTTATTGGCGTCAATGCAGCTCTCCTGACTGCAGCAGCAAATCTAGTAGCCCAAGAGATCTCCGAGACTGAACCTGAGGATGCTTTCAAATTCTTAAATTGTGAATCTAATGGCCGTACTAAACTTGGACCTGTTTCACAGGTAAGATTCATGGATAGTGGTTTGGGCAATGTGGTAAGTTGAAGAATACTATTTCACAAAAGCTTTGGCATTCTTACAAGGACTTGATAGGCCGCGCGTATGGCTATTTCTTATGTCACCCACGCAACCCTGCGTATGCCATGGGATTTACCGGATATCACAGTAAAATTCTGTTTTGATGGTGAGGCCGACATTACGATCAGTGCTACCATCGAGGATGAAAAGCTGTCTGTGGGAGTACGCAACGTAAATGATCTTGTCCTCGGAGTGCGCATTGATGGCATGCCGGACTGGTTGAGTGGCTTATTAGACATGATTGCTGAGGTTCAATGCACCCTCTATAAACATGCCTCAAATTTTATCTTCGAGCTACTTAGTGATTGGCAGTTTTCAGTGCCAGCATTGCCAACTCCGCAACTTCCGTGGCTGAAGGAGGATGATCCGCCTCTTACAATACAACTGAATGATGTCCAGATATCCCCTTTGGACATTGGCGAGAATGCTTGGTTAATCGCCTCAGGCACGCCAAATATATCTACAGAGGGTTGAGGCTGAGAATTATACTGCCTAAAAAGCGTATGTACCTTTGGACGACTGTGAATTCTTACAACTTATAAAACTGAATTGAATCTAAATAACATAACTGGTAGACTGGCGCAATATCTAAGATCGATTAGGTTATCCCACTCTATGTCTCTATGTCCTTACTTAGCTAACAGGCATTCTATCCTGAATAGTGTACTGTAAACATCTCCGATATAAGCTTAGTAGATTATATAGATTTATTTAAAAATATTGCCAAGATATAAAAGCTAAGCGAGTAGGATTGTCAAATATGACAACATTACTACGCTTCACTCTATTTGTATTACAAGAATTTTCTTTCACCATTATCTAAAGTGAAACCATTCGGTCAGAACAAAGATAGACACCTGCCGCCGGAGCTTTGCTCGTTTCCGCCTTCCACCTATCCTAGCAAGCCCTACTACTGAAATCAAGACACTGGTAACTCAGCAAATGTTATGTAAAGGTTTTCGCCCGAGTTGCTAACTACGTGTAAGAGATATCACCATGGCCCGATATTCCACAAGACCAAAAGAGCATATAATTCTGAAAATTCGATTCAGAACGCCCTGGTCTTATCTATATAGCTTCCAGCCGTTACACTAGCTTTCTTATTAGAGCACTAATATATAAATCTAATATAAAAAAATATAGTCTAAATCTATATAAAATATACAGAGCACGAGATTTTTTATATTTATTCTATTTATCAACCCAGATATACTCATCACAAACCCATAGATTCAAGATCAAAACCTATACCTAAATCACAGGTTAAGATACTTGACCCAAAACTCGCCAAGGAACAGGTCAGGTTCTTAATCTAGAACCTGCTTCTAGAAACGGATTCTAGAACTAAAATCTGTTCTGAATTAGCAAAATCTGTGCAGATTTTTCCTGATACTATATAATCTAAAAATCTAGATTTTCTAGACTTTTTCTAGATCTTTACATAGATCTAAAAATGTCAGAGTTATCTACTAATCAGGATAGAAGATCTGTCAACTAGATAAGAATATAGAGACAAAATAACAGTAGATAGTCTATTAATAAAAACTAATTCTTGATTTTTCTACTACTAACTACAGTATTAATTTATAGTTAAGAATCTCTAAAATTCTCTATATATAATAATCAATTCTTAGAGAAGAGACTGCTGTATATTATTCGAAAGATAACTGATATAGATATTAAAGATACTGTTTAGCCACCGGAATATCTATATATCTGGGACAGGATATACTGTACAGTCACCTTGTATAATTGTTATCAATTCTGTGACAGTAGCCTCTATGGAATGAAATATAAGCCCGCTTTTGACCCAAAATCCCCTTCATCCTCATTCAACTGCCATCTACTGAAGTATATATTATTTCACTTGTATCACCTTTGGTCTATTATTCTTTTTTCATGAGCCCGAGTGTTCGAAGTGATGTTGGTAGATATAGAACCACGGTTTGTATGGATCAATTCAAGCTTCTGCACAGTGCTACTCTACTGTAATAAGATTAATCAAGACTTGATTTTGTCAGTGCTACCATGACCGATTATTCGATCGGACCTCGAAGCTTTGATAAGGCAAGAAAACGTATTCAGCATATTGCTGAAAGAAATACCCTCTACACAAACCAAGTAGCGCAAGATTTTCGAGACGACACCAATAGATTCATCGATTTTAAAATATCGGAAGAAGACATGGAAAGAGAATAGGACTGTATAAGTACAGACGCAAGGGAAAGTACCACCGAGCATTCATCGGGCCTCACCCTATCGTATAGTGTATAATCAGATGACTGGTATACTCTAGGATTTCTACCAATAATATCTGGGGACTTCTATCAGCCTATCAATATACACCAACTTGGTATACAGCAGCCATTAACAAGACTGCCTACAGAGTTGTGGACTTCCAATATCAGACTCTGACGCAGACATGGACCAAGTCGATTGTTGGATTAATCATAAAGCTTTTGGTGTGTAGTATAAGACATTGTATACCTTGATATTGGATTATATCTATTGTTTCTTTTGTCTTTTTATTCCTTCCCGTTTCGACGCATGTTACCATATCTTGAGAGTTGTAGAGAAGTATATCTACGGACTAGAGGAGGGCGGCCTTCAGATCTCACTCAACCTGGACGACGATACCTTCAAGGTTAGCTCCGACAAAATATACTACACGGGGAATGATATAGATATCACTGAGGGCGAGGTACGAAAAAGGCAGGAGAAGGTAATCAGTGAGCTCAAAGACCACTTGGCGGACCTTCCCTTGCACGATGCAGAGAAGCAACTACAGGCCGATCTTAACAGTGCAGCTCGCTTTGTGGTTCCTGGCATAGGCAAGCTTCTTTACAAGAACCCCGTCTTCAATGATCACGGAGACTTGTTCATCGAAGTTGACTATAGAACTGATAATTAGGACCACAGATTTCTAGCATATCGGCTGCCAAATCTAGTGGGGCCAATCAAAGTGGAACTAATATCATTTTTTTTTTTCGGACGCGTGCTGTTGGTCAGGCTGGAACAGAAGGTATATATAGACTTCGGATAATAACTCGTCTACTCGTGGTCTATGTACGAATATTTGTTCAATGTCTCGCTCTTGAGAGCTGTCAGTGGGAAAGACTTGTAACCAGTGCTAGTGAGAGTGTTCGGAGTAATGAGCATTGTGTTGGCTAACATGAATAGGGCTTCAGCGGTAGCATCCTACGGAACCTTGCAGCTGTCCTCACTAATGCCACACGCACATCTATTATTAAGTGCATAGTAGCCGAAGAGGATATGTAGGATGGCTAGACCTACTGCATGTACCACGTAGAACACTAACAGGGCGTACACGGGGGAGAGTAGCAGAGAGCGATAAGCTGACGCCGTAATTCCCAGGGTTGAGTGTCAGCACCTATAGGCTGTGTCAGTATGACCGAACATTTTAGGGGTTGAGGGTAATCGTCCGACCTTGTCTGTCTATTCAACTACAGCTAGGCTGTCCCTTTACTACGCATACCATAGAACAAGTCTTCAAACGTGCATGTACATTGTCCAAATTCTCTATCAACTGAATACCGACGCCAGATACTGCACCCAATCTTTCCCAACATACCCAATATACAAGTCCGGTCTGACAACCACAACTGCGCCCTCGTCGCTCTTCACCCATTCCGCACGGAACTCATGTGTAAGGGTAGTGAGACGACGATCTTGGTTATGGATATGCCATATCTCAGCTTTCTGTTGCAGCGCAATAGCCTGTTCAAAAGAGGCAGGGTTCTCATTCCCGATGAAGAGAACCTTGAATCTCCCATACTCAAACAGCTCGTATAACCGAGTCTGAGACTGTTCTTCGGCATTGGCTTGGGATGACCCTACAGGAAGACTGGTGACCCGTAGATCCGGGCAACGGTCCCCAGCAACGAAGTCGCCGTAGTTTGAGTCGACTACCAATGGGGTAGTGGAGGAGTAGGAGACTCCCATGCCTGTAGTTGATAAAATTAGGATCGATTTACGACCGAAAGAAGTCAGAGGTGAATCGTATGATAACCATACCTGTAATGTAGCCCGCATTCTTCTCAATGATTTCAACATACTCCAAAGCAGTCTTGACCGTGGTCCGCACCAGCTTCGCAGCAACGTCAATAACGGCCGAGGCTGTGGCACGACGCTCTTCATCGTAGCTCTTCAGTAGTGTAGAACCTCCATGTCCCTTGGCCACAAAGGCGACTCGCCATATGAGGTTGAATGCGTCCGCGATCCCGGTATTCAGACCCTGGCCGCCGTTGACGGCGTGAACGTGGGCGGCATCGCCCGCAAGCAAAATGCGACCATTGCCATCCTTAGAAATGAAAGTGCTGGCTACTCTTTCCTTGACTAGACTTATGCGTTAATGCTTATGTCGGCGACTCCAGGGTGAAAGTTGCGCATTACATACTTTCAAACGTACTAAACCACTCGGTTTTCTTGAACTCCACCGTGTGCGGAGCCATATGGTCTCGTATGGAGGCTTCGGCATTTTCCTGTGTGATTTCTCCATCGAGCAGGATGTAGAAGCGGTTCATACCCCGTTCGCTACATGTAACGTTAGACTAATGGCCGGTTGACGAACAATGTCGACTTACCGAGGGATCCACGCAACGCGCGATTGTCCATCTTTCTGAAAGGTAATGATCTCAGGACAGACCGGAAAGTCCGTTTCGATAAAAGTATCCAGAACGGCCCAGACCATCTCGGGCTTAGTTCCAGTAAAGGGTATCCCCAGGGTGGTGCGCACGAACGAGCGCGCACCGTCTGCCGCAATAGCATACCTGGCTGTTATCGTCCTTCCCTTGTCTGTCGTCACCACAACGCCGGACGTGGTCTCTTCGATCCCATTGACCTGCGAGTTATAGTCGACCGGGATGTCCAGTTGATGAAGGAGAGCCTCCTCAACTTGGGACTGGCCGATCATGAGGAAGTTGGGACGATGGGTGTGCTTCAGCGATGTCCACCATTGGTTCTGCTGAGAGGTAAACTGTCCACCTTCGAATGTCGAGCTTGCTAACGATGGGTGTTAATCAAATGGAATTTTTTTTGCTGGAGCCGGACTGAACGCACTGTTGCATTTCAAGCCAAAGGGCTCGAGGAAGGGTAAGGTTTTCGTCACTTCGAGATATTGTTGGGTTCTGGCGTTTAGGGCATCCGCACGCCCGACTTCCAAGGCACCATTCTTAGCGTCTGAGATCAGATCTAGTTAGCATGTTTGATTTCAATTCATTGGCATGTTGACTCAGTGTGTAGAGACTGCTTACCAATGACATACACCGAGAGTCCCAGGGCTCTCGCAAGAACGGCCGATAGTAAACCTGTTGGGCCGCCACCGACAATAACCAGGTCGACGTCGAATGCTGATGAATTATTCTCCATTGTGAATTTTAACGACTATTGCGCTCGTGAGATGTTTCAGGCAGAAGGAAATCGAGAAGATTTATGAGCAGCACCCCAAGGGTCTGGAACGAGAAGGATCGTATGATATGCGCGAGGGTGGTTCATCTTAACCTGAATCTGGGAAACACGACGATATACGTACTACATCTACAGGGCTGGGCACCGGCATTAGGCCACGCGAGATAATCAGCAAACGGCCCAGCAGATGGATCAGCTAATCCCACGCCCCTGCAGGACTTCGACCGCGGGGGCATTCCGCTAGTGGATTGTCTTATCTGATGAGATGTGGCCGGTGATGACAAATGCAGAAATCCCCTGGCAATCGTTTCATTTAAAGTCTAATTAGGTAATTAAAGCTCTCTTCGGCTATATTCTTCTCTGGCATCGGTGGTCCTGGTGGGTCTGACCCTGGCTGTGTTCATCTTATCAGGCTTCCTTGGCGAACTTGGCCACCGTCTGGACTCTGGACTTTGGACTCTAAACTCTGGAATAATACGGGATTGGGCAGAAGTCGACGGTAGGAGACATGAGACATCAATCGTCAGGGATTCGACACGGACCACCGTCGTGTCGAGACTCGGGAACAGGAAAAATATCCCGACTGCAAAAGTCTGAGGCAGAGATTGCAGGCGTGAGCCCAGTGGAGCAGAGGTTGCATTAGATTTGGGGTTGACGGGCACTAAAGCTTAGCGTAAGGCTCGGTCACGTTAGACTACGCGCTAAAGACGCCCCGTTGAACGCAGTCTTCAGGGCTAAACTCCCTGGAGGGCAGCCCTGAGTACCCTACTCAATAGCCGAGCGTTAGTCCCGGTTGGAGACCGTCGGCGTCCTACGATCGCGATACTATAGATTATATTAATCCAAGACTTTGCCACACACACACCTACGGCGGATGCCTTAGCCTGGCCTAACGAAGCTAACACGGGGGATATGTGCTATTCCGGCCTCCCATGCTGGTAAGAGTAAGGATCAGCCACTTGAGCTTGATGTCGTGATAGCTCCACTGCAACAGGTCCGTCCCAGCTCGCGATATGCGGTATATAGCTCATTAACTAACGATAACACACGCTCCTCCAATGCCGCCAGGGAGTCGGACCGTGCCAAGACCCAACATCCCGAGTCTTTTGCCGCTTGGCGAAGCGGTACGGGTGCCTGGAATGCTACCATGGTCCGGGGTACACCCCTTCAATAATACCGTCTAGATCTCGAGGCCGTCTACACTGCCTTTTACGACTGCTGGATCCATACATCTGGAGCAGGCTGTGCAGCAACTTCAAATCCCGTTCCCATAGATCATACCACGGCAACCCGGAATGTCGGAATGGAACCATGAGGCAATGCTCTGTAGTAAACGCTCTCAAGACGGCGCCTTGATATGGGCCATATCCACTCGAGGCCCTGAATCGAACCGGTAGCCGCTACACTGGCGTGGGGGGTCTGTCTCGGAGCTAATTGGCTTATGGTAGAGCTTGGTTAATTCTTCAGGGTGCAAAGCTCTGCCTAGTGCGAGCACCGGGGCTGTCTAGTTCAGACGCTACTGGATTACCTGACCAGCGCGGAAAATACCGCTGTAATCTCGTTAGCAGGGTCGGAGCAGGGCTGCAGGAACCCTCATCATATGATATGCAGTCCGTGCTCCATGGATGGCTACTCCTGTCGATCTGATTGGCAAGGGTTGACTACCCTCTGTTATTTTTGTCAGTAAACATGCATTTGATTGCATCGAATCGCCCTTGGCCAAGTGACTGCCACCTCGCAGGAGTATAAATATCTCTCTCTCGCACCATGATGCGGCGATCACCTCAAGAAGGGGCAGATTAAGCATCTAGTCTTACATTTTCACTTAAACTTCCCAAGAGAGCAACATGAGCGCAACAGCAATCCAGATTCCATTCGCTCCGACGAGCTTCTCGTCACTATCCCCGGTCGAGTCCATTGTCTTCGATGCAAAAGCACTTCAAAAAGCAACAGAAATCCTGAACGTCATCTATCGGTATCGCGCACCCGTTCCCGAATCCGTAGAGGATCGCAGCGATGAAGGAACCTTGAAGTTCCTCCCTCTCATCTATTCGCGAGTGAAAGCGCAGCAGGCGATTCAATTGATCCTACCGGCCTTTCCATTCAAGTCTCCAAACCGCGCGAACAAGGTCCTGGGTGCCTTGCCAGATAAGGGGGAAGAGACTGCCCTGTCACACCTGAATGGCCTATGTGCGGCAATTACGGATATCTATGAGCCTGGTGCGATATTGACTATTGCCTCCGATGGTCTTGTATACAATGGTAAGCGCATTCCTGAGGAGGTACTTCCTACCTAAACGATATCCAGGCTGACGAAACTAGACCTCCTAGGAGTGCCCGATTCAGAAGTCTACGCATACGGACAGTCTCTTCGACAACTCGTCCTCGACCAGGAATACAATCACATCCAATTCATTCGACTCCAGCACCTCCTTCACGTACATGAGGACATGCCCCTTGACGCAGCTACCTACGTGAGCCTTGCAGGAAGCTTCCGACAGAGACTGGTGGAGAACTACACACCCCTGGACTACGACTGTGCCGCCAGTATCAAGGAGGACAAGGATGTGTGCGCGACCTATCGAGGCTACATCAAGTTCCTCACCAAGGACCTGGAGCACACGTTCATCGACGACGGAAGCGTTTCGAAGCGTTCCCACAAGCAAAAGCTTGAATCGATCGCCAAGGAGATGATCGTCCGTGGCAAGGTAGGTCGTTGTGTCCCGACAACACCACACCGAAAGGATAAAGCAAAGTCTGACTGATTTTGATCTTCCCACTAGGCCTTTGCAGAGGCAATTCGGAAGAACTACGCAGACCACATCCGTCTATCGATTCATCCATCCGCCGGATCCACCAAGATCTCGATCAAAGTGTTGCCGCTGGCTCTCCACGCCGTGACGCCCTGGCACTCCTCTCCGTGCTTCACCGTCGACGGACGAATTGAGTACGGCATGCGCGAGGTATTCGATAGCCGCGACGACGTGGAGTTAGTACACAAGAACGGAAGACCATGGTACTACCGCGTCAAATCGGACCTGTACGCCTGGTCGGAGCCGGTGGAGATCGAGCCCCAATACCCCTGTGGCCTGATCATCCGACCCACAGAGAGTAATATGTCCGTGACGCATCTGGACATGCTCAAGATCCGTGAACTAGCCCAGGAGAACTCCCCCTTGATTCTCCGCGGCTTCAACGACACCCGTGACAGAGAGCTGTTTGTCAAGAAGGCCGAGGAAATGGGAACTCCCATGCCCTGGAAATTCGGCTTGATACTTGAGGTCAAGGACCACGGCAGTGAATCCCAGGGTCTCAATAATGTGCTTTCTGCCGAGTGGATGCCATTCCACTACGATGGTCTTTTCAAAGTTTCAAAGGAGGTCGATGCGGATGGGAAAGAAGTCACGGTTTCTTGTCCGCCTAAGTAAGTGACAACCAAACCCTTACTTCCTATCTTTACTTCCACGATATATTTCCATAAAAAGAAAACCATGAGCTCGTCTAACCAAATCCAATCCCAGGTTCCAATTTTTCACCGGCATGACTCCCTCTCCAAAGGACACAGGCTTCACGCTCTTCAGCGCCTCTCACCTCATCTGGCACTATCTTCCTCAGAACTACACGCTGGAACAGCTCGCGAAGCTGTCCTGGACAGTGAAAACCATTTCCTTCGATGAGGCCAAAATCACCGACTTGCCTCTCGTCGTTCCACACTTTGCTCACAACAGGCCCTGTCTTCGGTACCATGAGCCTTGGCCGCAAGAGAAAACGGCCTTCGACCCGACATACATCACGATCCAGGACGTGCCCAACTCCGCGGAAATATGCCAGATGCTGGATTCTTTGCTTCATGATCGTCGTGTTGCTTATTGGCATTCGTGGGAGGAGGGCGACTGGGTGATCAGTGATAATGTGACTATGATGCATACGCGGAGCTCGTTTACGGCCAAGTCGGATCGGTGCTTGAGGAGGATTCATGTTGATTGAGTGGTGGATTCAGTGTATTGGTATGGTTTCCGGGCTTGGGACTTTTGGCTTGATTGTTGCGAACTTGATGTCATGAATTTCATTGTAGGTTAGTTGGTTATTGTACAAGGTATTACAACTATTTCTCCATTTGCTCGTATCGCTCCCGTGCAGTCTGCCTTGTCTTTTCCAAGAATTCATCGTATCTCCCGCGTGTATTGCGTCCTGCTTCTTCAACTGCATCTCCCAATTTGCCTCCCTGTGCTCCTAGACCAACACCCTGCGCGTAGACCTCTGTGGCAATAGGAGCAGTCATGCCAGTGCCCTGAGCACCCAGCCCTGTTCCAGCAGACCATCCCATCTTGCTGAGCAGAGAAGCACCCTTCGACGTGGACTCCACTGGGGGTTCTTCTTCCTCCTTCGGCGGAGGCGCGCTCTTCTTCGCTGCGGCCTTGGAGCTGCCGAATGCCTGTCGGCGTTCCCTGGCACGGTCGCGGTACTCAGGTGTTTGCTGGGCAATACCATGTTTGATAAGCTTCCCCATGGCCTTGGCTTTCAGATCCTCATTTTGCAAGTTACTCTGGTGCAGCTGACTGAGTCGTTCGTGGCGGTTGACCTCTGCGGAGCTGTTGAATTGGCGCATGCAGAGATAGCAACAGTTCCGACTGGGGTCCGCATAGGACTGGGCTGGTGGAGCGCCGGGATCAACTGAAGAGACCACTTGATCCGGGCCACTTCCGGCGTCATCGGGGTTCTTCTTCTGAATGCCGTGTAGCTCGGCATGCCGATTGCTCCAGAATTGCAAATGCGACGGCATCGCAAGCTTCTTGGCGCCGGCTGTGGCCGAGTTGTCTGCTTTTCTCTTCTTAGTTTTGTCTGCGTCTTTCTGTGTCTTTCCCTGGTTTTCTGGCTGATCGGGCTGGTCGTTCTTCAACAGCATTTGGTTATTGTCACTGTCGCCAGTCGACACCGTGAGCTCTGTAACGTAAGCCTCCTCATCCCAGTACATCAGCTTTAAGGATGGGTTATTGAGAGGGCTGAATGTGAACTTCTCCGTACGCGCTGAGGGATTGATCACGGGAACAAATACACCAGCGTGAATGTAGCTCACAAGCACTGGCCTTGAGGATATGGTGAACTTCTCAAACGAGTTCAGACGTGTAACAGCCGCTTGAGCATCCTGAAGAGTCCCGTAAGAAACGAATTTCCGAACGCGAAGGGCGAGTTTCTTACCTGGATAGTCGCAAACTCCGCAAATCCGTAACGCCAGCTGTCGTTGCTTTTGCGATCTCTTACTAGCAGCACACGGCGGATAGACCCGTCCCGAGCTCCCAGGTTTGAATCGCCAGTAGTGGAAGCCACTTTAGCCCCTTTCTTCTGGTTTCCTGATGTATTTTCAGCATTGCTAGGAGCTGGTCGGTATAGCTTAGCAACTCCTTTGGCAAGCAGTTCTTCTGTCACGGTGGGCTCTAGTCCGCGGAACAAGAGAAACTGCGAGGGCTGGTTTTCAGGAGCAGCATCATTATCACCATTATTCTCAACCTTGGGAGCTGCGATTCCAGGAGGGCCCGTCGGACCGGGTTCTTGTGCTCGTTAGTCAGGTAATAACAGCCGGCAAGGCTAAGATACATACCAGGTCGGGGGGCTTGACACCGGAAACATTTTGAACGTGTAGAGTAATTGACTATCGCACACTGCATAGAGACATATTAGCCATGCGTCCGGTAGTACAAAGTGTACTACGCACGTTCTTGCAAGTCCAATCCCCCTCAGCTCTGGCGCGCGCACGATCCTCTCTCTCCCGGCTATATGCGATGCGGACTTTGGTTCCACGGTCATCCTGACCAGCGCTTGGACCGTAGAAGTAAATGGACGGAAAGTTGCGCTCAACAAAAGCGCGCGAATAGTTGACGTCACGGAATCGGAGAAAGCCGAGCTGTCGGGATATTTCTACAAACCGTCAGGACATCCACGGATCACAACAAGGGAGTATCAATCTTACTCGTCTGCCGATCACGAATCACCCGAACTTCCTCAAGTCCTTCAATATGATAACCGTCTCTGAGCTCATTCGTAATCTGTTCAACACGTCGACCGGAATCACCGGTGACATGCACATCTCAGCCTCTTGTTACCAAAACGGTGCATTGCGAAGCGCAACGCGGAGCTTCCACGTGCAATGAAATCTCAGGGGGAAGGAGTATTCCAACGTCTTCTTCCGTCATATCCACCGGCAAGCCATCCATCATCACTTCTCTGCTCTCTTGTCCGTAGTAACGGCCTCGTCGCGGGCTTCGACTCCGACTTCGACTGTGGCTCCTGCTTCGACTGTGGTATCCAGGCGAGCGATAACCCTCGTGGTCGCGATCTCTGTATGCCGGCCTCCCACGCCGGGGCGGAGGCGATCTAGACGAGCGTCGTCGATAGTCATCACGGTCCCGGCTGCGGTAACGAGGTCTGGAATCCGGGCCGTCTCTGGGGTAATCGTGTCTTCTGTCCGAGGCAGGCCCTCGTGGGGGAGAGCGCGGAAGATCTTTTGACCCGAGAAGACAGTTAGCAGTTGTCGAGCCGGAGAGAGAAACTGTACGGCTTTTCTTCAAGCATCCACGCCTATGCTATCGTGCGGGGAGGAGCGTAATACCGCCAGGCGAGCGCGAGCGCGAACGGTCGTCGTACATGCGGCCGTCCCTATCATCACGGCGCGGATAGGGCCGGTGAGAAGGACCCGGCGGATACCTGTTATCGTCAGGAGGTAACCGAGACATGATGGAGTGACATGCGAAATATTATGAAAGATGATGCATGCGCAAGACTCGAGCGCTTCGAGGGAGAGCAATCGATAAGTCCGCGGCAGAATTCCACACCGCCTACCTGTCCAGGGGAATCGCGTCCGCCTTTCCCAATTGGGCGGCATATAGTTCGACAATTTTCGAACTCCGAATTGAAAACTAGCAACCTTCTCAATGGTGATTTGCTGTACTAAAACCTTTCTAATTAAGCTAATAGTATATTGGCTGCTTCAAGCTCAACCTGGACGGGCATGTCACCGCAGACTTATGCACACGTACACAACAGGAAGAATACCCTTCAAAAGAGAGAAAAAAAAATGATAAATGAATTTATGATAGAAGGAAGTCTAATACCTCCTCTTTTATACAGAAACTAGGGATCCAGTTTATATAACATCATAAGCCCTGAGACACATAAGCCCTATCTCCTTTAACTACCGTGTCTCAAGCCCCTTTCCCAACTCATTGCCAAAGCAAGTCCAAACCACTTTATATCAAAGGACTTCTACTCTATCCAACCATGTTGCCGAAGCCATGCTTCACACATCGATGGCCAGTTAGAGACAGGTAGATTCTCCGTGTCGATGCCAAATCCGTGAGGCGCATCCGCAAAGACATGAAGCTCAACAGACCCTCCGCTCTTGGTTACGCCCTCGGCAAGACGATAAGCGTTGACCACAGGGACGACTGGGTCATTATGGGAATAAACAATGAATGTGGATGGGGCCGGGGATTGGAGCTGGACATCTGGCTGTAGTGAGTCGTACAGAGCTTGCTTCTCTGCAGGTGGAAGGGGTGGCTTATTTGCAACGATGGTACGGCCGGCAGCGTTTGTCGAGATTGGTCCATATCCAATGATGGCAAACTGGGCTTGAGGGATAACTGGATCGGGTGCTGTCCATTCTTGAGGATATTGGGCCAGAAGCGCAGCTCCGAGATGGCCACCAGAAGAGAGACCACAGATACCCTGTCCCTCCGGTACGCGCCCGGACTCCGCCATCATCTTGAACGCGCGTCTGGCATCATCTAGAGGCGCCTGGGCACCAGTACGAGCGGTTGGAAACCGGTGGACAAGAACAAAGGCGTAGAACCCAAGGCTGGCTAGCCATTTCGCAACTGCGATGCCTTCCCGACCAACCATGAGCTGAACGTAGCCGCCGCCTCCAAGAATTAGCACCCCTCGTCCATTGGCCTTGACTGGACTGTAACCAAGGAGAAAAGGACGCTCGACTTCAGTGATGACTGCCTGCGCTAGATCGCTTCCTTGTGCCTCAAGTTTGAAGGCTCCATCCACCGAGCCCTCCTCCCACAGGGGCCAGCACAGGTCAGCCTCGAGCATTATGGCGTTATCAAAGAGAAACAGAAAATAATCTTTGCAAGAAGTTGTGTTGATGAAGTTAATACCTGTGCGGGGATTGAAATATACTTACTGTGGGCCTCGCGATAACATCAACCCGAAAACCCGGATACTTCGTAGACTTCTCATTCCTCACTCTGTCGCACGTCGTATTGTGTCCAGGTTAGGGTTTACCCCAGAAGACGCTATTCCCAACGCTACGCATATAATACCAGGGTTGCAAGTAAAGTTGGGGCCCTGTTAGAACAACACAAGAGTATAGAACATCAGCGAACGGTCTCCAGTATCATTGTGCGGAACATTTCAATCCTTATAGATCTTGACAAAGGTTCTATCAAGTACGGTGTAGTTTCGGTATAGTATACGCGACATTATCCAGTTGGCATGCATGGCAGGGCCCGTGACTAGCATCAACGCCATCGTTCCGCCCCTTTGGAATCAGCTTGCAGCATCAACTTAAACAGGCATTCAAAACAACTCTTTGGTAGCTACCGTATGTGTTGGTCCGCAATGACCACAGTTGCAAATGCATTGATCTGAAAGGTCTCTCAAGTTCATATCCTGAATATTAATACAGTCAAAATAATTTGGCACGCCAAGAGGCTGCGAGTCCGGTCGTCCACAAATCTTGATTTTGGAAAGCTTCAATAGGGGAGGATAACGTCACATATATCCTTGACTTTGAGAAAACAAGATAGCATATAGATCGTTTAGAGATACGAGGACATCATTCACGTCTCTGGTAAAAGGTGAGTGGCATGGACTGTGATTGCTTTTCTTAAAACTTAGGGCTTACCACCAAAACCGATGGCCACCGTGATTATTGTTGGTGAGTTTGACTTCGATAACCGCATATTCTCCATTTCTATTAGTGCTTTATCAAGGCCCGACTAATAGTCTCAGGTGCTGGTGCCGGAGGGATCGCCACAGCAGCACGGCTGGCTCAACAAGGGTTCCACGTCAAAGTTGTAGAACAGCATGGATTCATTGGAGGCCGATGCTCCATTATCTCTAAAGATGGCTATGTATGTCTCACCCTGGAGTGAAATAATGTACCTAACATTACTAGCGCTTCGACCAAGGCCCGTCATTGCTTCTAATGCGCGAGGTCTTCGAAGAGACCTTCGAGGAACTCGGCAGCTCGCTAAAGCAAGAAAATATCCATCTAGTCAAATGCGAGCCAAACTATTGTGTTTGGTTCCCCGACATGGATATGATAGAGCTATCGACTGATCTCACACGCCTGAAGGAGCAGATCCAACATTACGAAGGTCCGGATGGGTTTCCCCGTTTCTGTGCCTTCTTGAACGAGGCCGGTACTCACTATAACCTGTCACTCGCGCATATGTTGCGAAAGAATTTTCCTCGGCTGCTGAGTTTGTTACGGTGGGATGTATTGAAATCGCTGATTTTCATCCATCCGTGGACGAACACATACGCTCGAGCTGCGCGGTATTTCTATTCAGAGAAGATGCGGCGCGTATGGACTTTTGGTAGCATGTACATGGGCATGAGTCCATACCGGGCTCCGGCGACGTATTCGCTGCTACAGTATATTGAGACGGTGGACGGGATATGGTACCCAGAGGGTGGATTCCAAACAGTATTCCCACCCCATCTCGTCAACACCCTTATTAGCTAACCTAAACAAGGTCCTGAGAGCTCTAGCAGATATCGGACAGCGATCTGGAGTGGAATACATCCTAAACAGTCCCGTCAAGTCTATCCTACTCGATGACAGGGAACGCTTCGCAAAGGGCATCCTTTTGGAAGATGGCAAAGAGCTCTATGCGGACTTAGTCGTAATCAACGCTGACCTTGTCTACGCATATAACGAACTCCTTCGAAAGACACGCCGGTCGCACGACCTGAAACAAAGACCCGCATCGTGCAGTAGCATCTCATTTTTCTGGTCTTTCGATGAGAAACTGCCTCACTTACAAGCACACAATATCTTCCTAGCTGAGGAGTACCGAAGAAGCTTTGATGCTATCTTCGAAGAACATCTTATGCCCGACGAACCGTCATTCTATGTCAATATACCGAGCAAGGTCGATCCAACCGCTGCACCACCTGGTAAAGAGGCTGTTGTCGTCCTAGTCCCAGTGGGCCATTTGACATCGGAAAATGAAACCCAGCTTGAAGAACAGAAATGGGATACCTTAGTATCTCAAACGCGCCAAATCGTCTTGGACACTATTGAGGCCCGCACGGGGCTACAAGGCTTGCGGCCCAGGCTGGTCCATGAAATGGTTGAGACACCGCTTACCTGGGAAGAGAAGTATAATCTCGATCGTGGCGCGATCTTGGGCCTATCGCACTCGTTCTTTAATGTGCTCAGCTTCAGACCAAAGACCAAGCATCCGGACATTGAGCGGCTTTATTTTGTTGGAGCCAGCACACATCCTGGGACAGGAGTTCCTGTTTGTCTGGCGGGGAGCAAGCTCGTCACTCAGCAAATAGTAGAGGACTGGAACATGGGAATTGAGCAGAAATCTCGAACGGGATTCATATTGACAGTGGTAATGGCTCTATTAGCACTGGCGGTATCCTTTCTCTGGAAGCAGCATTAGGTATACGACGAAGATGGCCATGATGAGACAATTCAAAGACTCGACTAAAACCTTCCAGATCAAAGGCTTCTTCTCTATAGTAGATATCTAAATGCACACTCTGAGAATGTAGTAGAGAAGTAACCCAAACTACTGTCTCAGAGCCATAGCCCGATAAACAACCCACAAGCGTGTTCCAATTGGAAGCCTTAACTTGCCCCCGAGGTTCCTGGCCTCATACCCCGTCTCAAAGCTGCCCCTATCTCCAGGTAACTATCAACAGTCGCAAAAAACGGTCCCTGGACCTCTTCCGGCAGAAGTCTAATCTCTTCCCGAGCTGAAGCACCGAGAAAGTCGGCCCTATCAAGTGCTTTATTTCGCACTAACTGCAGCCGAGCATCTGTAGGCGAAGCGAGGACATCGGCAGGACTCAGCCCCTGTTCCTTCAGCCATGTTGTAGGTAGATACACCCGGTTCATCGCAGCATCACGAGCAATATCACGGGCTACATTAGTGTATTGCAGAGCTTGGCCCATCCTTTCACCAGCATCTACCACGCGACGACGAAGAAAAACGTTGACTGCAAACTGATGATCCGGAAAATGATGAACAACTAGACCTAACATGGATGCCGCCACAGTGCTGGCGACATGATAAGAATAAGCGTCAAGATCGGATTCTGTGACGATAGGGAAGGACCCAGATTTCGCGTCGAAGGCTAGGTCTGTCCGGAAGCCCTCGAGGAGACCTTTTAGATGCTCAAGCCGCAATCGGGATACGGGGAGACTGTTGATCGCTGCGATGAGCTCCGGGAGTGCAGGGTGCTTGGCTTCTTCGGAGCTAGGCGAGAATGGAAACAGCTCTGGGTGCGAGAACTTGGCTTCGAGGAGCTGATCGCATTGCTCGATGACCCTGCGTGCGCTGTCGGTGTCCTGGGCTTCGTCGACTAGGTCGTCTGCTATTCGGAAGAAAGAGTATCTACGTACGGCACTCGTTAGTATATCGAGTAAATGTAACTAGGAGGACGCGATTACTCACAGCAAGATTAGATCAATCCGAAGCGGTCCTTGAAACATGGCACTCCCCATGTACAAGCTCTGACTGGAGGCTGCGAGACGCTCAACTGCGTTACCCAGACTAACCACGAATCGTGCGTCTGGATGGTATCTGTTGGTCATAAACTGTGCGAAGACCCGGAAGTAGGACGGGAGGCTTTGAACTGCTTCCGATGATTGAGCTAGTTCACAAGTTGCCATTGCAATAGCATGATCGATACATACCAGACCGAAAACGATCATCATATTGGTGACGAGGAAGAAGAGCACCTCCCTTCTAGGTCAGTATGTTCAGAGGCTAGTCATTGACGTTGGTAAGGCTTACTCGATATCCATACCACTCCACGGCTGAATGCCTAGTTTGGTCGGCACTTCAACAGTCCAAGTTCCTTTATTGATGGAAATTGTGTCCACAGTCCAAAGAAAAAGAGTGGGAAGCGTAACGGATGCCATAAGCTCCATTCTGGGGAGTGCCATTATGAAACCAGAAGAGAATAGCCTGAGATTCGTGTCAGATATGATCGGTTCGCGATGCATGGGGACTTACCATTGTATCAGAAGGAATGGACCCGCCCATGTCATAATTAGGCCAATGTAAGTAAACTGCTCTCCACAGCGCAATGCGATAAGTCCAACCAGAGTAGCAAGTAGAAGTATCAACGCTCCAATGATAGTCTCTTTTCGTGCGACTTTACCCAAGTACATCGGCAGCACAAGCCTCCGAGTTAGAATTAGATATACCAAGCTGGTATTATACGTTTGAAAAATGAAGAAAGAGACTTCTTCTATAGGGATATCGTATAATGTCCAGCCTGTGACTCCATTAGGGGCGTAGGTCCAGATGCGATGACGCACCAAGTGCGAGTCCCACGGAATGGTAGCGACGAGGGATATCTAGCTCAACAGTAAGCTCCTCATTCCTACTTACAGGAACTATACCTACAATGACGAGGGTGGAAATCTTCTGCCAGTCCAGACGTGTCATGAATGGCCAGTAAACAAGTGTCAGGAGCCCCGCTAAGGGTATATTGTAGGTGACATGTCTGAAAGGTCAGCAATTCCAGGATAAAGGGCGATAAGAACATACTCACACCAGAACGTAGTCAAACCCCATGGTCGGAATGAAATTGACCGTGATTTGACAATTTCGAGTAGACGTAAGGGTAGACTTGTGGGAAATGCTTCGGATATTCCTTGGTTTATAGCATGCTCTCGATAAGACAACACATTTGCGAAGCTAGTCGCCCCTTGCAGTAGACTATAGCCTGTTACATACTTAGCTTCCCCACAAAAGTCCAGGTTAACCGCTCAATAGCGAAGGCACGGAGGTATCGCCCAGCAAGGGCAAGTCGTGGTGACCGAGCAAACCCAGAGGACAGGAGAGTTCAGTCGTGCCAAGCACATACCCAGTTGCGCTGCACAAAAACAAGCCTTTATAAAGTATGATTTCATATGCCATGAAACGGGCCCGACCATGATATTTTGATCGAAAATGTGATTTGCCTTAAATATCCAGCTCGCTGGTTGCCTGGTTTCGCTATCAGTCGGGTTTGTACCTAGGCTAGCAGCACATTCCCTATGCCAAACCCGACAACATGACTGGTAAAGAAAAAAGTCGCAAACATCCGTATGCACGAGTCATATGCAGACGATCAATATATGCTGATTCATTTCTATCATAGTTACTTCTCTGGAAACTATGCCCCCATCTACACTGTTCAGCATGCGCATCCCTGCTCAGTCCAGGGCACAATTCCCGAGGAATTCCTTGGAGGACAATATGTCCGCAACGGCAGCAATTCTCTTCAGGATGATGACCGCCGCGACCTGCACTGGTTTGATGGAGATGGCATGCTCTCTGGTGTGTTCTTCAAGCGCATGCCAGGATCAAAGGTGCAGCAGCCGTTGTATACGAATCGGTATATCCTGACGGATGTGCACTGCGCAACGGCGGAGCATCCACACATCAACCCGGTTGTGTCAAGCATTACCACGCTAGTCAGCCCTATGGTTTCTCCGCTGAAAGTTTTCATGGGCATGCTGCGGACCATGGCGCTGATGTTCTCATCCTTTCTCGGCTTTGTGGTCCGCCCAATCCGGAGAATTAGCACAGCCAACACCAACATTCTCTATCATGACGGAAGAGTGTTGGCAACCATGGAGACTGGTCCACCAATGAGAGTCTACCTTCCGTCTCTAAACACGGTAGGATGGTTCACAGGGAGCAGAGCCGAGGGAGAGCCCTCAGATGAGATAACGGGGCCATCTTTCGGTGGTCCTGGGATAGAAGGATTCCATAAAGAGATGACGATAGCCCATGTACGTCCCCATCTTATTATGATCAACAGACGCTAATCCTAGGATACCAGCCGCACAATGATTACCAAACGGGAGAGCTCCTGCTTTTACACTCGACGTTTATCTTCCCATATGTGCACTACAGTATCATATCCCCTGGATGGACCGGCAAGCATGGGTCATACCTCAACCAGCCCGTTCCTGGCTTCACATCCGGAAAGATGATACATGATTTTGGGGTGTCGCGCAAGCATACCATTATGGTTGACATGCCTCTTGCGTTAGATCCAACGAATATAACCCGCAATAAGCCCGCCATACAGTACGACCCGCACGGATGCACCCGTTTTGGGGTCTTCCCCAGGTACTGTCCCGCTCAGATTCAATGGTATGAAACCGATCCTTGTTGTATCTTTCATACTGTGAACAGCTGGGATGAAAATGTCCCTTGGGGAACACGAGTCCACATGCTTGTCTGTCGGATGAACAGCGTGTCTCCTCTCTACCATATGGGAGACCTAGATGCACCAGCAGAGGCCACCCACCGGAATCCCGAATGCCGGCTGTATTACTACCAGTTCCTAGCGGATAGATCTAGCGAAATAACCGAGCAATGGGCGCTGTCGGCAATTCCGTTCGAATTTCCACACGTCCCACGACATCTAGAGATGGCAGCCGCCCGATTCGTCTATGGATGTTCCATGAGCGAAGGGAACTTTGCCACGAGACAGAAATCCAGCGTCAAGATTGACTGCCTCGTCAAAATAGACGTCCAGCGCTTACTGAAAGTGGCCGAAAGTCAACCACCAACTCAGATAACCGGATGTGTTGACGAACGATCTATCAACGAGATTCTAGCTACTAACAACGTGGATGACCCCGTCCAAGTGTTTGCGCTTCCGTATGGATGGTACGCACAAGAGTGCTCATTTGTACCCCGTAAGGATGGCATCTCTGAAGATGATGGCTGGCTTGTTACGTATGTGTTCGACGAGGCCCAGCTTGATGCGAACGGCAACGCACCAACAACCTCGCGCAGTGAGCTGTGGATAGTCGATGCCCGCAACATGAGGGATATTGTCGCGAGGGTGCTATTACCGCAGCGTGTGCCGTACGGTATGCATGGGGATTGGTTTTCAGAGGAGCAAATTCTGAATCAGCGGGAAGTAGCTGAGTTTCGCTCTCTCGATTGATGGTAGTTTGACATAGCGTGACAGAGTTATTGTATATTCTTTTTAAAACCTCTATATACGGTATCCACATCTAAGAATGATAACATGCCATAGAGCCATAGAAGTCATCTCGAAGAAACCATACTCTGTAAACATCAGTAAGCGCATTCACAACAAGAGGAAAAGAGAAAGAATCAAACTCACAAACTCCCTAACCATCCTGATCTCTCCGCGTGGCTCGTCCTCGGACGTTTTAAACCACGACGTGTTCCCAGGACTATCCTGCCCATCCACACCCCCCGTTATGTGCACATTTTGTCCATGAGACTCATAGCCCACGTCACGGTATTGTTTCAGATCCTCCAGTGGGAGGGGCACCTCGCTCAAGCTCGTCGTGATCAAAGACCGCTTCTTCCGTGCTGATGTTGCGCTCCGATCGTAGCGAGTCGCTGTATATCCGCTTGATCCGTAGGGATACTGGTTTGTGCTCGAGTTTCGGGAGATAAAGGTTTTGAAGGGCGGAAGGCAGCCAACTATGACAGCTACTTTCTCATTAGTATCTACTTGATCGCGCCTGCGATGAGAGAGAAACCTGGACGTACAGATAGATGATTCAGCGATACTCCATACTGCAAGACCGACTTGGTCCGAGTAGGCTCTTCCGGTGATTTCGACTGCGCGCACGATTGCTGTCGCGATGATGATGAATCCGACGCAGAATACGAAGCCTAGACCGATTTTCTGTTGTTTGGTGATCTTCGCTTTCCAGAGGATGCGGAGGGGGAGACCCATGACTGTGATTGTTATTATTAATGGGACTAATGAGTATTGGGGGGGGTTTGTGTCAGCGAGTCGTACTCATCAGATCGGTGATGATATCCACAGCTGTACTATAGCTGATGGAGATGACGGAGCCTCTGAGATCGGCGGGCTTTGTGCATTTTCCTGGCGAGTCAATAGATCAGTCTCTCTTTCGTATTCCCAGATGTCAAGCGTAAAATACCGAATCTGAAGTAGTCCGACGGAGGATGGCAGTTGAGCGCCGACGCAAGCCAGCAGCCAACATACGCTATGAAAGTGAATATGGAGATTGCAGCACATGCGCGACGGTACTTCGGGAGCCCGTCTGAGATCATCCAGAACAAGGCCAGGAAGGAGCCCTTGATGCTCCAGAGGACCGACCAGAAGAGTCCGATGATGACGAACTCCAGGTGAACATAGCGCAGGGCATGATATTTGATGTCTTCCCCGGTGGGCGTTAGAGTCATGTAGTAGAGGTGTGGCGCTTGGATGGTCTGTAGTACCGCGTTGGTGATGAGCAATGCCAGCCCGAACAGGACAAAATAGTCGTCTGCTAGCAAATGCTTCATGCGCTGCAGGCGGATGGCTACACGGATCGAAGTGAAGGCTACGCCCAGCGCCACACCCGTCCAGGTGATACCAATGAGACCATTGGCGGACAGGTGGGTTGCCACGCCTTGGGGAGCAGTAGAACTGCTCATGCTGGTCGCACGGGGGTCATCAGGTGGGGGAAAGGCGAGAGGTATATAGAAGAGTGCCAATGCGAAGTGGAAGGCATGGTGACGGCTCTACGATGGGTGAGACTTGGGATATGCATGTTAATTTACTCAAATCTTAGATAGGTGCACCGGCGTCATCCTTCACAGGCCATGCACATGGAGGACAAGGATCCTGCCACCATCAGAGGAGGACGGAGTTGAATGTACATGGCTAGGCTGCAGTAGACCATATCCAAGACCGAACATCGGCCGCTGGTCCAACTCCAGAGGCCATCATGGTCCGTGCTGATATGGGGGCCGTTTGTGGGCAAGTACCACACGGCTTGATCTTAGGGCCCGGATGTTCCGATAATTTATTAAAGCTCCTATAATATTACCATCTCGACGTAGTTTATCCGAAATGTTTCACAATCCCTGTCACTATACGTAGGCCCTCCTATTAGTAGTCTATATTATGCCGTATGCTCCGGATTCAAGAGCCGTGCAGCGCATGTCGTGGTGATTCGGAGGCCATCTGTCATCCTAGGGTTGTGGATCTCACGGGATACAGCAAAAAGCTATGTGAGCACAAGCCAATGGTTCACCTATGAAGATGGGGGCAATGCCAATGGAGGAGTACGGAGTGCCATGGCGCACTTCTCTTCTCTTTCTGAACTTCAGGAGAATTCCGTTTAACCTGTTAATCTAACAAAACAAATTTAATTTTGGAGAAAAAGGCACTAAACCTAAGCGAAGGGACGGACAACGGACGGACCCTTTGCCGTCAACTTTAGTCCCCCGTGCCTGCATACCCACTGGACCATGTGGAAGTTTCGGTGGAGCCAGCGTGGCCTGAGTGCTGTCAACTTTCATAATAGTTTTTCGGGAGTCTCGGGGGTGGGATGTCGTCAAAGCCACTGCCATAACCATAGGCCGAACATCAGCGCGTCTCACATGTATGGAGGTACATAATCCTGGATCAGGTACTTGTATCTGCAAGGCTTCATACATGAGGCGGACTGTACCACACTGTCGGAGCTAGTGGGATGTAAAAGTAAATTTGAGTCTGCCATTCAATATGCGCCTGGTATGATCCGAGATGCGGCATATTCCGACCTCGGTAGCAGTGAGCAGTGCCAACGTGATGTTAATTAACGACTAGACCAATGTAACACTCTTCAATTGCCCAATCAGACCTTCCTGCTTACACGAAGAAGCGATTCACTGCGAACCCATGCACAACCCCTGCACAAGTCATGTCGGTTACGTCGCTTCGCTCGCATCCGTAGCCAATAGGCGGAAGTATTTAGATTCAATCCCGACCGCAGTTCAGCTTCTCCTTCGTGAACATCTCGTGCAATAGCTCTGTTCGAACGATTGACCATGCGTTCGACACTCTGGTCACTATTGGGCCTGGCCGGGTTGGCCTACGCCAACGCCGAGGGCTCCTGTAAATGCGTGCGTCTTTGAAAGGAACAGCATCCCGGCCGATTGATACTAACCACACAGCAGACACCTGGGGACTCATGCTGGCCATCCCTCGACACTTGGAATGCGCTCAACGCGTCGGTATCTGGAAAACTCATCAAGAACACCCCGCCGGCCATTTCCTGCTATCCAGGTCCCTACCAGAACGATGCGGAGTGCGCTTATGTCTATTCGCAATGGTCCAATGAAACCTGGCAGTCGCTGTCACCCGTTGGATACATTTATCCTACCGATGACAATTGCCTGCCCGTGGATCTCAGTTCGGGGGAGAAGCCTGGGAACTGTACCCTGGGACAGGCTCCTTTGTACACCATCAATGCAACAGAGCCGGAAGAGCTAGCTACAGGGATGGCGTTTGCGAAGAAGAATAACATTCGTCTTGTTGTGAGAAACACCGGCCATGACATCCTCGGAAAGTGAGTAAGATCCCTTGCGATTTAGGGTAGTTTTAGCTCATCTGGTACTAGGTCCGAGGGTTACGGCGCCCTGCAAATCTGGATCAAGTATATCCAGAAAGGAATTACCTACCATGAGAACTACGTGCCATCGGACCAGTGTAAGCACACAAAGTGGACGGGTGCTGCGTTCACGATTGCAGGTGGTTACGTCTGGTCGGACGTCTATCAGGAGGTATTCAAGCGTAATCTGACCATCGTTGGTGGAGGAGACCCTGTAGGTTACTCCCAGATTGATATAGTACAGCTCACAGCTCAACTAACAAATTGCAATAGACTGTGGGTTGTATCGGTGGGTACATCCAAGGTGGCGGCCACTCACCCGCAAGCCGTGACTACGGTCTCGGGTCAGATCAAATCCTCGAAGCGCAAGTCATGCTGGCCAACGGCACCACCGTAACCGCCAACGCTTGTCAGAACTCTGACCTCTACTTTGCGATCCGTGGCGGCGGCGGCGGCACCTACGGCGTGGTCACCTCTGCAGTGGTGAAAGCGTACCCTTCAAAACCCGTCGTGGCGCAGTCGCTCGCCATAATGCCACTGGGGAACAACACCGATGCCCTTCTGGAAGCAATTACAGACATCCACACCGAGTATCCCGCCATCTCCGACGCAGGGTTCTCCGGGTACGGCACCTGGTCCATCAACGGCCCCATGGTACTCTTCGGCAACGAGACGGTTGGGTACGTCCATGCCGTGGCAGCGATGGGTACATCTCGCAAGCAGGCGGAGGTAGCATTTGCACCTCTGCTGCAAAAGCTGCAGAAATACAACGGCACCTCGCTCTTTGTTTCGGTCCAGTGGTATCAGTTCCCCTCGTATCCGGCCTACTACGCCGCCATGTCCGGGGCGCATCAATCCACTGGCTCGGCGAATTCGGCGTTGACTTCTCGGATGTTCGATAAGGACTCCCTGACCAAGAACCGCTTTTTCCTTCGCAAGATGATCGGTGTCATTGCCGGGGCTCCGGAGGAGTACACCATCAACAGTGTGGAACTGGTCGGTGGTGGAAAGGTGCTGACTGACGGAGAAGACCGTTTCTCGGGGGTGAACCCAGCCTGGCGCTCGACCTACATGGTCAACGTTGTAGCCCGGGGTTGGGCTGACGAGTCCACCGCTGAAGCTGTCAAGAACGATATCACCTTCAAGAAGGGCGGGGCCATGAGGGCTTTGACTCCGAAGCTGGGCAGCTACATGAACGAGGTGAGTTCTTCCGATCTCCTGAAATCATGACAAAGACTAATATGCTCTTAGGCCGATCGAAACGATCCTTTTTGGGCTACCGACTTCTTCGGTGCTAACTACAAGCGTCTGTCGTTGATCAAGCAGAAGTATGACCCGGAGAGCCTTTTCTACTGTCCAGCCTGTGTGGGCAGTGAGGCCTGGCACCAGGATGCCCTCCCTGGTAAGGCATATGGCCCTCTTTGTCACGGGAGGAAGTAGATAGTGTACCTAGGTGGTTTATTCGTTGCTGTACAGTAGCTCTTGCAATTAATAATTCTGTATTATAGATTTTAGCTCAATATTTTAGAAGAAGTACTGGACAACGTATGGCGGCTATACGGGGAGCAAGACAAATATTAAGAAATTTGTATTTGTAGCATGCACAATACTGACTAAATTAGATATAGGATACAAAGACTTTAGAAAGCAAGAAAGGGATAAAGCCATGCTAACTCCAGTGCTCATACAATGGCAATCCTCTCGAAAGAATCAACTCCTCCACGTTCCAAGGCCTCTCCTCGCATAACGCCCTCAACATACGCCTCCCCGATCAATACCCATGCATCTTTCCTGCCGACTTGGGCGTGGAGCTCACCGATTTTCTGCATCAAAGATGCAATCTCCCTCTCAGTATCGACAACAGATAGTCGATGTTGTTTCTTCTTGGTATCAGCCTTCCACTCGAAGAGGCGCGTTTCCAACTCCTCCAGCGTCGCTGTCAGGCTTTCCACCTGCAGCTCCAAATCCTCATCTATATGTCTAAACACGTAGGGAACAATGGCACCGCGTACCACCATCACCCAGTCACCACATTCCAACCAACTAGGCCCCATCCCAATGAGACCATCCTTCGTTTTAAACAAGCACCGCCAGTTCATAGCAGAATAGAAGGCGTTCTCATATCGCTGCGCCTCGGGCGAGATGGGCTGCATACCAGCCCTTAAAATGTGGTCAGACGGCCCAGGTATTCTCTCCTCGATCTTATTCCGAAGGCTCTCCATAGCCTGCTCGCGTCGCCCTTTCTTCTGCTCACCACCATCGCTATTGTTAGGCCGCGGTATGCCCTGGTCTGCTGTTCCAGACCATGGAAGATCGCCAAACTTTCTAACCAGCTGCCGGTATACGGCTAGAAGTCTTTCCAGCTGCCTCTGCTTGTTGACTCTCTTTTCCTTATGCAGGGTGAAGGCTTTGATGTCCATTCGCAAAGATGTCACCCAGTGGCGCACCTCCCGCTCAATGATCTCGCAGAGCCAGACGCGCGCACGCAGCTCGGGTGGTAGTGATGGTGGGGATCGATTCACGTTCTTGTCTGCCATAGAGCCCACTTCTGTGTCACTGGAAGAGGAGGAAGCAAGAGCGGTGGCCACCGCGTTGAAGCTCGTCCCGACATCTGAGGGGTAGGTGCAGGGCAACGCGGCCAGCATTTCGAGAAAGGGGATTAGGGCACTGATGTACTCTTCCGAATATGAGAATTCCGCGTCTAGCAGTATTTTCTCAATACGGTCGAGGGGCATCGCATCTAGATATAATGTCGTTCCATCGCGAGAGATCGTAGGCGAAGGGACCGCTCCCTGTGGTTGTCCTACTGTGCCGGCTGCAAAGACCCTGCCGCCACCACCAGCTGCCGCTGGGGCAGTAGCTAGGTTGCTGCTTACACGAGACTGTAGATATCGATGTTAGTTGAGGATCTGGTGTGCAGATTGGGGGTAATGATAGAATAGAGCGGGAGGAGTAAACTGATAGGGTACTTACTGTCCAAGAACCCAAGGCTGGGACCAAGAGGGGAGATCAGGAGTTCTACTAGGCTTGAGCTTAAGCAGCGCATCGAGACGGTCCTTGGGATCCCGTGGACGGGCCGCAATGGAGAGCAGGTCGAGACTGTGTGGATCGTTCTGGGAAAGCAGGCATGCCGCGAGGTTGACCAAGACCTCGGCTTCGCTGGCCTTATAATCGACCTCGATGGTACGCCATAATCCCTTGGGAAGGGGCACTGATGATGATGAGACTCCTCCCATGGCTGCTGGGCGTTCTACGATGGGTTGATTGCTATTGTGAGCACGGGTGCCAGGCCGGGGTGGCAATGGAGGGGGGCGAAGATCAGAACCAGCATACTCTCCTGGCTGAAGAGCCTGCTTATCTATTCTCAATGACGCGGGATTGATCAGAGACAGGCCACCAAATACAAAATCTCTTGGATCTGTAGCGTTGTGGCCCTTGCAGGTCAGAAGCCATTCGCGGAGGGTTAGCTTACGGCCCTGGGTGATGGTTTCCCGAGCCAGCAGCACGCTGGGGATGTCACAAGTGTGGGAAAACCATCGCGGCATGATGTATGCCCTCGCAATGTCCCAGTACTCCTTTGCTGGCTTCACTGCCTTCCCGGGGTTTTGGTAAGTCCATATAAACGCGGTCAGTAGGGCCTGGAGGCTAACTTGATGCTTGCCGTAGAGAAAGACAACTTCTTTCGCTAAGAAGAATTCTTGCAGTACCCAGATGCGCTTGAACCATTGCCGATTGCTTAGATGGAATGCAGTCATCGCTGGCGCTGATATGCAAGACCAGTCGTCCTTAAAGCGACTAAAGAGACCCACGGATGCGGCATCAGTAGACGTTTTCTCATCATCAATAAATAGATCAAACGGGGGTAGTTCGCTTGGAGCTTCTGCGCCAATGCCTCTAACCCAGGAAGACCCCGGGCTAGATTTGATGAGCAGTCACCGAGCCAAACAAGCACAAGATCCGCCGATTGGTATATCCTGCCCATCATTCGGACCTGGGCATTTCTTTCTGTCAGATCACTGTTCAGCTGTCAGTCATTCTGCCCCGTTGGTTTGTCTCTGATTTGTTTAATTGGGGTGGAGATGAATCCGGGTACCTTTGGTTCATGCATACCGCATCAATCCAATATTCCCCAGTTCCAGGCTGAGTCTGTCGAAACGATAGGAGAGCGTCATAGAGGTTCGACGTCACGCCCAGTCTCTTGCCATTGCACAGGATAGTCTTGGTGGTGCGCACCTGCTCTTCAGCACTGGTGTAATGCAAGTCGTACTCTTTCCCTCGATACGCCGCTTTCACCATGTCCACCGCGAGGGTGGTGCCGATACGCAGGTATGAGAGTTGTTTTCGCCAGGTGTAGGAAAGAGCCGTGTATTTGGGGTTGTCGTCAAGGCTGACGACTCGTATCGAGCAGGATATCTCATCGTTCGGCCTTCCAGATTGGATTCTAAGTAGGCGAATGTGGGATGGGCCGGGCAAGGGATGGTATTGGAAACCATCATCCGCCAACCACTTGTCCGAGCATTAGAATCTGTATCTATTTGTGGATTGAAACCATCCATAGACTAAAGACAGGTTTGCATACCGTGTGTAGTAGTTCTTTCGAGGTCCTTTGAAGATAATTTGCGACCTGGGATCTAGAACTGATTTCCATCCTGTACCTAAGTTTGCATTGCTTTCGTCGATGTTCACCTAAGCAGACAAGCAGAAGACAAAATGATCATCTTTGGAGCTTTCCTGTCTTTATAGGTAAAGACCGCAGTAAGTAAACTGGATAAAAATGGAGCAATGAGGCACTGCCCCAACATCTAAGCATGCTCTATCATCGCCTGTCAGCTGCGCGACATCTCCTGCACAGTTCTAGTCTACATAGCCACGCCATTGTAGATCTGTATGGAGTACTTAAATAGTAGAGTCTGTAGAGCTTCTCAGAAGATCGAACCCACTCAGTGCTCGGATCCCTTCTTGGCAGAATTAGGCGTCATCTGAATGTCGATCTCGCTGTTGATTTGATCTCTAGCTGCAGCGAGGTCCTTTACGGCAAGCCATTAGGACCACTGCCGAAATTCTGATACCGTATACCCAGTGGCGCTAATATGCGTGATATTTACTAATTTTATCTTGATACTTGACATAAAACTTAATGAATAATAAATGCATACCAGAAATTCATAGATATATGCATATTATTTGTTGGGGGTTATATAAGCTATGCTCCAATGCACATGGTATCAAGATTCTAGAATAAGGCAAGTTAGGGCATAACAGATATCTTCATTTTATCATCGTTCATTCAAGCTTTGCAGTAGTATGGTCAAGTTCATCTCTGGCAAGTACTTGTACTGCATAATGTCTAGACTTTTATCTTCCCAGCTATGGTACTAATTAAGAAAAAAGAAAGCTTCCAGGTGAAGATCAATCCAGTGTCATTCAAGAACCGAGATCTATTGTGCAACGGGATCAGTACCTCCAGCGATATTCACTCACTCTGTACATAACGTCACCAAAGCATGTATGATTCACTGAGAAAGAAACAATTACGTTCTTTATTCGGAAAAACAAGGCCAATGTCTTTGTTGATCCCCTAGTGGCGGTCTTGTTTCCGATGGTTTGTAGTGAATAGGGTTACCCTGGATTAGGATGCCACCAGAATGCCCTTTGTACCAATATAAGCCACAAAGAAAAGAAAGGTTGGATCACTGAACTTCATATGTTTATTCTATCAAACCCATGCTTACCGCCTTTTTCATTTCTTGTGTTCCAAGTATCTCAACCACAGTGGTCTTGAGATGATCAACACCACCACGCAGCCTCTTCGACTGACAACACCGCATCCACCACGACGAGCTCACATCAAGCCTGGAGGTTAAAGTGCCGTCTACCTTACAAGCCAAAGAAACCCTCCAGCCAAAGATGGCAACCGCCGATCCCAAAACCGCCCTAAAAGCGCTCTACGACAAAGAAAGCGAGCTCAACGCGCAGTGGGAGCGCGACATCCACGAAGCCCGCAAAAAGCACTACGAGCACAACAAAGCCTTCTACCAGCGTCGCGCCGAGCTGGCCACCGGCTGGAGCGGCGACACCCAAACCCACCACGCCCCCATCGTGGACTTCTGGCTCACAGCCCTGCGCAAGGAGCACGAGATCCGCAAGCTCGTCACGAAGCCCGACCTCGGCCCGCTGAAGTCCCTCATCGACATCCGCATCGAGTGGCTCGAGGGCTTTGATTACGTGCTGGTGTTCCACTTCGCGCCCAACGAGTACTTCACCAACCGGGTGATGCGCAAGGAGTTCTACTATGAGAAGACGGCCGAGCCGACTGGGGAACCCTCGCCGCTGGAGATGAGGGGTGATCGCATTCACTGGAAGAAGAACCATATCTTGCAGGCGGAGTGTCATGCGCGCATTGGAACGAGGTCGTTCTTTGCCTTTGTGTCGAGGTCTCTGGTGTATGGGGATGCGCAGACGGCGGAGGAGGAGACGGCGGAGGATGCGAGGATGATGGAGGACTTTGAGATGGGGGAGTCTATTAGAGATTGCGTACAGCCTTACGCTTTGGACTTTAGTTCTAAGGTGTTTGGCGTGGAGGGGAATACGCAGGGTGAAGAGGACGAGAATGTTGAAGAGGATGAGGAGGAAAGTGATGATATGGATTGGTAGATGCTGTTCTATGGTGCCGTCGAGCTTGGCGCAGGTGAGCTGGACTGGAAGGGAGCCGGGGTTGTAAATCATATTGGACAGTGGTACTGTGAGAGACAGGAGGAAGACGAAGTTGTTTAGCTAGTGAGATAATAGTCTGGAGTACACCTAGATGGTTGTCAACATGTCATGATCTGTCTGGCTCTATTGCAGTTAGATTAACCACGAAATCATCTTCAGGTTACTACAGTGCCCTCTACGTGTGTAGCAAGCGAGAGGGTAATCAATGTATTAGAATCGTGTGCCTATCCAGTAAGCAAAGCGAAACTACTGTTCCCTATCGAAGAGAGGAGAATGAAGGGATCACTCCGACCTTTTCTCAAATGACGCACCCCAGGCCATCCAAAATATCGCAGATATTTCTTGAGCCATGGCCGGGCTTAGAGTCAAAGGACATCGTCCATAACCAGTGCCTGCACGATTTAGGATTCCAGAATCCATCAAAGGAAAGCCAAATGACATGAATGCCCTAGATGAAAGTACTTCGTAGCTTTTCCACCGCTTTGGATGCATCGCTTGAAGGGGAAACTCAGAGGTAGCTTTCACTACTTCAGGCATTTTGGACGGATCCAGGGTGTTGATCCAGGGTACCACTTAAGGCACTTTCCATTGCAGCACATCCATTGATGTTCTCCGCTAACTCCGCAATCCCACCACTGTTTGCAGGCTGCGTCTGTCGGGACACCCTGAATACCGGGCTCCTCACTAGCCTTGTCATCAGACCTATCTTCCGGCGAGCGATAGCGTCTCTTGTCATGCTGCGTCTCGCTGCGGTCGTCGACGGCGGGTTCAGCCTCGTCCGGGGTTTCGGGGGTTTCCTTGTCGTCCGTGGTGGCTTCAGGATCTTGAATTGGGGGCTTCGGGGGAACCCGTCTGCAGTCATACACACTTTGACAGTAACCGTTGCAGCAGAGGTCTCCAGGACGACAGTCCGTAGCCCAAGTGCAAGTCTGAGCATTGCCGATGACCTCGGGTTTGGGCGGAACGTGCTTGCAATCTCCGGTTCTGTGACAGCGGCCCTTGCAACAGAGTTGCTGATGGGGGCAATCCCAGTCCCACTTGCAGACGACGGCTAGAGTGTCTGGAAATGAGTCCGAGATGAGTTCGGCGTTACTATTGGCGGTTGGGATGGACGCCACCAGGGCGGCGTAGAAGAAGAGGAGTACATGGAGGAGCTGCATGGTGGTCAGAGAGGATCTCCGTTAGTCAAGTGTATTTAGCGAGGGAATGATGAGTAAATCGGATGATAGGCTATAGAAAGGAAAGGAGCGACGATTGAGAAGTAAGGATGGGATAGACTGTGGTAAAGATGGACTAAATAAGGAGAAATGTTGATGCCATTTCACCAGAGCCAGCTGGTATGTGAATAGAAACTGGTATGTGAATATCAATACTCCTCCTCAGAGGCATATTAGGGGAATGGTTGAGCATCCTCTATAGGCATTCGGTCAAGATGACTCGGTTCACATCCCTGAAAGACTGTCCTTCACTCTGAAGCACCGAGTCAGAGCCGAGATGAACGGCATTCATAGTATACTAATGCCTGTACCTGTATGACCTGCGCGTACCCAGCCCAATCATCGTGCTGCGGTTGCGTTGTGAATTGCGAATCTATACTCTCGGAGCCTCTCTCCAGCCTGTTAGACTCAGGGTTGTCACCGGCGCCACGGCGAGTTTAATTAGGGAGCACAAAGGGCACCAATGAGCGGGTTAGTGGCATGGTCGACTCATCCTCCTGCAATTTTATTCTTTGTTTTCCATGTCACGGCTTGCCGTATGGCGCATGTCGATTCCCTGCGTCAAGTGAAGATCAGAAGGTCCAAGAGTTCATATCCGATGCTGCTACCCCTCTCGTCTTGAAGCCTTGTGGTGTTGTACAACAATACTTCGGACTGGGGAATCATATAATATTGAAAGCCATGACTACAAAGCCACGATTACAAAGCCACTTTTGATGGTCAATGGCCTTTGAAGTTTTTCTTTTCTTTTCTTTTTTTTTTATCTTCCATTCCTTTGGTGTATTTGCTTCCTATTGTTTATCCATTTCTTGATCTTTGCCAGACTCGACTGAATGAATAGCGTGTGTATCTGGCCCCACCTGCCGACCTGTTCCACGACTGCTGTTGATTAGGCTTATCTGGATCTGGCTCGTTGATAGCTTGGAAGTCTTTTAGGAGCGGACAGTTCGAAAGAGGATTACCGTTTACATGGCTTGGTGACGATTCGACGACGACTCAATGATGATTTGATGGTGATGAACGAGATGAGACGAAAGAGTCGGCTCAATGAAGAGATATTGAGCCTGGTCCCTCAGACTTATGATAGAAGTGCTACCATTTTGTTATCTGATCGAGATACTATCCAAGGGTATTTCTTTCAACGTCCTCCAGTTGTACTTCGCCTTTACCGATACGCTTTCAGCAAGCTTGCGTCCAAGCTGGTTAGCAACTGGCAGACAAGACATATCACCAAGGGTTGAGATGCTTACGCTATACTCGAAAGCGTCTTTGGCGTCAGTCGTACCAGACTCATTCCCATCAATACGAGATGCGGGTTCATAGCATCAAAGCGTGAACCAGACCTTTAGCATAAGTCGACTGCTCAGATAGTACTACGAACAATGCAGACATAGCTCAGGGCGACCAAAAAGCCGGCTGAGAGCCGTCAATCGCAAGAGGAAAAGCCCTTTCATCTTTGTTTTCAACAAATGACCAGGTGCGAGCAGACCCACTACTGGGTTCAGATGTAGATCGTTGAGTCAAACATACTCCGGAGGAAACGAGCTCTCCTTCTTTGACCGAGGTTTGCTTTACTGAGAATCGAAGGATTGAAGGTAACTATCAGGTATACAAGCAGCAATGATAGCCAGATAACAAAGTGATCTATTATGATATCACCAGGTATTCCTCCAGCTCGGTGTTTGCTTCGGCGTTTGGTTCAACCGAGGCCATAGTAGTCATCGGAAATATATTCACTATGACGTGTTGACTGTAAATTCCCTGAATTAAGACATGAGAGGGAAAAGTTGGCCGGTGCGATAGCCAGAATGTCATGGTTTTGTCATTGGTGGCGAATGGCTTCCCGGCTGAAGTCATGTCCACTTGATATACCCTAACAGCTCGAGAAGAACTAGAGACAAACAATCCACCTTGAGATATATTGAATAAAAGACACAGCGAAAAGATAAAACGTCATCATCTCGACGAGTCTCCTCACAAACCTCATCATTTCAATCATCACCATGCCAAATGTAACCCTCGGAAAGGGCGCATCGCCCGCAACCAGGTAATAACCCTAAACCCAAATTCTCATCCTTATCCTGAGTATCTCAAGCTGATATATTCACATAGAACCCGCAATACAGCCATCCTGAGCATGTTCGCCGTGATTGGCGGTACCTGGCTCGCCTTTAGATCGCTTTCGCCACGGAGGAGCCAAGCATCGGTGTCCGAGGGGGATCGACAAGCCATAGATGGCGAGATCAAGTTGGGACGCGCAGAAGTCGTCTCAGAAGCCGATCGACAGACGATGAAGGGGGGCGAACCTGGTGAGAAGAAGGTGGGACGTGCGCCACATAAGGGACTTACGACTCCTTGACATATTGTAAGGTTTACTCTCAACTGTCAATTTCTAGTTGTATTTGCATATGGATAGACAATACCGAAAACCCAATGGAGATAGCATTATGGATTTAGTTTCTAAGAGTTAGGGTTCTTGTAACTCGAGGGGGACAGTCGACAATGCATGAATAGTAGTGAACTGAGTGTTGGTCGTTCAATGACCGTATCTAATACATCTACGAGTCCGAGTACAACGGAAGATCGTATAGTGCATGCATGTAATACTATATACCATTCCCAACGCATATACCTGCGTAACCTCTGAGCCTCTGATTAGCTACCTTCATGCCCAATAGTACAGCTACCATGCCAGCCCGAGAGCCGGGTTCAACTTCGCTGCAACAATCGCTCCGATCCACCGCAGGTCGGATGCAGTTCGGAGTCCGATTGCAACTCGAGCTGGGTTCAACTCAAGCCTCGGCATCGCCAGACACTCGAGCATCACCGAGTCCGTCCAGATCACCTGAACCCAACTCCATACAAACCCTAGAAATACATCGTAAATGATAATACCTCGAATGTTTTATTTCCTTTATAAGGCCTTGCTAAAGCTAAGTAGCATGAATATTGTTCACGATTCCCGTATTAGTCCGGATATACATGTCTTGATGGTTCAGAAGCTATGCTACATATATTTTACCAAGAGCAGTATTTCGTATAGTATATATCCTGACGCTAAAATCTGTCAAAAGTTCCCAAAGACTTCAGAAAGAATACTAAAAACATATTCACCCCTTGCGCTTACTTCTAGCGTTCTTCTACGTTTTTACTTATAGGATTACACATACTCGAACAGTTGTAAATCAACCCCGGAGCAGAAAAGTCCCCGAAGGGTTGAACCCCAACCATTACCAACAATTGACTAATGATTAATCCCACCAATGCCGATAAATAACCAACTACACTAACACTAACTAACTAACTATTTTAAGATAATTGGTTCTGCAAAGTAAGCAGACATTCGGACCGAATCGCCGAGAAGGCTAGGCCCTGCCTGGGTTATGAATATCCTGGTGGGTCCACTCAGCCATTGTTCGCTTCGTTACATCGTATATCGACTTGATAGTTTTCAAAGATCAACCTTGTGAATAAAGATCACGATATACGGACGGATTCTTAGGTATAAATTGCTCCCAGGAGTTAGTTAATTGGGGGTTGACTTACTAAATGGTTGTCACTCCGGTTGCCTGAGGCAGCTACTTCCTCGCTACAGCCAGGGATCCGCTGGCTGCCAGGCTGCCCAACGGCCTACAAGTATATAAACCTATATAATACGTAGTGCTCTAACTATACCACACTCATAACCAAGCAAGACATCGATATCGCATTTAACACACGATAACCCAGCACAACCCCCCCGAAATGCCTAAAAACAGTGAGGACCAGAATGTCCTGTACAAGCCTGTGGCAGGTGGTATATCTCATTCTCATCCGGAACAGTTCATATATATGAGCGAGAAACTAACAATACCAATAGAAGACGATATCAGGAGTATGGGCACCGTCCAGGCTGTTCTCACCCCGACTGGAAGCCAGGAAACCCTTATATATGAGGAGAGTTCTATTTGGTAGAGCTAGGGTTCTGATCTAGGCTCTGATAAGTTTGGTGATAGATTGAGGACTAGAATAACGGAAAGACGATGGCTATTTCTGAGAAAGGTACTGTTGGTCTTGCTTAGTAGATCTTTGGTAAGGGGAGAGCCATGTATTCAATTTAAGTACGCCCCTTGTCTGTAGGAGGTCTTGGTAATTGGGTCTACGAATAAGCTTATTTCGCTTTCTGGGTAGTTATAGTTATTATGTCGTTTGAATTATTACTCAATTAGAGTCTGTACTGTGTATACCCGATTATCTAGGCAGACAAGCTGTTAATCCGCTGTGGATAATGTCGATCATGAAGATCAACAGTCGATCACCCGAGTCACATCGATGCCAAACCAAGCTTTAAAAGCCGAATACATTAGTTCAAAATGGTGACGCTTGTACTCATGACAATTACACTTGATACAAGTGAATAAATATCTCCAAATTAATAGTTTAATTAAATCTCCGAACGTCATCCGCCACGAGCTAAGCGCAGGCCCGACCCTTACAAGGCTATGATACCCGCCAAAGCTCCCGCAACAGCCAGAACACCCGCATTCAAACCCGGCACGCTAGCCGCATTATCAGTCGGCTTAACAGCAACCGACGATGCCGTACTCGAAGAGCCACCCGCACCAGAAGAGGCAGAGCGCGACGAACCACCTGCACGAGAAGAAGAACCAGCGGCAGAAGAGGCAGGGCCCGACGAGCCACCCGCAAGAGAAGAAGAACCAGCGGCAGAAGACGAACCCCCAGTGGACAGGGTAGGGGCAGCGGTAATCAAAGTACTACCGGTCTGAGTAACGGAAGGAGCGGCTTCGGTAGCGGTGGTCGAGGAATCGGCATCCGTGGCCGAGGCCGAGACGGCGGACGTGGACGGCGCAACCTTGCCGTTGGGACCCCAGCCGGGGAGGTAGCTCGGGGTCAGGGTCTCGGTGCCGGTGTAGGCCGCGCACCCGGGCTGGTTGAGCTTGGGGGGAGCGCGACCGCCGCCACAGTCGGGGAAATCGCAGATCTCACCGGTGTCGGGCACATACCAGATCATGCTGCTTCGCCCCATTGGTTGACGGTGGCGGATTTGGTGCAGCCGTCGAGATCGGTGCGGGCGGCAGCGAGGCCGGTGAGGGTGAGGAGGATGGGGAGAGTAATAGACTTCATTGTGGTGGGTGTATTGAGAATGAATGAATGAATGAATGACTGGACGTTGGAAAGTAGAGTAAAGGAGTGGTAACCGGTGAGGGTGGATTAAAGAGCGACGGACAGTGAGTGAGTGATCCCCCTGGAGGCGAGAAGTGGACGAGGAGAAAGGGGAATAGCTTCTATATACTCCTTGATTTTTGGTCCCTGAACTCTGTCAAGCCGCTAGCAGCCTAGAGCCCCCAAGTCGCCGCCTACGGAGTATACCGACTGAGTTTACTAGCTTCATGATCCGCCCCACGCAGTCGGTGATGCTTAACCTCTCTTGGGGTGTGCCCTCCTCAATCGGTCATCGCCCCTCTGCCACATCTCCTGCTGGGTCCTGGGGCTAACCTTGACCGGGTTAGGGCTAACCATGAAACTTCTTCCTCTCCATCAATGAAATCGTTGCTGCTTTGGCCAGAACCCAAGTGGTGGAAATTAAGCACCCACTAACCATGGTCAGAGAGCAATAGTGAATCTATTCTAATCTCCGGAAAACTCAGCTACTGGCCCTTCTTGTTTGCCCCAACTTAAATCTGGTACGAAGCTGTTGCCCTGCGCCCCCAGCTGACCTTCGTTCTCAGTCCTCAGTGTACCACTAATAGTCACGTACACCGTCTTAATTCACTAAGCAGAGAGCCTAGGCTTGCGGGAGGTAAGATACCCAGTACTCCAATCAAAAGGGTGCCAGTTTCAGCACGCCAGCTTCATTTTACCCTTGTTTCTTCTTTCATGCGATGCACCCCTTGACTCCGACTCGCCCTTTGCTGAACCTCGCTCGACATTGAGTTTTCAGAACATCCACCGGGCTACTGTCAAGGCCAATGGCATCAATTTTGTCTTCACCCGGCTCTGGAGATGGAGGCGCGGCGGCAACAATAGGAGGTGGACGTTGGGTGGAAAAGCAAACGGTACCACCTTTTCTTCCGCCGGTGCTTCGAGTTGCTCAGCTAAAGCTTCGGCTCGTGCTATCGCTCGCACTCCACGGCCGTTTCATCTGTACCCACTGGATCATCCCCTCCCGGGGGTCGTGTTTCTGATCCCGCATCACCGTCACCTGACGGCAGAGCCAGCCGTCTGCAGGAGTAGGCTACGGCCCATCGTCACATCCCAGGATGAGAATCCCGGGCCTATGTCTAGGACTCCGACTGTATAATAGGATGATATGCCGATTGACGGCCTGCAGGGATCCCCGGTTCCAATAGATCTCAGCGCTGTTCCGGACTGTTTAGCATACCTTGTGCGCTCGATAGATCCCGCCCAGAGTTCCCTATTCTTTACATGGGAATAATTGAGTCTTTCCTACATGGAATGTCTGTTATTATTTGACGGTGCACGTTCAATAATTGATCCGCACTTGTATGAAGCAGACAGCACGATGCAGTCAAAGGCCACATAATTTTATCCTCGTGCAAGGCTGTTGCGCGAGGGTACTTTGGTGGTCACATGAGTTCCTGAACCATGACAACTGCACCTAAGAGGGTGAGGAAGGGGTGACAAGGGTATTTAAATGAAGGGCCAGGAATCCAGCTGTGCTGCTGACATTTTCGGCGTTGTGACCCCGGGGATCTGTGGGCTGGTCACCAGCGCACAAAGTGCATGAGCCGATACAAACCAGGCTGTGTAGCTCTTTGAGAGATTTCCTTTTCTTTGCTGTTGTTAAAGGGATACAGCAGTATTTCACCAGAACAGGATGACTGGGCACAGCTTGTGATGGGGCATCCAAACAATCAAGAAATTCTGCTGGGATGGATGCAGAATAGACATAGAGTAACTCAGCCACTCTGTCAGGTGTAGCGAGAACCGTGACCTTCAATAAGAACCGAATTAACTTGATTTCACAATTCGACCGCGTATCATGACCTACCTCAAAGGGTCGGGCTGTACCATGGCTCATCTGCGTTGGCCCTTGACAAAGCGAGTGTGGTTGTGTCGCGTGCGATCCTTCTGTAAGCTGCCGCGGCGTCTGGGCGAGGGCAATCAAAATTGTGACCATGTAGGGATCTTGAGCAGGATCCAGGGGATCAAGCGATCGTAGCTTGATCTGACGCAGATTGTTTAAGACGGGGTTCTCAGTTCTTCTGCCGTGCTCCCTTTTACGGAGGGATCGGATTGTCTCGAATGTAATGTAGGCGAGGCTTGGAATTGTAGAGTCCCGGGAAAAAACGCGATCAATTTGGATCTCAGCGGCTTTGCGGTGTCCGAAAGAGAATGACAGGTAATTCGAGCTATCATTGGACCAGCATTGTTATTTAGCATCGTAGGAGTTAGGTGCGACTTTACGGGAGACACTGTAGATCGTGGAAGCGATTGTCACATCTGATCTCTTCGCTTCCAAGGTTCCCGGCGCAAGAAGTTGGGCGATCGCAAAGATGGGATTTGTGGTGGGCTGTCGTTTACGCAGAGTCTTTACCACTGACTTCGACGGCGGGGCTCCTCTCTTCAATCGCACTTCCTCGCGAGCGAAGGTACAGTTTAGGAGTTGCAGCTGTCTCGAGGTCCAGGAGATGGGTGGGACATAGAGCCGTTCTCTGCTGGTCTGACGCAGAATGCTTTGAATTGAATTCTTCGGAAGCTGGCGTTCAAGGTCGTCGGTAGCTTTGCGCTTCATATGCAGATCCGACACATGCGAGTCCGGCCTTTCATCGATGAAATCCACCATGTTTACTGCGTCCGCTTCATGAGAACGCAACGCATCGGGGATACCACGAGGGAAGCGATTTGTCTTGTTTGCTTTGTTAGACCTCGGGTGGGTCTGCCGCAGAATGTAGTACTTAGTACTAAGTACTAGTATTCACCTTGATAGGCTTCCGATGCTGCCGGTGGAGTCATAACTTGAAATCATTCCAATTCAGTCGTCCCTATGGAGAACCAAGAAACAGTGGAGGTTACCGGGCCGCAGATCATGTGACTCTCCCTACGATGAGCAGGCCCCATCATGTGTATATAACAACATTCTTGTTCGGCTTTCAGCATGAAGAGGTGGTCGCTTGGGAATTTTCCTCGCCACGCTTCTCACCATGGCCTCAATATTTCGCCTGCCATCCCGACTGTCTAGGCAGTTTTTCCCTTGGCGTCCCTTGTTTCCACGCCCTGCGTCGCCAGTACGCGAGTTCTCTCAGTTCAATTACCCTCTCCTCGATTCAACAGAGAAGCTCGAGGAAGAAACGCTGCCATGGTATTCCCCTAATGACTTCTATTCCGTGAAAATCGGCGAGGTATTTCAATCGAGGTATCAGGTGATTGGGAAATTGGGCTACGGTGGATATTCCACCGTTTGGCTGTGCAGGGACCTACAGTCGGCGTACCTCCCAATCAAGTAGCGATGCGAAAAAAACTCACTTCGTTCTAGGCAGCACGATTATGTCACACTGAAAGTCTTTGAGCGCAATTCGGCAGAAGGCCGAAGAGAAATAGAGACCCATCAGCACTTGAACTCCCTCGGCAAAGTAGATCATGCGGGTGCTAAGCTTATCCGCAAAGCGTTGGATAGCTTTCAGATTACTTCTAAGGAGGGCACTTTCGGATGTCTTGTTCATCCCACCTTAGGAATGAGTCTCTATGACTTCCGCACTCAGCTCAGAGCCAAGGTCCTTCCCGAAAAAATCGTCAAGTTGACCCTGATGCATCTCCTTCTTGCTCTTGATTACCTTCACACAGAGGCTGGAATCGTCCATACGGGTATGATTCCTCACTATCCATCTCCTGAAAAGCCTTCTAACCGAGTTGTCTCAGATATTCAAGAAAAGAACATTATGATGGCTCTTGAAGACCCGTCGATCTTAGCCGATTTCGAAGAGGAAGAGAAATCTAGTCCTAGCCCGCGGAAAATACTCGGTAATCGAGTCATCTATGCTTCTCGAAAGCTCAGGAAAACCAAGCAACATGGCCGTCCTACGCTGTGTGATTTTGGTCAGGCTCGCCGTGGGTCAACTACTTACCAAGGGGATATCCAGCCATATATTTACCGGGCTCCCGAAGTGCTATTGCGCATGCCTTGGGATGAAACAGTTGATATCTGGAATGTCGGATTGCTGGTATGTCTTACAATGAGTAGCGGACATTTCCCTTTGCTAATAGCTCGCATAGACATGGGATCTCTCCCAACAAGGACATCTGTTCTACGGGCGTGATTCGGACAAGAAAGGCTCCGATGGCCATCATATCGCTGAAATGATTGCTATTATGGGGCCACCACCGAAGGAAATGATACAGAATAGTGTCTATGCGACCGAGTTCTTCGATGACGAAGGTATATATGAATCACGATCTTCCCAGAGTGTTATGCTGATACTGACTTAGGGAGTTGGAAGGGAGCCATTGAAATCCCTTCTATGTCGCTGGAGACGCCTGAAGGAAATTTGGAGGGTGAGGCGCGGCTGCGTTTCCTCCAATTCCTGCGCAAGATGCTCAAATGGAAGTCCGGGGAGAGACTGTCGGCAAGAGAGCTCTTGGAAGACCCTTGGCTATGGTCACAGTAACAACTGTGACTGCTCGGTGGGTAAATCCGAAATAACAGTCGTAGGATCTACATGATGTGACTATGCCGTGCTTACTTTGACTATAGGTGATATCATATTTTGTTACGTATGAAATGGAGTTTAGATAGAAATATAGAGACTATAATATTCTTTACCCTTCCTTAATTGAGGCGGCAGGCTTGGCTCTGTAAGTTTTCATTAATCTGCTATGTAAAGTGTAGTTAGCTCAGCTGACTGATTATAGATTGGTCTGTGCTTGTTCCTCGAACCGCCCCCGGTACAGACGAGATGGGAAGTGGGCGATCACTCTGGCACGCTGGATCATAACAACTTGCAATTATAAAAGCGAGGTGTAGCGCTACAAACGTGCCACTTTTAGAATGAATGTGCTGGGCTATGATTCACATTGCGAACCGCCTCCGTGGGAACGAACTTCGGAATGTCAAAAATACGCTCAAATATGAGAAGAACAGCACGTTTCCGCTTTCCCGACTGCGGATAAGCGACAGTAGCAAGAGCTGGTAATAGGAACGTCAGCGGAACCGACGGCAATATCGCGCTGGACCTGGATGCTGAGAGCTTCATCGAACTTGCCCAAGCGCACCAGGCACTCATGCAGCCCGTGTAAGCCCCAGACATTATTCAGTCGCGCCTTGCGACGAGGAAAATCTTTCGCGAGCCCCAGGTCCTCTCGGAAGACCTGCTCTGCCTCTTCGATACGGTTTTGCTCCAGCAGCAGCCCCCCCAAGGCATGACGCACGGGCTGCATCCATGGCGGCGGGTCCGAATAGGGGAGCGCGTCTTCCAGCTCAATCGCTTTTCGAAGGTGGGCAAACGCGGCCTCGTGGTTGCCCTTGCGATATTCTAGCTCGCCACTGAGCATCTCCGAACCGACCTTGAGAACGTCGACCTCTTTACAGGGGATGCTGTTCAGCCGGGAAGGCGGGACCGTGGCACGCGCCGCCTCAAATTGTTTCTGGGCAGCCTCTGCTTCTGAGACGCGGCCGAGGGCGCTGAAGGCGACACCGCGTGCGTACAGTATGTTGGCCGTTGTTGCGCAGTACACGGCAGGGTCAGCGGGAAGCTCGAGGCGTAAGATATCCTCCCAGCGACCAAAGCGGACATACACATGGGCTAAGTTTCCGAGAAAGCTCTCGGTCCAGTCCGCCATCGGAGGGCTAGTGCTTGTTAACACATTGATATCGATAATCTGTTCGAGCTTCTTCGCCGCCGATAGCGATTCTTGAAAGCGGCCCGAGATGAAGGCCGCATACAGCTTGGCACAGATGTTGTGCACCCGATACGCTACGTACAGGGCTGACCCGCGCTCGCGGTTGAAATACTTGTCATCGGCGATGATGGCCTCCTCGTTGGAGTCGACCGCGCGGCGATAATCACCAACCGCCATGTCGATATGCGTAGGCATGTGCAACATGTGGGCGGCATCTGGCACCAGGCGACGAAGCCGGTCGGCAGCTGGTAATGCTCGCTCTGAGATTGGCGACATTTCCATCAGATGAATGTAGAGATGGCAATGGGCCGGATGGTCGCGACCTTCGATGCTCTGTGCCATTGCGGATTCGATCACCATCTGAGCCTCCACGGTGTGGTCGCCGCTGGGCTTGCCGGTGTCCAAATCCCAGAGTCCCCGGGGGCTGATGCACATGAGCGCTTCGCCAAATAACGCGGACACATCCAGGTCGCTACTGTAGGCTTGATACACCGGTCGCATCGCGGCCGCATACGCACGGTCCAGCGGCCCCATGTCGGACGGGATCTTGTCGGACGGTGGGAATCGGGCTGTGAGCGCTTTGATTAACTCCCGTTCCACGGGGGTGGCATCGCTCGCCAGCTCGGTGGCCCGTGTCAACGCGTCGTTGGCCTTTTTCACTGTGTGCTGACGGTCTGCCATGTCGAAGAAGTGCCATGCCTTGTTGTAGTTCGGACCGACCGCATAGGCGATCCCCCAGAACGCCATGGCGCATTTGGGGTCGTGTTCGGTGGCCCGCTCGAAGCAGCGCTGCGCCTCATCATGGTTGAACGAATAGGCCCAGAGAAATCCGCGGTTAAACCAGAGCTGAGCTTCTGGCGAGGATGTGGTCACGGAACGCCGATGCGAACCGAGGTTATAGTACGCTGCGGATTCCCTAAACGTCTGTCAGACACGGTTTCTCAGCACGATACACAAACTCCGAAAGCTCACGGCATCTTGAATATTGCCAAGGGGGAAAAACCATGGAGCAGCGGGGGGAAGACGAGAGGCGAAGATGACGACGATTTATGAACGTTGTCGATCGGCTACGGTCGGGCAGCTTCCCCTCACTCCTGCTGGTACGTCTCCGATTGGGCCCCCTGCCATCGCCGTTCTGCCAGGCTTCCGTTCGCCGAATTCATCTGCACGTTCAAGGATCTATATTGGATGGTTCTGCGCCTGGTCATATCCTGATTATACAACAGATCACATTCGATAAATGAAGAAAGGGAGTGATCAGAAGAAGAGGAAGAAAATGAGAGAAAGAAGGAAGAAAAAAAAATAAAAAATAAAAGATGTCCGTCCCTGTTGCGCCGTAATGGCTATACCCAACTCCCCGACGTGATCAAGTCCCCAGTGGTGCAATGGATAAGTATGTTTAAATCTGGGCACACACACTCGTATTACCCATGTACCATCCATGAGGTTCCATGGTGACTTCCTTGGTACCCAAGTTACCAGCTTCATTGTTGATTCCCTCAATCACCTGGATATCAGACTTCGTCACCGACACGCCATTGGGCGACGTGATCCAGTATTCCGGCGAGGACTGACTGTACTCGGGGACTAGAAGCTTCAGGGGCTTCTGCCGGGACAACCGGAAGAGCACCTTGGGTACTTCGTCGCTGGTGTGGGTGATGCGATAGTTCTTGCCGGCAGTTGACTGGGTGATGTACTCGGCGAACGCCTTATTACCCACGGATGGGGCGCCGAAGGAATACTGATCCTTTGTTAGCCTTCGTCCTTTGTCTTCTCTACTGACGGGAGGGCTTACCAAGTCGACCGTATGTCCCGCATTCCGCAAGGTAACAGCTCCCAGGGTAGCCAGGGCGCCACCAAGACTGTGTCCCGTCAGGACGATCCGATAGTCCGGGTTCTCTTGCAATGCCTCCTCCACCTTGGGCAGGAGAATGTCCATAGCGCTCTGTGCTGCTGACCAGAACCCATGGTGTGCTCTGCATCCCTTGCAGGCAGTCGATGCGTCCGTTTGTAAGAAGTCCAAGTCAGCATTGCTGTTCGCATGAGAGACAGTCCCACGGAAGCTCAAGACGATGTATTTGTTCGTGTGCTCCAGAGCGAGGTATCCGGTGGTACCGCCAGGCTTGATCCTATCGCATCCAATGTGTCAGATTACCTTCCCCCTACCCGATCTGGCTATGCCAAAGGGAATGCCGGAACTCACTCCTCAAATCCATCAATGATCTGCGTACTCGATTCGCGGATGGTCTCGCAAAACCCCGAATCGCAATAGACAGCCGACCCCGTCGAGGAGGCATTATGGTTCGCCTGGCAATTGGCCGCAGCCGAGAACTGCGAGAAGCGGTTGAACTCCGTCAGAAGAGATGGAGAGATATCTATAGTGGACTCATGAGCATTGCCGACCAAGCCTCAGCGAAACAGGCGTGGTTCGTTACCTCTGCGATACAGTCTATTCAGAGTAGCTCTAGGCACCGGATGGGCAAGGGTAGGGCAGATCACCCCGAGAAGAAGAAATAACAACGCCAACATGTTGTAAACAAGGGGGTATCGTGTAGATAATGAACGGACGTCCTGTAGACTGGGTATCTTGGAGAAGTCTGGGTGAGTCCTTTTGCTTCACTCTCCAGCTCCTACATATTTATATCTGGAATAAGCAGTCTGAGGATGATCACCATCCAGGGGAATTGACCCTCGGAGGAATCCGAAATCCAGTCTCACCCCCGGCCGGCAATAAGCAATGAATTCCTGACCAATATCACTCGTTATCACTACTGCCGAGTCATGCTGTAGGGGTTTTAGGTCCAGGTTTTAGTGCTGACCGGCCTCTGCTCTCATATCTGCAGCGCCCCCCAGCCTCGTCTACTTGGCCAGTGGGAGGAGGAACGGCCCCCCGTCCCTTGCAGATTCTCGCAATAGCACCACCCACCTTGCGTTGCACCAGGGAGACTAAAATCTCACGAGTCAGACTTCGCATTCCATTCTGAGCACCACCGACCACAGGTCAGTCAGCATTTAGTGGTCATACACCGAAATCAAATACTACCCTTCCAACATAGAACCAAAATCCAGGTGATACGATCCCATCGCCTAGAGCCGACGGTAGTGGGTCTCGGGCTCACCCCTAAAATCCCTGCAGTCAGCACGACAGCTCCAACTTTCCAATCGGGGATTTTGGTCTCAAGCTAGTGCTGATTCTGCTGCAGTGCGCTGTAGTTTATGACCTGCTTCCTGTGGCATGCGGGATGATCAGATTGGATCTCACAGACCTGTACTAGTAGCTGCTAGTATCTTATCTCTGCCGGCGCTCAGGGTTATGTATGGGTACTGAGTGCTAGTATTATTCGGTGCAGTGTGCATAAATAAATAATTGTGTAGATTAAAGAAGTGATCAATATGAACAATGCAATTTACTCGAGACTCCCAGTTCCAATCATGCAGAATGCCATCCATGTCCATAGTCCTGCTCTCTCGCAAACCCTACATAACCCAAGAAGTGCACATACCATGTAAATACGACCCAAACAGGCCAACGGCCATATACCCGTACCTGCGAATCAAGCCTTACTCTGATTCCGGAGAACAATATTCATGTACCTGTTCCAACCCCCAGTTAGCCCCAGATCACACAAGAAGAGCGATAATAACGAAAGACCGAAACTCACATGCTCATGCCCACCAACGCCATAAAGACCCCCAAAATACTCTGGCGCATGATGACATGGCGGCTCGCGGCCCAGCCCAGCCCCACGATAATGCAGGTCTTCAATTGCCCGATGACGGTACTGCTTACCGGTCCTGCGGCGTCGATGATGTAGAACCCGGAGAGATTGACTAGACAGGCGAAGATGCCGCTCTGATCGTTTGGAAGTCAGTCATGTCAGCGGACAAGTACCGCGTTGGGATTAGGGATAGGATAGGATAGGATAGGATAGGATAGGATAGGGATACCCACCATCAAGATAAGAACCCAGGTCGACCCGGGCACGAATGAGACTGTCGGGGGTGTCTCGATCCAGGGGATGGTGCAGAGGAGCAACCCTGCGCTGACGGGCGCTTGGTTGAGGAGTAGCTGCATGCTGCTCATCTCGAGTTTCTTGTGGTAGTGGCCGATCCACACCGTGTAGATTGCGCTGGCGCCCACCCCGGAGAATGCGAACAGGATTCCGGACAACGAGGTGGTGACTTTGCCGTCGGTTGTGGGGAGGCTGTCGTAGTATGACACCATTCCTACGCCGATGCAGAGGAGGATGAGTGGGAGGATGGCGGCTCGCGGGACCCGGGCCCCGTAGAGCAGGTAGTTGAGCAGGGCTGTGACTGGGGTGAGGAGCAATCGGGCCAGTTGGTGGAACATGACGGAGGAGTGCGCAAGCCCTAGGTTCTGGAGGATCACTTGGACGCCCATTGCTGCGGCGAGGGGGAGCATCTGGATGATTGCGACGCTTTTGGGGACGAAGAAGCCGCACCAGGGGCGCGATGCGGCCCATAGTGTGGCACCGGTGACGAAGAAATGGTATGCGGCGAATGATACTTGGCAGTTGCGGAAGGAGGGGTCTGAGAGAATGGATTTGTTTGTGAATACCTGTTGGGATATGTGGGTGAGTGTTTGCAATTGGCGAACAGAGGTGTGTTTACCGGGCTTACAATGGCAACGGTGGAGAGGATGTTGATCCCAGTCCAGATGATGAAGCTAGGTCCTGGGATCAATCGCTCCGTAGATTCCTCGGAGTCATGGTCACTGGCGTATTCGATCTTCTCATCTGTGTCGTATTTCACCGGTGACTTGATCAATAGCCCTGCTTCAGGATCCTCGGCCTTTTCTGATGTGTAGGTCATACTTGCGGTTGACCTGATGTAAGTGTGCATGTATACTGGAGATCCATGCAGCTTGGAAGGCAGAGATACAGGTGTGCAATAGCTATATAATCAGATATACTGGGGCAGTGCACTGTCAGACGAAGTTGCAGCGCATACATCACCACTGGTCGAGAACCTGGGGCGAGTATGGCTTGATTATGAATGGGCCGAATGCTACCTCAGGACCGCCGCTCTGGTCAGGGGACATTCTCGGTTCCTGTTTTCGCTGATCCAGTAGTCCATGGATTGATGGGTCGTTCGCTGTGCGTCCGGATGCCGGTAGAGACCTCGACGTCGATGACCCCGGCTAGATGTGAAACACCATGACAACAAATAAAGCTGCATGACGCCCGTCTATCCTGATCCCGGGATGAGTTGTTTAAAGATGACACCTAGTGTTGCTCAGTTTCCAGCAATATCTTCTGAGCTCTGGAAGAGAAGTTCTAGTAGGCATGTTGCCATTCTTTTCTGGGCCGCATTTGGCATTGAATGATATGGAATCCGCATTCGGAAATGTAGTAGCATTGGCTCCACTCACACATAGGTACGATACTACGTCGCTGAGATGTTGAATTACGAGTGAGAGGACTACACGCAATCTGTTATACAATCAGGTCGTCATAAAGGAGGTCCGGTGTTCCTACGTCGCAATCTCTTTGGAACGCTGATCAATGACATTTTCTCCGTAGACGCCATATTAATTTCATATAACCACACAAAACCCCAGCTCTCGATAGTGCGAAATAAAATTGGTATAATAGGTTCAAAACTTGGCAGGTCGTATGTATATGTGATTCTCAAGAAACAAACACTCCTCTTGGATACTCCAGCTCCCCCAGCTTCACCTCAGCCTTCGACCACGGGTCAGGCGACTCTTTCCACTGGGAATACACCGTCTCCTCGCCTGCGACCAGTCGGTGGATATTCAGTCTGGTGCTGTAGACCATATTATAAGCTAGTGCCTGGTGCCACTCGAATTTCCTGTCTTCCCACTGATCAATATCGGAATCTCGTGAGACATAACCTTCCGATCTGAACGTGCCGATCAAATTAGGGAAAGGCGCATAGCAGCGCAACTGGGGGCGATTACTGCCCGCACACAAATCACTCATAGCGTTGTCCACGGGCAGGTTCAGATAATTGATCGAAAGCTCGGCCAGAATCCTTCTGGCACCCTCCAAGGTCACCGCATATCCGAACGTGCAGCAGCCCATGTTGGCCCGATAGATGTAACGTGTGGAGTCTACCGGCCACTCGGGATGCTCCTGTCTCCATTTGATAGAGGGTCCCGCTGGAGACTCCCAAGGGCCCCGAATGGTGGTGTTCGGGACCGTGGGATCATTGGGAATAACGTAGAAATTGGTCTCGTTCTGGTGTGCACCCGATGCGCAGCCCCCAACCCAGAGAATGTCCCAGTTCGTGCCGTATGGGGCTTTCTTGGACTCGTGCTGGTTGTTAGTTAGGGTGCGTACGCCTCGGGCGAACTCGGCGAGCTGCTGACGGAGGGACACATCCCAGTCGGCGTCGTCTTCTAGGATAAGTGCCGTGGTGTAGCGGTTTTCGACGATACTGTTGGTGATCCGTTGTTAGCATAGTGCTGCTAGTCAGATGCTGGTGGTAAGACGTACTCGATCAGGGTATTCATATGAGCGCGCCAACAGCCTATGGCGGCGGGCTTCACACCCGACTCACTCAGTTTCTGCCTCAACGATCAGTAAAGACCCCAGCGAGAAACGAAGCATACGAACCAATGGGTAAGACTTCTCAGCTACGCTGTCCGGGTAGACTCCATCTCTCCAATCGACCTGGATCCCGAGGAAAGAAGCAGCCAAAGTAAGGTAGTCACGTTTATCAGTACGCTCTTTCATGCCAATGGCATAGATGTGTTCAAACTGTGGAAAGTTAGCACGCCATAAGCCAAACGAGCGCAAACAGTCTCACCCCAAGGGTCTCATTGTTGATATGATCAAACGTCGTCTCCTCCGTAAGATGATGCTGTCCCGCGCGAATCACACTCCGAGTCGTCGAGTAGTACGCCTCTCGATCGGCTAACAGCACACCGAAGATAAAGTAGCTGCAACAAGCGGCAGCTGCGAGCTTGATGATGGTTTTTGTGTTCCACCGGCTCATCACGAAAGTCATTTCCTCAGTAATTGGGACCTGGTAAGGCCCAGCAGCGCGACTGTGAGTGTCTGGTAAGATGTGGTCAATTCATAGGTGCATGTTGCATTTGGATCGTTGTCGCTTTGCCGACGAGGTAGATTTTCTCGCCACCATGCTGTCGGGAATTGCCATAACTCTGCCTTCTTGAAAACTAGATTGATTTAGTCATTGTTTCCGGGAACGTCCTGAAGTTGGGAGTGTTGAACCTAGGGTTTTTGCGTCCCTGGTTTCGGGATATCCGAAAACGGAAGTGTGTAGATCAGTTGCTTAATCCGGTGTTCCGGTGCCTCCTTTCTTAATCTCTTATTGGCCACATATAAGGCCCATTTCCCCTTCCGGATGTCGGATGCTATTTTCGAATTTCCATGTACCCTAAGCGGAATAGCGCGATATTTTCCAGCGTGGTTTCTTTCTATCAAGCTTACAGTATCTGCGGAGTCGTGAAGAAGGGTTGGTATTAAATGGACGACTATTATAAGATTGACAGATCTACTCAGGCCTCGATAAGCAGCACCACAGATTCATATGGACGGAGAGACCACTTGGAGCCAGAAAACCTCTCCTTCGCATCGCTTGCGCTGTCATATGTGTTCAACAACACTTCCTTCACTCTCTTCACTCCATTTGAAGAGGAATCCCACTCCAATGTGCCGTCAGTCCAGTTTGCCAGCACCAGTGCCTTCTGGTCCTCATACTGGCGGGTATAAGCGAAGATCTCCTGGCTATCCCGGTCGACCAGCTCGTAGTTTCCATATACAAAGATGTCCACATATTTCTTGCGAAGTCCGAGCACTGATGCCCAGTAGCTGTAGGTTGAGTTGGGGTCGTTGACCTGGGCTTCGGCGTTGATGCCGCGAGCGTAGTTCGGGTTGACAGACATCCAGGGCTTGACGTTGGGACCAGTGAATCCTCCGTTTGGTGCATCGGCCCATTGGACTGGCGTACGACCGTTGTCGCGGGACTTCTTCTGGTATTCCTGTCGGGCAATCTTCTGGATTTCAGGATCGTTTGGTAGCCTGTACACAATTAAACTTAGTATGCCCACCGAGAGCAGAAGGGGAGCGGAAATAGAATGCTTACCTCTTCCAGTGGTTGAGGCAGTCGATGTCCTTGTACTCTTCGATGTCCCATTCGAGAGGAACGTTCCCCATGCCAATCTCCTGGCCCTGGTATACGAACGGGGATCCAGCTTTCAATGCCAAGATCGTGGCCAGCATCTTGGATGCAATAACGCGGTCTTCCTCCTTTGCATTCGTGTACCGATCGACCGACCGCGGCTGGTCGTGGTTCTCCCAGTACAGGGCGTTCCAGCCATCATTCTCATACATGAACTTTTGCCACCTCTCAAAGAAGGATTTCAAGTCGGTCAGCTTCCAACTGCCCGGCTCAAATTTATCGTATGTACCATGGTCAATGTCGACATGCTCAAAGTTGAAAATCATATTGAGCTCATTCCGGTCATACTGCACCGCCCGAAGCACCTCTTGCGTATCCTTCACGAAGGGCATCTCACCAACACTGAACGTATTGTACTCCTTTAGGATCTTACCAAGCTCCTGGAAGTATTCGTGCAGCCGAGGACCGTTAGCATAGTACTTGTCACCCCATTGCCACGGGGTACGGGGGTCGTGGATCGGGGCATCCGGGAAACGCTGGTCCTTGCTGATGAAGTTGATCACGTCCATCCGAAACCCGTTGGCGCCCTTATCCAGCCAAAAGCGCATAATATCGTGGACGGCCTTGCGAACCGGGGGATGCTCCCAATTGAGATCCGGCTGCTCTGTGGCGTACAGATGCAGATAGTATTCCTGCGTATGCTCATCCCACTCCCATGCGCTGCCTGCGATCACAATTAGCCCACCCGCAACCAATCCCAAAAAATATCTATAATATATCAAGGGGCGGCCAGCTTACCCTGGAAATGCGACACCCAGTTGTTCGGCGGCTGGCGATTTCCCTGCTCGTCATACCTGGCCGGCCGCCAGATGTACCAATTGCGATATTCGTTATCCTTCGAGCTGCGCGATTGCTTGAACCACTCATGCTGGTCACTCGTGTGGTTGACTACTAGATCCATGAGGAGCTTCATGCCCCGTTGATGGCAGCCCTTGATCAAGTTTTCCACATCTGCGACCGTGCCGTATTCATCGGCGATGTCGTAGTAATCCGCGATATCGTATCCCATGTCCACCTGGGGCGACTTATACGAGGGACAGAGCCAGACGATATCAATCCCGAGGTTCTTGATGTAGTCGAGCTTGGAAATGATCCCGGGGATATCGCCGACGCCGTCATCGTTGGAGTCCTTGAACGAGCAGGGCCAGATCTGATATACGGAGCTCTCCTTCCACCAGGCACGGTGAATCTGGTTGGCGGGTTTGGCCATAGTGGTGTATGCGTCTAGGGAATACGGACTTTTTCCTAGAGTAACTGGAATTTACAGGAGAAAGAAGGGAGGAGGCTTCAGTTATTCTATATGTTTTGGTTCTTGTTGTTGTTGTTGGGAGGGGCAGCAGCTTGTTACTATCCGATAACACCCACCGCGGGGCAGCTCCTTTATCGAGCGGAGAAATTATCGGTGGGTGCGCGGCGGGCCTATGGACTTTCATGCTGGACTATAGCTCGCCAGGGGGAGCTTGTGAATTGGGGGTCTGACCAGGTCCCAGCAGCCAGTGAGACTGGATCGCAGCCTGGTTCCACTTGCACGTTGATCGAATAATGATACGACACGGAGAGCTTTTCGGCGGATCCCTTGCCGGTGGTCGATCAATCAATGGACCTGCTACGGACTTTGCAATTTCGAAGTGCGTGTAATCCTCGCTTGTATTGAAAATTATGCTGCATTTTTACCTTCATTATTTAGATCAAGATGAGTAAGAGAAATCAGAATGAAGTGCCACAACTCCAGTATAAGACATGTCCCTCCGATGGTAGCCGTATACGATCCAACAGTGACCTGGTAACCGTAGTACTCACATCTAACGACGAATAGTTACGTCCTGCTTCATAGACCGAAGAATACCCTGGACATCGGCAAAGGCCAATTCAGTCATTGTTTCGTGCCACAGCCTCTCAATGGCCTGTTTCCCTTCTGGCGTATAAAGGACAGTAGCGAATCTAGTGAAAACATATCTTAGCCAGAGCTGACCATGGAAAGATGCAGGAGGTATACCTACGGTCGAATCTGCCAGTCCATTAGAAAACAGCCGTGCGCTTCCTTGCCCTTCACCACCGTAGCGTCCACATACGTGGAAGCCCCATCCTGGACAGTCCGAGCAGTGGCCGCCTTCGCAAGGTAAATGACCATTGAGATAACACTAGAGACCTCACGGTGGAGCTGGGTGCCCTTGGTAAACCCCGGGTCCACCAAGTTCACCACTACGTCCTCCGCGGCACGTAGTCGGCGAGCTTCCACATGAACATGTGCCCGAGTAGTTTGGATGCGCTGTATTGCTCGGTCCAGTCGAACATCTTCGGGTCGTCGTAGGAGGGTAGGAGTGGAGAGAACTTTCTGTTGGGGAATGTTGCCATCAGAGCGGTTCCCGAATTGACGATGCTCAGCCGGCCAGGCGTCCCAGCTGGTGCTTTGTTCTTGAGGACAGGGAGGAGGAGAATGCAAAGGAGTACTGTCGATAAGTAATTTACTTGGATGACCTCCTCATGGCCGGTGCTTGGAACCACTCCAAAGTGCATTTTCCCCAACCCGGCATTGAGGATGGCGATGTCAAGACGAGATAGCTGACTTTCGGTGCGGCGAACAAAGGCTCGAACAGAATCGTATGAGCTCATGTCTAGTTGCCAGACTTCGATGGAGGCCATGGGATACTCCTTTCGGAGTGTAGATGCTGCTGTCTCGCCTTTTGCAGCGGAGCGAACGGCGATAATTAGATGGGAGAGATTGTACGATAGGAGTTGGCGAGCGCTTTCCAAACCCAAGCCAGTGTTAGCTCCTGTCACGATAGCGACTTGATCAATAAGAGTAGTGCCTTTCGGCGGCCATTGGGACTTCGTGCATAGCTGAGATTTGAGATAGATATTAGGGTAGTATGAAGTGGTATAGGGTGGCAGGTCTCTTGAAGCGGTCATTGTGAAGTTCTCACGAGTCGTGGAATTGAGGTTTGCCTCGGAGATTCTGGTGTAGGCTTGGTGATTATTGAAATTGTAACAAATGACATTACTCGCGTCTTAAAGGATTTATATACGCTCATCCCAAGGACATCGCCTCTCTGCCTGGAGTAGCAATTTTAAGTAAATGCGATATACTCTTTTCTCCCAAAAGGGTTAGTGGCCCTGTTGATAGCGGGAACAGCCAATAGAATGTGGTCAGCAGCCATGCGCTATTCCCGAATAGGATAACAATCGTTCAACCAATCGGCGGCAGTTGGATGAATCGTCAGCCCCAAGAGGCGCTTCAAATATGGCTGTAAGCGGACTTAACTCGCTTTCAGATTGTATCCTTAAATAGGTGATTAATCCAGGAAGCAAAGGCACAAGGCGTATTCTAGCTTGACTCATGCTCTCCTGGTTTCTCATGTTACTTCTTGCTTTGACATATCTTTGAAAGGCGGATCAGTTAACGCCGTGATTCATTCACGCATAGTATCATTTACCTCGAGGCGCATACTCTCACCATTCGGGTAGTGATGCTACCGATCATCGTATCAACGGGAGCGGCAAAGGCAGACCCAGAGACACGCAGGCTTATCAGGAGCCATGTCATGCTGGGCAAGAACCGGGGCAAATACCGACGTCCGGGGCGCGACGACCGAGCGGAGTTAGAGCACGATGAGACTTGTAATGAAAAACCTAGAACGTTGCGGAAGCAGTTTCGTCCGTTAACCAAGAGGCCTCTTTCCATCATCCCGCAGACAGTTGGCTCGGAAGTCTCCCTGCTCCAGTTTGCTGACACAGTGGAACCGGCGTTGGCTGTGGATATCGTAAGATGTAAGTCAAGGCTGCAGGTACAGTAAAGCCCTACTAAGTGTATCCTTACCGACGGGGATACAGTTTCGGCTATGTCGAAGAGAACCTTATTCACGCTGGAGAGATACATTTCCTTCCAGAAGAAAACCGACCAGTGGCACGATCTGTTGATAGTGGACCCTGTTTATCTCCATGGTATGGCTTTTATAGCGCAGGATTTCTTCGACGGACTGTCGGGTTGGCGATTTAAGGCCAACAAGCCGGCCTCATTACACTTCTTGAAAACACTCCAACTCCTCCGCGAGAGGCTGGCCCTTCCAGACGAACAAGCCAAAACGTCCGATGCTACGATAATGGTGGTTCTGTTTCTAACAACACATGCGCATATCAGGGAGGATCTTGACTCTGCCAAGAACCATCTCACGGGGCTTCATAAAATCGTGGATCTGAGAGGTGGCATGGCCAACTTAGCCTACGATGTGAACCTGAAGACCGAAATATACCGGTGAGCAAGTCGACCAACATTAAACAAGCAAAGAATAAAGTCCCCTAACCTTGACACAGATCTGACTTATCAATTGCACTTCAAGCCTGCACAAGGCCTCTTTTCTTCGATGACCATTTACGGCATTCGATGCTGACAGCACCAACTCTGGGTAAGCACGCCAACGAACGATTCCTCGAACACATAGACGATGATCTAGCCAGGACATGGAGCATCATGAAGCGATTTTGTGTCCTCGTTAATAAAGCCATCGGAGCGCAACAAAGACTGTCCATGGAGTTCTTCATGGAGACAATGACTTCTGTGATGTACCGCCTGCTCCATATCAAGTTCGAAACCGGCTCGATTGCCGAAGCCATCCGCCTCGGGCTTCTGGCCTTCTCTTCCCATATCTTCTTGCAGTGGCAGGATATCCGACGGCAGTATGTTCAGTTCTCTGCTTCTTATAAGGACAGTCTTGTATCTCTCAAGTATCTAGACGGCGTCTCGTCTCATATTGTGCTTTGGCTCTTGATGGTCGGCGGTATCTCAGTCTTCGGTACTTCTGACGACGAATGGCTGAAGCCTTGGCTGCGGGCTAATAGTCAGCTGTGCAAGGTTAAGTCATGGCCAGCCATGAGAGGTGTGTTGGAGTCATTTATGTGGATCGGTGTGATACACGACAAGCCTGGGAAGGCTTTGTTCGAATCGGCATTGTCACAATCATCTCCCGAAGTGTACCTGCCCAGTATATGAATGATTTGTTTAGCCATGGGAGGTAATATCATAGTTATATTCCAAGTTCCACAGCCCGCAAATCTGTGCACATATTATAGCATGATACTTCTCCGGGATAGGTAGATGTAGTGTGAACTCCCATATGTGAGGTTATATCACTCTCTTCATATGGTATTTTCTCAATGTATCAAGATTCAGCCAAGATGAGTAGCATTAAAGTTCCAGTGACAACACGAACCAGCAATCGAAGCTCTCACTGCGTTGATGTCCTAAAGTATATACGGTCCCACTTTACCCCACAGCAGCGATAAGGCCTCAACAGCCTCAGGCAGTCAAATCAAGCCAATCCCCCTCACTTCCATGATCTCAAACACCGACCAGACCTCCAAAACCACACCCACGTCCAAAGCTCCCCCCAAAACAGGGACCACACGACTTACCCTCCCTCACGAAGCCACACAAGCCCACAGACTCCCCAAGAACATATCTATGACGTAACCCGCCGCAAAAACACCCAGCAATTCCTCTCCAATACATACACACACACAGACACCTTCAACAGACATCCAAAATGACCACCGACGAGCCAACACCCGCACACCTCGATCCCCAAACCTACCCACGCCACCTCACCGATGAAGCGCAAAACATCCACCTCGAACTCACCTACGCGCCCCTCAACGCGCAAGCTGCACTCGACAAAATCTCCTCCCCCGCCGCCGGCGCAAACGTCCTCTTCCTCGGCACCACGAGAAATACCTTCGAGGACCGCCCCGTCGCACAGCTGAGTTACACGGCGTACCCACCCCTGACGTTCAAGACGCTAGCGGGGATCGCGCGGGACGCGGTCGCGAAACATGGGCTGACGGGGATTGTCATCGCGCATCGGTTGGGGGTTGTGCCGATTCGCGAGGCGAGTATTGTGATTGCGGTCAGTTCGGGGCATCGGCGGGCAGCGTGGAGGGCTGGGGAGGAGGTCTTGGAGATTTGTAAGGAGAAGGCGGAGATTTGGAAGAGGGAGGAGTTTGTCGATGGGGAAATGGCGTGGAGAGAGAATAGGGAGAGGGATGGCGATGGGAAGGTGGTTACTGGCAAGTGAGGGTTTTCTGCCTGGTTGGTTATATATATATGGTGAGTTAGTGATGAGAGATATGGGTCCCATGTGCTGACCGGTTCTAGATGGTATATTTTCACGATTTTACGGACGCTCATATCATGCTACATGCTATCGACACGTATCTGAGTAGGGTATTTCTATTGTACATACTTTTCCACGCTATTCGTACACTCTAGTCCTTCCTCAATGGCTTGCCTTCGCGCTTCCAGTCGTTGATGTGCTCCATGATGACCTTGGTGGCCGAGTCGGGGGTGTCCTGGCGACCAATGCATTCGACGAAGTCGCCCTCGGGGTCTGTACAGCGGAATTAGCTCTCGGACGGTATACTATACAGACGACATCACTCACCCATCAGGTAGAAATAGATACTGTGGTCCACCAGATAGTCCTCGCCCGGGTTCACGTGCTGCGGCGTGCTGAAGTACACCCGGTACTGCTTGCACATGTTCTTCACCTGCTCGTACGTGCCCGTCAAGCCGATAATATCTCCGTGGAACTCTTGGAGATACGAGTGCAGCACCTCGGGGGTATCGCGAGCAGGATCGCAAGTAACGAAGACAGGCAAGAAGATGTTCTCGCCCTTGGTAGCCTCCTTCACCTTGTCAATAATCTCGGCCATCTTGTCCAATTCGTCCGGGCAGATATCAGGGCAGTGTGTGAAGCCGAAGTAAACCTAGCAGACTGTGATCAGCTCCATAACAGGCATATACAGCTTTGTCCCAAGAACATCGAAGAACTTACAAAGCTGTACTTTCCCTTCAGATCCTCTTCGGTAAACTGTTTGCCGTCCAAGTCCTTCAACACAAACGGGCCGCCAACCTTTGGCCGACCAACTCCCTTGCTCATCTCTGCGATGCGCTTCCGCGCCAACCGTTCCTTTTCCACCCGGAAATACACGATCATGGCCGCACCGGTAATGACGAAGAGCAGCGCGGACTTCCACGAGAACGGACCGGTGGAGTTCCGGGCCTTCAGCTGGCCCATTGTGCGTGCCCGAGCACGGAAAGTAGTCGTGCTGAAGGAGCGCTGAGAGGAGAGGCCATTGTGTCTGAGAGTCTGAGTGTATGCGGACCGGGCTGGTTTTGTTCGGAGAGAAACGAAAGCGTTTTGCGACGGGATTGATCGGAGGGTGCTGCGTTCGAGGGAGGGGACACTGGAGCGCGAGGCTCGTCCAATCATTTGGACGAGAGGTCTCATTGTCGATGCCATTGTGTCGAAGGTAGAACTGGACCGGGTTTGGGAGGGCAAGAGAAGAACGGTGATCGTGATGGTTCGAGATCTCCGGCCGGAATCCGCTGTTAGCGCTGTGGCCTGAGGTGTCGGCACATCATCCTGTCACGTGGTATATTGGTAGCCTTAGGCAGCAACCCGTATCCCTTGACTCGAGCGTTTTGTGCCACCTTCTCTTGTGCTTTGCATTCGTTTCTCGTTGATTGTTCCTATGCATAATTACTGCACACGGCAGCAAGTGAATATCCATGTCGAGATGTCTGGAATGAAGCTTGGCCAGTCGTTGAGAAACATCTTGGTCCCAAACTGTCTCCGATCGAATGGCTGACCTACATACTACAAGACACGTCTGTCGAGACCATCTGAATCTGCCAACATGGTCGGGTGCAATGGAAATTTGCATGAATCAGGACTCTCAGGAGAGAATGGGCAAATTCTAGACCCACGCTGTCATGGATGAATAACCGCAATCCATCGATCCGCATTTTCCGCGAGTAACCATGGCTACACCACCGTCATCGCGACGTTAGTCTTACAGGAATTCTGACAGTCCTTTGCCACCCCCACAATTCCAGATCTGGGGAGCCTTTGAATTTTCCTTCTCATGGATTGTTGGACTGCGGGGTCCTGACTCGATGGCTGCCTGGGCCGTCCACTGTTGCTTGCCGTAGTGTTCAATAAACTGCTCAACTCCACGCTTAAAGCCCAAACAAGAAAGAGGTTCAACGACTAAACATAGTGGATGCTGCCTATTGGATGAATCAATGCCAAATGGCCAAGAAGTTATCACGCTTTGCTAAACAGAACACCCATGTTTGTATCAATCCCTGACTTTCGAGCTGGCCTACACTGCATATTCCGGGCTCATATCGAGCTCTTCGAAGAAGGGCTTTTTACACATCGGGCATTGATTATGAAATCCCAAGAACCAGTTCTCCAGGCACTCTCGGTGAAACACGTGGCGGCATTGAAGCGTGTGGATCGGGTCCTTCTTGCGGACCTTGTCAAGACAAATAGAACTAAATCGACAGATCAGTACACCAGACGGCGGACCTAGCCGACGAGCACTGATGGAGAGTAGCCCTACCAGGTGAATATATGATCCGATTGTTTCAGCGGGGATCGTATCGTTTGAACAGACAACCACCAGATTTTGAAGGGCTTAGTGGGGGCAACTCTTTCCAGACAGTCTAATCGTCTTTCCATGCTGTCCTGGGCAGGTACATTTGCTATGGCGGGATCCGTGGCCCCGAACGCGAGACTCGAATACGCGAGACAGTAGGATCTGAGTAGTAACCTGCTCTCACGGTCAGGTCTGGTATATCAGACGCAGGTAGACAACAGTTTTGTATCCAAGAGCAAGGACGAACAGCTGTCTTACCAGATGGCAGTCACAACGTATACAGTTAAACACACTACCAGCAATACTTGGAAAGCTAAGCCGTCGTTATTTGTATCTGTGTCCTTCTCCGACGTTGACTCCATCTTCCAATCAGGCATATTCAAGATGAGACTTAAGTAATCGGGAGATATCTGGTGGATCCTCTATAATTAGACCAGAAGGGAATTGTCTCAAAGAATCAGCTGTTTTATAACGGATGGTCAGCTAACCTCCGGAGATGTTGTGTCATTGGAAAAGCGAGGCTCCTCAACCATGGAACCAGGCCGTAAGCCCTCCCCATCCAGTTGGAGGTGTTCACTCCCAACCGCGTTAAGCCGTGTGTGTCTTGGAAGAGCCTGTGCTACATTATCTTGCCATAGAGGAAAAGTCCTCCGGCGATGTTTAGTGTGCGGTGTGTGATCTGAGCACGGATCGCTGTGGGAGGATTGAAACGATCGCCCAACGGATGGATTCGCAAGGATCGCCCTCTGGCTGCATATGTAACGTGACTTTCGATGGTTTAAACCTTCTCGTCGCTGCTCCAGAAAAGAACGTGGAATCTGGTCTTCCTTTGGACTAGGATCGAGGAAGGTACCAGTGATCGACTACATTCGCGATACAGAAACCATGAATATCATATGACCTTTTAGAGCAGCGAAGAGTGGTATAAATATTAGGGACCCGGCCAATATTTGTAATTGCGATGTCACCAACTTCCATCGGAACGACATCAAGTCTCGTCAGACGAACTTCCCGTTTGATTAGAAACTGATCAGAATACCGGTCGAAGAATACTAGTACTCAAGGCGCATTCCGCCACATGGCTTTGGCTTGAACTGTGAACTGACATATCCTGGAATTAGTACGAGATGCCATTTCTGTCCTACGCCCATATACTTGAGCTCCAGCAACAGCTGGAAGGCACCCGGGCGCGGGTGATATGCGCCGGCTCTGACGAGTATGCTGAGAGCATTAAGCGATGGAGTGATACGTGCGAGAAAGAAGCTGTGCGTATAACTTTGAGTCTGACCGGGGCATGGCAGAGACCTCACAACAAATAATGCTCTGTCCCCCCTGAATACTCCCTACAAAGCCGTTGCTCAGTATCCACGGAACATGCCTCTAACGGTACCACAGGGCGCAGTAGTCAAAGTCACATCCACATCCGAAGTCTCTGAAGTGGTTGAGTTCGCCCGAAAGCATCGTATCTCTTTCGCGGTCGAAGCCGGGGGACATTCCACCACTGGGTCCTCGGCATCTCATGGTGGCATTGTCATCAGTCTGTCCCAGATGCGGAAAGTCCTCACAGACCCCGCTTCCAAGACAGTTTGTGTACAAGGTGGTGCTATCTGGCAGGATGTCAACAGTTCCACGGCTCCCTACGATCTAGTGGTTGTAGGTGCGACTTCAAGTCATGCTGGCGTCGCGGGGTCGACACTGGGGGGAGGATACGGATGGCTGACAGGAAAATACGGTTTGATCATGGACAGCCTGCTGAGTGTCAGGATGGTACTCGCAGATGGGTCCATCGTCGAAGCGTCGGAAACTACTTCCCCGGAGCTTTTCTGGGCGGTGCGAGGTGCCGGACAAGCCTTCGGTGTGGTGACTGAGCTTGTCTTTCGTGCGTATGATCTGAAACACCACGTATTCGGGGGCGCTCTTTACTTTGCACCAGACAAGCTACCGGCGATTGTGGATTTCGCCAATGAATTTCACCGTCGCATGGATGAGAACAGCGGCCTCCTGTTTGGGTTCACGGCGCCCCCGTTTATGACGGAGACGGCTATACTGGTCATTCCTTTCTACAATGGCACCCGTGAAGAGGCAGAAAGTTTTTTCGAACCCCTTCTATCAGCCGAGCCTGTAGTGGGGCAAACCGATATGATGTCTTATACGAAACTCAATGCGGTGGCTAATGTAGAACCGTCTCCAGAGGGCCGCAAAAACATCAACGGGACCAACATCTCTCTGCCACTTGACACCGACTTTGTGTACGACGTATACAGCCAATTCGACCGGGTAATGAGAAGCTGGAGGCGGGTGGGAAATAGTGTGCTCATGTTTGAGCTGCTGCCATATACTCACATCCTTGAAGTGCCATTGGATGCTACAGCCTGCATTAATCGAAGCCCGTACTACAATGTTGGCTCGGTCTTCTGCTGGCAGGATCCAGATCTTGATCAGAAGATGTTGACAGAGCAGCAAGGCATCATCTCCAAGATCGCCAATTTCAAATCCCATGAGGAGGGCGAAAATCGGGTGGCCGCATATGCCAACTATGCTGGTAAGTCCCACCAAGAGTTAACCATGGTCTCTAAGTGCTCCTGGTGCCGTCACTCATGTTGACGCCCAACGACACAACCCAGTGATTGACATTGAATAGGGCACAATGTCAGCGCTGCAAGGCTCTTCGGCGAGAACTTGGAGCGGTTGCAGCAGCTGAAGAGAACCTTCGATCCCAATAATGTGTTCAGAAAGTGGCACGACCTCCTCCATCTAAAGAACGAACCACACTCAGTGTAATCAGTTTGCGACAGTAAACACCCCTAACAATTCGAATCCATTTTCCAATCTGTTGATCACTGTAACATCAATCTCACGTTTGATAACGGGCCCTTTTCCGGGCCGTTGTCAATTAGTGCATAGTCCAATCTTTGGTTCGGTAGAACACGGCGCCAACAACCAAATACGGGACGTCCCAAGTTTTGGCCCATGACTGTATGATTGGCCAATTGTGTGACATCTGGGGAATTTGACTTCGCTTCCGGGGTCCAGAATCTGACTGTGTCATGAACCCTATTGCAGGCCTGGAAGTGATTTCCTTCGAAAGAATGTTCCAAGCTACAGACAGAGAAGTTTTGTCCATCTGGTAACTCATACCCGTCTTGGAAGGTGTCTCTCAAGCTTGTATTTCACCAGAGAAAGGTTGACAGTAAAACATACCCCTTATTGGACGGCATCCAGGGCCACGCAGAGTCGATCAAGAAATACAGCTGTCAGTGGCCTGTCCCCCATGTGGCCTAGACGGGATTCCCACATCGCACCCTGCATTCTGTTCCGTGGAACTAGAATATGACACCTACATCCTGGAGCTCGGCTATACGATCCATGACTTCCCATTCAACCGGGACTGAAGGGGTCGAGGCAATGTATCTCATTCGACCGCCACCGTGGCGTCTACGAGATGCAATGTCCTCTATGGCTTGAAAAATGTTATATAAGGGCGTTCATGTAGGACAAATTTCACATTCCATTGCCTTGTACTTTACATATATTCTCCTAATACACACCTTGTATAATAACACTTAATCTCTTCAAGTGCTTTGAAGCCTTAGACACCACATATTTTCTTTTTGCTTCACGCTGCTCAAAACGCCATGTCTTCCCTGCTCGGCAATACTCTAACCAACAACCTCCACACCCTGAACAACATAACCTACTCCAAGAACTACCACCCCATAGCCATACATGACTCAGAATCCACTGCAAGCTCCCCACCAGAAAAGACCCTCCCGGTACCGATGTCGCACCATGACCATCCATTAATTCTACCTCCTGCGACTGAGTTCGACACGACGCACAAGTCTCCTCGCGAGACCTCAACGCGGTCACACCGGGACTCACCCCGAAGACCAGCGAGCGCGTCTAGCAATAGCCAGTGGGGTAGCTACAAGGGGCTGGATAAGGACGCGCTCAACTCCCTCCAGGAATACTGCAGCTCGTTTGATCAAGTTCGACTTCTGAAGCGGGGATTACAGACATTGACATGATGTGCTTCACAAGAACACGCATTGTCGGGCGTTCTTGGGCAGCGGGTGTTTGGATTTGATGATGGAGTTATATATTTCTAGCAAGGCGTTGGGTACCATGAAGGACTAGATACCACATCTCGGATATACCGATATATTGTCGATCGTTTATAACCTTCAATATACCTACTTAATGTATTTATTCTATGTGGATTACAACGTTACCACAACAAACCTATCCATATCCTCCAAAACATTATAGTCATCGCAGGGCCGGGTATCCACACGGGCTATAACCACCATCCAACGGGACAAACACCTCCCCCATATTCCTCCCCAAACGCCATCTACTACAAAAACCTCTCTGCAGAAGAAATGCAGTTCGTTATCTAGATCTCCAGACAGGCCTAGACGTGCCTAGACCATAGTATAACCCCAATAAGCTCGCCGTGCAGGCCACCGTAACCGGCGGACCGTCGACGCGTGAACCACAGTTCCCTGGTAATGTGACCGCTACCATACGGAAAAGTTAGATTCCTTCTTTCCCATCTCCGGAGTTTTCCTCGGTGTCAACTTTTCATTTGGTCTGTGTTTGGCCACAAGGGCTGGGATGTAACCCCATTAAGTAATCTTAGACGGATACTTCCGTCTCGACTCTCGACTCTCGCTCCTTGCGTCCGCCCTCCCCTTCATCCCAACGTTTCCTTGCCCGTGCCATGTTCCAGGGTATGTAAGGGGGGAACATGTTCGTTCCATGGCAGGTTGCCATTGGAGGGGGCTGGGTTGGATGGCAGGGAAAATACGTAGGAAGGCAAAAACTGAGGGTAAACGGAATTCAATTCGTCTGAGCGAGGAAGGAGACCTGGCTGTCTAATTTCCCCCAATTGACCATCGTTCATTTCTGTCAAGAGACCAGTTTCTGTAGTTCTCGATACCTTCGCCTTCAAATGTTGAAGTTCCTTAATTATCACGCAAAACCTCTACAGAACTAACATCTCCCAAGGCAAATTGACGCTGCCGCCAAAGGTAAACATGTTGATCAACGTGACGAGTCAGAGCCCTACGTTGGTGGGGAGGAAGGGGACCTTAAATCGCCCCTTGCGTAGATTAGCTACTTAGTACACGACCTTGCGTTACTTCAAATCCTGGGAAATTCACCCACTGCTCGAGTATTCGCTCCCAGCGGAATTAGGTTATGGTTTGACGTTGTGGTTATCTTAGAATGACGGGTAAACGTCGAACAGAACCTTCCTTCAGTCTTCCTGCCATGCCCTTGGGTTCGTGCGTAACCTTAAGTGGTCTCTGTGGTGTGGTAGATCTAGGGATCAAGAAATGGAAGACTTGCGAAGACTTGGAATTCTGGGATTGTCTCAAGTTCAATTCCATGACGGGTTGCCCTTCCTGTCGTAGGGTTGCTTAATGTGAGTGATCGACATACCTGTGCCGTTGAATGACGTTTGTCATTTGCTCGGGACACCTTCCCGGTCATTCAGGTGTAGTACGGAGTAGTTTGCGATAGGGATGGGTTGTATAGGAGCTCCTGTGAGTCCTCAGGAATGTCTCTGGTATACATAGCCAGAACGGTGAAAGTTGAGATTAGACCTCTACCGGTGGACCATATACAAGAATTGCAAATGGAAGCTTCTATACTGAAACATGATCGAGGACTAAATACAGCAAGCCAAACATATCACTCACAGTCCAAGCTCTCTCGAATCATATTCCGGATCACATCGCCCAGTTCCCGCAGCGTTCTCGGATTCCTTGGGATAATATGACCACCGACATGATCAAAATACTCGGCATTATCAACATTGTAGATATCATGCAGTGTCTTCAACCCCTCTAGAAACGCGTGCTTTGCACCGATAACGTGACAAGTAGGGACAGGGTATATACAAAGATCGCTATCTCTATTGCAGAGTTACATCAAATGCAATGGGACAAATCCGACTCCTTTCCTTGCAGACCATATCAAAGGCTCTGTATACCTCTCGCCGCGCACAACCTAGACAACGCGTTGAGGAAGTTTGCTTGAGGGCAGGAGAGTGATGCATGGAATGGCTTTTGAAAACGTCGACGCTTTAGAGATTATGTTCAAGCAGCAGCTTTGCTCGTCCGACTATTCTGTCGTCTTTCTTGTTCTTCTCCGGAGCCAGACTTGCATTATGAAGGTGGTAAGTTGGATAGCCAGTCATGTATGATCTCTGTAACTTGGCTTATTCACAGCGCCATGGACCGGGGGTCCTCGACGGGTTTACGAACCGAAGGGTCGTGAGCTGGATATCCACGTACCTGAGTCTACAGCATATCATCGACTTAAGGAGCAAGGGCTATGCGATCGTGGAATTGTGGCCCCAGTTCTTGGGGACTCTAGAAAAGTTCGACCCAAGGCAATGCCAGCCTTTCCGAAAGGCATTTATTGAGGACCAATCTCTCCCAAGTGCAATCTTTCTGGCGTACATTCCAAACCTGGACATGCCCAACTTGCAGAACTGTACTGAGAAAAGGCTCGAGGCTCTTGTTAGAGGTGTTCGGGAGATTCATGAAGCCTCAGTACGACATCGAGACCCGAAGCCAAGGAACATTATGGTTATCAACGACGACCCAGACAGAGTTGTCTGGGTTGACGTTGACCGTGCGGAAACTTACAACAAAAAGCAACTCACCGACAGGCAAAAGGACTTTCTGGATGAGGAGGAAATAATGGTTCGTGAATTCAGAAATGGTCTTGTGAGTCCGCTTATGCCATTCATCTTTCGTCCAGTAGAAGTTTTTGCCCAGTATATCTTTGTGTCAGTGATGCGGCATTGAAGGGATCGCGGTGGGAAATGCTATGACAGAAATATATGCATACAATTACAAGTTAACCTGAATGTAATATACACCCCATGAAGAAGGTGCACCACGCTTGTCTAACTAATTCAACTGTTGTCAATCTACAGCTCAAAGAATCTATATATTTTTTAGTTCGTCGGGATGGGAGTGCTGTTAACATAGTATATTATCCTATCGCGCGCTGCCGGGTACAGATATATATATGTATCCAACAAACAGTACCTTGCAACTGTAAGAGATAATCACACGGCTACGAAATCGGCAGGCGAGACGTAGAAAAAAGAAGAAAAAATCGAGTGGAAGTCGCAATAACAGTATGTCTTTCTATGGACCATTCTCTAATGACATGACACAAACGTATATCCATGGGGTGAAACCGAGCTCATGAAGCGTAAAATTACAGTAATTAATCCAGCTCTTCGCTTAGAGTCCTGGGCGAATGTGCTCCGAATAAAAGCTTCCTAGCAAAGCACTTGGATATCATCGTATGACACCCTGGTCTCGCGAAAACAAATGCTGCTACCGAATGATGAAATAATGCCGAACAGGGTAATCAACGACGGATATAAGGAAAACAGGAACCAGGGAAAATAGGAAATGGAAAGGAAATGCAATGGAAAAGGACAGGCAAAAAAAAAAAAAAAAAAAGTCCATGACAGGTGTATAACACTGGTCTTCTGATACGGAGACGGAGAGTAACGAGGTATGCAGCAAAAGAAAAAAAAATAGGTCAAGGGATAAACGGCTTTTTGTCAACCAGCAATTCTGTATGTACTGACTGCTAGGAAACCCTGTGCAGAACTGGTCTAGTGTACACTTCTGCTGGCTTGGCTGGCACGGCTGGCACGGCTTGCACGGCTAGGCGTAGTTCGAGGTTCTTCCTCTTCCATAACATCGCTGAGCCGGGTCGGATGGCGATGACGAGGGGTCACGGAGTCCCAAGTGTTTCCCCATCCAGAGCCACTGTAATCTACAGAGCCCTGGCTAAAAGGTGCTGAGGTTGTCGGCGGCAAAGTGCTAGGCACATAGCCCCCTTCATCATCCATGGATCCCCGCTCATAGTCATCGCTTTCCTCGGACATAGGACGTGGGTAAACGATGGAAGGCCCTTGTTGAGGCTGAGTACGACGATACCCGCCATATTCATCATCGCCAGGCTCACTGCTAGCTGCGCTCGGATCATAGGAGCGATTGTCGTTTTCAGAGGTTGGTCGGCCAGTGTACTCGCCATCGTGTTCATAGTAATTTCCTGCATACTGTCCTGAGGATTCTGCAGCTGCTGACGTGTTGGGTGGTCGGGGAGCATAGCGTTGGCTGTCAGATTCCTGATAAGGACGCTGCCCCTCCGTGAATGGATCGGTCTCGGTAGGTGACCCGGGCGCCTCTTCATAGTAATGACCTTCGGATGACTTTCCTGGGCCACCTGATGGATGGTTCGCGGTGCTTGACCGAGAAGGGAGGCCCTGAATCATCGGCACCACCTGCACTCCCCCAACTAAGGTGGGCTCTCCGTTGCGGAGGGAGTTCGTTCGATCCCTTTCCTCTTGCTCACGGCGACCAAGTTCCTCCCACGCACGACGGGCTTCTTCCTTGGATATTTGAAGTTCTCGGCGCATTTCCTTGAGCAGCGACTCCACGCGACCCTTGTCGCTTTCGGCCTTCTGCAATGCGGCCATTGCTTCTGTCCGCGATTGTTTCTCAGTCCTGACTTGTCGCTCCAAATCGGCCTGGAGTTCTTTGGCGCGCTCTTGCTCTGCACGGGTGTCAAAGAACCACCGCTGGAACTTTCGCTCGGACGATGCCCGCAGACGCTGCAATTCCACAACGGCGTGAAAAAGGTTGGCACCAGCAGCGGAAAGATCGGTCACCTGACGGGCCATCTGTTGGCTAATGGGGTCGCGTTCTAAAGCCTCACTGTTCTGCTCCAACTTTCGAATCCAGTAGCCAGTTAGGCCTTCCCAATGGGAGGATAACGTTTCCCACCGTTCAAACGCATGAGGAAAACCGACACGTCGTGGTGGCTGCTGCGCTTGGGAAGTACCAGGCTGATTTGGAGCTTGTGCTGGTTGCTTTTGGAAGCCAGTCGAGCCCGTTGGTGGCGGCTGAGGATTGTGCTGTGCCGAGGGCCCGGGTTGTCTGGGGTGGGCGTGTGGAACCGGAGCCTGGCCGTGCGCCTGGGAATCTGGTCGTTGAGCCGCCGCTGGAATTCCCGGAGGCTGCTGCGTCGTACGCGATTCCGGCTGAATGTCAGACCCCGCGGGAGCACTGGGCCCTGCTCTCCGCTGGGAAGGTCGATTACCCGCAACGCCAGCAGCATAGGGCTGGGCTGGATCCTGAGTCCTTTCTTGTGACTCTTGCCGTCTGTGCTCGGCCTCTTCCTGTTCCCTATCTCTGGCTTCCTGTTCCGCTTTTTTGCGAGCTTCTCGGTCCCGGCGCTGTCTCATGATATCGGTCGGTGTCCGGACCCCACTTGGGGGGTGTGTGTTAACGGGGACAGGGCCATGGGCTGCACGTGAAGCGCCATTTTGTGTACGCCCTGTGCCTGCGAGGCCAATCGAACCAGCCGCGCTTCCCAAGTCAGACATGGGCGCATTCACTTCTTCCCAATCCGGTGTAAAAGGGAGGGGTTTTCGAATCGCTTCTTCTAGCGCCCAAAGAATGGCAGACGCTGTATGTGGGGAAACCCGAGTAGACCTGCGAGGCCAGTATGACTCGCCTGATGCTCGAGGATGATCGTCAGTCAGCGAGTCAGCGTCGTCGTCGTCTCCCCCTGTCTGGGCCTCGGAAAGCGCAGGACGAAGTGCAGCAACTCCACTATTACGGTCCGACACAGGTTGGACCAGTACGGGAATGGTTTGCTCTATCTGGGATGGGCGACCTGAAGCATATACTGATCCCGGCCGTTGACGAATTGAGCGGGACGTTCTCCGTAACGAACGGGTACTTCCTTGACTACTCAGAGGGCGCGGTGATGGGTATCGGCGGAGAGGATCAGAGGCAGGATTGGAAGCAGTCGGCTGCTGGCGTTGCGGTAAATCTGTCGTAAACGTGGAGGGGTCGTGAATCTCGTAGGTCTCGTCAAACGCGCCGTGGGTGTGGGGAGACACCGCTGGATATGGATGTGAATGGGATGAAGGGAAATGCGACAACGTGAGAATTGGCACTCGGGCCGTCTACGAGTCGGTGGACAATTCCGATGACGTGGGAGGGCTATCAACCAAGAATTCACGTTCTCCGAGGTCTTGGGGGCCCAGCGCACAAGTCAAACCGGCCTCTGAAGAGTAAGATAGATGTAAGTACGTACACGAGTAAGCACGTTGGAATGTGGATATTCTTTTAGGGACTGGAAAAAAAGGGAGCAATTCCGAGGGCAAGGCAGGGCTAAAAGTGGGCAGGTGTGCAAGGCAAGTGGCTGGTCGAATAAGAAGGCGACGGGGATGTGAAGAATTGCGATGGCTGGGAATCAAATCAATTGGCTTTTGTTACCTTTAAAGCTCGCTCTCAGACCGCCACGAGCACCGGACGAAGCTCGTAGCAGTCATAGAGCAGAGCTCAATGGCTGCCGACACAAGGCGAAATAGTCCAATCGGTGTGTTGCGTGGGGAATGACAGTTGTACACAGCGCAAGAAATATTAATAGAAAAAACTAAGGGAAGAGTGGAGGAAATGTAGAGTTAGTGTAGGGAGGGGGTCACGGGAAAATGTGTAGTCAGCCAAAGTCACGGGCCCCCATCATATCCACCACTACTCCTAGTAGTACTACTGGTAACAACAACTTTTCCTCATGATGGAAAGTGATTCATCCAGCCGTTTTCTGCTTTGTCGCAGAACGGGGTTTTATAAATGACCCTCGCTTTTCCTTAATCATCCCTATCCTGACTGGTATCAACCCGCCAAATTACACCTCTCCTTCGCCGCGTGATTTCACAATGGGGCGCACTTGAAAGGACAATATTCCCATTGTAGACTCTGCTGTTGGTCTATCTCATTTTGGATTGCGTCGGAGTTGATATTACTTTTCGATAGAAGACCATGGTTCCAGGCTCGGGGTTCACTATCTGATGTGCTGGCAGTGCGTCTCAGCTAGATGGGTTTCATATCGTTATGATGCCTCATGGATGCCTCGAGTTCTCGCTGACAGTCAATGCGACCGACTTTGGCCCATAGAAGTCGAAGTTTGGAGAGGAACTCTGGAGTAAAGACAGGACCGCAGATTAGTCGAATCAGATCGCTCCCAACCCCTGGACTAAAGAAGTTCACCTGAGGTGGATTGGAGGATGAAACGAACCAACGGATCTTCTCCACTCTGGTCCCCCGATCTGGTTCGTCTGAACAGAAGCACAGACACGGTCCATTTATCCATGGGAATAAGTCTCATTAGCAATTTGACTTCAACGATTCGGCCTGCTCACCACTTGGTGTTAGGAGGCCCTTCATTTAGTGGACTTCTTTTGGTCGCACAAGGATATATTGACAATCTCGGGAAATGATGATCGAAAGGAGAAGAAGAACAGAAGATTAATTTTCTTGTTCTCCTTGCCCCTTCCCCGTGCCCTTCCCTTCTCGTGCATGATACGTCCATTTCAAAATCAACCAAAATGAAAATTCAAGGGATGCTGATCGCTTTCCTGATCGGGCCGTATCGTCAACCGTCAATTTTCAACCTGGTTCTCTTGACAATATTCGATTTTGGCGATCGAAAGTTGAGACAAATGGGATGTAACTCTTAGTGGATCTGACGAGAACCGACAGTCAGTAAGGACAGCCCTACAGAACATCATCCGGCCCTGATTGACTGGAAGGAATCCCGTCCACCTGCCCGGTTTCATATCTATCGACGTACCTTGCAGATCCTGAACCACCCACCTGGGTACTTCTATGCACATCCCAGCCGAGATTGCTTTTATTACTTGTTGTCGCTCTCTGCAGCTCAGTGTGGTCACCGACGTTCAAAAAATCAAGGCTGGCATATGTTCTAACCCGAGAAAATCGGCAGATTGGGTCTATATATCGGCATGTAGAAGTAGATGATTCGCAGGCAGCGACCCTGGCCTTCATGAAGTGATGTCGAACGGCTTCAAAGTTCGAGGCAGGTGTAAGTTTTGTGGCCGGCAGCGTGCTGCTGCAAGCCCGGCCTTCCCCGTGAAGAATTCTTGGTTGACGATGCAGACGAGGCTCGAACGGTTTATTAAGTTTTGGTACTTATTACCCATGATCTGCACGGAAGACTGGAACCTGACTGTCGCCGCTCATAACCACTTGCATACTCGATATGCATGCGTATACATATGTAGGTACAGAACATGAGCATTGGGAGCATAGAGCGCAATTTATTGGACCCGTCAGTGTGCGCCCGTGTCCGTAGAACTCAAGGCGCCTTTTGCATGATTGGTATGCGCGTCATGGTCTAGACACCTGTCCTTCCCCATCCCACCACACACTAGCCAAAGGCTTTCAAATGCAACAAGATCCAGCATTTTGCGTGGATCCGGAAAAAAACTACTCGTCGCACGGGGGCAGACCCCAGCGAATTGACAGGTCAGAAGGATCCGGCTCTATGAGCAATACGAGTTGAATCAACCATGCCTCTGGCCTAATATAGAAAGTCAATGCACGCGATCGCCAGCTTGGTTAGCTTGCTGAGGGTGTTAAATTCGAAATACACGCTTATAAGTAATAAATGGACCCATATATAAGCATCACTAGTACGCGAATATACTTTAGCTTACATACTCTGGTGATTTCCCGGAACCAAACGACGGCGTTGCCGGCTGCACTCAACCCTGATGTACGAAAGGGTTTAAGGGAAAAATGCAGGAGGCCAAAGAGAGCTAGGGAGACAGAGAGAAGGGGGGCAACAAGAAAAGGAAACGATGAGGAGAAAATGGGCAGCGCATGACAGAGCATCAGTGGGCATAGAGGCTTGGGTCATGGCTATACTGGCCAGCAAGGATTTGCGAAACGATGTGCCAATGCATGAAGCCAACCTCTTCGGAGAATAACCTGTAGAAACGTTGGCTCTGAAAATCAGCCACTCGTATACCAACAAGCTGCGAGGGTGGAGTCAACAGTCGGATGTTGCAATAGAAGTCACCTCTCAACTTGGTGACCGTCCATTTGGAGAGCTCGAAGAATGGTCAACAGTGTGTCATAGCAACCGGCACGACCTGCTGGAATGCGGACCAAAACACTCTTTGCTGTACTCTTTGGTGGATTTTGCAAAACGAGGAAAATGGGATCAGAGCAGCATGGGAGGTACTGTGACGGCGTGGCTTCATTTCGCCGCCATTTAAGCTTCCTTCCTGACCTGCGATGGCGTTCTCGATAGTGCACTATAGAATCATATTTCATTGACTATGCTAACGATTGGACAGTCCTAACCTTATTGCCAAGCATACTGTTGACGGATCGACATGATCGACAGCCACTACAACCTGATACAGCTTTAGTGGAAGATCCTGGAAGACCTCCGCGGTCGAACTTTTGTCCAAGCGGGAGTGATCACTCACATTTGCAGGAGGGTCGGCCTTCAATTACCAGGTAGCTGGGACTGGGCCCCAAATACCGCACAACGTCTCCTAGTTAGAGTAGGTTTGCGATGTATGTGGATGAAACGCCCTATCCATTGCAAGTTATTTTGACGTCGATGACTGGCGAGTGGCGAAATTTCTCTTACGCCGAGTTAATCCCGGCTCCCTACAGCTATGCAGGTACTAATTATATCGATGGAGACCTACGTAGGAAAGGAAAGGAGCGTGACGGGGATCACTCCAGTTTAGAATCTAGCCAGCGCACTGCTTGCACTTTCCGCAACCGTGATACACTGGTTGTTTCGTTGCCAATGTGCCAATCCAATGACGTACAGGAGAATGGGTGCCTGACGGCCGTGACCCTAGTTGAGAATTGAATTCACAACACGAACGGGGAACATTGGCCATAACAGTGGTTGGTCTATGGCTCTCTTTTACACCCTGCGAGTCTAGGTTGCGGATCGGGATCCGGGTGTCTCCCTTGCTCCAGTCTCGATTGCCCGCGCCTTGCTGCAAGCGCTATCCCTAGGGAAGGGGACCATGTAAGGTCCGATAGGCTTTTGGCGTCCGTGCTTTCGGGTGATTGAGCTTTGTTTACACCATTGTGCATTGGCATGCGGCGGCTCCTCTCCCCGGCCTAGCCACCAATCCATCGGGTGGGCTCCAGACCTGAAAGAGGATCCATTGTGATATGTATAAACATAACCCCTTCGCCCTTGCCATTTTGTATACCCTGGTTACCCAGAGGCGCTCCCTATCGTTGGATGCTAATAGGTATTCAGCGTCTGTATTTGCTTCCGATGAACGCTCTATATCCTTGAGCATACACTAAACAGCTCCGTGCTTGTTGCAATATCACCCCATGGCTACCGCATACCATCCGCTTCCCGGGGAATTGAACGCTTTCCACCGTGGTCGCAATAGCTCCCAGACGAGCTTTTGCTTGCCCCCACCATTGCCGCAGAGGAAACGGGCTTCATCATTCTATCCACCGAGAGATCCTGTGGCAACAGACGAAACGAACCCATTCTACCTCGAGCGCTCTCTGGAGTACGGAGCCCGGCGAGCTCACCGGTCTGGTGCTCGCGATGTTAGATTCAGTGAAGAAGCTAATCAGTATTATATGCTATCCACCGTGAATCCTGGACAAGAGCTTCCTTTCCCTGCTCCGGTTCGTGGGGAGACTGCAAGGTCTCGTACTAATATCAATCGGTCAACACTCTCGGTGGTCGAACTTGAGCATCAACAAGCTCTTCAACAGATTTCACCACAGCCTTGGGGTCATTCCAGCCACTATAGCCAAGGATCGTTTGGATCAGTGCAAACAGAGGCTACTCCAGACTTGACCCCAAGCAGTTCCTTCTCCTCGAACTACTCCACTCCCCTATACCCGGACGACACAGTCAGACTGGGCGAGCAATCTGCCCGTCATTCCCATAAAGATACACCATCTGGAAACCCGAAACTCTTCTATCCCTTGACGCCCCGGAGCCGTCCTCATACGGCGGAGCCACCCAACCATCTACACCCCCTCGGGAAGCCAGCCTGCGGACTGCGCCGTCCAACGCGTCGTCTGATACTTTAGTCATGCCTCAGCCGGACGCTCTGGACTCCTACCGTGGAAAGCCTCTACCATCTCTGCCTGCTGTTGCGCGCAATGCAAACACTTTAGCAAACAGAAGAGCCCAAACAGCCATTGGGAAACCTCCCATAGAGGCATGTATGATCTCTCCTCCTTGCCGCATCAATCCCGTCACAATGGAGCCTCACACAACCCGCTTTGACGAAACCATGTTCATCCCGGCCAATGACTGTCCAAGTCCTGTTCCTAGTCCAGGTCCCAATTCGCCTTCTATGGATAGGCCAGCCCCATTTGGTCGGGATCGGCCGTCCACATCCACATCCGAAGTGGTATGTGAGCAATCAGTGTGGGAGTCAGACTCGGATAGCGAAGACGTGGATCCGAAGTCGCGGTCGAGGAAGCCTATCGATACATTGAAGAAGGTCCGCAGTCGCGTACATCTAAGGGTGGCCAAGTCCGCCCCCAAGTTACAGAACTCCAACAACAGCCCTCAAGCCCTAGAGAAATGCCCTACGACGCCTGACAAGCCGCTAGAAGATCGTTGCCCACCCCCGGTCAGGTCAGCTGGGAAATCTCGTTTTGCTCCCGATAAGTTCCCATCGGCACCCCAAACGGTGCGTATCGTCGCCCCATCGACCACATCCCTCGTGCCTCCACGGACGCCTCGCTCCCGTCGCAACAGCAAAGTAGAGCGTCCAAACTTTGACATCGATCGATCGACAGCAGCCGCGATGCAGGCCAAATCGAGGCGTAAGCCACGGTCCAATTCGCCCCATTCGTCCCTATCCAGTGAAGGCGATAAGATACGGACGTTGTGCCGCGAAGAGCGATCGGACAAAGCCATCCAGAGTTTGTCACCTTTACGACAGCCTCTCTACAAACGTATTTGGGAGTCGCTACGCGTGCTCGGGTGTCATGGGGATATGCCACCTCCTAGGCCACGCAAGGCCATGTAACCGTCTTTGTTTTTTTCTTTTTTACATCGATAAATATTCTCTGTGCTTGAAAACCGCGGGGAAAAGCTTGGAAGGCGTTGGTGTCTACAGGAACGCTTTCGCGTCCACCCTACGGACGATGACGATAACTTCGCTTGTTCTGTTCCTTAAATAATGTCTTATGAAGCTGCTTTACGGACTCCCGCGGATGGGAGTCGGTGACGAAGAACGCCCGATCACATTGTGCCATGGTGCCTTTCGATGATTTATGAGCTCGACACGTTGAGCATGAGACCGCAGCTATTTTCTACTAATGGTACCGCTGCGATGAATGATTTAATGTAGTACGATGATGAGGCTACGGGATTTGGATTCCCGCTCTTGAGCTTTCGGCTCCTCTCTTTCATTTCCTTGATTGACTCGCTCACTCTCTGTGATCTTTCCTTCGTGATTTTTCCAGTCATTCTCTCTATCAAACCGCGCACACTCTCTGAAAATTTCCTATGGTCAAACGTTGATGATGGCTATCACTCTTTTCCATCCGCTCGTCAACCGACACACTGTGTTTCTTTTCTCATCCCAAACAACAATTAGAAAACAGCCAGATGAAAGTCTAGGACAAGGCGCAAGCCACCTGACACAATCCACTTCCAATGAGCTCTCAACCACTTTCCAATGGCTTCCAGTAACACACTACCTACGCGTAGATCGCGATCTACAATGTGGGGTAAAAGCTCGTACTTTCCGCCAGCTCTCCTCTGTTTTGATTCCCCCCTTGCGTGTGGCGCACCCGACAGCATTTTCCCCCCAACCCTATATCCCTTAGCTCCGATCATAGCCGGCTCGGGAGTCCAGACCAAGGCCTCGGGCGACCTCGCATTCCCCGACTACCCTGGTCTGGTCCCAGTGGCTGACTGAAGTCTATCCTCGCTGCTCTCCTGTGGCCAACCGTGTCCCTTCGGCTTTGCTGGGGTAACGGGGTTTCGTGTAGCATGATTGCGTTATACCGGGGAATGGAGTCCTTTTGGCAGTGGCACAAGAATCCTGCGTTCGGGATATGAACTGAAACAGGTCCAGATGAACCTTACGGGCTGTGTTTTGGAGAATCTGGTATCTTGTCGTGTGCTTATCCTACGTTACGTTTGTTCATGCTTGCGATGTTACATTCGCGTTCGTTGAGGATATTGTTGATTGATGCAAATTCTCTCGGTATCGTATATTCGCTGGTGAGTCGGGATAGAGGGTACTGTGTATTGTACGGTCGTGTATAGTATAGGGTATGTTTGAATACTTGAGGATGTACTTGAATGTGTGTGATTGTAGGCATTAGTAATTCTTGTACGCACCGGAGAATGCTTTGATATACATGGATGTCACTGATCGGCCTGCAGTTTTTATGTTCAAGTGCACCGTCGCGTGAGATGGACAGTGACCAGATCATTTAGTTTCAGACTGATGAGGTGTTTCCTCTGCTGTAGTAATTCATACCAGTTCCTATCTTTCTTTAACCCATAGTCATGAATGAATGGCATACAAGGTGGCACACGTCCGATTCACCTTGTGCCTGACATGAATCATCTTGGAATAAAAGGCCAAAAAAAACCCCCCCAACATAGATCTTCCCTGAAATCCACACCGACAATCCCCTAGCTGGCAGAAACCACACCCCCCAAACATCATCCACCACGATCGCCCGATCGCACGATCACCACCACCACCACGATAGGATGGATGCAGCTGCACGTAAACCAAGTAGTATTCAGGAACCCGGCCCGGCATCCGCAGCAGCGGACATCCCGAATCCTTGCAGCAGCCTCAGCTCTCCACCGCCAGGCCGCAAGGTCCTGAAACCGACGTGCGGCACGCGCAGGCGCAGGAACAAAAGACCCTGCAGCAGAACTCGACGGGGAGCGAACTCATCCGCGGACCGGGCCAGGGGAAGTGAATTCAAAAATTCCCTTTCCCACCGGCAAGGGGAGGGAGGGTCCAGAAGAACTCGGCAGGTGAGACAAATCCGCCAAGAAATGGGGGATTCTGGCCGGCGGCCAGAGAAGCACACAGGGGAAGTAAGAGGTAGCTGTAGGTAGGTCTGTAAAGCCCGTGCACCGGGCTCAGCTTTGTTCCTGTTTGTCCTCTTGTGGCTTCGCATCTTTCATCTCAAGCGCGTCCATGGTCTCCTCCCAATGCGCGACTTTCACTTTCTCCTCCCAGGTCGAAATGGCCTTGTCCCCGAGGCCCCGCAGTCGCTCCTCCGGTTTCAATTCCTCAGTGGTCCCATCTAGACCGGCGAATACAGTCTGCACATCCAATTCCCGGATGGCAGCCTGATAGAGCTTGAGAACCTTTTCCCTCTTCTCCATCCTGCTTTTCACCGCCTCCTCGCTCTCCGCGGAAGAAGATGACGCGCCACCACCACCACCACTACCACCGCGCACAGCCCCAGGCTTCTTGATCACCGCCGACGAGGCCCGACTTTCGTACCCGCGGATCACGCCCTCAAGAATGCCGAGGATTGTCCCCGCGCGCATGCCCAGCTGGGCGCCGACGGGGAAGCCCGCGTCGAAGCCGGATTGGACGTGTTCGGTTTTCGAGGCCGAGACGCCGTCGCGATAGCCGGCTGTTACATGTTGGCGGCGCAGGGAGGGCAGTTCGGAGGGTTCGGACTGCGATGTGGTGGTGGTTGTGCGGGTTGGTGCGTCGTCGTGGGGTGGGGAGGAGCCGAAGATGTCGTCGAGGCTGTTGTTGTTGTTGGTGGGGGGGGAGGTCATCGTTGCGGTTTGTGTGGTCTGTGTATTAACGTAGGTAGGTGTTTAGAGGGATGTAGTGTGGTGTGTTGATCGTAGTGTGTGTGTGCGTGGTAATGAGTGGATGTTATGATGTTGTAGAGAGGTGTAGAGAGGTGTGTGTCGCAAGGAAAAATTGGAGACCCAAAAATGGAGTTCGGAATTCAATGGAGGGGCAGCCTTATCTTATCGCAGATCAGATCAGATCACGTCTATACATACAATTTATTTTATGCAGCGCACACCAATGCCATAGTTCCCACGTACTCTACCTACTCTACCTTCGAAACGCTTTTTTTAATGACTGGAGTAGTCCCACTCAGTGAACAAACCGAAAGTCCAACCGCTTCACCCCCTCGTCCGTCGTCGTAAGTAAATAATCACTCCTTTCCTCCTCCGACATGGATTGCCACTTCCTCTCCCTCGTTCTGTTCCTCCAAACGTAATACGCCTTGACTGCATAGAACAAAACGACATTGAACGAGCAAATCGCTAGTAGAATCTTATTGCCCCGTCGATACAGCGGACTATCATCTTCCCGAAAGATATTACTCCCGATGATATTCCCCCCCTGCACGCACATATTGTATAGCGCGGCGCCGACGGCGCGCGTGCGGACGGTGTTGCTAATGCGCGCGTTCCAGCCGACGAGGATCGCGTGGCAGTATGGATAGCTGAGGAGGACAGTGCTGATGGCGTAGCGGATCCAGGTGCTGGTTGATTCGGGGAGGGCGACGAGGGCGATCAGGCAGGGAAGGATCCAGATGTTGGAGGTGGAGGCGACCATGGCGCGCTCGTTGAGTTTGTCTGAGATGCGAGTGATGACGAGGAGGTTGACAGCGAACATGAATTGCGAGGGGATGGCGAGGAGGTTGGCCTGGAAGGTGGAAAAGCCTAGTCGCCGGAGGATGTACGAGAGATAGTTTGCGTGCGGTTGCGGTGGGATGTAGATGAGGAGGCCGAGGAGGTAGAGGGGCCAGAGGTCGAAGTCTTTGAGGCACTTGATGAGTGCAATTGGGCCAACTGCTTGTCTGTTTTGGTGGAGGACTGAGTTAGAGATGGGTAGTGGTTGAATGGAGCTTTGGAGACGGACCTGTTATTCATGTCGCCCTTGGACGGGTCGTCGCGCAGAAGCCGGTTCACGAGGATGAGTTCCTCGCGATCATTGAACCAACCATCCTTGCCTCGGAACCAGCTTCTTGTTTGGCAGGGACCCGGAGGCATAAGGCCCCAGGATAGGACTCCGATGATAGCGGTAACTAGTCCTTCGAGGAGGAACCTGCGTCGGGTGTTAGTCCAGATATAGCGAAGGAGAGAGAGAGGTGCATTTACAGCCATTGCCATCCACTCCATCCTCGAAGTCCACGCATCTGCAAGATACCTGCGGCAAGGAGGGATCCAACAATATTGCAAGTACTGCTCGGGGGTTAGCGTGGTTGTGTCCAGTTGTTGGAGCCATGGCTTACCTGATCGCTGTCCAGAACCAACTGAGACGAATGGGTAGTTCTCGTCCTTTCTACTTCATGTTAATATTTATTTAACACCAAGGCGAGCTCGGTACGTACATAGAAGTAAGATAGCCATAGTACTATATCACTATAGAGAACGTTAGTATAGATACTCAGCGAATCCCATTCATAGACTTACGGGATAAAGCCACCCATCAGAAGCCCAAGAAGGGCTCGACAGGCAAAGTAGCCTGCCCTGTTTGAAAGGGCAGCCTGTGCAGCGCTGATGGTCGACCAGCACACAATAATAAAGGGTATCCATCTATCTGGCCCAACCTTCTTACTGATCAGACCACTTGGGAGCTCTGCTGCGAGGAAGGATACTAGGAAGATCTGCCATTGTCAGCCACTATTGGGAACGCTTGGTGAGGGGCAAGCATACAGTTTGTCCATAGTTAAAATCATTCGTGTTCATGCCTAGTTCAGGGAGCTGGTATTGGTTAGCTAGCCGGCTACCCATGAAGAACACCTTCACTCACCATGTCATCTGTGATTGCCCGGTTGATATTTCTCCGGTTTAGATCCAGGGAGCAGAACATTAGCCACGCCCAAAACATAATCCGCAGATCCACCTATATAATATTAACCACTGTACGATCCGACACGAAGACCCTTCAATGAGAGAACAGATGTGAAGTAAGCCAACCTTTCGGATCAATTTCTTCTCCTCGTCAGGAGTCCAGGTGAAGGAAGGATCAAAGCGATGACGACCCTCATATTGTGCTTTCTCATACACATTGGCCCAATATTCAGCAGCATCTGAATCATCAAAAATATGGTTCTGAGTTCCTTGAAACCCGTCGGAACTCTTAGTTTCAGACTCGTGACTGAAGAAGCCCTTCCCCATTGTGTTAACCAACAACGGAAACAATGGCAGATTGATTATTAGTCCAATACACCAGCCCAGATATACCGGTAATGACTTCAGGATCTTCGAGTTTAATCATTCTGCCCATGAGTATTGGTCTTTCATTTATAAGTTCGCGATAACAGCTCCGAGATACTTCCCGCACATGATTGCAACAATAGGCCAAGGATTGTATCATACAGCCAAGCGGTTTATCCGTTGGCCAAGACATCATCATAGCCTTTACTTGCACCGTTCTGCAGAGGCTAGACACACATCTTCAAGGTGTTATCTCGCATATACGTATTTAAAATCAAGGCCAAGTATCGTGAGATATTATGGGCATGGTTCCAGTCAATCAACGTTCAATCCGATCAACATAAAGTTCACGAACATCGCTAAACCCCTCATTAGTATAGATCAGGACAAATCTCAATGCAATAGCCGAGCTGTGGTAGGGTATTGATTAACATGTCCAGTTGTGACTCTCGTTTGGCTTGCCTAGTTTATACTAGCCATCATTCAGCGTGTGGGATACGCGGCGTATGGTGAGAAAACTTTGGAGAGCCAGGTTCAACAATAGTGATGATGACCTTTTCACGACATACCTCAGAAAAGGATTTGGCATTATTTTATATAAACACAAGCCAATAGCGCTCAACGAAAGAAGGGTGTTTCATCGAAATACCAGACGTACTAGACGGATGTAGCTACCGTTTGTGTCTTGCAATAGACAAAAGAAACGCGACGGTGTAGCCGTAATGTCAAAGACTAGCATTCAGTATAGAACATCCTAGAAGCTGTACTCACTTGTGTAGAATGGTAGGAGCTATGTAATCAGTGTACATAAGTATGATGTCGGCATATGATGTTAATAACATGCAATCCTGACTGCATGTCTCATGAACTCATCGACGGTAGCACTCATCTCGTGACTATCCAGAGCCTGGAAGCGTAGCCTGAGGCATCTACACGTTCGACGAGTTACAAATATTTTCAGAGGAATTTTCATATGAATCAAAGGGACATTTTGCACTGACTCAGAGCAGTATATCTGTATTAGTCGTGGCGTGGGAGAATTTTCTGTACTGGGCTCTTCCTTTGTACATTGCCTCAAACACGGAGTACCTTCAGTCACCTCTCCATCACAAACAAGACCATAGAAGCCAGAAAAGAGAGAATAGACGTCAAATTAAGGATAAAAATCAAATTACAGGATACAAGAATACCGAAAATCAAGTTGACAAAAAGCTCACCCTCCGTCCCCGGCGCCGAACGCGTTTTAGCACCGGCGTCTTAGGGAGGGCTACGAAAACCCCGTAGGATTTTACTAGTCGAGTCCCAGGGGCGAGGAATGACGGATTCGAACCGCTGATCTACTCGAGCCTAGGACTTTGGGGGGCCGGACTCAGCGAGGCCTAAGCTTTCCGCTCGACTATCCGGCCCCCCGTTACTGGTACTGTTGGACACCTAAAACATCCGTTCACTATGATTACCGAAAGGTGCCTGGAGGAAGAGGCAGCTGTGAGGGCCTCGTCGGCCAGGCAGCAGAGTAGCATGCCTGGGGTCGAGGGGCAGTCCTGGTAATCATGATGTCAGGCTGAGGACTGACGAGGAAGGCGCCAGGGGACTGTCTGCCTTAGACATTAAGTGTTTGCCTGATGCAGCCAAGCTTGATTGCATGAACTCGAATCAGTCCCAAGCGCTTCCTAAGAAGTTTGACTGGAACAGGCATGGAAGTTGGTCAGACTCGCCGCGATGTTGAAATTACCCAGTGGTTGGACTGGCAGCTGGCTCCTCACTTGAGGCGAGAGACATGTGTGGGAGCATAACAGCTAAGGTATAAAAGTGTTAGGCCACCGCATATGGAATGCGTTGACTGGTCTCCGTCTGTTCGCACAGAATCACCAATGCCGGTACAGTGAGGTAGAAAGGCTTCAAGGACAACTCGAGCAGAGCATACGCCAGCGGCAAGACATCGCATACTCGGAAATGGAGCGCAAGTTCACTAAGAAGAGATTAACGATATTTGCACTTATCATTTGCGAGGAGTAACAGGCATGCTTATGATAGACAGACACATCATAATCACCAGGTCGGTCCGTATCGCATTCAATTCGCGACTCGGAGGTTTCCCATGAAGCTAGTGGTGCCGGTGTCAGTTGCTTGAAGAGTATTCTGTTGAATGAATAGTAACACATCGGTGGGCACTTTCATTTTCGTCTCCAAGATCCATGGATGTGGGAAGCACGTCTGGCCATCGTGGTTGTGTATATAGCGGACTGGTCTTAATCCAACAACCAACAGCTATTGATGTTGGGTGGCATGATAGGTCCGTGACTCCATGCTTCATTGACTTGATCTTTTCCAGTGCTCTAGCTCCATTTTAATACACATTAGCCCGCGACAAGAGCAACAATCTCGCCAAGGAAAGCCGAGTCACTGTCCGGTATTTAACATTGCTATTGGTTTGCTCGTAAAGCGTATCCACCTGACACTAGAGTTGTGGGGGTCTGCGCTTTTGGCGTAGCCCATTTGGCCCTGGGTCTTTTAGCTCTCCCGATGATCCTTATCAATTTGCGCGATTTCCGACTAGGTGGCGATCAAAAGCAACTGCTTGAGTCACTGAGCGTACCCGGTAAGTGTCTGAAACTCATTGGATACCACATTACAGGATCCGAGATATTTCCGATGCAAAAAAAAATGTCTGAAAATACAAGCAGGAAGCTCCTCTGCTCTGGCTACGTGTGACAGTTAGAAACATGGCTGCAGGGATTGTGGAGCCGCCAAAATTTAGCTTCTTGGGTGCTATACTTAGTGGAGACGGCGTGCAGTCGGGGTAACAAAATTCGCCGTTGCCAGCCACACATAGCCAAAGACTGGAGTTGGTCCCTCCGTCGCGACGTAAAAACCCTTTTATGCCGCAGCTTGCAATCTGGCATTTGATATGGAGGGCGCATGAGAGGGCTGAGAAGTATCATGTGACGCCCCTGGCCCCATGACGGGTCGGCATGACCCCGGTGATCGTCTTCTACATTTATATAAATAAAGCTGCGCCCCAGACCTGCCTGCCTCTTCTTATAGATCATATCAATAATCGTAGGCCCAGCCTCTAGCTGACCGTGACGTCCTTGCCATCCGACCCAAAATGGCAAGACGATCCCCAGCCCGCCTCCTCCTCACACTAGCAACACCCCCCTTACTAGTGGGTTACGGCACGCATTTCTGGCTAAACTCACTGGAAGCAAGATATCCCCATATTGCTCCAGATAGATCTAGCACCGAGCCTCTCCGTACACCAGCCAACTCAACAACTCAACATGTCCCCCACGTCGACATCTACGCCGCCCGGATCCGCCTCCGCGACCTCCAAGCACGGACCAGCAACCCCACAGAAAATCCCACGAAACAAGACCTGAACATTGCCTGGGCGCAATCACTACTGAACTGCACTGCACTGCGACTAGAAGGAAAAGTGATCGGACTCTTCCGCAAGTGTAAATTCGACCCAGGCGATCTGGGCACTACCCCGGCAGGATTTGGCCCCGATCCCGAGACGGGGGCCCCGCGCGAGCTTCTGAATGGGGGTATGACTGTTATTCGACAGCCGGTGGGCGACGAGCCTTTGTTAGTGAAGTGGGAGATTTCGGATGGACCGCGGCGGTTCTTCGAGGTGATCTCTCGTTGGGGGTATCCGTGGCGCTTGATGACGGGTGGACGGCATGAGATGAGTGTGGAAGGGCCGTTTGACGGTGAAGGGGATGAGGAGGGTCTAGGGCCGTTCGTGGAAGTGCGCTTCGCTTCGGCGCACACGTATGAGATTGTACCCGCGGAGGGAAGTCTTTCACAGCAGAAGACTATCCCCAAATGGGTTGCGAGGTTGCATCGTGGGTATGCAAGACTTTTGTTGGATACTGCTGTGAAGGAGTTGGTGGAGGGGACGGAGTGATGGGTGGCTTTAATCGCGTGAGCTTGACAACGCTTGATGTGATACTACGTTTTATGTTCGGGCTACTTTGTATCTTTATGTGATGCATTTCAGCGTATAGAGTCTAGATTTTGATATGAACGTCATAGAATTGCGCGCACTCGCAGGCGAATACTTTTAGAATTGTATTACTGTTGGCCTCCTATTGTGATATGTGGAAATTTACCATTGACAAACAATTATTTATTGTCTGAATGCTATAGTATCCCTATTCAACATTCGGTAGTGCAGCATGGCGAACGAGTAAGAGTTTTCTAGCTCTTGCACTCAAGAACTACTAGTATAAAGGCGAACCACGTACAGTACATTAAGAGTTCGAATTGCCACTGGTTAGCGCCAGTAAAAGAAACAGGCGATGTAATATTGAATGATATTGGACGTCAGACTCCGAGTGATGCGCTTCGAGGAAGTCGTCATAGTAAGCTAGTTTCTGGCATGGCGACAATTTAGTGAACTCGACAGGGAATATTCGCTGTGATCTTCGAAGGCAGCTCAAACCCCAACAGTGTGAATATATTCAGAGGGAAATACCGGGTCGTGAAGATAATATTCAAAAGGAGGAAGCTTCTCCTATGGTAATTCCCTCTTCAACTAATTCATCCTCCAAATATTCATTTGGGCATGGCGTTGCGTGGCAAGGCCCTATTCACAGCCCTAAGTCACTATGAGTAATCGTGAGGTATAAAAGCAAAGGTCTTTCCAGACAGAATATTCCACATCTCCACCTTCAACCACGACCCTGCTCAATAACCTCGATCTGGGTACTTAAGCATCTTTGATATTGACAACGTTGAATAGTATAGGCCTACAATACTACAAGCCTACAATACTACAAGCCTACAATACTACAAGCCTACAATACTACAAGCCTACAATACTGCACCCGTCTCTCATTTTCCGTTGACATGAACACAGCGACTGGACCTTGCCGAGCCTGCACGGTTTATTTACGATGACCGATGCAGTCAAAGATTACAGTAAACGGCGAGACCCTTATGCAAAAACCATAAGTCAACCCATTGACCGTACTCAGCACTACTGAAGAGGCGAGGCAGCTGACCGCATGGATTCGCAACCTGCCATCATTTGCGTGATTGGCCACAGACAGCGTCTATCACATTCGATCGATGCGCTTGATTATGCAGGGTAGACCTTACAGTCGGCAGAGATCATGGATCAATAAACCTACAAACGAATTTGACGCCAAGCTACGAGTGTTTACGCCCCTCATGACTTGCAACCAGATAAATGTCTATGGACAGTAGACGCAGTGTGTCATAGATGTATTGAGGGAGATGACTCTCTGTACACCGAGACAGTTGGCTGGCGAGACTGGCCTCAACCGGCGGAGAGGCAGGTCCTGAACTGGCTAGCAACAAAGATCGAAAAGGCCAACGAAGTTGGCACAAAAGCTGACTCGACCAACTCGTTGTTCTGGTATGCGTACTTCCTTATGTACTCCTGGACTCAGTATACCTAGGAGCAGGGCCAACGGTAGTTAGTGCGTCGAGGGGGATCAGTGTTGTGTCATGACAAGAAAAGACGAACCGATCCAGATGGCGCATATCTACCCATACAACATGATGGACAGACCCCAGACCGAACAGCAAGTCTTCCGGTTCTGGTTAAGAGCCTTTTGGCGAGCAGGTAAAATCAAACGTGGAAGAGAGTTGTCGTACCGGAGGGCTATGTCGCTCGGTCTACAATTCAAATTCATACACGATTAGGTTATATTACATTATTAGAGGGCATGGCAGAACCGCCTTGCACTGCACATACAGTCTGGTCGGCTTTTTATGAATCTAAACAATCATCTCGCGCGGTCAATATGCAACAGACGGCCATCCTCACTGCGCATACGACAAATGAAATCACCACCTCTATTCCTTAACTACTAGGAGGTGGAGAGCCAAAGGAAGTGCATAAGGCCTGGTCTCTCTCAACCTCATGACACTGGACAGCGGCAAGATTTGCGCTGGGCGCTATTAGACGCCCACATCGCCCAATCACACTATGATTCAATACTCGACTTCAAGTTACGAATATAGTTATCTTGGAAGTCCTCCCATGGGGTTTCTTATAGAGGTTCAACCACTGACGATCTGCGCTACTCAGCCAGGCGTAAGGGCTGAAGTCGAATACCTGGTTCGAGAGTTCTATCAGCAAAGTCGGCTCCTCTGCGAGGTACGGCGACGACGCCTTCCAACGCGTCTCGGGCCTAAATCCCGCCACCATACGATTCACAAACGCTGCGTCGCACGCTTCGCATTTGTTCAAGGTCGAGTATCATCTGAGTCGAGAGGTTGATATTGCCATATCTGCGAGTGTCTGCAGAAAGCCGCCGAAAACAATACCCAATCCTTGATGCTTCAGATCTCCCGGGCCTTCGAACTTGAGCTGTAGTCAGCATAGTGTCCGTTAGGTACCGGCGGACACACTCGCATAGGGTAGACAGTCAGTGAACACCCCGACATGGTACTCCGCAGTCAATCGGACCCATGAAGGGTACTATATCTGTACATGCCTTCAATCCTGAAGATGAGGAATCTGTAAGGGAGGTGTTGATCGATTACGGTCTCCTATTCTAAGAGCTGAACGATAAATACGAAGAGGATACCTGGCATGGAAGTCAGAGCAACACGCGTGGGAATGGGCCATATTCACGGAAGCAAGACGGTGTTTCCCGCAGGTGGAATGGCCACGACGATACGCGAGCCCGTTTACGTTTCATACTGACGCAATATACTGATCATTCGGCGGAGGGTCTCAGCTCATCAGTTATTAAACCGGCCGTTAGCCGCGAATAACACGATCATCATCGCCTGCAAGGAACCGCATTACACCATCAGTAGAACTGGAATCTATTGTCACAACTACTTAGAGACCTGGTTGCTGTGTCGAGCTGAAGGCCGCGTCACAGATACAAAAGCCGCGTGCTCAATTAATGTTTTATGGGCCTATAGCGTGGTACCGGCTCCAGACGACTATAGACGTGGATGTTCCAATGCACAGGATGGGCAGCGATGGTAGAGATTACATCATTGCAAAGATTGTTCTCCGATCCGGCAACAGCATTTACGAAAAGGCAATTGTTGTGTAAGGCATCGCTTTTCTATAGCAGAGTTCTATTTTGCGGACAGTAACGAAGGCGTTACTTTCATACGAGCATCGATCGTGAAGAACACATCACAGTCGACTTGCCCGATTGGGACGAGGCAGTAAGATCCGATGTCGTTTAAAGCAAAAGTCTCCCCTAGTCGCATGAGACCTTGGGCTTTCTCCTTGGTCTTGGCTTGGTTTTATCTTTCTCTTCTTTTACGTCATTCCAAACAGACAAAGGCACTATTAGAGCTGTACGCTAACTAAGGGTTTTATGTTTCTATCTACTCGACCAAAGTACAATCATTAGAACAAGGAGACAACCTCAAGAACTGCTCTGCTGATATCATGACGGCGATAGCCAAGTCTCGTGCCCAATCTCTGGCTAATCTTGGGACGGCTAGCCTACTTTAAGGGAGCCACGCATTGTAAGTCTTATATTGATGCACGAAGGATAGAACTAACTAGGGCTTTAGGATGTTTTCTAACCCCACAAAACCTTGTCTTCAAAATTACGGACCCCGTTTCCGCATTTCGATGTGTCAAGGGCTCTAACCATGGACATGGGGTTATTGGAATTAGTAGACCATCTATTACTCAGTGAAAGAGTGGTCCGAGAGACGGACGACCGCAAAGCGTCGACCGCCAACCCCGGTTGGCCCAGAGGGATCGCAATGTTCCAGCTTAGAAGGTCGAGCAACAATGAACCCAATGTCATCGTTCACTGTCATCATGATAATATAGTAGCATGTCCGCTCAGGACGTTCGCTCGAGCCTTCTGATGGCCTATCGACCCCTAAAAGCACTCCATTCACAATACCCTTATCATCAAATTCAAATCACCACTATGCGAAAGGTCAGATGAGATATATACCAAATATCCTACGTTTGCAAGTACCAGCGGCATCACGGCCTTTTGTGAAATGTCATGGAATTCCGTGATACGGTTTGCCTTGATCCTCCACAAGTCGATAGTGCTACCAAGGAGAGTTGGTCTAGACAGCATTAACAGAAGTCTGTAGGCCAGATAGCGGGGTATATACAAGACAATAAGGTCATATATGAGCTTATGTCAACATACAACCAAACGTTCTTTTGTGGCAGGAGCGGGACCACGTTATGGGTTGGCTTTTGCGCATGTCTGAACCATAGGCTCCAGGCTCCTGCAGCAAAGCTGCAGCATGAATAGCACCAAGTCAAGTGCGTTGCACCAAATGCACTTCGTTGGATGTATGGAGGAATGACAAGTGCTGGCACCAGTTGTTAGAGCTGCCATCCCGACTGCTGGGCTTACTCGCAACATGCCAGTAATATCGTGGCGAGCTTAAGAATCGACTCGGTTATTGTTGAGTTCTTGATCTCCAGCTTAATCAATCACTATACCCGATCTCCGGTACACAGCGGGATGTGATCGGTTTACAAGAGACGAATGTGCGAAGATCGTGCGTACCATACCATTGAGTGACACCCCCAACATCAGCTACTGCGGGTGAATGGCCTGACTAAACCAGTCAGTGCTCTGTACGAGACGAGCTGTGGCAGGGCATCAGTGGTTTAAGAGAAGTGCCCTAAGTGGGGGTGAGCACCAGCGTATGAGGGCTATCGGCTCATTTCACCCACATCTTATCTTGACTCTTGAGACATATAACACTTGGCTATACCAGCTTACACTATCAAAGCGGTTGATTGCACCTTGCCCAAGACTGAAAGAGAGTGGAAATTGTCCGCTGGGAAACATAAGGTGACGAACCAATCCCTGTGGATGAATTTGAAATTGAATTTCGCGTCTAAAGTCACCTATAAGCAGTTTCTCTTCTTCAGGGCCATCCTCCCCTCTATTGCTTGTTCATGGGGGATAATCCCATCAATTTCAAAGCTGAGGTGATTGATTTGGATTTAGCGCCAACCAACTTGGATCCTGAGGAAAGCGAACATGGCAGTCCGCTTGACTTGGATGAGGATGAGAACGATGACTATGTGAAGCGGCCTTTAACAGGGTGGCAGGTTCTAGTATAATGGCACTGGTAAAGTTCAACTTTACTAGCTTCTGAGAATATAACATAGCCAGTTCGTTCCTCAGGATAGGACAGTTATTAAGATTAGGTTCCGAACGCCTAACAAATTCATATCTTTAATCCTCCTTACAAATCGAATGCCCTCTTCTATGAAACTTTGGTTTCTATCAAACGGTCGCCGATTGATGCTCGAGACCTGAATCAATTCCAGTGTTTTGCAAAAGTCTGTATTAAAGAATATGCCAGGTCTATTCCACGACCTGACAATTAGCACAGTACAGATGAACATATACAAAAAAGAGAAGTGGTTTGGTCTCAAAACCATATACCCTCTTCTCATGGCACCTTCTAATCCATTAAGGGATACAGGGCCCGCCAGAATGAGGGATTTGGTACGAGTACGCGCGCTGAAAACAAATACCAGGGTTAACTCGAACACTCATGACAGCGACCTAGGTATATCCACATCGTCCGATAGGTACACGTAACTACTTCTTGTTGCTGGCCACACTTGCTCATCGCCAGATGAACTCTTTTTCTCCAACTCTGGACTTGGGCTGCCGAACTTCCGAACCAACTCTACATGCAGCATTCTCGCAAAGCTGTAGGAGAAGTTAGTCGTGCTGTTGAGAAATATGACCTACGGCTGCTGTTGCATGAGAATCTAATATGCCAGAATCCATCAGCATCATGGACCTGGAAAATGCAAGACGCGGACCCAATACCGGGAATATGAGCTGTCCACAGCGAAACAGACAAGTAAATTAGATGCTGAATACTTTGCTCGGTGGCAGTTCTGAGGAGCGCTGTTGGTCGAGAAACTTACTTGCTGGCCTGAACTAGTTGAGGCAATTGACAGGTAGTTAACGGCATACAAGCTCATTGCGTAAATTCTCCTCCCCAGCTACTCAAAAAGACAAAGCCCTGTCGTCTGCCAGCTTTGTTGCACCATGAAGCTAAGTGAAGTCGACAACAGTCATGTCCCCATGTTACAGTTATCTCTAATCACGGTACTGCTACCTCTGTCTTCCGCCAGCAAACCACTACGGACGAGTTAAACAAATGACCACAATGGACGGACACTATGAACAAGAGGTTACGCGCAGAACAGGCTCGCAAATGGTGGAGGGTAATCGCTGAGGAGGTCAGCTATCTCAGTAGAGCGGCTGTTAGCCCTTTGGATATTATTAGGGTAGACTCGAGTCTCCTGGCTGCGAATCTCGAGATAGAATCATATCTACATACCTCAAAGAGAGACATAGTAACATAGCTTGAAGAGACTCGTATGTAACAACCATGCTTCGCTCAATATCGATTACGGGCCATGCCCCATCTCTAGATATAATCCAGCATTATAGCACATAACAACATTCACACCCATTATCACTAACCCAATTCCCTCCAACCCCAACAGAACGCAAAGAGAGCAAAGAAGAAGAAAAAAAAAAAGAAATCAATCAATCAATCACACTCTTCCCCCTTGGCGACAGCCGCCACCCCCTCCACCCCTCATACTTAACACAAACCCCCCACCCATTGCGAATCTCGCCAACCAACTCCCCAGCATCACAGTCTCCGCTTCCATACATACAGAGATCGAACTGCGGCTCGGACGGACTCTTCCACGAGACCGTATCCACAATACTCAGATTCAGGCCCCGGACGGCGGTCAAATCCACACACGATCGCTCGGATACGCCCTGCGCATGGTACACGCTGATGGCGAAGTTGGAGCCGCTGGTTTCGCAGCCGGGTTTGAGGAGGCGGAGGTCCCACTTTTTTTTTTTGGTTGGCGTTTTAGGTTAGTTTCATAGACGGTATTTTGGAGATGTGGGTTAGGACTGGAATGGGGGGAAGTTACGTTTCTGGGTCTCAGGGTGTCGGCTGTGGTTGCGGTTCCTAGGGTCGCTAGGGTGGTGAGGAGGGTGAGGGTTGGGAGCTGCATTTTGGGTGGTGTTGGTTGGGGTGGGATTGAGGGAGAAGTGACGATCTAGAACAAAGGACGAGGCGGCTATGGGTTCGAACTTATTTATAGGGGGAAACGAGGTGCCTTTATTTTCTTTTTCTTGATCCACCTGACTCGAGGTTTTTACTCATTGAGTTTTGTCCATTGCCAGGAACCCGAAATCACTAATGCGGCCACCCGAAACACGGCAAATGACAAAACTCCGGGGCACTTCCACCGGGCCGGCCATTGGCTCGGGGATGTGATGAACTACGAGCAGGGGCAGGAGTGGTGGACTAGCGAGCATACAGCGATGCAACCCTCATTTCTTAGCATACAAGGATCTTGGTCCACAGTTCTATTAATACATCGAATGTGCAGGTCGGTGGCAAAGAATACGGCCCGTATTCATCTATAGTAAACCCGTTTATCGCTTTTCTCTATTTTGCCCGTCTATTGCCGGCTGTTCGGGGATAGCCGCCACGCCCGCAGGGGAAGTCCCTGCAGCTTCAGCACGGCCGGTCGGATAAACATGAAAAAGGTGACGGTGCCAATCAACACACAGATAATGTTCGTCGTGTAATATCCATCCCGAAGGGTGTGGCAGGAGCCGCCGCCATTTGTGCAACGGTTCTTGTCGGGTTCCAGAGCACAGGAGAAAGGCGCTGTAACCAGTTCACCCTTCAACTGGTCCGCCGCGGGAGGAACGCTGGGAGGGGTGCACGTCGCCTCCGTGAACATGTCCACAAGCTTCAGGATGAAGTAGCGTGGGAATGTGCCGCCCAGGTTGGAGACACTGCGCGAGTCAGTTTACAGTTACACCAATTTCATATCATGCAAAGGGGCGGGGAGAGGAGAGGGTGGAAACTCACGTAGCCAGCAGGGTCATGTACGTCCCTCCAATCGCGGGATCGGAGATGCGTGCATGGAATGCAGACACGGCCACAAACATGACCGTATTCATAAAAGTCGACAACACATGCTCCCCAATCACGGTCAGCATATACCAAAACGGCACTTCCGATCCCGACGGATAAATCATAACGGTCAACTGCGCCAGAACCGCCGCCGCCAGTCGTCCCATGAACGCCCAACACCATAGGCGCATGGGAGTATACTCGGTCGACCATTTGCCAGCGTAGTAGCCCAGGCCAATCTCGAACGGGAAGTCAATCAGCACGACCAAGGCCATGTTGTCTTGTCCAAAGCCCTTGTCCAACAACTTCAAACTGGTTACGCCGTCGTTGGCCTGGAATCCGATCTTAGCGATCAGGTGCACCAGAATGATGGTCTGAACGTTCTTGAGTTTGAGCACGCTCCACATGCTCTTATACACATCCGAGATACTGTCCCGCTCATGGGTTTTGTCTTCCTTCTTCATGACAGCCAGACACGTCGTCACGACCAGGTACGCCCAGCCCCAGAACGTCAGATACGTCCCCAAGGAAAGTAGGCCCCCCTCTCCGGGGGTGGCCCGGAACCAGCGATTGGCGAAATCCTGCGAGTTGAATGCCAGGAACACCGTGTACGACAAGAAATGGCCCGCTGTCAAGCCGACCGTCTGGGCGGTCGAGGCATAGGAGATGTTCGGCGGCGACATGAGCGTAATGGCCCATCCGTCCACCGCAATGTCCTGCGTGGCGCAGAAAAACACCAGCAGGAACCACCAGTATGTAAAGTTCCAGACCCCAGCGCCGCCGTTAGCGCCCGCCTGCACCATCATATCACCGATCTGCCCGCCCAAAAAGATCATGGCCAACCCGGCAATCACCTGGACCGGGGTGATCCAGCTCTTGCGGCGACCAAACCTCCTACTCCAGACCGCATCCACAATGGGGCTCCATAAAAGTTTGAGCGAGTAGGGGTACGAAGCGAGGGAGAAGACACCGATCTGGCCGTAAGACAGGTAGGGTTTGAGGAGGAACGGGACCGATCCCGTGGCTAATCCCATGGGTACTCCCTGAAGGAAGTATAACACGCACAGTAGCAAGAAGTTTCTCTTATCGCTTGGTGGGAGGTTCGAGAAACTCGTCGTGGTTAGACCCGGTGTTTGCGGGGTGACCGGGGGGTCGTGGTCTAAGGAGAAGCTGGGGCGGGACATAATACGGGAGGCTCGTGCGGACGTTGTCGATTCGATAGAGGTGTCCCTCTTGCGCATTTCAATGTTGGAGTTCATTCCGTCTCTCACATAGCCGTTCTGGCCGGTCGCGACTCTCAGGGTCGGCTTGGAGCGACGCTTGGACACTGTACGGTCCTTGCGCTTCATCGGTAGTTCCGTTTGTAACGGGGGACAGTTCGGAGTCGCGTCGCGTGTCGTTTGTTGGGATTAAAGAAAGGCTGAAGAGGAAAGTCTTGATGAATGTTGGCGCGGCAGACACGGTTCGTGGGTGGCCCCTGGTCAGTTCTGCATACTAGTCGATCGATCGCTTAGCTTAAACTCGTCGGGACGGTCGGCCCAGGATGACGTGAGAGGTGACGGAAAAGACAGAATTGACGAAGAAGAGTAGCGATATAGGGTCAAATGAGAGTATAGAGTGAACTTGGGAATTGAAAAGAGTCCAAGGGATAGGAGTTTTCGACCGGCGTAGTTCCTCCGATATCCGTGGAGGCGAAGCAAGTAAAGGAAAGTCAAAGGTGTCCTTAACCGGTAAACTCGGTTTCAGGGTCACTCACTCATTCATTAACCCAAAGGGGAACGCAGACTTTCCCCGGGTGACCCACTCGATCTGCAGGCTCCCATTGGCCCGAGCTTCTCTGCAGAAGAACATCGGTCACCCAACGATCTACGCCGTTCTCGCTACACTTTCTACGTTCTACATTCTACGTTCGATATACGACATGGCGGTTATCTTCATAGTTTTTGATTTTCTCGCTCAAAGTACTGGAATCGACTCGCCATCCTCTCCGTTACTCTTCAACAAAAGATTTGTCACCTCCTCATGCCCGTTCACCACAGCCTGAAACAATGGTGTCCGACCCAGGAAGTCCTTAGAGTCTACATCCACTCGTCCACTGTCAATCAGCAGCTTCACAATTGCAACATGGCCATTCTTTGAGGCCCAAGCGAGTGGCGATGAGCCGTCGTAATCTCTCGAGTCCATGTCCACCTGTCTGGTTTCTAGCAATAGACGGATCACTGTCTCGTGTCCATTTTCTGCAGCCCAGGAGAGTGGTGTTCGGTTACAATTGTCTTTAGTATCCACATCAACTTCTCCCGTGTCGATCAGCAGTTTGACTAAGAATTCGTGTCCATTTTCTGCAGCTCGAGATAGCGGTGTTCGGCCGGCCTCAGAGTCTTTTGAGTTCACGTCGGCTTGTCCAGTTTCCAGTAGCTGCCTGACCACCGCCTCATGTCCAAACTCCGCAGCCCACCCGAGTGCTGTCGACCCAGTGACATCTTTTGAGTCTACATCGGCTTTTCCAGTGTCGAGGAGAACCTTCACTACCGCCTCATACCCTGATTGTGCGGCCAATGTTAGTGGGGTAAGAAGCAGATGATCTTTTGAATTCACATCAACTAGCCCTGTGTCAAGTAACAGTGTTACTACAGCGGCACTCCCATTCTCTGCAGCCCAGCCTAGTGGTGCCCGACCCAGCTCAAAATCCACGGCGTTCAGATCAACCTGTCCGGTTTCAAGTAAAAGCTGGACCACCTCCTCGTGCCCGTTCATCGCGGCGAAGGACAGTGCAGTTAAGCCTGTTTCGTCGCTCGCGTCCAGGTAAGCGCCCTCCTGGATGCTGATTTGTGCAGTATCTTTTGCTCCGTATGCTGCAGCCCATACGAGCGCTGAGCTTTCTGAGTTCCGTGCGTTGAATCGATACAAGTATGGGTTGATGACAGCATGATGCAGATGGTTGACTTGGGATAGAGCATTTATATCCTCCTCTGTCTCAAGAGACTCAGCAACAGACAATAAAAGCTCACAGGGCAAGCGCAGTAGCGACATCGTTGTTTGTTCTGGGAACCTAAGGGCGGGAAGCGGGACCGATAGCGGGCGGTATGGGTGTTCTCGCACACACGGCGAGCGGCATAAGACTTGACACTAGCTTCAAGCGGGGCACAGATGACGGAGAGTTGACAAGATTTTCTCGGCCTCAATGTGACCGGCCTTAACGCTGTCTCCAAGTGGGCAAACTGCTGGCTGTTGAAACGACTGCTGGCACACACCGTGACCTCCCGCTCAACGCCCTACCTCTTATACCCCTCGTCTGTCTTCCGTTGTCTCTAACTGCTACCTCGCGGATTCACTAAGACACTGAGTAATGAATTAACTAAATTACTGACTAGCGTACCGTGACCTCAACGAGGAGACGCTCGAATCCAACATCACCGCTTCGAACGGGCCAGAAACGGCTCTGATTGGTCAACGGGTGTTGTAAAGTCGGTATGCCATCGTTGGTTCATCGTCTTAAGACACGCAGTAAAAGCGGAGACTGAGACGCCGTCGATCCTTCTTTTGTACTAGACTCATGGGTCCGGCCGGGTACCGAGGCAATGCTAAAGTAGTAGGCCTTTACTACTCCGGTAACCTTTGTCGTTTCTAGCCTTTACGGCCTTTCCCACGGTCCTAGTAGAGGAATTCCGGAGTATCCAGTACCTGTCGATACCCCGATACAGTTCCTAATTTCTCCGTTAGCAGTCTAGCCCCCCCGATATAACACTGTAGACTCTCTACGCCTATACTTCCTTCCCTAATATATGGACAACTCAATCCCCAGGACCCTAATTCTTTATCATATAGCTTCCTCTTCGATCCCCGTCTAGATTTCCATCCTTACTGTCCGGAAATGAAGCAAGAAAAGAAGGGCTTGATTGAAGGCCTTGGGAACCAGGCACCGGTAGAGGGATCACATGATTATCTTCATTTCAAGCGCATGGGTTCGATTATCGTCCACCATTCTTCCGTACGCCCGTTACGGCCTACCAGACAATGTATAAGAATTGCGTTTGAAGACGTTGATCCCTCAGAAATTGTCTCAGAGAATACTTTTCTTTCCCGAGCATTCAGTCATCTTGTTGTTGTCTATTTCCAGACCTGTGTTATGAAGGTGATAAGTTGAATGGCTATACTCAACATCTTACATGCCCACTTACTCTACACCATCATGGACAAGTACTACAAGGTAAAGTATCGTGAGTTGTATATTCGTATCTCTGAGACTTTGATGGCATGGTAACATACAACAAAGAACCATTCACTAACAGACAAAAGATATCTTACGGAGAGGGGAGAGGCGATAGTAACTGAATTCAGGGATTTTTTGTAAGTGTGTGCTTGGTGTAACCATTTCTCAGGGATTAATTGTTACTGTAGCAAGCTGATCTTCCGGATACAAAGCTCGATGAAGCATACTGTTTTACCGCTACATGTCTGACCAGCTCAGTGACTACAATCACAATTCTTAGTCACAGTGTGCATGTGTCCAAAGCCCGTCTGCATTCAACATCTACTATGTTGGCATCCACATGCGTAATGTTGCGTCCTCCTCAATACGACCAAATAAGTGAGAATATCCATTTTATATATAATATGCAAACCCATGTCAAATTCACACGGCTCTCAAAACGCGTACCTTCGCACATATCATACCTTTTGCTTCTGTCTTTCTTTTTCAAGCTCACTAGGCATGTTTATTCGCCCGCAAAATATACTCATCCCTCTCTTTCATCGCAAAGGTCCCGCGGTCCGCGGAAGCCCGGACTCCACCCCCAGCCAAGACGCAAGGAAGGGTCTAAGGCCACTCTAGAAGCGTTAAGCACATTAGAGTGTCTTAGCGCAAGGAACCGCCCTTTAGCGGCTTGTCCAGGCAACCCCATAAAGTGGCATTGCCCACTTCCGCCGACTTCTCGATTTGCAACCGAATTTACAACCCCAAGTATAGGCCAATCGACATGCCGCCCACATTGCCCGAGAAAACCGATTACACACGATGGCGACTATTAAACGAAGATGGCCGACACACATGGCACTACATGGAAGACGACGAGTCCGCGCGAAAATGGCCTCAGACGTTAGCCGATAAATACTATCTCGGTCTACCACTGGTATGCAGTTACCTAGTAATCATATGCCGAGTAGCATTCAACTAACGCGACACAGAACCTTCCCGATCTTCCCCAGCCAAAATCCCCCTTAGAGACAGTCCACAATGGCCTGAAATTCTTTTCTAATCTGCAGCTCTCCGCTGGGAACTGGGGCTGTGAGTACGGCGGTCCCATGTTCCTAATTCCCTGCATCGTCTTCGCGTGGACCGCAACCGCAACCCCGATCCCCTGGTCCTACGCAATGGAGATCAAAAATTATCTCTTTGCGCGAGCCAACCCAGTCGATGGAGGCTGGGGCCTGCACACCGAAGGCGAAAGCACCGTGTTCGGCACGAGCCTGAACTACACCGTCCTCCGCCTGCTCGGCGTCCCTGCCGACCACGAGGTGATGATTAAAGCCCGCACCCTGCTGCACAAGCACGGCGGTGCCATGTACGCGCCCCACTGGGCCAAGTTCTGGTTGGCGCTACTCGGCATTGCGGACTGGGATATTGTGAACCCCGTCCCGCCTGAAACGTGGTTATTGCCGGACTGGGTGCCTGTCGCACCGTGGCGGTGGTGGATACATATTCGGCAAGTGTTCCTACCGATGTCGTTTATTTGGTCGAGACGGTGGACTATGCCTGAGACGGAGGTCATTCGGTCGTTGCGGAACGAGTTGTTTACCCAGGATTGGGAGAGTATTGATTGGAGAGGGAATCGAAACTCCATTGCCGAGATTGACAACCATCATCCGAAGACTTGGGTACTCGGTTCTGTGAACTGGTGGTTGAGCGAGATATGGATGCCGTTTTTGAGGCCGAGGTTCGTAGCTACCTGGGCTGAGGACTGGGTGAGCAAGCTGGTGGATATGGAGGATGAGAACTCGGACTATGCTGATCTGGCATCTGTGAATGCGCCGTTGAATATGGTGGTTTGTTTCATAAGGGATGGGGGTGACGCGTATTCCGTCAGAAGACATCGGGAGCGGCTGGAAGATTTTCTATGGGTTAATAAGGAGGGCATGTTAGTGAATGGGACGAATGGGGTGCAGTGCTGGGATACGGCATTTCTGGTGCAAGCTGTTCATGCCGCTGGTTTGGCGGAGAGTGAGGAGTGGAGGCCTATGTTGGTGCGGGCGTGGAGTTCCTGGATCGCCAGCAAATCAGGGAGAATTGTAAGGATCAGGAGGTTTGTTATCGCCATCCGCGGAAGGGGGCTTGGGGGTTCAGTAATAAGGACCAAGGATATGCTGTGTGTGACTGTATCTCGGAAGCCTTGAAGTCGGTTATTTTGCTGCAGAAGACCCCGGGATACCCGCAGTTGCTTGATGATCGGAGGATCTTTGATGCCGTTGATACGTTGCTCACTTATCAGAACCCCTCCGGTGGATGCTCGTCTTATGAGCAAACTAGAGGCGGGGAGTATATGGAGATGTTCAATGCTGCGGAGGTGTTTGGACGGATCATGGTTGAATATGACTATCCAGAGTGTACGACGGCCGTGGTCACGGCGTTGACATTGTTTAAGAAGCACTGGCCGGATTACCGATCGAAGGAAATCGAGGTCTTCATCCAGCGTGCGCTAGGATATATCAAGAAAGCTCAGTTCCCTGACGGCAGTTGGTACGGAAGCTGGGCTGTCTGCTTCACGTACGGCACTATGTTCGCATTGGAAAGTCTGGCATCCGTGGGAGAAACATATCAAAATAGTGAATACGTCAGGAAGGCATGCCACTTCCTACTATCGAAGCAGAGAGAGGACGGTGGGTGGTCTGAAAGCTGCGAGGTAAGTTACCTCCTTCACCTTAATACTAGTCCTGTATTGACAGGATGATAGGGCTGTCGACAACTCAAGTATATCGAGCATCCAAGCGGCTCTCAAGTCGTGCAGACGGCATATGCAGTCATCGGCTTACTCTCGGCTGAGTATCCGGACATGAAACCTATTGAGAAAGCCATTCGACTGATAATGGCAAGACAACAGCCCAATGGCGAGTGGCTGCCGGAAGCCATCGAGGGCATGTTCAATAAGACATGTGCCATCTCCTATCCTAATTATAAGTTTACGTTCACGATGCTAGCGTTGGGGAAGTTTGCTCAGACGTATCCTAACTACAGACTTGCTTGATTCTTGATGCTATATTAATTATACTAATTTCTATTTGTCTGACACAATTACGAGGCCACCACAGCTACTTCACAAGCTATACATCTCTTCTGAAGCTCACTTCGATCAGACATAGTGTATAACATAATATGTATATACCACATGAACATATGACGAAACGAGAAAATAACCTATATCTAAACTCATTCCGGAAACTACTCTAAGCAACCTAAAGCTCTGCCTCCCCCCGGAACTCCCACACCAACACCCCTTCTTCAACCACGTCATCCCAGAATAGCCAGGATATCACAAACCCCCAGATACTATCATGTCTACTTCCCATCCAAGATACAGCCCTCACAAGCAACCCAACACCAACACAACAACCTTAACTGCCAGACGCCAGACTAAGTAACAATCCAGAACAACCCCAAACCCGCACCCAGATCTCCGACAGCCACTGATCTACGTGGAAAATAACCTGCCGGAAGTATCTGCCGCTGACATCATACGCGCCTGCACGTCCCTTGGGCGCTGCATCTCCAGATTCCACGGGTCCAGCAGCTACGATGGTATCAGTGGCGACTGTCTTACCTTTTTGCTTTCTAGGTTAAGGTAAATTCTGTTCATTAAGCTATGGATATGACGTTGTGGGTAGTGCCCTGGGCCCTTCTGGTGACATCACAGGGGGTTGGGTGGTTTGCGGCCGTATACTACGACCCTATGTATCGTTAGTATGGGATTATGTCATGGGTTTGATACTCAGTGCTATTGATAGGTAAGAGATAGGGAGGGTTAGGGGGAATGGGGAAGGTAGTACATACTTCTCCTGATAAGCATGGATACTCGGGTCCCGTAGTCCCTGGCGCATGCGCGCGAGGTATACTTCGACTTCCTGACGAGTCCACTATACACAAGAAACACATTTTAGCATCATCACGTAGATTTGAGATGCACAACGGTACACCAGGAGAGTGAAGAAACTCACATTCAAGAACCTCGTCAATAGCATCATGCTCCACCCCTCAATCCCCATCTCCCACTGCAGCCGATTGTACTTCCCCAGCACCTTCAGCCGCGGGTCTTTCGCCCACGGCCCGACAGGACACTTGAAGCGGTGCTCCTGGACGTCGACGAACCCGGCTTGCATCATTTTCTCCTTCGCTTCGTCGATGATCCGTAGTGTCTTCCCGAATGCGTCTCCTGCTTGTAGTGATACTCTGCCCCACTCGTCGAAGATGGTGTTGGTTGTGCTGCCATCGTCGGATTTGGGGACTACGGAGACTTCGACTTGTTCTAGGTAGCTGTTTGGTTTTAGGTGACTTTTTGTGTTTGGGGCAATTGTTAGTTAGGTAGGTATGGTTGTGGGAGGGAAGGGGGGGGCGTACTTGAGAGCTTCTTTGTAGAATTTATCCCAGTCTGCAACGCAGCCGTACAGGCCGCGGACGTGGATGAAGTCGAAGCTGTCTCTGCCGTAGACCCAGTCGTCGCAGCAGTCGTCGACTTCGAAGTGGAGGTTTGGTGGAACCCAGGTTGGTTGGATGGGCGAGAGGTCTGTTCCGATTACTTTTGCGGCGGGGTGCGTGTCTGCGAAGTCACTGTGTTCGTTAGTATACTCAATCTGGTTGACGAGGAGGTAAGACGGACATAGCCCATATACCGGTTCCGGTGCCGATGTCAAGGACTTGCTGTGTTTGGGTAGGTTAGTTGGTTGAAACTGGATACGGGATGCGCAGTGTTCTTACGTCGACGTTCTCTGGGATCGGTGCGAGATACAGCCTTCCGTCTAGGAGGAGGTTGAAGACGTGGTGGCTGGATTGGCTTAGTTCGTTGGTGGTGACTGGAGGATGGGCTATTTACCCTATATCTAGTTGTTCCATGGCTTTTTCGTCGTTCGGCCCCCTTGATGGTGCTAATCAGTTGATAGAGCAGAACATGGTGTAGAAGGTTGATCTGTACCAGTATGATCCCGCATGGTAGGCGTGGTAGCGTCGTCCATTATCATAGTGATAGTTCATGATACTGCTGCGGAGTGAAGTCCATTCCCTAGAAGATAGATATCGTCAGCATTCGCTTCTTCAGGACCCAGCCCAGGAAAGCAGATAGTAAAATAGTCCTGAACGAAAAACTCACGACTGCACACTCTCCCCATACCCCGACTCAGCATCCTGTCGAATATCCAAAACATCAGCCAAAACCCACACAGCAAGCTCGAGCCAAACAAACACCGTTCATAGCATACAGTATCAACCTCCACAATGTCAGGCCCATCAACACGCGACATCACGAAAACCGTCAGCAAGCGCAACAACAAATTCGGAAGACGTCCGCACCACCCCCTCGTCCCGACGCACCCCCCAGATATTAATATCTAGTGGTGCCCGGACAAACACCCATGTCAGTACTACTAACTCCTTCGTCTCGTCACGTAATCTACCGTCTCATCGCATTATTGGTTGGGCGCTGGGCTGTTAGACATGGGGGCCATGCATGGACGAGCTAGTCCTGCATGGTCTCGGAAGCCCTAACGGTCGACTCCACTGCGTGCCATTAACGTTCCGACGCTAGTCTGCTGCCTCATTGTCGAAGGAGCCATTCTAGTGTCAGACGGGATTGGTGTATTCGTATTACATGGCACTTGGATGTAACATCGTTTCAATGGGGTGGCTCTTCTAGACCTTGATCGTTTGGGAAGATGGGTTTGAGTTTGTGTTGTACAGGATGACTCGGGGTGGATCGGGTGAGAGTCTTGGGGACGTGAAGTTTCCTTACGACGGGGAGTATAGGTATGTATGGCATTGGCACTTCCCGTCAAGGGTTCACATGTAGGTCATGCCATTGCCCAGTCCTGCAGGTCTCACTCGTCGATATCGTCTTCGACATAGGTATCTCGGCATGGAATGGGGCTGCTGTTCCTTAGGAGCAGCCACTCTTTGGCTCTCAGACGACGGGACTGGACTTGTTTTAGATCTCGTCGCTTGTGCAATGTGCACAGTATGAGACTAATTATCTGCAGAAACCCCACATTATCTCGTGGATTTGATGTCCATGACCACCAACCTCTTTTTGTATACAAATTACATCACGTGATCGTAACAAAATAAACAAACACTCCGCCCCACCCGAAGGCAGCTCCCCGATCCCAGAATCATAGTCGCAACTCTCCGCATTCCCAACTTAATCTCCTGTCCGGAATACCAGCATCCAAAATGGACACTACCGAGCCTCCCAAGAACATGGAGGAAGAGCTAGACTCCGAAATAGCCACCGTCCGCGCCGAAAGTACGATTCCACCCCCTAAGCGCCGTCGCAAAGCTAACACTCACCAAAACAGTTCGCAATCTACAACGCAAGCGTCGCTTTCTTGCCTCCAGTCTACTCTCGTCGGATAACTTCCAGAAACATCTCCAGAAATACCAGTCTTCAAGACCTTCTTCATCTCTAGGCGCAGAAGTGTCTCCGTTGGTCCGCGCCGCAGGACAACACGCCCAAGTGAACCACCACCGGGTCGCATTCTCAGCGACGACCTTCCCGTTCAAAGATCCGTCCCCAAACAGTGAGAATCCAAATTTACTAGGTGTGCGAATTGATGTCTGCGCGAGCAACGGTCGCTTTACGAAACCGTACTATGTTTTGTTGAAACGGGTGCCCGGGGAGGAGAAGAGACTGCAAGTGCATCGGCATACGATTCCCGCGTTCATCTCGGTGGAGAAGCTTGAACGGGCTTTTTTGCCTGTGCCCGCCGCGCGTGCAGCGGAAGCGGAGGAGAACTTGAAGCCGTGGAAGAAGAACGCGAGTCGGCAGGATTTGCCGAGGTTTGTTCGCGAGTTGAGACGGCAGCTGGCTGCATGGCATTTGAGAATGGACGCCGTGAATTTTCTTAGAGGAAAACTCGGTATGCAGCGGCGTGGCATTGAAGCTTTTAACGATGATGATGACGGCGTTTGGGTGCGAGATATCCTATCGGATAACCAGGAGGAAATCCGCCTGGAGACGAATGTCCTCGGCATTGTATCTCTTTCCCCCACCGCGCTCGATGCAACTTATGTTCGACTGGAATGGGAGGATGGACGGGTGGGACGATTCAAAATGTCCGACAACGGGGTCGTGGAGCGTGCGGTGGTCATCAGCGATGATGGACGAGACAAGTTGCTCGAAGCTGTTTTGACTGGCGGGAATGGCCGAGTGGAGACGGTACTGGACAGATTGAAGCAGCATTTGGTTTCCAAAGAATGAGCTTGGGCTGGTCCCAATTTGAATCTAAGAGCCAGCACATACCCAATGAGTTCGTGAATTAATCAAGTTAAAACATCTTCCCAGCCATAAATACATGTTCATATATTCCCAGTGTTGAGTGCAAGGATATCTAAACGCTCAAAGAGGTGCAAATCTATGTAGTGGAGAAAAGAATATCATCCAGAAAGTGAAATATGCACAAGAAACCAAACAGCTGCCAAAGTGTATAGTGATGCCCCATCCAGAAAGCAAGCACACCGAATGCAGGAAAGAAATGTCGTAAAATTACAAAAAAAATAGATGTCAGCAATAGCCGAAGTATAAAACATTAAGCTAAGTTGAAGTGATATGTCACTGTTAATATATGCAAAGGGTGAGAACCAGAAGGGGAGGAAAAGGGAAAGGGTATCACTGGGACATCGCATCATAAATTATAGTAGCGGTTCACCTCTCTTCCGGTGCACCTGTTCCTCATCACCGCTTGCACTGGTTGCATTCTCTTCCGAAACGGAAATCGCCGAGTCGCGCGTCTCATAGCGACAGTCGGCGAACGACAAAGGGGGCAGAGGCCCGTAGGGTTGACCATGTTGCATTTCGAGCTTCTTCCGGAGAATTGCCTCTTCCAGGTTCCATCGATGGCGTAGTCTTGTCTTCTTGGCTTCAAAGACTTGCAGAGCCGATGCCTCCTCTAGCTGGTGGTCTTGTTGCAGGTTGGCAAAGTCCAGCGCGTGCTTATCGATCAAATCGTCCAATTCTTTCTCCATGCGGGCTATAACTTCTTGGAGCTTGAGTTCTTGGCGGTCTCTTAGTACTTTGATCTTGGCTTCGTGAAGTCGGTCCATCGATTCATGGTCGTGATATTCCTGAGCCAGTTGAGCCTTGTGTTGTGGGGTATACTTTCGAGTAGGCGGTGGTGATATCTCGGGCCCTGACGGCGATCCGGGGGAATGTGGAGGGCTTGCATTGCTGAAAAAGCCCTCCATATACTTGATTCGAGTCCGGGAATTCATCTTCGCTCGCTCAAATTCGCGAACTTGATCCATTTCCACCGCGAGTTGTCGTTCCTCCATGCGGCTCGCATCGGCGATATTCTAGCCAAAATGGTCAGTCACTCGAAATGAGCATACACATTGACAGGGGGGCAATTACCTTTTCGCGCTTTTCTTCCTCTGACCGTTTGTTTGCTGCGAGCCGGTCGGCAACAATCGTTTGGTGGTTGCGTCGGAGTTCACTCATAAAAGCGTCCTGAAAGGTCATGTGCCGGTTCTTTTCCATCTTTTGGGACTCGCGCATCTGCCTGAGGTCTGCATTCTCAAGGCTCCGCCGAACGCTCTCGTTGTCAAACACCGGGATCTCCAGCCTCAGTACCGGGCTCTCTTCATCCGCACTATCGTGGCCCCGCGGTTCACTGATTTTAGATTCCACATAGTATTTGTCAACCCCTCCTTCACCCTTCGCAACGGCGATCTGCGCGGCCGGAGGGAGTAAGACCGCGGAGGGTGAACGCCGTTTCCGGAAATGAATCTTGTCAATAGCCGACTTCAGAGTTGATTTCCGCCTCTCTTTCTTTTCACTCGACGCCACACTCAAGAAAGAGCTTCGATGGCCAGGGGTTCGCAATGCGATCCCATCGGTGCCGTGAGCCAGTCTCCCCTCGCTCGAACTATAAGAGGTTGGGCGCGTTGAAAGCGAGGCGATCGAGCGAGTACTGCCGCACTTGGCGTGGTCGGACAGGTTAAACTCGGATAATGACGATGCGATCTGATCCAGGGGAGGTATCTCGTTAGATGGGGTGACCTCACAGACGGAATTGCGATCGGTTGAAGAGCCCGCCGATGACAGGATCGGAGAGGAAAGGTCGAGCATGCCCGAAGCAATCGACGCGGCCAGCGATGCCACAATCTCAACCTCCGGAACTTTTAAACCCAACTGGCGCGCTTCTTCTACTAGCGTTTGTTCTTGCGATCTCTCATCATCCTCGGAGGGGATAAGGAGAACTTCGTTGCGGTATTTGTTCTCGTCGAACCCGACGGATTTGCTGGACGGCATCATGCGATTGGGGGGATTTGATCCGCAGAAAACATACGGTGCAGATGAGTCAAAGACCGGGTATCTGAAAGAACAAACAAGACAAGACAACAATGGGTGTTTCACAGGCGTGTATTACAAAGAAGCCAACAGGCTCGTCCACAGCACTCGACGCACAGTGGACGAGATTGAGGCGCTCCAGGACGGCATCCGACTAGCGGAGTGTGAACTAGGAAGGAACAAGTTGGATACGAAGGACCGGGGGGGAGAAGGAAAGGGAAAGGGAAGGAGGGTGAGTGGAGGGAAAGGAACTAAGACGATTGACTGATTTAATTAATCGTATTAATTAATTCCCATTTTTATTTTAAAGGAGACAGCAGGTTAGGTAGGTGATATCTCTCTTTCTCTTGTTGCGGTCCCACGAGTGACCCGCCTGACCGAATCATTAACTAATCTGACGACTCGGATGATGAGGATGGTTGATTCGGGGAATTTTCTTTTTCGTGTCTAGCCTTTTTATTTTCATTTTTTATATTTATTTTCCCTTTCGTTTTTGTTCCACTCAGGCACCATCCATTTCCCATTGTTAGCAAGTGAGGGTAACGTAGGTCAGTGGCTTTCTCCACCCAAGGGAATCCGTGACCGCGGGTGAAACGCAACTGCCCCTCCAGGGGTACTACTGCTTCGGGCAATTTAGGGCATAGGGCATTGTGCCGGTCCGTTCCGCCCCCAAGAGACAACCATCCATGGCGTGGTTTCAGCCACTGCATCACCATTGCCTCCGAGTCAGGCACCGTTGCTTCATGTTTCAACGGTTAATGAGGATTTTCTCTGCTGGCCCACTGTTCTTCTCCAGTTGCAGGATCGTCACCGTCCCATCATCCTGGGACTTATTCTTTGCCTTGTGATTCGATGATGCGGTGGCCTAGTTGACACCTCACCGTCAATCGTATGAATTTCTATGGAGTACCAGCTGGCGCCATTGTGGGCGGGCCAAAATGATATGCAGTTAGACCATACGGCATAAGTGATTGATTCACCGCCAGTTACCCGAGCCTAAATAAAAGAAGCGAACCGCCTGTGAAATTTTTTATGAGGGATATAAACTGGCAATCTGATGTCTCAACTCTCATCAGCGGGACAACATCGCGAGAGCCATGGTGTAGGCCCTGTCTTTCGCTTGTGCAGAAAGACTCCCTTCAGGGGCATTTTTGTCAAAGCCATGATTACAGCCCTCCATCTGGTGAACACTAATCTCCCGCTCCGGCTCTTTTCCAATTTTGGCGGCAAGCGCCTCAGCTTCACCTGCGAGGCTATCACAAGCCGCCGTCACCAATAGGATGCGGTCGGGAAAGCGGTCAGGTTGGGCATAAAACGGAGAAATTCGAGGGTCTCTGGCATCGTAGGACGCAGGAATGTAGCATCGATCAAAAATCCGGGCTAGCGCTGCAGGCAGCGGCTTTCCTGCGGGATCCGGTGGAGTCTTTAGGCTTGGTTCCGTGTACAAGTCAACTGGGGGATAGAACGCGAGCAATGATCGAAAGGTTCCTCGGGGGAAAACACTGGAGGAGAGTGCCAAAGCCAGATTCCCCCCGGCGCTGAAACCCGAGATCGCCAGCCGGGATGTATCGAATTCCTCAGGACGCTGGAGAACCCAGTTCACCGTATCCTCGGCATCGTGGAGGGCGGCGGGGAAGGGATGCTCTGGTGCTAAACGGTACTGGATATCGAGCACCGTGTACCCCGTCTCTAGGCTGACTTGCCGGCAGAACTCATCGTCGCTCCCATGCATAGGAATCATGAATCCACTGCCATGGAAATTAACAAGAATGGGGCCTGGGTTCGGCGCCGATGCCGATCGGTAGACATGTGCTTTGATTGTTCGTGCTGCCTCCCGCGACTGGATGTAGACGACGTCATCGGGGCTAGAAATAGGACGCTTGCCGCGACTAGCGAGAGCCCTGATTAACACGGCAAGGACTTTGTAATACAGATAGGTCAGAAAGGACATAGTGGAGTCTGGCATGGAGCTCCTAACGAGTTTCGCGTGACGTTTTCCAGCCTGTTGCAACCTCAGGCTTCGTAACTAATCGCGCATTGGATTTTCAGCAATTCAGAGCGTCTCACCTGCCGAACTTATATCGGCCATCCTGGCATCAATGACTCGGACGGTCGAATGGCTCTTGAAAGGAAACCAACAACCCACTAGTGTAGGATTGGTGGACCGCCGCGTGGTAACTAAAAGTGGACGGTGTGTCCTTAGTCCAAATTGCGAACCAAAGATTCGTACTCCGGAGTACACAGTACCGTTTAAACACAAAATGATGACGTCTTGGCCCGTCTAGAAAATGTTCTTCTACATTTCGCGTTGTGCCGAAGTGCTCCGGATATCCCTTGGTCATGGCTAGGTGCCGTGCAATACAGAATGACAGTGATAGGGCTCGGCCAGATCACATTGCTGCTATCATAACTAATTACTATTTTCGGAATACTCACGTGGACAGGAGTGAAAACTGTGGCAATACCCACAGATACCACAAATAACGGCCTGTCCCCGCAGGGTGGGCCAAGATGCACGACATGCTTCCATTATTGCGACGCACATGCTTTGGCGTCTGACTACACTTCCCGACCATCCATTCAATCACAATCACTCAGATGATCCAACCGCCACGATCTACTTGCCGGCATCGACTTATCTCCGTGCATACCTGGACTGGAATTGTAGAGAGAGGGGTTACAGTATCATGAGCATAATACAGTCGAAAACTGCGTCTTCCTGATCGTCCAAAAGCTCCACCGCCAACACCTCTAGCTTATCTCCACCGGAACAACAACAACCGCAGGATGACGTCTCTTAATCAGTCCGGGGATACCAACTTTACAGTTTTCATACGCCTCCCTTTTCCTCGGGGTGACTTTGTGGATCCTCCACCTGCAAGTGTTCTCTCGGCTAACCTGCATAAAATATCTACTGACTGTGCTAGGCTGAGTGGAACGCAGCAAAAGACCAAGCTCTCTGGGACCTACTATCGCGGCCCTCTAAGGGCGATGATATAGATTGTATGTATATCTGCGCAAAACTCTTGTGTCTCCTAGATACTAACTGATCACAGGGAAAGCATTGTATGCTCTCACGCCCGAATGAAAACGCTCGTGTCCGCTTACTCTTATATGTAGAGCCGAACGATTCGATGTAACTCTCCAGTTTCTCCTCCAGCAAGCAGCATGGTTGTATGATCGCCAATTATCCCAAGTCCGCGCGCAGATGCGCAAGGTGGGCACCACTCAGTCAAGTTCCCCGTCCCCTGTGCCTGGTTCGGTATCCGGAAGCACAGCGCTCGGCGGCCAATCAGCCAAAGGTGGCCCTGGTGCAGGTAAGCAAGTCTTGCAGGGCTTTGTGTGTCATCGGCTCATATGAATTAGCCCCACGAGTTCAGAGTCGTCTATCCTCACAACAAAAAGATACTCTGCCTCAGCGAGGTAAGTCTTTGCCCGAGTAGAAATCGTCACTATATGGGTCCAGAAACCATGGAAGCGAACACTTGTCTAACATTCTGCAGGTCCGCCACCACGTCGCACAAGCTCGGCAACTACAATAAACCAAATCAAAACTTCGAGGGAATCGCCCCGCACTGAAACCCCTGTGGAGTTCAAAGATTCACGCTGGGAGAGCTTCAACCGGCGTTCATCAGCAAGCAAGCGGGACCAGGCTCCAGTTCCATCGGCACCCGTACACAAATCGCCCACCCTTGAGGAAGAAGATCTAAGTTCAAGCTCGTCCTCGTCCTCGTCAGACGAAGACGACGGGCTAGCCAGTAGACGAGGACTACGATTTCGACGATTCGGCAAATTTTCTACGCATCGACCTGGTCTTCGTGACGACGACGAAGAAGATGAGGACGATGCACCCGCGTTTCTTCCACTTTCCCGAGCCCAGCCTGGAGCTGCACGAGACCCATCAGCGCAGGATCTCAATGAAACTCTCCGGTTGCAAGATGAAGATCAAACCGAGCCCGACGCCGTACGTCAGAGCAGAGTCCGGTTTCGAGAGCATCCATTACGACCGAATCATCGACGAGCTCGGTTAGTTCAGGGGCTCCAGTGGCAATCCAACGTCGGGGAGTCAATAGTATTCCATCACCGTTGAGTCCACGACGGACGGCAGAACTGGCTCGCGCCAGTCCTCGGAGAATGAACAATTCCGGAAGGGAGATGAGTGATGGTACCCCGAGTATGGAAAGTAGCTTCAGTGAACTAGATGGTGAGTCTCTGTTTTCTGTTTCATTCTTAGTCCCTCTGTTACTGACGTTGCCATCGGTAGACACAAGTGTTACACAATCGGCACTTGAGGAGGCTCTCCTGAGTAATATGCAACATGGTGGCATGGCGAGTCGCATGAGTACGATCAGTCAGGCAATACGGAGTCGGTATTTTGAGGGTTGATGGTGTTAGTCAATTTAAATCTTTGATTTTCGAGAACCTGCCTGGGGGTGGGCAACATCAAAAAGCCCCCTATTAGCAAACACCTTCCGACTGCCAATCAAGAGTCAATTATCACCTAAACCTGAATACCACTGTGATGCAGAGTACTTTTTATCTGTTACAGGATGAGACGCACATGGCTGCTGTACCAAACAACTTGCTGTCCCTAGTGTGGAAAGTAGACGATAACGTGTCTCGCATAACAAATGTACGTGTGGAATTGATCACATTTACAAGAGCACCCAAATCACACTTTGTACCATCTCACTGGAGTCAATCAGCTACTTTATATCGATATCTTGAGCATGGGCGGCCATCGCAGGCTGCGTACGGTTATGAGTATCGAAATATTGTTCCCGTATACCTCTCTCCAAAATGCTATGCAACGGGAAGCCGCACGTCAGCTTTTGAATCTTCACAGAGTTGTTTATTTTGCACAGCAACCAATGCTACCAAGACCTTTCTATAGCAGTACAGTTCCTCCAGAATAAGCTCTACTCGCAAAGAGAATAGCAGTCAAATGTGACACCCAGCGAAAAGGGCCAGGGGCAGGTATTAAAGTCCTTGATGAGCCATTTATTTGTTGTATATTTTGTATCGACTGTGTACTTTGAAAATACTGAGCATTGCTCTCAACGGTACGCATAGTACCAACATCATTGACCACTCAGCAATTCTCGATGTTTTAGTCGTATTCTAGACCCATAATCTCACAGAGATCTGCGATCCTTCCTTAACCCTAAACAGGGCTCAACATTGTTGATGTTCAACCATTTCCTGCAACCTGAGACAGGCTGGCTAAGATCAGATAAGGTTAAATCCCGCCCACGTGACCTCCCGTTGGACCGAAGCGATATGATTGGAGGATCAGCTGTCATCTGCGTCATTTGTTGCGGGCGGTGAGCGAAAGTTCCCCTCTCAATTGCCCCTCGGCATCTTTTTGGTGGGCGTGATGGAGACAACGTTGTAGAAATCAGCATCACATCAAACCATATTTTCTCAATCGATTCCCCTGGCGCAGACCCCGTAGCCTTTTGGTACGATCCGAAAGACCATTGCCGCGGTGGTGGAATTGTGCCCTCTTGGTATCACGTCAGACCGAGGCACCTACACTTTACGGAGGACTGATTCCGGAGTACAAAGTAGTATACCAGATAAGGTCCAGCCTCCTCTGCTCGTGACTCAATTGTTTCTTTTTTTTGTCAATGTGCATCCTATCCCTCATGGTCGAAAATTTTACACATCATCTCTTTCCATTCACCTGGAAACCTCTATTGTTTGAAAAGTGACACCCGTTCTGACTCCGCCGTTAGGATCATCATACTCGAGCAATAAGGCCCGGTAACCCCGGTCTTGATTACCTTGCGACATGGCCTCTGCTCCCACAAATGAAATGACCCCTGCCGAAGCAGAGTCAGTCTACTTCAACAATTATCCTCCGCCAAAAGCTCTTCCAAAACACGAAGCCCTCGCTCGAGCTTTCATCAACTACCATGTCGAGGACAACAGGCGTCTCGTTCTCGTCACGTCGGGAGGTACAACGGTCCCTCTGGAGAACCAAACCGTTCGCTTGTAAGCAGCCTTCTTGACCCGGGGAGAGTGTCTCTCTGATGACCTTTTTGCCTTCCCCAGCATCGACAACTTCTCCGCCGGAACAAGAGGTGCCACGAGTGCCGAGTACTTCCTCGAAGCGGGATACGCCGTGATTTTCCTGCATCGTCAATTTAGTTTACTGCCCTATTCTCGTCATTACAGCCACTCGACCAATTGCTTCTTAGACTTCATGGACGAAGCGCCTCCGGCCAGTAACGCTGAATCTGATCACGGGCGCATCGTGGTCCACAGTGAATACCAGGACCAGATGCGAGATGTGTTGAGGAAATATCGTTATGCGAAGAAACATAACCGCTTGCTCCTGCTCCCATTCACCACCGTATCTGAATATCTGTTTGAATTGCGCTCGTTGGCCACATTGATGCAACCCCTGGGGCCCAATGCCCTCTTCTACCTCGCCGCGGCGGTTAGCGACTTCTTTATCCCGAGCGATCGGATGTCAGAACATAAGATCCAGTCCTCTGAGTTGCCTCAGAACTTGAACAACGAGGAAGCCATTGACCCGTCGGACATTTACACGGGTGGAATCCCCCAGGAGACCAAGCCACCCACCCACAGCAAGAAGCTGATCATCGACTTGGACCCTGTGCCAAAATTCTTGCATCAGCTGGTGGACGGGTGGGCACCCGACGGAAGTATGGTAGTCTCATTCAAGCTCGAGACTGATCCCAATTTGCTTGTGTACAAAGCACGGACGGCACTCCAGCGGTATGCGCATCATCTGGTGATAGGCAACCTGCTATCGACGCGGAAGTGGGAGGTGGTGTTTGTCACCCCTGAAGCCCCTTATGAGCGCTGGATTCGAGTACCGAAGTCTAAGCGTAGCAAGAGTATTTCTGGAGCAGAAGAGCAGGTGGGACTGGCCGAGGCAAAGACAGCGGGGGGCTCAGCGGCCCCAAAGAACGGGGAAACCGGTGGGGACTATGAACAGGGGCAAGACAGCAGCCACGAGGGCATGGAGATTGAAGCGTTGATCATCCCTGAGCTGGTCAAGCTGCACTCGAACATGATCGCGAAACATGGTGCCCAGGCTTAGCTGATCGAGTCATAGACCATGTTTCTCCTGTACAGAATGCACTGTACCTGCATGAGGACGTTTAATCTATTAGACTGAGATCTTTTTTTTTTTCTTTATTTAATTCATAAATTATGACCATCATTTAAAGTAGGAACCGAATTAAATTAATTTCGTCGATATAACGCCTTTCAGATTGAGATTGGCGCCATTCGGCGGCGATCAGTGACGATGATTACCAGGTTGGGAGGGTAAAAAAATACCAGCCATACCGTTTCGTTACCCCGATCCGTGACTCTTCTTCTTCCACCAAGCACTTTGTAACCTGTAGGTATCGGCCTCTTCCTTCCTTTAGACACCATGTTGGATATCACAACCAACTGCTATTGCCGAATGCTCCGAGACAGGTGAGACTCAATCGGGTGGTTGGTTACAGCTTAATGGAGCTGTTTCAGTTTGACTGTCAGCAGGAGTGTCTCATTCTTGAGCTGCGCCCATACGCGTCATTGAGGTTCAGATCCTAGTGGGTCGATCATCCCTCCGCTGCTCTTGACTCTGCCGCTTAACGAACGACCTACCGTACCTGCTTGTCTCTTGTCGATCTTCGGGACTTGGGGGCCTGTTTGCCCTTGTCCGTTTGGTTTTTTTTTTTCTCTCTTCTTCTTGTTCGTTGGTTTTCTTCTCCTTTTCTGTCTATATACTGTTGTGGCTTTGCATTCTTCGTCGACCCTCGAATCCCTCATCGCAATCGACCAGCCGAGGCAAAGGGAACAACGAAAAATGGTAGATTGTTCTCCATCGAATTGGAGGAACGGTTATAATCTTGCCCTTTTAGTGTCATTTCCCCGGGTGCTCTGTGTGGAGGTTGTCCCCAGCTTCCGACGAGCGTTCCTCTCCTCTCGCTAGCTAAGATGTTTCCTCGTCGATTCCGGCGCATCGCCGCCATCACCTCCGTCCTTTGTCTCTTCCTCCTCTACCACTTCGCCGGCCTTCGATCGAGCTTCCACCCTACCGCTACCCATGGCCGCCGTCGAGTCGAATGCCCGCCCCTCCCGGGCATGGAAGACGTGCTGGTCGTGTTGAAAACAGGCGTCACCGAGGCATTGGACAAGGTCCCGGTGCACTTCCAGACCACCCTGCGCTGCGTCCCGAATTATGTGATCTTTTCCGACTTTGAGGAGGAAATCAACGGTATTAAAGTGCACGATGCCTTCCGGAACATGGATCCCGACGTGAAAGGGACCGTCCCCGACTTCAGCATCTACAACCGCCTCGTACAGATGGGCCGAGCGGGCCTGGAAACTGGTGATTTCGCCGATGAGGCCAACTCTGCCATCGGCAAGCCAAACAACCCTGGTTGGAAACTAGATAAGTGGAAGTTTCTGCCTATGGTTCAGGAAACACTCCGCTACAAGGACGACGCAAAATGGTACGTCTTCATGGAAGCGGACACGTATTACTCATGGGGGACGTTGCTCGAATGGCTCTCGCACTTTGATGCGTCCAAGCCGTGGTACATCGGCACTGAGACCCAGATTGCCGATGTCATTTTCGCCCACGGCGGCTCGGGCTTCGCCATCTCGAATCCGGCCATGCAGCGAGTCGCAAAGCAGTACACAGAGCGCAACGTCGAGCTGAACGAGTACACGGATGCTCACTGGGCTGGAGACTGCGTCTTGGGCAAAGTGTTGGCCGACGTCGGTGTGCCATTGCACTTTTCCTGGCCGATCCTACAGAACACCAACATCGGTGAACTAGATGAGTTTACGGCCGCATTCTACCGTCGGCCCTGGTGTTTCCCCGCTGTCGCATTCCACCATCTGAGCGCACGCGACGTCCAAGATCTATTCAATTTCGAACAACGCCGATGGCGCGAGGTAAGTTTCCTCTCACCCTCCATCTTGACAATTACCTAACCTATCCCTAAAACAGAAACAAACCACTCTTCTCCTCCACAGCGACGCCTTCAAAGAACTCATCTACCCAAACCTCTCATCATACCGCGACAACTGGGACAACCTCTCCGACGAAGAACACTCGGAAATTACCACCTTCGACGAATGTCAATCTCTCTGTAAGGATAAACCCGACTGTGCACAATTCTCATTCCGCTCTGGATCCTGTTTCACCGGCAAGACACCCAAACTGGGCACGGCTAGCTCGGGGGCCCGGTCCGGGTGGGCTATGAAGAAGATCGAGGAGATGATGCACGAGGCGCCCGTTTGTTCGAGTGTGGAGTGGGGTGCGGCCTGATTGTTCTTTACATTTTTTTTCTATACATGTTTTTGTTTTTTTCTTGCGCGTATTGGCGGTGATGCATTGGCAGTTCGCAGGTCGAACGTGATGGGCTGGAGTTAGACTCTCCTAGAGCTCGATGTCGGATTGACAAAATGGGGCCCAGCTGGTTTATGCTGATCTCCTGGCTGGATGTATACTATAGACTACCATTCTCGCTGTGCTCCTTTTCTTCTGATATGTTTCTCTGGGCGGTGTTGGGTCTCGTCTTGCATGATAGGAGTTGTCGATGGTTTCATTCAATACATCAATTCTAGCGAATCTCAACTACCACAATAAGAGCAATCATTCCAACAATAACCCTGCAAACCCACTAAACTCAACTAATCCACACGGAAAATAAGAGCACCCAAGTTAACAACTTCACAGAAGTACAGAAAACCAGCCCAACCATCCTACAAAAACCTAGGAGCCCCGGGATCCTCCAAGCACTGATCAATACGCATAATCTTCAATCCCTTGCGTTTAACATAGTGGATAATCTCCCGAAAATATCCCACGGTCGAATTGCTCAGATAATGCAGCACAGCCAGATTCCCCCCGCGGTCGACATCGCGGTAGAACGCCCTCAGCTGGCGCTCGGGCGTGTCGGAGTCTGCCCACCTCCAGTCTTCGATGTCGACGCTCCAGTTGATGATTTGGGGGTTTTTGATGCGTTTGGCGAGGATTTGGCGCGTGCGGGGCCCGATAGTACCGTATGGGGGACGGAAGTAGCTGGCTATTTCTGTATTAGTTTGTTGGTTCTAGGGGAGTTTGGTAGGTGAGGCAGCATGGGGGTCAAAGGTGATATGAGTGTAGTTCTTCCAGAATATGGATGGATGGGTATAAGTGCATGTATACATACACTCTACCCCAAGCAAATCCTTAAATGTAGCGATATTGCGGAAAATGTCATCATCTATAGCCTTCGTCGACTCCATTCCTTCCATCCTACATTTGCCACTCATTAGCATTGTCATATCATTATGCTTGCCCACCCCCTACCTACCCCCAGCACCCCAAAAAACTATGAAGTACGTTGAGAGCGGGAAACTCACCTGGAATGTCCATCTGAATGTAACGCAATCTGATGTCCACCCTCCACCATCTTTCTGTAAAAATCCGCAAACCCCGTCTTATTATCCCTGAGTGGTCCCCCAACGACAAAAAAGGTAACCAGCACGCCCTCGCTCTCCAATATCTCCCTAACCTCGTCCGCAAGGCTGGGTATGCCATCATCGATCCCGAAAGCAAACGAACCAGGTCTCGTGCATCGGAGTCTCAGCTCCCCGGTCGGTTGTTTCTTTGGAATTCTGACGCCGCGTGGTAGGGTCGGGATAAGTTCGATCTTATACACTTTTATTGGGCGCGTGTACGGTGGGTAGAAACCTCCAAGGGAGATGGAGAGGACGCGGGATTGGTCGATGGCAAAGTGGGAGAGGGGGATGTAGAGGTCCTGTTCCTTTTGCTTCTTTGGTTTACGGTGGTGCCAGTGGGGTTTGGCAGTGTAGCGGGACGCCTCGATGCTGTCACTGGTTTCGGGATAAGGGTTTAGCGATGGGTTGCAGGAGGGATTGTTTTGGTGGAGGGAGATGCTGAATTTCGGTGGGCCTGAGTACACAATGTGTAGGATCCAGGTTTTGTAAGGGGTTAGGTCGAAGCACGTTGTTGAGGAGAGTTGGCTGTGGTATGTTTGGTCGGCGTCTGAGGCGTTCAGTTCGATGTAGTTCCGTCCCTGGGTGACAGAGAGGTCTTCGAGTGCGCCGTGCCAGGACCCAAGGTTGTTTTTATCGGGGTGGGTGAAGGTGTCGACGATTATGGGGGTGTTGTTGGTCGTGGGTGGAAGAAAGGTCACTTGGAGGAGCGTTCGGTTGGTTTCTGTGCTTGTGGTAAGGGTGGCCCAGAAGAGAGCGAGGGTGGTATAGAGATAGAGAGTATGCATAGTTGCTGTTATGAAGCGGGTGGACAGTGTATGTATGATATACAGTGAAAGAGTGGACTGTGATAACTTCACACTTGTATGTATACGATAGCGGACGGGGGATCTGTGTCACGACTGTCAGCTTGCTCGACTTTTGCAGACAAATGGTGATGGCATGGATACTCACCTTACACGGAAGGAGCGATTGATAGACGAGCACATCTCAATGGGGTTACGACTGCTCTTACTGGAGTCGAAGATTAAAACTTATTAATTTCAAGGTCTAGCCATACAGGAAAACAAAGCCACCTTCCCTCCACTACCCGAATCTTCCCAACCAGTCCGGTAGTTGGTTAGGAAGCCCTAAACCCGTACCCTCTAAATTCCAAAGTAAGAGGAGACAACTTCCTGTGACCACCTACCAGGCTTCCAGGGAATTATCGAGGCTAAGAAGGTCGGCCCGCTGTTGTCTCCCGCATATGGAGCTGAAACCGCAGAACATTGAAAGTCGCAGTAACCTGCACTGCATAAAACATTTGATGGCGTGAACACAGAAGTTACCCCAGTCGACTCATCGCCAGCATTCCCCGGTACACCCCAGCCACCCAACAGCCTTGGAGACGCTCAGCCAAACCCGTGGTGAGAGATAGACAACCATCGACTGCCGGAGAGCCTGAAAAGGTTGACTAGAAGTCGTAGTCGACGGCAGCGGCCGGGGCATCTTCAGTGTCACCCATGGGAATTCCACCCCAGGTGCTACTCCCAGCGCCCTCGTTCGCATTGTCGCTACCGCTTTCTCCGTCCTCATCGTCGGTGTCGTCCTCAAAGAGATTCTCACCATCACCAGGCTTGTAGGACTCCAGGAAGTCAGGTATTTTCTGTTTGGTTTCAAGAAGAAGCCGAACAAGATCAGGGGCGAGATCCGAGTCGCGGTCGTGATTGTAAAAGGAGGTAGCGAGTCCTTCGTTCCCAATACGGGCAGTACGTCCTATCCATGGTTAGCATTCTGGTGATATGAGCCACTCGTTGAAGTACCTACCAATGCGATGGACATACTCAACGATACCGCCGTGGGCCTGGCGAGGAAGGTCGTAGTTGACAACATGCATGACATTCTTGATATCAAGACCACGAGCCGAAACCCCTGTCGCGACGAGGATGGGGCATTTGGCAGTACGGAAAGCACGTCTGTTTCTCCTTCAACGACTGCCTAATCTGTCTGGGGTACGAGAGTACTTACAAGGCATCCTCGCGCTCGCGTTGAGTACGATCTGAATGTATGGACGTACTGGGCAAGCCCATGTTGTACAGGTAGTCATCCAAGTGATCAGCCTGTGCTTTGGAATTGACAAAGATCAGGGTACGAGAAGGGGGCATCGCCAGAAGCAGATCATAGAGGCACTGCTTCTTGAGATGCTCTTCGGAGTAGACAATCTAAATCGTTTGTCAATCAATTATATGGTATACAATCTTAGTTCTTGATGAATAGCTTACAGTCTGGTCTACATTGATGTGAGTGCTGCCAGGACGTCCAATACGAACACGAACATGGTCATCAGCCAGAAACTTGCGGGCCAACTGACGGCATTCCTTGTTGAATGTGGCGGAAAACATCATGTAACGGTGGTCCGCATCCTCGTTCATATCTTTGTTCATCAGCATCACAGTTAGGTCAACCCGTACTTTTTGCTCTTACCTCCACCCGACATAATCTTGTTGAAGTCAGACTCCCAGTCCGCAAGAAGAAGTTCATCTGCTTCGTCGATGATAGTGTACCTTTTTATGTATCAGTCACATACTAATAATGTCAGAGAAAGAGCTTACTTCACACGGCGGAGAGACAGAATATGAGGCTTATCCATGAAATCCAAAAGTCTTCCAGGTGTGCCAATGAGAATGTCGCAACCTTTCTGCAGCTCGTCTCTCTGGTCACGCACGGGGGCACCGCCGTACACAACGCAAGGACGCAACATAGAGCGATAGCAGAGTCGGCGTGCTTCATCGAATATCTGCGTCGACAGTTCCCTGGTAGGCGCAACGATCAAGACCAGGGGTTCTGCACGGACGGCATCAATGATGGGGTTAAACCCGTCCGCCAAGTTCGGACGTGGAGCAGCAAGCTTCTTTGCCTTGCCCATCAATTTCGACAGGACGGGGATCAAGAAGGCTGCGGTCTTTCCGGAACCTAGTTTTGTCAGTAGCTCGTTCAGTCTCTATATATCCTCCTCAACCACTTACCAGTCTGAGCAACGGCGATGAGGTCATGCCCAGTCATGACAGCAGGGATCGCGTACGCCTGAATTGGGGTCGGAATATCGTAGTGACAGAGCTTGACGTTATCACGCACAATAGGATGCAGCCCGGCATCGTCGAACTGAAGCTACCGTAAGACTTTGGTGTACCATCAGCATTGAATAGACTTACACTCTTGATTGGGTTGGGACGCTCACGGCTTTCAGCAACAACCTCGATGTTTTGTAGACTTTGAAGATCAGCATCTGGTGCCAGTATCCAGCGAATACATCTACTTACTTTCCAATCTTGAGACCAGTTCGATTAATGAGTTCACTCCGAAACAGCATCTCCTCGAGCTGTGGGTTGACAGGGCCAACGTCACCGTACTCATCTTTCCATTCGTATTTTGCTGCGTTGGCCGCCCACTCGGGAAGTTCCTGCTGTCGCTGTTCTGGCTCAGTGCCCTCACCAGGGTTGGCGAGAGGAGGTCCAGGAGGGGCTGTATTGTACTTGGAGTAGTCGTAGCCCTCCGGCTCGACCCATCCTTTTTCGCGAGCAGTACTGGCAGCTTCAGCCTTTTTGGCGTTTTGCGCGTGTGTAACATCCTCAAGGGCAGTGCCCATGGTGGACACGTCAAATGTATCCATGATTTTGGTGTGGATACGAGATACGCGTGAGGAGAATGTGCGGTTGGCTGTTATAATTCAGATACAGGACGCTGAGCTCTGGGGGAAGAGAGGGATACCGACTTAGAGTGATTCACACATGGAAGGAAGGAAGGAAGGAGGGAGACGACTTTCAATCGAAGCACAGATGGGTTTGAAGACTGTGGGTAAAAGGATGGAAGTAAAAGATGGAAGAAAGCCGCTGGAGGAAGAGGAAGAGGAAGAGAGTGCGGGGTTGCAAAGACAACAAACAGAAGAGTGAATATAACAAAAGATTTCTCGGGCGATACACACTTAGCATGAGCTGTTTGATTGGGACTACCTTCTTGTACACACCAATAGGAGGGTCTCAGGGGAGTAGTGAATGTCAGGATGCAGATAAATTTGGTTGGAAAGTGCAGCAAGGAACAGAATCAGAGCGTGTAAATGAGGTCTGCCTTATATATAGGACTTGAGGTGACATTGGGGTTGTCCCAATGGAAGGTCATCAAGTCACTGGGTTTGGAGAACCAATTCTCCGAGAAATAGCAGGGTATCCTTCTATTCTGCAGGGGAGAAAGTCCCCATTATGCCTGTGCCTCAGTACATATTTAGAGTATAAGAGAAGTAACACCCAGCGATATGGCCTCAAACACTGGCGCATTGGCTAATAGCTGTCTTCTACTATTGGTAGGTTAGATATACATAGACGAACAGGCTTGTGCTGTCGTTTGAAGCTAGGGTATGTATGTGGTATGAATAGTGTAACCAAGGGATGTGATTTGTTTACCTGCCTTTTAGATTTATTCTTGATGTGCAATGCTGTATTACCACTGGAACCCTCTGAAGTGATTTATGTTCCCTTCTTCGTTAGACAACTCCACCGATCCAGCCTTTACCTCAGGACATATCCTTGACGATGCCTTCCAGGTAGACTATGAGCTATTTCCCCTGATCCTTAATCCAGACCATGATCAAGTAACAGTTCAAGTCTAATGTTAGCTGGGGATTATTAAGGACAGAAGACGTAGGCTATATACTCAGCATCCAATGATCAGGCACTTGGTTACCTCTCTGGGTTAGGCGCATAGAGACACAGTACATATAATCTACATAGAGTAGATGACAACGTGGCGGTCCAATGTTGATGTTGAACAGAGTATCAGCATAAGCCAGTCACTGAAAGGTGTGGGTGTAGACTACTATTCTATAAGTTGTTTGTGGGTGTTTGGTTGTCATACTACACATATCTTGATATATGTCCTGCACGGAGAGTAGTATACTCATTACAGCACTGCACTCCATGAGCTTAATAAGAGATTATCCCCCAAAACGAGGGGGAAAACAATTTTTTTTTTTAAAAAAAAAAAAATTCAGAAATACTATGACAAAGTAGAAGAATAATACAAGCTTATATCAGCTATGTGCTTCTGCATATAAACAGAAAACAGCTCCTGCTGACCTTACTAGTACCGGTTTGGGTGGCGTGCCTGACGAGAAATGATGAATGCCTCAGGATGATGATGATCATAAAATGGACGACGTCATCCGGATGACTCTGGACCGTGAGAGAAGCCTATTCATATACTACTAAATCACCGTGTAGATATTTTTTACAGTCGCTATAGCACATGTACTCCGTGCATACTCCGGGTAAAGTGAACGCTGAAGTCAATCTTTGGTTCCACTTCCAATCTCAACGGAAGCGGCCAGAAGGAGATATACGCCGTAGGGAACAGCACGGCAATCCCATTACTCCGAGATGTCACCCTGAACCACCGCGGTTCGAACACCCATTCCTCGGTTCTGGATGTGACTTTCAAGTTGCTTATTTCTTTGCCGGCTCCCCCTTCTCTCCATTATTGCCTATCATTGATACACCATGTCGTCCACAAACCACAATCCTTCCTCGCGTGCCACCCGGCTAGAAAAGGCTATCACCAACCCCGGTGCTGTGAAGATTAATGTCAAGGGTGCTTTCATTGTCGATGAAGATCCGCGATCCAAGAGTCCCGTGAGGTTGGATGGTGTGCACTACGAAGGCCATGATATCCGGCTACCTCATCATACCGGAGTGGTGAGCCATGTTGCTGTCGACGTGAGTGACCCAGCTTCTTTTTTTTTTTTTCTTGTTCCTCTTTTTATCCGTTCCCCCGCATAATCTTTACCCCCCCGCAATCGAATGGCAGTTCCGATCGCATCACTAGATTGTGACCAGCGCAACTGACTTTAGCGGTTTGGTTTTTTCTAGATCGGCGGTTCTCTTGCGAAATTGATTTATTTTACACGAGAGCTGGACTCCGTGGATAATGGCGGCCGATTGAACTTTATCAATTTCGATACTCATCGCATAGATCTGTGCATCAACTTCATAAAGGAATTAAAAGAAGAATACCAGAAAGCCCACGGTCCTTCCAGCGATGAGTTATGTGTTGTGGCGACCGGAGGCGGTGCCTTCAAGTATTACGACAAGCTGAAGGAGACATTGAAAGTGAATATCATACGCGAGGATGAGATGGAATGCCTTATTACTGGTACGTCCGCGAGTGCCGAATATACATACCCACTGTGCTTTCCATTGAGGCATGCTGACGGATTTTACCACAGGACTTGATTTCTTTATCACCGAAATACCGAACGAAGTCTTTACCTACAGCGAAACCGACCCAATGCAATTTGCCGAGGCCCGACCGGATGTTTACCCGTACCTATTAGTCAACATCGGTTCCGGTGTATCCATGATCAAGGTGTCGGGCCCTAGGCAATACCAGCGTGTGGGGGGCACCCATCTGGGTGGCGGTACCTTCTGGGGCATCATGTCGCTTTTGACTGGTGCTCGGACCTTCGACGACATGCTGGCGATGGCGGATACCGGTGACAATAGTGGGGTAGACATGTTAGTTGGCGATATTTACGGCATGGACTACAACCGGATTGGTCTGAAGAGCACTGCTATTGCTAGCACCTTCGGCAAGGTCTTTCGATTGAAGAATGAAGTAAATGAAGAGGATGGAGAAGACAAACCCGACGGTGAAGATGGGCAAACCAATGGTGAAGTTACATTCAGGCCTGAGGATATGAGCCGAAGTCTTCTTTATGCCATCAGGTATGCCTGGACTCCCATCCTCACTGGTTCTGTTGAGCTAACGTGATATAGTAACAATATTGGACAAATTGCATATCTGCAGTCTGAAAAGCACCAAGTAAAGCACATCTACTTCGGTGGATCATTCATCCGAGGCCACCGGCAAACCATGAACACACTATCCTACGCCATCCGTTTCTGGTCCAAGGGCGAAAAGCAGGCATACTTCCTGCGCCACGAAGGCTACATCGGCGCCGTCGGGGCTTTCCTACGCCGACAGCCAGCCAACTGGGGTCGCAGGAATAGTCTCGACGGCGGCGCCGTGCCACAGGAGCTCAAGAGTAGCTCTAGTTGACGAGTTCAAGAACCATCCTTCCAGAGCGACTGGAAGCTTGCATGATTTTGTTTGTTGTTTGGTTTATCCGCCCTTCTTCCGATCTCTTGGGCTTCTGATACCCGCTTTTTAGTTCCCCGTGCATGTTAGACAAAAGAATATATATCCTGCAAATACATTTCGCCAATCTTTCGGGACGTTATGCAGTCCGACCTTACAATGACCGATTTACATGTGTACCATAATGTCCTGAATACCTTTTCACTCGTCTTGGTTTCTACGAGCATGATCCATCTAAAGCCGGAGGTGTTTCTCCGTTTTTTTGGGTGTTCTTTCTTTGTCTCTTCATCTTTAGTTTGATCTATTCATTTAATTATTTTTTTCCCCTGGTTGACAAGGAATTTTGTGCAAATATTCCGATGATAGCTGCTCATTACCGCTATACACATCCTGACAGGAATTATCGATGGACTGTAAGCGACACAACCGAACATCGAAATGTTCAGCTTATCTGTCGTACATCATATTTACACGAGGAAAGACCTATTTGCTATCCAGAAACTGTTGGTGTCACATTGTGTGACAGGTCAGCTTTGATCAATAGGATGGAATTGAAGAACGATCTTCCATTATGCATACACCCAGGGCGACACTACAGTAGTACCTACTACGTACTGGTACCTGGAGGAGGTATTACTATACTAGTAGTAGTAGTATATTAGGACTGGGCTAACCGCCAGACTAGTCCCAGCGGGTCACAGAACCGGCCAATCGGAATGGAGTGTGACCAGGGTTAAGCTTACCTACATTTAGCTCATTGGAACTGACAAACGCGGGTCCCTAACATTAACGCGTTGGTTCAGTACCAAGTTGCCGATGTATGGACCGAAGCGGAAGACTGCTTATCAACCATTGCAGCACGCTCAGTCGTGGTGACTTATCACTCAACAATTAATACTCCCTATTCTTTATTCCATCCACACTCAGTGGTTATTCTAACTTTCGCGCGCGTCTTTTTGGATCGGCGACTGCGCTAGACAAGATCAATATGGTGAATCAGTATGCAGCATTCCATTCCGGTTATTCTACTACTTTAAGCTCATTTCTTCTAGTTCAAGGCGAGAGGCTTCCCTCGATAGGGACAGCTCCGAAGAAGAGCGCAAGCCGACAGTATCCCCTGTTAACGAGCAGCAAACCTCCGTCGTTGTGAACCCCAAAGCGATCTTTGGGTCCGATCAGCCGTTGCCCCAGCATCTTACCGATATACTACAAGAATGGCACAAAGAGAAAGGCACGATACGGCCGCCCTGTAACAGTCAAAAGCCTGCGAAACGTCAGATGGAATGGAAAACTTTCGACCGTCAGGGAAATCACGTGAACCTCTCCGCGTATGCGATCATAAAGCCCACCGCATATAATGTCCTAGTGCTTCATACTGCTGAAGGGCATGAGAAGCTCGTGTCTTCCTACTTTCCTTTCGGCACGGGTTTTGGTACCTACCTGATCGGGTGGTCGGGGGTTCACGATGGGTGGGATCCCACAATCTGTGCCCTGCGAATGTTCTCGAATAATCTTGACGATCTTGTTTATAAGCCTGAGGCGTGGCCCGCATTTGAAGTTCTGGAGAAGCGTCACAAGAAGTCGCAGGCCCAGACCTCACGAGTGAGCGAGAAACGAAGAAGTCTCTCGGGACCCTCGCAGATGCAAAGACCGGAAACGAGGCCACAGAGAAAGAGCCTACCAGGACAACCAGTCGCTACACATGACCACAGGACCAACAATGCACATGAAAGATCGTCTTCGTCATCATCGGAAGAGGAAGAGTCAGACGAAGAAGACGACACTTCAGGGTCTTCGGAGTCTTCAGAGGACGACGAGCCCGAGCCTACATCTGTATCGAAAAGGCGCCGATTGAACGAGCCTAGCGAACCCACCCATCAGGATGCCAAGGTGGTGTTCAAGTTATTCTCGTATAAATCCGGAGCAGTTCGCTGCTTTCCGTTGGACGAGTGCCAGACTGGGAAAGAGTTCTTCGACAAGGCCCGGACCTTCTTCCAACTTTTTGATAAACATGCGGAGGTAAAGATCCTGTCATGCCAAATAGCGTCCCAGCCTCTACAGCAGTATGTCTTTGAGGGCAGTGAAGGTGAGTTTAATCTGCTCGTGGATCAAGCCAAGTCCTTAGTTCGCGATGGGCTTGTGATTGTAGAGGTCAGTCATGTTTTATCATTATCGCCTCACTGAGCTGGATATTGTTTGGTTGCACATTTGATGTCAATAAGACCGGTTGTAATATGTGATGGAGTCATGACTAACTAGATGGAACAACGTATCTTTAAGAGTAAATATACTTGAGCATTTGCTGTCGGATTGTTGTCATTTTCAGTGCCTTGCTGTATACATAGTTAACGAGTAGATCGCTGGAATCGATGACTAATGACCACGTGGGCGAGGCGACGCAACCTGCTTTGGGGACAATTTCTCAACACGTTCAAAGAATCACCCACCTCATCGTCGCCATGCGTTAAGCATGAATTCTGCACTGCTCGATGCCTCCTCTGTCCGACTCGCCTCCCCCCGTTCCTCCGCCAGTCCCCGTCGAGACCCATCCTAATCGAGCGGTCGGGATAAAGCCTCCTGGACAACAACGGACGCTCCCCGATCCCACCCGGCTTGCCCCTGAAGATGCATACTATTCGCCTGCATTGGTGAGAACACGAACTGCTCCAGCAACCTACGATGAGTCTCTTCGAGGGCTGAACGGGAGCGCCGGCACTGCTGCCTCGGTCGCAGCTTTGCGACCGCCGCACGCGGTCCCGGCGCGAAAATTACGAGGAACAAGTAGACGTCGGCGACGAAAGGGCGCGTGGAAGAAGCTGCTCTGGGTGAAGCAATCATGTATGGGGTTGAAAATAATTCCGGTCAGGATGGCTGTTAACGGCGCTGGACAGATCCTGATAACTACACCGATACCGAGACGTTCCTCGATCATCTCCAGCGCAACCCACGCGTGCGTCCTTACGACTTCTGGCCGCTCGTAGCCGATTCTACGGTCATTGTTCAGCATGTTTGCTCGGTGGCGATCTTTGTTTGCTGCTTTGTTGGCATTGTCCAGGGACGGGTGAGCCCCGTGTCGATTGTGTGCTGGGGGAGCGTCGGGACGGCTATGGGCTGGATACTGTGGGATTCATGGGTGTTCAGAGAGCATGGGGAGAGCCACGTGGTGGAGCGCGCATCCGAAGGGGATGACGGATCGAGTTCTGGCTCAACCACAAGTTCAATGAACCCATCCACCACCCGGTTAAATGACCAGAAGGACAACCAGGTCCATGGACTTGGGTTGACGATGTCTCACAGTGAGACAGAACCGGGACGAAGGAGCAGCAACTCGGGTCTCGGCGATTCCTGCACGCAGGATGCGGCATCCTTCGGAGGTACGAATGGCGTTGCTGCCGGCAGCGTCCCCCTTCTGCACGACGCGCCGATGACTTCACGACTCTCTACGCGCAACCGCCAGCGGCTATCTACCGTTAAATCGGCATTTTTGATATACTGTGCATTACTGGGGCTTAGTCCGATCCTGAAATCGCTCACTAAATCGACGGCCAGCGACTCGATCTGGGCGATGAGTTGCTGGCTGTTGATCACCAACATCTTCTCGTTTGACTATGGGAGTGGGGAGGGCGCAGGCGCTACGAAGTTCCCGGCTTCTCTGTCGACCAACGCTGCGGTGATGGCCTCGACCGTGCTGGCGTCCCGGCTGCCGTCGACGACGCATGTGTTCAGTTTAATGCTGTTCTCCATCGAAGTGTTTGGACTGTTCCCTATCTTCCGGCGTCAGTTGCGCCATATTTCATGGACCGGCCATGTGTTCCTGACACTAGCGCTGGTGATCGCCGCTGGTGGCGCGGTTGGAATTACATTAAGGGGCGGATTGACGGCGGCCGTCGTCGGTTCTATGCTCGGCAGCATCCTGACTGCTTTGGCGATGGGAGGCTGTAGTTGGTGGCTCATCAGTCTGCAGAAATACAAGAACGTTGTGACGGGACCATGGGACCCGGCGCGACCCATCATCCGACGCCATTGGGACTAGTTTAGAGATTCGAATTCGCACCGGCTGGATACCAGCTGGCGTGAACTATGAGATAGATACCCGTACGAACAATGTTAATACCGTTTCTTTTGCCCTCGATTCAAGTGTTCCTCTCTCCTACTCTCAAGCCCTCTATTATAATATGGCACTCTGATAATAATAATACCACACGGCTCACGCCTGGCCGAGTTGAAACAAGAAGAGACAAAGCCTGCCGTCCAAGGATCGAACTTCTGAAACCTCTCTTTGAACTTGTCTTTGGCCCCAGGCAATTTTAACAATGAACAAATAAAATATTCGCATTGTAGCGCCCTCGGCCGACGACAAGAATGCACAAGGAATGCCACCCGGCATGCCACGGGGTCTAATGGAAACACGGACCCCAAAGTCGAGCAATGGATCCCCCTCTTCGCCCCAGACCCGGCCGAATGCCAGTCACTCAACAAAGGATCCGCTGTCTCACCCGCTGCATACCTGCCTGACCTCATCGAGAGATCGACACTGGACACCGCATTCCCCACTACGTAGACCTTCGATTTGTTCGCTGCGTTGTTTATTTGTCCCCCATGGCTTGTGCCTGGGGAACCGACGTGACAGAATGCAATGAATGATTAAAACTCAGTGTGACTCCGCATTCACGGCATGACTGCTCAAGTGACCCGTGTACATCCCCAGATATAAAAGCCCGTCAGCTCTCTTTTCATCCTCCTTGGTTTTTTCTTTCCCTGGTTGTCTGTCATTCACTCACCTACGATACCGCTTCCCTACTGGGACTCAAACAGCGACCATGAAGTGGAAGAGTCTAGCCCTAGGCGCCCTGGCCGCCGCCCAGTCCGCGGCCAGCCTTCGCTTCGTGATGTATATCGATCAGTATGTTCCCTGTTCACCTGGATCCAACCTCAACCCCGAAATTAACAATGAAAAAGATACCACACCCAAGGCCTCCCCGACAGCAGTGAGACGGCCGGAGTCACCCACGCCGTCATGGCCTTCGCCCAATCGACTCTCTTCAACGGCGAGTCGGGACAGCCATGGCAGCCCTTTGAGCCGGTCGACACCATGCGCAAGCGGTTCAGCAAGGATACGAAGCTGCTTGTCGCCATTGGAGGATGGGGCGACACGTCGGGGTTCTCAGAGGGTGCGAAGACTGAGCAGTCGCGGGCGACGTATGCGAAGAATGTTAAGAAGATGGTTGACGACCATGGGTTGGATGGAATTGGTATGTTTCTTCTTGCTCTCTAGAGACATGTCTTTGGGAAGAAAACGCATGACTGATACTAATGACTACAGACATCGACTGGGAGTACCCCGGCGGTAACGGTGAAGATTACAAGGACACCCCCAACGAGAAAAAGAAGGACGAGATTGAGACATACCCGCTCCTCCTCGCTGCCATCCGCAAGGAATTGGGCAAGGACAAGCTCATCTCCATCGCGACCCCGGGTAAGCGCGGCGACATGATCGCCTTCACCAAGGAACAGGGCCCCAAGATCTGGGAGTCCGTCGACATGGTCAACGTCATGACGTACGATCTCATGAACCGCCGTGACAACGTGACCTCGCACCATACCGGCGTCAAGGGGTCCTTGGATACCATCAAGGCGTACGAGGAAATCGGCCTTGACACGCAGAAGATCAACCTCGGCGTGGCGTACTATGCTAAGTGGTTCGAGACGAAGAAGGATGCAGGCTGTGATACGCAGCCGCTGGGATGCGAGGTTGTGGAGTTGGAAGACGCCAAGGGTAAGGACACTGGGAAGTCGGGTGCATTGACCTTTGAGAAGGGCACGATGGGCGAGCCGTCGACGGATTTGAAGGACAGCACTGATGGCAGCTGTGGGTTTGGCAAGGGCAAATGTCCGTCGGGAACGTGTTGCAGCCAGTACGGAACTTGGTATGTTTCTTGTCTTCCTATCTGTTTATGCCCATCCACCATTCCATCTCCTTTTCCTTCACAATATCCTCTGGAAGAATACTAACAGCGCGAACAGCGGAACCACAGACGCGCACTGCCAGGCAGGCTGCCAATCCGACTACGGCACCTGCAAGGGCATCTCACTGATCGATTCGTGGCGTCGCGCCGAGAAGGACGGCGTGACTGACGAAGAGGGCGGCGGCCAGTACTACTTCGACCAGGAGGTGAACCTGTTCTGGACCTGGGACACGGCGCCGCTCATCGAGCGCAAGTTCAAGGAGATCGTGGATGCCGAGAAGCTGGGCGGTGTCATGGCCTGGAGCTTGGGAGAGGACACCTTGAAGTGGGAGCATTTGCATGCCATGCAGCAGGGCGTGCAGGAGCGGAGTTGATATGCTCACTCATTCAGTTCTACCTGACCATCCTTTACTCTATTAACTTTCTTGGAATCAAACCTACACTTATTGCCAACCATAAGCCCTCCCAGTCCATCCACCAGAAGTGAACACAACCCAACACCCCTCAAACAAGTAAAGGAAAGTCAAGTAATATAAAGTACCCGTGAATCGAGGTCGATAAAACAAACGTGAAACTCCCCAAAATCCGGACCATGTAGACTAGAGGAACCAACCAATCCGAACGCACGCCCCAGCACGGGATCGCAAGACCCTACGTAACCGGCCGCAACCATCACCTCACCACACAACGCAACTCACTCATTTAAAGGACCGCGCGTCCCATATAGCCTCTGGAAGAAAAAGAAACGAATTACCCGGTAGGATAACATACATATTATTACCATGCACATTCATTCCGAGCGACTCTCCCTCCCACCACTATGAAATGGGCTCTCGTCTACTTACTCCTACTGCTCTGGCTCCCGGCTTGTTTAGGGGCGCCGCTTCCGGGGATATCGGCGGCCTGGTTATCGTTATCTGATAAGCGTCAGGGTCCGGATCGGGACCATGAGTCCCTGAATCCCTGGGAAAAGTCTTGGAAGGGGTTTGGATCCCCTGGGGCGAGCACCGGGAGACTATCACCATCTTCTCAGGATACCCACGGCGGTGATGGCGATATAACCAAGACAAGTCAACGTGACTATCAACATCAACGTCAACGGCCCATTACGCTCAGTCAACCGCTGGCATATACACCGCACCACGACTCGGAGTATACTGCTTCCTCCTCCACCTCCAACTCTCACCAAAATAACAACAATCATAATATTAATATTAATAATTCCAACTCCCACGGAACCTTCCTCACCAACAACTCAACCCCGACCCCAACAGCACCACCACACCAACTGCAACCACTCCCACCCTCAACCACAAAACGCTACCTCCGCGTCCTCCACGAGACGCAACTCCCCACCACCTTTCTCAAGAACCACATGCATGAGATCGTCGTCGCTGGGTTATTTCTTCTCGTTCCGATTACTCTGGCGCTCGTCGAGATCATCGAGCGCATTGGACTAGGTGTTGATGAGAATGTTGAACTACAACATTATCTCGAGAGGAGGAGAGGAAGGGGGATGATTCGACGGGGGCGGGGGAAGGTTCTTAGGAAGAAGAGAGGGAAGAGGAAGTCGCAATTGATACAGATGGAGGTGGAGGTGGATATAGAAGATCAAGTATTCTCTCGGTGAGATTTGAGTTATTTCTTTATGTGAGGTGAGGTAAGGTAAGGTAAGGTAAGGATGAAACTGCATATCTTCATTGCTTATGTACTGTAACAGTTCTATATATACCACAGAAAGGAATTTTAATTATTGCATTAGACGTTCTCGCGCTGGTCGACCTCGGCCTTCTCGGCGGCACGCGTGAAGGCGTCGACTTCGGCGGCTTCACCCTGGGGCAGGTGTTTGGCCATGGAGACGATGTCCCAGGTGGAGGGGGCGTCGCGGAAGACGTTGTTGATGGCCTCGAGGTTGCGGTTCATGGTCTCCGGGTAGAAGAAGTAGACGACGAGGGGGATGCAGGCGGAGATGACGGCGTACATGATGTAGTACTGGTAGCCGATGGTGTCGAGGGCGACGGGGGTGATCATGACGACGACGAAGTTCCAGAGCCAGTGGTTGGCGGTGGAGATGGAGGACATGGCGACACGGAGCCGGACGGGGGCGACCTCGGTGCAGTAGAGGAAGTTGCCGCCGAGGAAGCCGAAGGGGTAGAAGGAGTTGAAGAGGAAGATGAAGAGCGCGGAGACGATGGAGCGGCGTAGTTCTTGCCGAAGCTGTTGGTGATGGCCAGGACGATCATACAGACACTCATGCCGGCGCCGCTGATCATGAAGATGGCGCGACGGCCCAGCCGGTCGATGGCCACGAAGGCGACGAAGCTGCACAGGAACTTCCAGGTCATGGCGCACGACGAGAGGATGCGCGCCAGGTCGGAGTCCATGTTGAGGTTCTCTTCGAAGATGGTCGAGGCGTACACGGAGATCAGGTTGCCACCGCACATCTGCTGGAAGAATTGCAGCGCCATGCAGAGGCCAAAGCGGTACAGCAGACGGTCCTTGTCGTTCTTGCTGAACATTTCCTTCAGCGAGCCGCTGTGGTCGGCGCTGACTTCGAGCGAGGACTCGATGCCTGCAATCTCCATGCGGATCTCGTCGTCCTCTTCGGGGATACCCTTGTAGGCGGCGAGACTGGTGGTGGCTTCTTCGATGCGGTTGACGCGGACGAGCCAACGGGGGGATTCGGGGAGGAGGAAGACGGAGAAGACGAGGACCAGCTCGAAGAAGAAGGAGATGGCGAGCGGGATACGCCATTGCAGGGAGCCGTCCACTTTACTGAGACCGAAGTCGATCCAGTTGCAGAGCGTGTAACCCAGACAGATACAGATACCGTCGACAATAACGTGCTGGCCACGGTGCTTGGCCGAGGTACATTCGGACTGCCACACCGGTACGGCGGCACTGAACATGCCAATACCCACACCGAGGACGACTCGACCGATGGTGAACTGGATCAGGTTGTACGAGGCCGTCTGGAGCACCTGGCCAATGATGGAGATGATGGTGCCGACAAAGATGGTCTTGCGACGACCGATCCAGTCACCGAGGAACGAGCAGGATAGGGCTCCGATCAGGGCCCCGAGCTGGAAGGATGCTACGACGGCACCTTTACTGGTCGAATTGTGAGCCTTGAGGGCACCGGTCGTGTTGACCGTGTCGATTTCAGGGAAGACATGAACCCAGCTTTGCAGGGTGGCCAACGGACCAACACCGGCTTGGTTGTAACCGAAGAGGATGAAGGCAGGAACAACGATGAGAAACACCTGAGCCAGGCGGAGAGGTCTTCCTTGGAGCACCATTTTGGATAGGGGGAAGTTCGACAGAGTGCCCAAGTGGTTCCAATGCTTCCTGGGTAGGGTGGCAACGCGTTGCTGCAAGCCCTTTTATACCCTAATTCTCCGAATGCATACTCCCTTAACCACCTGACCCCAAATGAAATTCTACGTGGAGACCCCGCATCTTAGTAGAAATTTACTATACTCACCGAAAGAGAATTGCATACAAGAACGACCGAAGTGGGCTAGGGGCGTGGGAGTACCTGTAAAAGCAGTGGGTCCCCCAATTGAGCCGTGTTTAAGCACCAAAGGTTCCATTGCAGTTGAGCGTCATACCGATCCACTTCTCGGACCGTGACCGAGCGGGCGACCTAATCACAGGGAGCCATTCGCCGCAAGCTAAGGAAAACCAGGGCTGTTCTTCGGGTGAACTGAATGCTGAGAAATGCCGCATGGACGGAGTACGTACAAAAATCTGGAGAAGGATTGTCCGAAACCCCTACCGATTAATCAGGCTGTCGGTATTACTGTTTTAGTTGCGCGCGGCGAGAATATCCCGGAGAAAAGAAGCTTCTCCCCCAGAAAACAAGCAGCGATCGACGGCCTCCACGTTTTCTTGTCTTTTTCTTGTCCCGGACCAGTATAACCCCGTGGGATATCCTCCGAGAGAAAAATACCATTTAAGAAATATTTCAATTTTTTAAGGAAGGAAAAAAACTTAATATGTGTTTTAACTTAGGGTCCCGTTTCTTACAGTCGCTGGATCTCCCCCACCATGGCCTCGGTGACTTCCTTGGTCGTGGCCTTACCTCCCAGGTCTGCGGTCAAGGTTCCTCTCTCACACACATTCTCCACACACTCCATTAGCCTCTGAGCCGCCGTCTCCTCGCCCAACCACGCTAACATCTCGGCCGCGGTCCAGAAGGTGGCGACGGGATTAGCAACGCCTTTCCCGGTGATATCGAACGCTGAGCCGTGAATCGGCTCAAACATGCTTGGGTGCTGTCGGGTGGGGTCCAGGTTAGAGGTCGGTGCGATTCCTATCGAGCCGGCGAGAGCAGCTGCGAGGTCGGAGAGGATGTCCGCGTGCTGGAAAATCTCGATTGATCAGCGTCAGCCCAGGACCCAAAACCCTAATTTAATAAGGTAATATCAATCTGGCCCCCTCACAGCCAAGCGTCCAGAAAAACCTTTATCAATGCCCACACCCCCCCGAAACTCCCGGGTAGGGCAAGAAACGCGAAGGGATTGGGTAAAGGGAACAAAGAAAGGGAGCAGGGAAAGTCAAAACGCACCAAATTACTGGCAACAATCGTATCCACTGTCTCGGGCTTCAACACCATCCTTGTAGTCATCGCGTCCACCAACATCTTGTCCACCTGCACTTCTGGAAATTCCTTCCCCACTTCGGTCGCAACCTCATCCCAAAGGACCATTCCGTTGCGCTGGGCATTGCTCTTAGTGACCACGGTCAGTAACTTCCGTGGCCGCTTGGCCGCCGTCTGAAATGCGAACCGCATGATTCGCTCGACGCCGTGCCGGCTAAAAATCGCTGTCTCAGTGGCTACCTCCCAGGGGCAGCCGCGGTGCGATCGACCCCCCTGTCCGGCATACTCGCCCTCACTGTTCTCACGAACAATCACCCAGTCCAATTTGCCGGGGGGACAATTCCGAAGCGGTGATTGTGTGCCCCGGAGGACCCGCGTAGGTCGCACATTCGCGTACTGCTGCAAAGGCTGACAGATCGAAAGACGGAGACCCCAAAGGGAAATGTGATCGGGAACATCTGTGGGTATTTACATTAATAATCATCGTAACATAACTACTACCCTATGCAATGTTATATTGCATATGCGGGCTAAGTCGATCCCGGTCATGGGGCGGTTTATTTCTTTTTCTTTTTTTCTTTCTATTCTTCCTGGGAACTTACCAGGTGCTCCCACAGCTCCAAACAAAATCGCATCATGACGCTTCAGGTCGTCCAGTCCTCCGTCGGGAATATACTTGCCGGTGGTTTTGTATGTTTCCGAGCTCCAGTCGTAGTGGGTGAAATCAAGCTTGAAGGTGTTAAGCTTCTCGGCCAAGGCGTTGAGAACAGTAACTCCGGCCGAGATAACCTCGGGACCGATGCCGTCCGCGGGGATCGATGCGATGCTGTAGGTCTTCATGGTGTGGTGTGTATGATCCTAATCGTGATACAAGGCTGCGATCTGTGAGATGTTCGGGTAAATTGGTCTTGAGGTTTAGTTCTTTTGGTATGCTTTCATTCGTATTTATGTTTGGAAAATCTTTTGCGTGAGGCGACGGAGTTTGTGAACCCCGCCGGACTTGTTCTGTCCGGTATACTAGGCCCGGAGGTAGACATGTCCGGGTTGCCACGCAGCCTCCTCTATCCTGCCTTTCTCCAGATTTCCTTTCCCGCTCATTCTCAGTACTCCAGAGTACGTCTATCGCGGGGAAAGTTGGGGGGCATCACTGCCGATGTCGTTCCCGATGGTAATTACGCGCAAGTGTAACTTATGATGTGAACGTATGGCTAAATCTGAAACCCGAGATTTTGATCGAAGTTCTCCTCGATTAACCAGGGCCCATCCGCAACGGTCCACAGGTCATTCCACCCGGATTCAAAATCTCCGGGGTCTGGAAAGGGATACGTAAACGGCAGGTTATTGATCGATGAGTCTCCAAACACAACCGAAGGGTGATACTGCGGAGCTAACCTGGGGTCCTCGGCAATGTTAGTGGGGAAATCTGGGGCTCTGTCTTCTGCCGGTCCTAGGCTTGCTGGTCGGTTGTCGGTTAGGGGCGTTGGCGGCGGGTTGGACAGGGCAGATTCTAGATCGCGGATAGCTTCGATGCAGGTCTGCGACCAGGTGTTTCCTCTCAGGGATAGGTTTTGGAGGATGGAGAGGCCGGTTTTGGCGTATCTAATGCAATGGTGTTAAACCTGCGTCTTATGGCTCAGACATATTTCGCTCTTACCGTGAAGCGGATAGCACGGGAAAATCCCCTTCCCATGCTGCATATACTAGGATCAAGCAGCTCATCCAGACGGCCCATGTGAACGACGGCCATACCAGCGGCACCGTTCCCTGACCACCGGGCAGGACATAGCCCCTGAGGGCCGTAATCAGTGATCTAGACGACTCAATACAAACCTGCAATGCCGTCTTGTACTCTGGCGATGACTGCTCGGCCGCCAGGAGTGGCCTGTTCATCGAGATGATAGACTCATGGCGGAAGACGATCAGCAGTAGACGATGAAGTGGCGAAACTCCCGGGTCCTCTTCCACCGGGTAAGCATCATCGTAGACTTCGTTCCACCAGTGAGCGAGCTCCCCGTTCACTTGAGTGGCAGTGTTGGAGGTTTCTTGGCTGTGGAGGATGGACTTATTGCGGAGCTCGACGACTAAACCTCTTACGCGGGCGAATTTAGCCAGATAAGTAAGCAAGCGGAGATTTGGATCTGGAACATTAGATGTGAGTGTTGTGAATCAGGCGAAGAGATTATTACATACCGTATACCCCTTCACCGTGTCTTTCTATCCCTGGGTAACACACATCGATGTCATCGTCTCGGATGCTCAGTGGAATACCCAGGGATTGGGAGAGGTATCTTTCTAGGCAGTAGATCGACCAGAATAATCGCTGTCGGACTGCAGCTTCTTCTGGGCTAAAACAGGCGAATCGTGCCGGACATCGATGTAGACCGAGATGGAATGCGGTGCGCGTTATAGCGCCACCGATCCGCGAGGCAGCATTCAATCGCAACAGCGAAGCGAGGAACAATGCCACGCTAAAAGCCGCCTGGAGGATAGATATCGTAGGCGGGTCACAGAAAAGCGTGTGTAGGCTTTCCATTGCCTGATCGACTGTGCGAAAGACCAGCTTGGCGGGCACATGCGTACTCCTCGCAGCATCCACCTGACGGCCATCCATAAGAGAAATGGATATGATGGACCGGACGAGAATCACGTCCGTGGTCTTTGCGCCGTCCAACCCATCCTGGCTAATGCGCTCCAGTAGCTCAAGGAACCTCGGACCAGAAAGGAACGGAAACATCGGATGCCAACATTCAAAGTAACTCCTCGTCCATTGCACAAGCTGTTCAAATGAAGCCGTTCGGAGCCGGTGGTCCAGCTCCTGCGGCGCCCACAGCTCGTTCTTCACTGCCTGCGCGTCGTGCGCCGGGCTCTGGAGTAATTGGTCATCTTCACCGGGGACTAGGTTCTCCTGTGCCCTCTGGGACTGGCTCAGGTGTGCTGAGCGACGGGCAAATGAGTTGTAGACAGTGCGGATGAAATGAATGCCGCTTGAGCTGCCGAGGAAGGTGGCGGAGCCATTGTCAACGGAGGATTTCCTCATCACGCCGATTTCTCGCGGCGGATTCGGTTTGCGCCGTTTGGCGGGAGAAGTAAGATAATCATGGTGTGGTGAGTCCATGATTCAGCAATGGGGGACAGGATTCTTATTGGATTGGGAAGTGATAGTAGCCGGAAGAGCTTGATAGAGTTGTGTGGGGGTGGAGACAGCCTGCCAAGTGCACCATGTTAATCACCCCTTGGCATACCGCGTTTTAAGCCAGGTGCATGTCCCCATAGAGAGTGTATGGGTATGTCTTTCGCTACCCTCGCATGATACACAGGGGTTCGTTGAGCTTGTTCTTGAGGGCGGCGATCGTCTGGGGGAATGGAGGAGGAACAAGACCTACTTGAAGTTACCCCGGAAATATATTTTCCATGCTGCGCAGGCACGTGGAGTACAGCCGTGGAGAAAATCACTTTAACCCACTGGCAAAAAAAAAGAGAAAACAGAGAAATAAGAAAAGTAATATATAGAAAGATTAAAAGAAGATTACAAGAAAAAATGAGAAACTTCAGCTGAAATTCAACTAGAAGCAGAGGCTAAACCGAGGTTCATTGTTTCTCTCAGGTTTCTAACCTCTCAGTCGTACAAGGCATACATATGATGCCTCAGGCATAAAGAACCTCAGCCAGCTGATCAATTGTCCAATCACACGCGGCCGGACTTTCTTCTTGCGGCATACATTCCACATTTCCAACTTAAAAGTCTCCAACTCGCCATCTATACTATTAATATCCACGAGAATCCTTGTTATGATACCCTCAGAGTAACTGAAATAATCATCGAGCAAAAATGTCTACAGGCGCTTTAGCCACGGCTCATCCCCAAAACCCCATCTCCTGCGAACCATGTCGACAAAAGAAATGCAAAGTCAGCTAACTCCCACCCAACGCGATGCCAATTTATATAGTATTTCGTTTGGAAATTAACCGAGATATTAACTGACTGACTATTCCAGTGTGACCGACTCCTGTATGCGCAATCACTCACCATGTTCCGATATTAGAACTAATAATCAAGTCCGATCTGCACACAATGTGCCACCACTCCATCCTCGCAGAGTAGATGTATATACCCCGAGAGTGGGAAAAGGTTCGTATATATACGTCATGACTCTGATAGCCATGCTAGAGCTTATGCTGATAATCACTAGAGGTCTTCCGCAAGGGTACATAACCCATATTGAACATCGTCTCGCCGCGACAGAAGCGGCTTTGTTCTCGGTGTATTCCCAGGTACGGGCTGAGAGGACTGTGCAACCGCAGAGGCAATCCCACGTTCAGGGAGACACTCTGGCTGTTCCTGTTGATGTGGTGGCTTCGTCGAGGGGAAGTCGGATGGAAAGTATGGCGGAGTGGCAGGCGTTGCCGTTGAGGGCTGGAGGAGAGCTGGAGAGATGGTGGGGGGTAAAGAGAGGAGCTTGGGGGGTAGACGTTGATGATGGGGGATGCTCTTCTGGTGGCTTTGGGCAAGAGAGCGAGAAGGGGTTGTTGGTTGAGGATCGGAATGAAACCGACCCAGGGGGAAGGGACGCAAATGTAGAATTAGATAGTGGGAAGATGACTAGAGCGGAGAGATTGGCAAGACTGGAATCACGGGTATATTTCTGAACTGCCTTCTACTCTAAACAGATTGAGTATGTACATATGCATCGTATTGCGTGTAAGATATATCGTCTAGTAATGTACATGGTATTCAACAAATATTTCAAAATTTACGTGGACGAGAACAAATGTGCCGATTGGACCCGGCACAACCGTCCGTTCTGGTCGGGAAGGCCATCCTGGCTCTTCACCGTCCAGTCCTCACTACCAACTCCAGTCGGGGCGTAGAACAATCCTGATGCGTCGTATTTTTGCTTGAGCTGGTACAGGCGCTCATAGTTCGAGCCGTAGAACGACTGTTGGAAGTTTGGCTCCAGAATGTTCGCTTCCGACATGTAAGCTCCCGCCTCAGGGCAGGTCTGGCGCCAGATACCGAGGATATCGTTGGCGAAATGCTCCATCTGGCTGAGGATCTGGGTGTTAGTGTAGTTAGAAGTCCAGCTCGCCGAGGTAATGGCGTGCATGAGTGTTTTGCGGAAGGCTGGGTTAGCCGAGCTCTCCGGGTAGCCCTGTGGCAGTTCGGCCTTCAGGTTGAAAGCGAGGAGCGGGTATCCAGCAGTGACAGTAGTCTTGAGCGCGTTGAAAGTCTTGTTCAGAAGACTAGCATCTTCCCAATTGGCACGGGGGAACAGACGTGAACCGGTCACCATCGTCGAGGAGGCGACAGTCTCAAGAGGGAAGACAGCGTCCCAGGCGTCATAAAAGTTGTCATGATACTTCGTGTCGGGAGTATATGGGATGCCTAAATGGTCGAGCTCGTCGAACCATGGCTTCATCAGGGCATTGAACTCCGAAACGGTGTGGTTGACGGCAAAGTACGGGTTCATGAGGAACGAGAATGAGTTGTTCCCTGTGGCCATCACCCAGAAGTAGGCGTAGGTGCCGGCGTCGGCGTTAATTGCGAACCGATCCAGGTAGGCGCGGACACCGGCCCAGAAGGTGTCGACCGTAACGTTGGCACCGGTGGAGAAGTTGAAGGTTGATGTTGTCACACCAACCTTGGGGTGCACACGAGAGATGATCGAGGTGACAATACCGTAGGTATCTGAGCAGTACTTGATTAGCTTAGCACGCAGTGGAAGATGGGAATCGCCACATACTGCCACCACCACCGCGGAGAGCCCAGAAGAGATCCGGGTCGGTTTCTTCCGTTACGGTCACAAAGCGCCCATTTGACAAGACAACCTCCAGAGCGAGTACTTGGTCTGCAGCCAAGCCGTAGATGCTCGACATGGGCGAGTGACCACCCCCAAGGACGAAACCGCCCGCGACACCGACAGTCTTGCCTTCACCACCGACTGCAGTGAAGCCCAGCTCCTTAGCCTTTGCATAGATCTCAGTGGCCTGGACACCAGCCCCCATCTTCACGGCGGGCCCGTTGTATCCGTGACCTTGATAATCCTCATAATACTGAATATCCTTGAGGTTATGGGTCCAGATGCCCAGAGCTCCGGCACCGGTAGACTTGCCATTAAAGTCATGGCCAGTGTTCTTGACAACCAGACGGATGCCCGTGTTACGAGCAAAATTAACCGCCAACTGGATCTGAGCGACCGAGCTTACATTGACGGCGTATTTGCTGTAGCCGCCCACGGTGCAGGTGCCGGATGTGTCATCGGGGGGCAGACACGTCCGACCCTCATACAACGGCCACATAATTGAGGCCGGGTCGGCAGCACTGATGATCTAGTCAATAAAAAAGACCAATCTCTAACTCATACAGGGGTACGCACTGGAGATTGGAATCAGTCCAGTTGTCTGAAACCACCTTGCATTGGGTGCTGTCGTACTCTGGCCATGACGAATAACAGGATGACGCCAAAGGGACAGTCTCAATCAACGCGCCGCCGAGAAGACGGTCGAAGAGTGACCAGGTAGAAGTGGACGGCCACTCGGTGTCACCAGGAAATACCTTGCAGGAGCTGCTGTCACTTACGCTTAATTTCGATAAGCTAGAGTTGCTACCGAAGGCAAAGAGGCTGGCGTTATTCTGGAGGTTGAGCTTGTTGAGCACACCATCCGTCAGCTGGAGTGCCTCGCTATGAAATAGAGGAGCCCCCGCAGCGGTCCTGGAAGAGGGAACTGCAGTTTCAGCAGGCACAGAGGGAGATGGCGCTGCCTGGGAAGGAGTCAAAAGGGCAAAAACCGCAAGGAGGAGATTCGCGGAGGACAAAGTAGTAGGAGCCATGATGACAGCACCAGCACACGGCTGGGTGGTAGACAAAACTGTATCGGGAAAGTGAAATCAAAAATTGATGGGGCAAGCGAGACAGACCTATGGCATATTATACATTTACGATGAAGCCTAAATTGCCGGGGTTTGCTAGACTATATCGAGCATCCCGGCCGAACGGTCGATATTAGCGGCGAACGGACTAAGAAGCGTGTCAGTCCTGGCTTAGGGGTGCAGCCAATAATTTGTGAATAACTATGTTTAGCTTCATTCTTAGTTTCTCATATGGAGAATGCATTACTCTGTAGTCTGTAGTATGTACATGAGAGGATGACCGGCAGATAGCCGATGCCCTAACTTTTGTCAGCCGAAGATTTCGCAGATGGAGTCATTGATCAGGGTAGTAACTTGGCGAGACTAGTGTTGGTGAGCATTGGGCCGTTCTTCGTTTAGTAAAGGATCTTATGCGATACTCCGTATATCATAAAGGCCGACCCACATTAGTGGAGGAGGAAGGATCATGCAATCTGGGATATCATATATGGTCTCCACTTGGTGCAGAGACTTCGGGTTCCGTGGATGAGAAGCCGAGGAAGTTGAACCCACCGGAGACACGGACGACGTGTTTTTCTGGCAAAGGAACAGACAGCCTCGTCAATTCCTCAAGGTTCGTCGGCTACTCCCTTTATGTGCCCTACCTTTGCCGTAGAAGTTCAGGTATCGCCTCAGAAAGTGGTCAGTTAGAAAGGCGGTCACGTGATTCCACCCAGTCCAACTTGTATAATATTATACATACATACGTAGACCAGATCGACCAGTATTACGCAAGGGATGATTGTTTGTATGGCTCTGCGGGAACACATATCATTCATTATACGAGCCATGTACGATCGTGTATGCGGTCACGTGTCATGCAGTGGATACAGTCAAACAACCTGAGATGAGCGGTCAACCGCTCCGTACGTGGGACAAGAAGAAGTTATGGCCAATTGAAGGCAACGCAATATATAACTTGCAATGATACCCACCGCCGGGTACGTATCCAAACAAAAGCTGCGACGAGACGACCTAAAAACGCTTGCGGGCTAAGATAAGCTGTTCTCTCGACAATCAACAAGATGGCGGGATATTACCTCCTGTCTCAGATCCTTAGCGTAGCCAGGGTTCATCCGTTTTACTCTGATGCCGAATGGGCCCCGACACGCGAAAGATTAACTGACATCCTTGCAAACTCCGATGATCACCCCGGTGGTATCCATTTGCATTCCTTCCCACCCACAGAGAAGTCTAAATTGTAAGATAGTTTGGTCTGATGTATTCAGTTTTAAGGGGACTAACGGCTTCCTACCAAAAGATACAAGCATATTGCTCGGCTTACCGCGGATACTAATCCCCAGAATGGTTATCGACAAAATACTTATATTAGCACCACCGGGGGTGGGTCGGGCGGTGCCCCGATGGTGTTTGCCACGGACTCCTTGGAGAATCGTCAACAGCGCGCTGCGATAGGGGCATTAATGCGGGCCTGTCAAATTATTGAGCCAGGTGACTGGGCTCTAACCATGCATGTCTCCGGACATTTCTATCGGTGGGTCGATGCACTACCACAGTGAGATTGGCTAGTGGCTAACAGTGTTCACAGAGCCCTTGATCTTGTAACAGAGCTGCTTGAAGCCGCGGGAGCCTCTGTTTTATGTGCTGGGGCCGAAATGGCAATGGAAGCAGTCGTCGACGCGCTGAGCCAGTATCGTGTCAATGTGGTGGCTGGCGATGCAGGGCAATTAGTCCAGTTAGTCAGATATATTGACACGCTGCCTGTTGACCAGAAAGCGTCTCTCCAAATCCGGAAGGTTATCTATACATCCGAGCCTATGACACCCGCACAAAAGAATCTTATCAAGTCGGTGCTCGGGGAGGTTACCATCTACTCGGTTATTGGGAGCGCAGAGGCCGGTCCATGGGCTGTATCTAACCCTTTGCTTACCAACCATAATACCGATTCGTCATCTGCTGACTTTATCTACGATACTCGGACGATGCTTCTCGAGGTCCTGCCCCTATCCTCCCAAAATACAGCAGTGAAGAGTTATTGTCATGACGGGGATATAGAGGATGCCCCCGACGGCGAAAAAGGAATACTCCTGCAAACATCTTTGCAGCGGCTGCGAAATCCTCTAGTACGGTATGTCTGTGGGGATGTCGCGTCTCTTCATCCGCTGCCTGCGGAAACTCGGACAAGATTGCCCGCAGAGGAGGCTGAGCACTACCGCATTGTCCGTATTTATGGGCGTGACAAACGGATCAGCTTCGACTGGTACGGGGAGTACTTTGAGTTTGACACACTTCAAGCACTCATGCGACAGGCTAGTTGGGGTATTCTTCAGTGGCAGGTCATCCTTTGGACCAAGCCGGAAGGATTAGACAAATGCTTGGAAGTCCGTCTGTTACGAGCCTCGGTGCCGGATGGGAATCTGCTCAGTGAAGCAGATTTGACTAAAGAAATCAAGCACTTCTTTATGGTATTTGATTTCAACGAGGATCTTTTTGAGCTGAGGTTCCTCACTGGTTTAGATGGGTTCGTTCGCAGTGCAACGGGTAGGAAGGTAGCCAACTTTGTAGATAAGACTACATAGCGCGCATGACGCTGGGGTATTGGCTAGTTCGACTGGCAAAGGGCGTTATTATACAGCTTCTAATTATACTACTTGAAGCTAAGGCTATTAAATCACCATGAGGCACTCTCCTTGGCAATACATGCTAGGTGCATACGCCGTCAATGGCGTTGTACGGTGGTAGCTTATTTATCCTGGACCCACGATCCTGTCGGCAATTATTATGACGCGAGGTTCCTCTTGGTCTCAACCGCTTAACCGGCAATCATAACAGGCCTAATTATCACTATACAAACTTTCGACATTAAAAGATACTTCCGGATTTGCTAGACTGCTGCAAGGGTGTTTTAAGTCATTCGTTACAAATCTGCTGTATACGAAATCCGCTAGCTTATATGTGCACTCTAAGCTGACAAAATAAGATCATTCAATCCCATTTAAGATGATATTTTCCAGCATCTCCCGCTCCGGATCCTGATACAGCATGCTCCGGAAACATGACTGCTCACGAAGGAGTAACTCCTTCGGACTGCCCGATTCTATAATCAACCCATCATCCATGACAAGCACCATATCCGAGTCAGCGATTGTCTTCAACCGATGAGCAATAACCAAGAAGGTGGTCTGATATTGGCCAAGGGCTGAGCGTAAGCTTCGCTGGATCAGATCGTCAGTTGAACTATCAACCGAGGATGTTGCCTCATCCATGACAAGGATCTTTGGACGTCGGATGATAGCTCGAGCAAGACAAAGGAGCTGCTGTTGTCCATGAGAGAGATTCTCTCCACAGTCGGCAACCGGCTGGTCGAGCGGACTTTCTGTGTTTTTCCCCATGAGGAGATAGTCGTGCTCCGTGTCGACGCCTTCTTCGACTAGAGATTCGCGGTCTGACTCGGTTGAGGAGGATCGGAGTGGGAACCCAGATTCTAGGGAGCTGTCTTCTGAGTCACGATTCTGGTACCATCCCACGGCTTGCACAGTGCGCCGGCAAAGGCGGCGTCATCGTACTCGCCAAAAGGATCAAGGTTCGACCGCACCGTTCCACGGAAAAGCACAGGATGCTACGGGACAATTGCTAGCTGGCTACAAATCCAGCCACCGACGGGCTGATCCCCGGCACGTAAGCCACCATCACCGCGGAAAGAGCGGAAAATGCAGCACCCATCACATTGACTCGGAAGCCCAACCACCGGTTGAGCAGCCAGAGATGCCAAAATGCGCATGCGTGGCGGCCCACTTTATCTTGAAATCTTTGTACAGCAACGTCAACTTGCCCAAAGGCCCGGACAGAAGACAGACCACTGATTGTGCTTTCAAGTTCCTCGAGAAGTGGTCCTTTAGCGTCGTTTTCCAAGTCTTTCAACTGTCGGGATGCCTTGATATACCGGCGAGCGCACCAGAAGTACATCGTCAGGAGGATTATAGTGATAATAAGGAGGATGGGATTCGCGATGGTGCCGGCAATCAATGCTGCAGCCACATCCATTGTGTACTCAAATGTAGCACAAAGCTCGGTTCCAACTTGAGCATCCAAAGCATTGAAATCAGCGGAGAATCGACTAAGCACGTGTCCTAGGGGCGTGTTGTCATGCCACTGAAGAGTGGCGCAGAGCACTGAAGAGAGTATTTTATGGAACAGATTTTGCGAGGCTCGAAGTGCAACGGACGAAGTGGAATAAATACGGCCTGTCCCAAAGGCACACGCTAGCACCGAGAGTATAATATATACACCGAGATAGTACAATACTGAGTGTTGAGAGGTGATTTGTTCGGTGGCTTGACGAGGGACTGGAATCTATGCCTGAAAATCATCCGTCCATATATGAATCCACCAGGACTTTGAGAGAATCAGTGAAAGAATCAAGAGATATGAACGCTTTGTAGGGTCAGTGGGATCTTACCTTAGCCAACATAAGCCCTGAGAACCCGATAAACGAGACAACCAGAAACAGCCATTGGAAGATATTACCCCCCTCTTTTGCGAAAGTACTAGCAACTCTGCGTTCAGAGGAATTGGGAGCCCACCTGCTGGTTTTCTCGGCAGCTGCAGAGGTAATGGAGGTGTTTACACTTTCCAGGGAGCCTCTGTCAGGGTACAGCGACTCAACGGGAGCTGACAATAGCTCCTCCTTTAGCTGGATAGACGATATCAGTGGTTGCTGAGGGGCTGCTTGCGGCTCAGGTAGTATATCTGCCGACTTTAAACCACCATTCTCAAGCTGGACCAAAGTACTTCGCACGTGATAAGCATAGTTTGAGGTGGTGAGTGACGAGGATACACGTTCGCCCTTGCAACAACTCCCCACCCAAGGCGTACTGGGAGATGTGCTCGCACGTATGAACATCCAGGGCACTGAAGATATCATCCAACAGAAGCGTACGAGCCCGTGAGTATAAGGCACGAGCGAGACAAACACGCCAGCGCTGTCCGCCACTGAGGTTTGCCCCGTTGGCACTGATTTCCGTCTGATCCCTTTGGGGAAGAAGTTCCAAGTCCTTCTCCAATGCGCATGCGAAGATCACCTTAGCATATCTCTCCTTATCTAGCGGTAACTCAAGAAGGATATTTTCTCTCAAGGTGGATGTCTGTAGCCACATCGACTGAGAAACAAATGCCACTGCAGAGTTTATCACCCAGGGATCGGCGGGCCCAACATGTGCGATTTGCTCAAACGAGACTGGTACTGGTGCCGATATACTGCCGTTCAAAATATCTGCTTCCCCCAATATCGCTGCAAGAAGAAGACCCTTGCCGGAGCCTGTTGGTCCGGTGATAATGCTCGGGGAATCATAGAGGAATGACAGAGTTAGACCTGTCAAAGTGCTGGCTGTGCCGCTGCACCCGGGCCAAGCAACTGTCGCATCCTGAAGTTCAATCCGCTCGGCGGGAATAACTTTACTGAAACGCTCTGGCTGAGATAGATATGTTGTGACCCGCTTCATACTCACTTTTGCACTTAAGAAGAATGATATGATATCCGGTAGTATGCCCATCGCCATTTCAAGAGAGCTCATAACAGCCAAAGCTGTGAATGCCGTGGCGGCATCCAGACTTCCATGGTAGAATATATACACCGAAAGGCAAGTTGCTGAAAGGATGATTGGGCTTATGAAATACATTGACATAAAGGCCATCTGCCAGAGACAGACCATTCACTGGGCTCGGATTTCAGTGCCTCGCAATTGACGAATTCTTTCCTCCCACCGGCTTTCCAGTGCGGAAAACTTAATCTGGCGGATCCTCGAAGCATCTCTACCACAGCTCTGGGCCTGCAGTCGCGATGCTGCATTAATGATGCTTGCGTGGTAGAATACTTGCTAACTGCCCAAGTATTGAAGAGAGTAAGGAGGCCCCAGATGGCGACTCCAGCAACCAGGCTCCGCCAGCCCAGTAGCCGAGTCAGGAAAATGGAAGCAATGACCAGCTTGATTGGTGATTCATATACGACGAAGAAAAAGCAGAAAAACCCCGCTATGTTCCTAGCATCGACGGCAACCATATTAACTGGAGTCGGACTTGTTTCGTCCTTGCCCGCCTCGTCAGAGCTTGAGGCTCGATGCAGCTGAACTGCCTTGTTGAAGACAGCGAGAGATAGCTGCTGCTGCACCCTAAGGCTTAGATTGTTATATGAGATCCAAAACTTCAACGTGTCTAGTGTTGCAGACCCCATCACAGACAGGCCGAGGCCAATAACCGGAACACAAAGCATATCGGCATTTTGTCCGGACTCTCGGGCTTCCAGCAGCTTCAGGATCTGCCATAAGGCTATTTGTGGGCCAAAGCTGAGGAAAGAGAGCAGGATAGTAATCACCATCTGATAGAGCAAAGCACGGCCATGGGATTGAAATATTGAGCACCATAACCCCCAGCTCGCTGACAAACTGTACTTTGCTACCATCCTTTTCCATGTACGGTATACGTTTCTCCCCTCGTGCTATTATCTAGCTCCGGCAAATCATCGATAGTTAAGCATTTAGAATGTTCACTTTCACGCAAGACTGGGTCAATCCATGAAAAGCTGACCCAGCCTAGCAGACTGGTGGTGAATTGTCGATCAACCATGATACCCTTATAGAAAACATCCGGACGTCGTGGAATCAACGAGCTGAGGAGGCCGATTGCAACACTAATGGCAATCTGGGCACCAGCAAGTACAATGTATACCTTTCCAAGGTGGCCTAAGTGGGAGTCGGCATAAATTTGGGCGAGACAGATCAGGAGTGCGATAAGACTACTCGCCCCCGTCCTCCAGCTAACCGCAAAATGTTCAGTGGACGAGGCGGGAACAGTGAGGGCGATGCTCTGGATGAGAACACATATCTTTGAAAAGCTGTCAGCTCTTTCAACTCAACGTCGTGGAGGAATATTGAAACTAATGTTATGTCAGGAGAAGCCCTTACCCAGATGCCGAACTCCATCCAATACGCCACATTTGCGGGATACTCTATATGAGGCATTGTAAGCCCCATCCGTAGCCCTAATATGGCCAACCCAGCTGTTGCGATAATCAGGATGGCCAAACGAAGGCCCCATTTTGCAGCGTGTTCGATGGTCTGTTGTGTAGCCTCCCCATCCTGGTCTTCATAGACCTGCACCAGCGACCGATAGGGGGTTGTTATCCATCGGATCGTCCATGACAATATATGTCGAGAAGCATACACATGGAGAATTAAGACTATCAGGAAGCCTGTTCCAGTCGAGGGGAGGCGCACATGTCCCATATTTGGTCTTGTCGTTCTAAGATGTTCGAACGACGAAGGTCGTCAAGGCCGTTCATCCCACAGCCTTTTTGCATTCTGTTGATCATTCCGCCGTGGCACACAGTCCATGCAAGGAGCGTCAATGAAGTAGAATAAAAAAAGGAATTAAAGGAATGATATCATGTTTGGCGTCCTCCGGACTTTCTAAGCATAACGACTGACGTGTTGCTGAATGGTTGGACCCCTTTTCCTCAAGATTATATTGTGGAATCAGTTATATCAACTTTGGGATCTTGTCTATTGTGTCGATCAGATACTACTGTCGATCGACATCTACTTCTAGAAATGTTTGATGGTCCACATATTCCTCCCCCTTGCCACCTCCTTGCGACTTCGATGAGAATCACCCTAACCTTCCAGTTTACAAGGCGTGTATGACTGTTGAAGGCTGTTAGAAATTCTGCTGATCTTTAGCATTCTCATGCCACATGTCCCATACTCTAGTAGTATCCGTCATTGCCTCGAGACCTATATCTGATACCTCAGTAGCAGTTGCGATGAGAGATCATGAATTCAATGTTGCCCTTGCTTCGCTGGAGAATAATTAAGTATGCAAGCGAAAAAAACAAATCAATAAAAGACCGACTATTCGACCTATCATTCCCCCTCAACTATAAATAGGACTCGTAGATCAAAAGCCGAACCGGTTGGTGCCGTAGGTGGGTCCCTGAGTATGTATGCCCTTGATATTAAATCAAGCACCTCTCCCTACCCTACCAACGGTAAAACAAGTTACAATGAGGTCCATTTTAGAATTTCTCCTTGCAGATATGAATCGGTAAATTCATACTGCTACGAAAACTCAATTCTATACCCAAGAGTATGAAGCCCTGCAAGTCAACCTTCTGGACCTCTACCCGGCCCATATGTGGCCTAAGGGATCATTCACATAAGACTTGTGTGTCCTCGGTCTAATCGTGGAGATGCAGTATTATTATGACGAAGGATCTACTATTCAGGGTAGGAAGCCTGGGTCGATTAGGGAATATATACCTAGTATTTTGAATAATAGTAGTGTCTAATACAAAGACCGAATCATGTTCTTTTCTCCTCGTCAGAACAAGATCTTTTAGGTCGAGGGAATCGCCCCCTATCCGGTACAAATGAATTATTAAAATAGGTATCACCAACCTAACAACCTTGTATTTAGACCCGGTTAATCATAGATAAAGGACCGAGTCTAACATCATATGCAGGGTCCTTTCTGCAGCGGAAGCTGCGTATACTCTAGAGCTCTCAGTGTTATATCGGAGAGGTGACGGGAGACCGGCAACTGTGGATAATTTAGTATAACTTTATTTTTGTTTGCATTCTCCTATTATTTCTTTTGGTATGATGACGATATACTGAAGTACAGTTACGATCTGCTATCGTTACTTTTATGAATTTCCTAAGTGTATCTTGATACTACCTTAACTACAGCCGCTGCCGAGGGAAAATCCAATGAGGGGTTGCGCTGCGGGGTTGAACAACATCGAGATGCTTATAAATGTTCATATGCGTCGCAAAGCTCTCCACCTTTCTTTTCCTCCGGGATTTATCTCTCTGTAGTTACAGAATCTACAGGGTCGCCCGTACAAACAGCATATCGCATCATGGCTACACAGTATAAACTGCCGTTCGAGGTATGTGATTCTCTTGGCACGATCGGATAGCAACTAATGCAGTGACGGTTGATAGCTGAACGACCCAAGTCTGCTCCACTTTGACTCCTTCGTGGGTAACAGCTGGGTTCAGTCGAAGAGTGGAAAGCGGTTTGAGGTCATCGGTACAGTGCCGGATAATAAAGCCTACGTAGCTACGCGACCATGGTTACTAACATCTATGATGTGAAGACCCCGGAACCGACCTTGCGTGGGCCAGTTGTCCCACCAACAGCGCCGACGACGTTCCATCAGCGGTGGAAACCGCACATGCCGCCTTCGAGCAATACAAGAAAAGCAATCCCCGCCAGCGAGCGCAATGGCTCATGAAATGGGACGCGCTCATCCGGGAAGCCAAACCCGACCTCGCCAAGATCCTCACCCACGAGACGGGTAAGCCGCTGGCGGAGTCCTACGGAGAAATCGACTATGCGACCGGTTTTACTTGGTGGTTCGCTGGCGAGGCCGAGCGTATTCACGGCAGCATCAGCGTGCCCTCGGCGCCGAATCGCCGCGTGTTCACGGTCAAGCAGCCGATTGGCGTGGCGGCCGCCTTGGTGCCCTGGAACTTCCCCATCGCGATGGTTCTGCGTAAGGCGGGCGCGGCGTTCGCGGCGGGGTGCACGTTGATCGTGAAGCCGAGTCCCGAGACGCCACTGTCGGCGCTGGTGTTGGCGCATCTGGCGCAGAAAGCGGGTTTCCCGGCGGGCGTGTTCAACGTGTTGACGACGGACCTGGAGAATACACCGCCGTTGAGTGAGGCGTTGTGTAAGCATCCGTTGGTGAAGAAGGTGACCTTCACAGGCTCTACGCGGGTCGGGAAATTGATTGCGTCCCACTGTGCACATGGATTGAAGAAGTTGACGCTGGAGCTGGGCGGGAACTGTCCGTTCTTGGTGTTCGATGATGCTAATCTGGACCAGGCGTTGGATCAGCTCATGGCGTTGAAGTGGCGGCATGCTGGACAGGCATGTATCACGGCCAACCGGGTGTACGTCCAGGCGGGCGTCTATGATCGCTTTGCGCAGTTGCTCAAGGAGCGTACGCAGAAGTTGGTGGTGGGCCATGGGGCCAAAGAGGGTACGACGATGGGCCCCGTGACCACCCCTCGGAGCATTGACAAGGCGCTCAGCCAGGTCGAAGACGCCCGTCGACTCGGGGCTGATGTGATTCTGGGAGGGAACAAGGTCACGGATACCAAGGGGTATTTCTTTGAGCCCACGATCCTGACGGGCATGACCAAGGACATGTTGGTGTCCCGGGAGGAGACCTTTGCGCCTATCGCTGCCCTCTATAAATTTGAAACGGAGGAAGAGGCAGTGCAGCTGGCCAATGACACTAGTATGGGACTGGCGAGTTACGCGTTCACCAAGAACATCGACCGCATGTGGAGGTTACTAGAGAACCTGGACGCCGGCATGATCGGAATGAATACGGGTAACTCCTCCGCCGCAGAGTCTCCATTTGGAGGCATCAAGGAGTCCGGCTATGGTAAGGAAAGTGGAAAGGAGGTCGCCGTGAATGAGTATTTGGTGACCAAGACGGGAACTCTTACGATCGAGGGACAGTATTAGTACGCAGTAGGCATAAGAGAGAGTATTATTAATGTCTGCACAGGCAGGCTAGGTGTCCTCTCTGCAGTCTGGACGGTGTTTAACTGCTCTAGGTAGTCTAATCGAGAAATGTCATGCATTAACGGATCCACCGTATGAGGAATTAGGCACGGGCCTCAGGCATAACTAGATTGAATCGTAGTATAATTAATATAAAATGGAAACGGTGGGCGGTCGGAGTCCAGCTCCGAACAGGCACTAATTACCGGATGAGGTCTAGCGCGATCCGAGGAGCATCTAAGTTGAGTTAGCGCTATCCAACTGGGCAAAAAAGTCGGCACTTTGCCGCATTGGAAGTTGCCGCTGCTCGTAGAGATTGCCCGATACGGTATAGTGCACGAGCGATCCAGTGATCATCGATGGATTTGGTTTGATCTTCTTTTTCATCCATGCCCGCGTGTCTCTCTATCTTCTCTCTCCATGAATGATTTGATTCCACCCCAGCTCACGGTCGTCGAGTCTTCCGCCTTGGGATTGGCAGGATTTGTCTCCCCTGTGTCAGGACGAGTTTTCCTGCCAATCATGCCGAGACTGCATCTCTGGTCTCCAACCCTGTCCTAAGCATGCTTTCTTTTGAGGTAACATCTCCGATATTGTCACATCGCGCCTTACGTGCCTGATCAATTCCGACCATCTCGACGACTTGATCGACACTCGAACATTGACGAGTTGCCTCTTTGGGTAAGCATCTACTGTGTTTTTTTCGATTTTCTATTTTTGTTCGATTTTTTTTCTCTCGCTTCTGGTGCCGTCGATCTTCCCTGGGTCGTTTATATACTATACTTCTCGGTCTTCTGTCTTGTGACTTCTCTGCCTGCCATACTACTTCAGACCGACTCTGTGATGAACATACTATTATTGATCTCTTAATTACGACGTTCTTTCTCTTAACTCTACCTAATCATAATAATCAATATTTTCCTGACTCAAATCATGGATCTCACTTCCCTTCAATCCTGGATTCAAACCCATCCCCTCATTGATAACCATGCCCATAACCTCCTGAAGCGCGACGAGGCCTGCAATTACGCCAAGTATCCCTTTGAACAGATCACGTCAGAAGCTCAGGGATCCGCCCTGCGCAATGCCCCCTCTACATTACCACTACACCGCGCCGCCACACAGCTCGCCGCGCTCTATCGCTGTGCCTCCTCCGACTGGGATCATGTCAAGGCGGCACGCGACGCATGGGTACAGCGCGACTATGACGGCCTGATTCGCGAGTGTCTACAGGGCACGCATACTTTGCTTCTCGACGATCTACTCACCGACCAAGATATTGAATCTTACGAATGGCATGACCGCTTCACCACATCGCAGACCAAGCGGATTGTGCGGATCGAGACATTGGCCGCCGAAACAATTTCCACCCTGATGCGGGAGGACGCCCGGCCTCAGCAAGGAGACGTCTCGGTGCTGCGGGAGCGGTGGGAGCAGTTCCGTGAGGGCTTTAAGCAACGTATCGCCGAGGCGATCGCAGACCCCGCAGTGGTGGGGTTCAAATCGGTGATTTGCTACCGAACTGGGCTTAACGTCCAGCCTACCGAGGACGGCGATGATACCCTTCTGCTAGAGTCATTCGCGCGTACGGTTGGCCAAGGACCGGGGTCTGCATACCGGGTGGAGGACAAGCGGCTGAATGACTGGGTCGTACGTCAGACGCTCAATCGCCTGCAGTCCGCTAAGGCCGCCGCCACCACATCGGCCCCCAACAAACCGTTGCAGCTGCACACCGGACTGGGCGATAACGACATCGACCTAGTGCTCGCCAACCCGGCCCACCTGCAGTCATTAATCGCTCAGTACCCGGAAGTAGATTTCGTATTGCTGCACTCCTCGTATCCGTACACGCGCGAAGCCGGATATCTGGCGTGTGTATACCCCAATGTCTACCTGGACCTGGGGGAGGTTTTCCCCATGGTGAGCCGCGATGCCCAGGAGTCCATTCTGCGCGAGAGTCTGGACATTGTGCCCACCACACGTCTGCTCTGGAGCACCGACGGTCATTTCTTCCCGGAAACCTTCTACTTGGCCAACAAGCAGTTCCGCGATGTGATGGAGAAGGTCTTCGTCGATTATGTTCACCACGGCGATTTTACCGTCGACCAGGCTAAACAGGCGGCCGCGGACATCCTCTTCCACAACTCCAACCGTGCGTACAGCTTGAATGAGAAGCTCGCTTACGAGGCACCGGTTTCGGCGAACTCCGTGACCGCCTCGTCGACCGCTACTCTCGATGCATTCATGCGGGGCAATCCCGATGTCAAGTATATCTGGATGCAATTCATTGACTACACCAATACCACCCGAGTTCGGATGTTCCCTGTCGCGGAGTTTGCCAAGATCGTGCGCAAGCAACGACGGGTTGGCATTTGTCTCTGCACCCAACTGATGCTGCAAGATGATAGTGTTGCGCCGGAAGGGTCGGTGACAGGCCAATTCTACATGGAGCCAGACCTGTCCAGTCTTCGCCGCAATGTGGGAATCGACTCGAAAAGTGCCACCGTGATGACCTACTGGAAGACGGAGGAAGGCGCCCCACTGCCCGGTTGTCCTCGGACGACTCTGCAACGGGTCACGAACAGCCTGCGCGAGCACGGGATCGAGGTGACTTGCGGCTTTGAGATTGAAGTCATTCTTCTGAAGCCTACCACCAATGATGCGGGCGAGACCGACTATGTGCCCGTGGTCCGGAACCACTCCTGGTCTCAAATGACCAGCGACACCCGGAAGATGGTCCCCCTACTGGAGGAGATTGTCGAGGCCCTCGCATCGACAGGCATCCATCTGGAGCAATTCCACGCCGAATCTGCCCCGGGCCAATTTGAGTTTATCCTGCCCCCAGGCTCGCCCATCGCCGCGGTCGACACCCTGCTGAAAGCCCGTCAAGTTGTCACCTGTGTGGCCGAGCAGCACGGCCTCCGTGCGACGCTCCACCCCCGTCCGCTGCCCCACGCCGCGGGCTCGGCGTCGCACGCGCACGTCTCCATCGCTCCCCCCACTCACGAAGATGCCTTCCTCGCCGGCGTTATGCGCCACTACCCAGCATTGGCAGCATTCACTCTGTCACAGGACGTGAGTTACGACCGCGTTAAGTCAGGTCTCTGGGCCGGCAGCGAATGGGTCACATGGGGCACGCAGAACCGTGAAACTCCGATCCGCAAGATCTCCCCGGGCCACTGGGAGATCAAGACGCTCGATGGACTGGCCAACACGTACTTCGCCATCGCTGCCTTCCTCTCCGCCGGTTATCTCGGCGTGACGGAGAACCTCCCTCTCACCGTCAAGGACTGTATCCGTAAGTTTCTCCCCAACCAGAACAGGGAACCGAACGAACTAACGAAATCAAAACAGACGACGCTGCCAAATTACCCCCAGCCGAGCGCGAAGCCTTGGGTATCACAACCGCACTCCCCAAATCTCTCGCTCAAAGTCTAGACGCCCTGGAGGCAGACTCCGCCCTGCAGAGCGTCATCGGCGAAACCGTCGTCAACAACTACACCAGCGTCAAGCGCATGGAGAGTAAACGTCTACTCGCCATGGACGAAACCACCAGAAGAACGTGGCTTATTGAACGTTATTAGCCTTCATCCATCTCCATGAGTTGTTTTTTCAATACCTTTCGCCTGATGACATGGCATATTTGCGCATGTCCTATGATGTCTTGGATAGATTATTTAATTTCTACGCTTTACGAATGATACCTTGGTTGATTTTGAGATGTTCTATTGTATATTTGAATAGTTCGAACACTGTCGTTAGAATAGTAGATTTCTGGCAAGGAGGGTGGCATTTGGTCTAGACAGGACTAGAGGCTTTTAGATCTAGTGAAGCTGTATTGTATTATCTAGACTCTTGGGTGTTAGTGAACGGGGTTGTCTATTTATTCATCATGAGATGATATTGTGCTCTAAATTGCTTGGGCATGCTTCCTTGGTGGCAGATGCGAGGTTAGAAGAAATAGACAGTATCATATCTAAAATTTGAAAAACAAATATGCCAGGATGAAGCATATGACGCCGCTCCAAGATGTCTACTAAAAGCAATACAGCTGCGCAAGAACATATGACTCGTGTATTATCATCATGCAAAGGGTATCACTCGTGACAGATCTAAGAATATATCCACATCCAATAAAATCCCAAAAAAAGTAATCGACCAGCCACCTACGATAGATGCAGAACAGATGCAAAACAAATGCAAAGTGTAAAATCAGTTCAGAGTCGGCAGTCTATGCCGGCCTCCTAGACCTTTTTCTGTCCATTCCTCCAGGAGTCGTGAGACTTCCTTGAACGAAACCGGTTTCGTGAGGAACAGATCGACGCCAGATGTGAGGGCTTCCGACTCGTCGCGCGAGCTGCTGAGTCCAGTCAGGGCAATGATCGTCGCAGGCGTACAACAGTCGCGTTCTTTCTCGATGGCTCTAATGGCCCGCGTAGCTTCAAAGCCGTTCATGACGGGCATCGAGATATCTATTCGTTTTAGTTAGGATCTGCGTAATTGTCTAACCAAGGAAACTGGTACAAAGGGCAAAGGGGACTTACCCATGAAAATCAGATCATAGCCTTGTTGAAGCCTTTCCACGGCATCCACTGCTACTTTACCGTTCTCAGCCGAGTCTAACGTAGCCAGGTTACGTTTTTTCATGAAGGTCAGCATGAGGTTGAGGTTGATAGAGTTGTCGTCCACGACAAGGACACGTGCAAGGCGCTGGGGCTTGGGTTCTGGTTCCTTGATTTCGGACGGCGATGGATCCCGTACTGAGGAATAAGGAGACATGATGGTAGGGAGGATTTCCGGGATTTCACTGTGTGTTGGGGAATGTGCCGATCCAAGAGAGGATGATGCGCTCGAACTGCTCGTGGCGCCTGGTGTTAACTCTGCCACATCATCGGAGAACTCAGGCTCAAAGCCGCCTTTGCCATCGGGGAAGAACTTGGGGCGGTCCGGAAGGACAATGGACTTCGTGGTCGGGATGCTGTCAGCTTGCGAATCAAAGCATTTCCGGATGCTTCGAGCAAGTTTGTGTGGACCGCATGGCGGGCGGATGATATTTACTAAGCTGGCCAGAGAAGAGCACTCTTTTAACTTAGTAGTTCGGTCGACAGATTTGTCGCAGAGGAGGAGAAGAGCTGGAACCCTGGTTACAAACTGCTTCTTCAGATCCGCAGCTGAAGCGGATCCATCAGATAGGACGATATCGACAGGTGTCTGAGACGACCAGGAGGCAAGCTCGAGACCGTACCACTCGGTCAGATAACGACTGATAATAGACCACCATGGATGACCTGCTATCTCATCTGGCTCCACGCCAGCGATGGCAACCCGTCTCCCAGCGTGGTTGTCCCGTAAGAGACGGCTTTCGGTGGGGCTGTCCTTTTCCTTTACGGATGGTGACCGTGGGGTGAGCGGGTCCTCAGCGATATCTTCGACGTCCGGTCGTAAGAGAGGCAGGGTGACCTTAACAGTAGTCCCCTCACCGGGCGTGCTATTCACATCGATGTGACCATTCAACGATTTCACAAGGCTCCGGACAATAGACAGCCCTAAACCAGTTCCCACGGCCAACGTATCCTCCTGGGCGAACGGAGTGTACAGGCGCCCGCGCAAAAACTCCTCCGAAATGCCTTTTCCGGTATCCGAAACGACGAGGGTCACCAACTCCTCCATGCCTGACCGGCGATAACGACCCTCAGCCTCGGTCACCTCCAGTCGCACAGACACCCGACCTGAATCTGTATACTTCATGGCGTTACCGAACACATTCATGATAATGCGCCGCAAAGCTCCTGGCTGGGTCTGATAGACCCAATCATTCTTTGCAATGTTCACGACGACATCGACTCCAAGCTGAGGGTGTGAGAGGCGGCTTTTGTCGCTTGGGTCCTCCACGGGCGACACCACAACAGGTTGATCAGATGAGATAGTGGATTTCTGACCGTACGTATGCCCCAGACACACGCCTTCTACCACTTCCTCCGTTAAAAGGGCTAGGTCTGTTGATACATACGTGTCCAAATGCGCTGATAACCGATCGAGCGCCCGATAATCGGATGGTACTGTTTTATCTCGCTTGATATGACGCCATGACTTCTCCAAAGAGACGATCTTACTGTAATCCAGGACCTGGTTCATCGTATCCAGTAAGGTCCGGCCGCATGCATCGATAGTTTCCAGGAGCGAATCCTGAAAGTCATCCAGCTTCGTCCCGCCCAGAAACTCAGCCGCCGCCAAGATACCGTGCAGGGGACTACGTAATTCGTGCCTGTGTAAGAGATACTGATCAATAGCCGACCTACGAGACTAAAGATAGTGAGGATATACTTACGAAATACTGCCGATAAAGTCCCCCTTCTGACGGTCAGAAATAAGCGACTCCACCCGGCTGTACTCTGCCATGATCGAGGATCCAAACCCAAGGACAGAGCTCAGCTCCACGGACGAATTGAAGACGCGGGTTTCAATCGTATTCCAACAAAAGCAACCAGCAAACCATTGAGAATTGGCGGCGTTCCATAAAGGCACGAAGAGAACCTGGGTTGCGTTGGGAAAGTAGAGGTTCAGCATGGAGTTTTCCAGGGACTTCCACTTCTTTCCCGTACCCCTGCCGAGTTCGGGGGTCTTGGTGGCTCGAGAACGACTCCGGGAAGGCTTTTCGTCGTCGGAGCTGGAGATTAGCCCATCTCGGTGGAAAGACCATAGCTTTCCTTTCGAATAGCGCCGGAGCAGCTGATGCAGAAAACTATTATCGAAGTTCGATGCTGGGTAGAGATTGGAGCTACCCGGTCCCGGCGCGAACGGTTCATCGTTTGTCGAGATGGCCAATACGGGAGCCGGCGAGCTGTTTTCCGCAGAACAGTCGCTACCGCTCTCCATATCGAGCATCGGTGTATTGCCTGCCTCCAAGAAAATGACACCACCATCACCGCCGAGCTCAAGACTCTCACGCAGTAAATTTGCCGCACGCTTGAAGGCCCAGGAGTTACCATGGGTTTCCTCCAGCAGCTGATTTCCTCGATTACCCGACCACCAATCCGGAAGTGGCGACAAGCCAGAATCGCCCCGACCCTCTGACATGGAACTGATCGAACGGGTATCACTACTCTGAGATCGCCGGGATGGGAGCTCGAAACTGTTGAGCGAACCCACCGAGAGGTGGTTCGCCCTCAGGTTCGAAGATTGGGGCGTGCCCGGCACCGCGGCGAAGCTTCCCGCATATGACGGGTGTGATGTATCCACAAGGCTAGAACTACCCTCAACAAAACAGCTGAGACCTCGAGATAGCCGAGTGGCACGTCTCCCCTCAGAAGCTTGACGGCTCACTCGCAAATAGTCCATGATCAGCATACTCACGGTTTTCATCGTCTCCTTGTCCGTGTCGGTCAATCCATCATGGGGTTTAGTATCCAGGACAAAGAGACAGCCGATATTGATATTGGTTTCCGTTGTCAAAGGGGTTCCTGCGTAGAATCGGAAGTTGGGCTTCTCACGCACAAACGAAAGGCCCTTATATTCGTCATTTTGGCTTAGATCGTCAATGACGAGGAACTTGCACTGGCCTTCGTCTCTTTTCGAAGGACCGAGCGCTACCGTAGCCTACACGAGAAACGGTCTAATTAGTGAGTGAGCATGGTGTTTCCGACGGATGAGACATACCGCACACATCTTCCATGCCTCGGCAGAAATGGTGCTACACCCATTCCAGACCCCACCTCCTGGCAAATCAGGCTTGCTTGGTGTAGTAGATGACCGCGTTGACTGTGCCAGGATGAATTGTGACTTGCGATCCGAGACACTAGACAGCACAGTGGTTAATAACGGCAGCTCAGTCAAGAACGGAACAGATTCCACCTACCTAATCAGCACACGCTCGACGTCAAGACGCAACGCTGCTAGCTGCGCGAAGGATGTCAACGTCGTATTATGATTATTTAGGACCAAGGCCTCCTCTGGCACAACCGCAGATGCTGCACCGACGGGTAACGGTGGTTGCGAAGAGATCGACGGCGACGGTGGGGTAGCGAGAAACGAATCCTGGATTGGAGCCGAGGCTGAGAAGGGCAAGCCATTGCTGTTGGATGTCCGGTTCCCATTGAGGACTCGTTCCGGCTGAAAGTAGCGATAGAGCTCACGAACTCTGCGACCAGTATTGTGGTCTTGGCCTCTGTGACTGGATTCCATGGTTGCTGAGAGTGAGATGACGGCCGGAACGAGGGGGGAGAAAGCGCGCAAAGAGGTTTAATCGCTTCACGGCTTCAGTCGCACTCCATCGTCAGTCCCTTCTCTGAGGACAGAATTGTTTGTCGGTTGGATTGGGTGTGGCGCAAAGCAAGAGCCTAAATCGAGAGGATGGGAGGGGGAAAGGGCGGAAAGACCAGGGAAAAAAAACGAAAAGAAAAAAACAGAGGAAACAAGGGCTGAAACCGGGAGTCTAAAATGAGTTTTATGAATAATGTCCCAGACAGGAAACCGGTTTAATATGCAGGCCGTGGCATGTGCCAAGAGGCGGACAGCAGGTGGAGCAAGCGTCGTGGCTTGAGGGTACAATCCCACGGTAAGGGAACAAAGAATGGGAAAAAAAAAAAGAAGGGACATTCGTTGCCTCATATGGAGAGTTTTTGCTGGGTCAGTGGCGATGGGCGATCGCACAAATGACAAGGGCCAGACAGGGCGACATCATCCACTTCGGGATACCAGATTATATGGCAATCCAGGCCTGAAGCTGGTCTGGTTCCCCGCGACGCCGGCTGATTGGAGGTACCTGTACGCGGCCATTGGACCGGCAAGGGGAGCAAGACCCATACGATCTCAGATGGGCGCCGGAATTGTCGTCACAGTTATGATGATTGATGATTGGGGACCAGGCAGGGCAGTGGAGGAAGATGATGAAACGACATCCGACCAGCTTGTTTTCTCACTGGATCACCTGCAGGGCACCACTAGGCTGCGTCGGGTAAGAGTGGAGCCTGCAGTTCAAGGCCACCCGGTTTTCGGTCTGAAGTACCACCAGTTAACGTCTGGATCGACGCGTTGGCACCTTTAGCCCTGCCGCCGAGTTCCGTCCCATCACTACCCCATCATGCATGCACGATTCGATTGAAATGCAATCAAGCTTGTCAATTCCACTGGCTGATGTTTGTGCCGATGATCGATGAACAGTGATCAGTCCCTATTTAGTCCCTCGCTTGGCTTCGGTCTTGTTTTTATGTTCTCGAGTCCATCTCGATCGCTGCCTGAGGCGGGGGCGCCTGTCACGGGCCCTGACTAAGCGTTCTAGAATCCCACTGATTCGCATCGGTCCTCGGGTTGAAGAAACAGTGGATACTATATAGTACTGCCACTATATTCCAACGAAATACTATAGAATTAGTTTAGATTTTTTAGATATTATAGTACTGTTATTAATTCTACAGTAAACATATTCAAGAAATCTTCTTTATATACAGGAGCAATAGAATCAACAGATAGATATTCTTTATCTGTAGATAGAAGAGATATAAAGATAGTCTTACTTTTTAAGAGTTCTGAAATAGTATAATTATTATTCCGCAGCGGAGCGAAGCGTAGCAAGCAATATAGGAGACTGCTCAATCGAATCTGCGTTCTAATTAGTGTACAATTCTAGATTCTAATTAGACGAGATTTCACCAGTTACGTCATTCCTGTTTTGTCTTATATAATTATCTCAAGCCAAGTTAAATAGTAAATCTGGGCAGTACTCCAGACTATACTATTAATTTCTATACTAGAGCTTTTGAGCGTGGTGCAATGCCTAGATTTCTCGAGCTTTCAAACGCGGTGCAGTGCCTAGATTTCTCGAGCATTTGAATTATCTGCGTGGTCTAGATTTCTAGAGTATTTAAATATACTGTAATACTTACACAGTTTGCTTAAGTAGCATAGATAATCTAGGTAGATAATCTAGATAATATAGTATAATCTATTTGAATAATTTTAATAATTTAGGCGAAGTAATAAAAGATTATCTGATTCTTTCGCTGCGCAAGTATTCTGCCAATTTCTTGAGCTGGCAGTCTCTAGTATGAATACAAGACTCTGGAGGCGCGAGGACGACTGAAACGATCAATGCAAACCAAGTACGCTCACGACCGTTGGCAATCTGCCAACGTCGCCCTTCCATCCACTGCATGTTTACCTCCCACCGAGGAGCCTCTCTGCAGTGAGGGCGGTAAAGGTGCAAGGCGGAAGGTTCAGTTTTGCTCATTTTATTCTTCATCTTTTGAGACCTTTACAGTAGTACGAAATTGTTGAATCTACGGATAGCCATTTGATGATCACCTGTTTACGTCCCTGATATAGGGAAGAGAACAAGGTTTCACTACACAAGTTCAATTCCGTTCACCGACCATCAAGTCGTACATAATAGGAGATAATAGCGTTGAAAATGCATCTTCTTGTCTTGGAGAAGGGTAATCTGATATCGACAAAAGATCATAATTCCTCATATGCCCCGGGCCTTAGATTGCATGCAAACCGGCAAATGGATCACGACTTGCATTTTCATGCCGACAGTACTCTATCTCATTCGCAATGTCTTGCGCTTTCTCTTTTCCATACACCTCCTCAATCCAAGCCAGGGTGGCATCAATACCAGCGCTCACCCCGGACGAAGTCCATATGTTTCCATCCGTGACCCATCTCGCATGATAGACCCATTGAACCTGAGGCCTCAATGAAATAATCTCCTGGAAGACCTTCTTGTTACTGGTTGCACGTTTACCATCCAACACGCCAGCTTGAGCGGCTAACCCGGAGCCAGTACACACGGTGATCAGATGCTTCAACCGTGGATAGACCCTTTGGATAAAAGTAATGATCTCTTGGAGAATTGGACTGTCTCCCATTGTTCCCAAGCCGCCAGGAATGAGAAGGACGTCGAGAGGCGGTGCTGTGCCAAATGTGTGGGTGGGCACGACGCTTTGACCGACTGCACCCGGTAAGGTGGGGGGTTTGGTTGTCACTGGATCAAGGGACGATGCCAGTAGAGATAGAGAGATGTTTTCCGACCATGAGAGAACATTGATACAGTCTAAAGGACCGAATGCATCGAGAGCTTGGAAACCGGGAAATAAGACAACTCCAAAACGGAGAGGGGGTGTAATAGATTCCGCCATGGCGACCTTGCTGTCAGTGAACCCCGAATAATTTGTGGGTGATTCTGGCCTTTTAAACCCCGCCCAGTGGAATTGTTACTGGGACCTGATGTGAGACAAAGAGGTGGCTAGCAAAATCCACCGCCGAACCGCCGGTCCCCGCGGGACACCGAATGGACTGCTCGAGTCTCGATAGAGAGAAAAAAAGCATTGTATATGAATAAAACCTTTGGTATCTAGATCATATATTTAAGAACGGAAGATGTAATATGGACAGCAGTAACCTCGATCGACTGGCTATCTCTATGGTATTCAGAAGGGAACAAGGTATCTCAATTCTATCCCACCGTACTAGCAGATAGTTGCATACATCCGGTGATCGATAGTCAGTCGTGACCATGCAAATAGGGTCTAGGGACCATTTCACGACTATCGCGGCAAGAAGTGATCGTTCAAGAAGCAACGCTTCGGTACGATAAGAGCGGCTGTACTACATAGATAAGAGTCAGAGTTAAGGCTGAGGAGGCTCCACAAGACCCCACGGTCTGTCGACTAGCCTTGTGTTGGGGATGGTGATCAGAAAATTTTAATTCGATTATCTCAGCTAATACCCGTTAGCTTAGTTAATTAAATATAGCGGGTTTTACATGGATAGATCCTCTGTCTAATCCCCATACACCCTCTACACCTAGGCAGAGCTCTCTTCGCCGGTCAATGTGCCTAAATAGGCAACTCGCCCTGCGCATGAAAATCTACCGCAGGTGCTTCTGATGGCAAATCCAGGTACGAAATTATCTGTAGACCTTCGCAGATTGTCAACGGTCGTGAATTTACTTGGTGTGCATTGGGCGTTTCAGTCGTCTGTTACAGACCCTTGTCTAGCGTGCCTTATCGAAGGCAGACACGCGAGGGAGAATATCATAGGATGACGATAGCCGGTTATGGGACGGCTAGCACCTAAAGAATTGTTCTTTATGTTATTAGCCTATGAGGTACAGGAAGGCTGATACAGCCCCACGTGATATCTACTCCAGGACCTACTACTAGTACTAGTATTGGTAGTAGTACTATGTCGTTCCAGCTGCGTAATGCACCGTAGATCATGTGAGTTGCCCCAAGACAGTTCCAGACAGATGAAGTTGATTTCACTCTATGCTATCATATACATACTACTAGTTCGACATCTATAATGCACATCATGACGATGCAGGCACGTAACAATGCATATATACTTGAACGTCCATGACATATCCATCCAATCATAACTCATCAAACCTTGCTCGCCTAGTACTGAAAAGTCGTACAGCCAGCGAGCACTGTGTCTACCATTGCTCCATCAGGCGTTTCCGGACGGTCCACATCCGAAGCCGCTTGCCATAAATGTACATGGGGATCGTAAACAGAAGGCATCCCAATTGAATCCCACCCAGGGCCAAGTACACGGTCTGAGACCCTTGCCCGTTCAGCCAGTCGACAATGAATAACGAGAAGACCAATCCGTGGAATACATCTGGAAACAGTTATTAGTTGCCGGTATCCAGGGAAAAAAAATAACGATGGAATTATAAGAAGGAAACTCACTCTTGCTCCAGTTCAGAGTCACCAAGGCTTCGCCAGCATATTGGCGATAACTGTCGACGCAGAACGTGATGGACGTCGTGCTACCCAGGCAACATCCAAACGAAACCAATCCGAAAAAGACTGTGGGCACAATCCATGCATTCCTCTCCTCGGCGCTCCATCCAAATCCCATAAGACCCGCCGTGGTCGATAGTGCGATGGGGATCGCCATCACCAGCCGAAACTCCGGTTCGTAGACGCCGCCATTACGGCGGGTCATGTATCGGACAATCACATCGGAGACCTTTCCGGCCACGGCGGTCCCCAGTAAGCCTCCCACAAACGGCGAGATATACACGAGTCCTACTTGCAAGGCGCTGAAGTTGTAAGTGTCTCGCGTTTCGTAGACCTTTGCGACAGACTCTGAGAGGACAATCAACCATCCGACCGAGAGCGCGTAAACAACTGCCGACCACAGCACGGCCGGGTAGGCAAATAGAATGAACGGGCGCACGGCCACTCGTAGCCAGTTGTCATGGGAAATTCGACCGTTCCAAACCCGGAGATAGTGTAGATATGGCATCTGGGGTCGCTCCCGAAGCCAATTCGTATAATGCATCGATCTATTCATCGGGCCGCTTGGATCAAGCGAATCGCTGCGAGCGGGAGATATGGCAGCCTGGCGGCCAACTTCCAGGTCGGATGGACGCTCGGGGCCAGGAGCGACAGGAGCAGGGGGTTGGAGAAACCCGTCTGCCTTCTCCGGATCGGCGCTGCGGGCGAAGTGCACACGATCCTCGCCTGGGGCATCCGGCGCTATCGAGTCCCGGTCATGGTCTGCCGCCGCGTCCTTTTCGTCGGGAGAATGAGCTTCTGTATCAGGGTCCTCTACGAATCCAACATGGCCCTTCTTGGATTTCTTGGGCAGCGCGGATTTGGTATTAGTCTCCGGAACATCGTCTTCGAGTCGCTGTGCATGCGTCGGCGCCCGCGAATGCCCTGAGAGACGAGGTCTGACACGCTCCGATACAAATGCGGACGTCTGCGTGTGCGGGGGCGCGGAGTACGATCCCAGAACGTTTCCGGCACAAAGAAAAACAACAGGACCAGGCACGCCCCCACCACTATAGCAACAATCCAGAACACCCAACGCCAGCCCAAGTTGCCGATAATGGCAGCACTCACCAAAGGAATCAAATTCTTCCCTCCCAACAGGAGAAGGGTATAAATCCCAACTCGGTAGGCCCGCTCATGTAAAAAGTAAATCTCGGCAATGGTCGCGGAGGGTAGACACTCCACCGGGCTCACGGCGATTCCTTGGAAAACGCGGGCAATGACAAGACTGGGGTAATTGGGAGAGAGGGCACACCAGATGCCGGAGATAACGAACAGTGTGGCGCCGAGAAGGTAGACCGGCCGTTTTCCATACAGAATCGCGGTCGGCGACATGATGACGGATCCCACTCCGAGGCCCAACATATACAGACCTGTAGTGTAGGCCACCTGCTGAGTGGACACATCATAGGTATCCGCGACCTGCGTGAAACCAGCGGCCAGGATCGTGGTCATTCCACCCCCCATCAGACAATAAAAGCCCAGCGATAACAATGCGGCATCTCGACGCCAGACCGGCCAGTTTAACGGGTCGTTCATCGAATCGTCAGGCTGTGGTTCTAAGACGATCTGTCCATCCGCGGTCTTCTTCTTGGACGGCCGACCTTTTGCCGAGGTACGCGAAGATGAACGCGACGGGGGATATGGAGATGGGAGGGACGAGCGGGATGTCCGCTGCGGCTGATGCCTCAGCCCCAATGGCTCATTGCGGTTTGACGATAGCAGAAGCACCGTTCCTAGAGCCTCTGTCAGTGGGTTCTCAAACTGCCGGGGCGCACTGACTGCAGGACATACCAGGTACTTCATCAGTTTCCTTGTCACTGAGAATTCCCAAGGTTGACTTGGAGCGATAGTTAATGTTGTCTTGATTGAACTCCACATCATTGGCAGACAATGGCTTTAACACTCTTTTCCACCAGGGACTTGAGGATGCGCTTTGAGAACTAGCCTCTGCGTGTTCACCTGCTGTTGCTTCTGTATCCGCCATTTTTACTGCAACGTAAATATCTAAAGGCTCGTGCGAAATCAAATGTATCGGGGGGGAACAGCAACTGATCCTATGATCTACCCCAGATATCCCAGTGATGACCGGATGTGGGGAACCGAGTTGGTGTCGCAAATGTCGTACAGTGTATCTAAACCGCAATGCAATAAATAGTAAAAATTAGGGCAAGGATAGTAACTCGAAGACGTGACACTCTCCCTCCTTTTCTCAGGTCAGGGAGTTCGGTCACGGCCCGCGCGATAAGACCTCAACCGATGACAGCACAGGGATGACGCCACCCCATATCTAGGGAAGAAAAGAACAAATGAACTCGAGTGGGATGTGGGAGGATGATAAAGAATTAAATAGGGTCGGTGAGCCGTCACGCGCCAGTGAAGACGGCGAAACCAGGGAAGAATCTGGGGTAATCAAAATCTAAACACCAAAACAAAAAAAAAAAAAGGAAGCGATAATCAATTTAGTGCCAGACTAGTAGTATCAGAGCTCCCGGGAAGGCGGTGGACACGATAAGGGACCAGGGTACCTCAACGGTACTCGTGGGTCCGCCTGTCACACACTGGTTGGATGAAGTATCTTGGGGGTAGATAGTCGATACTATAGCAGGACAATCCCCCCGTCGTGTTGATGTTTAAACTCGGAGATCTGCACACCGTACAGGATGAATTACAGGATGGAGCACAGGCGATGCTCTTGTCGGAATCTCACGTGGGAAGCAGCTGGTCTCGGCTGGCGTAACTCCGAAACGTTCTCGTTCCACTATTGGGCATGGTTCAGCCAGTTAGAGGCTTATACTAGAGGGAAGAAGGCAAAAAGTGTCCTGGGCACAATCATTGATTGGGTGACCTCTCATGCAGGCTTGAAACTAACTTGGGACCTAACTTTGCCAAAAACGCGCATGTGGGCGAAGTCCAAGGACATTGATGCATTACTAGTACTAGTAGTTTCGTGGGTAATGAATGAGGCTTGCTTCTTTCGCTCTTCTCCTTCTTCTCTATCTTTGTTGTGTTCTGAAGAAAGAATAAAACCAAAAGACAAAATGAAAATATAAAATAAAATATAGACAAACGTCTGTACGTAGAAAATCAATAAGATCTTCCTTAGTACTGTTTTGCAAAATCCCTCAATTTTGTGTTGTGTTCTAGTTACTAGTAGCAGCTTACTGTTACAACCCCACATAACGCATGCATCCGACAAACAAACATCGACCAAAAAGTAGGGCTAAAGGGATCATCGGCTACGATTGGCATTGCCTCGAGTCATATGATTTCCCCCGTCCTGGTAGATCTCGAGCTAGGTTCCCAAATTCCGTCATCTTGCAGGCGGCGCCGTGTGTCGCATGGTGGGGGGTATACTACTAGTACAAAGGCCGACAATAAAGGGCGGTTCACGAGAAGCGGAGGGAATAAGTTAGGCGAATTCTTATCGTGAGCCAACGCATAAAACTTACCAAAAAAAATCGTCTTTCTTGAATTTGTGCTTTAAACGCCCAAATGGTATTAAGATATGTCGTCATCGCACAAGTGACATTCGGATAATACGAATTGTTATTACTGTTAGCATTTGAAGAGGCTCCACCTGGCGATGTCCAGCTGAACAGTAGATCCCGTGACATGGCACCATCATCTGCTCTGGCTTCGTGCTACAATGCAACCCCGACATCGTGTTGACAATGAAACAATTGACCCAGGATGCTATCTGGAAGGACAAGTCAATGGGATTCCTGGCTATCCAATTACCCTTCGGAAGCGAAGTTGACTTGAGAACAGCAATGTAACATGTGGATTTGGTCTATATATATATCATTAACGGATACGAAATCCACTCCAACAAAGACGGAACTAGTACCTCTGGGAAAGCAACTAATCTCATGTATTACCAGTAGTTGTACGAATTGAACCTCCCAAGCTGAATGTGTGAATACCGCTGAGTTTCCAGTAGAAATACTATCTCGTCAAAAGGCGTCCCCCAACCAACCCATTGATGACACATTCGATGTATGCTCTTCCCACCCCTAGGAAAGAAAGCAGCCATTTCCAGTCAACCACGCCGGCAACGACGTCCATATTGGGATGCAGTATGATGTCTGAGAGGCTACAATCGATATGCGATAGCACTGACATGCTAAGAGGATTTCTCCGGTGAATAAAATGTGCCTCTTCCTTCTGATATACGCTGAGAAACGCTTCTGCAGATATAAAGGGTCCACGGCGAGAAGGTTGAGCGTGAAAAAAGCTCGCCCGAAGACGACAATGACCGAATGCCACCGGGTTATTGGGCACTTTTGCCAGTTCCTCAATAAAATTTTGCACGAAGCTTGATACCTTCTTTTTGGTGAGAGGAGCTCTGCCCGCACATACTGCCTTCGAATATAGTGGGCGCCGGAATTCGCTCAACGACATTGGATTTGCATTAATATCATCATAGATCCTGGACTTGGAAAATATCTATTGGATGCAATGTTATCCTACATATTCCTTGCGCTGATATTGCCAGAATATTCGTATACTGGCGAACCAGCTCATTATCATCGCGTTGCGCAATTGTAGCGAGCTCAGGTTCTTATCCTTCATACACTAGTTGGCCGGATCTAAGTGGCTTTTGGATGACATTACAGTATCAGGGGCCCACAGAGCGAATGGGATAGGAGTCTAATTTTGCCGATTAAGAGTAGACAATGACAAGGGAAGGTGGCGCGAGGTTGAGGGACTACTGTTACAGCACATGGTGATATTGGAATTCAAGAACCCCTGTAAGCTATCTCAGGTTCCTAACAAAATACCGGTTAAGTTGCAATTATGACTGTGCATGCGGAGAGTAGTCCTTCTTTGAAACCACGCACGGCTTTGTCATGCTATATAGGTATCGCTAGTGGTTTCGACTACTAGTAGTTTGGTTCATGGGGACGGCGCCAGGTGATACGTGGACTAGAGTCGGAAATAATGTGAAATATAACAATGGAATGCAATTAAAAAAAAAGTGGATATGAGATCTAGACACAATCTAACAGGTCATATGGTGGGAAAGCGGTCCAGTCGGGTTGCGTGGTTATGTAGGAAATCCGAACCAGTGGTCTGGTGGAACGGAAGTCATCGTGGTAACTCCCGTCAACAACCTTGCAATCGGAACCGTCTAGGGTTCACCGTGATCGTATATTTGACATGATTGGGAAAAGAAGAGGTCTTGGAACTATCGTATGGAACCCCTGAAAGCTCAGGTCTGCGAGGGGAACGAGACTAGCTGTTCTTGGACCACCCAGCACGTGGCCCGAAAGCGTGATTCGATTCCCTGACGTGTTGGGCCAAGACCTGCTTGCTTTTTGCTCGCCCGGTGCCTGAATTCTATTATGCATAACGCTATGATTAAATCTCAAGCCATCCCACTCTTTGCTGCTGTCGGCACCTTGCAACGTGCCCTAACGTAGCTCTCGGATTTGTTCCGGAACCTGCCGCCAAGTTGCAGACACGATCGGGCTTACTCAAGAACGCTTGACAATGACAGCCACAAATGGGTGGTGAGATGAACCCCGGTGTTCCTCTCCAACACGATGACTTATATGGTCGTGACGGTCTCAGGTCGTTGCTGGCGATCTTCCCTGGGGAGTTGCGATGCCTTCATAGTACCATGGAACAGCCAACGTTATGGCGCCATTTTTCGTCGATGCTGTTCGGGACGGCTGGTACGCTTTTACTCCACGTGAGAGACGCAATATCGCCTTCTACATCTTGGGGATCATGATCTACAAGTTTGGTCTAGAGGCATTTAACGGCTCAATTGTGGCCCTTGCAACTAATCGCTATGATTATGATGCGATGCGGACTAAGACACACGCAAAGACTTTTCAAAGAGTTGGGCTCATGGTGGGCCTCAACCAAGCCTGCCAGTGTATCGGATCCATTTTGATCGCCCCGCTCATTCGGAGATTCCCCTCTCGGATTGTGCTCTGCAGTGCAGTGTTAGTGTTTGGGCTCTTGAGTGCCCTTCTCCTCATCATCGATGCTAGCACTGGGGGTACATTTGCGCCGGCAAGCTTTCGCGATCACCACCCCGACCATGATTTCCACTACTACGGCCGGTACAACACCGATGGCATGATCCCAGTCTACTGTGTTGCGGGGATTGCCTACGGCATGGTCGAACTGATGCGCCGTGTTATCCCGCGTGATATCGTCGGGGGAAATGTTAAGAAACTACGTCACCTCGACGCGTTAGTGCACATATTCTACGAGGTGTCCGGCACGAGTGGTGCATTTTGTACGGCATTAGCCTTGATACCATATTTTGGGAACAACTATTCTTTCTTGATCACCCCGATCTGCTTCGCATTCGCCTCTATCTCCTGGTTCTTCCTCACCGACGAAACATTTCGCAATCACGATACGCCGGTATTAGAACGCCAGCCTTCATACATTAAAGCGGTCACTGCTGGGTTCTGGCTGTTTGTCGAGTCAATTTGGACAGGTGCTCGGATTATCTTTACCTCGCGCAAGTTTATCTGGCTGGTTCCAGGGTATTCCGTAGCGCTGTATGCCCACCGCTATCTGGAAAATGCGGTGGCACCCGCAATTGCCCGTCGATACCTGGGTAATGCCGCTTGGTCGCAGATTATCGTGGGCGGATCAAATTTAGGGGAGCTTCTCGGCGCACTCTTCGTTATCCTATTCACGAATCTGGTGACAACACCAGTTCCCTGGCTCCGATTAGATGCCATCATGCTCCTCATAACATGGTACCTACCATTCTGGCGGCCACCGATGCAAAGTAGCGCTGCCTGGATTGCAGCCGCTACATTCATTCCGATTTCATTTGGCTGGGCGGCTGGCGATGTCTCGTTGGCGGCGTATATCCAAGCCACGTTAGCGCGCGTCGAATCGAAGACTCAAAATGTCTCTGCGCTGGGCGCGGTGATGGCTTTCTTGTACTCGACATATATCATCATTTACGCCATCACATCACCGATTCTTGGAAGCTACATTGACCGCGTATACAGCGACACTGGAGGATCCGAGAATGGGGGCAATATATATGCAGCCATACAGAATGTTGCATCGGTGCAGTTCACGATAATATCGGGACTGGTCTTGGTATCGACTTTCGTGCCGAGAGGATCGCTGGCGTTCAATCCGAAGATGCTATTTAATGAGAATCTGGATGGAGAAGCAGGTTTGGAACGCGTATCGTCAGATGATCTGAGAAAATAATGACAACCATGGGATGCACACAGGCTTTATGGCCTTACTTGGGGTATATATAAGATTGAATGGCGTTCGGTGTTGGGATTACTCCTACTTAATAGGTATCACTAATACACGATACCAATGCTACACTCACTCACTCGCATATCATTTCCCTAAAGCAATCAAACGCGTATCATTCATCTATAACGTATAGCAAGTCGTGGCCAGGGCTACTTGGAGCCGGACTTAACAACATGCAACAAGATTCGACGATAGGTAGTCAACGGCGGCGAACCTGAATCCTTAACCTCCAGAATGAAATGGAACAGATCACAATGCTCGATGCCTGCCTCGCAGGTCCTATTGATAACCGGAACCGGCAACCTGGCACGTTCGCCACGCGACCCAAAAGTCGTAACGTTGACATCCGGGGCCCCGTTAATGGTACTGGGCTCAGGATAATAAATCCAGTTGAAGGTCAACTCATCCCCATCCGGATCCACCGACTCACCAGCATCCACGATAACCTCCGAGCCAGCAACCCCATAAACATCGACAGGCTCCAAGCCCGAACTCCCGTTCACCTTCACCAGGGGATGGTGATTAGCCTTTGTCACATCATCCGTCAACGTCCAGCGCATGCGCGCCGCGAAATCATGCTGATACGCATCCCGCCACCGCCAAATCGTCGCCTTATTCGACTTGAACGTGTCCCCATTAAGACCCACCACTTGGTCCTGCACGTCCGCATAATGCCTGAAACCTAGTCCGTTCTGATTGGGAGTCACCAACTGATACCGACCGCCCCACGACCCATACTCGGGGTGCTCCGACACCCCCAGTCCATTCTGAATGAGATAGAGAAACGACGGCGTATCCCCTTCCATGGTAAATGCCACATCCGGGTATGCGGCACCCAAGGTCCCGATTTGGAGGTTCTCTTTGATCCAGGCGTTGCTTACCAGGGTGCTGTTTGCGCCGCCCTTGTCGACACCATAGAATTCATCGCCCGATATCCCGACCCAGGCAGACATGCCGTACTGGTTCCAGCCGTGGATGGAGTTGATCCAGAATAGATCTGGCCACTGCTGGCGCAGCCAGGCGCCTGTGTCGTCCTGGTCGGAGATGGTGTAGATGCGGAGGTTCTGTCGGAGGGCAGCGGCTTTGTCTGGGGAGTTGTCCTTGTGGAGTTTGACGAGGGCTTGCGCGAGGACGTTGGTGCCGCCCCAGGCGAGGACCCAGAGGGGGGAGCTGCTGTTTGCGGCGGCCTGAATGCGGTCGAGGAGGAGCTCGGCCCCAGCGCTGAAGGTCGCGTTGGGGGCTAGGGCGGCCATACCAAAGACCTGTCGGTGTCAGTATGTATGTCGACGTGAAGTGGTGTGCTGGGAATCTGAGGGGATATACCGGAGATCCTGCGCGGACTAGACTGCGCATATGCTCTGCGGAAGGATACTGGGAATCCGCTGGCGCATGGTGGTTCAGATTGTCGACGACCTGCTCATATGCGTCGATGATGTCGAACATGGCCTCTGGGTCGGTCTCGTTCTTCAGCCAGGTTGATGTCGTGGCCACGATGCCTTCCGTCTGGAACTGGTTACTGTACGTGAGGTATCGAACGAGTGACTGGGCGTCATCCGGTTCATTGGAGATGTCCGAGAGGACGAAGACTCGTGGTTTATTGGGGAAGGAATTGACGATTAGGGCAGGGACGAGAGTGAGACATGATGCATATAATACTAATAGATGGGTTAGGAGCGCCATGACTGCCAGATAGTGGTCCCAATATCTGTGTAGACTTATCCACTTCTATTGACCACACAGAAACTCTTATCTAGACAGAGGAAACCTCCTTGAATTTATACAATAACAGCCCCATCCTTAACCCAGCCATGCAAAGAGAAAGACACGGCATGTAGTTCCCCCACCATCCCTACTCCCTACATACTCAGTGTGAATAAAAAGGAACCCGGGAAACCCCCATGGAAAGAGCCCAAACCTTCCCTTTTCGGACATATTCAAGATCCGGGGAAATATGCGGAGTGCAGAATGCGGGGAAATCCCTTCATTTATATGCCGGTGCTAGTCACACATTAGCACTCTCGTCCCATGCGGAAGGTCTACGCACTGTCGTGGCTCCGATTGCCTTATTTAGAACTATCACAGCGCTTGGATGTCGTCATATTTCTTTTTCTGCAGGATAGCTTAAGGTCGTTTCTGCGTGTCTTGTATGTAGTGATGGGTAAGAGATGCCTTTTTGGTGCAGGATGGTATCCATTCTGGTTCTTTTCTTTTACTTTATTTTTCTTTGTCTTTTCTCTCTCTCGCTTTCTCTTCTCTCCTTGGTATTTCTCCTGTTATTCCGTGCCCTGAAGCTTGGGGTACCTAGATGGGGCAGATCATCAATATTGGTATCAGAATACATCATGTCCTCACAGTCGCTCTGAAGACCCAGGAAAGTATCTAATAAATCTCTGCTATTAAAGCACCCTCTACCAAGACGGCGTAGCAGGATAGCATTTTGTGTTATGTAAGCGACAATATATGTTGCAATTATAATAGGTTGATGGCCCGAAGAAAATCTGGGCTTGCTGTGCATAGGAAAGTATTCACTATCGTCAATCCGTCGAGGCGTGGGATTAGTGGATAGGACTCTAATTTATAAACACGCGGCATGAAGATATAAAGAATATACCTAGAAAAAGAGGATTTAAAGGGTAGGGGATAATTTAGAGTGCTAGAAGTCGTGAACGGCGGACCTTGGTTCTGCACCTGCGTTTACTCTAATCTAGAGCCCAGTTATTTTCCCAAGGTACCACTACCACAAACCTAGTATTACCGAAAGACGCCCAACACGCCTGCTTGATCATGGAATCGCATGAAAGCAGAGCATGTCGGACCATGGCTGACAGATTGTCAGATCATCATACCTATCACATGACTTCGTTGTCATTATATCACCAGAGGTGGCTTGCATGTCTCTCAAGCTTGGCTAAACGTACTTCACACAACAATTTAAACTTTATATAGCTTGCTCAGCAATTATGAGCTCGCTGGATGATCACTCGCTGGACCTGGGTCCTCGGGATATTGGCATAAAACGGGAAATCAACCGCTCAGAATCTTCAACCATACATGAAATCCAGATATGTGGAGAGACACGGGTTATGAAGCTCGTGATTTCGAATTCTTGATCTTCCAGGGCGACGCTGACCTGTTAGTTCCACGGTAATGGCGACCCAGGATACACTCCAAAGGGCCGCGACCTGAATCGGTTTCGCTGTGAATTGAATGCCTATCGTAACCTCCATAAATACGGCGTGTGCAAACGCGGCTTTGTTCCATTCTTTTATGGCTATATTGATCGTGTTGACCCGTCGGCTTTTGCGCCACCTCTTACACCTTTCATCTGCGATCAATTCCAACCGAGGGCGATTTTGCTCGAGTACTTACCGGATGCCGAAAGATTAAATTGCGTGAATTATTCCGAAGCTCTCTGTCTGTATGCGGTGGACGGTATCAAAGAGATACACAGTGCTCTTGTCCACCACCATGATATTTACCCGAAGAATATGCTGGTTGTGTCTGGTAGTAGAATTATATGGATTGATTTTGATGTCGCAATGACTTTTGATAATATGAGCTCCCGTGAGAAAGAATACTGCAAACGCGAAGCCGATCTTGTTGAAAGTTTCGGAGAGCTTTTGGCTTGTGTTGCTTCGTTGCCTTGAATATAAGATACTGACTATCAATAACTCCAGCAAAATGACCAGAGAGAAGGTCTGCCGCCTAACACGAAATTTTATTGAACGGGATCCCTCAAACGAAGCTGGCGTGGTAACGGTCGTATACATATGACTTTAAAATACGGTGAGCACTCAGGGCTCTCTCTAATCTTACGCCTGCATGTTGGAAATTGCGTTTGGTGCTTTTCTTTTTAAGACCGACACGATAAAGGTATTGCTGGAGGAACACATGAAACCTTGTTCAGGAGCCTGCTAAACTCTGACCAAGCTTCCACAATGTAATGGTAAAGAACCTTTCCATAGGATTGAAATCCGGTAATAGAACTCCCGCATCGGAACACAACCGTTAAACTCGGTCTTAATGATGGATTCAGATATTATCTATAATAAGGACCGACTTTGGCCCTGACCGCCTTCTCCAGTGCTGGAGATGTTACTTAATAAAAGACTCAAAGAACATGAGACAACATCTTGCGTATATATATTGGGAGTATCTGGTAGTTATATGTAGCGACGTTTCTCAGCACCTCTCGTAAGCACACCGTAATCGCTTTAGGACGATGTCCCGTTGCCATCAAAAGAGCTAATAGATGACGTATACTTCTCAAACAATAGAAGCGAAAGTCATACAGTGGAGGGGGAACTACTCACCATATTTCGGCATATGTCGCAAGAAGACAGGTCTTTTGGTGAGTCTAATTGTGCCAACAAGCCAGGCAAGAGAATTGTGACAGGAATGACTTCAGTCGCTCGTAGTGAGCAATTGGCGAGCCTCATCTTTCACATTATCCATGCCCGCATATTCGCCACGCCAGCACTTCTTGACGATTTGCCCCCATAGAACATCATCAACCTTTGGGAACGAGTCTGGTGCAGGCCAATGGAGGTCCGGGTTCTCAGGGCTGAAGAAATAGTATTTATGGACACGCCAGGACGCAATGGAGTAGAGAACCCAGCCAAGATGAAGGATCTCAATCTGAATATTCAAGTCGTTTTCAGTTGCAGACGTGATATCGACATCCAGCGGTAATAAGATGGATTGTCCGAAATCTGCCAGTTTAAGCTGCCCATCCAGGACTAGGATATTGCGAAGTGCAATATCATCTACAAATACCCTGCGAGAGTGGACATGTGCGAAGGTGTCAATGAGAGTTGACATCCGGCTGATTTTCAGGGGGTTCTCGCGCTCGGGATGGGTTTCTAGATAGGATTCTAGATTTCCTTGTGCCAGGGCTAGCTCAATCCCGTACTTGGACGTTCGGAAGTAGGTGATAATTCCTTGATAGCTACCCAGGCGTTCAAGGACCCGGATTTCATTCTCTAGAGTTTGCTGATTGATTTCGTTCAGGTATTCCACATCCTCGCGGTCTTGGAGGGGCCCCGGTTGATACTGCCTAGCTTTCTTAACAACACGGCACGGTCTTCGCCCATCTGCAGAATAACCCCAGTCATACCATTCCCAATTACGGGAAGACCCAGATACGGATCATGGGAACGGGGAGAAGGTGGAGTACTGAGTGATGATTCAGCTCCCATATTCTTTGTTGGAAGGGGTGGGGGGCATTCCAAGCCGTAATACAAAAAAAAAAAAGACAAAAAGCAGAAGAAGGACGAATGTACAGAGAGATGGGAAGAGAAACGGCACTGAGGACAGATGGCTGGGCCCCATCCCTAGTTAAATTGACAAGGCTGAGAAGTCATCAATTCATAAGGTAAAAGCTCAAGGAATTGACCCACGGTGATCATCTGACCAGGATGCCCTTGCCTAGAAAATCCAGACACATGTAAATAACACAGCTCCATCCAAGTCATTATACATAGAGGATGTTTTCCTTGAGCTCATAAGTGGGATGACTTGATAGAGCTGAGGGTTCATACTAAGATGGATATAAGGCTAGTAACCTTGGATCCTACTTGAAAGAAAAACAATGCCAATTTTGTTGTTCCTGGATAGAAGTAGCAAGCCCTACATGTGCTCCATGTTCCTGAGGAACCACGGAAGATTTCTAGAGTTCTTAATGATGACGAAATCGAACCTTATCGGATTCACTGGTTTATATATATTCCACCCAAAGTCCACTTATATTTCATGCTGCTCTAGTATACATCCATCCGCCCGGCACCATCCTAGCAAATCTTCCCGGGAGAAACAAAAACTCCCCGACGAACAAAACCAAGCCACCCCCTCCAAACCAACTCCACAAAATGTCCCGACTAATCGACCACGAACCCAACACACGCAGAAAACCCATGCGCATCCTCTGCTTAGGCCTAACACGAACCGGAACAAACTGTAGATCCACCGAATATAATCCCTAATCATATAAATACTAACAAAACCGAACAGCCCTCGTCGTGGCCCTCCGCAAACTGGGCTACACGCCGTACCACGGCTCAGAATGTTTCAAGTCCCCACCGCGAGACTTCAACCTCTGGATCGAGGCACTGAATTGTAACTTCTTCAACGCGGACCCTAAAAACATCCCCCGTTATGGTCGCGAGGAATTCGACCGACTCTTCGGCCCCTACGACGCCGTCCTCGACATCCCGGCCTCAATGTTCTGGGAGGATCTCATCCACGCATACCCCGACGCTAAGGTCATCCTCACCACCCGGGACTTCGATTCCTGGTGGCAGTCCATGGACAAGACGCTGTTTAGGTTCATCCGCATGCCGTTCTTCCGGTATTGGCAGTATTGCGACAACAAGGAGATCGGGCCGCTGTACCGGATGTCTGAGCTGGTTTGGAGGGTTTTTTGTGGGAATAGTTACGAGAGGGAGGTTTGTGAGAAGGCGTTCCATGAGCATTATCGCAGGGTGAGAGATGCTGTTCCGCAGGAGAGGAGATTGGAGTTGAGGGTCGGGAGGGATGGGTGGGAAGTGCTTTGTCCGTTTCTGGATGCCGAGGTTCCTGCGGAAGACTGGCCAAGGGAGTATCCTGCTAAGGCCCTGAATGAGCATGTGGATATGGCTTTCTGGGCGGCTGTTGGGTCGATTCTCTCCTGGGTTGGACTGGGTCTGGTGGTTGTTTTGGGCGCGGTTTGGTTGGGAGGGTATGCTGGCAGGTATCATGATGAGATTTGACTCTTGGATCGAGTAAATGTGTTTTTACATAACACTTGCAAAGAAGTGTATTGATTAAGAATCATTAGTACTAATGTTCTATCATATTCAGGAAATTCAGGCGATATTGTAGTTTTGTGGAATACCTGTTGCCATGTCAGACAAGATTAGCCTAAAAACGGGGATCCCTGTGGAAATTGAGACGAGGTCGCGAGTGAGAGCTCTGTATATCATTTCTACTTATTGGATGAGACTTATTTACGACTGTAAAAATAGCATTCTCTCGTACAGATAATTTCAGGTTTGAGAAACCCAAGAAGGCGTCTGTATAGGCCAAATGCAGGGTGACATACAATGCAGGTGACCGATCCAACCCTAAGCCGTTATTGTTGAGCGAGTTCTAGGTAGGGAGTTGATATGGGGATAGTATAGACCATTTGTCGTTTAGATGCTATCTAGATCCATCTGACATACTCCGTATAAGGGTGGAACCCGAGAGAAATCAAGGGCAGTTTACGAGCATATCCTTTATGTGTCACTCCATTGTTGGGGGGCGTAGCATGTGTCATCTCCATTTACGACATGCTGCATGTCATGAGTGGATATAAGTAATCATTGGAGGCGTGTTCCTCATCATAAGCGGCAATCAGCGACGGTTACAAGGCACCGACGAATTATTGTCTTAGGTAAGACATTGAGCCTAGAAGTAGCGCCAGGCTAATGCATATACAAAGCACAGCCTCATGCTGTAAGAAAATATAAAAACAATGAACCCCCTCTCCCCCCCCCCCCCCACAGCTCGTAGCCTGCCAACAAGGAAATCATACAATATGAGCACCGTACATTTTGATTACATAATCGTGGGCGGTGGCCTTTCAGGCTCCGTCGTTGCAAATCGACTATACAATGCCAATACTTCATTGCATATTCTTCTGGTTGAGGCCGGCGTTGATGCCTCTGACAATACTTTGATCCCATACGCAAACAATACAGCATTTCTCATCGGATGCGATCTTGACTGGGGTTTTGTTACGACGCCTCAGCAGAACCTCGAAGGTCGCAAGATTGGAAACCCAGCGGGGAAATGCCTTGGCGGGGGGACGGCAATCAATAACTGTAAGCGCGGTGGCTATTCCTGATCATAGATCATGGGATTGACAATTCTTGCCCAGGTGGATGGATCCGTGGCGATCGTAGTGATTATGACAGGTGGGCTGAGATTGTTGGGGACGAAAGCTACAGCTACGATTCTATGTTGCCCTATTTCACTGCGACGGAGAAATACACCGATGGAAGTCAAACTGATGGGCAGCAACATGGATCCGACGGTCCGCTGTATGTCGCCTCGGTCTCTTCAACCGGTCGCCAATACCCACTGCGCGAGCCACTAGCACAGGCATGGGACGAGAATCATGTCAGCGCCCTGCCAGGCTTGGACGGAAACAGAGGTAGTCCTCAGGGTCGGGCAGAGCTTGCAGAGGATCGCCGTGATGGACTCCGTCAGTTGGCTAGCGCTGCCTACCCGCTCGATGGCATCCATGTCATGACCAACACACTTGTAAGGCGCATTATTACAACCTCCGAAGACAATACACCAAAAGCCATCGGCATTGAAGCAATAAGCGGCGAGAAATACTACGGCAGGGAGATCATCATCTCGGCTGGAGCATACCGTACTCCACAGCTTTTGATGCTCTCTGGAATCGGCCCCGGAGAGGTATTGTCACAGCATGGCATACCAGCTGTAGTTGACGCCCCAGATGTTGGGCGAAACCTCTACGACCATCTAGAGTTCGCACAGTACTGGAAGCTCAAAGACCCTTCCAAAGGGTATGCCCTTGGGTCCGACAATCCTCTGTTTACCAAACCCGAGTTCGGACTGGGTGTGCCCGTAGACTGGGTTGTCACCACCAGCGTCCCCAGAGATGGCTTGGTAGAGGCAATTACAGCGGACGAAGGGTGTCCACCATCAGCCGACCACCCTCTCCTGAAAGCCGAGCGATCCTTCCTAGAGTACATCGTGCTGTACGCGGCTGGTAGTGCTTCAGACCCAGTCATACCTTTAGATGGTACCCACATATGTATAACCATCATTGGCCTATTGCCAACTTCAAAAGGCCACGTTACCATCAATTCGACAGACCCGACCAATCCGCCTGTAATTGACCCCAACTACTTGTCAACTGAGGTGGATCGTTACGCCTGGCGCACGGGGCTGCGCACTGCCACTCGGCTATTTTTGGGCACTGATTCAGGCAGCTCACTCATCGACCAGGAGACCCCACCGGATGGGTTCGAGCCGATTAGCCTGGACTCAAGTGATGAGTACTTGGAGGCTAGGGCTCGGCATGGAGCATTGTGCGTATACACCTGGCCCTTCCCAACAGACCTCACTAACGAAGGTAGTTCTACGTACCACCCTATGGGAACATGCTCTATGGGTAAAGTTGTCGATAACAGGTTCCAAGTGCATGGAATATCCAACTTGCGGGTTGTCGACGCCAGCGTAATTCCCACCCCAATCGCGGCCCATATCCAGGCCGCGTTGTACGCTATGGCAGTGAAGGCGGCGGATATAATCGCCAGCAAGGTGTGAGTATGTTTCAATTAAATCGATTGGGGGACGCTTTTCACTACTGTATTTCCCGTCATAGGACAGTGATGTGGGAATACCCCTAGCCCTACCCTAGTATATAAGTGAAAGAATGTTCACTGAACTTTATAAGAGAGCTCGTCAGCCTTTATAAGCAAGTATGAGAATTATCTTTGGATTTATCTAGATGAAGCAGTCTATGAATACAGTTTGTGTACAGAAACATAAGCCTATATCCAACCTACCGCCAACTAGCTAGTGTTTGTTATGGCCCCTCTCACATTATCGGCTTTATACTAGATGGTAACAGTCGGACATGGATGAAATTCCCACCTTCCGGCATGAATTGGTGTTCTAACCGCACTTGGAATAATCTTGTATGAATGTCAATTATATTCTTCCATACTGGCCAATAGGTGCTGGCATGATTGATATGATTACGGCTACATACAAGTGATTTATGTTATCTTATCAACTCCCAAAAATGCATTACTACCATGCCCCGAGCGTAACGTGCAAGAAAACACAAACAGGCTGTTGCTGACAATGACATTGCTATATACAGTGACGAACGGTTCACGGCTGTGGCGGCAACCACGTTCAATATAGATTCAGAGTCCGAGATGAAGGCTGGCACTAAAAGAGCCTTGGCTGAGCGCCTTGAAGCCGATGATCTGTATTCTGAGATGGTGCACGATGATATGTGGACTGGAAACAGTGTGGGCCTAGAGATCGCCCGTGACAACAGCAGAGTACGTATATTAGAGTCTAAGATGGAATCGATCAGGGCCGAGGACAAGCGGGAGAACGAGGCCACCTTTCACAGACTCCAAGCGAAGATTCGCCACGGCTTGTCTGGGGGAGATAGACGGGGCTCGGGAAGCAGTAAATTCTTCAGCTGAAGATCTGTGACAGAGTTAAGCCTATAAGATAAGTTCTTCGGGGGAATTGAGTATATTACCGGTATGGATGATATGACGCTCCGAATGCAGGAAGTCTAAGGTGATAAGTAGTTGTCGGATACTTGGCTTCATGGCATCAAGGGTCATTGCCTACCCCGGAGACATCTTCACCAGAAGATCTGCGCTGGTCCCGAGAGGCTCGTGAACAAGGTAGACATGACGGCCATAAGGGCCCTCAATATCAATATAACGCTTGGAGTAGTCGACATTTTTATGGAGCTCCAGGTCAACAACCTCGCGATTAGCAAACCTGCCAGGTTTGGCAATTTTGCGGAGATCATCTTCCACAGGCTCTGTATTAAAAATATCCAAAAGGATAGAAAATTATTACATGTATATTAGAATATTTCTCTGCTCTACCCATTAGCTCATAGTTAGGTGATTCGCGGAAGCAGAACATTCTTATATTATCGGAAATCTGTGTCTATCGAGAAGGGAGTGTCGAAGGCTTCTTCTCCTTCAGGAGAGGAAACAAAAATGACCAGAAGACTTTATGGAGGGTGGTAAATGGTAAGCTTGTAGGGCTGAAGGTAAACGTGGTGAGATCCTTGATACGCCTGGGTCCAGTTTTAGCTGAGATTAGGCGAGAACCTTCGTCAATTGTTTGGTGTAAGAAGAGTGATCAGCCCACATCCATAAACGCGCCTCTAGCGAGACTAGTAAGCTGTCCACTTTCCATGCCATACCCCAATTGCCGTATAGCAGTTTATAGCAGCGGCTATCATTATGCAAAGCGCGGTTGCGCTCAGAGACAAGAGTATGCATTGCGGATCTAATTCCCAACCTCCACTGATCAGAAGCCCAGCAAGCCTGAGCAACAAATGATTTTTTTATATTTAGAGGAGAAAGAAAATGGATGCCAGTAGAAGATGAGGAAGGTGAGCAACGATCGACTTTCTGAAATGAGGTTGATACGTAGTATATGAAACACTTGTAGTCTGGAAATGTTCGATATCCAAGATCTAAGACAATGATTGGCGGAGGGCCCCCCCCATTTCAGACACATCACTGATAGAATGATGTGCACAACCAACCATTATCGGAACTCAAGAGGCCATGTTCTAAGATCGAGGTGTGTGTGTCAATGTTGTATATCCCTTGGGTGGTCGCGGAACATCGGCTCTTGGTCAATCAAGAAAAAGCCCTAAACCGATGGAGCTTTAAACCTCGCCCGCTCCTTTACTAGAATCTTGATCCGTGTTGCCACCCGTCATCCGTTTTCTCATCTCGTTGGGAGATGGTCCTTTGCGTCTCGTTTCCCGTCCAGAGGACTGCTCATCGTTGTCCGGTCGGGGAGAAAAAGCGGGTTTGCTCTTTTGCGCTTCGAAGGCTGGCGGTGATCGGGTGGTGGTGGTGGCGCCTGCAGGGTCGTGGGGGCCACCAGCGACGGCCCCAAAACGACTGCCATAACGCTTCTCCGTCACATAACGAAGAGAGTCATCCGTCATTGAACCAACCAACTGCGCCGAATTACCGGTAGACAGCGCTTTCTTGACATCAAATAGATCCGCCAAGGTAGTCACCACTACTTGATCGCTGTCGCCATCGGCAACCGCTTCCCCAACGCGGTATATCTTCTGACTGGAAAGTTCGCTAGCCACCTTGCAGACCTCTAAGCACTGCATCGAGATATTGATGTCTTCTTGTAACCGCAGCCGGTCATTGTCATTTCCCGCATCCCTGTCTAGTACCAAAGTCTCTAGGCGTGTGCCCAGGTGACCGATTATCCGTGCGAAGTTATCTCGATTCGTATCCAGCGCTTGACGGGTAAGCAACTGCGCTTCGAAGAGTTTTTGTGTGTCCTTTTCGGCAGTGCTAGAAGGGGCCTCTTGCAGGAGAGAGGATTCTCGATTGGTCAATGATTCAATGTAAGATTTTGCGTCTTGGCAAATCCAAAGGCATTGTTTGGTTACTTCTCTCTCGTCCTCTAGGTCTAGGTTTGTCCCCGGGGTATCGGTCTTATCAACGGAGATCCGGGCCAATTTGTCATCGATGCGACGTAAATAGAGCTCCAGGTTATATGCTGTGTCCTGGACCATTTCATTGTACTCTTCCAGAACCTTCTGAGACACTTGGGTGGTTTGCCTAAGGGAAATGCATTAGAAGAGTCCGAGGCTGGGTAAGGAATCGCGACTAACATCGTTATAGTGCCTAAACCGACTGAGATGGTTGACTTATACCCGGAGATAGTGTCTATAAAGTCATTGATATCGCCTCGCATAAATTCCATCTTGGCCCAATCGCGAAAGCCAATCTTTGATTTTTCACTGAAAGCTTTCATCGATAGCTCGAATTCGCAGCAGACTTGCTGGCATCGATTTATCGGATCTCTCAGGAGCGCGAGCATTGATTTCTCAGTCTTGGTCACATGCGCCAACGCATCCAAGATATTCGTCAGGTCCTCAAGCTCCGCTTGCAGCCTACGTAACATTTTGTCCCGATCTTTAAAGCGTTTCACGGTTTCCACGAGCGACTTTGTCGATTGAATAGCAGCCGTGATGACCGCCAATGCCGAGGCGGCAATGCTCAACGGATCCGCCATTTCCGGGGTTTTGCTTTCGGTCGTTGCTTGGAGGAAAGGCCGTAGCAAAGCTGCTGTCGACAGAGAACACCGCCGACTGAGATGAGGGCGCCTGGACCTTCAAATATCCACTTCCGTTCTCCCGCAAGGCACACCCAAGTTAGCGCCGTGGCTTTTTGTCATGTAAGCGACACAACTTTAAGAACCCCGCTACTCTGTAAGGGTTCGGGGCGTGAGGCGGGGGGTTGCGGCGCTTTCCGTGCCGAGTATTTCATACGTTTACCATGGACAGTGCTTGTTTCGCAAGAGTTATTGCTGTGGACCTGCGGGTGTGGATGGAGATGACACGAGGAGGAGGAGGAAGATGGGTGAGGGGAAGGTTACGTGAGGGGGACCGATGAACGGCGACGCCGATGGATAGTGCTAACTTGTTGAGTGCGCCAGCCCCACTGGATTTGCTGTAATTTTCAACGAAGCTAGCCAGGTATAGGCTAGGCGTCATGGCATCTCGATTCCGCGTAATTTCAAGCAATGTGCCCAACGGGATACCAGAATAATGACATCCGGATCGGCGGAAGGGTTCCCGTGCGGGCCCTGAATATAAAAATGGTCGAGCAGTTTGCGAATGAAGTTTCTGCCAGGAGGTTTTTGCTTCCTGCAAGTTCATATGCTTGTAGATGTCTAGTTCTCGTTTGTGGTCCCTGTTTTGACCCGTCACGTAAAGTTTCCAAACAACATCTGTTGATGCGCTGTTTGTTGGTTTGTACCATATTATTCGAATCACGATGATCTGGATAGCTGGAAGCACGTTACCCGCACCTACATCAAGTCTTTCGCAAGCCACACGGTTGAGGTTCCTCCGTACCCTATCTTGGCAAGGGCTTGATAGCCGGCCATTGAGAATCTCGCCCTGATTGGCTGGGTAGTATTTCTCGGGCTGGTATGTGGGCAGGGCCTCCTCGTCCAGCTCAATGGACTGGGCAAGCAGCTCGAATCCCGAGTTGGGAAATACTCTCGGCGTGCATGTCCACTGTGAAGACGACATGACGGTTCGATGCGGCGCAAAGGTTGTTCTCAGAGTTGACGATAGGGGAATTCGGTGACAGCAAGAACTGAGGGGTAGAGACGGAAATAAGCCCTTGCGAACACCAGGGATACGGATACCCCAAACGCTTCGCGCGGCTCGCTGCATTGTGAAGTTGAACGCTGAAGCGGACCCTGGCGTAGGTCGCGCGCGTAGGTGAAGGAGACAATACAAAGGTGGATCGATGCAAGGGGACGTAACACGGTAGGGTAAGCGAGTTAATTACCTAAGTAAGCACCATCTTCATAACTAACTATGGCAACGAGTCACCCAAGTAGTAGTACTTGTGCGCGACGATTTGACACTAGTTCTATAGACGCTGGATCTTCAATATCTGCCCATGACTCTTGTAGCGGCAGTGGGCGCTCCATAAGCAACGGTGTACCGTGTGCAACATCCGCAGGCTGGAAGCTCTGAACCAAGCTTGCCGTGGCAGCTTCAGTGGATGTATCTATTACAGTGCTACACCAGGAATGTGGAGGTCCCGATTTTTGAGGTGTTGAAGTAATCGAGAGTCAATGATGGTCGACTACCATTCGGGAGGTCTGGTACTGACACAGGATATACCCGGTTTCTCAACTACTGGACTGTAACCAGTATCCTTCATCATAATTTGCTGGCAGAAGTAGCTCGCCTGTAAAATGTGGCATTAGCAAAGAAACCGATGCGTTAAGAAAGTAAACACAAGCTAATTAGCTGCGAAATAAGATTTTCTTTTTTTTTAAAAAAAAAAGAATTAGAGGATACTAAGTGAAAGGATACTTACTACCTTTACTAATCAGGGAAGCACCCCTACTATGAAGAATATATAAATAATTACACGGCAATGGTAACTGTGCCATGGTAGATTAACTACAGACTATCGGACAGTTTGCCGCTACAAGAGCCGTGATTATTTGTGTTTACAAGCGTGGGTTCATAATGTCCCTCCATCTGGGACATTCTATATCTCCATCAATTGCTACAAAAATGTACTAAGAGGCTCCAGCACAGACGATGTACACACACAGCATAGCACCTCAAGAACAAGGCGTGACACCAGCGGATCCAGGGAAGTCACAATAGACACCCGAGCTACCCTGAGCACAAACCAGCCCAGCGGGACATTGCTGCATCTCCCAGCGCTCATTGTTGCAGATGCCGAATTGGCTGCCATTGCAAGAAACAGCTCCATTCGTCGGGCATGTCTGCCCGGCAACCGGACACACCGTCGAGGTGGTTGTGGCGGTCGGCTGACCCGACGTTGAACTGGTCGTGGAGGACTTCGTGGTGGTGGTCAGCGTGGTACTGGTCGATGTAGTCTGTGTCGTCGGGGTCGGTGAGGCCGTGTTCGATGTCGTGGTTGAGCTCGTCGTCGCAGTTGGAGCGCTTCCACCCCCCAAAGCGGACCTGAGTCCCGAAAGAAAGCCGCTGTTGGCGTATACCTGACTCGCATCCCAGATCATGACTCCTCCAAAACTGCTGAACTTTTTCACATACTGAATGATCTCGGTCACTGTCGATATAGGCTGGTAGCCAGTCCCAGCCGCACCTTTGTTCCCGGGAACACCAAGAAAGACTTTGGCGTTTTTGTTCAGAGACGTTTCACGCGCCCACTTATCCCAGACATCGAAGTTGAAGTTCGTCTGTGTGGAGCTGCCGGGGACGAATGATTGGAGTCCGCAAAAGTTGTTGTAGAACTGAATCCAGATCGCGTCGAAGTACACAGCACCATCGAGCATGGGGCCATCTGCGGCGTCTGGGTAGGGGCACTGGGGCGCAGCTGTGGTGTAGTATTTCTTTGAAGCATCGCTACCGTAATACGACCGCAACTGGTTACCAAAGGCGGGCATGTTGTTGACCACTGCCTCGAAGTCGAAGTCAAACCCATCGACCACCGCATCTCCGAACGGTCGTTTCGCAGAGGAATTGGAAACAGGTCCAAAGGTCTCCCAGATCATCTTCGCGCCGGCAATTGCGGCTGCTTCGCTGGAAAAGCCGCCTTCGTTGTACGTTGCTCCTCCGATTGAGAGGAGTATTGTCCGTCCAAGTGATTGGCATTCTTTGATGTCCTCGCTAATCAACAGGTCAAGTTAGCATGTCCATTGTGTCTGGGTTAGCGCGGACCTACGCGATTTGAGGGCACTCTAGAAGCTGAGTCCCTGGAAATGCGGTGCAGTTGTCGCCGGCATTTGCGAAATTGACTTCAGGAACACCGCCAGCTCCGTTGATCCTCGTCACGAAGGAGAGTTGGTATACCTATTCGTGCTGTTAGTGAATCCTCCAAAGGGTCAAGGTCGATTTGATCCAGTACATCTGCGTCCGTTGCTGTACACCCAATGGGGTGGAACCGTTAGCTATTGCTGGCTTTTGTAGCGTCGAGCCTGGCTTACTCCTGCAATAATGTGACAGACGCTGCTGAACATAGGGACCGGTAGACTGTCCATAGGAATTCTGCCCTGAGAGATGTGTCAGCGATGGCACAGCCTTCGTGCTTGCCGCGTATCCTTACCCCAGTATACCGCAATGTTGCTAGGGCTGTCCAGGTTCAACGCGGCCAGCGCGCCGTTGAAAGAAGCCAGGGCAAGCGTGAAAAGAGCAGCAGCTTTTGAAGAAGGCATGGTGGGAGATGATGAAACACAATGTCGACCTGGCTTGAAAGACTTGGAGCGCTGGTTGAGTGCCACGCAACAGGCAGGAATGTTGGACCTTATTATACATCCTTTGATGAGGCTCTTGATGCGCGACCGGGCCATTGTATTATTAACTGCGCACATTGCGAGTCATCTGCGTTTGTCATAGGTGTTTAAGATCGGCCTTCTTGAGTTGCACATACATTCCTTGGCTTCATTCTTCGATCTCAATAGTCCGAGGCATCAGTGAGACGACAATGGATTTCCGTGGAATGTAACCTTCACATCATCCTGAGGTACGTACGCTCAACCGGCCAAAAAGACGACGATGGTCATTTGCACGCGATCCGTTTCGAACGGGAATTACAGGGCGGGCGCCGCTCTCGTGTGCCCTACGAAATGTGGGCGACGGCGTACAATGATGCTGGGCTAGTGGATGTGACAGACGACATGACAGACGGTGTTGCATCACGGAAATCAGAGCAGCCATGGCGATTCAAGTCGCTGGTGGTTGCCATATTGTCGCGGCTAAGCATTCTATCCGTCAGGTGAGTAGCCCTAAGGGATTGTCCTGCAGGTGATCCGATCACCTCTTGCGGCAGTATGATCCTGAGAACCTTGTCGACAAACCCCCCGATATCATTAATCCCCAGTGCCCCTGCATGAGATTGTGTGTCGAATAAGGAGGGTTTCACAAGAAGGCTACATGGAAGCACGGCCATTCGAGAGTGCGTAAATTAATGCAACTCTGCCGGGTAACCACATGCCGGCATGGGAAATGAAGCAAGCCCACTAGCTCGCTCAAGGGCCTGATGACGGCCCGTCTAGACTTCCATGTCACATTCCTTCTACCCCGCGGCCTGACAAGGGGGATGGATCCTGCCAATGATGTGTCATGATGGTATGGAAATGGGTCAGGAACGTCGGCCATCTGGGAGATAAGCTACAATGAAACTGTTTCATCCCTTGTGGCCGTCGCTCGGTTGGTTCTGTCCTCTGCAGCCTCCACGTGCGATATTACCTCTTCCACGGCCTGAACCACTTCATTTGTCAGCCCTGCGGCTTTGTACGAGGGACGTTCAATGAGAATCCCTTCCAGTCAGCCACTGCTGCAGGTTCGAAACGATGCGTGGCACCCATGGCTTCGATCTCATTTCCCCTCGACACGCTGGAATGCGAGGGATCTAAGACACAACAAGCCTCCCGCCCTTGTCTCAGAACACAGCGCTCCTTTGACTCTGATTCGTACTGGATTTAAATAACCTTAAGTATTCGGTAGCCATGTTTACACATGATAGTCAGCGCCGAGCTTCGCCCAGGGGTTTGCGGACATCCCTACATCCTGACTGGTCGCTTATGTCCATTTTTTGTTTCTTATAATTGAGGACCATCTTTTCAATTTCATCTGCCTACAGGAGACATGATCGCGAGACCATTTCGACCCTAGCTCCAGTACCAGTCGCTTTATCAGGGCTAAGAGGTGGCCTGTGTGCTCCACCGCTCGTCATGAGACTCAATAAGTACACCGGCACCGTAGATCATGGACAACTATCGGCTTGCCATAAAACTATCCGTACTAGGCTACTAGCACTTGTGTTCAACATCTACCCACTAAGTGGACAGGTGTTACTGTCACAGTTACCCCGCTCGGATCCGAACAAAGAGGCCCTGATCGACATTGCCCCGCGAGGGACATCGCATCCAGACATATATTAATGTTGCTCTTCAGACCAAGGGCCAATGTGCCCACTATCGGTACTCCGTTCGACCGAAAATACTACTTACCCCTGGTCTACCACTGCAGGATATGCAATAATGCAAATAGATCAGACTCTGCAAGATCCTATAGTGCCTAGTGCTTGCAGATTACGTGGGACTCCCTTCAAGTATACCGTAACGTCGGCACTTAACAGGGTACCTGCAGCAGTCCAGTACTAGTCAGTAGGTTCCTGGAGGTTGTAACTATGTCTACCTTTCAATACTACACACTGGGGAGTATCGACTATGATGGTCTCGGGTGATAGGGTGCTCTAACGAAAGTGACTACTTTCATTGTCATACACCGTCAGGACCTACAAATGAACCAGATATCCATGTCCAATGACAATAAACACAGTCGCTTTTACCACTGGGAGACGTGCACATGGCCAGTGAAACGTTGTGTTTTAGTCCGACTCACAGATGAACCTCCAGTGACATCGGGTGTTCAAGGTGTACAAAGTGTCATCTAGCCAATGGAAAGGCTTGGTGATAGTTCCGACTACCCATACGCAGTGAAGGAACGGGTGGTGTCGGCTTGCTACATTGCTGACAGTAAGATTGAGGTCCAACGACAGAAGTTTGAGCTCTGTTGGGAATATTCTTCTAACATCTTACGACACCATTGATAAAACAACAGCTGAGCAAGCACAGAACTCCATTTCGGACGCTGAGTCCAGCTCAGACCTAACTGCGTGGAAGATATATGTCCTTCTGTTTTGAACGTGTCCTGGTACAGGATGGACTAGTCACTATTGTTGGCTATTTCATTGACTTAGAACATACAATATATTTGCTTATCAGAGCGATCTATGGAAGATAAAAAGGTACAACCAATTAAATCTCACGAGTGTGGGTTTGCTAGCAGCTCGCATGGCAAGTTTAATGTGGTATCCTGATCTGTTCAAAACATATTGTTGAATACGACACGCCCATAGTGGGAATTAAATTTGGATCGAGTGGTATTCAAATATATTGCTTTCAATTCACCAAGATAAGTCTTACACAAAGCGATGTTCTTCATGCTATCGCTAATTCATCCAATAAGCATTCCCCCAAGTAATGACTACATAAAATGCAATGATTGACCGTCTATTCTTCCTAAGAAAGCCACAAAGTCTAACGTAATGGCACATATACTAGTACCTTCCCTCGGCGCTTAGGACAAGAGGTCCGCCCAAAGGTAAGACATGCGCGGCACGATAGAATAAAACCGGTACTCTTGCCTGAAGAAGTTTGGGCAAGCAAAATCTTGGTAAGTTAATTGCAGACTGCCGCGTGATGCCTGATTCTACGAGACTTGAGAGAACGACGAAGGCCCACACATCATGTGCACTTGATAATGGCATTGAGCAAGCGCACTCAATGATGCTAAACGTTATTTTCCAAGCCATTGATCCATTGACATACACTGTTGACGTTGGGATGCGTTGCACACTGGGCTTGGCTTTTCGTCGCGACCGTCGTCTTCTTCACTATCGGGGATTAGGGTTACATCGGCCGCGATTGACTGGCCAGACCCTTATCACGGCCACCAAGTTACTTTTCACGGCCCACTATGAGGTCACCATTGATACGAAGCTGATTGTTGCGATTTGACGATGCAATGGGCCCCTACTGCTGGGACGGTTGGCCCGTTTCGCTGCGAATAATATCTATGCACGTGGTGCGAGGGGTGGTCGAGGAGGGGAATTGCAGATAGGATATGTTGCCACGTCGGGCTTTGCATGGTGCAGCTAATGTGCTAATCATTTCTCAGTGATTGCATAATAAAACTAGCTACTTTTGCCTCGGCGTTTACCCCTCGTAAACGTTCAATGGAATCCGACTACCTAATTCATGGCATTTCCCACAACCGATAGATCGAGTTACACTTTCTCGCACACTATGATGCTAATCTTTCCAACAGGATTTGGCTAACCAAAACACTGCAGAATAAAAAAAACTTATACTAGGTAACTAAAAGGGCATAAGTCCATCGACCAACCAAGCCGCTTCCTTTGCAATCCGACAAACTTGGTTCATTCTCGGCGCAGAACCACCACTTGACAGATCAACTTCGCCCGTTCTCGGTTCAGCAAGCTCAACCCTCGTCATGAAGTGGCGCAATTGCTAAACTTCGAACACGACCCGTCGATTTCCCGGCTGCGGTGAGCTGCATCATAATAGAGGGCCGTGCACGCAGACAATTTGTTTGTGAACTGCTTATCGGGGAATAGTTGTTTCGCTTCACCTCCACTGTGGTGGGTGCCTATCGTCCAATTGAAGTGATCATGCAGGCCAAGCTTATCGGAACCATTTGCCGAGGGCTCCAATTGGAAAAATGACACCAACCTGAAATAGCAGCTTGTCCGTGTCTGGCAGAGGGGCATTGCGCTTCGGTATGAAGGGGGGGGGCACTGGAAGTGAGGGTCCTAGGGCCAAGCCCTGGGGGTGGGCATCCCGCATGAGTACCGTGGAATGGAGGCAGTATAGCTTCTTGGATGGATGAATCACTCCAACTCAAATGACTGACAGTTTGGAATCAATTGCATCCGTCACGGCTGAATTCAGCAGAAAATAATCTCTGCCGAAGAAACACCAACCAGCCACCCTTGCCCTAGATTCACCAGGGAGGCTGTCGCTTCACATTCCAGTGTCATCCCTAGATTGATCCCTCCTAATCGTAGCGTGCCCCACCACACGGCAGTATGAGGTGACGATGATCCTCTCCATCTCCGTCATTGGTAGCTAGGCCAGCTCCACCGGATCGGAAATTTCTCTTGCCCAGAGAGATCGGAGTCGTTGGGAAGCCTTCGTCTAGTGGGAGAGAGTTAAGCCCTAGACTGGGGACGTTCTGGACTGTTTCCGGAACCTTGTCATCTCAGCTCCATGATTGGTGTAGTACTATTTCCACTTGCGGAAGGCCAAGTTGCCCCGCTCCAACTCACGGCCTGACGTCGTGTAGTATATAAGAATAGATTGCGTTGCTGGGTCCCGGTCGGTTAGAAGTCTCCCGCAGCAAAATATAAGCCATGTCCCACTTAAAGAAATTCGAACGCAAGGTCGAACGCAAAGTCGAGAAGCTTGAACACAGACTCTCGCACGACGCCCACCAGCAGCAGAAAGGCCAACCCTCCGGCAAAATGCAGGGCAAACCCGGCCCCAAGGCAGAGAATGAGGTGACGAAGACGATCCAGGTCCACAACCGTCCCGATGAGTGGAAGATCGAGCAGGGTATCAATGCCGCCAAGCTGCCGTTCCTGGATCAAACGGGTCCCGAGAACGTCTACATCCACCCCAAGGTGTGGGATGGTAAGATGACCAAGGACGAGGCGGCCATCAAGGCGGTTGGCAACCCGGACAAGTTGTTTCCTCGCGAGCTCGAGGGATGGAAAGGGTAATGCTGACTCGGCGAAGTTTTGTATGTGAACCAGACGCTGATTATTATCTCAGATATGTCGAGTGGGAGGAATACCCCGAGAGGAAGAAGGCCGCCCACAAGATCCTCACCTCCCAGGTCTTCCCGCCCAACCCTGAGTTCCAGATGGGCCCTATCCCCGACTCCAACCCCGTGCTGCCCGGAACGCACTGGAAGCAGTGGCATCACGCCGTTGGTGGTGAGCTGACGGACGTGCCCGAAGACTCGTGGAACACCGTCCTGAAGGAGAAGCACCCCGAGATGCTCCATCTGCTGCAATTCCCTTACAACGGCGAGCCTCCGAAGCGACTCACCACTGCCCAGCCAGTGACGCCTAACCCGCTTCACTTCGTCCGGAATCACGGCGGTATCCCGTTGATCGACAAGGACAAGTTCTTCTTGAAGCTGGACGGTCTGGTCAAGAACCCGAAAACATATACCATGGATGATTTGATGGATGAATCGAAGTTCCCTCGCATGAAGAAGATGATTACCATGCAGTGTTCCGGAACGCGTCGTATCGAGCAGATCACCCTCTACGCTGGTCAGGGTGACGAGGTCCCTCAGGCCCCTTGGGCTGAAGGTGCCATCGGAACCGCCGAATACGTCGGTATCAGCTTGAAGAAGGTCATCAAAGACTGTGGCGGTCTTCTGGAGGGCGGCAAGCACCTCGAATTTTACGGCGCCGAAACCTACTTCAAGGCCGACGAAGCGATGAACTACGTTGTCAGCGTGCCCTGGTCCAAGGTCAAGGCCAACGAAGTAATGCTTGCCTGGGAGATGAACGGCGAACCCCTCCCGAAGATCCACGGCTACCCCCTGAGAGTGATGGTGATGGGATACATTGGTGCTCGTAGTGTGAAGTGGCTGTACCGGATCAAGGCCATCGAGACCCCCAGTCTGGCACCCGTTCAGAGCAAGGAATACCTCTACTTCAACCAGCAGGTTGGCAAGCACAACCAGCGCCCCACGGACGGTATCCAGATCCAGGAGATGCCGGTCAGCTCTGCCATCATGTCCCCATGGAAGAACCAAGTCGTGATCCACAACGGCAAGATCCGCTGCAAGGGCTGGGCCTACTCCGGTGGTGGCAGGTGGCCCGAGCGCGTGGAGCTCTCCTCGGATGGCGGTTTCAGCTGGTACGCCGTGCCGCTCGAGAACATGTCCGAGAAGGGCCAGTGGACCTGGCGTACCTGGGAGATCGACCTGCCCTGCGACGTGGAGGGATGGATCGAAATTGTGTGCCGTTGCTGGGATAACGCTTTGAACACGCAGCCCCTGGCTGTCCGTGCTGCATGGAACTGGGGTCTGCACGTTACTAGTTCCGCGCACAGAATCTCCGTCTACAGCATCAACAAGACCCGGCCCTTGACTGCGGAGCGTATCGAGATGCTCAAGGCTCATGGCCAGCCTCTTGCCCCCATCACATGGCCCGAGGAGCTGCAGACCCAGTCCTGGGATGACTACAAGGACTTCTTCAAGAAGTACCCCAGAGATGCTGATAATGAGGCAGTTTAGGTGCGCTGCATCCAAAATTGGCTATTGTTTGGGCAGCTTTCGCTTATGATTTTTACGACGAAGCGTTGTGGGGGCGGATAATATTGCGTTATGGTATAGCTAGCAAGTATATGCTAAATTGAGAAATATCAAATTATTATTTTGATCTAAGACACCGTTCATTGTATTTGCACACTATCTGTTTTGGCAATATCTGTATAGTTCTATACTCACCACTGAATCACAGAAATATCTGGACTATAGAAGAGTCATACGCAGTGCTTCCGTGTGATATTTCGCTTACTGGTGCACTAAATCGAAATATATTGACTATATCGTCAAAATTAGAAGCTATTCCCAGACCGTAGCCACAATGTGAAAACAAAACGTCTGCTAACCATTATATAGGTAAATAACCAACCATGCTTGACTTCATCGACTTCATAACAATGTCACTCATAAATACATCCAGAACCTTTTTCCGCATAACGCTCACCCATATTCATAAACGATGACTTATCACTCTGCAGACTAAACTACTCCCGCAACCCAACCATCTGTCTTGACCGTGAGACTTAACTGTGCTCAACAAATTTCGTCTCCGTTGCATCAGACGAGATGCTTGCGGCACCAGTCTTCCTCTTCTTGGCAATGGTAAAGCCACCCAACAAGAAGAACACCAGCCCCAAGCCCAAAATAACCCCAAGGGTAACCATAGCACCAATAACACCGGCAACAGCATTGGAGATTCCGTTATTGTTGCTGTCCGTCGACTGAGCACCGGCAGAGTCCGAGGACGAGCTGGCACATTTTCCATCGGTGTTACCGCAGGCGCTGCACCACTCCTCCGTGGACATGACCGCGATGTTCTTGGTCTGCTTCTCGAATTCCGACCAGGGGATGGTGGCGCTCGATTGGCCGTAGAGGGCGAACTCGGTCGGCTCGTCAGAGCTAGTGATGGTGCCGTTGTGGAAGATGAAGCGCACGGAGATGTCAGCGGGGTCGGGGAACCCGCTGGTGGAGTCGGTGATCAGCTCCCATGCCATTGAGGAGGCGTAGTCAGGGATGCCGGTGAAGTCGGTGTTGGCTGCGGGGAGCTGGGCAAGCCCAAAGTATGAAAGGAAAGTGCCGTAGGAGCCGAATTGGATGTTCAGCTTGGTTTTGCCCTGCGTGCTGATCGTCTCGCGGAGGCCGTCGAGCATCTCTCCCGCGAGCTGGGCACCGGCAATGGCCCGGACGGTCTCTGTCGAGTTGTAGGCCAGGTTGTACTGCTCGATGTTGGCCAAGGTGAGCAGCTGGTGGAACTGCGCGTCGGTGGGCATGTTCTCGGTGCTGGTGTTGTGGATTCTGGCTACATTGAGGTAGTCGAAGATGGGGTAGGCGTTCTTGAAGCTAATGTCAGATGTGGGGAACTGGCCCTCTAGAACTGGCGTGAATGATGTGTAGAAGTCTTGAGTCGAGGCCAGAAGATCCTTGTACAGTGTCGAGCTGTAGTAGCTGTTGCTGCTGACCTTGGCCTTCTGGCACTTGGTAGTGGCTTGGAGCCATGTGTTGTCCTCGCTGTTTGTTCCGCTGGTGGTGAGCGAGAGCGGGACCAGCTGGTAGCCGTTCAGTGGGGCATCAACTGTAGTCCCGTTGGCCAATTCCTGGCTGGCCATTGTTCCCACTGGAGGGTAAACACCCTGCAGGAAGCCGGTGGCCGAGTTCTGCAACACGGCATCAGATGGAGCAGCTGCACTAAGCTGCTTGAGATTGACGATATCCGTGCTGATACCGTCAATTTGAAGGGAGGAGTTCGAATCGATGTAACGACTATGGTAGTAGCTACCGGTCATGAACACCTCACTGTACCCCAGGTCCGTAAGCTGGGTGTTGCCCTGAATTTTCGGGGTACGATCTCCGTGGCGGGCAAAAATGTATACACCCAGCACTCTCTCCGCAACCGCGAAGTGAGCCGCCTGGGGCATGGCCAGCATGGCCAGCATGAGGTAGTCTCGCGATGAAGTCCACATTTTGCAGGAAGAATGCCAAGCCTGGAAGCAATTGATCACTAACTCGTTCGCTAAGGCATGGGAAAGGTACGTTAATTATATACTTCGCAGGGTTACTTCCGAGGAGGGACACTACTGCTACTACGAAAACCTGAAGGAGTACCCCGCACCTATACGGACATATTGACGACCTCGTCCGTGGAGCACTAGGTCACTAGCTATATGGTCAAAGACTATTTTACCCTCGCACACCAGTAGCAGTTCTAGACGTTATGTCTGGTGCATAACCGATATTGTTGCCAAGCCTAGACGCCTTGGCGTGTCTCTGAGAAGGAAACAGGGCGGCGCCTCTCCGACCACCCGCTCTATCCCAGGCAATTGCTAAACTCAATGCAGAGCTTGGAGGAAAGGTCTAGCATTCCGCCTACCGTGGGTTATAACACGAAGGGAAGCTTAAATCAATATGACTGGCTGGAATACCCATCCTGACTGTTTCCGGCAAGTCTAACTGACCAATAATTCACCCCTGCCTCACACCAAACATCATTGACTCTACACCGGGTATGATAGGGTTTGTGTGGCAGTCCAGGGTGCACTGGACCCTTGTAGTCAGGTAGAGCTAGTTAAATAGACTAGTCACAGGGTACGAAGGTCCAGATGCAGGGTTCTCGTTAAACCCAGTGCCGCACAGGTAATGACGTCGAGGGCAACCTTGCCACCAGGTAATTGGATGCTGGCATATTCACGAAATGCACACTCCTCGGGGCATGATCTGTTAATTGAATAGATGTTACTAACCTGCACTACTACTTCTTGGCTCCTATTATACTCTCAAGAAGGCTCTGATGTCTACAATTGCATTGTTATATTCACAGGGAAAACACAAATGCGGACAAACCCACATTCCATCTGGTGACAGCGGAGTTTATTCATATGACAAGTTTGACAGCATCATTTGAACACTGCTGAGTTTATACTCTAATCTTAAAATGGCCCGCATGCGTAAACAATCGACATCATTGCTGCGAGACTAGATTGCCCTCCCCATCCCAATCCTTATTTGCCCTCCACTCCCCGTCCTCCGGTTTGCTACCCACGAACTCCTCCCGTTTCCAGATCTCCGCCTTTGCCTTGCACTCATCCAGGATCTCTTCGCCGGCTCTCCAAGCCGCACGTCTATGCCCTGAGCTGACAGCAATTAAAATCGACGCCTCCCCAACGGCCACTGTCCCCAGCCGGTGCGAAATGCTCACGGCGATGAGCCCGTGTTTCTCTTTGCTCTGTCGCGCGATGTCTGCCAGGGTCTTTAATGCCAATGGCGGGTAGGATGTATAGCTGAGCTGAGCGACGGCACGCCCGTCGAATGTATTGCGCGTAGTCCCTAGGAAAAACACATTTGCGCCTGCTGCGGGGGAATTGGTGTAGGATAATGCTGTGTCTGCACTGAGGGGACCGTATGTCAATTCGATATGGATGTTCTCATCGGGTAGGGTGACGGTGCGTGGAAATGTAGACCGGTCCAGGTGCGCGGGGGTCGAGTCTTTGGTTTCCGACGGTATCGATGGGTATGACACTCTACTTGCTGCTGCTGAGACGTCCATCTTGAGGAAGTGTAATCTAACGTGGTGAAGATATATATCCCAGTGTGAAAGTCCTCGATTGCTATGCTTATGATCTTACAACCCGTAGTACACTCCTTTGGACCATTGCAAGCTGCCTATCTATCACAAACAGACCCAGGACACGGTAAGATAAATCGCCCAAGGGCAGTGGATCTATGCGCAACGCTGAAGAGGGGCAATTGTTCTCGATCGTATCTGCAAAGTAGGGTTGGTTCGACCTACTAAACCGGTGGGGCAGCACCACCCCCGCGCTAGGCCGTTCTGGGAACAACTAATCGGCCAATCACAGAAAATCAATTCTGATGCATGTCAACCCTCATTCGGACGCATTGTTGGCAGGCTAATGCAGTCGGGGATGATCGCTTGAACATGTTTTTCTTCAACGCCTCGGAGATTTCACGGTCAAAGGTCGTACTTAATCCGGATTATGTGGTTAAATATGGACGTTAATGAGGTTACATTTGCGCCTTGCTGTTGATCTCCCGTCCCACCCTTGAACGAGTCAAATAGAAGCATTGTAATGGACGCACGATGACAGAGGAAATTGGGAGACCAGTGGGGCATCTTGGGCGTTGAGCTCTCCACTGCATCACATTCAAGGGTGGCTTTGTAATTATAGAGCAGGAATCATGGGCTGACAAAGTGTAGCCTGGAGTAAGGCCTTAGATGGTCTCCTGGCCATGTCAATATAGAGTGGCTGCTTTCTCGTAATCATTCTGCGCCACTATCGGAGTCTGCCATACCCGACGTCCACTGATAACCCTGGTCAATCATGACGAGCACAGCGTTACAACCCGCAATACTGATCGTATCAGACACTGCCTCGGAGGATCCGTCGACAGATAGGGTCGTGGATGCCTTAACACCACTATTACTAGCCACAGACCAAAGTCCCTGGAAGACTCCGTTCACCAACATCGTCCCCGATAATATACTCGATATACAAAGGAGCATATGTGACTGGACAGATGGGCAAGATGCTGTGAACCTAGTGCTCCTCAGTGGCGGCACCGGGTTCACTACTCGAGACAACACGCCCGAGGTTCGTTGAAACACTGGCAACGTTAACACTGCCCCGACTCTGATACTCTGTGACGCAGGCGGTAGCTCCTCTTCTCCACCGTCATGCTCCTGGACTTGTGTATGTTTGGTCTCCGATGTCTTTGACGGCCGGCGCTGACATGCAGCAACAAGGCATGGTATGCTGGATGCATCGTTGAAAGTCACACCATGTAGGCCTAAGCGTAACCCATCTACCTTTCTGGGAATAGGACTAATGCCGAGGCCGCAGTTGCGATGATGTCTCGACCTGTCGCAGGGGTCCGGAATGGAACACTGATAGTCACTCTCCCGGGCTCGCCGAAGGGAGCGAAAGAGAACCTGGAAGCTATTGTAAGGCTTCTTCCTCACGCGTGCAGTCAGGCAGCCGGCGCAAACTCCCGACTTCTGCACGCTGGCGGCATGCAGAAACTCGAAGCAGAAGCCGGCGTCTCTGTGGGAAATAATCAAAGGAGTGGCGCCGAGGATTCGCATAGCTATCAACCGCAACTGGGACATAGTGACTGCGGACATGCCCGGCACCACGGAAATAAGACGGCAAAATCGAATGACACGAGCGAGGGCCCAAGCCGACGGAATCGTCTGTCTCCGTATCCGATGTTGTCCGTTGACGAAGCTCTCTGGCGTATCAGTAACCATACTCCTGATCCTGTCATGGTTGAGGCCCCGGTGACACCTGCCTTGGTAGGGTCCGTGGTTGCGGAGGATGTATACGCTGCGGAGGCTGTACCGGCCTATCGGGCTAGTACCGTAGATGGATATGCTGTGATCGCTGCTAACTTGAATGAAGACAGTACAACTTCTACCACTGGAGGGACCAAGGGCATCTTTCCTGTTGCCTCCGTTGCGCACGCCAATGCCAGTGGCATCGTTCCCCCATTGGAAAGAGGCACCATCTCACGTATCACTACTGGCGCACCGCTACCTCCAAACGCAAACGCAGTGGTTATGGTTGAAGACACTCTTCTGCATGCCTCTACCCCAGATGGTACCGAAGAGGCCACGGTGGAAATTCTAACGGATGATATCAAGCCAAACGAGAACGTACGGCAGCCGGGGAGTGATATTGAACTGGGCTCGAGGATCCTTCGAAAGGGTGATATTGTTACACCCGTTGGAGGTGAAATTGGCCTTCTGGCAGCAACCGGGACAAACACAGTTAAGATTTATAAAAAGCCTTGTGTTGGTGTGATGAGCACCGGAGATGAGCTAGTCGCACATGATGACCCGCAGAGACTTCGTGGAGGCCAAATCCGTGATTCTAATCGGCTTTCCTTGCTGTCCTGTCTGTCATCTTGGGGCTTTCCCACTGTTGACCTGGGCATCGCTCCGGATACCCCTGCCGGAGAGCTCGAAGAGCGGCTACGCAGTGCGGTTAATAGGGAAGAAACTAGCATCGATGTAATCATTACAACAGGCGGTGTCTCAATGGGAGAATTAGACCTCCTCAAGCCAACCATCGAGCGTTCCCTTGGCGGCACGGTGCATTTTGGTCGTGTGGCCATGAAGCCCGGGAAGCCAACGACGTTTGCCAGCATCCCTGTCAAGCGGTCACCATCTCAAACGAATGACGCACCGAAAACATGGGGAAAGAAACTCATCTTCTCGCTGCCTGGGAACCCCGCCTCAGCCCTGGTCGGCTTGCATTTGTTTGTGCTACCCTGTCTGCATAAGCTCATGGGGATGGGTCAGGGAAAACTTGCCTCGGGGACCGGCCCAGTACCGGGACTTCCTGTGGTAACGGTGACTCTGATGCATCAGTTGCCATTGAACCGCGAGCGCACGGAATATCATTGCGCTGTTGTCAGAGCATCCCAAACAGATGGACTACTGTATGCTTGTAGTACGGGGGTTAGCGTTACAGGACAACGGAGTTCGAGGGTCGGGAACCTCGCGCATGCAAACGCGCTTTTGGTCTTGAAACCCGGACAGGGATATATTGAGAAGGGCACACTGGTAGAGGCCTTGCTTATGGGCCCTATCCGGTCAGGGGTATAAGGATGTTTGGAATTTTGGAATTTTGAAGGTTTTATAGATTTACTGCAGTACTATAGTGGCGCAAAGAAGATGGCTGGTTCGTTCGTTCATTCCGAATCGTTTGTTCATTTTTCTGGTCTGAAGAACACATATCAGTGTCCTATGGTATGCTTGGCGTTATATCAAAATGAAGCCAAGCTCTGGAGGATTCGCTACCGTCAACCTAAATCCCAGCCACGAGCCTGGCCAAGTAAATCAAGCAGTTCAAGAGGACAGGTGGCCAAGCAGCCAATCCAACTATCTGTATACGCGATGACGAGACAGAACAATACTTCTACTATCATTTGTTCGCAGCATCAGGGCGTGCCGTGTCGAGCCATCTGAAAACTCCCACCAAATTTGACACGACGCAGCAATGATTCGTTCCATAGTATTGCCGAAGACGGAAAAGACGCCAGATTAGAGCGACTCCACTTGGGACATATTCGCAGTCTTAGCTTCACGCTTAGGGTCTGTGCTCTGCACCCTCTAGCCCTCTTGCCCGGAGGTGCAATCAGCGTCCGCGGAGATAAAACCGGAGGAGTTGCTAATTTGCTAATTGAGGTGGACAGTATTACTATCCAGCGGTTGGACACCAAAATTGCACGTTTCTGCCAACCGAGAGAAATTTATTTTGTTGATCCCACGCAGCTTCGGTAACCAGGTCACCCCACGACCAAAAAAAAAAAAAAAAAGGAATCTCTTTGCTAACTAGTCTAGGGATAAAACCTATGAGCTACCAAATAGGCGAGAAACCCGCGAAGAAATAAATTCACCAACCATGGCTCAAGCTGCGGCCGGGGCCTTCCACGTTCATTACTTCGCCAGCGCATCGAGCTATACGGGCCGCCAAACAGAGTCACTGCCCGCACCACTTCCGCTGGCGGAATTGTTCGATGTCTTGGAATCCAAGTATCCTGGGATTGAAGCAAAGATTTTAGCGAGTTGTGGGGTTAGCGTTAATGTGGAATACGTGGATGTGGAGGAGGAGAAAGCGAAACTCCGCGATATGGCAGCTGCCCAAGAGGGCCAAAGCCAGGACCTGGTGATTATCAAGGACGGCGATGAAGTGGCTATTATTCCCCCCGTTAGTTCGGGGTAAGTCTGTAACTAGTTCGCTTTAGATATGAGAGAAATGAGACCGTTTCCCGACGAAGACATGCCTCCAGTCTTGACTCGCATAGTGAGCATATCCAGCACCAGATTTACATAAAATCGAGAGTCATGGCTATCAAGGCATTGCACGATCGGCCCTGACATACTGCAGCCAGACCAACGTAAGTCACGAAAGGCCATAAGGCATGTATGCAAGAGAGCACAAGCCGTCCCGGTTTTCGGCCCGAGCTCTGACTCCACCACGGTAACTGCGAGCAATGTGTCTAGCTGGCGTTGGCTTATCGGGATAGCCGATAGCTATATTTTCCCCCCTCCGGTAGGAATGTTCAGGTTGGGTACGGAAAACCCCCTTCTCACCAACTGAGGTTGTATCCGTCTTGCTTTCTTAGCCCAGGAGAGCAACGGCCCCATAACGACAAACAAGAATACTCATGTAGGAAACAAACCTCGAATGGTAACATCATGTACCAGCCAAGGAAGAGCTTAACCGCCACCCTGCCTGTGGACCCGAACTTGTTAAATTGCTTGATTGCACGGCTTCTTATCGTCGGTGGGGTTCGTAGCCCTAGCCCGGAGACCGCCCGAAACCGAAGCCTTTACTAGTTGCAGATGCAAAATGATTTAAATCTCGATCAGCGTCGTGCTCACCGTCCGGCTTCTACACATTCTGGACTGGCCTTGAGATCGGGTCACGGTGTGTGGGAGTCCGCCTGTCATAGTTCACCATGACCGACGATCCAGAGAATGGAATGGCAGACGCCAGGGCCGATGCGCCCGTGGAGGCAGGAAAGGAGCATGAGGCAACGCAAACCACCGTCAAGGAAAGCACACTGGTCTATGACAACAATTCTCCCGACCCTAGCAGGCGAGATTCCTATCGCCCCACGAAACTGCAGAGTAATTTGACCATTGTTAGCTGTGTGAGTCGGATCTTGCCCGCAGTGATGCACAGAGCTCTAACTGATAATTCATGCAGTACATCGCCAATTTCAGCGACGGGTTCCAAAACAGCCTTGCCAATCCTACCAATGTGATCTTCAAAAAGCTCCTAGGCACCGATGGGTATCCCTCGGAGATGCAGACGCGTATTAGCAATTCGCTCCTAATCGGCGCCATCTTGGGTGTCCTCGCCCTGGGATACACATCGGATATGTTTTCCCGTCGAGCAGGGTTACTATTCACCTCTGGTCTCGTGGCGATCGGAACTCTGATGTCGACGCTTGCGCTCCAAGTACACCCGACGCACAACATGCTCTGGTACTTTGTGATAGTGCGAGGTATCGCTGGCTTCGGTGTTGGGGGCGAGTATCCCCCCAGCGCAGCAGCAGGAATCGAGGAATCAGACGACGTAAGGCAGACACCCGTTATACCCACTCACGCAAGTGATAAACTAACATTGATTAGTTTAAAAGAAAATACCGTGGACCACTGTTTGTTTCCTTCACGACGCTGATGGCGACCTCGCTGCGCCCATCCAGATGATCGTGTATCTCATCTGTCTCATTGCCAGCAATGAGAACCTCCCAGTCACCTTCCACGCCATATACTCGATTGCTACGATATTGCCAGTGATAATCATGGTTCTGCGTTTCTTCATGACCGACTCAACCCTATTCCACAACTCGAACTTCAAACACCAGAAACGTCCGCTCAAGTTCTACCTGCTCCTCTTGAAACGCTATAGATGGCGTCTTTTCACCACTTCCCTCGCATTCTTCCTTTATGACTTCATCAACTTCCCCAACAGCATCATGTCCAGTACCATCATCAACTCCCTCGTCAAGGACCACAACATCCGGACCACCGCAATCTGGCAGGTCATCCTTGGCGCCCTCCCAGTGCCCGGCGTCATCGTAGGCGCATGGCTCACCAATGCAATCGGACGCCGATGGACCGGCATTCTCGGGTTTGCCGGCTACATGGTCCTTGGGTTCGTCATTGGCGGCACATTCCCTCACCTCTCAAAGAATATGCCCGCATTCGTGGTCTTGTACGGACTGCTACAAGCCTTGGGCCACATGGGGCCTGGTGCAACGATCGGATTGATCTCAACGGAGTCATTCCCCACAGCCATGCGTGGAATGGGGTACAGTATTGCTACTGCATTCGGGAGAACGGGTGCCGCGGTTGGGACGCAGTGTTTCACGCCGTTGCAGGAGAGGGCGGGCAAACAGTCGACTTTCTATCTAGCGGGTGGCGTTGCTATCCTTGGAATGATTGTGTATTGGTTCTTGCCGGAGAGTAGTGAGTTGAACTTGGAGGAGGAGGATCGGGAGTTGAGTCAGTTCCTGGCTGAGAATGGCTTTCCGATGGAGAAGGCGTGAGGGCCACGTGCTATTATTGATAACCTGGTGTCAATATAAAGACATGGCCGTGTAAGCGGTTCGCTGTCTTCAGAGCCAGCTGACTCTCATTACGTTTTGCTATGTCGATGTGCCTTTCACTGAATAGTGAGTAATGGTATACCCGCTAGATCAAAGATAGAGCAGCATATATCTGTCATATACCTTTAGCTAATCAAGACATCGTCTTCAATAATCATACAAACTTAACTAAACTGCCATTGAATAGAAAGTGATTTTCCAAGTAACGCATACAAGCAACTACCTAGTGGGCCAACGTGCGGATATACCTGCGTTACATCTAATAATGCCCTCCACCACCTCTCAGCCACCCCGAGATGTCACTCCTACTCCCTCCTCCGCACACGAATCGTAACATCCAGTGGAGGAAAAATCGTCTGACCAAGAATGGCGTTCGCCGGCCTCTTACCCAACGGCTCGATATCATAATTAATCAATATATACCCAATGATAAGCTTCATAGCATGCGCCGCAAACCAGCGACCAGGGCTACACACAAGTCAATCACCATCCTTCTACCAACAATATTCCGAACCAATGGAGTGGGTAAACCACTTACCAAGAATGCCGCCCATGCCCAAAAGCCAAGAACTTCTCACTCGTCACCGGGATCATCATCGCCTTTGATTCCTGTGTTTCATTATCCGTAGCAAGGAAGCGGAAAGGCCGATACTCGTCCGGATCCTCATACGTCTGGTCATCCCGATGAACGCCGACCGCGGCTACAGCAAGCCAGGTACCATGGGGCAGGAACTGCCCGTCAGGAAGCGTGATGCCTCCTTTTTGGACCACTCGTCGGGACAGCATACGATCGGATAGTGGACTGAGACGGAGACTTTCCCGAATGGTGCTTTCCATCTGCGGCATTGATTGGGAGATGGGCTGGGATTTGTCCCGGTTTGCGAATGACGCTGTGGCTTCTTCGCGTAGGGTTTGGTAATATCGGCAGTCGGGGTCGGAACTGAGCAGGTCGAGGAAGAAGTTTGCTGTCATGGCTATGAGCACGTCGACGGGGAGGAATACCTGTGCATTAGCTTGTTAGTATGACGTTTATGTTATCATGGCAATAAAGCCCCACGGATAGATACACACTTACAATAAGGGTGAGCCGAACTATGAGACCGCTGATGTTTAATTTTCGCGTCGGATTCTGGCTCATGGCCAGATCAACCATCCATGTAACCATGTCTGCTGGCGGATTCCCGTTCTTGGTTCTCAGGCATTGTATGCGTTCTGTGAATGTCGGATGCAGGTAGATGATGAGACGCACCCAGTAATAATAGATGGGAAGTCCGGCAACGAGACCCAAGACGGATTTCAGTGGCCAGGGCACAAATTGAGACACGAAAAGCATCATGGCTCCAGCGACACGCGTAAAGGCCTTTACATAGTAGACAAATTTCCGATTCCTGGAGAGAGAGACACCGAAGAAGAGCCGAAGGCATATCCCGAAGATAATGCTGTCCAGGACTGTAGTCAGGTTAACTTCTTTCCATGCAGTGTCGCCGGGAGGGCCGAGTGCTTCATCCGTGGTATATCTCAGCTCATCGAGAAATGCGTCTTCAGTATTCGGGATATTCCGGGTAAGATCGTTCCTGATAGCTCTAATCAGTTCAAGATGGTCGTAATTGTCGAATGCCGGGGCAAGGAATGGGAGCGCGTGGACATCTTCGTTGGCCTTTTCGTGGGACAGGACGTTTTCTGGTTGACTCAGGAGCCATGGGATCTGCTCCGGTGGTAGCAAGACTTGGGGATAGAAGCTTGGGTTGCATAGTGCGAATGGCTCTGCTTTTGTGGAGAACTACAATCTCGCAGAAAGAGAACTCGTCAACATGGAAATAGAGAACGGTTCAACACATGTGCCAACCTTTCTATAGCCATCCTCACTAGATCTGGAGCCACTGTATTCCTGGAGGGATAATCTAAGAGCAGAAAGAGGTCCACTTGGAATTGAGGGCCACCATCGCATAGATGACGGCAACCTGAGATAGCCAAACCAAGGACATAGTATAACAAAAACCAGTACACAAAGAGAGGCGACGAGCATTTGCGCCGTTAAGCTGGTTGCCATGTTTTCGGCCTGCATTCTAATTGTGGGTGGGAATTCTCAATCTCGATGGAGCGTTTTGCTACTGAAGGTTGATGTAAAAGGGCATGGGCCTACGTTGGATACCATCCTCGACGAAAGAATCTTGGCCACCAGGAAGACAGCCCAACGTCTAGAACATGTCACTCCGGAACGTCTAAGGTTGAAGTAAGCTGACCCGTTCCCTGGAATGACTTGCCAGCTGTATTCTAAATGTGGCGCTCAGACTCAGGCATAATCATATATTACCAATTACTCCATACTACGGTAAAAAAAAATGAACGTGTCTCTTGCATCGGGGCTTTGGTCAGAATGTGTCAAATACGAACATGCAGTGTGATTGCCAAGATCTGCAGCCAATTATGTATACACAAAATAATAGGCATCCAATGACTAGAAAGTTTTTGTGATGCACTGATACAAGGCTTGAACCAAATACTATACGACCTAAAGACACGTAGGAAAAGAGAATGAGTCTGTGAGTGAAGGAAAAAGATGTGCATATGACTGAATTTGGCATGAGAAAGTGGGTGCATTCCAGCCAGCCTGGGATATCCTGCACTTGTCACATATTGAATGGTACTGTGAAGCATTACATTCGTTGTATTTAATGAATGCGGTAGAGGTATTAAAGAGGCTCAAGGGCATAACATAGACCAGGAACCCTTGTCCAGTCTCGCATAGCATCCACAATGGCTGATGAGCAGTACAGCCTCGTCGCTGCGGTCTTTAAATCGGCCTCGGCAGTTACCTGTATCGCTGTGTCCGTTTTCCTACTGTGCCCATGGATTGCTTATGCTAGATTACCGTCGTCTATAAAATCGCCAATCAATGGAAGAGGGCCATTATCAGCACTGCGGGCATGCTTGAATGAGATCACCGCCGGAAACAAAACCTCCACAAAAGGATACGAATTAGTGCGTCCATCTAACTCTTCCATGCAGGACAAGGCTTACGCTAACATTGCCGGGCGTACAGTACTCCAAAAATGGACAATCGTTTGCAATGCTGAACATCAACTTTCGCCCTCAAGTTATCCTACCTCCGGAGCATGTGCGCTGGCTGGTCACCCAACCAGAAGATATCCTGTCTCATGCCAAGGCCAGTGACGATGCTGACGCGCTGGGGTACATCTGGCCGTTGTTCGATGCATCAGCTTTACACTCCTTCGGAAAAGTCCTCCAGAGTGATCTCACTCGAAATGTCGTACAGACAGAGGAGGATGTCTTAGTAGAAGTGCAGCACATCATGGATGAGCTTGTTGGTCAGACAGAATCTTGGAAAGAAGTGAATATAGTTCATGTGTTCGAAAGGATCATGTACCAGGCGACGCAGCGTGTTTATGTGGGACTTCCTCTCTGTCGAGATACTACATATAACAAATGTGTGAAAGGATATGCCCGCTCCCTGGGAACGGCCATGGTGTTCGCGGCTCAGCTTACACCTTGGCCCCTCAGACAGGTTACAGCCCTGCTCGCAGGTCTGCCAGTTTACTATTATGTCCTTCGGGTCCGATCTTACCTTTCCCCGCTATTCAAGGAACGGATGGAGCGGCTGAAGGCGAAAGAAGGGACAAAGGGTAATTTACTAGAAGGCGAACCAGGGAACCTGATTACCTGGATGTCAAATAGCGTGATTGCCGGGGTCGGGCCCAAGTCGGTCAGCCCCAGCGCAATGGTAACATGGCTTGGAATATTGGTACGTAGTCCAACCTAGTGCCATCCTGATCCCCATCGGCATACTCCCAGAACTGAACTGATTGCACACAGGCCCTCCTACCAACAGATAATCTCTGGACTACATGTACAAATGTACTTCTTGATCTGCTTAGCTCTGAATCAGCGCACGCTTACCTTGATACCATCCGCGAGGAAGCCAAGTCAGTATTCTCTGCAAGCAAGGAGTCTGGTCAGCCGGTATCACACGGATTGAATCATATCGACAGCGCCATTCGGGAAAGCCTGCGGATGAATTCGCTATCCCTGAGATCCCTCCATCGCCAGGTTGTACGTCGTGGGGGGGTTGTGCTACCTGACGGCCAGAGGGTCCCTACAGGGACTTGGCTGTGTATTTTGTCCGGCAGCATTCAGAGAGACGACGACTTCTATGATGATGCACAGACCTACAGGCCCTTCCGTTTCATTCCAAAGCTGACTGGGGCTGGGAGCGGCAAAGCACCGATTTTGCCTTTGACGAATGAGAAGTATCTTAGCTTTGGGCATGGGCGACATGCATGGTGAGGAGCTAGGTTTGTTATTCCACTTTCACTACGCTAACTATCTCTTAGTCCCGGTCGATGGTTTTCGTTCCAGGTGATGAAGATCGTGATTGCATACATCATCGTCAACTATGACATCCAGCCACTGGAGAAACGCCCGGACAATATGGTGTTTGCAGATCTCAACATACCCCACCTATGCCACATTGTTCGGATCAAGGGGAGAGCATGAACCCGGTTGTGCTAGGCCATTATTGGGAGAGTGCAGTTGTTGCACAAGGTAGCAAGGGGGCAATAGACAAGAGAGGTTCTTACGTCTTCTTCACCCCGACTTTCCGATGTCAAATGCTTTTGCGTAGATTCCGATAGGCTGTAGAGCAAGGAGAATAGCAGAGCCTTTCATTGTTATATGATCGTGCATATGGCAACGTGATATAACGAGGTGGGGGGTAAAGTCTCGATCGTACAGCAGTAATTATGGTTACAGCGCATATTCGTATCCGGGTAGGCCTATCCTATACAAGGAATGCCTCAGGGTTCAGGTTTACGATCCCCCGCCTTAGCCTGAGGTCTTGGAAACAAACCTTCAGCCTCTGTGCAATGTAACGGCGCCCTCTAGAGCCCTTTCGAAGTTGGCTATACTTTTACCGACAAAACCCTCCGACCTGAATATGCTTGACCCATGGACAAGCCATGTGAATAGAATCATAAGATGCATTTTATACGAGGCCGCTGAATTACGTGCCGAGAATTGAATTCAAAACTTGCAGGTGGCAGTGTCTTACGATAGCAACCGGGTTGCCTGGATCTCAATATGATCGGCAGCCGATGTAGCACACGGTATCCATGGGTCGGAATATGCCAACTGCATGGTCTTTCCGGTTGAAGCCGGGAAGTACTTGGTCCTCCAACCAGACCCGTATTCTAGTTTTTGTAAGGGCTAGCCGTGATATAAAGCATTGTAAGCACAAGACCTGATGTGTGAGGTTTCACAAGGGGACTCCATTTGGTAGATGATATTAAAAAGCCAGCGCCTCAAAGTACCATTGAGGATGAAATTCAATCCAGTATGGGATTAGACAAAACAGGAAACATGGACATATACACTGCCACTAATGCATCCACAATCACAGTAATAACCACTAACTGCGGGTCAATGCTTATTCGGTGGGTCTATGTGATAAGATGCATGGTAGCGGAACATTAAGGTCTAACTCAACGGTGGTCTTCTGTGCTAGGTGTAGTTCGCTGTCAGACTCGGACCTCGTATCCTCCAATAGGACCACACAGGAGCATTGGATACGAACACATCTGGACCCTTGGCGCTTGAGTTCCGGCCGATCGCTACGGGTCTTACTAGGAGTACATGAAGACGGACGAATCTATGACATCCGACCATGATTGTGTGACAGATGGTGTGAACTTTCCTGACCTGTCCTGCTCAGGTCTGGATATACACGTAGGATGGCACATAGCATACTACTAGTGGCTTATATTCAGCTGGTGGTTTTGCCGGGCCGGATCCATAATGACAGCATAGGCCAGACGAAACATCTATAATTGGATAGAGTTTTATTTGACAGCTTCAAGGCAATCATGGGCACTGTACTACTGTCTGCAGGGTTGTCCCAATAAAGGTCAACATCACAGTTAGTCATAATCATTCGATACAATAATCAACGAGGTAGCTCGGGCCTCATCAGCAGCCCGGTACACAATCCTTAGCAAGGAGTCCAGAGATCACGAAGAGCAATAACCTAGTTTGCAAATCTCGCAGCAAACCACTCACGCGCAGAAGTCAAGTTGTGCTGTTCTTCCGGCCGACCCAACTTCGACGCTGTGATCTGCTTCAATTGCCTGGCGGTATCGACCTCCGTGTCTTCCAGCCCGAAGTACCGGCCGCCCGTCAGCTGCGTGAAGCCAAACATGAGCTTCACGTCCTCAAGCTCCTGGATTCCATGCGTATCAAAGGCCTCCCACGTCGGTAAGATGGGCTGGAACCGCGCTTTGTGTCCTGTAACCGCGGTGAAATCCGCCACGATCTGTTCAAAACTGCGGATGTCGCTGACACCGTGAACGAAGTGACCGTTCCATCGACCAGGGTCTAGGAAGATACCATGAACGATATCTCCGAAGTCGTCTGAGATGCTCAACCATGGAACATGCTCATCTCCACCCCAGTATGGCACTTTGAAAGTAAGGTATCCGTCGTCATCAGTGAAATGGGGAAATCCTCCGAACATAGGAGCGACCTCTTTGCCGAGGAAGTTTTCTAGAAACCACCCGGCGCCAATAGGGGTAAAGGTCTCGAAAGATTCAAGGGTCTTTGCGTAATTCTCAATCTTGTTCTTCACTGCTCGGGGGTTATTCTGATTGCTCCGGTCCACAGTCCTGTGATGATGGGGCCTTACTGTCCATTGCCTTCATTCGTACTCGGCCATTCGTCATCTCCGTGCAAGGGGGGCCAGAGCTAAATACGAGATGCTTCACGCCCGCCGCCACAGCGGAATCAACGATTATCTTGCCCATGTCGAACTCTGTTGGCCCATCTTCAGTAGCGAAGACCTTAATACGTCTGTTAACAGCTCAACTCTGTCGAGCTAACATAAGCCATACCTACCTTGTCATCAGAGTTGATGTTGACAAATGCTCCCCAAGAGCCACTAAATGCTGACAGCATGTCGTCGCTAGTAAATCCGTTTCCTTGAGCAATCTCGGCGCCGAGGGCAGCAAGCTTTAGGCTGGCATCGGACTCAGCGTTTCGAGTAATTACACGTACTCTAAAGTCCGGGTTTTGAAGCAGCGAATGAGCCACGGAACCACCCTGCTTGCCTGTACCCCCGAAGATGGTGATGAGCTTACGATCTGAGCTCATGATGAGATGGTGTCAGGGAGTCGCTGTATTTAGTTGATAAGGCCTCGTAAGGAATTGGTAGATATTATCAAAAGAACAGGAGGACTGAGTTGGTTACCGAAAGGCGAACTTGCGCATCTGGGCCTGACTTTATAGATAACTGTCAACCATATAACGCGCGTTCTGGGCAGCAGGCAGCACCATTACGCAATGAACGGCGACATCAGTCGAGTTGCGTTAAGCACATCCTGGAGCATCTTAGTTTGGGTCGTAGGACGCAGCTCGTGTCATCGTCTAATTAGGTTGGCATCACACCCTCACATGCAGGGATAGTCGGCCCTCACATTTGATACCGTTTCTCATTGGTTTGTAGTGCTTCTTTCCCACAATCCCACACCATGTACCCATCATAAATAGCACTATACAACGGTTTCCCATGTAGTATGAGACTTCCTAACTTCAAGATAATGTCTCACCTGGGCTGCCTGATGGGTTGGACCCCTTGCGCTCGGGTCTTCTCTCGGTTCATATGCAGTAATGCAGCACTGCTGACAATCTTAGCAAGGCTGTGAGTGTAGGAGGTGACAAAGCATTGCATGGCGTATATAAACAGCTCCTTCCAGGGTGACTTGTGTAGCTCAACTTCCTTCTCTACCTATCAAGAGAATACTCTATTACCGACCCAAACAGACGCCCCCGATGCCTTCTCAAATATTGACCCATGAGGAAGAGTACGACCTGGCTGTCCGCCAGGGGAAAGGCCTTGCCCAGCAATTCTTCGATCATGTTTTCCTCAACCCTTCCGCCGTTGCTCTGGTGGATGGTGATACCAATTTGACGTACCAGGACCTGCATGTGCGGGCTACAGTGCTTGCTCGAGAACTCCAATGGGGAAATCTGCATTTACAAGAGCCTGTTGGTGTTGTCGTGCAACATGGAATTTCAGATGTGGTTGCTCAAATGGCTATCCTGTATGCAGCGGGTACATGTGTTCCCATGGATCCAACTCTGCCTGACCTGCAGATCAAGGGTCGGCTAGACAGATTAGAGGCAAGATATATCCTCGTCGACCAAGCGAACCAGCATCGCGATCTGCCGTTCTACTCCTTAGTCGTCGATGACTCAAACGCGTCGTTTGCCAAGAGCTCCTGTGTCTCGGACAGTGACGAGCCTATGCAGACCACCCTGGAGCATCGCACCCACATCATACATACCTCCGGCACTACCAGCGAACCCAAGGCCGTTCAGATCGCGGCACGCTCTATCCTGCAGGTGGTCTTCCATGCACCGTTCCAGCCTCTGTACCCCACAGATAGAGTGGCCCATGTCAATAACTCAAGCTTCGATGTCTCCCTTTTTGATATCTGGGCACCACTGTTACGCGGAGCTTGCATTGTGGTTGTGAGCAAAATCACCCTGCTCGATCTGGAGGCCCTGGCAGCCTACATCGATCAGCAGAGAATTACGGTAATGGCCACTACCACCGCCATTCTCAATTTGGCGGCGTCGGTATACCCTCGTGCGTTTGAGAAGTTACGATTATGTTTCATCGGGGGTGAAGCTGCCAATATCCCGGCAATTGAGGCCGTTTTCCAAGCAGGCCCGCCAACGCAACTCATCAACGCGTATGGTCCGACCGAGTGCTGTATATTCTGCCTTGCACACAGAGTGACCATCGCCGATGTCCAGGCCGGAGCAGCCAGCATCGGAAAGCCAATCGGACGGACTGTAGCGTATATTTGTGATGAGGCTGGCCAGCCAGTCCCAGATGGCCACGAAGGTGAATTGCTTATTGGTGGCGCGGGTGTCTCACCAGGATACATCAACCAGCCAGACAAGAACAGAGCTTCATTTGTGGCTATTGAAGGTATCGACTGTGAGAGGTTCTACCGAACAGGCGACATTGTCCGCCGACGGGTGACAGATGGCCAAATTGACTACGTCGGCAGACGGGACCATCAAGTTAAAGTTCGTGGGTTTCGAATTGAGCTCGAAGCGGTCGAGTCTGCGATTATGAAAACTGGTCAGTTTTCTGAGGCAGTAGCGCTGAAGGTTGAAGCAGGCTCTGAAGGAGCAGGTTCGATCCTGGTTGCCTTCGCAGTTGCCCTCTCTGGAACCAAGCCTCACGCGGTCCTGAGTGCCGTGGATATGCTTAAAGCGGTCCTGCCGGACTACATGGTGCCTAAGATTGAGCTCATCTCCAAAATGCCTGTCAATAGCCATGCCAAAGTTGACCGAAAATACCTCGAGCACCTATTCCGCAACCGGTGGGCCGAACAGCATATCGATATCGACAACGAGGACAGCACTCGCGGGAAACTTGCCAATCTGTGGGCTAGTATCTTGGGTGTACCTGTCCCTGCTTCCAATGACAATGCTGATTTTTTCCTCCTTGGTGCTACGTCCATGCAAGCTTCGTTACTCATCAGTCGCATTCAGAGAGATTTTGATGTTCAGGTGTCTCTTCTGACTCTGTATGATAATAGCAATCTTATTGGGCTTGCTGGTATAATTGAAGAACGCATACACGGCACCCAGGAAAGCTTTTGCAAGGAGTCAGAAAAGCACATGTGGCTTGATGATAGCAAGCTTGCAGACAGCCTAGTTCCACTTGCAGGCCCTCCGGTCGATTGGTGTCGTGACACCGAGGGCCGGGTGTTCTTAACTGGGGCTACCGGTTTTGTAGGCTCATTCTTACTTGCTGACCTCCTGCGTCAGCCGAACGTGCATCAGGTCGGATGCTTGGTACGCGCCGTGGACCCAGCAACTGGCCTTAGGCGTCTACGAAGTGCACTAGCAAAATATAATCTCTGGGAGGACCAGTTTCGTTATAAACTGCTACCCCTCTGCGGCACCCTAGAAGACAAGTATCTTGGGCTGGGCCCGGATCGGTTTGAGGAAATTGCGCACTGGGCCAGTGTTGTCTTCCATCTCGGTGCGCGAGTTAACTACACCCAGCCCTATTCACTGCATCGTCCCGCCAATGTCCAAGGCACCGTTAATGTTCTGCGCCTAGCATGTGCGGGTCGGTCCAAAGCATTGCACTATGTTTCCAGTATCTCCTGTTTCGGCCCGACGGGGTTTATAACGGGCACACGGACCGTTATGGAGAATGAACCTCTTCCGCGACACTTAGAAGCCCTTCCTTATGACCACGGATATGCCCAGAGCCAGTGGGTGGTGGAGAACATGTTGCAACGTCTGATGGATAACGAGTTCCCCGTTGTGGTATATCGACCGGGGTTTATCACGGGACACAGCCAAACGGGCGCCTGTAACCCCGATGACTTTCTCAGCCGGTTGATCATTGCGTGCGAAGAGATGGGATCCTATCCTCTACTTCCAAATCAAAGGAAGGAATTCGTACCCGTTGACTACGTCAATGCCGTGATCCTGCATATTGCCTCCTCAGTGGCTACTGCTGTAGGCCAGGTATATCATATTGTGCCTCCAAACCGGGGCCTGTCCTTGGATATGAATGACTCCATGGAATTGGTTGGCTCTTTAGCCGAGGGAGGAGATTCTTCCGTCCGAGGTGTAAGCTACCAGCAGTGGGTCGAGGAGTTGGATAGACAGTCCCCCGAGCGGCTTCGGCCGTTACAACCTATGTTGACGGAAAAGCTATACCAAGGACTCTCACGGTGGGAGCTGTACGAGAACATGCCCGTGTATGACACCACCAACACGGGACAAGCGCTCGAGAGCTACCCTGGTGGTCTCAAGTTTCCCGTGTTGGATTCTGCCTTGATGCAAAAATATATCCAGTACCTGCAAACTCAGCCAACGTGTCCAAAAGAGGACAATGCATCGAACGGCACGGAGAGCTAGGGAGCACGATCCACAACACTATTGATTGTATTGCCGAAAATTGTATAGATGTTGATCTCGGTTGTATGTTTGCAATGGGCAAGTTATATTTAGTCGGGCTTTGGGGGGAGGTATGTCTTCAGGTATATTGAGTTTTGCTTCAAAGAAACGTCATCATATGGGGCAATTAGGCTTTGTTTTCGTACAGTGCAGTCAATTACAATGTCAATATCACGATCATTCCCCACCTCCCTATGCTGTGGTCTGACCTCAGTCCCTACTCCCGGGCCGTCTTCCACGTGGCATTGAAAACTAGCGATTTTCCACGCGCGGTCTGGGGTTCAACCTCATATTAACCCTCTAAAAATAAATGTAAAATTATTGACATCCGTGCTGAAAACGGTGTCGGTTAACGACTCTCCTAGGTCGAAGCGGGTATGGACTAACGCATGCTGTCAGTAGGGGCAAATCAGGAGGAACCTGGGGACAAATCAGGGCTACGAGCTACTGCAACTGTTCAATCTTCTGTCACACGGTTCCACCTGAGAACACGTATTCGGATTGAGATAGTCACGGAGCCTCCCGTCACATCGGCTGGGTATGGCCGCCGTGGCAGCTGGTATAGCAACAGAGTGGTCTATTCTCGGATCTTGGCGTAATTAGACGGGTTAATAGTCAGTTGTGGAGAGGAAGATCCTATATATAGAAGTTGTCCCTAAAGGGGGATGCAAGCAACGAGAAAGGAGAAGGCGGTGGGCGATGGGCTGACCCGGCATAACTTCCCCAGCGCGTGAGCGGTGAGGCCCATCGACCCAATGACAAACCATGGAAAATCAGACTGCAGATTGGGCTGTGGTCACGGGGGTGGTTGCCTTTTGCCCCTATTCCACTTATTAGGCGCCCGTGGTACCAGATAACCCTAAGTAGGTCCTGGCACACACCCCCCCCCCCCCCCTTCTTCCATGTCCTCAAAATAGACGCTTCAAAGCAGGATCATCGACCACCGTGACAACATTCCTCTACCGTCGATGTGGTTTTCTGCCGACGGAACGATTCAACAATTGGCGTGTACCCTTCACTCGGATTTGCTGATCATGGGAAAGGGTGTCTCACCTTCTCCACCGGACCATTGATCAACGGCGCACTATAGGGATAAATAGTTAGGGTTGCCCCTCATTGACCGTCGTCAGCACCCCACTACTCCTAACTGACTCCAATTATTTGTGTCCATACTCGAAATATGTCAAGTTCCCCCATGTTCCGCGCCATTTGATCCTTTAAAAGCCATTCAGACGTGGCGCGTTCGATTTTCAGGCACATCCAGCGCGTCGCCATGCATTTGGGATTGTCCTCGAGCTTACTCTAATATCTACGTCTCCGTATTCGCGGAGATGACACGGGTCGCGATGGATCAGGACACGGAGAACAAGGTCCTTGTCATCAAGAATATGGACTCGGGATATCTGGTCGCCGGTGAACAAGTCACCCTCGAGGACGTGCCCTATGGCGCGACCGAACCGATCGCCGAGGACGAGTTAATGGTGCAACTTCTCTATGCGACCTACGACCTCTTCAAACGGGACCTGGCCAGTTCCTCGGCTGACGCGACGGAATTGCGGGGCCGCAAGCCGGTCGAGACGATGAGTATCGCGAAAGTCATCAAATCCAACAATGAGCATTTCCAGGAGGGGGATATGGTGATCGCTCGCTTGCCGGTTCAACAATACGCGCTGATTAAAGCCGACGACGTGACCAACTTGAAGCTCCTCGAGAATCCCTACGAGTTCGATGATATTCGGTTATTCCTCAGCGTCCTGGGCGTCCCAGGTCTCTTAGCCTTCTCCTCGTTATACGAAATCGGCCGACCTAAAAAAGGTGAAACGATCCTCATCGTGGGTGCGAGCGACGAAATCGGCCAACTCGTCGGCCAGATGGCTCGACTCGAAGGGTTAAAAGTGTTCGGTAGCGTCGAATCAGATGAAAAACTCGATTTTCTTATTACGGAACTCGGCTTCGATGGAGGATTTAATTACGCCAAGGAGAGCCCTTACGAAGCTCTCCCTCGTCTCATCCCCGACGGCATCGATATATACTATGATAACCTGAGCTGGATGTCCCGCCTGAATATTGGCGGGCTCGATACCCATTTCGACCTTCTTGGTAGCAGACATTTGAATGCTGCATTTGCGTCCATGCGACGGTACGGCCGCATCATGTTCTATGGCACGATCGCCGAACAGACCGTGCTGGACCCTATCATCGGCATGTTTTTGCACAATACTGTTTTGAAACGCCTCACGATCCGCGGATTCGCGCTGTCTGACCCCAGCTTTGGGAAGAAGTGGGGCAAGCTTCATATGGAACGCATGCAACAATGGGTCAAGGAAGAGAAACTCAAGATCCCTACCTTCGAGATTACCGGTATGGAACATGCGGCCAAGGCCTTCGTGGAGGCCTTCTACTCCAGCGAGAATACGCATACGCATACCATCTTAGCGGTTACATGATCGGCGACGTGCTTCTGATCTGGGAAATACACCGTTCGACACCGTTCGCCCGCGCTGCCCTGACAGAGTTGAGGCTGTTCTTTCCCTCATCGTCCGTGTCTCCATTCGCAGCAAAATCCAGGGCATACATGGTCACATGGACCATATGCGACGACTACCTTCCGCAATCATCATGGCTTGCGAGCCAGCTCGACAGCACATCACGTTTTGTGCCATAATGCAGGGGCCTGTAAGGACACCGGTGAACGCCCTCCAGCCCATTGAACCTCTCTCATCCGTTCCCATCTCTCGACATACTTTTCCTTCAATGGGAATTGGGCAATTTGGCCGGTCATCTTTCCTACCATCAAACGGTGGAAAAACAGCGGACCGTTAATAGAACCGCCCCACCGCTCACCGCCTTCTGCCCGACGAAAGCGCTGCCTTTTACCGAACACCAAAAACCCCTGTACCTCACTCGATTGCTCGCACGGGAACGCTAGCTGGAGAAGATTTTCTTACGGTCCTATTACTTTGCCGATACTTTTTTGCGCTTTTTTCTTAGAGGCTTGAATTACACGAAGAGGGGGTGCCTTCATACTAAACAACTCGCGTTCAACCTTGTAAATATACAGTAGGCGGTCAGATAAAAGCTCGGGCCATCACAATACCCGTGAGCCGTGGTTCTTCGGATCCTTTCGGGTACCCAAGCTTACAATTGCCTTTGGTTCAGGGTCTCATCAACCGAGAACTTAATGCCTTTGACCATGTTTTAATCTCACATTAATACGGTCTGTATCTTTGCTATGCGGGCTTACTCATGCGAAAGTTGCAGTCTAGGTTATGGATTAGGAGTTAGAGAATGGGATTACCACACCATGTAATTCGGCAGGATTATATATAATGGGAACTGTACATCTAAGCATCTACCAAAGAGACTAGTTAATACATTAATCCAAGTGCCAAATTCTCGTGACCAAATCCAGGAGCGACATAGAATCCCTTTGCAATTTGCCATCTAGTGGCTGGTCGTCCACTCAGCCGAAAGCTGGAGAAAACTTCACTCGGATGACGACATATAGTGACAGGATTTTCTCAGAAAGGATATCTACTCTGTAGCAGTTTGGCACTAGGAACGGCATGGGAAACCAGGGTTTGGAGAATGAGACAGTCTATTAGACTCTATTGCAACATTACAAGTGGGCCGGTCCTAACCAGTTTTCGATCATTTACCCATGTTACAGAAGCTATCAAGATGCACAAGTTAACTCACCGAGTTCATCTCGTGTGCTTGATGTCGTTGTGCCAGCTCAGTAAGGTTGATGAATCCCACGGCTGAGGAGAGGCTTCATACAGCCGCCGAATTGGACAAATCCTATGAAGCCTTACCAGGATTATGTGATTTGCAGCCTCTGATAAAGTTCTATGAATACTTTGTAAGTCCAATGCTGATGGATGCATTAAATTCTAGGAGGGATCGAATCTTGCAGGCTACTTCGGCTCCTGGGCCTCTACTTCGAGACTTATTCTCCTTAGCCACAACTCATTCTGTTACCTTTCCTTCAATTCATTATTCTATCGTTCCGGTTCATTGAGCTCCAGTATAGGAGTGTCCAGTTATATGGACCCGCTCGTTCACTCCCAGCCATCCCGTGTTGATTGTGCAGAAAGTAAATGAATAACATGTCAAATGTTTGGATATGCGTTGTAGCCAGATGGGGATTTGTTTCAAACTCCTTCGCAGTATGCTTGGGCCTGTTGCTCCTTTATTGAAGCCATTACCTTCAGTGTTTTATCTTCATCATATAATCAGGTTGCTGTGCGAACAATGCCCTTTGATGCTGTGTTTCGGGTGCAGTGGCCATAACAATGAACAGGCAAATATGACATAGCACACGTTCGGTTTTGGAAGGCAACACGTAAAGGGAAATAACAGCATGGCAAACCTATCTACGATGTCCAAGCCGGATTTCTTAGGGGGTGCCTGGTAGGTTTGCGGTGATGATGATGCGAGACCATACATGCCAGGCCAGCAATAAAGGCTCGCAGCTCTCCTTCCATTGAGGTAATGAACACGGCATTAAGAAACAGTATATTAGCATTTTATAAGAGTAGCGACTAAGACAATGGTCTCATCACTCGCCTCAGGGTCCCAGCATGTCTACGACTTTAGCACAACAGCGCCAGATTGAATCCATTGATATGTATTCGAAAAGAGCCTCCGTAGTTAGCTCTGACCAGGGTATATAAAGATCGCTCAAAGGCCAAAGTTGAAACGTTTAAACGGCCATTCTCCTGTTTCATACTAATGATTCAAATGGTCCTCTGCATTCTGAGGCAGTGTGGGTGACGCACGTCTGCCCTGTCCATGAGAGGTATCCCCTATAACCAGTTGGTTTTCTTTATAGACCTAGAGGCTTTGTCCAACATGGTGGCCCTTGATAGCATCGTGGTTATACAAGCGCATGACTTGCCATCCTAACGATTGTCCAATCCAATGATACAAATATATCAACATCAGGGCAAGATTACTGCTGGTTTACTTTCTAGTTTGACCCGTCACGCTACGATCTCCTCTAGTTTCCGAACATCATGGAACGCGTCGCTAACTCTCAGAATAATAACCATATTGATGGTTCGCAAGCTATACAGGATGCCCCGAAGTATGCAATAGTCCAGACTGGGGCTCTCGTGCCGTGCCCAGCGGAACACGTCCAAGTCAGCATTTTCTCCTATACCTGGAGGGACTTTAAGCTCGATTCCCCAGTTACAGAGAGAAAGCACACTATGTGCACACAACACGCACAATTGGTTGGCAAAGCGTTTGTGCAACTCGATACCTGCTTTAAATTCAACGATAGAAATATCATGCCGCAAGAGGATATGAATATTTTGCAGTATTCGTGGTACCAAAGAGCAGCGGTGTGCTTGGTGTATCTCCAGGATGTCACATACGACAAAGACACAGATGACCATGATGCGGTGCTAGAACGACTTGGAAGAGCTCGGTGGCTCACAGAGCCCTGGGCCTTGCAGGAACTGTTAGGCTCAAGGGAAATATATTTTTATTCTCGGGAGGTCGATGCATTCAAGGGGTAAAAAAGACCAGTATATTGCGCCAGCTTTCGGAGTGGACTGGGATCAAGCAATACTTTCTCAGCAATCCTGCCAACGTAAGGCATGCTTGTATAGCTAAGCGTATGTCCTGGGCAGCCACTCGAAACTATGATTCGGGTAACGCGGTATACAGCTTAAGGGAAATATTCAATGTGAGTCTGACTCCGAAACGGGATGAGCTGCCATGCGCTGCTTTTCGCCGGTTGCAAATGAAGCTGATACAGAAGTATCCCCATGATCTTTCGATATTTGCGTGGAAAGTCTGTGATGAGACTGTGTCTCCCAGTCGCCACACATTATTCGCCAATTCACCTAAGGAGTTTGCCTCTTGCTCCAAGCTTCAACTCAATACACCCCCGTGGCCAGTGCAACTAGTTTCTGGCGATGATGAGAAAGTGGTCCTCAATCTACCTCTCCACAATGAGGGGCGTGATTATTATTTGCTATCTGTGAACTCTCATGAATTGGGCACGCATAGTACTATTGCCATCATGGTCAAATGGATACGAGAAATGTCGTGCTTTATACGGGTTGATCTTTGCAATACTTATACCTGGTCACAAGAGATGAAAATTGGACGAATTTGTGTCGAAGCATCCGGGCAGGTGAAGTATGAACCTACTGTCTGAGCATGAAGGCAGAGAAAGGTTAGCACAGCTAGAGGAGATGCTGTATTATAAATACACAGATGATTATCATTGATTGACCCCCTTCCTGTTGTCACTTTATTCCTGAGAGTTGTATGCAACATCCTCGCATACATTTGGGATCATGAGTTGATCTTTATCGGCGCACAGCCTCATGGATATCTTAGCATGTCTTTCACAGATATTCTGTGAATTACCCAAAGTTACTTGCATTGCCGATGACGCCTGCTTGGTTCAACACGCTGCCCTCCCCTTAGCTTTCTTCCTTACGTTTGATGCTGTGCAACCTTCTATTATGTGTATTGGTTCATTCCTTTGACAATTCGCCGTTCATTCAATTTGATGTGTGTTTAAAAGTTAAAGGATTGTGCTGGTACATGATGCAATATTGCAGCAACCAAGACTTGTCAGATGAACGGAGTATTCATTAAGCCATCCGGTGAAACATTCTGAAAGCTCTGCAAGGACTGATGGAGAGCATTGAGTTTAGGCGACGTAGAAGCAAATGATAAAATGGAGCAATAGTAACCATAAAGAGAATGTAGCAGCAGAGGTGTGATAGCAGGATAGCAGATTAACAGAGAGACGGACAGAAACGAAGTTTAGGTTGTTCGTTCATCCACGTAAAGAGAGGGCATTCTGCACAAGGCCATAGAGACGGGCAGAGGTTTCGTCCTGCTCAAAGTGGCAGGCTCCATCCTTCAGGATGTGGATGCGTCCCTTTACTTTCAATGTCTTGCGTAAGTCTTCACGATCTATACAGCTCACGTTGCTAATGTTCGTACGGTGGCACTTCACCCCAGGCAAATTGGGCGTTTTGGTCGACTTGTGCGATTCTGGCGGCTCTTTGGTGAGATAAATCAGTGTGTTCCCAGTAGGACTGTAGGGATGGTCATGCCAACAGTTAAGGGCCCAGCCAATTCGGAGCCCAGACTCAGGGATAAACTGCGCATCGATATAAAACTCATCCTGACGGTCTGTTACTCCCTTTATCTCGCTCCCATCGTCAAGTGTTGTAACATTAGCACAGTCGCGGAACTGGAATGGTGACCCCGCGAGCACATCATTCGTAAGTGGCTCACTAGGATCCGTGTGTTTCCATTCGAATATTGAAAGGTCTTTGGGGTATTCTCTCATGATTTCATGCTGGAGCTGAAGCATCGCTTCTGCCAGGCCAACCCCGTATCGTGGAACAAACGACTTGGACACACGGAAGATTCCGATCAGACAATACGCGCATTCTTCGGTTACTGGCTCACGGTGCCCATTAACCGGAGGATGTCGCTCGGATGCCCAAGACATACGTTTGGCCACGCTGCAACTTTGCACTTTCCCGGGGTCCTTTAGTACCGTCTTATCGATGAATGTGAGACGAGACAGCTCCTCGCAAAGGTCATCTTTGCTACCCACTTTCGTCCAATTCCTTCTGAAGAATACTATCTTCTTCGAGGCCACCAGTTCCGGGAGTGTATGTGTCTGCGTAAACCAGACGCTCTTCTTCCAATCCTGGTCGGGTCCAATGTCAGATAGATATACAAAACATAGGGATGCCTTTCCATAAATATCATAGATGCATTTCAAGAGGTCGTTGCTGGAAATATGCTTGGCGCAGGAGGACTCCGTCCACAACCATTCGTGATTGTACTCCATCGCCTTATCGCAGGCTAGTTTCTGACGCTCTGTATCGGAGAGAACGTAATGTGGTGGCTCCGGACCCTGTACAAATTGCGTATCCCAACTTCGCGAAAAAATTGCAAAGCGTGAGGGAAATTGTTCGACAGTACAAAAGTCCCTTAGATCCCCCTCCTTACAATAGAAAAGATTGTGACGATTCATTTCGTATATTCTAAAGTGAGTGGTCATAAAGCGCGGTTGACCGAAGCCGAAGGAGGCTTGCCGTAGAGGATTGCTGTTCGCCAGTGCTCACCAGATAGAGGATGGCTGCAGTACACCAATTGCTTCTATCACTATCGTTTTCACATGAACGAGCTGGTGTGCCTAAGATCACTTTCTGTGAGATCCACTGATCTCAATGATGGACCGGAACAAGGTAAAATGAAATAACAGCGGAGATAATTCCTTAATAAGGACTTGTCAACAAGTGCTAGGCTTGGAGGAATGAAGTATATCATCCACGGTTGGAATCGTACGGCTTTTTATAGATTTTCATAGTTCATTGACGCCGACTATTGCCGGGGTCTCTAGCCGATCAACATGGGATTTTTCTACCGTCAGAATGATCGTTCCTGAGGGGCATTTACAATGAAACTGACTTAAACTAGTACTGTATACCCTTTGGCAACTTCCAGTCCTGGATATATACGGAGGTACTAGCAGAGACTTAACTGAAACTTATTTGAAAAGCCCCTGTGCGTGATGTACCAAATTGCTGTTGGAAAGTACCCTGTTAGACTTTCTTGTGTTTTTTCTTTGACCTTCGATGGGTCATGTCCACCTCTAAGTCGAGTAACTCCATCTTTGACGGAATTGTCCAAGATGATGTTCATTGTTGCCTTCCTGTATCACAATTTACCATCAGCTTCGGTAAAGACCGAAGGGTCTTGGCACATAATGCCAATTTCCATTTACTTCCAAGGGCATCCCTTTCTCAAAGCCCAAATCTGGTATCTGGACCTAGTTAGTATTGACTGGCTAACAAGTAAAGCTGAAAGTAAAGAGCAGGTGATGTATGATTTTCGGGCTATACACTAAGTACTCTTGGCTACGTGCATATATGAGCAATATAAAGTACTGAGACTGATATATACTTAACCGCAAGGTGATTTATGAGGGGAAGCTGTGGAGTAGGCCGACCACACATAAAGAACATGGAAACAAGGGCTAATTGCGCAAAGGCACACACCAAACCAAGACGCAAGGAGGGTTGCAGGAGTTATCACTAGATCTTAGATACGTAATACAGCAATGCGGCTCGAAATGGGGCTCTTACTATCTTTTTTCGAAGCATTTGTTGGTGCCTCAAGAAGCAAATCGTAGTTTGTAATCAGAGACATAGGTTCCGACATAAGACTAAGGGCAGTGAATAGGACATTATTGATAGACATCACCTCTAACCCATGTCTATTACTTTGCATAACCCTTACAAACCATAGCCTATTAATGGGATCTCCAATACCGTGTCTAGGTATTCAAGAGCACAGCAAAACCTGCGGACGTGCAGGTTACCTGTCAGGTATCAGTTTCGACATATGTAGTGGATTGAGGATATATCAGGCTATACAAGGCTATCCAATGCTGACCTTTTCGTAAATCAAGCACGGGAGTTTGATATCTAGCATTATGATATAAATACGGGCTGTATATACTGATTAAGCGCGATGGATAATAAAAAGCCCCTATTTCTCCAAGCCCCTGGGATCCCCATGACTCCGAATGCAACTGCCAGAGCAAATATGATCAAGAGCAATTGGGGTACGAGAGGACCAAATGGCATTTTCACCCCTGTAGAGAACGATGTTACCATCATCCTGCACGACGCAAGCGACGCTGTGGTCCCCTATGGGATAAGCAGTTTCAGTCTGCCAGACGAGTTTGCCATGATTGGTACTACCCAAGACATTGTGTCAACATAGGGTGACGATAGCATGGGGCATTAGGACACAAAGAAGAGTGGTAAACGTACTACAGACAAAGATTTCCATCTTTTTTCATCTTCAACCCCTTGATGTCGTTGCGCTGTTCGGTTGTGTTCTGGAACACGCACTGACCCCAGTGATACAGGACAATCCTGCCATCGGTTTGCATACTGAACTCGACTCCGCCGTTTCTACTCTTCAGACTGTGACCTGGTTCGAGCCACTCCCCGGGATTAAGAATGTATGTAGACATGTTACCAGAGGATATATGAAAGTAATGGGGAGCTTTGATCACATGTAGAGAAAAATAAAGAGATAGGCTGTGTGTTGAAAGACTTGGGCGCGAGTTTAGCATTGGAGAGTATGACGGGCTTTGTACTTCTTATTTCTGCCAAATGCCCGGCTGCAGCCTGCGCAGGACCTCGGATAATCTTCGTTTCACCTTTCTGGAATTAGTGCGGATGACTCAGGGTGGGCTCCGCGGTTTATGAATTATTAAGGGTTTTTAGACTAGTTCTCACTATTGCCCGGAATTAGGGCAGAACTATCAGGGTGATTGTAGAGAATATTAGGATTGCATGAGAGATATTTCACTAGATAATACTGTTTCTATAGCTTATAGTCCTCTCCACACCAAATCTAAGGATTAAAAGGAATCCCCTATATGAGCTCCAGATGATTCAGAAGTTTTCCGAGCATCTCCAAGCCCTCTCTCTACTACATTTCTGAATCATCCGGATGGCATTGCTGGTCAATGTCTCCTCGTATCCGGTGGAGACACACTACTCCATTGGTTTTTCGACTCGACCAAATTCCCCACACCAAATAACATGTGTATCTAGCAGCATCCACAATTTCAGCCTCTCTCATAATTCCACTACTCCGTACGCCACGAAGAAGAGAAGGTTGCTTCATATGAGCATCAGGCTCCAGGAGCCAGGCTATACAAGAGCCCTATCTGTCCGGGCTAGGGCTATGGTGGATCAACTTGCCAGGTCTTATCCTTACTCTTCTTTGCTTGCAATGCTGTTTTGAGCACAATTCTAGACTTATGTAGGCTCCAAATAGTCTATCATGGTATACAGGTAAGATATGAATGTGAACAGCGGGATCTTTGGCGCTCAGCAAAGTGGGTTCCTATATACATGCAGCATGGACAGGCACCGAATAAACTACAGCAGAAGAAGTAAAATGAATAATACAGTATGGATTATGTGATGTTTGGTGTGATTCTCACTTGTTCTTTATAGATAGATCATCGATTCTTTCTATCCTAAAGCTAGTGTTGTGAAGCGGTTGCAGGTGGTCACACCGCTACTGTCCATGTCGAATCGCGGAAATTGGCGCCCACGTCCTCACACATACATTCTTACACCACCGGCTCGTCCGGCCCATGAAAGAATGGAGAACTTGTCTGGTTTTCCTACTCTAGTGGAACTCGCTACCTATTATATGCGTGGCATAATATCATGTGACGGTTCACCACACTACAGTGCCAGCCTAGTTTACACTTGCACACTGCTTGACCTGCAGATTCATCCCTTATTGTCTACGGGTGAGGATATTGCTCATCAGTGTAGCTACATTGAAAAAATCTGTTAAAGCTCGATAAGCCTTCTGTGATCTGCAGGAAGTTTAGAACTTGAGCTCTGCCGACTTCTTCAGGTTCCAGGTAGCTTTCAATATAGGCATAGCGGCAGGCCAGATTCGTATGGAGCACGTTAGATCTGATATCCAACAGGAAAGCGGAAGCGCTAACTCCCATTATACCAACATTGGGTATGCAGTCTTTATCGTTGTGTGCAACCAGAGAGATCTGGGCTGCCACTTTCCAACAGGTTATGACTACTTAGCAGAATTCTCATTGAACAACACCGACTCTCTAAGATGGATAGATTACCGAACGAGTTGCTCCTTTTACTTAGGCAATACTTCGACGACGATATTTTAACGAAACTAGTCTTGAGCAACTGCTCTCACCGACTGCAGTCCTTGTTTGACCCTCCTCGAGTGTACTCATCCCTCCACCTGTCCTGCATAGGAGCCCGTGAGCTGCAGCTCATACAGCACCTGTTGCGTCGTCCAGACCTCGCTCGTCTCGTCCACCATGCATATTTCGGCATCGAGCGGAGTTATCCTCCGGACTCTGGGTATAGGAGTGGGGCTTGTTATCCGCGATGCAATTCGATAATTAAACATATGGTGGAGGAGATATGTGAATTCGAAAACGAGAAATGTTGGTGGGCTGCGCACCTACGAGATTTCTCCGATGATGCCTGGCTTGGTGCACTGCTTACTCGGTTAAATAACCTGAGGAGTATCACACTTGCCTATGGGGATCAAGGGTTTATGAATAGTATCTTTGACAAAGCGGCCTCGCGACAAGGACCGTTTCGTACGACCACTCCGTTCCCATTACTACAAAAGGTCACTCTCACGAATAATTGCAGCTGGTTCCAATGTACTTCGGGCTATCCAAGGGGCTTGTTTCATCTACCAGCTGTTCGTACGATCGAGGGCGTCAGAGTGTGGGGGTCTGTTCCATGCTGCGACAGCTGGGACTTTTGTGGCGTGAAAGGCCGCACGTCCCCGGTCACTGAGCTTGTGATGTCGCCGGTTTACGGGTGCCAAGACATGGGCGATTGGATCGCAGCATGCAGCAAGCTCGAGCGTTTGCAAGTTGATATCGGGATAATGCAGTACCTCAACTATATCTTCGATCCTATCGCATTCCGCAAATGTCTTGTCCCATGCATCAAAACCCTCAAAGATCTTTCTCTCACGTTCCACATTTCATACCAGGAAGACCGTGCCTTGCAGAGGGGTGGGGAGATTTACCTTCATCTCCTACGTGATGATCTTCTGTGTCAGCGCATGTGGGTGTCCTGAAGGCTATACGACGACCCATCCGGTTCTTCGATTGAAATGGCAGAGTCAAAGCACACTTGGTGAACATTGGCTGAAGCAGGAACTGAACTATGGGGGAGACTGAGAATAGCATTGTTACATTCATGGAGCGGGCATTCTACGACCAACTCAATTTGGAGCATTTCATCTAGCTCTGTTGCTTGTATGCACCGCACTCATGACCTAGAAATCACCGGCTGATACCATTGGCTTGTTAATATGATTGTCTTCCATCCAAATCCTAGGATGACATATTTCGTAAGGCTGTGGAGGTCACTGGCTACTCGTAAGACTTCTCTTTCTACTTATTAAGTCCTATATGTTATTAGTAGATCCACCGTATCTGATCAGAGGCTTGCATGCTACCATTAAACACACCTAAATCTCTGTTTTAAACGAGCCAGTGAACCTACCTACTTTAAAGATGACATCGGATTCATAATACATGTCCATACAAAAAGGAAGCATGCCGCATACCTTCAAAACTCCCGAGCCCCAACCCCTATCCCGAAACACCACATCCCACACTCCGCTGAATAAGCGGCCAGAATGAGGACTGTTATCATCCATGGCCGGTGCCTGCATTAGACCCAGTATAAATATCCAGTAGTGTCCCGAACTATGATACTCGGCTGTATCCTCCCTGCAATACTCCCATTCCAACTCTTCACCCCTCGCCCGAATCATGTCCTCGTTCAGAGGGCTCAAACACTTCATACCACCCAGACTCTTTACAGTCTGCAAATACACCATCTTAACAGGCTTAACCGGTGCCGCAAGCTGGCAGCTGTGGTCACGACACTGCTACTTTGAGCCCTTCGGCCCTGAAAGTGATCCTTTGTTTCAGAGCAAGTCTTTTCAGAGATTTAATCCCAATCAAAGTCCCTCCTTAGATGATTCGTGCGTACGGAAGGTTCAGCTATCGGAAGTAAAACCCGAACTAGTCGAGGACTATCTCAATGGTGGCTCAAAGCTTCTAGAACGATTTTGTGGAGGTGTTTGGGGCGGATATGGTGAGTTTGCGTTGCTGGCCGGCCGTTAAGCCTGGGAGGGATTATGGAAGGATGAATTGGGGTATTTGTGACATGCAAGACTAATGAATACATATATGGTGAATAGGCTACGCAGTCCAACGGAGGATCCTCACATTGCTATGCAAGGATGAAACCAATACTTCTATGCTATGGAGTAAGGAGCAGTTGCTTCGTAGCTCTTATGACGAAGGTTCGTATGATCTCTCTTACAAGACTATCTTCTATGCCCAGACTTGACAGTTGCTGATACAGAGGATAGGGACTGTCGTCACAGATCATTTCATCGTTCTGGAGAAGACTCCTAGATCTATCGTCATGCGGGGTGGAACGTCCCCGACGGAGGACCCAGATACACCCCGTGAGATGGATAATAGTTCAGAAATCACCGTTGACATCGACATCAAGCAAGAGGTGGCTGAGTTCCGACTGAAGAATATTTTCTTCAATGGTGTCGAGCACACAACGGAGGCACTGTTTCCACCTCCTGTGGTATGGCTGCATTTTCAGTATTGTAAGCTGCTGGTCGAGGCTGGGGTTAGTCATTGTGTGGGATAGGGTGGGAATAAGCTAGTTACAGTCTGAGATAGTTAGACCTTTGGGGTTGACTATTTCGGGCTATAACTAGCCGAGTGTTTTGGAATCTAGATTAAGCAAACATGTCTTGGGAGGGGCGTGGGACTTTGTACATTATATAATACTATAGAGGATACTGCACGTCCGAATCCAATGCTTGAGTACCGCTCACGGCTGTCGCCTCTTGCTGCGCTTGGGAAATGGCGCATGCCCCTAACCTCGCCAACTCGGTGGTGAACCCATCCAGAAATCTGAGGTGAATAGCTTCGCCCACAGTGAGCTTTCGAATAGGAATTCTGCGGATCAAATCTGGAACTTCGCGCAGTATATGCACATGGGAATGAGCATTAGGGCCGAGGGGGTTATGCAGAATATCGCGGAAGAGGGTCAGGATGGCAGTTATGGCGTAAAAGAGGAGGACCCTTGTTTTAAAAAAACCACTACAGTTAGATACCAGTTTCCTAGTCGAGGTACTCGGGGCACGGCGTCTTACCAAAAGCATTCACCCTTCACTACAGGCAGTACTGTCTGGAGATAAGACAGCGTTGACGTGCTGGCATTGATTGCTAGGCTGATACTGGTGTTAATCCCACCCGCGGTGCCATCGTTCGACAGTCTGCCTCTTTCGCTGGCTTGGTGGATCATGGTAACGCAGTGATAGTATGCAAGCCGCAGCATCACTGCCTGCGTGTTCAGGTTCGCACTAACCGGCATCTCGTGCGAGAATAATAAGGTGGGCCGGATGTCAGAGTGTAGAGATACCCTCCACTGGTCTAGTGCTTCGTCAAGAGTCCGAATGCTGGACAGGATTTCGGAGTCGGATTTGCGTTGTGCGCCGGCAGAGTAAAGGGCCTCATATGCTTCAGACTTGATCTTGGAGAGTCGAAGGTCCCAAGGGAAAAGTGGAAGAGTGTGCGTATCCATTGACATGGTGTCTCGCAGAATATTAGAGTCCTGCAGCCGCGCGTAGTCAGATGGGAGTGTCAGGTTGCAGTAGCTGTCGTTGATCGCGGGTGGCTGTCCGGTTCGTAAACAGATATCCTTGTCAAATGAATAGCAAATCCAGAAGAGATATCGCAGATGACATTCCTCAATATTCTTGTCATCAGGATGCGAACAATCGGATGAATCAACGCCAGACATTGTATTGGCGCCAAGTGTATACAGGAGGCGGGTGGCGATCGATACAGATACGGCAGCCGCCTGTAAATCTCCTAAGAAGTACTGGAATAGAATCTTGCCTATTGTTAGTATCGTCCGAAGGGGTGACGAAGTGGTAGAAATCCTTAGAGACGAAATAACAACGTACAAGCATTACGACCGCCTGGAGTCCATCAATTGTCATCTCTTGAGTGAGCTGCACCATGAAGGTTTGTGCCGCCGAAGCAAAGTACCCACAATCCATGGCTTCCTGGAAGTTGTCCCCAACCTCAAAAAGGTTCACCACAGCGATGAATGCATAGACACATGACCTAGCACTGGCGGAGCCGAAAGCGCTATGTGGTCCGTAGGCGAGATCTAGGGTCTTCTCAAAGAGCGACTGGCTGATCACGGGAAAGACAAGGCTTTGGAACGACGCGAAGTACTGCTTGACGTAGCCTTCCACCGCGCATCGACTCGGGAGTTCATGAATCGAGCCAGAATTCAGGGTTTCCATATACAGTCGACGCGTGTTGGCCCAAGGAAGATCAGGGGCGTATAGCTCTTCGAAGCGGACCTTTTCTCCCGTCCGAGATTCAATCCATTTCTGCCCTTCCTCGGATAACAGATGCATCCAGTTAAAGCAGGTCATGGAGTCTAGACCAAAGCTCGCAGATTGGGTGCGCCTTGAGCCTGCGCTGGAGCCCGTAGAGGCACCTGGGTAGATGTAAGGCATGTAAATGTCTATTGAGAAAAGTTTCGATATGAAGTATACTAACTGTGACGATTCACATTGGAGTTGCCAAGGTTTGAGTCTGTTTCTGACGATTTCTCAGAGAGCTGCAGATGCAGTTTGTCCCTAGTGGAATCCACGGGGTCAGTGACGAATCGTCAAAGCAGCCGATCTGATTAATTGCTTGGCCAACCACCGCAATAAACTATAAAATTCATACCCATGGAAAACTATCCGTGTCGGGGAGTTCTGTAAGATACATACCTTGCTTCCGTGCGCGTCTGAAGCCTGCTGTATGTGCAAGCAAGATTATGGTGCTTGCACCAATTACACTGTGGAAACTCCGCATCGCATTGTATCTACAAAGACCGTAAGGGTCAGGCCAAGATCAGCACAATAGGTCGTACTCCATCCAACGCTAAATAGAGAAGCATATCACCTTTCTCTTGAAGCATGAATCACATGCCCGGCGCCTCTGTTTCTTGGGCGCTGACGGGCCGCGCTTGGCCCTGCGCGATATAGTCTCTTTGGGCATTTGTTACTGTTCGTGCGTACAGTTACCTTACAAAGAGCATGATTCATGCGCCAAGATGATGAAAAATCTCGAAGAGGACAGCTTCATTCCGTCCGTGTCTTCAATGGCGCTTCTCGTCATCTTAACGGACTAGGCAACGGACCAATCAACAGCCCGTCCGCTTACTCAGCGGCGAAGGTTTTTATAGCATTAACCCAGATAGGAAGGTTCTCGATTCAGCCTCCAATCTGGAAGATACGAAGACAAATCAACAGTTATTGGGTAAAGTACATGAACGCCAGGCTATAGACAGCAGAATACGCAGTCTCAGCCTCATCAGCTACCACGGATACAGATACAGGCCCATCGACATGTAGATGTCAAGCCGTTCACGCCTTTGCGGAGACCAAGATCACCAACTGCTCCGCAAAGTCCAATGCGACTTCGGCTGGCATTCCATACCTTTCTCGAGCAGCTTTTCAGATTCCCCAGTGTTGCTTTTACAACACTTTGTCGTGACGTTGTAGCCCACACAATCTGTCAGCTGTTATAGGTCTCTTGGAGATACTCTCGTGATATGGTCATGATCCAGGACAGTGACGTGAAAGCTGGCTTTCTGCAACGTAGTGACAGCCCATATGGACATGTTGACATTGGCGGAGGGAGACTATGTATCCTTGCTCTATGAAAGCGTTTCAGAACACCCTCCGCCTGGTTAAACTGGATGTTCAGTGTATTTTGCCTGGCCAAGCGCGACATTCTACGCTACTCGTGCGTGATTTGATATCAAACTAGCAAACCGGAGTTGCTCAGCCGTCTCACTTGACGTTCTTGCGTGTAGCAGAGACGACAACCTCTGAAATTGTTTAAAAATAAGGGTTGAATCCCCTTGCTTATTGCTCGTCGGTCGGATGATTTTCGATATATCGCATGACGTCATGCTCGTCACCACTCTTTGTACCGCAACCCTCCATACTCTGACTATCATAGGAGAGTTGGAGTAAACGAGGAAGCAGCCTGCTGCGTGTAGGGGGTCGAACGTGTGCCTGTACAATTTACGTAAACGATGTGGGGTCTCACAAGGTGCACCCAGCGAAAAATAGATATCACCATGACGGCTCTTGCCTCGGGGGGTTTTCAGCAAGTCACGTCTCGTTGGGATAAAACAGACAAATAGCCCAGACCGCCTTGAAAGAATATAGTAATACTGTAGACGGATCTCATACTCCATTCACTCTCTTGTCATGGCCAGGAGTCGTGGGAATCATATATGCGGAATCCCCACACCTTAGGTCCGCGGTTAAGATAGCATCGGATAGTTACCCCCAACCATCAAAGTATGACAGCGGTCAGGTCTGCAGTAAGACATTGCCTACGGATGCGCTGCATTAGCTGAGGGGGTGGTTACTTGAATCGCGACGAGTTTCCTTCTGCAGCATCCCCGTCTGCAGATATCCAGCAGGATAACGGCCTCAAGAGCCATTGTGATTTGATTCCTTTCGACTTTCTTTTGATCGCGATGCTTTTAATTATACTGACATGGGTGGACGGAACCTCATTATACCCTGTATATCATTGCAACCCGAAAAGAATGGCCAGGAAGCGCCTCTCTGGCCGGACAGAAGAAGTCCGACCAGTTGGGGCAACCACATGGGGAGGTAGACCCTCCAGCCCGTTGGAGACCAAAGCCACCAAGACTACCACAGAAAACCAAGTGGGACGTCGCTCGCGCGACGGCCACGGCCAAGCTTCCACGCCCGGAGCGCTCCAGGATATACCACACAAGCATTTCACGCGGGGGCCACGGTGCTGGGCAATCGACACAACCAGGAAGGGGATTAAAACCAAATTCATCGAGGGCTCCCCACCGAGTCCTGTTTCCCCGAATCAGGCGCCACCGGCGGTGTATTCAAACAATCGACTGCGATGCGAGATATCTCCGATAGCGGGGCGCCCCGGCGAATGTCCGTGATCATATGGGCCACATCCGACTCGGTGCCGAGCTGGATGGCGCGCAACAAATTCTCCAAGGCGCCGCGATAAAACTTCAGGTTCCGCTCCGTCGCCTCGGCGGAGATCTTGCGGCGCTTGTCGTTGCATTCATCGTAGACACACTCCCGTCGATTGAGCAGACAGGGTTCGCATGGACGGCCAGGGCCACACTGGTAGACGATAAGATAAGAGGTTAGTTCTGGCAGATCAGGGGCCACACTAGGGCTGACAAGATGGAACCTTGGATAACGCTTGCTTTTATACGTCGTCGCTGGCACTCCAGGCAGGCTAGGGAGGCTCGTTTGCGTTTGCTCTGCTCGGCTGGGCTATGATCATCCGGTATGGGCGGGAGTTCCTCCTTCGGTGCGAGACGCCTTTGATAATGCCGGCCAGTCATGAATCACTAAGTGGAGATCCGAACGGGTCAAGAAACAAAAATCAAGGAAAATGTCAAGCGAAAAGAAATGAAAGTGGGCTGTTGTGGTGCGGGAGACGCGTCGGAACGGTGACACTATAGATTCAGAAAATAATTAGGGAGGGTTAACCGTGGAGATTGTAAGGACGGTTTATCCAGAGCGAAATTAATGACGAAGAACACCTGGCCAAGTCGTAGCCGAGATTTATGCAAGGAGGTTCCAACATTTCTAATTTCCTCCGAGATTTCGGCCGAAGACTGGAGGGATGATCGACAGTTTATAGATTTCCCCGAAAGGTTAGTTAGTTTAAGTCTCAGAACCCACTCGCCAATCCACCCATTTCCCTTGCATCGTGAACACGCACACCCGCCATGACAAGAACCCTCCCCCCCCTTCCCCTTCCTAGCTTGATGAATCTCACATCGTGATGCGCATTGCTTTACCCTCGCATCCTACTCACACAGACCCTGACGATCCGTCCAGCACGGCTAGTGGCCCCCCCCGCGACACGACGCGACTCGCCACCTCATGGGCGCACGATAGTTGGGTTATTGACAAAGTTACCCATGCGACATCCAGTGTCTAGGGCAGCTTTCGACCGCGACGAAACGTGTGACCTGGAGATCCGTCCAAGTCGGTACCCCCTCCCTGCCTCGCGATTCTTACCGTGGGTACTACTTTAGGGGCCGCGGACTTTAATGGTCAATCAAGCGAAAGTTGGAACATGGTCAGAATGATGTATAACCTGCACCAGGGAGATCCGTGCCTGTTTCTTCAATCCAATTGGCGGCTGCTGGCTGTCTTCCCCAGAGTTTGACCCACTCCTTGCTGTCCAGGTCTGGCCATTCTGGTAGGGCACTTGCAGGGAGGGGTGGAGTGGCCAACGCAAGCCATGATGAAGTCATAACGATTACCATTGGCTACAAGCTAATCTGGATCAGTTATCCTCGGACTGGAAATAGAAGACCAAATAGCAAAAGGCTGAGCGACATCAAGCTCTAAATACATTACGGTAGCCGGCGATTGCTAACAAAACACAGCGTGGGTGATAATAGAGCTCCCTCTTTCGATGTACTCCAAGAAAAACGTCGACATTAAGCGGTCTAATCGCGTCATACTCGACCGGGTCACCGCCTCTCATCAGGTGTATCATATATGGGAAGTCTAGTAATACGTGTCTGGTCGGGCATGGTTAGGGTAACGGGGAAGCATGTGATGTAGCCACACAGCCCTTCGCAGGCTCGACATCTACGTTCTCTTACACCGTAGTCGCATGATCCTCGCCGATAGTCGTCGGGTTGGTACTCGGGTTGGAAGCGTGAGACGCCCGCCGTTTCTCCATGATGCTCGGCTCCGTGTCGGGAAAGACAAATTTGGAGCTCTGCCATGGCTTCACCTTCATCACATACATCGTATCGATCTCTTCCAGCGTCCGGCCTTTTCCTTCCATGACCGCGAAATAAACGAGGGCCGCAGCAAGGAAGAGACAGCCTGCAAAGACGTAGCCGAACTGGAAGTCGATCGCACTCGTGATGAACGGCGTGAAGAATGCCAGAAGGAAGTTCCAGAGCCAGTTGGATGCTGTCGCAAGAGACATCGCACGAGCCCGATACGCCGACGGATATAATTCAGCAATAATCGTCCACACCATGGGCCCCAAGTACTGGCGAATCCCAGAATAAAGAGACAGGCGAACACGACCATGACCACCCCCGCGGTCTTGGTAGACGGCGGGTCATCCCGATCCAGGGCGAAATGGCCCACCGAAGCGAAGACGATGAAGCAGCAAAACATCCAGAGCGCGCCGGCGATCAAGGAGCGACGGCGGCCGTAGTTCTCGATGAGATACAGTCCCAGGAAGGTGGAGCCGAAGTTCACAGCGCCCAGGATCATCTGCGTCACGTAGCTGTTTTCGATTCCGGCGCCCTGGAAGATGGTCGTGCCGTAGTAGAAGAAGTAGTTGGCACCGGTCAGCTGCTGTAGTGCCTGCAGGGCGACCCCGACAGCAACGCGATACGCCATGCGCGGAGCCTTAAATAGTTGGATCCATGTTACTTTGCCGCGCTGCACCTCCTCTTCATACTTCGCCTTGATCTCGTCAAACTCAATCTGTAGGGCGCGATGGTTCTTCGGAATACCATACATCTTGGCCATCGTCGAAACAGCCCTATCCACCTTGCCCTTTCGATAGTCATGACGCGGACTTTCTGGAAACAGCGATATACCGAACCCGAGAATGATAGCCCAAATATACGTGACTCCCATCGGAATTCGCCAGGAGGCTGTGGAAGTTTTCGCCTCAGTACCGAAATTGATACAATTGGCCACGAAGATGCCAAGAGTGATAAACAACTGGTATGTACTACGTCTGGGTCAGCATCTAACGCACATCATCCGTTCTGGGGGTCTGGCCCACCTGACTAAGGATCCTCGAATATGTCTGGGGCCCGTCTCGGCTTGATACATAGGGACCAGGAGCGACAAGGCTCCCACCCCAAGCCCAGCCACCCATCGACCCAATGCAACCTGATACCACTTGCCCGTGGGGGAAGAGATCTGGACCGTAATCCCCGCGCAGAGGATCACACACCAGCCACTCACACACCACTTGCGACCAACCCGATCCGCAATCGGCGCGGCCACCAATGCACCCATTAAGGTGCCAATTGAGAGCTATCGTAGGCTTAGCAAGGTGGCTGATCTAGAACACAAGGTAAGAGCTGTCATACCAGAGCAACAATGAGGCCCGATCGAACGTTCGAGAAGTAATATGTCCCGTCTGCCCTCTGTTCACCGTATCGCTGCAGGAAATCCTCCATCTCTAGAAACCCGGAGATCTGACCGGTATCATAACCGAACAGAAACCCACCCATTGAGATGACTATACACATGCTAAAGGACCAAAGGGTCAGAAAAGGGACTTTCGTGTCTACCAAACCATCATCCCCGTCGTTGAGGACGGCATCCGATGGTCTTGGGTCCACTTCATCTTTGAACGGTCGATCTGCGTTTGCGCGAGGTATTTTCAGTTTGGGAAGCCCCATGGTCTAGCTCGTAGAAGTATATTCTAAATGTATGGAATCAATTGAATCCATGAATGAAGTCTTAGTATGGGGGATATACATGGACGATATACTGGACGTTTTATACTTTGAAAAGCTGAGACGGTTCAAGTCCTCCCGATGAGGTCATCACCCATAGTAAAATCCTGTATAGCGTCGCGCATCACGTATTTACCATGAATTCCTTTGTGCGATCAACCTGAGGTTCAAAAACGGGGTGTCTGCTAACCAGAAGCGAGTTGATGCGAACCCCAGACGACCCCGGATCGTCAGTACCATGGACAAAGCGGTCGAAAGTTCCAATAATTAACGTGGACATGTTCAGGTGACCGAGAATATAGAGTTTCTGGACGATGCAACTCGCCATCAAGTGTGGGTGGTTCCAATCAGGACGGGTTGCTATCCATGGAACCAGCCGTTCTCGATGAGACTTCAGCCTTCACGATTCGGCCACCGCGGCTTGGCCTACGTCTAGATTACAGCATTCGTGCCACGAAGATAGCTTACTACCATCCTGGTAGGTTCATACCAGATCGTTCTCTTCGAGGTGTAATTGAAAACCTCATTCTGCTCTGCTGACCGTTGTCCAAACCCGGCGTAGTTTGCCACTGAATAAGTACGGCAAGCTGGCTCACGGGGAATATGCACCTTCGCTGATAACAAATGAGCTATACTGCGTATCTATGATGTTTGAAGGTAATAGCGTCGGCATTCCAGAATATTCTAGGCTCATTCGCGAGTGTGCTCCGAGCTTAAGATGTCAATAGCACGAGTAACATGCATCATCGAGCGTAAGGGATCGCCTAAGTCAACGATATGTCAGCACATTCCAATCCATGGCTCATTGCCTGACCTAACATCTTACTGGGTATCTTAACTAAGGTACAATTTATCGCTTGACTAAGACCTGGCTGAGAAGTTTAATAGCCGTTTGAAAACCTTCAACTGTGTTGCGTTCATGAGACACCGACACTCTTCTGAACAGTAGATGATAGTTAAAGAGGCCTTCGATGATCATACTAATGTGTGAAGTTGCATTACTCTGTCCCAGATTCGTTTGTGTATTGAGCTGGATCGCTCTGTCATTGTCAATTAAGGATTGGCTATATCATTATCACATGGAGGTCTAAGAGTGAAAATGCCGAAAGGAAAGTAAAAGCAACAATACGGTACCACATTAAAGGGAGAGACATGAACAAGTGTATATAGGTCATAAAAGAAGAGACAATATTCCATAATTCAAACAAAGTGATATGCAAAGCGGAACCCCAAGGTTGAAGAAGGAAAGTCGGAGGGTGGTTCAAATATTAGCGGTGCGTTCAACTCATTTGTCACCTTGGACAGTCTGAAAGCTATCTAGCTCCCGGTAATTACTAATTCCTTTCAAAGCTGGTGGCAGGTACCAGAGATCTGGGTCTGGGGAGGACCGACGTCAACAGTCTGGACACCGCTGACGGTGGTAACACTGTTGTCAATGCCATTGAAGGTGCACGAAACACCAGGTGCGTTAGATTCGATGTGAGAGATGCTGAGAGGGTTCGCTGCGATTGTTGTCAGTCACCATGAACCACTTAAAGTATTATGCCGGATATACGTACAGATCTGAGTCGCGACCCCGTTGGTTGGGAAGACTTGAGTGAACTCAGCATCTGCTGCGCCAATAAATGTGATGACCACATCCTGGCCAGATGACCGAGGCTCAGACTGGCCGGGAGGAACTGAGCCAACGGCGCATGCACCCGAGGTCTGTGTCTGGGGAGGCCCGACGTCTACAGTCTCTGCATCGGACACAACAGTGACGCTGTTGTCAACGCCATTGAAAACGCATGAGACACCGTTGGTGCTGGAGGCGATGTGGGAGATGCTCAGAGGGTTGGCTGAGATGGTCAGAGCAACTTCACAAACGTCAAGGGTACTCAGTTATGTCAACTTACTGATGGCGACGCTGCTTCCATCTGTTGGAAAGTCCTGAGTAAACTGGGCATCGGCTGCACCAATAAAGGTGATGGGGACTGAGCCTTGGGTTCGAGGAATGCTGGCGCCATGGACACTGGCGACAAGTGCAGCGACGAGGGTAGAGGTCGAAGAAAGCTTCATCTTGAGTTTGATTTGTGAGGAGATGGACGGTCTTGTTTGACTTTGTATTGATGGAGTAGTGGTGAAGATGCTTGATATTGATCTGAGAATGAGAGTTGAAGCAGGAATCGTGAAGGTTTATATAGAAATCTCAAGGCAAGGCATTGGTACGGACTGCCATCTCGACAGAGGGCCTCGAAATTACCTCAATGTTACTATTTCCAGAACACATCACAAATACGAAGCCATCCGTGGATAGAATGAGACATAGCCATACATGTTGTCTCCTGATTCACCAAAGAAGGTATTGCCGGCCCGACAGCTAAAAGCCAGAACATTATTGGCATATAGCTGTCATCTGAACAACTCACTGCCCCAACATGATGGATATCAGATCCGAATCGGCCTGTAGACGAGCAGTCTACATCTACATCGGCCAATAGAGGCTCCGATGGGTTGCCCGAATACATGGTTCGCCTTATTTGCGTGCCACCTCCCCGGCTTGACAGTATGCTAAATATATCACACGTTCATGACTCTCTTGCCGCTTTTGGCTAATTCACGGCCTTCATCTACGGAAAACCATGGATCACCTCACCTCTTCGGATGCACCCGACATGTTGAATCACCTGAGCTCTACTCTACAATACTATTATTCTCAAAAAGAGGCAAAATAGCTGCTTTCGGCAAGGCCAGACCTCGGCGTACACCGTTTGGATTCAATGTAACAGGCGGGGTGACGCTCCTGTATCAATGACTAGTAGTTCATTCACGGCGAGCCTGACCCAAATTATTAGGTTTTCCTGGCCATGAGTTCGAGTTAGTAGAGTAGCGAGTCCTGACGTTGAATTTCATGACTGCCGGTTTTGGATGTTAAAATGTGTTCGTACTTGTATAAGAACCCCAGCGGTTTGGCTTAGAATTCCAGCGATATGACTTAAAATGGAAAGATGATGCTTGAGTTTGGTATTCTCGTGCATGAGATTCTGAATGTGCGCCATTTCCAGGTAGTAATGATAATTCATAAACCTACGCTCATGGACAAAAATTCGCGGAACTGTCGGATGTCATGTCAGCGATCTACACGGCAGTGGCGGATTGGAAGACCCAGCCCCGGATTTTCACTGCCTGCCTATCTTATGCTAGTGCCGAACGACAAGCCTCTGGGGAACGGCTTTCATTGTAGTGTAGATGGCCAGAAATTCTTATGCTTTTGTCAGCATAGTATGCCTACCTAAGGCGTACAAGGTATCAATATTCCCTCCAGGCCAGTGTACTGTTTTGGCAGGAGTCCAACGGTGGCCTCGGGAAATCTTTATGAATTGGTCTATATCTTCTCGAGGTCTATGCATATGTAAGTGGGCCCAACGTTTCCACGCTATACGGGAAAGCATATACGATGCCAAGAGAGGAAAACGTGGGCTGGAGGAGTCGCGGAATTCTTTTATTCGATACTCTGAACACAGCCCGGCCTCGCATGAACGTGTTTTACTTAATGTCCGAGAAGCCCATACGGATAGATACCTTTTCGCCTTTCCTGTTACAGTAGTACTGAATATACGTGGACGCCTCAGACTAATAGTAGGCCTGGCGCTCAGGTCGCCAATTCCCCGCATCCAACACGAGCCAACTCAGCATATATGCATGTCTCACCGAGGGGAATGTTGTCCCCAGTATGTTAAATTCACGTTACCTACTAAATTCTGACGTTGAGATCCTTTTTTGTCCGAGCCCTACCAGGAGCCGCATGCATGCACTTCGCCTCCGTCCTTCAGCCTCCTGCACAGCCTGGGGTTCCCTTTCTGTCTACGTGGAAGGCCATTTCCGACCCTCCATAAACTGTCTCAGTTAGTAGCGGTGTAAGGGAAATTTCAATCGTTTCCTGATTCCAACTATCTTGATTCTCATCCATAGTTCACTTTTTTATCTCCAGCTTCATTCACCCCCTCTTGCGCATATCGCGGCCCAACAATCACAAGCCGGCATATATGCCTGGATATTAATAAGACTTTTACCTCAATGGCCAGGATATTTACAAGCTCAAAATGCTCCACGGATGATATAGTATGTCAATACCGTTGCCCAACACAGGGGCATACTCTGAGCCCTAGTCAAACATCATGCTAGTAGAACAATTCCTGATGACGCCCATGTCTATGATACCGACTACTGCGATATAATGTTTACTCAAGACAGTCTCGAGACAATAAGCTGTTTCTTGTTACCGATGGTTTCGGCTTTATTCAGCCGTGGGCTCGCAAAGCCGTGAAGCCTTAAAAAACAGGGATCGGTGATCGGTATTCATGTCCTAGGGACCGCTTCAAGCCCGCACTTCTCAACAGTAGCCGCGAAGTATTCGACCTCCGACATTCCTGGCCCTATCAATACCATTCCCAAAGCCAGTACAAGTGCCGTGAATCTAAACTTTGACAGAGTCCCAGTCCAAGGGGGTTCAACGATGTCGATAGGTTTTTGAAGATGAGCATGGTGTTTTGTATCTGTCCCGCGACGGTTCACAATTTGCTGACAAGAGTAGAACATTTAATCCCTTGGCTCAGATGCCTTAGCTGCCCCTTGACTGTAAGACTTGGCATCATATCTTTGGATGGGCCCTAAGCTGGAACCAGCCTTCGGTTGTGGGTTTCGTGAGGAGCCACCCACAGAACTTGTCCTGCAACCAAACTGAGTTCAGTCGAGCAGGGAGAATCAGTTACATGGCTTGATGAAAACGGTGGGCTATAGAGGAGCAGCCTGATTTGGTTTCGCGTTTGCTTCATTACTAAGAGTCGAGTTTACGTGTTCTGGTTGAGTCGTGACATAATCGAAGTTCCGCGATGAAATCTCAATGTAACCACAGAGTGCTACCAGTGCTTATGCATCTCGACAAATTATCTCGACCTACGACGCTATGTCGGGTCGAATACACCAAACTGGTGATAGATCTCATGCGACATTCGACAAAAACCCCTGTATCGGCAAGCTTTTCAGCCCGCGCTAAAATATATCTCAATGTATCCCTCCAAAGTCGTCCGCTCATCGGAATATCCAATACGACCCATTGGACGTTCTTGGTCGTAAGGGGAGAGCGAGACTTATATTTATTAGAAAGCGTATAGCGAAATGTGCTCCATCTTCGGATCTCTGCTATTATCTCTACAAGTTGGACGCCGCTGGTACCGTCACCAGCTATGATGTTTACCTGCAACTGGGCGGCGCTGTTGTGCACCCTACTCTCCATCCTTTCTGTCTGTGCAGCAGATGTACCTCAGACAAGCCACGATGTTATCATCATTGGTGGTGGCCCTTCTGGCCTTAGTGCAGCGAGTGCCCTCTCGCGCGTCCTGCGGAAGTCGGTCCTCTTTGACTCTGGGGAGTATCGTAACAACCCTACAAGGCACATGCACGACGTCATTGGAAGCGACCGTAAGTATGTCCCTTTCTATGCAACAATCTAGTAGGCTGAGTTCGCATTAGATGTCGTGCCGGCCGAGTTTCGGCAGACTGCACGCGAGCAAATCGCCTTTTACAATTCGACAACATTCATCGACCAAAAGGTGACTAAGCTCGAAAGGGTCGCGGATAACATTTTCCAAGCCACTGTCGGTGACCAGCAATTTACAGCTCGCAAGGTCATCCTGGGCAGCGGAGTGAAAGACAATTTGCCCGATGTGCCGGGCCTCCAGGACGGCTTCGGAAAAGGTATCTTCTGGTGTCCGTGGTGTGACGGATTCGAGCATCGCAACCAGTCTATGGGAGTTCTTGGAAATTTCTCCGAGGCATACGGTGCGGTCAGAGAACTGCACCCGACCCTGAACAAGGATATCAGAATCTACGCGAACGGAACCAACACGACAGAGCAGATCGCAATCCTGGATAAGAATCACCCTAACTGGAGAAAGGTGTTCAAGGCGTACAATGTCACCGTCAATAACAAGCCCATTCTTAACATCACTCGTATCCAGGATGGAGGCGTTGTTAACGATCCCGCAATTCGTCGCGAGTTCGACAAATTCCAAATCTACTTCCTCGATAACACCTCCGAAGTCCGTGCTGCATTCCTTACGAACTATGATACGTCGCAGAGGTCCGACCTGCCGGCTCAGCTCGGCGTGGAAATGCTGGGGTCCAAGATGAATACCCTGCGCAAGGGCTTGCGAACTAGCGTCCCGGGAGTTTGGGGTGTTGGCGACGCTAACAGCGACAACAGCACTAATGTTCCCCATGCCATGTCTAGCGGGAAATCAGCGGCTGTCTACTGTCATGGTAAGTCTTCGTATATCTCTGCGTTTTGTTGTATGGCTTATTCACCGTCTTTAGTTGAATTGGCTCAAGAGGAGCTCGACCGCGACGCCGGGTTGGAGAAGAGAGAAGCCGAGTTTGATGAGGCTTCATTCCATGAGACTACTGATAAAAAGATGGGTAGTGAGATCCAGGACCTGTACAAGAGACTCAGCCGTCGTTAGGCTTTAGAGCACAAATCTCGTGGCGGCTCCCTTACGGGATATCATCGCACATAATACTACGGTGCTCATTGGTAGAGTATACGGGATGATAATTTAATACACTAACAATCAGAGATAATAACTATATAATTTTAATTGAGCAATGATCGTGGAACACAATATGTCTTTCTATCAAGAAACGGAGTGCAAGTTGATCTCGCGCTGACCGCTTCAACTCTACCAAGATAAACACCCACTCAAAATGCATTCCATTCTGGTATTCGAGGTCGGATTAGTGTGCCTCCACCTCATCCGGATACTTGATCCCATTTTCCTCTCGTACCCTATCCATGACTTCCATAATCAGCAGTGTCTCTTCTAGTGGCATCAAGTCTGACTCCGTCTTCCCTTCAACCAAGTATTGAGCACAGGCGTCCGCCTCCCAGAACAATCCATGTCCAACTGGAATCTCAAAGTCCTTCCTCTCCACGAGCTTTGGGCCCTCGTCTCCATATGCAACGAGTGCAATGCTCAACGGCCGCGCAGCAGGTCCAAAAATCTGTATCTGTCCTTTATCCCCTAAGATGCGCACCCCGGGGTCGGTTGGGTCCGAAGTGACCCGAAGGCTGGCAGTCGCTACACCCTGCGTTTGGCTTTCAGGAAAGGTGACAATAATAGTAGCGGTCTCGTCTACTCCTGTCGCGGTGTATTTCACCACGGAGCTAGAAATATGTGGCCGTGACCTAACAGTACCAGAAGCTACTGGACCATCATGATAAAGGATTTGAAAGATCCACGTCAGGGGATATATAGCCACTAGAGCAGAAACTGTGAGTATGGGGTTTCTGAAACCGTCTCTTTCGGCAAATATGTGCATCTCCGCTGATACTACTCACAATCAAGCAAAGCTCCACCTGCTAGCCCAGGGTTCACCAATCGATGCTCCGTTCCATAGAGCTTCTCAACGTCTCTCCCTAAATTTCGATCCGCAACTACTCGCTGCACAACTCCAATCGCCCCATCTTTGAGGAGCTGTCTAACATACCGCATAAGTGGGAAGAAACGCGTCCACATTGCCTCCATCAGGAACAGGTTCTTCTCACGAGCGAGCTGAGCGAGAATACGCGCCTGAGCTGCATTAACGGTGAAGGCCTTCTCCAGCAAGACGTGCTTTCCGGCGAGTAAACCGGCGCGGGCATTTTGGAAATGGTGCGAATGCGGCGTGGAGATGTAGACAATTTCAACATTGTTGTCTGCGAGGAGGGACTCGTACGATCCGTAAGCGACTGTATTGGGCGGTGCGTTTACTGCAGAGAGGAAGTCCTGGGCTTTTTGCTGTGAGGTTGAGGATGCGACGGCGGCTAGGTTGTGGGTGACATCTTGGACGCCCCTTGTTGATGGGTCGATGAGGAGGTCTTTGGCGAATTCTGAACAGTTGAATTCATCAGCATATATGTTAATTGCGGTTGAAAAATGGTGGATGACGAACTTGTCGCGTTATCGCCAGTTGCTAGTTGTTGACGTTAGGGTTAGCGGTGATCAGTGGACTTGGGTGGCGCAGGGTACTTGTGACCTACATATGATTCCCCAATTCACCATGTTGCTCTTTTAGGCTCTTTCCGAAGCTCAAAAGAATCTTCACCGGCATTGGGCGTACCTATAACTTCCAGGGAGACATTGAGGGGTCAATTAATTAACTGGCCTAATCTTAGCGCATCACGTCATTCCTCGCGATAGTGACACTTACTTCCTGTTCTCGAACTATTTAAATTAAGCCAGGAGTAGTCATAAAGCGGTATGGAGTATGTACAATCCCACTGTAGGTCCTGGGTGAGAAAGCTCCTGCCCAAGCTTGGTCTACACCTCCAACAGGGTGTGGGTTTTCACCACACATGAGAACAGAGATTGACTCGAACATGTAGTAAGCCGCGATAGCTTATAAAGAGATAACTCAGAACTTCTGAAAAAGATAAGTCTACAGCTCCACTGCACCCACGTACTTGGCTACCGCTAGACACACACATGCTTGCTTGATATTCCGCGGATGCGTTGCTGGAGTCAGCTCTTTTCTTCCCTCAATTTTCCCAAGTGAGACGCAATCGCTGAATGACATATCAAGAAGACGAGATGGCTTGGGTATGACTACTGATAATGGCTTTCTGATCAAATCTTCTGTTCCTTTATCCGAACGGCTGTAAATCTCCCACGTCGACTTAATGATGCTCAAAGGCCTGCCTCAAGTTGGTTGTCCAAGAAGTGAAAAATGGCTGAGTTCCTTGGGCAACCAGTCCCCGCGGCGCGTTCTCCATCTTGGCCATTAACCTAATCAGCCAGTCCTCCTTCGCGGTTCCAGCGTCACTTGCACATCGCAGTTTATTCTGTGTGGGCGTTGGGTCCACGAACGTCCGAAATACTGTTTGACGATCGTCTGAGTAAGTTTCCAGTATGTTCATAGGCTTTCTCTCGTGAATGATTAACTCTAGCGCATCTGCAAGACCTTCTGAGTCAATGAGTCCAGTTGTAAGACCCATGGCTTCCATTGGCTAGAGGTCTGAAAGTTAGTTCATGGCACTGCGAAGAAGACTACAGATGGCAAGGCGATACATACGTTATTCAGGTGAGCTGCATCTCCGGCCAGCGCGCACCGTCCACGATTGAATATAGAAGCGCAAAGTTGATGCACGCGATACAGTGACGTCCTAATGACTTTGAAAGGAAGGGGTCTTGGGCCAGGAACAGCTTTTAGGAGAAGCTCCTCAATGCTCATTTCCGAGATCAGTTCATCATCTGGGCGTGCATCCTGGACACTGATTGTCGACCGATGGCGCAATGCATCGAGTCAAGGGCGCATAGGTGTGCTATATGCCGCTCATGTCTTTGAGATGGTCCGGTCAGCCCGTTGTGTTCATTTCATGACACCTGTGCTTCTCTTTAGAGCAGTTCTTGTCTTGTGGCTGTACTCCATGATTCGCGACCGGCTACTACAGGGTCGTGGATACCAAGTACAGATACCGTCACATGTACTAGATCTCAAGAGTCTCGATGCACCGGCTACTAAGCAGTGGATCGTGAATGGGTCTAGATGTATCAAGCTCCCTGGGATTAGCAATCTTCTGAATCGGCAGGGTCGATGCAAGATGCTTGAAGAGTCCGTCGTGGTCATGCGCTCTCTGACATCGTGGGGTATTAGCAGTATGTATGCACAAATACTGGTACGGCTACGACTGGTTGAAGACATACAGCCTGCAGAGCTCCAAGCATTATGATAAGTCAAGACTAGTGTAGATCATCTTAAGTATCATGGCGACACAACGTCCAGTACTTGTTACTGTATTATTGGTCTTCTTCCTTGTGAGTAAAGTTACTCTACTCTAATAGACTCATGTCATGTCTTTTCACGCTCCAGCATCTTTCGGGTGATAAAATAATAGCTTTTGTAATACCCTATGCAGAGAGACAGACAGGTCACGGCAGCCCTAACGCCCTACAGTCAAGGGTCCTTTCAAGGTTAACTCCTGCGGACATAGCATCTCGTAGTCGACGGTGTATCTGTTCCTAATGTGACGTTTCTTTGAGTTAAAGGATATGTATTCCAAACTCATACAGAACCTGCCAGTAGCTTCAAGAATCGAGAAGGGTAGTGGTTCAAGTCGAATTCAGCCACGGATCATCCAGTAGTTCTTTCGCCGTCTTTCTCTCCTCAGGGACCCACTGAAGCATTGAGCGGATGAATTGGAGAAACTGCTGTTTATCTTGACCACTGAGATTCTCTTCTGATTCCTCCATCGAGATTGACGGTATGGAGACACCACCTGCACCCAACCATTTCCCTACATGGCCGTTAGTTTCATTCACGCTTTGGCAGACAAAAACGGACCATTCTGATCAAATACATTGCGTGTTTCTGAACTTCGCTGGAGAAAGTGAAGTGGCGGCAGACCAAGGTAGGCCACCATTTCGGCAACATGGTGGGATGGAGAATATTGTTGGTCTTCGTCAAGTGCATTAAACAGATGTTTGTTTTCAAAAATATCCCAAATCTGGATTTGCCAGTGAGAATAGCCTTCATGGTTACAGGACGAAACTTACCATTGCGCCGACATTCCATATATCAGCGCTAAAGCTCCATGGCATGTCAAAGAGCACCTCGGGGGCTTTATAGATATCGGGCTGAATATCGCCTTCATGAAAACTTCCGATCCTAGCCTCCCCCAGATCACACAGGACTGGCTGACCCCACAAGTCATTGCGCGGCAGTGAAAACTTCCGAGAGGTGTATATCGTGTGATTATCCACAACCTTTCGCCAACTAGGATTTTCTTGCTCCTCCTTCTCGAATTCTGTAAGGATTGCTTCATCTTCAATGCTAAGCATGATGTTCGAGGCCTTGATATCTATGGTGTTCTCAACATATGCAAAAGAGCCGCTAGGACGAGGGAATCTTACCAGAATGAACGATATTTGCCTCACTGTGAAGAAAGTCAAGAGCTTGCAGAAGACAAATCAAAGTTTGCTTGAGTAGAGGTTCGCTCAATCTACAAGACCTAGCTCTCATTCGTAGTGTATTGATCGACATATGCATTGGTGGATGTACCAAGCACTGGTAGACTCCGCATGGATTGGAAAGTTCGAAGGTATCGTACAATCCACGAATATAGGCACTTCCAACATGGGATGAACTCAGTCTGCTTAGGTGTTCGTAAACTCCTAGCTCTCTAGACAAGGCTGGCTCCGCATGGGCGGACGTTCTGGTAAGCACTTTAACAGCGACATACTTATTACTACCAGATGGGAATGAGCTAAATACTGAATATTTTTCACATGGGGAGGGTTCGTACCTTTTGTCACGACACAGCCAAACAGTTGAGTAAGACCCATACCCAAGCTTTCCTAAAACCTTATATCTTGAATGAAGGAGCTCGCCTATATGGACAGGATAGAATTGCTCCGCCTTATAGAAAGGAAGAGTCTCCTCTTCTAAAAGGCGTCTGGTGCCAATCTGAGCAGGCTGAGTGCTCATGGGTCGCCAGTACCTGAAGGTTGGTAGCTGGGAAACGCAATGTCTCAACCTGGTGAGGGTTGCACCACGCCTCATCAATACAAGAAGTCCTTAAGAGTTGAAATACGCAGAACGAGCTTTGAGATGATTAGAAATCATTTAGGGTGGCGGGGAAAAGAGATTACAAAACTGGATGTTGGAAAGATTGAGCAATGTCATTCATAGGTGAGAATTGATAGAGATGAGGAGTATTTAAGTGCAAGTCTCACGTGAATGATACAAGGGGCAACCTCCGGCAGACAGACATGTGGAGCGCCGAGAGCACGTGACCATATGACCCCAGAGCCCTGTTCAAGCAGTGGAAGCAATGTACGCAATTGTTGACCCTAACATTGCCTTCGACCTTCCTTTAGCATGGCTATGAGTTAATATTTACGAGGCTAGAATGTTGCACGAATCCTCCCATCCCATCCACGAGTTTGATACTACACAGCGGACAATTCGGACACCGCACGAGAGCTGAGAGGCTTCACGTTCACAAGTTCACTTTTAAATGGCAAAAGTTATCAAACGTCTTGCTGCAACATTCTATCCAAGACTGATTAATTGATTCACTCATATACCTTACGTTATCATTTCTTCCACTTCGTCTTTGAAGTCCCATCTTCGTGAACATGTGCCGTGCCGAGTCTACTGTCGTTTTCATCCTTCATCCGGACACTGATAACATCTTGCGGGTCGGTGGGGTCGTCATGCGATTTATGGGGTTCCGAGCCCCTGATTTCGGCCTTTTTCACTCTTGGATCCTCAAGTGGATAGTTAGCTCGCTGTTTAAGAACATCGCATGGATGGGATATCACCTCCTGTTCCATCTGATCACAAAAGGCTCTAACGGCTTCTCGATGCTTTATGTTTTTGATGTCCGACAAAGCAACGCCGCCCACATATTGGATAAATCTCTTACTGGTTGCCTGCATTATGTGTTGCGGAGGAAGGTCGCAGTCTGGATAAGGCTTTGTGAGAATGTATGATAAGAGCCGTTGTAGTAAACGCTCTAGAGACGAACCGGGTTTTATAATCGCTATTTCGCAGGTAGACGACAACCTGGATGAGGGCTTTTTTAGGAAGGTGCGGCTTAGTCTCAGGGGCTAGGCGTTTGCTCAAAGGGCGAAACTCGGTTCATCCGGAATGGTTAGCAGTTTAGAGTGTGTTCGATGAAAGAGAAATCATCACTGGCTTCTCAATCGTCCTGCACCATATCAACACCAGAGGGGTAGTGGACGGCTGAAACATATCTGGACATGCCAGCGTCTGCACAGATGCCATCTATTGGGCACTGCGCCCAATAGCTCAGAGGCATACCCTAGTTTTCCCCAATTAACCACTTGAGCTTAGCGCCACAGGTTGATATGAACATCGGTGTACGGCATTGCGCCTTAAGGTTGAGCGCCAGGCGGTGCGCCAGATGATGTTGTTTACTTCGCTTTGACCTCTCAGCCAGAATATGTAAATGCGCGCAAGGACACCAACAGTGGTGTTAATTACCACTAATGCACGAGATATCACAGGTGATAGCTCTAGGTACAATGTACAGCGAGGCTCGAGCTGAATGATAGCCAATAGAGATGCCACCTTACCTCTTTCCAAGCTGAACTAATATACCATTGGCCTGGTGATAACCTCCACTAGAAGTTAGGTACCCAAGCGATATTTAGCTTCCAGATGTTACATTGATCCTATGTAGTCTGACGTTGGGCCCAGTTATCGGAAGTCAGTTTCTGGATCTTGAACACATCATTTGTGTTAATTCAGTCATACTAGTCGTCTGTATTATAATAACGAGAGGTATTATAGCTGTATAGACCTTATCAGCCTCGATGGACTAGATGGAAAGGTTTTAAACGATGTCTGTGTATCTTACGAAATTACCGAAGCTGCCGTCATCGCGTGCCAGGAGAGACTATACAGCAAAGTTCACGCGCTCCGGACGCAAGCAGACTCACCGGAAAGAAAGGTATTAGATGCCCAAGGGCCAGATTCTTCACGGATTATAGGAGCGAATGTTAGACTTATCGTTGGACCGGAAAGGGGAACCCGAGGATAGTAGCAAAAGTACAAAATACTGGACATCGACAATTCCGGAAACGTTACATGAAAATGTCATTGGACACTAGTGGTCAATCTATGGTTACAGTGAATGACAATACAAAACGTTCAACCCGAAGTGACAATTTGATTTGTTCAGAAAAGATACGGTAAGAGGCCATAAAGCAGAACTACAGTCATGTGAGACATACTTTCTTTCTTCCAATGCTTAGGGCAAACATTGCCAGGCCGAAGGCACCAGTGATAGTCGTAGTGGGTCGGTCTCTCACTGACTTCTTCACAAAGGCCAGGAGGGCAATAGTACGTGATTCTGCCATAGGAGATGAAGGGAGTGGATTTACAGACTTCAATGCTTGTAGGAGGCTGTGGGTATTGGAGAATTCTCCGTTCCAGTATTTTTGAAGTATCCAACCTAGCCACATATCCTGTGTACTTGGTAAGAACTTCCTCTCAGGCTAATAAGCCCGACCGTCGGTAGGAGAGTTATCTTTGAAGAGGTCGATTTCACACTTGTTACCAGTGGCAACTTCATACATGACTGCACCGAGTAGGCCAATATAAATTCTAGTAGTATATCCATTGTCATCGACAGCATCCATATTAGAATCCAATGGGAGCAGCGATACCCCCGAGAATCGCTAAATTTGAGATATAAATCGGAATCAAGAAGCAAGTTGCGGCTGGCGATATCTGCAACAAGCACACGCCTGTCATGAATATAACTAAGTGTCCGAGCCATCGCCTGGAACTATGTGAGCTGGAGCTCAGGCGAAGGGCGGCATGTTGCAAGGTAACTGCGAAGGTCTCCATTGGCCATATAAGCGAGATGCGTGGCTTCATTGGTGAATTCAATACAATGGACAATACCATCAGATCGATCATCTCCAGTGGCTTGCAAGCGACGGTGTACATTTTGTTCTCGTTTGGGGCTTTCAATATTTGCTTTCACGTCGGAGTCTGAGCTCCAAAGATATCTTAAGGGAGTTTTGACAGCCACGTCATTCCGAAGCAGAACTACTGCAGAGCCACCATTCCCAAGAACTTGCTCCAGAGGAATTGGATCGCCCTGGACATTGAGGAGTGGGGAGAACATCTTAATGGAAAGAATGGTAGTGGTGTTGAATTCAGCACCAGACGGATCCTTGCATGCAAAGACAAACAAGTCAAAAATATGCATAGCAGTTGATGTGCATACTATTAATCGTCATCACATATCTACTTATTGGATTAAATCGCGCTTGGATCTGGTCTGGTCAGTCTAGTCGTAATCCTCAAAGATACAGGATATTAGCTCAGACTGCTTCAAGTGCTAGGGACAATGATATATAACCCTACAGTGGCTTTTACATTCAACATACCGTGATTTTTTGTTTCCACCAACTTTGGCACCAGTTGAATCATTGTTTCCCTCAAGATATCTGTCACGATTATATTTCTACATGCGTAACATTGCCAGCTGTTAGTAAACTTTGCTCTCATGCGGTAATACCTAACAGTTGTTGTACAACCATTAGATTTCCAGAAAGCCCACCCCTAGAATTGCGGAGACAGTAATGGATGACTGCTAGTCGAAGGCTTATAGCCGAGACGTGGCTTGGAATATTCATGGCATTTGTTCTACCCTATGCTGTATAAAAATATCAACTCGGCACTTTGATATTCCTCTTCGGAAAATGCTGCTCCGTCGTCATATCAGAAACATTGTAGCCGGGCTCGCTAAACACTAGAGCTTTCTCAAGGGTGGCAATCTTTGAAGGCCAGGAGGGAGCCTCCTCCCTCGCGAAGTTGGAACCCTGTTGTTCAGATGGATCTGTCGTATTATCCCGACGAATGCCTAGTTCTAGTCTGGCATTGAATGCATCCACCAGTACTTCAACCATGCTCGCAAGAATCGCATATCGAATAGGATATTCGTCTCGAGGATCTGAGATACAAGCCAATTCCCAGTGAGGCTCAGAATGGAAAAAGAAGTATCTGCACTCGTAGCCCAGCATAATAAACTCACTGGCACAGAGATCCTCAAAAAGTCGATACAGTGAGCGGAGAGGCGTATCACGGGCACGGAATATTGGGATGTTGTAAAGTTGCCAAATTCTAGACTGGCGTTCATCACGGATATTAAGGTGCTTTGCAATATTTTCCACCGATAGCAATGGACGTGGTAAAGAATAGCCTCCATGGAAACGGCCAAACAAGAATGAAGAAAACGGACCATGAATGGGGACAGGCGCGACCTCGCCGTAATGTCAGTCGAACCTTAAGAGGGGTATGATCGTGGATGATAGCTTTGACTGGATTCCGCATTTTGTTGTGGATTATGACTTGCAACTGTTGCGATCATACAGGGGATAGAGATCATGAAGTCCCCCGACGTACAACCCGGAGCCGGATAAACAAAAACGTCGGATCTCAATACATGCCATAATAGGGCTTATTCCGCAACATGTACTCTATTTTTATTTCGGTTCAATATATTTGACCATCCAACTAAAGTGGAGCGTAGAAGTAGTCGACATGAGATAGCTAAGCCAGGCGGAAAGAAATCAGTCGGCGCCCAAAACCCTGCCACCCTGGGGGACTATTCTTGCATCCTAAGAGACACGCTGAGGTAAATATGTAACTGGTATACAGCCAATCAGACACGGAACCCAGGAGAGAAGAAGAATGCATACAGAAAATGTGATGTGTATGAGGGAGTGGACCAGAAAACGGCCGGCCTGTTGTCAGGAAGCTCAGAGAACCCATATAAACGAGAGAGCATTGCTGACGGGTATACAGACGGCGACTGTCTTTTACGTAGCCTGCCTTACTGGTGTAAAGTTTCTAGCGTCTCTGATAATGCTTAATATACATTGTACTTGTGAATTTGGGGTAAGCTGAAGCTATATAGGTGCCATCCAGGATATTGTGACTCGTACAGTTAGAATAATGTGACCTTTTGGCCTAGTTGGGAGCGTGTTTCCCTGGACGCATATATTCAGTTGTGCCGTGTAGTATGCCGTACTAGACCAAAATTATTCTATCTATAGCGCTGATAAGTTTAGTCTGTGGACTATACCTAACAACCACCCGCCATGGTCAAAATAGACCCTCGAGTGTCAGTAAAACCATTACAGAGATATGATATGAATAATTTTACTTGTAAATAAATGCAAAGACCTTCCACGGATCATGATGTCTAGCCACACAGCGTCTAGGATACAGATATGTCTCAAACTCTCTCTCCAAGAGAGGAGGCAGGACACGCATGTAACTGGAAGTATTGATTTATTTAACTTGAGAAGTTATCCTCCATACCCTTACGGAGCCTCCATCAGTGAATATGTATGCTGGTCGCAGCCTGCTTGAAGTAGACATTGTGGTAGCAAGGATACAAGGGTAGGCATCATTCTTGAGAGAGGCTAGGGCTATCCCTATGCAGAGTAAACACACGGTAAATGTTGATTCAATCTGCTAAGGCTACTCGGCAATGAGGGCCTTAGTTTATCGCAACGAGTGACCCTTGCGGATTACGAGTCCTGCAGACTCGATTCATCCTTTACATATCCCAAACTAGGAACCTCTCCAGGAGAAAATGTCCCGTTCACTACGCCGCAGGTGCTTAGGATCAATTCGTCCACATGAGCAAGTGCGGATAACAGAGGCTTTCTTGAGAACGGGCTGTGAATATTTGCTGGAGCGGTAGGTCCGTGTAGAACAACACCAGCCTCCCGAAGCGATTCGATTTCCTCCTCACTCGGGGTGACATGCCAGGAATGATACTCTTTCATTCGCCTGACCCAGTAGCCTGTGAGAAATTCAGGCAAACATTTGGTAGAATCCCTGTAGGCAGAAAGCACGTCGGCTAAGAGGATCTCAAAATCCTTCAACAAGTATCTCTCGTGATGAATCTTAGATATCTCGTCTGCCGTCTTTGCTCGATCCGACGGGTGGCTACAGGTGTGAGTAAGGCCCATACAGTTGAATGTCAGGAAGCGAAGGATGTCCTCGGGCAGCTTGTTAAAGAATGTTTGTACTTTTTCAAATGAGACGACGAGCCATGTTATGATTGCAGCTGTTTCATGGGCGCAGCTATGTAGGCGTCCGAGCTCAACGTATGAAAGATACCTTGTAAAACGACAGTGAACCCACAGCATCCACCAATAGAACGAAGCAGCAGCAGGCGTCACGCATGCCGTTAGTTAATATTTGGCAGAAAACTTGTTTCAAGGCGAGAGGCAACCGGATTAAATCATCAAACCACTTCTTATCTGCAAGGGATGGTAAACTGCGACCCACGGCAAAACCGACAAAGTGGAGGGCTGGCGTACTTTCATATAGTCGATACGGCTGAGCGCCTTTTCCTATTAACCAGTCTGTCTGCTCAAGGAGGGACTTAAATGGAAATCCAGATATAGTCATGAGAAGTGTCCTGCCGCGGACATCGGGTACTTCGACATCTCGAAACCCTGCTTCCCACAGTCGATCCGCTATCGACAAATTATCCTCCAAAGCACCATACACAGACCATGCATAGGGTTCCCCGACTCCACCCAAGTTGGTTCTCTTGTCTTCTAACATCCGAGTAACCAGATGGGCTTGAAAGTCTATAAGAGTATCGGGTCTGATTTCCAACGCCGACACTTCATCGACGGACAGGTGTGTCTCCGCGAGAAACTGCAAGCACTTTCTGCGGTCAACTAAAGCTTGGATAATCAGCTCTACCATGCTGAAATTGGGATGACAAGCGGCTTCGTATAGTTCGTTGGGCCCTACATGGATATTGCCAGTTTCGATCAGGATGCGGACACTGGCTTCGCAATTGAAGTCGAGGGCTGCGAAAAGTGTGTCTTCGGTCGCATTATAGCCAGCTTGTAGCAATATCAACAAACCATCAGGCCAGTGCGCATACGATATCATCCAATCCTTCATGTCGGCCCCCTGGTGTATCAACTGGCGAAGCTGAGCTGTCAATCTGATCACTAGAGGAGCCGCCTCCTCTGGGAAGTCACTAGCTGTAAGAAATGCGCAACGTCAATTTCACGTTTGCCAGACATCGGCCCTTACATTCATATGCTCTCATTCACTGCCATCCACAGTGGAAGGGAGATGGGAAGCTCTTTATAGTAACTCACCTGTACAGGCGGTTGCCTTTTCAAGCTCCTGGAAAATATAGATAGCGGGATCTATATTGATTATTTCGTCGGGGCCAAGAGACGGGAACCGACGCCTGGAGGGAAAGGCCGAGCAAGTAACATGGCCGCCAGCATCCAGGATTTCTCTTCCCACCTCGATCACCGCTTGCTCTCTACCAGTAACTACACTGGACATTTCCCGACAAGTTTTGACAAGCCAATTCAATGGCGTTAGGCCAGAATTATCCACACAAGTAGGTGAGCCACCGACCTGAAGTAAATATTTGACTAAGGCATGGCAATTTCCCTGCTCCTTTCGTGGGATCGTTGGATAGAAGATGGCCAATAGCTGCTTATCGAGTTAAATATTTAGAAAGTCTTAATGAGCATAATACACTCGTTCATGACGAAAGACTGCCACATACGAGATACACGGCTAGTTGGGGAGGTGTGGCTTACGTGTAACAATGTTCTTCCATTTGCTAAAGTGTCCGACGGTGAAGCTGTACCGTCTTGAAAGATCTGAGCCAGCGCTTGAGTGTCTGGAAGTGGTATCTCAAAATCCCAAAATTGCCCAAAGCTGCAACGGCCCAGGTGTCTGATGAAGGTGAATGCTGGTGAGTATGGTGAGACAACTGCACGAAACTCGAGCCTTGGACTAATGGAAAAGGCACCAGCACCAGAAGTGACTGTGAAAGACAGTTTGAGAGAGTAACTCAGGAACGTGGTGCATAACAACGCTCGTGTATATGTGGAGATCACCTTCCTGTTCTTTGCGGCGTTGAATGGCCACAAAGGTCTGTGAGGTGAGACCGACGGACCTGGTGGCCGTGCACTGAGGCTATTTGGACCACCCTCGGACCAGGCACACCCAGGCCACTGCCTTCCTTCGGTTATCAATTTAGACATATTTTCATTAATCTCTCTTTGCGTCTCTAGAGCCGACCATAGAAGACCGGGGCTGAGGAGTGGCTGTGCCCCGTTGCCCAAGATATTGGTTTCCTGAACGCCGGAGAATAGTGTATGAGCACTGGGTAAGAGACACGAATCTCATCCCAGGCGATCTATGCGTGCTGCGAGCATATCGATCTTACTGTCCAAGCCAGTATGTGTGTCATCTAGCCCCTGTATCATGGCAACAGCTTGGGTTGCATCAGAGGCGGTGGACGCGGTATACGATAGAACAACATCTATTCGACTTTGGCCGACCACTTCCATAGCCCTGGAAAACGTTCAGTAGTGTACCACTACTGGTGGAGGTCAGTAGCCTACAATTGTAAAATCTGCAGAGTATTCCCAAGGTTTCTCTGTAACGAGATCAATGATTCTTTGACCGCCATCACTGTTTCCTTCTCAAACGGATACAACATCCGATTTACTTGGCTCCTGAAACTTGGGGATTTTCCCTTCAAGGAGGACTTTATGCATCTCTACACCACATTAACAGTTTAACCTTTAGTGCGTCAAATATCGCGCTTTGCTGTCTTCCACTTGGGTGCGATACAAACACTTGTTGATTCGCGGGCGCCTAACAATGTCGCTCATCTTTGAGTAGCAGGGGTCATGGCGAGATGGGCTTGTCGGAGAGGCCTTGGTATCAATGTAATATATCACTTCGCACGCAAACAGGAACGCTAGGTCTCAGTATCTCGCGAAAAGGTATGCTCCTATCCTATACACACACAATAAATTATCGCAAGTTGAAACCGAGGCAGCGAGCAACCACAGAAGTCTTGAGAGAGATGCTATGTGGATTAATACAGCCACACTCCCTTATAATAAGCATTCATACTTCCATATCATAGACTAGGCTTTTAAAGTCCAAGACAATTCAATAATCTATACAAGGCGATATCACAGGTGAGGTGAAGATCAAGTGGCGGCCCGTGCCGAGTGAGACCAGTCCGCTTGCCCTAGCCCTAATGGATGTGCCTGTATATTGGTTCCTAGTGCCGAAAATGTTATCTTGATATGAAGTGTCCCAGAGCTGATGCGATGCAGAATAATGACATGGTAAGACATGATAGAATCTGGTACCAAGATTCTTAAGGTACATTATGCGTACAAAGCTCGACGCTCAATAGGGGTCGAATACTTTACCATTAGGTGCGATCAACTGCATGAGTATTGAAGGCGAGCTGGCCTTATCAATCCAATAATTAAGCGCCGTATCTCCACTGGAGAGAAGAGCACATGGATCGGTATTGGCTATATATTCCTGCCCTGAACCCGAGCTGCGGCAAGTGAAGCGCGGCTATTTCGGATTCTCCGATTCACTGTAGTAGTGGTAGAGAAAATAGAAACAAATGGTATTAATTAATAAGGCAATTAATCAATGCGGCACTGCCTTGCGGAGCGGGAGGAGCAACAGAATTGCTCTCGCCGGTCAGCACTAACTTGGCCCATGCATGAAAAGTCCCCATCCGGCATTGTCAGCATCGATCCTCCTCCACTCACCACCCACCAAGTCAACACCAGTAGGATGTCTTCCCTGGCAAGAGGTGACGGCCCCCATCCTGCGATCTGCAAGGCTTACATCCATAGACATCTGGTCAGCGTTTTCCTGCGAACATGCAAAAATAAAAAGCCACCGCCCCGCTTCCTTGCAACAGGAACCGGACAACTACGTGAAGTGAAGGCTGATTAAATACGAAGTCACCATGGCAGTAGATGATCAAGGCGGGCGAATTGATAAACAACCTCTCCTGGTATCCATACATCCCCCTTGCTTATCTTAACATCCAGCACGTTAACATTGTCTTAGATATCAACCGGTGTCTTCTTCGCCCTCGCCATCATCGGAGTGATCGTGCGTTTTGTGCTTAGATTTCGTGTGCAGAAACAGAAGTTCCAACTCGACGATGGATTGCTTATCTTGGCCACTGCCTTTCTCGTGGCAAGCACGGTGGCCATGTATGACAAGGCAGTCTACATCATGTACCTGGTGGAGGCCATTGCGCTCGGTCGTATGGAGGTCCCTGCGAACATGATAGAGTTGTCCGATGAGGATCACAAATGGACAATGGTCACGCTGATGCTCATCTGGTGCGCAATATGTACCGTCAAGTTCTTCTTCCTGGTGTTTTTTAGGAAATTGATTGATCGCTTACGGGTCTGGCAAATCTACTGGTGGTTTGCTTGCTTGTTCAACCTCGGCCTTTGGGTTTTTGGAATCGTTGCCTTCTGGGCAACCTGTCCCCATCTGGGTGCGGCCGCCAGTGAGTTCTCCATCATCCTACGGCTCCCCTTTCTACAGATCGGCGAGTTCTAACGGAACCCCAGTGGAGTGCAACACCCCAAAGTATCTGGGCAGACTTACTGCATACACCGCGTCCAAGGTAGCCGTGGATATTGTATCGGACATCTTGAGTATGTGCTACATTCCCTAACCCACCCCGAACGCAGGCTGAACCTAGCCGCTAAATCTATTTACTCTACAGTCCTCGCAATCCCCGTCGTTGTCATCTGGAAGGTCCGCGTGGATTGGACGCAGAAACTGGCTCTAGCAGGCTCCCTCTGTATTGATGTCGTCCAAGTTGGCCTGTCCATCGCCCGAGCCGCTGGTCTGGAGCACGACGGCCACGCCGATGGCATCTTCGAGATGTACACGCTTTTCATCAGCGCGGCATTGGGTGTCTTCCTGGCCGCCGCTACGGCCTTCCGACCGTTCATAATGGCCAAGAAGCGCAGCAAGGCCTACACTCCGCCATACAGCCGGTGGCCGAACAGCCTTTCGAACAAGCGAAAGGCAGGATCGGACCGGAGCGAGGGCAGTGGTTGGTCCGGACAAACACCTACCCCAACTGCGGGCGACTTCCAGCGTTTGACCCCGGACGGCGGCAAGGATTGCGACAGTCGTCGGGAGGACCTGGAGTGGCATGCCATGTCGAGCACGAACTCCAGTGCAACGCACTGTGTGGAAGGAGTGCGTACCCATAGCATAGGTGATGTTTCCGCGGAGGAGGTGACGGTGGTCCAGCCGATCAGTGTGCTGAAGCACGCGGCTTGATGTATAATATTGGGTTTGCAGACATCTGTCCGACTCAGCAGAATTAAACTAGAGCAGAACGCCCAGTCATGATGAACAATAATGATAACGTCAGCGGAGCATCGAACGGAATAGTGACCACGGCACTGCGACTACGAGATCCACAGCTCTCAAGGAGGCGGGGAAACAGTCGCAGGTGGGGTTACATTACGCAGCCTTGGCCTACTCTTCGTCCTCTGCAGCAGTCAGCTTAGGTGATATTGAATATCTCGGCCAATGGTGATCGGACCGCTGCTGCAGATCCTTTCTTTGCTTGGTGTAGTTGGTCTATTTCCAGGCTTAGCACACCTGCTCCGACTCGGCCTCACCACAACTAGCCTACTTATTCAACTGGGAACTTCCTATCTTGTATATTTATATCGAGGGTACAACGGCGTGGAAGTTCTGTTCTGTAGCAATGCAGTACCACTCTAACCTTTACTCCCCAGTATGGTCTTGCCCATCAAAAATGGCTCCAAACAACCACGACTCCTAAGCATTTCACAAACCACTTGCTCTAAGCAAGTTCCTTCCCGGACGACAGCTGCAACGTGGTTGTCATGCTCATGCTTAGTGAAATGCTTAGGGAACTTACCCGGCCCTACCACCCATCTAGGAAGTTGGAGACCGAAATGGATCGCGCTGATGATCCAACCCCAGGAACTAGCCAGCGAAGGCGCTGCCCTAATGCAATCGGCGTGGGGTCCAGCCTAAGGTGATTGGACAGCGGGACATTATCGACTACAATATTGGCAAGGCAGTATGACACGTAGACGAGGCAGATGGCAGAGGTGTTTGCACAACGAAATGATTCCTGTGTGTCTTGATGAATCTTCCTGGGCCATCCACACTAGCCCTAAAACCCCGGTGTGGCTCTCACAATAATGGCCCTTTCGAAAGGACTGTAGAAAATATAACAGAACGACACCACGAGTGCACCGTTTTATTGTCAGCCATGGTATATGCTGCGATGTCATCCATTCCCGTGAGAGCGGAATACCTATCCAAATATAATAATGCATACCTCCACCTATGTGCTAATACTTTCCAGGAAGCATTTTCCTAGTGCGAAAATGTGGGTTAGAAGGTTCATATTCGAGCTGCGTTTACCTCAAGGGAGTGTAAGACATAGATGAACACATGACAACGATTCCAAAGCTTGTGCTCTTGGTCGGAGAATTTTGGACCAGACATTAGTTAATGTGCCCGTATGACGGTATAGCTTAGGACCGGGTGTCACTATTGTAAACACCCGAAGCACACTATACAGATATTAATGATACTCGGCACGCGGCTCCGTTCTTTTCTGTGTAGTATAACTTCATTATTATAATGCTATATGATATCTATTCCGCTAACACATAAAAGTATCTGAAATTGGTGCAAGATGGGGTCAGTTTCCGTGTCTCTTTCAGGCGAATATTGGCTAACCCAGGTATAAGTATGATTTTGCGTCTCGCCTTACCGCCAATATATTGAACGACTATTGCTCCTGCAGGGCCACGTGGGCAGTCAAATCCAGAAGGCGGTTCGAATATCCCCATTCGTTATCGTACCACGCCATGATCTTGAAGAACTACACCTGCTGTCAGCTCGATATACTTGGTTGAGTAGGAATAACGGCAAACGAACCTGAGGATTCAACTCTGTGCAAGCAGCGACGTCCACAATTGCACTGTTAGGGTTTCCCTTGTAGTCGCTGCTGACAAGCTCCTCGTCGCTGACATGGAGGACTCCGGCAAGACTGGACTTGGATGCGCGGCGGAATGCGGCTATTATCTCGGTCAAGGATGTGGGTTGCTCTGTGGTCACGGTCAAGTCGATCATGGAGACGTTGGGCCTATCATAATCAAGTTAGATTCTAATCCTCGGACACGAGGAACGAGACGATGGCTTACGCTGGTACGCGGATGGACACTCCGGTGACCTTGCCGGTCAGTTCAGGCAGGACAGTTGCGATGGCCTTGGCGGCACCAGTCGTAGTGGGGATGATGTTATCGAAGACACTGCGGCCTGTTGAATGTCAGCATCGCTTTCCTGTCCTCATAAGCATGCTCGATGCAGGTCCAGATCATAAACCTACCCAGCCGACGGTTCTTCTTGCTGTACCCATCCAGAACCTGCTGTGATTGGGTCGCCGCATGCACCGTTGTCAGGAGTCCCTGTACGATTCCGAACTTCTCGTGGAGCACCTTCAATACCGGCGTGACGCAGTTTGTTGTACAGCTGGCACAAGAAACCACGCGGCGGTCGTCATCGGCCGTGTACTCATCGGAGTTGACCCCGTACACATATGTAGGGGAGTCGGAGCTGGGGGCGGAGATGACGACCCGCTTGGCGTGGCCGTAGGTGACGTGTTGCAGAGCCAGGTCACGCTTGGTGAACTTGCCGGTGCATTCAACCACATAGTCAACACCGACAGCGCTCCAGTTCAGCTTCTGCAGGTCGCGTTCCGAGGTGAGGACAATCTGGCGACCGTTGATGGTGATCCGGTTGTCGGATAGGGCGTGGATGGAGATCTCGTCGGATAGTTTGCCCATACAGGAGTCATATTTGATGAGGTAGATGAGGTCTTGCACGGAGGTACATGTGTGGTTGATGGCAACGATTTGGAGGTCTGTTCTGGTAAGGGAAGCACGCAAGACGTTTCGACCTGTTGGTTAAGATGATGGGTGGTTAATGGCTGGATGTGGAATGGACATGGTTAGCCGTCACCAACCTATACGGCCGAACCCGTTGATGCCAACTTTACACACAGAAGGCTGGATAGAGGCCACACTGTGAGGGAAGTCACTGATTGAGGGAGCCATGTTGCTATGTGAAACGGTAGTCTTCTAATGAGGTCGGTGAAGATTGATAGGCCCGATTGAATCTGAAGGCGATAGTAGATATATTGACCAACTTTCCAAAACCGATGTGACTTGGCCGTGAATAAATACAAATTCCCACAGTGTAACATGTCCCACTACCGACTCCTCCTGTTCTATATATACAGCAATTCATTACGCAAGAACCATGATCTCAGCGAGGTAGCATCATCCGTATACTTCTCCGTTAGGGCAAGCGACCAGTAAGATTGCCGGGAATTCCCGGGAGAAGTCATCGCAGGTCCACTTCTGCGCTCAAGATCCCGATGACCGGATATTTAATCGGCTTTCACCATTGGTAGATGGGAACCGCGAATGAGATCGCGCGTCACGGCCTGCTGGCAACCAGCTCGCCTTGCCGAGAGATATGCCGGCTCGACGCTTTGATCTGGAGGTTTAACGAAGTTCGCTCTGTCTTTGCAACCCCATACCCCAGTAACCGAGAACCCTCGACGTATGCGAATCTACCCCAGCATGATCTTTCCGCCTAGACATCCCGAGTCGAATTAACTTGCATATTGCAATCCGCCCCCGTGTCCCATAGGTCGCCGCTCAGGGTCTCTGGGCCCGGCCGGACCATTTCATGTCCGACGGAAATCGGAGCGGGAATGTGTTGTCCGATTACCGGCAATTAAATCTCTCCAGACCAAGTCTGGGGGCATTCTCCACTCTGGGCTCGTTCTCGATCCTTTTTTTATCGTAAGGATATATCAATTCAGCATTGGCAATCGGTGGTAATTTTGGTGAGGCGTAGGGGAGCTACGAGTGTGGATTTGCTTTTCTTCGCAATGTACACACTAGAACAATATATCGGCAGCGGCGGCATGCTGAGTGACGTTGTCAGTATGACTCGGTCCCTAGCTGCTACACACTTGTTGAGACAGTGCAATAATACAGAAGATGTACTTCAAGAGGGTACATGGCTCACACTGCGAGGCATTCACTGGCAGACAGACAACCACTGAAAACTTCTAGAGACACTGACGATATTGCTAGAAAGATACTCTCCGCGAGTCAGAAGTTCTCGTCCGAAGCAGGGGTAACCATGAGGACGTCAAGGAATCCCTGCTAGAAAAGGGATATAACAAAGTCCGGCGCACGGGCGTCTTATTGGCACGACCTCAAAAGGGACTCCTAGCCAATATGCGAACTGGCGGAAATAGAGGGCAAAAGCCTACTGTTCCACACGGAGCAGTGACCATCGCCAGCATGGTGGTCTCGGTCAGACATAACAACAGCCCATTTGCACCAACTCTGGCACAACGTTCTACCCATGAATCAAAGCTGTCAGAGATTCTCCTTGACAGCGGGTTCATGACCTCCGCCAAGAGCCAGACCAACAAAGGACGTGGCGGGATATGCACGCCACGAACCACTCCCACTCCCGTGTGTGCCAACTGCCAGCATGCAGGACCCTGCTAAGCTCTCCATCCGCGGCCGAGCCCTTCAGGATACGTTTAGCCTATTTGTTTTACCGCTAGTTCCCTAGACTCCGGTTGGCGCCTGCTGATCCGCACCACAAACCCCAGATTTTGTGATCCCATCCAGCGCGTGATGATATGCGGGGGAGAGGTCTGGGGACGGTCGATCGCTACACTTGCATTCGTTCTAGCAATGTCTATTCGTCGATGGACAATGATTAATCTCGACGTGGAGCTGGCTTCGTCCTCTTGGCTCCAGTGACCTGCGTCCCTGAAGCTTTGTTTGGCCAGATGCTGCATTAGAGAGTCGGGATTGTTTGGAGCTGGACAGCATTCTTCCCAGCGGTGACCAATATAAATATGGCAATGTGCTGTCCTTGCGCCCTGTAACACTGGGCTGCCATGCGATCGGCATAGACATCGATCGTTCCCAGTTTCTGCGGCCACACCCATCGATATTGATCTAAGTATCGAGCATCACATTCTAGCGCTATGCCTTCCGTTTTCAGATCCGACATAAAGTCCCAGTACCCTCGTTCCGAAGGCAGAAAAGGGAATAGTACCTATATTGAAGATGTGCATCCCGTCAAGCCGACCGATGAGAAGGTGCAGGGAGATTACGCTGGCGCCACGGCAAAGACGGATCCGAGGGAGATTCGTCTGGTTCGAAAATTGGACATGCGAATCATGCCCATCTTGTGGGCAATGTATTTCATGAATTTCGTGAGCATCGGCCGAGCCCATGCCACTCCGATTTGATGCCACTAACAAGAATATACTACAGATTGACCGTAATGCCGTTCCCAATGCTCGCTTAAACGACCTCGAAAAGGACCTGGGTCTCGTCGGCACCCAGTACAACACATGTATTTCGATCTTTTTTGTAGGGTATGTGGAAATGAGAGATCTTGCACGACGATGAGGTTGCTCACCAACCCGACAACAACAGGTACCTCTTGATGCAAATTCCCTCCAACATGCTCATGTCCTCCAAGAAAGTCCGGCCATCTTTATACATGAGCGTCTGCATGGCCGGCTGGGCGGCTGTCTCGGCTTGTACCGCGTTAACCAAGAACTATGTCGGCCTGGTGATGGTCAGGTTCTTCTTAGGCATTGCAGAAGCCCCCTTCTACCCCGGGGCTCTCTTCCTCCTATCTGTCTTCTACACCCGCAAAGAAATCGCCCTCCGTATCTCGATCCTATACTCGGGTAACATCATCGCAACAGGTGTCGCAGGCCTGATCGCCGCAGCAACCTTCTCTACCTTGGACAAGGCACACGGCCTAGCGGGCTGGCAATGGCTCTTCATCATCGAAGGCGTGGTCACATTCGGAATCGCCGTCCTTGGCCTTCTCATGCTCCCCGACCACCCACTCACCACACGATGGCTCACGCCAGAAGAACGCCAACTCGCCCACGATCGCATCATCCGAGACACCGTCAATAGCGAAGAATCCGAGGGGCCTATGGCCGGCTTGAAGCAAGCCTTCCGGGACCCGCGTCTGTTCTTGCTAGCCTTCATGCAGAACATGCACCTGAGCTCCTGCAGCTTCAACAACTTCTTCCCCACCGTAGTGGGAAGCCTCGGCTACAACAGAACCATCACCCTCGTTCTGACCTTTCCACCATACCTCGCCACCTGTATCGCCAGCGTCGTGATAGGGATCACCTCTGGTCGGTATAACGAGCGCACCTGGCACATCACCGGGTGCATCGGCGCCGCCGTCATCGGGTTCATCATTTCCTGCGTGACGCTGAATACCGCCGCCCGATACATCTCTTGTTTCTTGTTCGCGAGCGGTGCGTATGCGGCTAACTCGGTCATTCTGGGTTGGGTGTCGGCGACCTTAGGACAGACGCCGGAAAAGAAGGCCGCGTCTCTTTCTTTCGTTAACGTTGTTGCAAATGCGTCCTATATCTATACCGCGTACCTCTATCCCAAGAGTGATGGGCCTCGGTACCTGACTGCCATGGCGTCCAATGCGGCGTTTGGGGTCGCTGTCATAATCAGTGCGTGGGCTTTGAGGTTCTGGCTGCAGAACACGAATAGGAAGATTAGGCAGGGGATTCTTCCAGGTGCGGATGAAGGGTTGCTGTATGCCTACTGAGGTTACTGTATGGACTGTGGGAGGCCTCGCTCCTTTCTCCTGTTGAGCTTGATCTACTGACACTATGCACTGTCACGAAATTGAGAATAGTTCATGTATACTGGCTGCGGTCAAGTGCCATGATATTGTAATTTAGACCAAAGCGTGGTAAATACGTCTCTGCTTCATTAGTTACTTTACTGTTTTCCAACAGGCCTGCCATTTTGCAGCTACTCGCGACTCAGGGGAAGTACATTGCCAAGAAGCTTTCTTCTTGTTCTATCTAGTGGCTCAATAAGCTCTGAGGTTCATAGACTCCAAGACGTCATGATCAAAGGACAAGATACACTGAGATAGATGCAGCACTATCGGAACATTGAAGTTCCGAGTTAACTACTTGGCAAATATGTTGGCCAAGCATTTCTCACTATCTATTAGTAGAATATATAAGCCCAGTTTACATGCACCAACCGTCCAAACCACCGCCAACCAGGTTAAACTCAGAAACATCTTGATTTCTCCATTTCCATGAGCCCTTTACTGAGATTAGGCCAGTCTCTTAAAGGGAGATATAGCACATATAATATCATTAAACAGCTACACGAAAGTGCTTGGTTGGCAAGGCACGCTGTTCTTTTTCACCCTACATTATCAATTTTAGACTTATTCTGTCAACAGGAATGACATCGGAACACCTGTCCTAGTCAAGTGCACTCATCACTCCCAGATCACAAATGAGAGAGACGTTCTGAAAAAGTTTCAATCGCGAACAACTGGCCTTCGTCGCTTGATTGACGAGATAGAAGAACCAGCCCACCCACCTGCGATTGTACTCCAGCACTTGGATGATGATCTCTATAACGCCTGAGCTACCAGGACACTTTCGACTACCGAAATAAAATATATATCATGGCAGGTCCTTCAAGCTCTGGCGGTGCTTCATGAAGATGGCTATGTGCATACAGGTTTGAATTTACCAGCACCCTAACACTTCGCTTGCTAATCGTCCCGACAGATATCAAATTAGACAATGTGCTGGTCAATTATGGAGCACCAGCCATGATAACCGATTCACAGACGCCCGGCTTGCAGATCTAGGGAATACTGTTCATATTGAATCTAAATTTTGCCAAAACCGCGATCTTATCGGTGCTTCTGTTTGGCGGAGCCAGAGGCACAACTTGGTCTACAATGGGGGCCAGCAACTGATATTTGGTCATTCGGCACGCCGGTAATATGTCCTCCTGGATTCTACCCAGAAAGAATGCTAATATCATATTCTTTTGCCCAAGATCATTTCTTTGATATGGGGTAAAAGCTTCTTTATCTTCAAACCCAGTGTGGCCCCGGGCATGATGAGTACGAGTTACAGCTACTTGCCAAGTACCAAATCTACTTTGGTCCATATCCTCCATCATACGCCGACCTTGCGGATAATGAGACCTTGTCGATATTGTCGTATGTTATGGACAGCGTCTCTCCTGCAGATATGAAACCATTTGCGAATGCTAGTCAGAAGGAAATCCTAGCCGAGGATAAAGAGTTCATTTTGAAAATGATGAAACTTGATCCCCGTGACAGGCCGGCCGCAAAAGATCTTATCGAGGACAAATGGTTTAAAGGGAATTAAATTCTATGCTTGTCTTTACTTTACGTATCTAGTTTTGGCAGTGCAACAAAGCCGGGGGCGGAGTATATGCCTTGTTACATGTAGATGGCGGTTAAAAGCTCTACCCAATATAGGGTTTGTTGTTCTGTCTGTACCGGCGGAGTGATGCTTGAACCTTTTGTCCTTTATCGTTGGTGGCCTGTTCGTTACTTGGAGTGAAGCAGGGGGGGGGTTGATATCAAGGTTCTGGACATTGAGCTGAGACAAGTAGCTTCTTATAATCTTGTTCCACTGGTAATGCCATTGGCCCTGCAGGATTCCTGGGCCATTTGTAACCCTGACGGAGAAAAGCGCTTATGAAGAAATGGTAAACGAGCTTTTCGCATCTAAAAGGTATCCTCCAGTTGATGGTCTACTTGATGACACTGTGGTGCAAGGATCTTGGACAGAAGCATATAGTGATGTAGGGACGCTTATCCAAGATCAAGCTTGTCTTTCAGTGAGAGAGAACCTCTCCCATATGGCCATATCCTGGTGTAAAACAGCAATGAACAAGAAATGAATACATGGAGTCAACTCGCGCCCTTCATCACTGGCACGGCTAAGTTCTAAGTACATCATTCGGACTTCATCGAGCCCATCTCTCTCCCAGAACCACTTTTTTTTTTTGCATAACTTCCACTCGTATATTCCGTATCCGGTGCGGTGTTGGCAGTGGGGAGGACAAAGTCTCTGCCGGTGCGAAACCCCGGATTTGAAGGCCAAATTAAATCCGTTTACCGGATGTTTTACTCAACAGTTGGACGCTATTGTTATATAGTATCGGGGTTTAAGTAACCATCGCTCTGTAGAATCACGTCTGGAGACGAGTATTAAGTTGCTAGCTAAAGACTGGGGAAAAGATGGCTAATAACTTACATTTCTATGGAGAAAGAAACTGGTAGCTTGGCTCTAAACATTATTCGTGCCTGCAGGGCAGAGCAATTCTACGCATGACTCGTCTATCTGAGCTATTAAATAGAATGTAATATACAAAGAAAAACAATGGAAAAAGGTCAAGCCTCCGAAGCTATAAGTGAAAAGGTACGAGATTTACGCGATAAACACCTCGTTGATCCAGTGTTTCATAACGACCCAACCCTGATTAGAGCTGTCTCGAAACTCTCGGACAACGATGGCGGCATGACTATTGAGATGTTTCGTGATGTGGACCGGGTGCTTGCGGAATCCCACATCGTTCAGTGAGTCGATGATATCACACTGTGCCGGAGTCAATTCTAGCCGGGGAAAGGACGGCGAGTCGGAGGGAACATCAATCCTTGGTGGCACGGAGCTCAGTGCGGATTCAATATCTACCTCGTTTCCGGTTGACGGCTGCAATAATTCGATCTTATTTCCCGGTAGGTAGGCTGGCTCCCGTCGGAGGCTAATGTTTTGGAAAGCATCTTCGACATGATGTGCTCCCTGGACCCATAGGGGAAGCTGGTACTTCCGAACGAGCTCTCCCATGCTGTGTATCCGGATGCGCTTTTGGCTGCGGATGGTTTGGACTCCGGCATTGACTAAGAAGAACAAGAAGATCACGGGCACAAACACAACAATCAGGAATGACACCGGAAGATTGAGCCAAAACGATTTGCCATAGCCCCGCTCTCGAGTCGCCCTGGTCGTGGCCTCTTCCTCTGCCGGTGGCAGGACATGGTCCATGGAATTCACAATCACATTGTCATAACCTAGCGCATAATCGAAGTACGTATGCTTTGACCCGCGAAATGGGTCTTCTTTGGTGAGCGCAGAGGTGTAGAAGGCTACCGTACGGTCGTTCGTGATATTGGCGTAGACAGTGCGATGTCGGAATTTCTTGAGACCTTGAATGAAAATGCTTTCGGGATCAGCCAAGACACTCAGTAACGGGCGCTTCGTGTCGCGAAAAGAGTCCACCAAGAATAGCTGGCGACCCGAGTTGGATACCGTCCTCGCACCGAGTTCATTCCAGACAACATTTGTGAATCCTTTCCGTGGGATCCGGGCTCCAGCGTGTGGTGTTGCAAAAGTGGTGAAATTGACGGGGTCGAGCTTCTCCAGCCAGCCTCGTGCGTTGAGCAAACCGATCACATAGCGCGCAATCAGTCCCCCTAAGGAATATCCGATGATGCTGATTTTTCTCAGTTGCTGGCCCTGCTCGGCGAGTGAATTTATCGTCTGCTCGATCTCGTCCATCACGCGTTCGGCACCGAGCTCGATGCCATCATAGGTATAGTTGCCGCTGTTTGTCTTCGGGCAGAGTATATAAAGGCTTTCCCCGTGCTGGTCTCGTAGCGTGGAGGCAAGGCAGTCGAGGTGAGAAGGGTTTCCCCAAAGGCTAGGAAGTGTCAACGTGGTGTCACTCCGAAGGGGGGGTTATACTGTTCACCCGTGAACTAGGACGCATATATGATCTGCCTTTTGGCAAGCATCGGAGCTGTTCTCGGTCGGGGCGGTCATGAGCATTCCGTGTTCAACTATCACCTATGGACAGTGGTGATTGCCTGTGAACCAGGCGGGTAAAATTGGTTCTACATCGCGTTGTGAGGTATTTGCAAAGGGGGAAGAGATTCACGCATGAAGGATAAGCCAACGGATTTAACCGGCCCTTTAAATCCGACGTCTTGCCCTGGCGCCGCGCTCTCCCTCCAGAGTCCTGCCAATCCCACGACCGATGAATGGACTCTATATGCGGATTGAGCAATCTATGGGACCGGCCATGGCAACTGCCGAATATCTCATGCATAACGAGGCTCTCATCGGGAAGATTAACCTACATGATCGCCCTTGATATGGAGTTGTGGTGCGGGTCCGGAGATACATTAGCTCCCTTAAATCCGGACGGTAACGTCTTGGGAAGCAGAATAAGACGACCATATTAACCGCAACAGGGGCAGTGTTCATTGAGTACGGTTGGTTTTCCTTGGACCTGAGTCACCTGATAAGCAAGCTGAGCCTGCTCAATCTACTTAGTAGTCATAGTGCGAATGGATTCTCGCCGTGTTATCAATTATGCGGCTGGCATGGTAGTCATCATTTGAGGGTCACTAGCTTATATATATATAAAAATAGATGAACAGTCTATACTCCTTGAGCTATAAGCGAGTTCGATTCCAATAAAGAGATATACAGTTGTTGGTTACATACTAGAATACAGTACTGGTCACGGTAGACCAATTAAGTAGCGCAGGTTGTCAATAATATATATTCTGACTACCCAAGAAACTGAAAGTTTTGCCTCTTAATTAAAATGTACAATTAAAAGAGTATACAATTGTTGCTGTTGGACTAGATTGACAATTTACACTAATATTCAATCGATTCTACTAGTAGAAAAGGTCCTCAAGCTAAAATGGAATTAATTCTCAGGATGAATGTTTCGGGAAGAGTAGGAGAAATCGACCCTTTCCCGCGGTAAACTCGACGCCCCCCTTCCATGCAGATTTAGTCCCCAAGATGGTACACGTACCTCTCACGCTAAAACGAAGCTGCACAACTCCAGTAAGATGCAATCCTCGCGAGATCATGGCTATCGTTAACTACAATACTCCATGCTAATGGACACGCAGAGTACGGAACCTAGCCATTCCAGATTGTAACGAAGGAAGGTTTCGGGAAGGGTTGGTTTGTGGGCTCGATGCGTTTGGTCGGATGGACGAGCAACTACACAATATAATGTGTAGGCGCACGTCAGTCGGCAGGCACTGAGCCTTCCGGGAATCAGGGCTCCGAGAGAATCCAATCCACACTCTCGGAGGTGCCTGTCCGGCCGCATGCAAGGCCCTCTTGAGCTCCAGGCACTGGATCAGGAGCCTACCCATAATGTGCACGAGGGATATACTGGCCTCATTTTCAAAGGATATGAGATCATCCAACCCCGTAAGAGAGAAGAAATCTTGCTGATCTTCTCCGTCATGCATTGAGTCCCCCTCACCAACAATGCCACTGGTGCAGGCGAGATCGTTCTAGCCGCAGGTCACGATTTTGGCAATCTTCTCACCAGCGAGCTAACCAGCGATGGCACCCATGTGGGCGGTGAAAACATTGGAATTCTGACCTGGCTTGCTAATTGGGGAGAAGAATCTCCTCCAGGAGACCAGCACCAGTGGCGATGTGCCTAGCCGTGAACCCCGAAGATCTTGTTATTCTCGATGAGAGCGACAGGGATGAGGGCCGAGAGGGCCAGCGACGGTATTGCCATCCTCGAGCGGACCCAATGGGATTGATACGGCTATATCACGAACACCTGAGACGCTTGATTTGCCTCCCGAGAGTCCAGTTAGACTTCCCGGACTGCAGCCGATGTCCAACGTGCCCTCCGTAAACATGTCTCCTCTCATGCCGACAGGATGAGAGGGATGACATAAACCCAGAGCCCACGGCCTGTATAACCCAAACTAGCAGGTTGAACGGCCCGCAGGCGTTTGTTTCTAGAAGGATCGCTCCAAGAGCGACGGACATTACCGGATCGGTTCCCATTGTCTCCGATGTTCTCATTTAGTTAACCCGTTGCATATTAGTGAGCTGAAGTTCTCATACTAAGCTCCACATAGTCTTCTCAATCCAGCAGACGGCGGTTACTAGACTATCCGAACAACGAGTGGTAGGCGCACTGTGCCCCGGCAACACTAATTCCTGCATGCTAGACAGGGTATGTTTAATTAATCTGGACTTAGCGTGAACGAAGTGCCATATCTCTGGCCCTAGCAGGGATTGAGATGTACCGGGAAAAGTAGCACATAAGAATTACCGACGCTCCCGCTGGTCATGCCGTCGAATGATTCTGGAAGTATCCTGGAATCCTTGAATGTGTTGATGTTGGCGTTGTAGTTGGATGAAAGTCACAACAAAGTCTGACCCTCGGATCCAGGGCTATCGGGTTCGGCTCCCGAGCCGTCGCAGAGACAGCAGTAGGCTGAACACAAAAATCATACTTGGTAGACTCACCGGCTCTGGACGAGGGAGAAGGACCGCCCGCAAACCACGGGTCGGGTTCGGATAGGACGAAAACTCGCCCCACCGTCTCCCCGCAAACACGACGGCCCCCATATCGCGGGGTTTGGGGCTTCACGCTGCACGAATTAGAGAGGATACTTGACCAATTGCTAATCCCCCCAACGAGATTCGAAATGACGTGCCTCCACCCCCATACTGTTCTCCAGATCCTGGGTATAAGAAGGCTTAGCGTTCAGCTTGGCCGGGGAAAATGTGAATTGACCATTTCTCCACTCCCACCGTCAATATGGATCGACTATCTGAACGAAGTATGCCTAATGACACCATTGACGACATGCCGAATTACCCCCCGAAGACGGAGGAAGTATGGGAGGAGGTGACCCATGACGCCGTCTTTGGAGAAATCTCTGAGGAGGGTCCCAATTATCGTAATGTATGTATTTGCCAGGCTCACTGGTCTCAAACAATCGGCAACTGACCATTGGCTAGGTGGGCTTTTTCGGCACGGTCATTCTCATGATGAAAACCCAGATTGGCTTGGGTGTTTTGTCTATACCGACTGCTTTTGATACCCTAGGCATGGTTCCCGGTGTGGTTGTTTTATGTGCCATTGCTGCTATCACCACATGGTCTGCCTACGTGGTTGGCACGTTCAAGCTTCGCCATCGGGAGATATATGGAATTGACGATGCTGGAGCTTTAATGCTTGGTTCCACTGGGCGTGTCATTCTTGCCACCGCATTTTGTCTCTGTAGGTGCCTCGATCAAGGATGAATGGCAGTGACATACTGACTTGTATTATATATTACATATTCAATGCCGCCTCTGGTATACTCGGGATCTCGATCGGGTTCAATGCAGTCTCAACCCATGCCCTCTGCACGGCTGTGTTTGTGGTGATTGCGGCCATTGCAGGCTTCTTGTTTAGTAGTATTCGGACCCTGGGCAAGATCACTTGGCTCGCGTGGATCGGATTGCCGTGCATTCTTACTGCAAGTACGTCCGTCTTGTATATCCATTGCCAGTCAAACGCCCGCCAATTCGGATATCTAACCTCTCCTTAGTTTTAATTGTGACCGTCGCGGTTGGTGTCCAAGATCGCCCTGCGGCCGCACCGCCAGGTGTCTGGGTTTCCGACTTTAAAGTCGTTAACAATCCGAGCTTTACCAAAGGCATTACCGCCGTCTCCGCCATTGTTTTTGCATTCTCCGGCACACCGGGATTCTTTTCCATCGTCTCGGAAATGCGCGAACCTCGCCAGTTTACGAAAGCTGTGATGGCCTGCCAGGCCGGTGTAACTCTTATCTATATTATCATTGGTGTCGTGGTCTACTACTACTGTGGATCGTATGTCTCATCGCCAGCGCTCGGGTCGGCCGGTGGAACCGTCAAGCAGATCTCCTACGGATTCGCCTTGCCCGGGTTAATTGTTACATTGACAATTGTGTCTCATGTAAGACTGCACTGAACTATCCTCCTGTACTAAACTAACCCCTGAGACTTCATAAAGATTCCCGCAAAATACATCTTCCTCCACCTCCTCCGGGGCTCAAAACACCTGACCCGCAACACGCCGACGCACTGGATCTGCTGGCTGAGCTGTACCTTTGGTATTGCCGTCATTGCATATATCATTGCCAGTGTGATCCCTGTCTTCGACTCCCTGGTCTCCCTGATCGGTGCGCTACTGGGCCCACTCATGTGTTTCCAGACAATGGGTGGCATGTGGCTCTACGATAACTGGTCAAATACCGCCAGGACCAAGAAGTGGTATGCGATGGTCTGTTTCAGTATCTTCGTGATCGTTTCTGGAACCTTTCTCATGGTTGCCGGGACGTACGGGTCGGTGGTTGGGATTATTGATACGTACAACTCGAGTGGAGGTTCGGCTGCCTTCTCCTGTGCGGATAACTCGAACTCTGTGTGAACTCTCTGTTCATGCGTTGTATGGATATAGAATAGATATAGATTGATAGAAGGAAATATAGACTAAGGCAGGGCCCTGGTCACATCTCGGAGGAGAGAACAGGCTATACTACAGAGGATCGAGACGTGCGATACCGTACAAACCATTTCCCCAGAATAGTATTATATCAGACCATTACCGTCTACTTAGAAGATAACACAAAAATACTCATGGCTGACCGACAGATAAGGTTAGGAGTGGACCAAATCTCGGAAAGTCGGGTCAACCTGAATGATGTGGGGTATGGATGAAATGGCCTTCGGCTTTATGGCGCCTTTTCCCCATCCCCCGCAAGTGCTAAGCAACCCCAGAACTTATCCCTCCATACTACCCCCCGGAATCAGTGTCTCATGCACTATGACCGCCGAGAGTAAACCCGAGTCGCGCAAGGTCAGGCGGACTGCAAATGCGTAAGGAGCGATCCGATGTCTTTGAATTATTACCCTAGAGCTGACCTAGAGCGCCACAGCTGTGTTTCGTGCCGGCAGAGCAAAATTAAATGCTCGGGAACGGATCCGTGCAATAACTGTCAACGCCGCAAGGTGCGATGTGTCTTTACCGAGCCACCCAACAAGGTCGTCGTGACGGAGAGGTACGTTGACATTTTATTCAATGCGAGTCGCCCTGCTGATTCTTAGGCCAGTTATCTGCAGCAGTTACGGCGGGAGGCGCATGAAAAGTCTCATTCTCAGGGTATGAAGCGGTCTTCCGAGACTGCGTTTACGCCGGAAGTCGAAGCCGAAGGTATTAGATCACAAAACAACGAGACAATGATCCTCTGCTGAGCGCCACTGAATCGATCTAGAGGCTATAGCGTCCGAAGAGCCCGTTATCCACTCACCACCAAGAATTGATCATGCGCGCAGCATCTGGACCAGCCCGTTCACGTTGCCGTCCAAAACGATCAAAAATACTCACCGGAATAAGCGGAGCTGGAGTACGTACACCGTCTCATGGAAGTCGATATGGCACCAGGCCGGATTCCTGAAATCACGGCGGGAAGATGAATGAAGCATGCAGGAGACGGGATAGACTGGACTTTGGAACTAATAAATGAATGAGCGCTAACAGTGTCATCTAGTCTGGCTGGCTCCTTCATCCATGTGGTCATTCACGGCGCGACTCACGCTGATGATGACCGAGAAACTCAACCAGGAATCCCACAGTGCCCCCAATCTCATCGACCGAGACATCTATCTCTTGAACTGGCGGCCCGCAGCGCCGGAGGACCAGCCTGATATCCATGGACTACCCTCCCTGGACCATGCGCTCTACTTGCTGAACACAGTCATGTTCTACATGGGGCAAAATTACTTCCTGTTCGAAGAAAAGACCTTCCTCGGTCATCTCCACGAATTCTACTACGGAGATGCGGCTCAAAAGGCCATGGAATATAAACTGTGGTTTGTCCAGTTCCTCTTGGTGCTGGCATTCGGAAGTGCGTTCGTAGTACAGCCCACCAAAAACCCCAGGGAACCTCCGGGAGCAAAATACTTCTTACGCGCAATGTCTCTCATGCCGGAGCATTCAACCTTGTGGAAGGATAGTGTGCTAGCCATTGAGGTGCTGGGGCTCGCAGGACTGTACTTGTATTCTGTTGATCATCGAGAGTCCGCTCATGTATACGTAAGTGGGACACCCTGTGGCATCCCAACTGGTGGATCGGCTGACTGGTGCAGCTGGGCCAAGCCATACGGATTGCACAATTAGAGGGGATGCATACCCAGCTGCCAGAGGAGGAGTTGGGGATCGACACGGTGACCCGCTGCCACAACCTATGGTGGACTCTCTACCTGATGGACCGACATTTCTCGTCATCTCTGGGGCTACCGATGATTACCCAGGATAGTGATATCACGACTTTGATCGATCCACCAACAACCTCTTCGCGCAATGCAACGCTCAGTCTTCGGGTCCGACTATCTCAAATGCTTTCATTTATTCTTTCCTGTAAGCCGCGTTCCCGATAGATAGCTCTTCTTCTCGTATCGCTGACAGTTCCATCGAAGCAATCTACAAGACCGAGGAAACTCAACTCGGCATCTTCCTCGAGCAGACGAGGTCGATTCTCCATACCATGGCTGGCCTCGCTCAGGAGATTGAAAGTGCGGTGTCGATACAGCTCCAGAAGCCCCTCCACCGGGTTCCCAGGGAGACACGACTTATAATGTTAATATATCACCAGGTGTGCTTTGCGATATTTACTAAGCATTTTCATCATCATTGCTAATGCGGTTTACTCTCTAGTGTGTCATTGTTGCCACGCGCCCGTTGCTGCTGTCCGTTCTCAAAGAGCGGTTGGAGAAGTTAGGCCAGGGTGAAGAAGACTGGCAGAGCTTGCTGGTTGCCACAGAAGCTCTGATCGCGACCGGGATCAAGTCAGCTGCAAAGACACTGCAGCTACTGACCGATGAAGATGATCTTCTAGGTAAGTAGATAGCCATTTCATTAATTGTCCCTCATCGCTAAACCCTCAATAGAGGCATTCCTACCCTTTGACTTGGAATACACATATGGGGCCGCAATCCACCTGATGATGGCACATACCCTTTTCCCAGGAGCTGTGGAAGACTGTTCCCTCAACCAGGTGTACGCCATTCTGGACGGCATGATCTACAAAGGGAACCAGGTGGCGGCCGCACGGAAGGCTGAATTGACGCATCTCGAGTACCTCTTCCAGGAACTGGCCACGCGGATTGAGCGCTGTGGCCTTCAAACTCTCACTCTACCCAGCCTGCCGCAGGATGAGCATGCGGTTGAAAATCTCTCACAACACCCGGACAGTCAATTACTCCCGATACCTGAGCCAACTCTACCGACCGATGGGGACCCGGAACTCTTACCTTCGGAGCTCCGCCCGACAGCTAGTAACATGGAATGCCTGGATAGTCTGGGCATTTCATCCTACGAGTTCTTTTCCATTGTTGCGCAGATTGGACACCACGAGTCGTATAGTCTGCTAGATCCTAGAGAGACATAGAAAAGGCGCAACTATTGAATTGCCGAGCTATTAAGAATCCCCTGTAGTCGCCCACACCATGCGAGGTTCTCAGTCTCGGGTGGTGCCTTGTGCCGAGTGGTGCGGCCTCTTGCATCCGATGTACTTCTCTGGGGCTGCTAGAGATCGTATCCCCCCTATCAGAATACCTCAATACTGGAGGTACCCATTTTCATGTCTACTAGTCACTGGTGAATGGACTGAGAATAATTGGGCTAGACACAACCCCACGCTGTCCCCGGAACAGGACCCATTTTGATCGCCGACCCCAGAATCAGTGTCGGGAGTTGCATCCACCAATCTGTTTGCCCTAAGTTAGCTAGTTTTATCCACACCACCGAGGGCTCGGCTTCTGGGGCTTGGTGGGTCAGGAGACCCGAGCACATCCCGACGATGGAGGGCCAGAGTTGGAGCTGAACGCCGTCTCTGCACTCAGTGCTACGTTGTAGAGGGTGTCATAGGATCACCATGGTGAACTAGGTTTATCGCTATGGTGGAGACTCCAGTAATAGGTGAGAACATGGCAGCACGCTATGAACAGCACGTCTGCTGGATCGCTCAGTGTGAATATATTCTGAGAACCACTGATACATGGAACCTGTCACTGTGCTTTTCTCGCTCTTTCAAATAATACTACGATCATTACTAGTAGATAAAAGGCCTTTTTGACGAAACACAGCTTTCTTAATTCAGACAGCAAACGTCGTGAAACCCATAATATATAACCAAAGTCTATCGCAATATAAATCTATCCATGAATCGCAAACCAAATCCTCTATACAACATCAAACTCAACAGTACCCCAACCCTCAAAAGTACACTTCCAATGCCCCGCCTCCTCCATCGGCACGGCCTGCAAACAGCTCCCAGGCAGAATAACCTGCCCCGGCTGGAACTCAATATCATAAGCCGCCAAACGGTTCACCAACCACGCCACCGCCGAGATAGGGTTCCCCAGCACATTCGCCGTATTGCCATCCATGACCTCCTTATCATTAAACCGCAGCGTGCCCCTCGTGTCCCTCAAGGTCAGCTCAGTCAGCTTCCTCGGCGTACCACCCAGAATAACAGCCCCAGTGGACCCATTATCGGCCAGGGTGTCTGCCAGCCCAATCTCCCAGTTCTGCACCCGGGAGTCGATGATCTCGATCGCGGGGATAGCGTAGTCAATGGCATTCATGACATCGGCGACAGTGACATTCGGGCCCTTGAGTGGTCCGCGCAGCACGAACGCCGGCTCCAGTTCCACGTACGGTTTGATGTAGTCCTTGCGCCGGATGGTCGTGCTTTCGTAGACGAAGGTGCTGGCAAGCAGGAAACCGTAGTCCGGGTGGTCGAGCCCGAACGCGTCTTGCATTACTTTGGCGATGTTGCCCAGCTTGTACCCTACCAGACGGTCGCCGTTCTGCACCGCGTGCTCCGTGCTGATCTGTTGGACCTTGAACCCGTCTTCGGCGTCCAGCGTCGGCCATGTCTTGCTCGGCGGCTGGATTGGGGTTTGGTTTGCCCGCGCGGTGCGCAGGGCCAGAGAGACTTCTTGGAGTTCGTTTTGTTGGGCTGGCATTTTGTGGTTGATCCGGGGGTGGTGTGGTATTATCAATAGAGGAAGGAATTAGCCAGGTTTTGTTTTCGAGTGGTCGTGAAACCTCCCTCCAATGCACGCAGATGAGTAAAACAGACTGATCTATGAATATTCATTGGGTAGATGCGCACGCGCAGATAAGTATATATACTATTCTCTCTGCATGTATGTATACAGCGAAGCGAACGAGTCATTCGGATCGGCCTCGGGTCGAGATCGGATCCACCCGGCTACTGATCCTATCTCGGGTTCTGAACCCGACGAAACAACCCACGCTCGGTGGACGTGGAGATCCCTTTCGTCAACTGCTACGGTCAAGTGATGCATGTCGACTTGCCTTGCATCTAATCTCTGGGGTCTTGGGCTTTGGGGAACTTTTTACCATTTGTGGTTAAATCGTGTATGGTGAATGGCATAGCTTTAGTTCTATGGAGGGCGTTCCGGAGGACAAGGGTGTGTAGATCTATGTGAGAAGAGGGTGAGTTTTTGATTTCTGAATTGTAGATATATATTCTATTCGGTGTACGGGGGTGTAGCTTAGAAATGGGATAGCAAAGCCAAGTATAGCGGTCTTGTCATCTATTTCAATCTCGGTATATTAAAGAATGTGCGAAAGTGTAGGAACTGCGAAAAGGAGAAAGGAGCGAGACCTTGAATTAAAGTGACTACGTACATTCTACTAGAAGAGGCACCAATGGCGGAGAGTCGTGATACAAGTAAGTTTATACAAAGACTCTTATCAATCAACGCGGGGTTTCGCAAACGCCCAACGAAGAAAAGATGCAGGAAGCAAACACCTTGTGGTGCGGACACATGGTCTAAAGAATATTCGAGTGTTACAATTATACTGGCTCAGTACCACCTAGGCAATATGCTATGGGGGCAGCAACAAGAAAGAAGCCCTGTGCAAGCCATCCCATCTTATAATAGAGGATGAAGAACTAGGAGAAATACGCTCCATAGCTCAAAATTGTGCTAATGCGGGAAGATGGATTATATCTGAAATGAACCACTGAATTTTATCAAATATCTAATGACTGCAGAACACAAACCAAAGAAAAAATCCGCAGAAGGACCATGCCGCTAACATACAAATTGCTAAAACAAACCCAATAAGTCTAAAGCCCAGAAATCATCATGTACATCTCAGCAACCTGAACATTTACTCGATTTCAATGATCTCCTCCAGCATCGACTCCAGGAAGGCCTTCTGTTCCTTCAAGAACTGCCGGATATCAGCAATATCGAATGGCCGCTTGGCCGTAACACGGCGGCGCTCCTCCTTCTGCTTGAGGCGGAGACGCTCCTCCAACAGCTCAAGACGGTACTCTGTGTATTGAGTGTAGAGCTCCGAGAGGTTACTGATGCCACGCACACCGACCAAAACAGTCTCATCGCGGACCAGGGGATTCTTGGGGCGGAAGCAAGTGACCATGCTAATCCGCTCACGGCCGCCCAATGCCTTCAACGCCTGATGCTCGATATACCGGCCCTGCAGAACGACCGCGGTGCCCTTCAAATGTAGTTAGTACCGGACTAAGAAAAGACTGGATAGATTGCTATCACTTACCGTTGCGGGGCCCCGGACTTTCATAATGTCGCCCGAAGGTGTGCGCAAGGCCGTTTCACCACCAACCATGCCAGTGCAGTCGGAGAGCATGGTCACACACACAAAGGGGAAGCTGTCATAATGCCAGGCAACTGCGGGCAGCTCATCGGTGGATGAGACCTGTTGTTCCGGCACAACCTGGGTGGGGTTGCTGTTGACGGAGATGTTAATGTTGGCGATCTCAAAGTCAACAGAAGGGATGAGGTCGATGCCGGCCACCTCGGAGATGCGGCGGAGAACTTCGGGGTTGTTCCATGCGTCGTAGGTGAAAGGGGCGCGGCTGCAAAAGTTAGCAAAAAGCCGCTAACATCTCTAAGAATCAGGAGAACGTACGCTGGGCCCATGCCGCGGACCATGTGCTTGTTAAAGGTCGAAGAGTACTGGCAGTCCGCCAAGACCTCGTCGCTGAAGATCTCTGCCCTCATCTGTCTAATGGCCTCCTCGTTGAAGAGAGAGAAAGGCTCCGACCCGGCGTGAGGAGAAATGCCCTGCCCTTCCAGGCCGATCTCCTCCATAGTGTAGATGCGCTTCGGGGGTTGGAAGTTGAGGTGCTTGCTTGGATCGAAGGTATCCTTCTGAGGGATCCGAGCCCCGTCAATGAGGGACTGCGGGAGCGTGCTGGAAGGCCGTGTGGCCTTCCTGGTGGCCGGCCCGATAACGACGGGGGGCTCTGGGGCGAGGAGTGCTGCAGGTGCCATTGCTGTGTGGATGGAAGGGACGTTGAATTGCTTTTGATGCAAGTGGTTATATTGTTGAATGATGCTGTTTTGTTGAACTAATTTGTGTTGGATCACCGCACCCTTATATGCATGTCCTCTGGCATCGGCAGACTTGGTTCACACCACCAGGTTCGAATCGAAAAGGTCACGAGCCACTCGGCTCGGAGATCGGATGAGGGCATTCAGACTATCCTAAACTGGTACCATTTTCCACGACAAAGCTTGGTAGTTCTAGCGACCCGAGTGCCAAGCTTTCTAGAAACTCGGATGTGCAAGTGACCCTAGCCCTGCGGACATCAGCCAGTTTCCTGATTGATTGCCCTTGACTTCAAGGATCGGGTTCTGTTTCCGAGGACCCAAGCAGCGATAGCCAACCGCCCCGCCTCCCACAGGACAAATAAGGAGTCCTGGCTAGTAGTATCAGCTCGGCTCGGGATTTGCATACCTCCTTCGGCTCGGGTTCAGTGTATAATGGACGCCCCACCCCCAGGGGGGCCTATCATGTTAGGACAAACTGGGGTGTTGGCCCCCATGGGGACTCGAAACTATAGACCTCTTCCGAGTTTGAAACAAGTAGCACTTCGGCCCGCATTGAATGCAATACTTCCCCATGGGGTCGTCCTCACGACATGTTCGCATACTGGTCACGGTGGGGCTTGCCGAACCCTGCATCCGATTCTTCTGCAGACAAAAGTCAACCCCGAGTCTTACTAAGAGCTGAATTGATGGCTTGGTTACTGAAAAAGCCTCACCTGAACCTTTCCGACATAACATATCCCGTGTACCCCGTCCCCCATGCTCGACACTAGCTAGAGGTGGAGCAGCCCACTTCGCATTCAAGAGACCCATTATATCAGCCGAAGCTCAAGCTTCAACTAAAATCTGGTCGGATATGTTATGCGGGACGCTGTACGAGAAGGTGTCCTCATCGGCTTGCACAACCCCCAAGTGCAACCGGCAGGCTCTACCATTAGGTAATTTAGGTGTTTGCGGCCGAGTCTTCAAACAGCTTTCTACATGGTTGTACCATACTATTCACCATCACAAGGACCCCTGTTAACAACTTTATTATCTAGTACAATTTGAGTTGCGCGTTTTAGGTCTTTATACCATGTGATGAACAGCATTGCCGTATGTGATATCCCCAACCCTCGTTCCAATCTCCAGGATGGATTACTCGTTGTAGCAGACTTCCATCAGGTATCAATGGCAGATATTATGGCGTAGAATATCAGCCCACAGTAGTATTGAACTTCGCATCATCAGCTACTACTCCTCCCTCTACCTTTGCCAGTTTCCGGTCCTTCCTCACTTGGCTACATGCCGATCCTGTAATACTACGATCACCTGGCTCCAGTCTTTCTATCCGCCCTTCGTATGGTCAATCTCAGTCTTGGCACCCACGGTAGGTTCTCGCGAAGGACAACATAATATTCGGGGATTTCGTACAGTAATTTTCGAAATTGCTCTGACCCCCACCGCCAAGAACTTAGCGTCATTATATTATTGAGTCATTTCCAGCCAGCAATTTGGCAGGAATAGCAGCCCAGCTCTCAGTCCGGCAACCCTCCAATGTCTTTCGTAGAGTGGCATAACCTAACCGTTGTAACCTAGCCATAACCTAACCTAACCGGGGTCGGTTAGGTTAAGGTATAAAAGTGTTTAACCGCGGTTAACCTAGTTCTGCCTGATAAGGCTATAAGGCACCAGGCTAAGCCTATCCAGGGAGGCGGTCTACTAGGGCTATCCTCTGCCAGTTATATTTTTAATAGCCCTGGCCTACCGCTTGTCTAAATAGGCTTAGTTGGCCGCCTCAGGCAGAACTAGGTTAACCGGCGGTTAACCACGGACAGTACAATATATATATAACCTAGCCATAACCTAGCGGTTAGGTATAACTGAACCTAACCTAACCTGGCCAAACGCCAGTCTAGTCTTTTGTCTCATCGCTATTTTGTGTGGCCCATATCATCACGTGGCATGCAGCAAGTTTCCTGGAGTGTCCGTTGACAAAGGAGAATTCCATCATCGCCCTCTCCACACGGTATATGACAATTCCGTTTTAGACATTGGATTCACGTACACTGCCATTTCTGATAGACTTTGCAAGATATCCATGGCGCAAAATACTACTTCTGCCCAGTTGCTCTCATGCTCGGATAGCCCTTTGTCAATAACTGGTAATATTATGGGGATTGTAACACTGGCATACGCGATCATTATCACCCTACTCTACTCTTGTTATCAGCTAGCAAATTCCACTTCTGACTTGCGTCGCTACACTGACAGCGCCAAGGATGAGCTTGAGTCCATGAAATCAGCAGGAGACAGGTTAAAACCGTATATTGACGGGCTCCCAAAGCATTTGATATGGAGAGTAGCCTCAGCTGTCATTGAGGCTGAAACATTTTACGCGGAATCTCATCGCGATCTGGCATCCTTTGGCTATGAAAGTTCGTCACTAGGAGTAAAAAGTGTCTATAGGAGTCTGTTCGTCGCAAGGAAGAATAAGCTGGCTGGGAGACAAGGAAAGGCTACACAAAAGAGAATATACTTGGAGGGAATCTATAATGCCGTTATACAAAGGTCAGTACTAGTCGTAATGGACGTTGTTCTGCCACTTTTATGATCATAGTACGCTAACATCTGCTATTATATACAGTACCATCTTGGACGAAATCAGGCTTTTGAATCAACGCCAGTCTGAACTATCTCAATATCAAAGAGATTTCCTTGGGAAGGCTATAGAGGGCCTCGGTCTGCCTTGCCCAGATATCACAACAAGAGAGGAGGAAGCAGACAGCTTTCTCAACAATCCCAGGACATTTGATATCCTCAATGAATACCTATGTCCACAAACAAAGCGGGGCCCCCCTGGTCCACGAGAGCCTCATATCTGCTCAAACATGGGCAAGGTAGAAGACAGCATAGATATTACGCTGGATGGGAATTGACTTGCCCTGTGATATCAAAGGGGTACACGTGATTCTTGAAATCGGTCTCAGTACTGTGTTTACTCTTTTAAGTGCTATATTGTCATGACAGATATTTCTCAATATAAAATCAATTAATATCAGTTTTAGAAAATTATTAACTAACTTTCTGAAGTCTAGAAACTGATATTATCACAGATATATTATCTGATATAAGATTTTTATAGAAATATTTCCAATATAATTTCTCTCTAAGTTTCGACTGCACGAAAAGTCTTTAAGGAAATTCAGAGATAAGAATTAGATCTTGTTCTATATCTTCTAATACTATTCTATTATTGAGCTTAATTTTCTATTTAATCTAATAGTAAATATAGATTGATATTTTCTTATTATAGACCCGTCCCTCTTCCCAATCACCAAATTATAGAAGTAGAAGCTTATCTGTTTTTAAGACACTCAGTTGAGAAGCAGAGTAACTATCAGAATTTGTAGAGTTAGAGTTGATAAGACTAAGATAGGAAGATAAGGAGGAGATATAACCGAAGTTTCCAGGGGTTGGTGTGTATTCTGGCGATATATTCTATTGCCACGGCTTGTCTGGTATATACCATCATCATAATTAGGGCTAAACAAGTTGGACAAGTTGGATCTTATCTCTTCCAGTAATACGGGCTCCTGTGATTAGCAATATTTGGTCAACGCTCGCCTTATATACCCTATACTGCCACAGCAGCTGTTGTTTGCCGGCAAACAACAGCTGCGGGCGAAGAACGGACGTTTGATAGATGCAACTGTTCACAGTTATCTTATTTTGTCATATCAAACAATAGAAAATGTACTGTGCGTGTACTGACGGCGATGCATGGCAAAGCAGAGATATGTTAGATTTCTGAAGGACGCCACATGGCTTATCCGCCCAGGGACCACGGGAGACCTCCCTACGGGGCCCAATTATGTAGCTCAATATACTTTGAACGGAGAGGCAATCGATGGATATCGAACAAAGGCAGAGGATCACATAGCTGATCTGGTCCCCGCTTCTGGACTGCAGCAGCAGCGGTTGGTCTTGTCTTCAGGTACAGTCCAGAACGGAATCTTTACTACCCAGGTTCCACCTAAGGGTAGCAATCCCGTTTTTCCCGATGCATCCATCGTGTGAGTGTCTCATCCTTCGTCGGGAGCTTTTGCCGAAGCCGAAAAATGCGAGAGGCACTAATGGAAGAATGGGCTACCCCGCGACGAATGTTAGGTATACATGTTGACCTCGGAGACAGGTATATATATACGATATCTTGTTCAGAAGTTTATGGCTACATCGACCTGGTCTACTCTTAATTCAAACAGCACTTGCCCTTTGTACATCTCCCTGCCATAAATATCTTTCCAACTTCTCACCTTTCGCGTCACCTATTAGCATTGCTCCTATTCAGGCGGACTGATACCGAGAATTTTCCGAACAACCCCTATTGCCTCCCCTCCATTAGTATCCACCTAGCATACTTCATTGGATGTCAAGCCAGCCGCACAAAAGCCTACGACAATTCAATTGGTCTTGGTTCGTCTTCGGATCTTACAATGCACCCTACCATTACTCTCCAAGGCGCTGCTCGGGCTTCTCGTATCCGAGCTATTGGCCAGAACTTTGTCACTCGTATGGACTCCCCAGTGGCTTAACCTCGCTTACGCTAACTGAAAATGTCTGCTCAGGCTCGGTTGGCCACCCCTCTCGGTCTCCCTCCATGTCACCCGCCAGCAGCTCTTATGACTCTTTCGTCGCCTACCGCTCTAGGGCCTACCAACATGGTCCGCTTCACCAGGCACCCCTTATGCGAGGACTCGTGAATCCGGGCTCTGCTACTTCCGAGGGGTCCACCAAGTCAAGCGGAGGATGTCTTGACCATGGGGATGTCTCCTCACTGACTCACCACCTTCCATGGACAGAAGCCGAAATCGACGCCATTGAGTCTGGTGGCGCTAGCCTCCTCCGTTAATATGTTGTCCTTTTGCCTAGACAGCAGCCCCTCATGTTGAACCACAGATAGTTGGGTGTGATTTGGACATATCAAAGCTCTGAGTGTCCATTCACCTCGGTTTCGAATGGGAATTTTCAGTGAGGCTTCACTTTTCAAAGCCCACTACACTATACAACAGCGTCAGCATGAAGGGCATGGGGTCCAGGTGGTTTCCTGTTTTAATTCCTTTCTTTTGTCCAAGGAGGTGTGTTGTCTTCGTCATGTATCTGCACAGCCAGGCGTTGGTGGTTCGTAGTTCTCTCGGTTAGCATTATCATTGTTTTTGAGAAGGCGTCATGCGAATCCATATTCTAAGAAACAGGCAAAGAATGTATAAAAAGTATAAATAACAATGGCCAGTCATGTATCAAAATTAGGACAACCATCTTCATTCTCTGGTAGAAGTTCATGCTGTGAATCCCGAATTTTGTGCACAAATTGAGAGTTTTGAGTGTCTCGTCAATCCCGCTGCACGTACACAGATTGCACAATACCCATATACCCGAAATCTTAGCATAGTGAAGGGTGCTTTAGAACCTCACACACTGATATGCAATCGCTTTGAGTATCATTGAGTTATTATCTCCTTTTTCGGGTACCACGCATATGAGAGAGCGCGTCTAAGAGAAGTCTCGGTTCAAGTAATAGTCGACGATGGGGAGCGCAAGAAACTGATGAAGAGTAGGCAAGATATAAACAGAGAGAGTATATAAAAATACTCAACTCTCACTGTGGGGGAAGTGAGTGACCTTTGAAGCAATGTGCAAGACACATATCATTCATGCTCTATCGCGTAATTGAATTCTCGAACTAGGCACAACCCTACTGCATATGAAAGTAAATATAGAACATCATAGTACTATCAATATTCGTAATTGGGCATGCCCGTTCCTACTCTCGTCTCCCTCACTTTCCTTCACCAGGACCTCTCCACGAATAAGAATACTTTTTAGTAAATTACTTACAACTTCAATATATCACTGTAGAGCAGTGCAGCTAGTTTGATTAAGTAGTTAATTTACTCCACATACACAACTATGCCACTTTTCATTTTACCGAAAAGAGACTATCTCAACCTGGGAATGGGTTTTATCCTCACCATATATTCTTGAATTCGAGAAACTCTGGAGACAAGTATATCACTTCAGAGAACAATTCACATTGGTGCTGGTTCACAATATAAATATTGACTTTCAGTTACTATGCCTATGTAAGTCCTCATCTAATTCCAACCCTTCAAAATCCGCATTTTCAAACCCAGTCCCATCCTTGTCCCAAGTCCCAACGTCTCAAACAAACATATATCCAGAATGAAGCTGCTCTGTTTCCTTACCTTTCTCCTCTCATCCGTTCCTCTGGCTTCTAGTCTCCCAGTTGAGGGCGTCGAGGACCTTCGTACCGCAGGGGAGAAAGATGATACGATCACCCCGGGAGATACCAACCAAGATAACGCACCTTCTGCACATCTGAACAACGGATTCGGTTACTATTATTGCCGTCCCCAAGGCTGTCGTGCTAAATAGCAGTATCAAGAGCTTTCGCCATTAGCAGGACCGTTGCGAGGTGAGAACGATAAAGATTTTTGCCACGATGGAGCTCTGACGCTCGATAGTGGTATTTCGAACGTTGTGGTTCTCCATGGCTATTAGGAGGTGCTAACTTGTTTTCGATTGGTTCTCATCTGCTGTGTAGCTACTTATTTCTATTTGCCATCTCAAGTTTGTCTATGTCTAGTAATGTTCACACATTCTTATCATAGTTCAAGAGATCTACTGCGTGTAGTGTTCCACGACCACTAGACGTGCAATTATCGTTATATTTGGATCGAGTATAGCCTTAAGAAGTATATAATTCATTGTTTCTAGTTCCATGGACAAGGTAGAAAGATGTACGAGGGGTGATAGTGATCCTATGCAAGTCGCTCATAAGGAAATAGGAAGACAGAAGATCTATCACCCTCTGACCGCTATCGCACATATATAACCGGTGCTATATAGCGGCACAACTTGCGACCATCATGAGTGGGATAAGAATAATATCATAATCATCATTATCACAAGGGGATAAGGGGTGTACTTCGTGCCATGTCGTCGACTGGGTATCCATAGGTTGGGGACGTCGACGCTCCACTCCATGGGCTGAACTGCAATAATTGCTCCTGCCAATACGTGGCAGAAATTACGCCAAAATCTGTCTATTACTGCCATGAGCTTTGTATCTTCCAACTGAATGTCCCTTCACATCCAGGCTAACATGAGGCGTCGCGAAAATTTCATGAATGGGAACCATATTATGGCAGGGAATCTATATAGAGGGTATATCACAATTCGGGACTCAGCCAGTTATATCGGTGATACTATATGCATCACTGCCCAACCTCTACCAAACCTACTGTATCCACGTTTCCAGTCTCCTAAGGAGTATGATGGAGAGAAGGACATTGCGACAAGTGGGCTTGACATGGTCTGTATGCCTGGCACGCTGCATATGATACTTGATATGGGGAATCCAGAGGCCAAGTGGCCGCCTAGAAACTAGTTCACATCTGTCGTAAAAGACATAGAGAGGTGAATGGCGCTGTGGCCAAGTCCAATCGCTGCCATACTTTGCCGATCGTTGCAACATGTTATGGCCCCGCCCCAAAACGGGTTTGCTGTCGTTGTATACAACCCTGCTTCTCTCGAGGCACTGGCTACTAAGTAGCTCCCACCTCTATGTTTGAAAAACCCAATAGCCAACAGTTACAAACTTAGAAGGTTGGCACCTTTGGTGGATAACATTTAAACCGGCTAATGAGGGGTTCTTTCGGCAGCCCCGCGAGGTCGTAACTGACATCCCACTTTCGGACCGATATGTACGGCTGCATGCAGCTGTGACTAGTCATTTGGTCCACTGCATAAATGCCTAATACAATTTTACCCTCTATTGGGTCCTCGTCCTTGCTGACCCCCTGTTTGGGCAAACCTCCTTTTGCAATAGAATATGACGTTGCTGAGATTCCAGGGCTACAAAACCTGACAGTAGCTATTCGGGAAGTTAATAACGCAGATGGCACCAGGACCAGAGCCACCTAGGCGTGCGGTAACGCCTCATCATTCTAATACCTCTCTCTATGAAGCCAAACCTGAAACCCTTCTCAGTTTAGAAGTGAAACATCCAAAATGTCATCCAACAAACGAGCCCTCCTGATCGCCAGTACATATGGCGGGCTGAATGGAACCTTAAACGACGTGAAGACCATGGAGGGCCTTCTCACAAGACGAGGTTTTGAAATCATCCCTTGCTACAATGAAAGTGCAACTCGTGCTGGTATCCTAGAGGCCTGGGCTAAGTTGATCGAGGTCACGTCTGCCGGCGACGCGGTGGTGATCTACTACTCAGGTCACGGAGCCTTAGTGCACGACGAGAAGCGAAAGGAGAAGAACAAATCATGGCAGTTCCAGTTCCTTGTCCCAGTCGACTACGACGAATCGACCGAAGGGGACTTCCGGGGTATCCTCGATGTGGAAATATCGTACTTGCTTCGCGATACGACGGACAAAACCCGGAACGTGACTATTGTTATCGACTGCTGTCACTCCGGGAGGATGTTCCGCGATCCGGACGAGGAGCCTGTTAAGCAGAAGAGTCTGTCGAAAGTCCAGTTCCATGATTTGAATTCGTACTTGAAGCAGCTTCGAGAGAAAGGGTATTTCCATGGAGAGGTGTTTCAGTTGGGGAACCCGTATGCCGTTCGGATTGCTGCCGCGGCCACGGCGGAAAGTGCTTGTGAGCATATCAATGCGCGCGGGCAGTGGTCCGGGGCCTTGACTGATGCGTTGGCCAAGGCCATGGGGGAGACGGATGGCATTGATGTGTCGTGGAGGACTACGCTTGTCAGGGTCTGTCAGCTGGTTAACACCCGGCACCAGTGGCAGCATCCCCAGGTCGAGGGACCAGACACCCGAGCACACTTCTCTCTGCAACATGTCAAGTCAGGGGCACTGTATATCAGAGTAGAGAATGGTAAGGCCATGATTGATGCAGGGAGTGTGGTTGGTGTGCGAAAGGGGAACGTTTACACCGTGGTTCCATTTAATCCGGATGAGGCAGAAGAAGGAGAACCAGTGGTGGAAGCCACCGTTACGGCTGTGGCTGCATTCAAATCTAAAGCTGCACTAACACATATGCCATCGTGGAGGAGTATACACCGCGAGGGTGCCTTGGCCTTCTTGCAACATGATGTGGTTGACAAGCTACCGGTATCTCTTCCTCCAGACTTGGATGGTCTCCAAGCGGGTGTGGCAGAATCCAGATACCTCAAGCCTGCCAGTCCAGATGACAAACAGTCACCATTAGCCGAGTTTCGCCATGAGGAGGGCTCTGTTTTGTTAGTCGATAATGAAGGTATTCGAATCAGATCACGCTCGATCGACAGCACCGAAGAGGGCACGTCTCAAACATTCAGTGACATTATTGCCGATGCAGAGCGGCTTGCCCGGGCAAAGCGTGTTCGGGAATTACGCTGCGAAAGAAGACAGGATCTACTGGCACATAATTTACAGGTCACGGTTGGCACCGTGGAAGACGGCGAACCGAAGGTGAATTTCCAAATGGCAGGGAGTGATCGCATCACCGAGGGAGATTCCGTCTACATCCGTCTCGAGAACGCGGGCAGTACTACCCTCTATGTTTCCGTGCTGAATATCAACGTTGTTGGCACTGTTTCATCGCTGACTGGAGCATGGCCCCTGGGCATTGAGCTCCCGGCTGAGCTTGATATAACACTTGGAAGTAATTCCTTTGATGAGCTAGTGGGCTCAGAAATATTTTGGCCGAACGGCGTCGCAACCGACCTTCCTGTAGAGGAGAGGTTTGTTATCCTTGTCTCCAACCGCCCAGTCAGTCTAAACTATTTGGTGGAATCGGTAAACCTCGACGTAGACATTCTGCGCGATGCCGCTGAGTTTGTCAAGACCGCAGCTCATCTTTACGATATCGTTCATGTCCCATTCGAACTTCACGCGAAGGATGCAGATTTGGACGATACCCCTTCCCTAGACGATGACTCTTCCAGCGAAACCGTGTTCTGGGATGCTCTGGACGAACCCGCGGACCAGTGTATTCTAGCCACGAACCTCCCAGAGCCTGAGACGGTGGTCGAATGGGCAGATGCTCTGAGCTATCCCTTAGACTCCGTACCCAAGGTAGGCCACATCAAACCCCATACATGCGCCACTGCTCATCCACTCAATAGGGCATCTTTGGGGCCATTGTCCGAACCAGCAAAAATATCCCGCCATGCATTCGAGTAATAAACCAGCATACCGAAGAAATCACCGTGGTGGTATCTAAATACCGACCGAACCGGCTATTATCAGAAGTGGGGATAAATGCCTCTCCCACAGGTGCGGGCATAAACTTCAGCACAACGGTACTGTCGACCCGTATCAACCCGTTCACTTCGACCAAGGCTAACTCTATGACGGTAGACTTTCAATGGCCCAGCAACGAAGAAGACTCTTGCGTCTCAGGCAAATGAATGTGGGTGCTGTGTTGCAACCTTTCCTCTCTGGTCTCGGAGCGAAGGTTTCGGTGTGATCAGTATCTTCAAAGGCCCGGAAAAGATCTTATATATTGAAAACGACCGGGTACCCGCTGGGGCGACAGCGTACTTTGCAAACAAGCCCAACCTGCGGCTTGAGAAGTACGCTTCCGGGCAGCAATGGGTATGAACTTAGAAATTCGCTCATACATTTCCCTTGCTGTGACAAGTTCAAACGCCGCGCTGTTCCGACTTCAAGTAGCCAGTAGAGTGGCTAATGGGTATAACTCGGTTATGGTATGCCAGGGCAGCAGCCAGCTAAACAAACTTAGTCTAGCTAGTTCATGGTGATCAAATTTAAAAACATTAAATGGCGATGTGCTTGACTCTTAGCTAAAATGCTCTTCCCCAAGTCAATGGTTGTGTGAGGGCGTGAGTCCAGGCAAACAGGCTCTCAACTAGACCAAAATGCCGTATCAACCTGAATCTACGACTGAGATTGCCCTCTGCTCGCACCTATATAGGTTACCACCATTCCAGATGGTAATAAACCTCGCCGGAGTATTGGTGGGTATAAAGTCGTTTATAGAGAGAGAACGAAGTGAGGTGTAAATAGGCAGCTTCGTCCTCAAGGACAGCAAGGCGGTCCTAAGCTAGATGACACAGTACAATCAAAGTCCGACAGGGCAGTGCAAGATTCCATTTCACTACAATGGGCCATTTGCTCCGGTTTTACACTGGCATACCTTGGTTGAGGAGAGCCGAACGCCGTCGAGGATTGGACCCAAACCATTCACCCCTTAGTATCTATCACTTGTAAGATATGCACAAGACCTTTTATGGCAATCCAGTGATGTATGAGTACTCATTCATTCCTATCAGGGCAAACACGTTAAGGACATCACATTCGAAGACTAGGTGAGCAAACAATTGTCGACCCCTAAAATATAACGAGAGCCACTCATGACGAGGACCTGTTTAAAGCTTCCGAAGCTGGTTAAGGAAGACTCCTCTCCGGGACTCCTACCGATCCAAAATTTACCGTCCCAAGCCTGATGTAAAACGGCGTTCTTCTTATTTGCAATGGCGAAAATATCCAATCGACCCACGTCCCAAGGCACAGCTGAAATGGCCGTAAACAAGTTATCCTTGCCAAGTTCGGTCCATGAGCCCCATGTGCCATTGTGCCACCACAAATGCCGAGCCTCATTCTTCGCCCCTCACACGAAGATACCCAGATAGCCCTTGCTCCAGCTGCGCTGCTGGATGCCTCAGGCAGCCAATCCTCCGCCCCTTTGTTCGACCACCTCATGCCTCTCAACCAGCTCAACTCACTCACCCATGTTAAATCTACCAATTGTTCTTACATTTCCATTGAAACCCTGTCCGACACTATGGATACCAACGCGCTTATCGATCTCGTCCACGAAGTGCAGGGCGCAATTTGGGTTGATAAGATCAATGAGACCCACCGAGCAGGCCGCCTTTGCGAATGGGTGTCAACTTTCCACCCTGACAAGCTTCTCTGTAAGCTTGAGGGAACGTTTCACCATGGCGCATTCAATGCCGGCGTGAAAATGGCATTTAACGACGGCATGGCCTGGATGGTGCGTTTTCCCCGTGTGGGGATGGTCTGTGACGACTACACAGACGAAAAGGTTGCGATGGAGGTAACGGCCCTAGATCTTGTCCGCCAAAGAACTACTATTCCTGTCCCGAGAGTCTGGGCGTGGGGGCCCGCTAGCAGCAATTCTCTTGGCCTCGGTCCATTTATTATTATGGACTTTATCAATGGCATAAGTCTTAGTGATCTTCTCCGGGATCCTCATGCGGAATGTCCTACCAGGGTTATACGGGAGGATATTAGCGATGATGATATTGGCTTTATTTACAGACAGCTGGCCAACTTCTTACTACAGCTTTTCAAGCTCGATTTTGACTCTATTGGCAGCCTACCATCGGCACAAGCTGAAGCCGAGGACACTACACGATCACGTCCACTAACATTCAAAGTACACCATATTCTCCAAGATGGAGGAGTTGACACTTTCGGTGCGCCTTCTTGTTTCTTCTTGCGCTTTACTGGCAGTACGCTCTAGTAGATTAACTATATTAACTAATAATATTATCCAGGTGACCGAGCCCAAGGATTTACCACAACCACCCAGTACTTCCAATATCTTGCCGAGCAGGACTGGGAGCAACTTCGTCACCAAAAAAACTCTATTTTTGGTAAATATAACGCTAAAACTAAATATCTCGCATTCAAGGTCCTGAAAACCTTTATCCCTGACTTGATTCACGCGAAATATGACCGTGGCAAGTTTAAACTGATTTGCGATGATCTGGGCCTAGCAAATCTGATCGTGCGTGGTAAGGGAGATTTCACTGTTGTTGGAGTCGTAGATCTCGAGTGGTCCTATATCGGGCCTGCCCAGTTGTTTGGCTCGGCGCCATGGTGGCTTCTTCAGGATAGGCCGGTTAACACCGCGTGGGAGTACCAGGATGGCGAGCCTCCTAGGGTTGCTTCCCGGTACTTTAAATACCTGGATATTTTTGTACGTGTTTTGGAGGAGGAAGAGGCAAAATTACCCGATCACAAAGAGAAAGAGCTCTCGTGTCTTATCAAGTGGTCACGAGAGTCCGGGGCCATGTGGCTACATATGCTGCTTTCATCGGGCTTTAACGATCATCATAGTTTTCCTTTTGTCCAGCTCCGTCAACATTTAGGGACAGAATGGGCAAAACGTGAGGAGGAACTGGATGATGAAGAAGAGCATACGGCATTTGCGTTGCAGAAGATAACCGAGTTAGAGAGGTACGATGAAGCCCTGGCGAAGCTCGAAGAGAACAAGGTGCTCATGGACAATGGGAACATGACCAAGGAGGAATTCATCACCAGAGCTCTGGCAGAAGGCGACTATTTCTCGTCTTCTAAGGGCAGTTAGAGATTAGGGATGAGGGATTGTTTCACACAATAACTACGTAGCTACCCTTACAAGTAGCGTATCTTCCGGATGCGTTGCTCATCCTTGGCAAAACTTTTATATAGGATGTTGTTCTCTTTCGGGTTACTCTGCTTATTGTAGGTCATTATTAGGCGTTGAATAGATAATTGTTAGAACCAGTGTACTTCATTCTTATTTGTGGGTGGACAGAGAACGTGTCGCTAGCGCGTCGACGTACAATGATTAGTTTCACTCCTAACCGTTCATTCATTACTATTTAGTGAAATACGATGCTATAAACAACTTGGATTGTGAGATATTCTATGGGATACTGATCCAGATTGTCTGGAATGAGTGCAAGCCAGTCGGGCTTCAATCTGCAGCAGATAGTTGCATTGCACAAATCCCAGTATTCAGGATACCAGCCGGGGATTTCCCAGTCTATGAGCGTAATTGTGAACTTTGGACTTCCACCCTCGTGAGATTCAAGCTCTTCAACCATGATATTTCCCGGTTGCAAATCCCCATGGGTGAAAACCGTGCGGTGGCCGTGCAGTGTGCTATCAACCATTGTTTTCAATAATCGAACATACTGAGACGAATTTTTCTGGAGTAGCCCTTATATATCCTCCTGTCTTGACGCCTGCATATCCCTTTATTAAACAATTACCTACATGAAATCCCATAAATAGAGTTGATCAATAACTTTCCCTATGACTTTTCGACAAGAATCAAGGGTCAGATCGATCGAGTGATGTTTAAATTAGACCGCTCAGTGGAGACTCGGTCAGTTATCAGTGCTTATATTGTCAGTAAAATAGCCCTGGCCCAGCAGCAATAGCAATCATCTCTGATTCCTTAGTCCGTCCAGTGTTGTGGTGTAGTTACCACGAGTAAATTACTAGTAGTCGTACTCACTAGCATCGAACCGTCCGGCATGCTGGCCTAGACCAACTCAGATTCACAAATCGGCATGTTATATTCCTCCATAAAAGCTTCATTCGAGTTGCCTGGTAACTGACTCTTGCCATGACCCCACCAACACAGAGATTAGGCAGGAGAGAAATGATATCTTTTGTACCCGAACACATTCTACTTGACATATTTCCGCAACTCTCGCTTCAAATAGTAAACATGACAATGCCTCACTAACTCAGGCAACAGTGGATAAACCCATTGAATGATAAACACAGAAGTACAAAAGACCAAAGATGTAAGCCACGTGGTACGAAGCCCGTACCGCGCTCGATACGTCTCGGAGAGCCAATGGATGGTAAAGATACGCAGAATCGGCGAGAAAACCAATACCCAAAGGGGCAAGTTATGAGGATATAGAATATCATCAATCACACTGAGTACTGCAGGTGTCGCCTCAAAATGGTGAATCTCGTGGTTCCAATATTCCCAGAACTTGTGAATACTTTCTGGCCACATATCTGGAGGCACCTGGAGAGATGTGCCAAATCGGAATGCATCTTTGTAGAGGGCCTCTGTAGATTGTTCATCCAGCAACCCGAAGAAGGTCTCTTGCACGGTTAATGTTGCGACGAAAAAGCAACTGGCAACCCAGAGCTGCTGCTTGGGATCCATTGCATTGTAATTTCGTCCTCTCACTCCTCGGTGGGCCTTGTTGACCATTCTGGTCACATAGTCCCTCTCTTCGGGCGTTCCAAACACGCCGTGGATATATAGAAAACTGTAGTAAACTCTGGACATGGGATCGGTTCGAAAGTAGCTGTGACTCTGGACCCCTTGTGCTACTTGAGGATGGGAGTTCACAAGAATATTGGCATACTGCAGAGAGATAAGACTGACGATCTCGCTGGTTATCGCTTTGCAGTTGATTAAGTGGTCCTTTGTAGACATGTTACCAGAGGATAATAGTTTATACATTGCTGAGCCAAAATCAGGAAGGTGGGAGTGCTGGTAAACCGGTTGTGATGGCCGATATTGCAGCGTGGGGGAGTTTGCGTACTCAACCGGGCACACCTTTCGCCTCTCAGGAACAGCGTGCATCTCTCACCCCAATCCTATCTTTGAGAACTAGCTTACGTCATGGATTTGTAAGAGTTCAGCTCAGGAATGTGAGCTGTGATGTGGAGAGCTGAAATGGGAACTATCCCCTGCATGGCGCTCAATAGCGGTGGGAAAAAAGCAATATTCTGCACTTATGCGCCCTGCCTACCTTGTTTTAGCCTGCAAATATTTTTACTTTTACTTGCCCCGAAATGGTCTAAGGCAGAAAGGAATGGTTCCCCTTGCTACCATACTCACAAGGATTACTCGAGGGGAAAGATCCACTATGAACTTGGTACAATGTAACCAGCCGTGGATCATGATTCATGATTCTCCCGATCAGAATTTGGCGGAGACCCTACATCCTGATTCCTCATCACGGTGTTCTCCATTGGAACCATGGGACGCTAATCTGCCATCTCTATAGGATATTGTATAATTAAATATCCATTGGAGATCTCGAGCGTGGTAGTTCACCGCTATTCCTAGGCCACCGATCTTTCGGGATATGAGAATCAATGCAAGGTAAAGACGACCTAAAACTGAACTCACCCTGCTGAAATCGTATCTCCGCAAGTAAAAAGATTCGCTATTTTCTGGTTGCATACTCTGTAGTCAAGTCCTTTTATTCTTTCTCGTTCTCTCAGGACTATGCATCTACAAACGAGTCCATTAATTCTCGCATCGCCTATGCCATAAGTTCGACACTACTAAATTGTCTCAAGTTTGTATCCTTTTCTACTCAAATCCACCATACCTTTCGTCCCTCCATGATGGCCCTTCTATGTCCCAGTCAGTATCATCATCCTTCATGCCCATCCACACCGAACGCCTACCTTAGCATTGTTCGGCAGCAGACGTCTCCAGGTGTCCCAGGAACTGTATCTCCCACAAGTCTTGGTTCGAAAAGAACCAGTCCCGCTCTTCACACTTTGTTGTGACAATCGTCCAGAAAGCTTGAGGCTGGTCGAACATAAATGCTGAGCATGTTGCGCTTCACGCACTGCCCAACCTGCCTTCCTTGCATAGAGTCTACATCGCAGATGTTCTTCTCCCCAAGCTACTTAGCTTCACATTTTTCCAAAGCTGTCTTATAGAGAGAATCGAGCAGCTTGATATAGTCCTCGCTCAGTTCAGGAGCGCCCATCTCCGTAGCCTCCGCCTTGATGACCTAGATGCCCATTTCACGCACTTTGCTCTGGTAGTCGAATACCGTGACTTTGCATCTGGCTTCACATACTTTTGCTTCGGGGCTAAATTAAAATCCTAAGCGCTAGCTATCGCTGTCATCCTACGTTCTGTCTTTCGTATTAGGTTAAGTGGTATCCGTGGCCAACGTACTATCCTCCCGCCACCATCCTAGTCCGATGCAGATGAGCCTGATGTATCACTCAAACCCCACTTCCCTGGTGGACACAAAATTCCACAGCTTCTTCGAAAGCTTGGCTAAAGCTTAGTTTAGTGTGGACGACTCATTTCCACTTGTTTTAGGAGAAGTTAATCCTTCCCAATATACTCCGTAACTCACGCCGGAATTGTATACCTTCCTCAGCCATTGACTGCTTAACGTTGGCTCAACAGCCAATGGCACTCTGTCTGAGCAGAACTTTTCAAATGCAATTTATTAATTTCTGTTCATGCTGGGGGAAACGTTCTTGAGAAGACTGAGAGCGCAAGGATGCCAGTGTCACTGTCGCCGTTTCTTCTTTCTTCTCTGTTCTTACTCCAGATAATACTTTCCCCATATATACCTACTATCTTTTTAACTTGGCTAGTGAATGTCCCGTCCCTTCTGTCTATGAACTCTCTTAGAATGGTCCGTGGGTCAGGTTTGTGTTCAAAATCTAGGTCTAACATGCGAGATTCCGCAGTTGTTCAGGTTGATATGATTCATCCCAAGATACTATCCTAAGAGTTTTCCAATGCTTGTAGAGCCTCGTCGACGCCGAGGCTGCGAATGATGGAACGCGAAATGAAGATAACTTCCCAATTGGAAAGGTTCGTCTTCGACTCGTGCTGGCTTTCTCGCTCCTACATTGTCTCTCGATCATCCTCTTCGGCTGGACCATTCAATTATCCTGATCGCGTCCATATCGCCGTTCCCATCGTTTCTACCTTCATCACAGGCTGGACGGCGGTCTTGACTCAGTCTATCATGACTTATCTCGTTGATATTTTTCCTGATAGAAGTGCGGCGGCTAGTGCCAGTCTGAATCTCGCGAGATATCTGTTTGCTGCGGGTGGTACCAGTTTTACCATGCCCATGGTCAATGGGGTTGGTGTTGGTGTGGCGTTCATGATATGTGTCGCGGTGCAGCTTGTGGCGTTGATTGGTCCTTTTATACAGTGGAGATTTCCCGGCGCATGGAGAAAACAGGCGCAGGATCGAGGGGCGATGCATAACTTGCTGGCAAGATTTACTTGGAGCAACGGGTCGAGTTTGTTTGAAAAGCGGACTCGGGATACGGTGTGCTATATCACAAGTACCACATGTATTATACTTGGAAATTACTGTCGTTAAATATCAGGATAGGACAGAAGAGTAGATATTAGAGCATTAGAATAATGGATGATAGAATTACTTCAAAAGCATTGGTCACTGCTCGCATTCTGTGGTTGCCATATCCGCCAGTGTGGACACATAAAGAAATGGATCTTACCTGGAACAGGTGAATGAGTAAGATTCAATAATAGTTAGATGTGCTTATATAGACAGCCGCATATAAGCCTTTTCGGGGGTTAAAAGAGCGTTTGGTGAACATGGACCTGATAGCTCCAACCTGCCCTAGTGAGTTTTTATCTAGCTTTTTAGTTATGTTGGTGTAACTTCAACCAACACGTCTATGTAACCTCGTCATGAGCTTTATAGCTATATGGAGTTGATGCTCCATTGGTATGCATAAATGTAACTGGAACCATGTTTACTAAATTTATATTGTGGTGGCCGTCGTGGCAATATCACATCTCCATGGCCCGAGGACTCGTTATGATGTGTGTCTGAGTGCAGCGTCCGTGTTGCCCTTGTCATAGAGGTCGAGAAGTAGCTAAGATATAGCTATCAGGAGTTTGTAGTTTCAGTCAAAGCTTTTGTAGGATTGCTGACTTCCCTCCCGTCTTGTAATGGGATGGCAAAGGAGTATCTCTCGGACGGGCCACCCGCAATTCTAGATCTATGTTCACTAATCCCTTACTTTTATTTTTGCCTATTATGCTAGATACTCATTACGTACTGAGTGCTGAGTCACGCAAATATAACGACTCACCCCCGGCTATTGTGGACAAGATCGCTGTGCTCCGCCACTAACATCCCTACAACCCACTTGCATTATCCACAGATGAAACACATATTGCATGAAAGACTTCCGTATGGCTATTTAACTATTGACTGATCCTAAGATCTGTGGAGCAATGGTCTCGAAAACGTCAGCTTTCGAATAGATCTGATGCTACGGGACTTGGCTAGCCGGGATTGCAGGGCATACCTTGGGCGGCATTCGTCATGCCAATCCTTAGCTCTATCTTTCCAACATGCCGCTTCAAATCGAAAATACATATATTATTTCTATTTACCTCTGGTGAATATTATCATAGCTTCAGTTGGTAGATCAGGCAGAGTTGCGCTACCTCCCTCACGGCTTTACCCCAGGTTGGCCTGATTACAAGGTCCCAAAAGTCCGCAGCCTCAGAGCCAAAAGCAAGTGGACCTTCTTTAATTAAGACAAGCTCTCCTGACTCGAATCGTCCGGGAGAGCTTCGGGATTTAACCCAATTCTAGAACGACCGGTGTGATGATCCACTCTCGTGAAACGGGCTACCCCGTAGTTTCATCATGACTTAGTTTAATAGACAGGACTGCGCGACAGCGATGCAAACATTCTATTACCCCCAGCTATAAAAGCACTGCAGTCGTCCCTACGGCCTTCCCGTTCTGTAGCTCACTCTGATTACTACCTCCCAAAATGGTCTCTGCTAAATCCCTCGTCACTCTCGTTTTCAGCGCCTCGCTGGCGGCTGCCACCCTCTCCCCGGCGTCATCCAACACCAAGGGAAAGTGCCCTGGCACACTTAATTGTGACCGTATGTAGTTTTGGCTTGCAAGTCGATGTCAATACTCACACAAGCAAACAGCTGCCAAGACGTCCACTGCCATCCAGGCTGCTGAGTGCTCCCACAACACGAGAACCTCGAGTACGCTACTTTCCTCCCCCTTTCTACTAATCTTCCTATTCGAGTTCATACTAATGGCATCAACAGAGACACAAACCTTTGCCGTCTTCGTCACTGACCACCAATACGATTCCTCTCACGGAGCCCCGTACGGAACATGCAAGGCCTACACCTGCACTGCACCCACCGACGCAGAGATGACGGATTCTGATGAGGATTGCTGGACTTTCTTCTGGAAGTAAGCTATCCCCTGCTATGAATACATGTGTGATCTAGAAGGCAGCCTATACTAACTGGATTGTCGCGCAGTGACAACGGAGAGTCATCCGGTGTCGGAACGGGATGCATCAAAAGCCCTGACGACGGCACCTGTGGTTGCGAGAACTCCGATGGAACCTTCGTGTATGGCGGAACAAACTGTTCCTAGATGTGTTGAATATGGCACGGTGGGTGCTTTAGTAGAGAGTAAGAGCTGTGTATGTATTGGCTGGATTTTCCATCTGTCATCAACTAGTGTGTATATCCTTTTTCAATGGAAAGTAGTAAAAGGATGCCAATCATGCTTTTTCCCGTCCTCTATCTTTGCTATCAACTGTTCAAATTTGTCCTTCGAGAAATACGGACTGCCCAAATTTCCAGTAACAAAACGCTTATCATCCCAATACCTCCATCGATTGTAATAATATCCTAACTTGTCCCTCAACTCACGATTCGGAAACATGTCATTTAGTATCTGACTGACGTACAGGCGAGGAGAAACCCCCGGGCACGCCGCATTCAGCATGGCAAGTCCATACACAGCCAGTTGTGTTTTCGGATGGTGATACTTGAGCTTTTGCTCAAATACAAGCAGCATTTCAGCTACATGGAAATATGCCTGCTTTGCTGATTTGGCATTATCTGCTGCATCGTGCAAGATGAGATTCGTGTCCCATAGCATCTGATCTATAGCTGGAAATGTCCCGGACGTTGTTGACGCAAAGGAGTCTGTGTTCGTCGAGGATTGTTTCCAGCTCCAGACCAGGTAGAGGTTTCGCGCAGGCCGTGCCTGCATGGGCAATTTGTATTCTGGGGGAAAGCTCTTCGACCCTATACAGGTAGTTTTCAAGAGAATTATATCAAAATGGTAGTCGCAGTGTCTGATAATGGTCGGCTCAGGTGCTCCCTGTACTTGACAAACAAGGTCACCTTTTCGGATGTCTCTGGCCGAATCTCGGACAGTCCATACGGTTACCCGGATGTCGTGTTGCCTTTTCGTTGTCCAAAAGCACTCTCCAGTGAAATAAATCGATAAGATTTGGCGGTTATGTGAACTCCTTTGTACTTCATGTACTCGACCCAGAACCCATCCTTTAGCCTGGATCATTGCGGTGTCTTTATCTTCCCCAATCCTGACGGACACCGTTTCACCCAGAGCATATTTTATTAGTCTTGTGAAGAGCTCCTCCCACGGAAGGTTATAGTTGGGTAGTAGATCTTTTGCACTCGAGCCATCCGAGCTCATGCCAAGGAGGGCATATATCTTATCATGGCGTAGAGAAGCCTCGTGGGTGTGATATATATCTATTAATTCAACTAAGGAGAGTTGAGCTAGCGGATATATCCCACATTGAGGTCGAAAGATTGCTTCTCCCATATTACGGCCCATAGCGCGCACGGTGGGATTTCTATCTGCTCGTAAGGCCAAGCCGAATGCATGCCCGGCTACTTCGGCAGAACCACACAACACCCGAATGTTTCGTGCTAGGCCAACTTCTTGAACCACCTAAATCGATCATGAGTTATATATTGCGGCGGAGAGTTCCCAGTTTTTTGACTGACCCAAATACGGCGAAACCAAGACCGCTCACACAGCTTACTGAGTGCTGCGTCGTTTATGTTTATATTTCCGTCCTCGGATACTCCATATGAGCCTGCAGCCTTCGCACGAATGCTTTTCATAGCTTCATTGCTCTCGTCAGCCTCGTTGCCAAGCCAGACGACCACTTGGTTCGCTCCCGCATATATCTTTCCCATCGCCTGGATCTGTCGTTCCTTTTCTTTATCGTCGCCTTGGTTGATACAAATGGCATCCACCCATAGTATCCGCTCGAACGTAGGATCGCGAAGCCGTCGAAGCGCCGAATGAAGGTTCTGGTTCACCTTGAACTCCCCGTCCTCGATATAGATGACCTGTGACTTGGCTGAGGTACCCCATACGTAAGACAAAGCGTCGTACAGGTGGGCGCCATTTCTGTTCTTCTGGAGAGAATAGTTGAGAAGCTGGCATTTAATCGGCGCAGTGTTGTCTTCGTTTGGCAACAAGCGAAGCAGGCGGGTCCTGTCGTTCCCTGGGGGGAGTTCAGAATATCTGAAGTGTGGCATTTTGAATCCGATAATTCGATGACTTTGAAAATCCAAATCATGGGGATTGAGCAACCACTTTATCCTCTCAGTGATATCTTCGGGCCAACACGCAGACCCCACATCACTTTCTTTGGACCCTCATGCAGGACCACGTCACCATGCTAGATGACTCGAAGAATGATCGTCGCAAACCCCGCCGGAAATTACGGAATTAAACTACAAGCCAAGAATTATACTATTTGTTATGGCTTTGAGGATAGAATACATCCTTTTTAAGCACAGTTAGTAAGTTTGTCATAAAAAAGCAGAGTATATGCTATCACTCCAGCCGACTCAAGGCCCTGTCCTGGCCCCAACCGTGCCCCATCGAGTAGTCTACAAGTGTAGTTGACTCAACCCAGATCGGTTTATTGTAGACTCGCTCGACGGGGCCTTGACAGAATCACTTCCAATATTCGGGAAGTATAAATCACTACGGACTTCGAAATCTGCAGAGTGAAGGCACACCTCAAGCGAGACTGTTTATGCCGCACTTCAAAGCGGCCGGTGGTATACCTCATGTTACGCCGAGGACAAGGAAACAGACAAAAATGTATATTCTCTAGTTGCAGTTTAAAAGCATGAGTGATATAACGAAAGCCCAGGCAGGAGCAGGGCATAGTCCAAGTGACTGTCATCTCCAGGCTACCTCTGATACTTCGCTTCCCGTAGCGGCGTTAGGGCTGGTTCTACTCCCCGTGACCTGCTACTCCTACGACCCCAAGGGTCTCGCATCTGCCACAACCTGGTATACACAGCTTTCGAACTTGTTGAATATCATTCGTGATGATTAAACTCAGCCTTGGGTGCTGTAGTTTGCTTATCACTTGCCGTCTTTCACTACTAGTAGTATCCAGCCCACAAGGTCTCCTCGGTATATTTATTTATTACGGGGTACGTGAACTGCAATGCAGTAGGTGCCATACAAGCTGTTATTCAAAGAGAAAGATGACAAAAACAGTTTTTGTGTGTTCTATGTGCGACAAGAGAAGTAGTTATCGATGGTTACGTAAATTCCCCCAAGGTCCTCTCGTCCAGCACCAGAGTTTGGCATGTCACGAAGAACAAAGATGGAACAATCTACCCTTCTACATAATCCGGAAGCACGTTCTCAGACTCGATGTACCCTAAACTTCGACGCGAAGATAGATAGCCGTCTCTTGCTCATCGCCACTATTGCAGCATCTGGGTTGATTATAATGGAGTCCCGGATATTCCTTAGCAAGAGTAGCTGTCATCTGAAGCAATCTGGAGCAAGCCAGATCCTACTGAACTGATTCCTGCCATCGAGTGGTGACTATCAGCCACCCCTTTCCCACTATGACACTGTTCTATTCCAATGAGAGAGGGACGATGTGTAATGCAGTGGAGCACACGCTCTTGGCAGGATAAAAATAGTGGAACGTAGATTAAGCTAATGGGAGCATGACGAGTTCTGGCGCCGATCAGTCGTTTCAACTCGGTCTCTGGGTTTTCAGATGCTGATTTCCCATATGGTCATATTGATCTTTCAATCTGAGGAATACGTGAAGGGATTCCAGAAGGAGACTTGGGGATGAGCCAATCAAGGGAATCATGTGCCTGGCTGCTGAAATGGGAAGGGTTTGCACCGTTTGTCCGCGTATCGGGTCACGTGTGATAAGGCGCACCGCAAACGGGCCGGGCCACGTGACGAGGCGATTGCCCCCTTGCCCTTTGCGGCCAACGCCAGCCTTTGGCTTAATTTCACCGGGAATTTCTTGTCCTTCTTCTTCATGGGGTCTTCTCGCTGCTAATTTTTTTGCTCTGCTTTCCATTCCTTCGTTTATATCCCCAATTTTCGTTGTTGCTACGATCGTTCTGCGCCGCCATAGTAATCCGCCTACAATTTGCTGTCGTGGCTGGTAACATCCACGGATCGTCGTCGATCATACCGTCCTGAATTCATCTACTCCGCGAATTACCCCTTGCCCTTCTATGGGCTCTTGCCCGTGAACCTCTCTCAATTTCGACTCTGTTTTAGAACATCGACAACCGCATTATCATCATGAAGGTGCAGCGCCTCTCATCACCGTTTCTCCTCTTTCTCCTCCCCGCCATCGCGACGGCCCTGACAGACTTGGCGCCGAATCCGGCGAGTGCGCTCGATCCTACCGTTGCAGAACACGATGCTACAGTCCCCAATGCCGTCGTAGACGAACTCGCTGCCCCCAAGGTCTCCCCCAAAGGGACCCTGGACGCCCCGGTTGACGGCAAAGATGGCCGGCCCCATGCTGGTCCTTGGGTCGAGACCAGCGCGGAACGGGATCGCAAGAAACCGGCACCGCGAAGACGGAGGAGCAGGCGGACACCAAGTCCACGGACCATCTGGGCGCCGATGGCAAGCCAATCCCTCACTCCAACGATGGGGTCATGGATGATCCGCACCGGACAGGTCCGAAGGAGGGCACGCGTGGAACAGAGGGCGGAGTGTCGGAGAAGCAGAAGGGCAGCACAAATCCAGGCGAGAAACTACCAGATAGCCCAAAGGAAGCCCCTCCCTTGCCTCATAGTGAACAGCAGAAAGCCCCTGCATCCGAGGAGAAAGAAGGCAAAACCTCGGACTCCAAGATGGGCGTCGTCGAGGTAAAATTCAACCTCTACTAGCTTTGGTATGCGTACAGTAGCTGACTCGATTCGCAGAAACCCGCCGATCTGCCTGAGAAACCACACGACATCCCTCATCCCAAATCGCCGCCTTCCGTGAACGATGACCCCCTGGGCCTCAATACTCCGAAGGGCTCGGCCGGCAAGATCCCTGGTACCCCCGAAGAGCCAGTGGATGTGTTGCACTCGCTCATTGCCTCGTTTACCATGATCGTGGTCTCCGAAATTGGCGACAAGACATTCTTGGTGGCTGCCTTGATGGCTATGCGGCACCCACGTCTCCTCGTCTTCTCTGCCGCCTTCGCTGCGCTTTTCGTCATGACCGTGCTCTCCGCCATTCTCGGACATGCCGTTCCCACACTGATCCCCAAGTCCATGACCAAGTTGCTAGCCGCCATCCTGTTCTTCGTGTTTGGACTGAAGATGCTGAAGGAAGGCCGAGAGATGTCGCCCGACGAAGGTGTTGGCGAGGAGATGAAGGAGGTCGAGATGGAACTCGAGGAAAAGGAGCAGGAGCAGCTGCGTATGAATCGGCGTCGCTCGTCCGTGACCCCTCACTCTCTGGAATCAGGCCGTGCTGGTCGCGGCAAGTCTCGCTCGGCGGGCAACCGTCTGCCTTCGCCCCCTGAGAGCCTTTCCTCTTCTTCGTCCCGAGCATCATCGCCCTCGCGGGGCCGGCGCCTGGATGACATGCTCTCTGGCGTGAACAATCTTTTCTCTCTGCTTCTCAGCCCCGCATGGGTCCAGACGTTCGTCATGACTTTCCTTGGTGAATGGGGTGACCGCAGTCAAATCGCGACTATTGCGATGGCTGCGGGACAAGATTACTGGTGGGTGACGGTCGGTGCGATTTCTGGGCACGGTCTCTGCACCGCCGCGGCAGTGATTGGAGGAAGTGCTATTGCGGGACGCGTTAGCATGCGAGTTGGTAAGTGTTTCAACGATTCCTCTATTTCTGTGGATATCCGCTAACTTGATCTCAGTGACTCTCGGCGGCGCTGCGGCTTTCTTGGTCTTCGGAGCTATCTACTTGATAGAGGCCCTTTACTAGACCGTGTATTTTCTCTTGCTTAATGTGCTGGGAATTTTCATGTAACATATACACTTAGGGTCTTGGAGCGCAACGTGATGTTGGGCGCTCGACATTTACTACGTTTTAATGAAAAAGCATCTTCCATGAGCTAATGAGATTGATGTTTGACTCCTTCCTGCATGCCAATTGACGCGTACCTTCTTTTATACTTCCTATATACATCTGTTATGTACATCACTCTCATTTTGGATGATCTATGGTCCTCCCAGAAGCACCCATGTTATCCAACTGTCCTAATACACATATCGAAACCATCGGTTCTCTTTATCAGTCAAGCCAGCCCACTTCGTGTCATCAATCACCGCTTCATCGCCGTCACCCGCAGTCTTCGCACGCCTGCGATTCTCCCATGCGTAATACAAAAACAACACAAATGCCAACGTGCCCGCCGCGGCCTGCGTCGCCAGCACAGCGATCTTGGCCGGGCGATACTCCGGCGCATCCCTCGCCTGGAACGTCTGCGGGCCGATAATATTACCCACGGAGAACGACCCAGCCACGAGCGCGCTGGCGAACGCGCGCTTCGTGTGGCCGGCACAGTTCGCCATCGTCCACTGGTAGAGAATGGGCAGCGTAGCGACGATCGCATTGACCAGGTAAATGCCAATCAAGACGCCGGCCTTGTTATGCTTCGGCAAGAACGACATCAGCGCGCCCCCGATGATGCCGGGAATAGTACAGAAGATGAACCACGCCCAGCGGTGGGAGACCCGGCGGATACCGATCCCGACGGCCAACGTAAAGAAGATGCTGACGATGCCCGACGGCATGTTCAGGAGCGCCGAGTGCGGAGGCGAAAACCCGAAGCCGTTGATTAGGGTTGCCGAGTATGTCGTGACCACGCCCGAGGATACCGACGTCTGTCGTATCTCTAGTCAGTGCTCGCTTCTTTCATCTTCCCTGGTGGATAATGAATAGCTGGGCAGAGTGACTTACACAGATGGTTGTCAATGTTAATAGCCACAGCTGCACGTCCCCAACCGCCTCCCAGATCTGCCTCATATCGACCCGACTACTCCATACCCCCGTCTGGTTCACACTGACATGGCGCAACAACGCAACCTTCTCACCCTCGCTCAACCACCGCGCTTTCATCGGTGTATCGGGAATGAACAACATCGTCAGCACGCCGACCAACATGGTAACCAGTCCCAAGACGAGAAACATGATCCGCCATCCGGCAAACGAGTGATGCACCTGCTGAAACGCAAACGAGATAATGCCCCCGAGTATTTGCGCCACGCCGAGTCCGAGGTACCAGAAGGTGAATCGCGGGGCCTGTTCGCTGCGCGTGTAGAACTGGCTGCTGAGAAGCATCAGCGAGGGTCCGATAGTAGCCTCGAAGATGCCGAGGAAGATTCGCGCCACGAGCAGGCTCCGGTAATCATGGGCGCCGGCGGAGGCAGCTGCCGCGACACCCCAGAGGGTCACATTCAGGCCGAGCCACTTGGCGGCGGGGGCTTTCTGGAGAAGGTAGACTTTTCTCAGCCCATATCAGTTTCCCGCATTCACTTCAATCAATCAAGACTTTATGACAGGTGTAGAAGGGAGGAGGAGAGAGAGGGGGGGTAGGAAGAGTCGTAGTTGTATATACCGTTCGGAACCTCTGCAATCAAATACGCGATGAAGAACCATGTCGCCGTATTTGAGAAGTCATTGCCTACGAGCCCGAGATCTTTCTTGATCCCCATAACCGCGGCATACTACTCTTCCAACCGCATTTAGTTCTCGACATGATTGCTAGGGGGGGTGGCGGGACAAACACACGTTAAGCATCACTTTGTCCAAGAACTGTAGCACGTAGCAGCAGAACATGAACGGGATAATGCGGTAATCGATCTTGCGACGCAATGCGCTTATGTCTACATCATGGGTCTCGGCGACGCCAGCATGCCCCTCCAGGTACTCGACTGCATCATCGACTCGGTTCGCAGGGATATGCGCCACGGCGTCGGAATGTGTCTTCTCCTCCCCCATGTAAGCCTGGGGGTGAATACCCAAGTAAAAGCACCAGAAAAAAAAAGAAAAGAAAATTGTTCACAGAACACAAAGGGGAGAAGCAAACAAATTTCTCAAAGGGAGGAAGGAAATGCCGCAGGAAGGACGAAAGAAGAAAAGAAACCACAATATGCTGCCAGTGTCAGCGCAGAAAAACCTCCGAGGCCTGCAGTCAGAACTGACCCTGGCAAACTCTATTGGGCCAGAAGTATAATCCATCTAAGTAACTAACTCCGCCGGGGCCAATCGTGTGCGCAACCAGCCCAGCCATGCTTTGGGTCCTTGCTGCATGCGTTTGCCCTAAATGGACCACTGCGTTAGTGTGCATTGGGTGAGACTTGCGGTGGAGCTGGGTTGCTGAACAAGCTACGCTACGGGGGATCGTAGGATTTAGTTTAATTGTGGTTTAAATCCTGGTGGATCAGAGGTAAAATGTCATTTGATGATAGTCTGTTTTCGATCAACGTGCATTCCTTGCGGAGGACACCTACACGAGGTTACGCCATGCTGCCCGGTGGAATGTCTCATCCTTGTCTTGGAATGATGTCTAGCCTTTTCCAGAATAAGCAAACAATCTTGACGGCCGGAGGGTGGGATACCGTGGTGCAAGGGGGCGTCTGCATGGGTGTCATGAGCCAGAGCTCGCATATTAGGCAGTCGTGCGTTAAAACTGCAGTTCCGATGTCTGCGCCTTTCTTGATGCCTGGTCTGCGTCCTTCGTCGAGATACCTATGCTGGCCTAAACGATGGGCTGGGTCCATCATGCCGCGCCAGAGGTCGAAGCCCAGTCCCAGTATCGCGAGATTCTGGGTGTCTGTCTCAGCTTGACTGTTCTGATGGTCATTACGGTCAGTCTGCGGCTGGGTCTGCGGGCGCACGCTCGTCGACTGGGCACTGCGGACTATGTGATGGTGTTGAGTATGGTGAGTAGCATTCTTCATAGCAAAGAACGGATACTTTGGTAGAGGCGATCCCACTAACCTGACCCAGCTGTTCAGCGTCATCTACAGCGCGCTATGTATCTCTCGTAAGTTACTCAACAAAGGCATCAGATGAGCGCTCACATCCACAGAAAGCCGATACGGGCTAGGACTACCACTTCACCTGCGCCCGAAGGAAAACCTACCAACCTATAAAAAGGTACAGTGCTGTAACCATCCTCCATGGACCTCTATGACCTGCCATACTCATTAAGCACAGCTCAACTATGCGGGTCGACCGTTCTACCAGATCGGCATCGCCGGCTTCAAAGCCTCGCTCTGCCTCAGCTATCTACGCCTCCTCACCAAAACATCACTATCCATCTACCGGATCCTCATCTGGACGGTACTCATTCTCTCCACGTTAGGCCACATCGCCGGCGCACTGGCCCTGATCTTCAACTGTCGCCCTGTATGTTTCGCATCTCTCATCAAAAGGGGTTAGTACTGACATAGGAACAACAGGTCCAACTCGCCTGGCGAACAGACATCACAGGCACCTGCCTCCCGGTCGGAGGCACATTCTACGGGCTAGCCATCTTCACCATCATCTGCGACCTCATGATCATCTTCTTGCCGATCCCGCTCCTGCTGCGCCTGAAGATCAAACCCGCGCAGAAAGCAGGCGTCGTGTGTCTGTTCCTCCTCGGACTGTTCACGACCATCTGCTCGATCATGCGACTCACCCAGATCCACCGCGTGGCCTATGGAGACGGAAACTCCACTGCGCTGGTGCTTTGGGGGACGATCGAGTTTAACGTGGGTGTAAGTATTCAGTTTACTTTCTACGTACATGGATTTGATCCACAAAGAAAACGGCATAAAGAACAAACAAAAAAGAGCGTTATTGCATGGAAACTAATTTAACCTCCTTCTAGAACATCATCACCTGCATTCCCTACTTAGCACCGTTGTTAAAGGGGCTGGTGCGCGATTTCCGATCGAATAGCAAAGCGTACGAGAGTCAGGGCCACTATGTGTTGGAATCATGGAAGGATCCGCGATCCCAGTTGCGATCGACTGCGTCCGCACCGCCAAGGCGAACGCCCAGCGAGGAGCTAATCATGGATAGTCTGGCGCCTGGCCATGGGGGCATCGAGATGACGGTGGAGGTGCGCGTGTCGCTGGAACGTAAGGTGTCTAGGGGGGTTTAGTCTTGCATAATGGGGTTCCTTAATAGGTTCATTTGTCCGAGTGGGCTAGTATGAGTCTTTTATTTGCTCTGGAGACGGAAAGAGTAAGCACTAAGATTGCGTCGAAGCAAGGGGGGGTGAGGAGTGAGGTTGATTAAGATTCCGAGGATATCCGCGAATACGACCTCGTCCGACGGAGCATCCGCCGGTGTAAAGTTCACTGAACAGGGGGTGGGACATCCTCGAGGCATGCCAGAGAGAATTAGGGTTCGTGCGACGGTTGCGCTCAACGCCAGTGGATCTCCAGCGTTTTATCCCGAGCGGGTCAAGATGAGAAACCCAAGCATATCGGCGTGCCGTCCGTCTCGAGATTGTTTATGCTTAGCTGCTTCACCGTGTCTCAATCAAGTGGGGACGCTGTCAATGCAATCTTGGGCCGCAGCAAATGGGCTCCGAGACATTTATACACCGGCTCAACCTTAATAAACCATCGTTATACCGCGCTCCAATAGACTATGGCAGGGATCTACCTCCTTCAGGCCACATGTTCTGTTAGATAGTACCCAGCTCCACCCTTCATGTACACATCGCACCATCCGGTGAGTCTAGATTATCTCCCTACCCCCAACGCATCCAGATATCCCTCTCCCCTCTCTCCCGGCCAGGAACCGACCAGGATCGGCGGGACATCCCACTTTCCCTTCGAGAGTCAACCATGGCAGACGAACCTCTCCCCGTGCTCATCGTCGGCGCCGGCATCAGCGGCCTCATCCTAGCCCAGTACCTCAAAACCCACGGCGTCCCGTTCCAGATCTTTGAGCGCGACGAGGCGATCGACGCCCGCAGCGGCGGATGGGGTCTCACTCTGCACTGGGCATTGCCGGCCTTGCGGCAGTTGCTCCCTGAGGATATCGTCGCGCAACTGCCAGAGACATACGTTAACAAGGAAGCTGCTGCGCGCGGCGATACCGGGCGCTACCAGTTCTTCGATCTGAAGGCCGGGGAGGCGCTTTATAATGTTCCAGCTGCGGAGCGGATCCGGGTTAGTCGGGTGCGAATGCGTCAGTTATTGACGAGTGGGATTGAAGTGCAGGTGAGGTTCAGGCATCCACGGAAATAAACACAATTACAACATTCTATCAGAAGAAAACCAAACTAATATCCAACCGACAGTGGAACAAATCCCTCAAAGATATCGAATCGAGTCCAGAGTCCGTGACAGCGCATTTTGAGGACGGCTCATCATGGACAGGCCGCATCCTGCTCAGCTGCGACGGCTCGCGCTCCCTCTCCCGACAAATCCTCTATCCAGACGACCACGAAATGCAGCCTCTTCCTGTACAACTCCTGGGCGCGACAGCACTATACACGCCTGAGGAAATGAACGGCGCCCACAAGATCGACCCCTTCATCTTCCAGGGCGCCCATCCAGATACCAACGTGTATCTCTTCTTCAGCTGTACCACACCACACCATCACCCTCATCTCCATTATTTACATTTACGCAGAAACTAATGGGAAATAGTCCTCGACACCCCCAACAACTTCTCCGACAGCACAGACAAATACCACTGCCAACTCATCGTCTCCTGGGCCGAGTCAAAGGGCATCGACGTCCCAGAGTCCAACGCAGAGCGCATCGCCCTGATGAAATCTCTGACGAACAACTGGGCGGATCCGTTCCGGTCTCTGATTCACCAGGTCCCAGATGCCACGGAGGTGGTTTCGATCCGTGTCGCGGATTGGATTTTCAGTCCGCACAGGCAAAGGGATCATCCCCGTGTGGTTCTTGTGGGCGATTCGGCGCATACTATGACTATGTGTTTGTCTTTCTTTCCTCCTATTTTTCTCCTGGGCGAGTACTAACAGAAGGGATATAGTCAGAGGTGAAGGTGCCAACAACGCCATCGTGGATGTCCAGGATCTGGTGAACAGGATCGACTTTACATCTACAGAGTATGATACCACTCGCAGTATAGTTTTGTTCACTGTTGCCGTGGTGTGCTAATGAAGACGTGTAGATCCTTCACACTAGATGCCCTTCGTTCTTCCGTCGCCGCATATGAACAGGATATCTTTGTCCGTGCGGAAACATCCGTCCTGAATTCTAGACAGGCGTGTCTCGATGCGCATGATTTCGAGAAGATTCTGAATGGAAGTCCCTTGGTTTCGAAGAGGGTGCTTAAGGAGGATAAGTAGTCGAAGTGTCTTTGGAGTTGGATACGAGTCTACCTGTAGCGTATGAAGAACAAGTGTGATGAGATTATGATAGACGAGACTTTGATCGAATACAGCAATTAGCATGCTGACTTGGGTTCTCCTTGAGATAAAGTAAATGGTTTGTAACAACGATATTTACGCAAAGATGATATGTAAATAACTATCAATAGACCAGACAAAGTGCGAACAGACAGTTTGGACTCGCAGACATTTCGGTATTTTTCGTGGTTAATACCTTGTGTCTGCAGTTAGTATCCATATTGCTGATTGTGAGTAACTACGTACGATGCAGTTGGCACTACAGTTCAGATTACGTCCATCTCTACATGTTGAATAGGGAGCATGACCATTTATGCGCCGTGCCATGGTTGCGGAAGCCATCTCCAGGTGAAAGTTCCGGGATGACATCGGAGGACCCGTTCTATTAACATCACCTGGGCTTTGATCTTAGTTTGAGTATTCCCTCTCAAAAGAGTCTCTCGGCGGATAGACATGTCGTGTTGCTCTGAGAAGTGGAAGGAATAATTGCAAATACCTCCCAAAGTCAAAAACCGATGGTGCGAAATACCATGGCACGAAATGCAGCGCTTTAGGGTCAGAGGGTCAACATTAGGTTCGACATTAGGGTCACGATTAGGGTCAAAGGGTTATTCAGGCACCAAGGCACCATTCAGGCAGGAATCAGGCCAAATTAGGCAATGACGGCGGCTTACATAAGAAGACCCTAAACCACAAACGCGCCACTTCGTTTTCTTCCCTGCGCTCTTTGTTTGCGTCCCCATTTCCATCCACAGCAAGCTCATCATCCACAGCCATCGATCCCCATCGACTTGGGCAATATTGTCGTCCTAATTGGACCTGTTTTGGCCCAATATCCCGTCGTATACTTGCTGAGAGTGAGTCGGGGTGCAGTCCGCTCCGCTGACCGCCTTTGGATATGGCTCGCATTGCAACGCGCGTTGCCGGGCAGGATATCCACGCTTTGAAGGGCAGTCCGCCGAGGAGACGGTGGACGAGGAGTCAGAGTCGGGAGCTTGAGACTCATCCAGTGGAAGATGCCCCAGCTGGGAAGTCTTCTCTCAAGAGTAGCAACTTCTGGAAGGGTAAAGGGAAAATGATCGGACATGGTCAGTACTGTTTGTTTGATTCACTGTAAACGAGAAAAAAAGAGCCAAGTCCTCTTGTGTTTTTTCAATTGAGATTCACTGTATCTTTGTGTTTCTTGTTTTCCGCTTTACTGTCACCGCGGAGGATATCTGAAGTGCACTCTCTACGCTCCCACTGAATGGGAACTTACACCATCGATAGACTTGAGTGTCGTCACAGAAGAATCACCGGTCAAGGCACCCCAGAAATCAGGATTTCGTGCTCGCCATGTGATTCCTGAGTCGCCCGAGGATATGCACAACAACACGATGTCGGGCTCCACCATCATCGTCCCTGACGCAGAGACTGATCAGGAGGATGAGGACGACCAGGATGACGAGGAGGATCTGGATCCGGAGTTGATGCTCGAATCTCTTCCTGGCTTGGAACGATCCGCAAAGGATGTTCTCGACTTTCTGGTGCCCAGCTCTGCGGATCTTAAAAGTATCGTCAACATGGCCAAACGACTCTCAGATCCCAGGAACACCCAAAGCAAACGACTGACCCTCCGCAAGGCTGCCCTGAAGAACCAGCCCGGGTGGTTTGAAGGTAAGACGTATATAGACGTCACGCGAGCTAACGAGTCTCTTTCGTCCCATTTGACGAAGGATGGGGTCGAGCTGAACTGGAGCGCGGAGCCTATTCTCCATCGCGCGAACTGTGCCCGGTTTTCACTCGAGGTCCTCCTGGCTAGTAGCAATTCAACCGCCTTCAAAAAGGCCATATGGGACGTCGAAGGTCTGTTTCCGTTGCCGTTCATGCGTGATCTGGTCACTCGTCGGGGGGATGCCGTTGGGGAAAGCGCGCTTGTTAAGGACACTTTCCAGCTCGCCTTAGAGATCCGCACCCAGTTCTTGATCATACAGTTAGAGAACCATCAGCATGATCACAGCTTCGATCCGAACTTCATCTTGGAAGACGGCTTCTTCCTAGATGTGTCTGCTGACGAAGCGTTTGACAGCAGCGATGCTCCAATGCGTGGGTTCAACTTGCCAAGGCTTAACGTTGAAGGGTCTCTGCCCGATGAATTCAGAGAGGCCGCATACGATCGCTTCGAAGAAATGGTCGCCAACTTGCCGGATGAAGATGACAGCTTTGATATTGACGACCTTAAAACCACCTACCCCTGGCGGAGCTTCCTTCTGCGAGCGGCTCGATGGATTCGCAAGCGGTGCGAGGAAATTGACGAAGACTTAAGCCGCCAGCAGAGTGCAGAGTCTGCGCGCGAGGAATTTTTTGCAGATATTGACGCCAAGGACCGTCGCAGTAGCAGCGTGATAGATCGCTCTAGTTTGGCTCTGCGACGTACAGAAGAACGGAGTGAACGGGGCACGATCGCTTCTCCCGACAATCGAAGGGAGTCAGTCATGCCACCCGCGACTCCCAAAGACACGCCGAGCGCCGTTGAGTCCAAGAAACGGAGAAAATCTGGCAAACCGTGAGTTAAGACTTTTTGTAGCTCAGCAGCTGGCTAACTTTGTCAGCGCCTTTTTAAACAAATTGTCCCTTGAACGCATAGCACAAAGAAGGCTAAACCCTGTGGTTTCCGTCAAGAATTCCGAGGCGCGTAGACAATCGGATGGTGCCGCGAGACCAGCTCCAGAAACTGTCCATAAGGAATCTGCATCGCAGCTTCGGCGCCAGACCCTACCAGCATCCCGGCTATCGAGACGGACACCGTCGGACGAAGCTACCGAAGAAGCAGCCGAAGAACATTTTGAAGAGCCTGTTGAAGAACTCGCTGAAGAGCCTGCGGAAGAGTCCGTTGAAGAGCCCGTTGAAGAGCCCGTTGAAGAGCCCGTTGAAGAGCCCGTTGAAGAGCCTACTGAAGAGCCCGTTGAAGAGCCCGTTGAAGAGCCCGTTGAAGAGCCTACTGAAGAGCATATCGAGGAGCCTACTGAAGAACTGGTCGAGGAGCCCACCGAAGAACACATCGAGGAGCCAAATGAAGAGCCTGCCGAAGAACCCACTTTCCATGAATCCCCGTCACTCGTTCAGCATGACGAACACGACTTCAATGTAGACAGCGAGTCCGAACTGTTTGTCGGCGAACGCACCCAGTTAGAGAAGTCACACAGTCCCGTAATGAGAAGGACCTCACGGGAGCCTCGGTATGCCAGTCTGGGCCCAGTCCGGACCAAGCTCTTCGCACCCGAGTTACGGCTAGAGTCAACCTCTACGCAGACGCGCAGCGGGTCTCGCGCAATGCTCTCCAGTCTTGAACTGTGGAAAGCAGCCAACGGCGACGGTCCATCACAACCTAGCAAAAAGCCCGAACAGGCCTCCCGATTCATCGACCGGCAAGCAAACGCGCACCGCGTGTCTCCCATCAGCCAAGCCGATCCACCAAGCGTCGAACGGCGCCACCCCAAACAGCAGTCCAAGAAACGGCGACGCCAGGAATCAGAGGAGGATGACGAGAGCGACGGCGAGTTCAGCAACTACAGTCGGCCCGTCGACACCGCACGCAAACGGGCGGAAAAGCCCGCCCGGCCTCAGAACAAACGCCAGCGAATCGAAGCACACGACGAGTCTGCAGCCCAGCTGCTGAACGGTCTGGAAGAGACCACGCGCAGAAGCACTGTCCCTGAATCCCCTGAGGCAGCGGCTCGGAGCACTAACCCCGTCCCTGTGTCCTCTAGCGCAAGACACACGGTCACATCGACCAAGGCGCCGGTGCGATGGACGGCGTCCGAAGACAAGCGGCTGATCCGGTTAATCGAAGAGGTTGGGCTGGGCGGGCCCAAGGGCAGCGGATGGTGCAAAATCGCCAGTCAAAACGAGGCGCAGCCCGTCCGGGAGGGGGAGAGCCGCATCGAAGGGCGAAACCAAGTCCAGCTCAAGGACCGAGCGAGAAACATCAAAATCAGATATCTCAAGTATGTCTCTTTCAGTTGGATCTATGTCCGGGGAATGTAACTAACGGGCAATAGGGACCGAAAAACTCTCCCCTCGAACTTCGAGCATGTGACTATGAAAGAGAAAGACCGGGCTATGCTCGCGGCAAAGGGCATCAGCGTGTCTTAATATCCTTTTCTACTTGCACTATTCTGTATCTCCTGTTCTTCATCTGCTTCGTCTTGCAATATCCTTCGCCAGAATGATACCCCTGATGCGAGTCGCGCGTTCTTCGAGTATCGTGGTTCAGGTTAGAGCTACATTGAGTTTATTGATTTAATTTCATTGTCATGGTCATTCAATCAAGTATTTCTTCTGGTATATCGTTCAACAATATATTATGATTAAGCGAGCGGACCGGGTATCGTGTACAATCCCGCAGTAAAGAGTAAAAACACAAGTCGACCAGCGATCCCAAGATACACAATCAAGATATAAACAAACCCTCCCCCCACAATCCTATTCACAAAGTCAAACAACCCTGCAACCCAACTCCCTAAAACAACCCCCCAAGCATGAGCCCAGCCAAAACCCCACCCAACAACATCTCCCTCCCAATCCCCCTCCCAGCCGCAGCACCAGTAGCCACACTGGCAGACGGCGAAGCCACCCCACTAGTACTCACCGACGACGACGCCGAGGCAGAAGCCGTGGGCGCAGCCGTAGCAGCCGAAGTAGGCACCGCCGAAGAGGGCTGGTTCGGGTACGCCGACGCAGTCAAGATACTCTTGGGAGAGTCTGTGCCGGTGGGGGCGTTGCTGGCCGTCCGGACCATGGTGGGGTTCACGCTGAGCGAAGCCAGGGGGTCAGTGTCGCCGTCGTCGACGTCTGGCGCGGTCAGGATGCCGTTGGCTTCTGTTTCGGTTCTGGTTTCGGCGTCGGTTTCGGGGGCCGTGTAGATGGCGCGCTGAGTGCGGGATTTGGTGGTGCTGCCGATGGTGTAGGTTGCTTCGCCGCCGCCTGTGTTCTTGTCAGTTATCTTTCTTTTATGTATGTATGTATGTATGTATGTATAGATTGGGTTATGGGTGTGTTGGTTATCCATGAAGGATAATATATAGTGTTTCTTGGAATTGGGAGTAGATAGACATACAATGCTCAACGGGATACCCAGGACACCTCGTCATACATTCCGTATTCTCCACCTTGGCCTCGAGAGGAGGAAGCGTATCCCCACAGAAACACTTCCGGTCTTGGACCGCATACACAGGCTTGTTCTCTGCATGGCAGAATTGCTGGCAGAGAGCCACGGACTGGTATTCTGTCGTCGTGTGCGAGGGCGTCAGATTGCCCAGGGAATTGTAGCAGGCGGTCTTCAAGGCGAGGGCGGGCGTTGATAGAGACAGGAGCCCGAGGATCAATGCTTTTGTTCTGGTCATTTTGGATCTTGTTTTGTTTTGGTCTTGATTGAGTCTTTGGTTTGTGTGTTTTTGTGGTGGGTGAAATGAGTGAATGAATATCTGTCTGTTGTCTATATATGGTGGTTCGGCACCGGGCAGATTTAGTTGATTTTATAACCAGAAAAAAAAAGAAAAGAAAAATGAAGAATGATCGAAGATGAAACAGACAAAGAGAACGGAAAGGTTAAAGATAGTTTAAATATGCCTGTTTCTCAAAGAAGGCGAACAAACAGAAACAGAGTCAGGCAAGTCAACGGGGCAAATGGCAAATATAAAAATATCTGATCCCTTCATCCACCAGGAAAACACAAAATAAAAATAAAAGAAAAGAAAAAAAAGGTACAACCAACCCCTTGAGAAAACCCGAAGGCAAAAAAAACCCCCCCCGACACAAAATTCAGAAAATGAAACGGCAACAGAATGCCGATCGGGCAGATCGCAAAAAGCAAACCGTACACAGGACACACCAAACTCAGGTATTTTTCTCCCCTTCGACGGATGTGAAGACTGAAGACTCCCGTTCGCTCGTCGATCGACACACTGAAACCCCCGCTGGCCAGGGCGTTTCAACCAATCCCTTACTCCCGTTTCAGGGACGGTTCCATGTCGCTTAGCTGTGGTCGGGCAATTTAGCGTAGGGCCAACGGACGGCGCAGTTAGTTTCCAGAGTTCCACTCCCTTGGGCCCTCGCGGTGATGTCACGGATCGACGCACTATTGCTTTCTGAGACTGGCCACGCGAGACACTATCGATTATTGTGTTTTTTTGGCCCGGGGAGGATGCCGTCATTGGTGTGGATTCGGGTCTCTCGTCTGGGGTGTGTTTGTTTCTTGGTACCCATTGGCACCAGTAAAATCCCGCAGAGTGAGGAACGACTCCATCTGCCAGTGGACGGTGGGTAACAACGTCCAGGAGAAGGGGGGGGGGGGGGGGGGAAAGAAAGAATGTGTGGTAGCGAGAGTGTCAAGTTTGAGAAGTGAAATTGTATTGAAGATGGCAAAAATTGACTCGGGATGGAATTGACGGGGTCGGCACCTGACCACCATAACCCTTGTCCGTCCTCCATACCATCAACGACCGGTGACAATCTGGATCGGACTTCATGGAGAATTGCAAATACTTGCATGAGTCCCAAATCCATAAATGTCCTGTCTCATCCTCCTGCCACCCGAAAGAGACACCATGAGGAGACACGTCCAGTGACTCCACCCGAACATTTATAGGGTCTGGCACCCACCAATTCCAAATCAAGCCCCCCTCGAAGAATAAAGGGATGTCATACTCAGCGCAGCCCACGAGCCCATTTGATCCCTTCCGTCCTGGCCTGAAGATATTAATAACCCACAGCAAGCATACATAGTTCCCGGAGACTTCATGCTTCTAGAATGACGGGCGATGCAGGAACCCCCCTACCCCTCCTCTCATCAACCTGTGGCCCCGGTCCATGGACATGCATGATGAGACCGACTGAAAATTTTGATACATGCAAGAAACACTGGATAAATCACCAAATATAGCCAGATCCTGCTGACGCGAACGCGACCTCCTTCCCAGAAAAGGGAAGAAAAGGGTTCGCAGGTAAAACAAGCCAAGACACTGATCTCAAACACCTCCGACGCGGTCAGGTCTCCAAAGTCTGCCTGCCTCCCACGAAGTCTAGATGGAATGGCCAAGATAGAAGATAAGAAAGAAAACGACCGTCTCCAATTGCCATCTCCAAACCAAGCTTCTGTCAAGACGAGTCTAAGTCAGCATCGACCTTCCCAGTCAGGCAAAACCAGAGCCGACTAAAGGCGGGCGAATCCGCTCTATCGGCGATTGCACCATTGAGAAGCGATTGTTATCCGAGGTCCTGCACATCCAAGCGGAGAAAGAAGCGGAGTCAATCGATCACTCAATTGACCGCCGTGATAACGCTGCCATGCAATGCCAATCAGACAAGGAAATGGCGACAACGTCCAGATAAGATATATATCTCCAGAACCCCATTCTTGTCACTCCAGTACATACACCCCAACTATATATGGGCTCATTGTCTAGAACATAATATATGGAATAAATCCCCCCCTCCCCAAAAATGCACCCCAAAACGCTTCCTTGGATAGCCCTGCTATCACCGACCGTAACAGCCCTCAGCATCCCACTGCCATTCGGGCCCTCCCAGCAAGTCCTCAATCCCTGGTCGGACCAGGATATCTGCCCACTAGCACCCAAGATCTCGGCCCCAGAGGATGGCCTCCTCCCAGCGCTCAGATTCGTCGAAGATGACTCCATCCGCGCCCGTCAGGCGAATCGTCTTTCCAAAGCCGTGCAAGTGCCCACCACCGTGACGGATTACATGAAAGATCCGTATGACGAGGGATTCGCGCCGTTCGTCGAGTTCCAGGATCTTTTGAAGGAACTTTTTCCCCTGGTGTATGTCCTGATCTTACCCTAGCTTCCACCCACCACCCAACCAAACAACCAACTAATAACCGATATAGTCACAAAAAAGCCACCCTATCGCACATAAACCGCCTGGGCCTCCTCTACACCCTCCCCGGCAGCGACCCAACGCTAAAGCCCGTGCTCTTCACCGCGCACCAAGACGTGGTCCCCATCAACGACGCCAGCGACTGGACGCACCCCCCGTTCGACGGCTACTTCGACGGCACCTGGCTGTGGGGCCGCGGGGCCAGCGACTGCAAGAACGTGCTGATCGGCTTACTCTCGGTGGTGGAGGATCTGCTGAACCAGGACTGGACGCCGAATCGGACGGTGCTGCTGGCGTTTGGGTTCGACGAGGAGTCGCATGGGTTTCTGGGCGCCGGGGCAATTGCGGAGTTCCTGGAGGGAGTGTATGGGAAGGATGGAGTGGAGTTCGTGTTGGATGAGGGGGGAATGGGGCTGGAGACTCTTTCTTCTTTCTCTTCCGCTTCTGATGGAGGGGAGGAGACGGAAGACGACGGAGTGATCTACGCCCTCCCTGGCGTATCCGAGAAAGGCAGTGTCGATCTCGTCTTCACGCTCTCTGTGCCAGGCGGCCACAGTTCCGTCCCGCCAGCACACACGGGCATCGGTATCCTCTCCGAAATCATCTACACCCTGGAGAACAACGAGCTGTTCACACCCCGTCTCGACGACTCCCACCCCTCGCGCAAGAAGCTCGAATGCCAGGTGCGACACTCGCCCTCCAGCGTCGAGCCCTGGCTTGCCTCCGCGCTCCAATCAAGCGACCACGTCTCCACGGCCGAGAAACTGGCCCGCTCGCGTGGCGACCAATTCCGGTACATCCTGCAGACGTCGCAGGCCGCCGATCTCTTCCACGGCGGGGTGAAGACCAACGCATTGCCGGAGCATATTGAAGCGGTGGTGAATTACCGGGTCGCGTTGCATCAGACGCCGGAAGAGGTCATGGACCGGGCGGTGCGCATGGTCGGGCCGATTGCCGAGCGGTTCAATTTGACGTTGGCGGCGTTCCCGAAGGATAAGCAGGGCGAGGAAGGGAAGCTGAACCATCTCACCATTTCGACGCTGAGCGGGGCTTTGTCGCCGGCGCCTGTCAGTCCGACGGGCACCGGCACTGATGCCGTTTGGACGCGCTTTGCTGGCGTGACCCGATCCGTGTTTGAGTCGGTGCCCAGTCTGAAGGGGAAGACCGTCGTCGTCAGCGGCGATATCATGACGGGCAATACTGATACCAGGTTTTATTGGAATCTGTCGAGGAACATCTATCGCTGGAGTCCATCGCGGGCAGGGGGTGCGCTGAATATTCATACCGTCGATGAGAGGCTGGCTATTGATGTGCACTTGGAAGCGATGGCTTTATACTATGGTATGTCTTTCCCTCGTCTCTCTTCTATATCAAGTTCGTAGAGAGTATGATTGCTGACCTTGCCAGACCTTATCCGCGCGTTTGATGCGTGGGATACTTCGGTTGAGTCTACTTATGATCTGTGATAGAGGCCATAACCACTAGTATAAGCACAACTGAGTATATATAGCCAGCCTATATATATACTAGGATAGACGTAGCTTTGAGAATCACAGTGCCCCTGAAAAGCATCTGCTAACTACACCGGTTATGTTCAGTAACACTGTGGTATTTGCAGACATAAGAATGCTACAATGCAATGCGCTATTAACAACGGTCTCGGCCTGGCCCAATGGCCATAGTAAAAATAAATTATAACAAAGTCTGCGAGCATCTCCACTCGCGCCAGAAGTGAATAGAATCAAATATACAGGGAATGAACCCTAGTTGAGAAGTAACAATGCAAAGGCGCCACCCATGACGGGTCGCGCAATGAACGTAATACCCGCCGGATAACTATACTGGTCAGCAAAGCCCAAGCAGCCGGTCTACCGACACTTACTTTCCAGTTTGGGTATCATAAAGATCCGTAAAGGCACGGTTGGTCGGGGTCTCGTTGATCCAGGCTGCAAGCGCCTTATGGAACATGTCTCGGACGCTCTCCGGCGCAACCGCGGCTGTGAACAACTCCCAATCCGCTGGAACCCGTCAATATGCATTGGTTGGGACATGAAAAGGACATCGAGCTCACCCTTCGTGTATACATGCCGAGTATCAAGCGGTACTCCGTACTTCTCCTTCACAGTCGGATAGAAGGTGTTTTGCATGTCATAGACTGACTGAGGAACCAAGCTCAAGCCCAGTTCACGATCAGCGTACAGATTGTACAGAAGCCCTGGAGAAGGTCAGTATGGTAAAGGTACCCCTGAGCAGCGAACTGACCATGAGTCTCGTTAGCTCCGTACGACAGCGTTGTGTGCGGAGGATTGGCATTGTGAGCCACGCCTAATGTCTGCCACCTCGTGATGTAGTCCGTGGCAATGCTGGAGTGGTTAGATGCATCATCTGGGTGTCCAGTCGTATTGCTGATCACGGCCATTGCCTGGATTCCAATAATTCCCTTCAATGCTAGGTTGGTCTGGTTCCTGTACATACTATCAGCATCAACACGTATCTCGTATATGTACATCACTTACGCTAAAGAGCCAGCAAAGTCATCCGTAGAGATCTGGTCCGCGGGGTAAATAGCATCCTCCACGAGGTATGTCGTCCACTTTTTCAGGATGGGATAGTGCTGTGAGAGATAGTCGTTGTCCTTAGCCTTCTGGGCGTAGGCAAGGGCCATGATAACCATATTTCCACACTCCTCGAGTGGCATTTTCTCATCGTTGCCGTTGGGGTGGCCGGTGGCATTCGGGTAGTGGGTTCCAATATCGTGCATAGCGTATGTGTGGGGATACTTCCCGTTTTCTTGAATCTCATAGATCGGCTTCAGAAGCAGTTTGAGAAGCTCGGGATTTGTGTACAAAAAGATCGGGTGAGCGGGAAAGATGACGTCCACCGTGTTCATGTTGCCATTGGAGGAGATCTCCTTCATGAAGATATAGGGGTCCTCGGGCGTCCCACACAATTGCACTGCAGCAAAGACCTGACGGACCGTAAGTGAGGTGATCGTCAGGTAGTCCTGGCCAGCGGCAGCAATGGAATCCTTGGATACTCGGTCATCGAGATCCTTCGATAGTGCAGCCGCCGCAGCATAATCATGATGGAAGAAGTCCAACTACATAGATTGTCAGATGATACTCCAAGTCCGCAGCATAGCAGAGGTCACTCACCGCAGCAGTCGCAGTGCTGAAGTAGCTCTTCCAGAGTGAAGGCATCACGGTGGTTCCTTCAGGTTTACCACTGTACTGGATGGCACTGTCCTGCGCAAGCCCAATGGAAAATAACGTGCCTGCAGACGTCTTCACCGAGCCAAGGTCACGCGAAAAGCCAAATACGGGCCAATTGGTCGAAATTGCACGGTAGTTTTTATCATCAGAGTTGGCCAACTGTCCGTTCGTTGCGAATGCCCCTCGCACATCAACATCCGGTCCGGACTGGTAGGTCAGACCATCTCCGTCGTCTGTTGCCCAGTACCACTCGCCCCATTCTGCTTGCTCGGTGTTCTCAGAGAAAAGCAGCTGCGTTTGGCGGTAAACCTTGTGATAGGCGATGCCATCATCGGTGACACCATAGTCCCACTGCGCAATGGCGTTTCGGTCCCCGGACACCCACTCTAAGGCCTGGTTAGACGGACCGTTGCACGGTTCCAGGTCGGTTATTCTCTTGCTTACCTGCTGAAATGTCTGCGTACACCTGTATGTCATGCGCTTTGCCGTCGATCGATTCGACATCTACGTCCAGATAGGAGAACACAAGCGACTGTCTCCGGAGATCATCTGGTGTGATGGGGGAGAGGAATTTCACTTTCATCTCCACCAGATCTCCCACACGCATCGTGAACACACTCGAAGTTGAGGTGTACTCGAAGGCAGTCTGGTTCACCGTGGGAGTGTTAGGGATAGCCCCCATCCATGTGTAGGTCGAATTATCGACCCGGATCTGACCCGCCCAGCCATTTACTTGGCCGCTGCCACCAGGGACGTGGTTTAGTCAGAGTACCGTAAAGATGGGTGTCTTCAATATCTACCGTTCGGGACTACTTACAACCAGAACGTAGGCCATTGGCCGGCCAGGTATCCTCCATTACCGCCGTCCGTGCCCGCAGACAGCCATGTGCTCAAGTACGGCGACTTGACAGCCAAGGGCAGGGCGGGTGGCCTTGCAGGGGAAAAGGTCGACGCAGCTCCCACGGAAGACAGTAGGGAGGCCGCCGACAAACAAAACGAGAGGAAATGCATTATGATCCGTATCGAGGGAGGCACACCGGGCACATCCTCCTTTATGTACGTAATAATTCCAGCTTGTTTTTGAAGAACGAAAGAGCAGAATCGAGATCCGCCGGTAAACGTGTCACCGAGAATGTGAACCTGAAGAATGCTACAGGAATGCCAGACACACTTATATAGTGGGTCGAGCCTGCATACCAGGGGGCAGGGCCGACAATTCAGGAGAGAGAACTCGATCAACTATGCAAATTTAGCATACTGCGTGAGGGTCTAGAAAAGAAGTGCGGAATGGGGGCGCGCATGATGGAGACTCCCGCAATATCGCCTGACCTGTCAGTCTCTGTCGGGGAGCAACTCATGCGGCCTCGACCCGTCTGCCCGACAGGTGAAAGAGACACGGAATTCCAGGAAGAGCCCGACCATTGGACGGGAGACAAGATCGGAGATTAACAAGCAAGGGTCGACGGAGTGGGAATATGTACCTTATACTTAGCCGCTTCGGACTCGACCAGTCCTCGGCCAATACACTTCGAGGCTGCAGGCGATCTAACGAAGACAAGCCGACACTAAACCATGATAGTCCTGGCTGCCAGAGCCACCTGAGCAAACAAGGAGAGGCCCAAGAAGCGCTAGTGGCTGATGACTATGGGGTAGTCCGAGTTAGTTTCTTCGGCAGTGATCTGAGGGGGAAGCATATGACATTCGCTACCTCGGTGCGCCAGGGAGAGAGAGCGCCACAGCCATCTTATACTCCGATCAAGATCATTGCGCGATAATAATGCGGTGAGAGAGAGACATAAGGATGACCCCGATTCCAACGAGGGACTAAGAATAGATCTATTCCGGTAGCCGAACTGGATCCTGCATCGACCGGGATGGGGTCGAGAGATCTGGAGCTCAGTTTGGAGAAGTGGAAAGGACAAAAGAAACACAACCCATCATGGCCTGAGGCAGAGGCCCGTCAGTGATGCTCCCGTGCCCTAAACAGGAAAGTGATACATCGAGCTGGCATGGAGTCAATGCTTGGCAGTGGGGTCACTCTTGCCGTCGGATCAGCGAATATCAAGGGCTTCCGACATGGCTACAACACACATCTACACCATCTATTGCCGTTTGAAATAGACTTAGGTATACTATACGGTGCCTACAAAGTAGTGGTCGTCCGTCCCGTGTGACCGACAATTGTGATGCTATCAGGTGGCAAGGAGTCTATCGAGCCTGCAGTGTGACCGTGACCTCCTTTTCCCTGCAGATTTACTAGGAGTATTCCCAATCAAACTCATACACTAAATGTAAGCGGAGGGGGGAAGAACACAAGCATCACTGGTTCCACCCCACCTGATCCATCATATCTACCGCAGGAACCAACGGTGAGTCCCCGTTGGACTTCCCGCCAGTGGCTCCACGTCAGAGTCGCTTCTCATACATATCTTTAGGTGTGAATTATTATACACGATTGGTCTCGGGTATCGACATGAATCTATGATCTTCTGTCTTTGGCTGCGATAGTCGTCGAAGTCCCTGACCGCTTGATGCCTGGCAGGCAGCCTGTTATCCAAGAACAATTCAAGTGAGGTCACTGCGCTTTGGGCATCTCTTTGTGATTATCGGTGGTTGCTGTAAGAGGTTCAATCGCCATTTGGCCGATCTATGAAATTTCAAGGTCCATCCAGAGTAGTAGATATGTATATTTTTATCATGGCTGCCTGATCGTCAATTTCAAACGTGACCATATAGAAACATCCCGTGGATGAAAATGACGAACTGCAGATTTCAATGGGGCCGGGCAACAAGGCGACAAAAAACCTCCATTAACATGTAACATCCAGACGACTATTATAAGGCCATTAAATTCTCCTGATAACACAATTCATGTCACATTCGCCCCGGATTCCAATTCTTCCCCTTTTCCCCTTTTACCCTTTTCTGTTGTTTCCTTTTTTTCCTCTTGTTTTTTTTTATTATTATTTTCACCTTCCTGGCTGCCGAACCTTTGGTTCGATCCAGTGCATGCGTAACTATAACCAAAAATAATTGTCATCGAATCATCAGCACAAAATCCGTAAACTCGTCAGTCATGATTAGACTCCTCTTTAGCCCTTTTTCGACAGCACCTTGGAACTGCGCGCCAAGCCAATACAGAACTCGCCCCAGTCATCGCTGCTGCTGCTGGTCAAAACTTCCTCGGCAATGGCCTCTTCCAGTCGCTCTCCGTATCTCCGACGGAATTCGCTTTTCACCTGTTCCAGATGGCGCGGTTCCCAGTGCAATCGGACCAGACGGGAAATCAACAATTCCGATCGCTCCTTGCCCGTCCGCGATTCCCGCAGAGCCTGGTGGAGAAGGAGAGCGTCGCGCATGGGTCGGTTGATAACTCCGTTGAGTATATGCGCAAGGGTTTCGCCCTGTTTCCATCGAGTTAACCAGGATCCTCAAACAAGGAGAAAGATGAAAAAAAAAAACCCCCACTAGGAGGTCACGCAGGTTACATACCACCAGATTCTGCGACTTGGCAATCATAGCACGGGCGAAATTCCGGCCGTAGATCCGCTCATACAGGCGGAGCACCTCTCGCAAGTGGGAGTCGCTCCGGCGAACAATGATATAAATCATGGCGGTTTCGCCTCCATGTCGCGACACCAACGCCTTGTGCAGCTCTTGGACGTCCCGTTCGATTAACTCGCCATCGAGGGGCTCCCGTTCACTCTGCCGGGTGCCCTCGAGCGCCATTAACACAGCGGTTCGGAATTTGTCAGCCTTCAGTTCGGCCTTCATGCATTTCTCCAGGTTATCAAGGTACCGTGAGTCGCGGAAGCATTCTTTGATGGCACGGATCTCACTGTTGCTCCGCCCAAACAGCGACTCAATCAGCAGCTCGCGTCGGGACGTACTCGACTGGTAGTAACAGTTGGCCCAGAACGCTTCGGATTCCCACCGGCCCAATGCAGTCGCATAGCACACCTTGCCAAAGGTGCTGTTGCCCAGCTTCAGGCGAATGTGCTTGGCCAGGTTGACGCTTTTGCCGTGCAGCTTCACATGCTTCTTGTACTCCGCCCGGAGGTCCAAGATCTCCTCGCTGGCCAAATGGGGCAGCACACGGATGAGGGCCTTGCTATCGATGCTGCGGGTATGCGACAAGGCATCCTGCATGGCCATGGCATCGGGTTCGGGGTCGTAGAAAGACACTTTCTTGCGCGGTGTGCTGGGTTCTATCAGCATGACGGCTTGTTCTTGCGAACTAGGTCGCTCTGGTCGGACACGACTCCTCTCGCGCTTGGAGCGATCACTTTTTGGCTCCTTCAGTTCCCTCTCGTCCTTTGACTTCTTCCTCCGATGCTTTCGTAGCCCGCTCGAGTCGGAGCCGCCATCTAGGGGCTCGAGGTCCGACACGTCTTCATCCCGCTTGGAGGGGATGACGATCGGAGACGGCATCGGGGAGATGCTCTGGTACGTCCCCTTGTACGGCTCCAGCATCGGACTCGCCGGTCGAAGGCTGGGGTCGGGACCTGCGACCGACAGATTGTTGCCCAAGGAGACGGAGTGACTCTTCTGACGAGTGCCCGCCCGGTCGCCGGGCACGATTTCGACATACTGCTGTCCGCTTTCCGGACGACTGGTGGGGGTCTTGGAGAACTGCGGGTTGGCGGAGTATTTGACGTTCGCGTACTGCGACGGTTGACCCCTATTTGCCTCACCTGGTTTGGTGTACTGGGGTGCCGCGGTATACGACACAGGTTGCTTGGACGCGCCCTTCGAGGTATATTGAACTTTCGGATCGACCTGCGCGTACTGGAAAGTAGGCGGGTTGGCGTACGGGGTCTGCGCCGTGGCGTCGCTTGATACAGCGCGCTTATGGGTCGGAGAACTGACTGTAGGAACGTACGCATGAGGGCCCGACATTGAGACGGGGCGACCCCCCCAGGATGGATACGGATTCGACTGTGCTTCCAGGTTCGCGTACTGAGGCATCGGAAACGACGGCGCAGCGGTTGTCGCCGGCTGCGGAAATGCACCCGGCATGTATTGTTCGTCGGCTTGCGACGACGGCGGTACGAACCCGGGACGCTCACACTCTGGGATCGGCGCCCAGTCTGGTTGCGCATGAAGGTATTGACCGGGGGTTGCATAATTGAACGCGCCCGGTTTCGCGTAGCTGGGATGACCGCCTAGCGCTTCCTCGCTGGAACGTCCTGAGGTGGGCTCCTTTCCGGCGCGCCTGTCACCATTCAGCGCGCCAGACATCATGGCACCGTTGACCTGAGAGGACGAGGTTCGAGGCGTAGCCATGTACCCATAGTAGCCGCGCTCAAGTCCGCCAGGAATGTCCCCATAGGCCAGTGCGTCGTCGTCTGAATCCGAGTAGACATCATCCGGGGGAGCATCGTAACGAACCGGACGAAGGTTGGGGGACCGTGAGGGGTCGTTGTGGTCGCGGAGATACGTATAGTGGCCCGGATCGGCGCCAGAGGGTAGATGGCTGGCGCTGGTCCGATAACCACGGCTCCTTGATCTCGCTCGCAGGTATTCGTCTGTCGGTTCGGAAGACAGATACGTATTCCCCAGGGCGGAAGCGCGCGAACTCGAGCGCTGTCGCGATCTGGAACGGCCACGCGACCGTGGGTCGTCGGGCTGGAGAGACATGGATGACAAGCGACAGGGACCAGCGATCGCGGCAAGGGACCAACCTAAAAGTTCAGGAATAATCCAACACCCCGCGCGATGTCAAGCTTCAAAGTAGTGCTTTTTGCGACCAGTAGGGTCAGGCACGATATCAGAACCACCGGAAAAATTCAAACTAGCGAGGATAACGGGAGAGATGGATTGTTCCCCGAGGAATAATGTGTGGGCAATGGAAGGGGAACACAGCACGGAAAGGAGGAGAGCGCGATCGAAGCGCCAGTCACCAGGCACACTCCACTACTACTACCACCTTCGAATTTAGTTTGTTGTGGCCGAGGCTGATGGACATAATCTGAGCTACCGTGACTAGTTCAGTAGGGATCATCGGGGGGGGTTGTTCGTATGTTCGTATCGCAGTTCAGGTGAAATGGCAATCGAAGGGTCTCATGGCGTGGCCTCCTCGCACGCGACAGGAACGAGGGGAAAGGAAACGGAAAGAAAAGAAAAGGAAAAGAAAAAGCAAAGATGCAGCTCATGGCCATTGGATTGTGGATAGACGAGCTGTCGAATCCTCGTCCTGGACCGGAACGAATCAAGGCTGACCGCCTCTTGGAGCCGCACCAGCGCTACTGCATCCGATGAAGCTGACGGGCGGTCGCATCTCACGAATGACAGCGTCTCAGTGGGAGGAACCCCCCAGTGACGAGGAATCGGACTACTACTAGTAGTAGTAAACCTCCCCCACTTCCAGTCAGCTGTGCGGTGAGTCTGACTGCTGGAGTTGCCGCTCAATTCCCGCCGGTGATTGGCCCTCGGGGCTCCCGCTGACGGGCGGATCCATTCTGCATACAATGTACTAGTACGGACTCGGAGTAAATACACGACATCAAGGTTATATACTACTAGTAGTACTACTGCGCAGTACGGAGTACTCACATACATAACTGCAAAGCTAGATGAGGTGATCTTTTACAACTCACCTTGGCGCACCATGTTGGTTATCTCAACCGATTGATGGCCGCTTCGCAACGATATAGAAATATATCTCGAACTGGTGATAATATATATATATATTGTTCTAGTAAAGTTAGCGATACGAAGAACATGGGTTCAAAACAAAACTTTTGTCGACTATAATACATTCCTTTAGATATTCGCCCATAGAATGCACCTGCCTCTACATAAACCGGTCTAAACTGGGGATGGGATAGCCCCATCACTGGTTTAAGGGCAGACCGATGAATCCCCGGGGAGGATAGGCAACGTGATGTAGTTTTCGTGCCCTTCCCCAGAACCGAAATCAGCTGACGTACCGATCGACTGGTGAGTTAAGCTGGAACAACCCAGCACCCTCCGCATCGGTTGATGCGACCTCGAACATCAACCCCACCCGCCGGCCGGGACTACGAGATTTGTTGGCCACAATTCAACGTCGCATTCATAGATGACACCGTTTTCAACGGGCACCACACCTGAAGAACGGTATTCCTGTCTGGGGAGATAGTCCCGATGACCTGGGCCTGGTGAACACCGGTCTAGCCAACAAAAGGCACGACCTGTCGGATTGTGGATTTCCTGTCTGATTCACAGGAAACGGTGCATCAGTCTATTACACTGGATTATATATTGTTGTGCTGGAAGGGGAGTTGTCTTGACCTTCAACGATGGGATAACGAGAAGGAGCAGTGGGCCCGGTTGCGGTATATGGGAGCCTGAAGACGAAACCCGTTTCTCTGACAATATACCGCACGACCTGACCCGTCGCTCTATGCTATGATGATACCGGATCGAAATGTGATACGTTCAGAAAACCAAGTATTTCTAAGAGTGGTGCATTTAGTTGTCCTCTGACTGAATGGATGTATCCTAACTAGAACTACAACAAGCACGACTAACACGAGGGTTCAAGCATTTTCGGAAGGGGACCGTAGCAGGCATCATGGCTTCAATTTCAACGACGCAAAGCTCAACTCAGCTTTTCTCGCAAGCGCAGACTGGGGCCTGGCACAAACTCGAGCCCTTCATTCAGGTTCCCCTTCCTGGCGAAGCGAATATCCTTACCATAGTGATCGCGCGGCTGCCAGGGACCGCGATCGGCCGCGCGAGGCAGAGCACGGGCACCGGCATTAACGTATGTTGACTTGAGTTGCAGCAGGGGGCGGTCTTGGAAATTCTGGGCATCCGGGGCGTGGACACGCGGGACGGCAGCGACGAGCTTGCGCGACTCGAGCATCTTGAGAATGCGGGTGATACACTGCGCGATGGCGTCGGCACCCAGGGTCCACGACGCGTTGGTGTATCCGATCACGAAGGCCGCGTTGGGAAGGTCCTGCAACATCACTCCGTTCCACAGGTACTTGGATCCGATGTCGATGGGCTGCTGGTCCACACGGAGCGTGATGCCGCCACCGATCTGCAGCTTCAGCCCAGTTGCGGTGACGATGATGTCCGCGTCCAGCGTCATGCCCCCAGTGAGGGTGATACCCTTCTTCGTGACGGTCTTGATGGTGTCGGTGCGGACATCTGCCTTTCCACTACGTAGGCAAGCAAAGAAGTCGCCATTAGGACAGACACACATTCGCTGGTCCCAGGGCTTGTAGTGAGGCTTGAAATGAGGGTCGTAGGAGATGTGGCCGGGGAGTTCCTTTTCTAAGTCGCGCTTGAGGATCCAGGTCGCAAAGGTGGGGAAGCGCTGGCAGAAGAGGAAGAACATCCGCTGCCGTAGGATCCAGATAGCTCGTTGTAATCCGTGATAAATGCCCGACGGTAGGAGGTATGATAGTCTGCCATTGGCTTTGTGGTTGGGGACTGAATAAACATAGGTCGGACTACGCTGGAGCATTGTGACATGCGCCGCCTTCTCTGCCATATTCGGGAGAAGCGTGATCGCGGTAGCGCCACTGCCGATGATTATAACCTTCTTGTCCTTGTAGTCGAGGTCCTCGGGCCAGAATTGCGGGTGCACCACTTGGCCCTGGAAGTTATCCAGACCGGGGATCTTGGCCTGCAGGGGCTGCTTGTAGTCGTAGTAGCCGGTACCGAAAATCACGAAGCGTGCAGTGATGGTCTTGGGCGCCCCGTGCGCGTCAACGGCCAGTGACCAGGTGTTGTTGGCGGTGCACCAGTCCGCAGATGACACATGGTGCTGGAACAAGATGTGCTTGTCGATACCATACTTCTCGGCAGTGGTGTGCATGTATTCCTTGATCGCAAAGCCTTCCGCGATGGGGTGGTTGTGGTTCCAGGGATTGAAAGCGAAGCCGAAAGTATATAGGTCTGAGTCCGAGCGAATGCCGGGGTAGCGGAACAGGTCCCAGGTACCACCCAGGTCTTCGCGAGCTTCCAAGATCGCATAGCTGAAGTTGGGCAGCTGGTCTTGGATGCGATAGGCGGCGTTGATGCCGGAGATGCCTGCGCCAACGATAATCACGTCAAAGCACGACTCTGGCTGCACCGGTGTGTGACTGCTCATGTTGAACTAAGATGGAGAGAAGGAGTATGGTGAGCACGAGATTCGGGGCACAACGTTTCTTTAAAAAGAGCTCATACGCCTCGGTCTCAACGCTAGGGTGACGGTTATCGACTCACGGTGCATACGCCATAGGACCAGGTCCATGTGACCTCTTTCATGCGGTAGATGGGATTCGTCCTCGTCTTAAGTGCCGAAGATATGCTATACCATGCCGAGTCGAGCGTGCTGGGTTGTATGGCTTCAGTCCATTCCCTAGCCGCTCTCCATATGCAGCCAACGGAGTCTCCACATTCCCAGAACAGCTCGGCATCACCCAAAGGAAAGAGGGGCCAATGGTTTCGCAACCGATCTGGATCAATGGAAGACAGAACACGACGAACCGGGGGTCTTGGGATGGCCGGTCGGTACTGCTCGGCAGTCGTCGGTTGTCATTCCAACGCACATAGGTTCTCTAAAATTCGACTAGATTTCGACCTCCGCATCTCATCTAGCCATAGAGGAAGGTGCATCTTGCATAAAATATGGTGAAATTGGATAATAATATTAATGAATATGCACCTTGCTTACTTTTGTTAGCAATATGTCGTTTTGGAGCCCGGGCTGACTGGGATCGTTGTCTCGTTAGAGGGGCCAACTTTTATTTGCCCTAAGGGGTGATCAACCGTAATGTAGCCACGACTAGGGCTTTGAGCAGGTAGAGCAAATCAGTTCTGTTGGATGCTCAGGTGTGGCACAAGGGGGAGTTTACTGTGCCCTCTACACTACGCCCATTCGGTGCTCTTTTTGTTTATGTTTTCCGTAGTCTGGTAATAGCAAGAATTCTTTGATGGGCGCATCCCGCGTCTCCTATGTCATTGAACATACAGGGTCGGTACTCTATCAATCTATCTAATTCTGAGGAACCTGACGCTTCTCGATGAACTTCTTTTCGCCAAAAGCCTGCTGGACTCCGTCGACGGCAATAACACGCTCGTACCACGCGATGGTGACCGGGCACCTGGAGCGCATCTCGGCGTCGATGCCCATGGAGAAGCCCCAAGCCAGCGCGGAGGCGAGTGTGATATCAGCCATGCTGATCTTGTCCTCGCTACACAGCCAGGTGCGGTCCTTCAGGTGGGAGTCGAGGAAGGCGAGCGAACGCTCCAGGCGCTCCAGGGCGTTGTTCTCCACCGCTTCGTCATAGGGCTTGGCCCCCCGACGCCACAATGCCAGCTGGATGACATTCTCCATGACTTCGCCGTGGGAAAAACAAATCCACTGCCGGATCGTGACGCGCTCGACAAGCGTGCTGCCCATTAACTGCTCGGCGGCCGGCCCACTCAGAGCGACATACTCGGCAATGGCATCCGTCTCGAACAGATTGATGCCGTCGGCGCCCTCGAACGTGGGCACCTTGCCGTAGGGAAACTTGGCCAGGAATTCAGGCGTGCGGTTGGTCTCACGCATGACGAAGTCCGGGAAGGTGAGCTCCAGGCCATTGAGGTTGGCTGCTGCCTGGATCTGTTGGGGGATCTGGATTAGCAGTTATCAGGAACAAGCGAGTATGCCGCACGCACTCTCATAACCCGCGGGCTAGGAAGGTAGGACCAGATCTTTCCGAATGGAGCCATTTTGTCTGAGAGGATATCGAAAGCGGTATAATTCGTGGGGAGGGGGGAAATAAATCATACGAATGACAACGGTTTATATGTGTCTCTACTCTTCCCGGTTAGATTGATCATAGACTCTGCTTGAGGGGCAGAAGCGGGAGACGGTACCTTGATTTCTAATCATCATGAAATGAGTTCGACTCAGCGACGGACCGGGGCCTAGTGGCAGCCAACCCGGCGCTCTAAGTGAAGCATATCCCGCAAAGCCGAATCAACCGAGTACCAGGGTTACCGACACGGTCAAACAACTTCCGAGCGGGAATCATCCTACTTGGGGGTAACGCAACTCGCGGCAGCGAGACCAGCAACCGTTCAAGATTATTGCGGGACGTTCATGTGTCCTGTAAGCGTGTCAGCCACGTAGGCGAGTGGGCTACCCTGGGCATTTTTTTTTAACTCTAGAAATCTACTGGTCGGTCCCCTTGGGGGTTGGTGGTCTCGGTAACGTTGCGAGGTTTTGTCTTGGGCTTCATCTTGTTGCGACTATTTTAGATCGAGTAGTGTATGATGAGGGGTTTAATGTCCTGCACCTTGGTGCAGTTTAACTTGACACACCACATAGGATTATCACTCTATCCTTTCGTGGGGACGCTTAGCACCATATACTGCAAGTACTCGCCTTGCATCTCCAAATATATAAGGATTCTCCCCTCGCTGTCCTGGATACCTTTCTCCTTGAACTTCTTCTGCCTTCTCAATTCTATCTAGTACGGCACCGCCAGATACTATCTTGGTGTTACAGATAGACTGGCTAATGGCTAGGTTAGGTTAATTGTAACGGTTAAAAAATACACAACTAGGGTAAAGCATTATAAGCCTATCATTATATATAGATAGATACATTCTATAAATGATACTTGTAATTAGGGTTTAGAATAAATACAGATAAGTATTCTATTGGCAAGTATGGTCAATAGACCTGATACCGGGAAAGTTTTGCCCTCCCAGGTGCCTTGACCAGCTGACCAAGCTTCCAGATATATCGAATCTGTTCAGGATCAGCGAGAAGGTGGATGTTCTCGATAGGGTTCTCGTCGAGACCCAACATATCCGCATCATACCCAACCGCGATTTGACCACTGCGCGGCGCCTGCGAGCCTAATGTCTCTGGTCCATTGGCCGTAGCCGCCTCAATAGCAGCAAGCGGTGCCATTCCAGCACACGTCACAGCAAGCACGACCTCCTGGCCATTCTTCCCGTGGGCGTTGAAATGAGAAGGGTCCGATGAGGCCAGGTCAGTCCCCAGAGCAATCTTGACCCCGGAACGCACAGCAAGTCGGTAGGCTTCCATATGGGCCCGGTCAACCCGTTGCATCTTGACTCGCGTGGCCGGACGCAATTTGCTAAGATTCTTGAGCCCGTTCTCAATGACCAGTCGGGTTGCGACGAGCATCGTGCCCTTCTTCCTCATGAGCTGCGCACACTCCTCGTCGATAAACGTCCCGTGCTCGATCGTCGCACACCCAGCTTTCACCGCAGCAATAATTCCGGGTTTGCCGTGCGCATGCGCGGCGACGACGCGCCCTGCTAGACTCGCTTCCTCAACCAGCGTTTTGAGCTCCTCGTCGCAGAACTGCCGGTATTTGGGGTCGTCCCCGTCGCTCATCACCCCGCCCGTGGCAATGATTTTGATGCATGCCGCGCCGCGTCGAATCTGGAGCCGCACTGCACGTCGGCACTCGTCGACGCCGTCCGCAATGACCAGTGCGTTGATCCCGGGAAAAGGAACCCCCTGGGACACGCCCTGGCGACCGTATACCCAATCAGCCGGAAGATCGAGCGCGTCGCAACTTCCGCCTGTCTGCCCGATGGCAGCCCCTGCGCCGTACACATGGGGGCCCAGGATAGAGCCATCTTCGATCGCTTTCGCGCTCTCGATTGCAAAGGAACCGCAATCGCGGACGCTGGTGAACCCGGCCATAAGCGTGTCGGAGAAGCTGCGGGCGTTGTTCGCGCCGCAGGTGGCGGGGTGTGTGGCGATCATGTCTGCGAAGGTGACTTGCGTGACGCCTGCAAAATGGGTGTGGCAGTCCCACATGCCTGGCATCAGAACAGGGACGAACTGGGGTTGAATGTCCTGGAAAGCGCCCGGGACCGCTTGTTGTTTGCCGACATAGAGAAACCGGCCTGCTTGGATCACCACTGCTGCGTTCGCTATCGGTGGTCCTCGACCGGGAATAAGAAGCTGCGTATGAATGCGTAACGCTTGATCTTCGGAGCGCATTCGGATGATGTTGAATCATTATTATAGTAGAATTGCTCGGCTTCCTCTGGGTGCAGAACGCCTCCAAGGAAATGATCGCGGCACATAGTGGTCGGATGTCTGGACTCTGCCAAACAGCCTGAAGGATCTGAGGCCCGGAGTTCTATTTGGCGTCGATTTTATTTTCAGTATTTCCTACGAGCCCGCGATAACGCTACCAGCAGCGCCATGCGATGTGTGTATTTCCTAATTGGGTAAACGGGACCGCCAACTGACCTCGCCCCCCCCGGCCGGGGTCACTACTAGTACGGCGACTGTCCCGGCACACTGCGTTTTGTGATTATCTCATGGCCTCCAAGAGATCAGCCTTGCTGTGTTCACCATGGCAAACCGCAGATTTCCACCGTCCCGCCGGGGAGAGGCGAATCTCAGCCGTGGCCGACTGATCGACCTCAACCGCGAGCTCGAGGGAAGGTCGTTTTACCATCCGATCTTCAACCCTCAAGGCATCATTGACATCTCCGGAGCGTCTAATGAGGGAATGCGCGATTATTTGCAGCAATACTGCGATCGAAATTCGAGCGACCGGTCAATATCAACCGTATTGGAATACGGATCCGTCGCGGGACCTCCCGGTAAGCTACGGCAGAGACAACCTGAATCCCACCGATACACAAGCCACAGTTGGCTAATTTCATGGCCATGTTCCTTGCAGATCTTCACCAGGCTGTTAGCAACTTGATCAATGAATGGTTCAACCCAGCCATCCCCGTGCAGCCGTCTCAGATCCTCGCCACCAACGGGGTCAGCTCCCTCCTCGACGTGGTTGCGTTCAACATTGCAGAAGCTGGCGAGGGAATCTTGATTCCAGTCCCTATGTACTCCATGTTCGAACAGGATGTCGGTGCCCGGGCTCAGCTCACGATCCTTCCTGTTCGAACGGGCAATCTTCCCGACCAGTTCAATGCGGTGCACGCGGAAGCATTCGTTGCCGAGTTCCAGAAGAGCCTGGACGCGGCCCGACGAAAGGGCATTTCTGTCAAAGCCGTTTTAATCAGCAACCCGAACAATCCCGTTGGCCGGTTCTACTCGCGCCCTACACTCGAGGCGCTTGCACACTTCTGCGCTGTGGAGGGCCTCCATCTAGTGGCGGATGAAATCTACGCTCTTTCAGGATTTGATTCACCAGATGACCCTAGTCTCCCTGGGTTTACCTCCGTCTTGAGCCTTCGCAAGAATTCAAAGCGTGGGAGATTAATCTCGCACCAGAACATCCATTGCCTGTATGGCGCCAGTAAGGACTGGGCAATGGGCGGTCTCCGATTGGGATTCCTGATCACACGGAATGCTGAGATATGGGCGACGTGCAGGCGTCTAGCGTGAGTGTAAAAACTAGAACCACATTGTCAATCCAGGCACACACATCTGACTCCACGCCACTCAGGCTATTCACATGGGTAACGCCCTTCGCGACAAGATTCTTCACGGAGTTCATCAGTGACACTGCAAACGTTCGGAACTACGTCACCTGAACCGGGAGCGCCTACGAGCCAAATACATTTCCACCACGAGCCTCATGAGAGAAAGAGGAATTCCGTTCCTTATTGCCAATGGCGGGCTATTCGTCTGGATTGACCTCAGTACGTGGCTGTGTTATTTTTCTGACGAGAGTGGCCAGAGTACACCGGGGAAGACGCGCGAGACGCAGCTGTGCAAATACTTGTTGGACAAGGGAGTATATCTGAGCATGGGCGAGCTGAGCGCCTCTCCCTCACCCGGTCATTTTCGGTTTGTTTACACCAGTCCTGGAGATGAGAGTCTAGTCGCTGTGCGGAGGATTGCAGATGCCTGTGAGGAATTGGAAACCCGCTCCGAGTGGTTTAGTTTGAGCTCTGTTGAAAGGGAAAAACTTAATCTTTCAACAAGGGTGGTTGAGCGTGGCCAAGGGAGGTCGAAGAAGCTTGGGAAGCTGTGGGAGAGACTGTTTTGTTTCTAAGATATCAACCTTCTGTGCATCCTGTTGCGTCGTGATTGCGTTTGTGTTTAGTATGATTTTTTTTTAAAGTGCAATTAGAAGAACAAAGTGTACAGTTCGCCAACAAAAAATTGATTACGCCGTGTTCTTGTCTAGCGGAGGAGATAGAGGCTAGGCCGGCATATATGGGGGAAACCTAGAATCTGGCTTTTCTACTATCCATCGCGTGTATAAGTTGCTTTTCCTTCTATGTCCTGCGTTTGTCGGAAATATTCCAGATCGCTATGACAGAAGATCATGAGTATATCCTTCGCGGCTTTTACTTCTCTCTTCCTCACTTTTTTTTCCGTCTCCTTTTCACCTCTCGGTTTCTTTCTCCATCTACTCTCCCCACCAAGCGGGATGGCTCCCAAGTCCTCTACTAAAAGAACGCGAGGCACCATGATAAGGCTGCACACCTGTGCCGACAACCAACAGTGGAGATATCAAGGCCCGCTATACCTAATGAGGGCAGTCGGAGCGACCGCGGCCTCGGTTCCGTGCATAATATCAGTGGATAAATAACGAAGATATAGTAGTTACCCTATCGCTCTACGACACTGCTCTGTCGAGCCAGCATCAATTTCATTCAACATGCGTCCTTTCCGCCGTATTGTGGCATTCGCAATCGGCAGCATTGCAGCAGCTGAAACATCTCAGTTGGTTCTCTCACATACACAGGTGTCCTCTCGGACCCGAGCGCTCGAGACGAGCGCTGACCTTTGCGATGGCGTGCAAGGATTCTCAGGTTATGTGGACACAGGTAAGTCCCGTCGAGATTGACAAGGTACAGGCAATGGCTCAAGAAGTTCATGTAGTCGATGATCGACATATTTATTACTGGGCGTTTCCCAGTGCAAATGAACCTAGCACGGACCCTGTGATTCTTTGGTTGTCTGGGTACGGTCCCGGCTCGTCATTTTGTCATTAATTGAAAATTAGACGACAGTGCTGACGATTTTGTTTCTTTTACACAGAGGCCCCGGTGCATCCAGCGTGACCTTTGGAGCGCTCTCTGAGCTGGGTGCCTGCATCTACGACTCAACGGCTGGGAAACCAAAGGCGAACCCATACAGCTGGCATACGAATGCAACCGTCATTTTTGTAGAGTAAGTTGTATCCACCTCGCTCTAGTTACGAGTTTCCGATTTATGAAAGAACACGATCTAACTGACTTGTGAACGGCAGTCAGCCAGTGAATGTCGGATACTCATATTCACCTCACCATGTGAGCACCCTCAACCAATCCACCGCCGATCTCTACGCCTTCATCGCAAATTTCATGCACGACCTTCCGCAGTACAGCCACCAGCCCTTTTATGTAGCCGGCGAGTCCTACGGCGGAAGCTACGTGCCAGGGATCGCCAACAAGATCCATGAGAAAAATAAGGAAATTTCAGCGCAAGCACCGCGCGCAGGGGCAGCTGGCCAGATGATAAACCTGCAGGGAGTACTCATCGGCAACGGCCTCTTTCAAACAGCCGTGCAGCGTCCCGGGTTCGTTGATCTAGGCTGTACGCCTGGAATTGTTGGCCCCATGCCCCTATTGAATGACACTCTTTGTCAAGAAATGCGCGACAGCTGGCCCCGTTGCAAGGCATTGATGGCACGGTGCGCGCTGGGCCACTACAAGGACCGCGACATATGCCGCGAATCCGATGAGTACTGCGTTGCTCATTTCGCTAGCATGATCAATCGCATTGGCCGTAATCCGTACGATATCCGGGAGCGATGCGTGCCCGAGAGCGATGGGGGTGAGATGTGTATGCATCCAACCACGTTATTCTCGTGGCTCGACCGGGCCGACGTTCGTGCGGGGTTGAACGTCGACGCCGGTGTTGTATACCGGCATCTCAGCTATGAAATGGAGGAGCCTTTGCGGCAAATGGGGAAATTGGATATCCGTCCGACTTTCTGGTTGAGGGTTTGTTGCAGGCAAGGTACCGTGTCTTGATCTATGTTGGAAACATGGACTGGTATTGCAATGCGCCGGGGATGCGATATCTAGTGGATAATTTGCAGTGGGAGGGTACGGGCGCATTCAGAAAACTACCTTTTGAGAAGCTGTATCTGGCTGCCGGGAACGAGCACGGGCAATCGTGGGGATACCACAAGCGATACCGTCAGCTGAGCTTTTTTGAAATAGCTGGGGCAGGCCATATGGCTCCTGCTGACAAGCCTGCTGAGACCTTGGAGATGGTTCAGCGTTGGATGGCTGGGGAGCTCTAGGAGGTATACTCTGTTCGTATTCCAGGTAATATTACTGTTGACATTATGTTTCTGGCGTAGTTATGCGGCCAAAGGTAGAATACTACTTGATCTTGATGCAAGACGCTTACATCTGGATACTGTGAAACCCTTTATACGCGAGTTAAGCAATATACACGTTATAACCAAAACGTTCGGGGCTGCTATTATATACTATAGAAAATGACTTAATATTAAGCAGTCTTCTATACAAGTTTGGTTATAAAAAGAACAAAGGTAGATCTTTTTAATTAATTATATCCTATCCTAATATTGAATAGAAAAGTTTGCTAATATTTTAGACATCGTATTCAGACAGTAAGAACAATATATATATAGCTTACTGAATCAATTTAAATAGTATAGCTAAAATATCTACCAATAATAAAGGAAGGTAAGGCAGATATAATATAACTACTAGAGTATTCAATACTTTTTTATCAAAATCTATCTCTCTAGAGAATGTAATATAAGCAATATGACGTTACAAGCAATTCAAACGGCTGGTCGAATTAATTGCTTATAAAGTGGTTTGACAGCACAAGACCGTAGCATGTTGATATGGGGAATGCGCTCGAAGAACATCCCATTCAAGCTTGTTGTGCATAGTTTTGGCCTAGATTAAATTGAGGTCAATTCTTGCGTCACCTTTTCTCATTGGGAATTTATTTTCATTCGATATCGTTGTTCATGTTTCTTGTAGCGTTTCGTATTATCTCGCCACGGAAATAAGCTCAACAATCATCCCCGGCCTCAAGTTTTAGCGACAGAACAAGCCTGAGCAGTCAATAGAACTGGTCAGATTTCACGGCTCATCGACCAAAGACAAGATACGTCATCTCCTAGTGATGAATTTAAGAGCTACCTAGAGCGATTCCAATCGGCTTTCGCAGACAAGTCCATTCTGCTTTGTGTTGCGCTACTATCCCTCACTAAACCAAGCAGTCCTTGCTGGAGAGGTCAACATCCTTCTTAGGCTTCCATTGCCAAATCACTGGCTCTGTGCTGTTCTTGTAAACATCGAAGCATGGGCCGAGGCTGCCCTCTCTTGGCTCGATGAGGGGCTTACCCGTCGTTGTCTGATGCCATTCTTCCAGAGCCTTCTTGCCAAGAGCATCTTCGAGGAGGGGAAACCATTGCTCGGCTCCGCAAGCAATGTTGCTTGGGCACATCTTGACATAGGCCCTGGCAATGAGGTCGAGCCCTTGCATACCGTTGGATTGGGCTCGTAAATCAGCATCGATGTTGGCGTTGTGAATCAATCCACGGCCGTAGGGAATTCTCTGGGCCTCGCGCTGCAACCACGCCACCTCCATTGCGGCTTCATCTGACAGGTTTCGAGTTGGGTTGGTATAATACATGTACAAACGGTGGTTCATTTCCGAGAGGAACTGGTGGGACGTGATATATCCGTTTCGCCACATCAGCCGCAGCGACCAGTACTCTGCCGCGCCCTCCGCAAATCGTGATGCTTCAGCTTGGCTGCCAGTGATCCAGGGTGTCCAATTGTGTGTCATTTCATGGGCCAAAAGTGTCTTTAGTGTGAGCTCGTTGATGCCGTACTCTTCGTTGTATCCGAACATGAACGAGCGCTGTAGCGCAGTGCCGCCCGATCCTTTCGCCATACTCGCTTTCTGGGTCTCCTCATTGACCCGGACAAAGACACGGTACGGTAGGTCCGAATTTTCCTCCCAGAAGCTGGTCTCATCGGCTAATAGGTTTTCAATGAAGATGGCCGTCTCTGTGATATTGAAGGGCGGCTCTGCCAGCCAGTACATGCCATATTTGCCCCCCTTCCTTGTGGGTATGGAGGGGTATGCATGGACATCGCCGACTATAAAGAAAGTGAAAAGGAGGTCGGTGATTCTACCCGAGAATCTGTGACTGAAAGATCCTACGCCATCTGCCCAGGTGAACGCCGCGCTCTGATCTGGGTCTAGGTCCCACGACACAGTGAAGTCATACTCGTCCTCCGCGGTAGGGTCATGAACCGGTAAAACACCCCATAATGAACCGGTGAGGCCGTTGGTTCCATTCCTCAAATCGAAATGTGGTGAGGTAAGAGAGTCCCGATTGACTTGACGAGGATGAGCTGTGAAGCGGACAGAGACGGGTCCCGAAGTGGCTCTCTGGGTTTTCCAGTGACGATGGGGAAGACCAGAGAAGCCTTGTTCGACGATGAAGGAGGTATAAGGAACTATACCGTTGTCATCAGTCACTACAAGGCCAGTGGCGGAATAGTTGGCAGAAGGGACGTTCGCGATGGTTGTGGGAAGTTGGACGAACGTTTCGTTCTCGGCGAAAATGCGTTGGATGATGATTTCGCCATGAAGTTTATAAGCCCCTTCCTCCTCGAGGTCCGGCTTTAGGGTAATGTGAAAATGGGGCGAGTTGGCGCATGAGGCGAGATTGATGCCTCCGCCGGGTAAACCAACCGTGGCGAGTCGGTCACTGCGAAGCCAGCTCATATTTGCTCCTCCGGTAAGAAACCAGAGAGCTGTGTAGGCTGACAAAAGTGCGACGATGAGGACAGACAGAACGCGGCGCGTAGTTGGAAATACCCGTTTCTTCGCCTTACATACCACACCTGGCGTGGCCATTGAGCCGGCATGTTTGGAGGGGGAAGCTATCATGAGGGGGGAAGCCGAAACAAACTAAGATTGAACGTGGTATACAATGAAGGGCACGCGGAGGTGTTAAGTAAGGAGCCCGCACTGATTAAGACAGGGCCCCCCCATCCTTGCTGTTGATTTCTATCACAATGGTCTCGGCACTGAAGGTCTACCGAGAGATCAGTTCGGAAGCACAGGTTTCTTGGGCCGTGATGGCACTAAGACAAAGTGGGCACAAATTCCCCACCCCCCCCCCCCTGGTGCCCGCTGATAACTGAAACCATGTGTTTACCCCCCACGATCTCAATCACCAATCCTTTGTTTTCATTGGGTGCCGCCTCTCCTCCGCCGCTATGCCTGATTTAGAAAACAGGAACGACGACCGGTTCCGCGGTTTGCAGATTTATCTTTCCACCAAACGCTTGAATGGGTCACCTGGCTGGGCTCCTCAATTCGACGTTCAATAATAATGGGACGGCTATGAAATGTTTCTGGTTCCAGGATCTGGGATTGTACCCCATCTGGCGGTCTTACTTCCCTCATCCAGTTGCAGCGGAGTAAATTTCACAAGAAGCCTGCTCAGAAACTTAAATCAAGAGCCCTATCTATCGCCCCGACTCCCAGTAGTCTGATTGGTATCTTGGACGCTTCAAATGACTGACTGACTGTATCTGCCGTTATCTAGACAAGGACGATGCTCGGAAATGAACATCCCATTTAGCTTCGGACACCGTTAGCTACGGGCCAGTCACTGTTCCACTGGTTACGGAAGTAATAGAACAAGTCGGTGTCGTAAACCAATATACTTAGTTATAGTTCAGATAAGCGGAACCACTCATACATAATATCACCGCGCATCCATAGTTACATTCTTGTCCCAGCGCCAGACACATCCAAGTATTAGGATATTAACTTCGTGTAGAGCATATAGCATTTTTACAGTACCAATCACCCATAGAGACATTCAATCTAAACTAGTAACATTAGTCGTCACTGCAAGAGTAATCCTAGTCTTTTCTTTTTTACATCCAAAACTCCCCTTGCTCAACAGGCCGCTATTGAATATTCAACACCAGAATAGACCCATTTCATCCATGTTATATACATCGTTTAGATGATGTTGGTCGCAGGTAGCCTAAAGAGCGTCTGTCTCGGTATATCCCGGGGTCGGGACTGATACAGATTGGCCATAGGAGATATAATATCGGATCGAATAGCGCTGGTTGAACCGGGAAAGCTGTCCTTCAGAGAAAAGCAGCAGGTCGAGGTCTTTATACTAGGGTATTTTCCTCCAAAGTTCAATGGCTTTACGCTGAATCAATAGCCCTGTTATAGAAAAGCCAGTATCCTTGTAACACTGCTGCCAGATATGTAGCGTCTTGTCGAATAGAGACTAGCAAGATACTAGTGGGTATTTATTCTACCCAACGAAAGCAGTATCAAGATACTTGTATTTCCAAGGAAGAACTTTAGAGCCAGTTAGTTATACAGTTAACTTAATATCTAAATTAAGATATAAACCACTCAGTGCATACTCTCTGAGTAGGTTTAGAGCATGTCTCCGATACATATAAACATAATTCCCCCTTTTTTTCTTCTGAGCATCGAGTATACCTTTATTCGGCTGTGTTGATATTAATAGCTGGTCTGACAGAGCAACTAAGAACAGTTTAGAAGGGATAGAATCCTGTATTGTAACTGGTCGAATAGATATAACTAAGTACAGTTGAAGAAGAATGTCTATACCAGACAAAAAGTATACCAGGTAATATCCCGATATATATAAGAACTCTAAGAAGCAGATCTATCCACCAGAGTATAGCATAAATATCGTCAGCTTGAATTTCGGAGCTGCCGAGACAATTTCCCTCACATATATTCACACTACACCAGTTCACAGAGTCTACTATAGGCTAAGAGCGCCGCTCTTTAGAAGACACCATCTCACCCCCACAGAGCCAGATAGTAGAACGTTGTTCGTATATTTTCGTATCAACGTTCCCCGCTGTAGAAAAATCAAACCATCGAAATAATATTGGATTAGAACATTGCCCACCGGATACCTATAACTAGTCCGGAAATCGCATCTTAGCTCAGTAACTCAGTATTAGCCGAATCCATACCCTCCAAAAACATACTGTAGTGCCGAGACTATCATACCCATTGGTTGAGATCCTTCCCCTTAGAACCTGAGTGATAATACTCTGGTTTGGATTCAATTTTCTTTTTAAATAGTTCCTCGGCAGGGCTTAACATCTGACATTTCTGATCGGCGTAGAATAAACAAAGCTAAGACTGACGGGAATTTCAGAATTCTAGTCTTGACTGCAATAATTGTGAAGACGGAGAAGTACTAGTACATACAAAAAAGAATTGAAGAGATAGAACGGCGAGATAGATTCGTTCACAAATTGCACTTCCTGAAAACGTAGGCAGATTCCTCGGCTTTTAACCCAGAGACCCAGAGCCTGCAATCCAACGCCCAAATAGCGCAGCAACAGCTCCCCGTTGGTCCCCAGGAGCCATATGTCCCGCGTCATGAACCGTGGCGATTGCTAGCGTTCCAGAAGCCGCCCCCTTCCATAGTCCTCCCTTATGGACTTGGCCATTAACATCGGTCCAATACCAAGGATCCAGACTTCGCGTCGCCCGGAATGCGGCCTGGCCGTGCCATGGCAGGTGGTCGTATGTCAGAAGTGTACCGGGCGCATTACTGACGTCGAACAGGAAATCAGTTAAGAATATCAAAAGGCTTCATGAGTGAATCTTACCAGCCAACGTCGTATTCGCCGTTGATGACAAGGACGGGAACGGAAGCAGCAGCAGCGACAGATGCATTACTATGCTCTCCTCCCACGTTGCGCGCACCAAATGAGTGCAGCCTGTTGCCACCGTCAAGTAGATACGTCAAGTATTTTGTAGCTGGAAGGAAAATTGCTGGGTTAGACGCCCACAGCGTGTTCATGTCGAAGTTGATTGGGATGAAGTTGACTGGAGAGTCGAAGCCGAGACGAGTCTGGATTTCGGGACGATTAAGGAACTTCTCGGTTGAGCCCATGCCGTTGTCGCCCACGCCACAGAGCGGTGGGTCGGGGCAGTCGCGTCGGACTAATGATGAAACGGAGAAATGGTCAGTTTCAGTGGAAGGTTGTGAGAGGGAGAATCCAGAAGCCAGAAGACATCCTTACAGTCATATGGGCTTCGCCGAAGCGCATCAACTTCAGCCTGGAAGTAGATATCCAAATTTTCCATGCAGAATTCAGCTGCTGCGAGGCAGATATAGGGATCATCGGATGTTCTGCACAGTGCCCCGAGCCTCTCACACTCCGGAGCCGCTGCTGCCATTGCATCACAGACTGTCTCGTTAAAACGCAGAACGTTGGGCTCGTTGTCTGTGCAGAACAACTCATATTGACCGAGTGACAGCCATGAGTTATCGACAAGTGCATTCACGAGAATAATGCCGGCCAAGGGGGTGTTCAAGAGTCTATGGGGGGAGCTTTCTTTCTGATGTCTGACAATGTCCGCGGCGAAATAAGGCACGTATTGACCGCCGTATGACTCGCCCGCGATGTATAGCGGGTTAGATGCGTATTGGGGAAGAATATTCTCCAGGATTACCTTGAGCGTGGCTTCAAAGTCGGCTGATGCTTCGAGGAGTCCGGCTGGAAGAGCCCCGCGGACGGTAGAAAGACCGACTCCAGCCGGTTGACTGGGTTAAGTACAGAATTGTCAATGCGAATATAAAGTCTCTAGGTTGGATAGGGATTTCACTTACTCAATAATCAGCAAGTTAGAATGGTTTGTCCAGCTGTATTCCGAGAAAACAGTGCCATCATGGTCCTTGTTGATGGTACAGGGCCCGACTTCGCCATACATTCCCGAGGTGGAGCTTGCACCAGGTCCACTGACCAGCAATAGTAATCAGTAAGAGAATAGAAGGGTAGACGGAGAAGGACCAGAAGAAAGAATTTTACCCATTCAGCCAGACTGTGACTGGTCGCTCATTCGGACGCTGGCGACTTTCGAAAAACCCTAAGTAGAAGGTTCAATAATAGATCCACAAAAGCTAGGTGCTCTCCATCAAGAAAGCAAACACGAAACTGACAGAAGAACATGGATTTTGTGTCGGAGATATTGACGCGTCCCGCGAAATTTCGAGAGCCCGCATCGCATGTATGCTCATCTTGCTCATGTACCATCCAGCCTGGTCCTGAAGCCGATGCTAGAGAACTGTAGCTGGAAGATTCGATACGGATAGGTACCTGATGTCCAGGGCGGCTGGGTATCAGCATAGGCACGGAGAGTTGAACCCCGGCAAAGAGAAGAACGACTGTCGCAACGAGGGACACCATGATGCACAGTTGGCAATTTGACCATCTTCACACAAAGGAAAAACATGAGATGAGCCGATTTAAGTATTCCACGACGCATTAACTTATGATCAGCAATGCTCATACACGACGTGTAGAAGAACGGCGTAACCTGAAGAGGCGTTCTTGTTGCCTTCATTAGGAATAGCGCGGAGATAAGGATGCCACCACCAAGAGATACTAGCAGTTATTTATTATCTATTATTCATGATCCATTCGATAGAATTTACTAAATATCCAGCTATTGATTGCGCCAATTGGCAGAGTCCCAGCACATTCCTATCATATTCATATCATATCGAGCTCAATGTCCCCTCCGGCAGTTCAGTACACCATCACCCCAGTCTATGATGACAATGAAGCGATAGCATCTTTGAAGGTGAAAGTGACAATCTTGGAGCTGCAGACCGCAGAAAACCAGGTCATATTGACACTGCCCGTACAAATTGCGGGAGTCGATGTTGGCCGGCTGGTGAACTGCACCATTGTGGCTTCCGACGCAGCTGGATTCCTCTCCTTATCCCGCGAAGTCGAAAGCCCCGGTCCACCGATTGTCCTGCAAAAATGGAAAACGAGCCGTGCCACTGTTGGTCCTGTACATGCGGAATGGGAGGCCCTACCTCGCCAAGTCGGCTTCGGCACAAAAAATGCCCCATCATTCGAGCTTCGCCTGAACCACGGCGGCGCCATCAGTTCCGGCTATGGATTTCTTGCCTGTCCGCCGGCACAAAGCCCCAATCAACAGGTTGATATCCAGGTGAAGTGGGACCTTACCTTGGCACCGCACAATGTGAGAGCCGTCTGGACATTTGGTGAGGGCCCCGACCCGGTTTGTCGAAGTATGAACTGCGCCGAGATACAAGCGACTTACTTCATGGTCGGTCGGGTCCTCTCGCACGGCGACGAGCGGTTTGGCATGTACTGGATGGGGAATCCACCCTTTGATGCATACCAGCTTTCGGATAGTCTAAGGGATATCTTCCGGTTTATGGGGCAGTTTTTCGACGACAAGGAGGACCCATACCGCATCTTCGTCCGGCATAACCCATACCAAGGGTCTGGAGCAGGCACGGCGTTGGTCCGTTCTTTCATGTTCAGCTATGACGATGACGATTATGAGTATCCCCCTTCAGCGGAATGTCAGCTCCTCTTCCTCTGCCATGAAATGACGCACAACTGGGTTACCTTCCGGAACGACATTATCCATAATTGGTACCCAGAAGGCATGGCAGAGTATTTCTCCTTGGTCTTTCCGTTGAAGATGACAATGTTGTCGCCGGAACAGTTCAGGGTCGCTCTCAACGAGCGACTTCTCGCTTACTATACCAACCCGCTCATGCACTACTCCAATGAGGATGCAGCGAAGCTTACCTGGAAACTATCAGATGCTCAGCGTATTCCTTATGGCCGAGGCTTGGTATTCGCACTCAAAATCAACTCACTGATCCGCTGTGCCTCGCAGGGCGCCAAGGGAATTAACGACCTCGTGTTGAATCTGCTACGAAGGGAACGGGAGGGACATGTAGTTGGCCGAAATGAGTATATTGAAGAACTAAACGAGCTTTTGAGAGGTGCCGCCTCTCCTCACCAGAGCGCTGCCGAGCTGGTGGAATCTATGTGTGTAGGGAATTTCATGGCGCCGCCGGAAGACGGGCTATCGGACCTTGGGCTAAAGGCTGAGCGTCATGACGCTCCGATCTGGGAGCTGGGATTCGACGAGTCTGCCGCTATTCAAGGCGATCGCGTCATAGCAAATCTCAACCCAACAAGTCAGGCTGCTCGTGCTGGAGTCCAAGAAGGGGATCACATTCTGAAACTAACACCCTTAACTGAGCTGAAAGGTAGGATGGATCCAATTATAAAGTTGGTGCTTCAGCGACAGTCGGGTGAGGTGGTCAATGTGTCGTTCACTCCCCGCGGTACGCGCATGATGCAAGTGTGGCAGTATGTCAGATGTAGCACTTGAGAGACCTTACTTTATCATTAGTTCTCTTGCTTTCAAATCTATGAATACCTGGTTCCGCACACATCTTTCTACAAGTTGAGTACGTAGGAGTAGAGGACGTCTTGGGACATCTTCTGCTAGATACACGATGTACAAGTCCTCGGGAATGAAGCTATGGTTGAGCGATGTTGGAATGAATCTTGCAGATCAAATATCCTTAAGGACATCCACAAAAAGGCTCTGGTCCTCATCACAAAGACAAGGCAGTCGCCCGCGTTGTTCGATTCTGCGACCAAGGATTACCCCCTTGAACGGCGCTGACTGGGGCAAGACTCGTGATAATTCCTGCTTTTCTTGGAAGCAATCTAAATTCGAAAACAGCAAGAAGACATGGCGCCCGCCCTCGAACTCTGAAATGAGGCCTCGAAGGACGCGCCGCACCAGCGCAAGTGGTAATCCAGCTTCTCTCATATCCTTACCATCTCCCAGCCGCCGGACCCAATCGTCGATCCACACCAGTGCAGTAAGCGTCGGGCAACGTAGCGCAACGCGCATAGCAATATTGAGCGCACCCATCCGGTAGCGACTAGTTTTAAGGCATTTTTGGGCATCCAGTCCAGCCAGAATACGGAGTATAAGGTGTACCCATTGATCCGAGTCAGTACGCGCTCCGATGCATCTTTCAATATTGCTAGACGAGGCAAAGAGCTGCGCCGTTGCATAGAGTGCATAATTCAGAGCCAGTGCGGGAGCTGTGAATAAAAGTGGACGAATCTGGAAAACTCGATTAAGTGGCAGCCGGCTATCCAGGTCTTCTGACACGAAGGACTCGATTGGTCTTGCTTCCAAGGGAAGAGTACTTTGCCACTCATCTAGATCCGCAGATCTTCTTGCAAGGAATCGGAATAGTTCAGGCTGGGAGCGAAATGCAGCCAGCGACGCCGGGGGGTCTATCACGCCAGTTGATTTACTCAGGTTCAGCCAGAGTCGGTAGTTAGGACTGGAGATGTCGTTTCCAACAGTCTGGAAAAGTAAAAGAACACTTGATGATCGGTAAGCCTCTTCAAGGGTCTGAACCAGATATTCATATGTGGAAGCGGTAGACTGAATGTGGCCATTCAACTCAGTCTTTATCGGCGTGTCGTTGAACACAGTAGCAAAATTAATCGAAATATAGGTGCAAATGTCCATTGAGTGCTGAGCTCGTAACCCCGCCCATGCAATGAGCAAGCGGATGCCTCGATCTGTGACAACAATTTCCGAATAGTGTTGGAGAATTAGCTGATCCATGCGACGCAGATGGCAGATGGACCCGCTGAATGTGCCAGAGTCAAGCTCGAAATATACAAAGAGCATCAATACGACCAGCTTTGCGCATAAGTCCATTCCCTCACTTTCCACTCGGTCGTTCATCGCAAAAACTCTCAGAGCCTGGCTATAGTAAGTGAAGCATATCCCTGAATCTTCCTCTTCGTATAAGGCATGACATGACGATAACAAGGCCAGGGCGGCCAATCTGACGGCGTCATACTCCTGGATCATGTCTTCTACCTCCCCGAATATTGGTGGAAGGCATGGAACCACATTTGCATGCCAATCGTTGAGCTGCAGCACGGTCTGCATTGGATTGGTCTTGTCAGTTCGCAGCGACAGGTTTGGAGAAGGCCAGAATGGCGTTGCTTTTTCAAAGCCCCGATCATGGGGAGTTGGGAATCCTGGGTCGGCAACTGGAGGATCCATCGAGGCTAGGAGCTCCGTCAGCAGTTCTGCCGCCTCACGATCTTGCTCTGTAGATAACCGATCTTCTCCCTGCATGGTCCCGCTCCGATGTGGATGATTTCCCGGGTTCGGGCGTGATGAAGGAGGAGAACAGAGGTCCTGTGACGGCGTATGCTCCACCCATGTGAGACCATCGATGTCGCTGGGAACTCGATTGTGAGGGGCGTCTTGGAGAACAGTTTGATCAGGCAAGACTGATGATGTTCGTGGTGAAGGTGATAGCGAGTGCTGGAGTTGGCGCTGAGCTTCCTCTTCTCGAATTGCGCGCCACTTAGCATCCTCAAGGGCAGTCACTCGATGTTGAACAAAGGCAGTATCATCCCGGAAGACAAGTTTAGGGGCATATCCCTCGCACTCTATACCTATACGTTGACACGCCCCGCATTGAGGCTTCTGTTCATCACACTATGGGGTATCAGCACTGCCGTGGATCTATGGGGTGCGGAAAGGGAGCGGGCACTTTGCGATGTCGTCTCCGACACGTGTAACATCCAGTCCGCACTCGGACGATATTTGTCTTCTTCTTTCGTCGAACCTTGGATGTGTACATGGACAATCTCAGTGGACAGTACAGAAAATAGATGGCTGAACGGATTTTTCACTTCGTTCGTCGCTTCGTTCAACAAACGAGGCGAGGGACCAGAGACGGCGCATATCAAAGATAAGAAGATAAGAAGCAGAAGGCACGTGCATTTTATCACGTGGCTCTTATCTCTGGAGGTCGTTACCCCGGACTCAGCTATCGGAATGTCACGAGACTCGAGGCGCTTGTGCATACCGGTTTAGGCCTAGCCTTCAACGCTTTAATCTATATCGACGAAAGAAGAAGCAAAACATCCATCCTCTACAAGATAAAAGTACTATAATTGACTTATTCAGGCATATCTTGCTATCCATCGCTTTTTGTTCAAGTCCACGCTATTTCCAAGCACGAACATATGATAGAACTGTCACTACCGGCCAATTTGGGCCATGACCGTGTCGCGACAATATACAAGACACGATGGCCGACGTATATATTGACAACTATGAATGAACCGGTTGAAATGTGTTATCTTCGCCCAGAATGGACTCTGTGAGTGACTATCGATTATCTCTCTACGAAAAATTGGGATTTGCTGAGTGTCTACAGGATTTTTCAGGCGGTCGCTACGGCTGGTATTCTTGTATCTACTACCTGCTATATGTGGAGTACAAAGGGTGCTTTCAGCGGGAAGAAAAGGATTGACTTACATGGCATAATCCCCTTTGTAGGCACCCTCAACCCATTTGTCCAAATCAAATAACTAACTTCAATGGCTGCTTCTAGGGACTTGACGTCGTCGTCACCACGCTTCTCTCAACAATGCTTATCCACCCGGAGCAGTGGCTTACAACTCCTTACCAGAAGGCGACAGTAGTCACTTCCCTGGTAGGATGTGTCGTTGCCATGGGGTCTCGGGCCTATGGGGACTCTAGGACACTATGCGGGCTATACCATTTGTTGTCGACCCTGGCTTGGGCTCTATTGTCCAACTGTATCGCAGAAGACCATTTATTTCTGCCTGCGACAGTAACTGTCACACTGGGACTTGCATTTCTGATTGATTTCACAGCTACCCATGAACCGGACTGTGGAGACCTCCCATTGGGCAATCAGCCTCTGTTTTCGGCTCTCACGTTTTCCTGGCTGAGTCGTCTGATACGAGTTGGTAGATCCAGGCGACTGGCAGCAAGTGACCTGTGGCAAGTCAACGACGCATATTCTGTTCAACACATACTCCACCAACTGCTCACTGGCCCATGGAAACACAATCAAGGACCGTCGTCATTTATTTCCTTTCTTGTGCAGGGTTTCTGGCGGGAGCTCTCCGTCACGTTTAGCCTCGAGATTCTGTCTTCTGCATCCCGCCTGGCGCTACCCTGGTTATTGAAAGAGTTTCTCATCAACCCTTCTATGCTTGCGATATTCTGGATGTTTCTCGCCCGCTTGGTGTACATGTTCAGCAACAACCAAGGCCTCTGCCAGCTTCGCCTCATTGGTATCAAACTCCGATCCGCATTTACGGCTTCTGTCTATGAAAGCTCTTTTATCCACTGCAATCTGAATGATGATATGGCAAGCTCTGCCACAAACCTCGCCGAGGTTGATACATTACGGATCCATGAGTTCATGCCGTCACTACATGCACTCTGGGCAATCCCACTTCAGTGTGCGATCTCGATTGGGTTTCTTACCCAGATGATCGGCTGGCAGAGTACATGCCTCGCGGTGGGTATACTGGTAGGTTCTTCAATTTAATATAAGTGCCACCTCATTTATTAGCTTGCGATGCTAATATCATAATAAGATGGTGTCCCTCCTTCTCACTCACCCTCTATCTGGCAGACTTCAGTTCGGCATGAAGGAGTTGATGGGGAAACGAGACACGCGAGTGGCCAAGGTGGTCGAGGTTATTGACCGGATTAAGGCTATTCAGCTAAGTGGCTGGGAAAAAGTAGTGGGTATGTCAGTTGATGAATCTCGATCAGCAGAAGTGGATGTCATGGCTTCTCTTGCGCAACTCCAGGGAGCCATTTATGCCATTATGGCCGCCGTTCCGGATCTCATGACATCTGCGGCCTTCGCAGTCACTTTGATGCGTGGCGGGAATTTGAGTGGCGACCTGATTTTTTCAAGTCTTGGGTTTTTCAGTCTGATCAATATGGCCTTGAGTGCACTCCCGGGTACACTGGCGCAGTTCCTTGCCTGCCAAACATCCTTCGATCGCATTCACAAGTTTCTCCTTCATCCAGATCCAGGATTTGCAGAGCAGAAAGCAGGCATTGATGACAACGAAGAACCGAGATTACTCGTACACAGAGCAGACTTTGGCTTAGGCAGTGTGTCTCTCATTTCGAGCGTTGAGTTGGATATTTCCCGGCCGGCTCTGGTCACCATTTCAGGCGCCATGGGTATGGGCAAGTCTACGTTGTTGAAGGGTCTGACAGGATCTGCGCAACCTTTGACCGGTCATGTCATCACTCACGGCAGGCGAGAATATATGCCACAAACACCTTTCATTGTTAGAGGCACCCTTAAGGATAACATTCTCTTTGGTCGCCCCTTCCATGCCGACTGGTACCACCATACACTGAAAGCCTGTGCTCTTGACTCGGACCTCAAGGCCTTTCCACACGGGGACTTGACTGATCTAAGTGACGCCGGTATCGCTCTCTCCGGTGGACAGAAGAGTCGTATCTGTCTTGCTCGTGTGGTCTATTCCCGCGCCGATCTTTACTTTTTCGATGATCCCCTTGCAGCCTTGGATTCCTCCGTCAGGCGGCATATCATTGACCATATATTTGGCCAGCGTGGTCTGCTCAAAAATTCGATTCGGATAGTGGTGACTAGTGACGCACCACTGATTGAAGCCGCTCAAAGTCGATACGCCATCAGGTCCCAGCGACTCATAATGACTAGTTCACGGGCGCCACCACTACCTGAGGCCTCGAGCACTCTTGCTTTCGATGAGGTGAAGGCATCTATGACAGCATCAGTATCCGTGGAAGAAGTTGAGTCTCCACGGTACTACAATGACTCAATATCTGATGAGGAGACCCCAACTCAGGAGTCATCACCGGAGAGTGCCGGCGAAGGACAGGTCGACTGGTCAACATACCTGACCTGGTTACGTCTGGCGCGCCCAATAGGCTGGGTTGCTGTCTTATTGCTGACTGTGCTGGGAAAACTGAGTAACGTGGTTTCAAACTACAATCTCGAGTTACTCTCGCTCGCAGGCCGTTCTGATAAATGGCTCTACATAGCACTAGTCGCAGGATCTGGTCTCATGCAGGGTCTGTTCGGCTGGGGCTTCATCTGGATAAGCTATCACTTGTGTCTTCTGCCGGCAGCTCGAGGAATACACGCCAGACTAGTCCGCGGTGTCTTAGGGGCACCGCTATCATTCTACACTCGAACCCCATCCGGTCAGATTCTTAACAGATTCACTAACGATATAAGCAAGGTAGACGGAACACTGGCGAGTAATCTCATTGGCGGGATTATGATGGGCTCGAATCTACTCATGGTTTTGGGTGTTCTTTTACATACCTCCGTCCTTGCGGTGGCGTATCTTCTCCCATTTACCGCCTTGTTCTGGATCCTACAAGCAAGATACCTTAGCGCTGTCCGCGACCTGAAGCGCCTTGAGATCGAATCCAGAAGCCCCATCATCATGAGCATCCAGGAGGCTATCAATGGATACAACTCCATTCTGGTCTCCGGTCAATGGGGTCACTTTCTCCGGCAACACTATGATTCTGTCAATGAGAATATCCAAGCCAGCATTCCGCTCTACTGTCTCGAGTATTGGTTGTCCCTCAGGCTCGAGTTTTTATCGGGGTATGTATCGCTTCCGTTGTTACCTAAACAAGCATCGGATCTCTGACATCTGCCTCTTCTTTTAGCCTCATCATTGCCTTCACTGCGTCGCTGCTTCTCTGGCTTGAGATTGATTCAGCCGAGCTCGGATTTGTGATGACATATGCGATGCAAATCTCGATCATGTTAACCAACATCATCCGCTTCCGCACAAACCTCGAGATCGACATGATATCAGTCGAAAGAATCAAGCAGTACTTGCTCGACGATGATGATGAGCACCCCAGCCGTGACGAGCACACCATTGGGAGTATACCATATGAATGGCCACGTCATGGGGTCGTGCGCTTCAACAATTTCAGTGCAGGCTACGACAGTGCAACGCAGATTTTGAAGAATATCTCTCTAGAAGTGGGGTCGGGCGAGAAGGTTGCGGTCGTTGGACGGACAGGAGCAGGCAAAAGCTCGCTGGCGCTGTGCCTGACCAGAATGATTGAAGCACAATCGGGCTACATTGCCATCGATGGTGTTGATATATCCCAGGTCAACGTGCATGAGCTCCGAAGGCACGTCACGATGATACCGCAAGAACCTGCTGTCTTTACAGGGACCCTGAGGTACAACCTCGACCCTGAAGGGAGATACGGAGACCTCAGACTATTGGACGTAGTACGCCAGGCAGGGCTACCAGCAGCCCTCAACTGTGAAGATCTACTGCTGGAGTATGAGATTACGGATGGAGGGTGAGTTTATTTCATGCTGCCAGTTTAGCTTGCTCCATGCTTCAATACACGACAACAGCGCTGACATACTACCACAGAAAAAATCTGTCCAGTGGGCAATCTCAACTTCTTGCTATTGCACGGGTGCTGCTTTCTGATGCCAAAATCATCGTCATGGATGAAGGTTCGTATCATTTATCGAAACTTATCCTTAGCAGTCCCACTAACATTAGTCCGTCACACTCTAGCATCGGCAGCGCTGGATGCAGAGATAGACCAACAGTTACAGCGGGTATTGCGTGAAGCTTTCAGTGATCGAACTGTATTCACCATCACCCATAAAGCAGGTGGCTATGTATGTTGTCATGTCTACAGCTGGTTGAGGCCTGATCTGGGATTCTAACTGGTCCTTATAGATGTCTTATAATCGTGTTCTTGCTCTTGGATCGGGGCGCGTGATCTCGTTTGATACTCCGATGGAATTTCTGAAGTCCGCCTAATCTAGATAGACATTATCAAATAGCGAAAACCAATCGTATTTCTTCTGGAATCTATCTTATTGCGTGTGTTAAGTTTGCCGTCTGAGTTCATTACCTGATAGGGGTTCTACTTGACCTTCCAGATACTGGCAGCCGCTCTGGAAAGCAAATGTAATTGATTTTGACTTTAGCTGAGTGCATGGGTTCTTTCTTTCTTTCTTTCTTTTTTTTTTCCGTGCGAGTTGATTGCATACAGGAGGCACGGCTAGACCGTCCATGATACTAGCAGCAACATGTCTGGCAAGATATCCATCATTACCCATTGGCTGTAGATACCTATCGGCAAGATACACAGGATCAGGACCTGGGCACGACAGAACCTACTAGTAGTCAGATTAGAACGCAGTTATCTACAAATCACGTTCGTATGCGTCCCGGGAACTGTATTTTCTCCAGGGCAAACCCGTTCTTGTTTCCCGTTTTAGGCATAGTCGCTCTCCACTCCGCGTGCCACGGGCCAACGACTCCACACATCGCCTATCTCAACCACATCCAAGCGCAAACCCTATCAGATTTGCCTGAGAGGGGTTGCGATCCCCGGAATGGCCCTTGTCTCAATGATGGAGCCATAAATATGCCGGGAGATTTGATCCCAGCGTCTGCATGCCATAGCCTCGTGCTCTGCACCCTCGACTCCTGCCACTGTTTACCATGACTTCAAAATTCCATGTCAAAGATGGGCAGAAAGGGGCAGTGGACACAAGCACCCCTACCCATGGTGACATCGGTCTCGGCCAAGTGGTGAGACACCGCAATACACAAAAGCATCTGCGGATGTCGAAACAAAGAGCTGACTTATACACGCTTAGGTGGAGAAGCCCCAGCTTAATGTGTGGGAAGCACTCGATGTGGAGTCCAAGGACCTTTACGAAGAAGCAGGTTTCGTCGAGACTGAAGTCAATCAGGCGCGGGCCCTTGCAGATTCTCTAACCCTCGATGAAACTAAACAAATTCTTCAAGACTTTGTGAACACCTATCAGTAAGTACGCAACATCACGTAGTTGTCGGTGGCATCATGATTTCAAACGCTCACCCAGCTTCTGAATAGACATGACATGCTCATCTCACGGGTCACAATTGAACGTGCGAGAACTCTCTTGGCCGATTTGAGCGCAATCAACGAGCCTGGATCGAATGTCGAGTACAATGCCCGAATTTGGGCAGCGATTTTACAATCCAACTCCGTTTATCGCGAAGTGCGCGCCGTGACTGATCCTGTTGATGATACCAGCATCCCATGTGGCACGATCCGAGCATGGGTAATTGGTCAGTATTCGACTCCAGACACATTTCTAAGGCATTTTTCTGACTTGAAGGCCATGTCTAGGTCTCTTTTGCGCATGCGGCCTGGCAGCAATCAACCAATTCTTTGCGCCTCGTCAGCCCGCCATCACAGTCACGGCGTATTTGGCACAGCTCATTGGTTTTGGTCTAGGAAGAATTTCTGCATCAATTCTACCCAGTACTGTCTTCCTGCGGGGATCGCAATTCGAATTCTCTTTGAATCCTGGCCCTTTCAATCTCAAGGAGCAGACATTGATTACAATCATGGCTAATGTCAGCTACGGTAGGCTATACTGGTTGCCTCTTATGAGTCGGATTGTGGCTCCAACATCAAATAGTTGCTAGGCTAAATTTTCATCTCTTTCTAGCAACTCCCCAGATCTCAACTTTGTTCTTCATGCAACGGCTGCCCATGTATCTTGATAGCCCCTGGGCTGCAAGCTTTGTTCGTTGAGATCCGTCCACCTTTAGTAATACATTCGCTAACGAGGAGCAATACTCAGGGCTACGGCATGTGCATGATGCTAAGTACCCAGTTGCTGGGCTACGGCCTGGCGGGCATGTGCCGACGGTTCCTTGTCTATGAGCCAAGCATGGTCTGGTTCTACGTCCTCTCTCAACTCTCCATGAACAGAGCTTTTTTTACGCACAATGAGGCTACTTCCCACGGTTGGAAGATTTCACGGTTTCGGTTTTTCTTTTGTGTGTTCGGTATTGCGTTTATGTGCGTGTCTTCCTGTTCCATCTGAAAAGCAATCACCGCTGACTTTGATTTGCAGATACTACTGGATTCCAGGTACAATGTTCCCAACATTAACCTTCTTCAATTGGATGACGTGGATCAAGCCGACGAGTGCGACGCTGGCCATTGTGACCGGAACCTACTACTTCAACATGGGGTTCAACCCACTTGCGACATTTGATTATCAGTGGCTGGCAACCCTGGACCCATTCGTCACACCCTTCTTTGTCATCTTTCAGATCATCATGACCCTCGCCTTTTGGGGTATCTGCGTTATAATGCCTGTTTTCTTCACCAATACTTGGTACACAGGCTACTTACCCATCAACTCATGGTTTTCCTACGATAACAATGGGCAGGTCTATGATACCTCAAAGATCCTCGGTACCAACCATCGCCTGAATCAAACTGCATACGAGTCATACTCGCAGGTGTTCCTTCCCGCGGCCGTTGGACTTCGGTACGCTGGCATGATGTGCATCATTCCGGCTATGCTTGTCTTCACAGCATTATACCATGGTTCTGCAGTCTTGGTGCTCATGAAGAAGATTTTCAAGGGGGCTTCTCAATTCTCTGGGCACCGGGACGTCCATACAAGGCTGATGAGTAAATACACTGAAGTGGGCGAGGTATGTGATGCTTGCCTTTGTGACAACAGAGATATCTCCCAACTAACCAATAGTGAAGTGGGTCTACTTACTCGTTGCGGCCGGAGCTGCGGGCCTCGGCTTTGCGGCCTTTTACGTATGGCCTACGAATGTTCCTGGATGTAAGTGGCATCCCTCCTCCTTGCTCTTTAGTTTATGGCACTTGAACACTGATTCACGATCTTGCAATGCTGTAGGGGTAATCCCGATAGCCTTCGTCTGCAGTGCAATCTTCATCATTCCAATCGGTATCGTATGCTCGATCACAGGGTATTTGACCGATCTGGAAATCATTTTCAACATTGTAAGCCCCAGTCTTGTCAGCCTCTTTCGGTCCCCATTTAACATAAGAATCAATCACTAGATTGGCGGTTGCGTCTGTGACGGAGATCCGATTGGCACCTTTATCTTCAAAGTCATGGGTAAAGGAATTGTTAGCCAAGGGGTCTACTTCATATCTGACATGAAGCTGGGTCACTACGCCAAAGTACCACCCATTCAAATGATGCTAGCTCAGCTCGTTGCTACCATCTTCGCTTCTATAGTTAGTCTTGGGATCATCGAATTTCAAATCACAGGTATCGAAGGCATTTGCGATCCTACCAAGCAGTCACGCTTCATTTGCTCCAACGTCTCCCTTCAATGGACAAGCGCTATTGTCTGGGGCGTCATTGGGCCGAAGAGGCTCTTCTCGCCCGGTAGTCTGTATCGGTTCTTGCCAATTGGGTTTCTTGTCGGTGCCCTTTGGCCGCTGGGATGGTGGGCATTGCAGCGCAAGTGGCCGCAGAGTTTCCTGCGCTATGCCCATCCCATTGTGATGAGTACGCCTCCAGTGACCCATTTTATGCTATAAAGGATGAGAGAACACCAGCTAACCATCATTCTTCCCGTTTTCGTACAGTGGTCGCACCGATCCTCTGGGCCCCCCTTAACTTCTCGAACTTCTTCCAGTCGTTGCCAATATCATGGTTCTTTGGCTATTACGTCAAAACGAGATTTCCGACTTGGTGGGGCAAGTATAACTACCTCATATCTACGGGTCTGATCACTGGGATTGCATTCTCCGTCTTCATCCAGTTTTTTTCACTAAGTTACAATGATATCTCCGTACGTTTCCTTGAAACTCATTTTATCTCCTCTATCCTACTTGAAGCGACCATCCCCTTCGAATTTCTTTCACCTCCTTTACTGACAACACTCACAGTTCCCGGACTGGTGGGGTACAACCAAGTTTACGACTACCTGCGACCTGCAGGACTGTCGATACCTTACCCTTGCACCAGGCGAGACATTTGGGCCCAGCGAGTGGCATTGAGGATGGAATTGAAGTAGGAAATGTGACTTAAGGTTTGCTACGGGGTGAATTACATAGCTTGTTACATGGCATGCGACAATTCTACCATATTATAATAGGATTGTCGTTTCGGTACCTTGAGAATTCGATAATGACTTTGTCTACCTTGCCTCAATAGCTAGCAGGAAATCCTTGTCGAACGTGTGCACAGTCGGTCCCTTTTCTATCTTGCGTCATGTATTTCAGTTGCAAGTATCGTCCGCTGCCCATCTCTAGCCTTGCGCGCAAGTCAGTAACACTTCAGGTCTCTAGGCAAGAGAAATATAGAGAGATAGAAGCAATATATTGACACATATTAAAGATAAGTAAGAAAGTATTTAAACACAACTGTTCAGATATGCTTACTAGTATCACTAACCTTGTTAATATACTTTACAATCAAGAGGAGTATAAAGAGGCAGAAGAGAGATATCATCAAGGGATGACAGGAAGTGAGAAAGTGTTTAGACGTAAATATCCGGACACTCCTACCAGTATCAATAATCTTGGTGGTATCTTCTCCAGCCAGGGGAAATATAAGTATGCGGAAGCGTTGTATCGACGTGTCTTGGAAGTACAAGAGAAGGTACTTGGATGCGAGTATCACGATAGGGCTCCGTACACTTATCAGCATCTGTAAATCCCGGTCCATACCGCGTTGAGAGACGGAGAGTAAGATGCGCTATTCATGGACCAAAGCCTCTTACAGAAGCGGAGGATTCCATAACTAAAGTTGATTTTGTCCTTGAACTGTGCCTGACTGTATTGAGCGCTCTTCTTAATACCTACGATGGATGGGATTGGGTATAACCAAAGACATGCGATGAGATTCGTTAATCGAAGAAAAGACCACTAGTAAGAGTGACCAGTCTACCTGAGGACAAGTTGAATTATCCTCGGTGAAATAGGCTAATGCCAGGGATAAAATACCGAAGTCCATAGCAAATTCCGCACTATATACGAAAGGACATTGCAAGGAGAATGGATTCATAAACACCTCATCGTGTACCCTGGTAAAATCGTATCCACCTCGCTCGACATCTAGATAGATGCGTTTCGGCAGAAGCCAAGCTGTTGATCCATGACATCTTCTAGGATAGCCTCAAATGGGCGCCATTTCATACCAAGCTCCCCCTCCGCTTTAGCTGTATTAACTGGGTTCAACACACTAGGCGCATCCTCGGTGATAACTGCCCCAGCGTCTGGGTAGCGCTTTTGAATAAATCGCGCAATCTCCGGTACGGTAATACTTCTCCCAGCCAGCAAATACTTCGAGCCATCCACTATTCTCCGATCTAGCGCTCTGATATGCGCTTCGGCGACATCCTGAACATGCACTGCCGTCAAAAATCCCGTCGGGGTGCCTGCCATGATAAATCCCCATAGCGCCCCGTTGGACCCTCCCTTAACCCCGTCGGCACATGTCTGCATCAGATTGCGGCCATACACAAATGCTGGGTGTAGCGTAACTAAGTCGTACTTTGGCTTAGCTGTTTTCCAAAAGTCCCAAGTGGCCGCGTTGGAAAGCAGCTTGGAAGCCATGTAGAGTATCATGGGCGTTGCAGACGGATTCGCAGGGTCCTCGAAGCTTCCATTTTCATCGACTGATAGATCCCAATCACTGCTTTCTAAAGAGAAGAGAAAGAGTGTCAGTGCGATACCAATCCGGAAATTAACGAGAGGATATTGTTTACCTTGGATTACTCCACCCTCTGGAACACCAGTCAACGGAGTCAAAGCAGCCATGGATGAGGTAATGACGACCTTCCTGATGCTTGATACCTTGTTTGCCGCTTTCAGCAAGGCAGTAGTGCCTTTCACTGCTGGAGTGAAGTAAGTTTCCTTGTCGGTGCCATGAGGAAGAGGGGATGCAAGGTGGAGCACAAAGTCCACCCCGTCCAGCTTGTCAGGGAACGCCATTTCATCCGTAAGATCTGAAATGAACACATATTCCACTTGATTTCCATACTTTGAAAGTAGGCTTTGCAATTGGGGCGAGGGCCTACGAAGGCAAACTCGTAGTCGATACCCAGCCTTTAGGGCTTCCACGGCAGTGGCGCTGCCAATAAAGCCAGAGGCGCCCGTTATGAAGATTAATCCCTGAGACATATTGTTATTTGTTTGTCACTTTCCTTATTATTGGTCACAGAAACTAGAGTCCTATGTGGTATCTTTTATAGTCCATGCGTTCGAATTTGTCATCCGTGGAGCAGTTCAGAGCCAGCGTTGGCGTCGGACAAAGGTCATACCGAACATAGGATAGTGCTTAAACTTGCATAATTTGCCGGAGCTTTTCGATCTATAGAGATTCTTGGCGAGGCAATTGTTTCTGGTCTTGGGAAAGCCGGCACTATCTCGGCAAGGGCTTCGGCTTTCGGCATGACAGCGGCAGAGCGCTGACTGAGGTAACAATCCAATCACTCGCGATCTTTCATGACAAGCTTCCTCTCAGTATGTGTCGGATGTCGGGGCTGGATATGGACAGACGGGTATGCCCTGGTTTCATTCACTCAGTCCTTGTACCGAGCCCCTTAGCGCCCGAAGGTATGGTGACGATCCAGTGGTCGTTCGGCAACTGTGGGAGCCACGTTAGATTCCAACCTACCGAGAGTATTATCTTATCGTACTACACTGCCATTGGTGTGTGGTAGGCGAACCCCCTCCTCTGGTGAGCTCTTGGCAGGGAGGGTGCTACGTTCTTCGGGGCTGAGTTCCCTTCCCAATCCAGTGTAAATTATGCCCCGTTGAACGCGACTTCGGCAATGGCAGCCGGTGTTTATGAGCTTATGGTACACGTAGCGTATTGCGAGCCCCAGCCACACCCCATAGATCATGCACAATTACTATCCCACGTCATTAATCGACATCATGGCGTGCGCCTGGGAGGCAATATGCTACATGGGTGTATTCATCTAAGCGGGGTTACGGTCGAACATGGTCAGGGCAATATAGCCGAACGAACGGGGTAGAGCTGCCAGAGGATCTGGTGAAATAGGGTATAAATTGAGCGTTGTTGCTCTGTCTTGATAGCTACTACTGACTCTCAAGATTCGAAATCCTCTGAACTACGAGTATATTCCTCTCTATCATTATGGCTCCCTCTATCTCCACCGAGACCGCAGTCCCTTCGGGGAAAGGCCCTGGACGAGTACCTATGAAACTCAGCGGTGCTCTGGATGCGTTTGAGTCATTTGATGTCACGCCAGTCATTGGCCGCGAGTATCCCAACGCAAGCCTGAAGGACTTCCTGTGTGCTCCGAACTCCGATGCATTGCTTCGAGATCTTGCTATTACCAGTTAGTCCTCTTCTCTAGATGGTAACTCAAGACTAATAACCTTGTTCTAGTTTCTCAGCGAGGAGTAGTCTTCTTCCGCAAGCAGGACGGCCTCACAGACAACTTGCAAAAGGAACTCGCTCAGCGATTGGGGGAACTCTCGGGAAAGCCGAAGACTTCCGGACTCCATATCCACCCCGTTGCCAACTCACGCCGGGAGATAAGTGTCAAGGATGATGAAATCAGCGTGATCAACTCCATGGAGGGCAAGAAGCTGTACAAATCCCGTGTGATCCGCCACCAGACCGCCAGAAAGGAGTGGCACAGCGACATTACTTTCGAGCCCGTTCCGAGCGACTATACAATCTTGCGGCTGACCGTTCTCCCCAGGACTGGCGGAGGTAAGCCTTGATCCTCCTTCTCTAGTGGTGTTGCCAAGCTCATACACAAGTCCCAGACACTCTGTGGGCTTCCGGATACGAGTTATATGATCGCCTCTCTCCACCTTACCAGAAATTCCTGGAAGGTTTGGATGTAACGTTTTCGCAGCCTCAATTCAACCAATTTGCGAAGGAGAGTGGCTTTGAGGTTTTCAAGGGCCCGCGCGGTGCTCCTGAGAATGTCGGCGAAGAACTGCGGGCGGTACACCCGCTGATCCGCACCAACCCTGTCACCGGATGGAAGAGTGTCTTCGCTGTCGGCACCCATGTGGAAAAAATTAACGGACTGAGTGACGAGGAGAGCAAGCATCTCACCGACTGGTTTGTGAACTTGATCATGGAGAATCATGATCTGCAAGTGCGCCACCGTTGGGAAAGCCCGAATGACCTCGGTATGTCCCCCCCCCCCCCCCCCCAGTACTTCCGTTGCCAGCTACTGATAGCGGACATCTTTGATAGCGATCTGGGATAACCGATCCACATATCACGCGGCAACCTGGGACTATGAAGAAATTGGTCCACGGGCTGGTCACCGCGCTGTCAGCCTGGGAGAAGTGCCGTTTTATGACCCAGCGAGCACGGGAAGACGGGAAGCGCTGGAGAAAGAAGCACGCGAGAAAGCTGCACTGGAGAAAGGAGAATAAAGCCACCACTACCAGCTATCCGCTATCAACATCATCGCCAAATATTGCCTGTGATTGACTACTTTGGTCAATGCAACAAGTATGTGGACGGGTATTTTTGTTTCATATCATGCCGCGTTTCTGCACAATTTTCTCAGAGAGTCCGAATAACCATTGTACTTGACTTCTATGATTCAAAGTAGTGTAGATGTAGCCTGAGCCGTTGTAATAAGATATTTCCAATGCCATCGCCGCCTTCCTCACCTGTTATCCGCGGAGTACAACATTAGACGCTAGGCGACATTATACGTTCCATCCGATGCCTCAGACCGTCTAACACCCGGAGTAGGGGAGAGTTTTGGCTGCCTCTCTACGTATATTTGAAAACCTAACCTAAGAATCATATCGGTGACCCTGACAAGAGCCAAAAATCCCACAGAGTTTGCTTCAGAACCCAGAGTGGCTCGTCTGAACCGCGAGGTACTCACACTTTGGGGTTTACGGCCCACCAGATCACCAGGTCATTAATTAACCCGATGAGGTCGCGTGATAGCATTATGAGCTGAAAGATTTCGTGGTAAATTGTGACTATCATAGAGAAATCATAAAGGAAGGGGTCGGTATGGCCAGGATCACCTGGGTTTCAGTGGAATCGGGTAAGGGCGTATCGGTACTATATTAGGGCTAATTCCGTGATTTTATGGATTGCACTGCCACTAACGCGAGGACGCCCGCGAGCCATCGACTGCCTTCCCCCTTCACCAAGGGAAATGTCGTTCGCTGTGCCGACAGCCGGATCCCCCATGCTGCCGATCGATTTATCTTTCGTTAGTGTCTGCTTTCCCCGCTGAGTGTTCCCCAGCTGCAAGCGTCGGCCTACCTATGGAGGGGCCTTTAGCACCCCCATTGCCGGACCCGATCAGCGTGTACTGTTATAAATTCTTAGCTTCGAGTATATTCGTACAAGCACACCTCTGTCGAAGTAAAGCATGGCTATCATAATTTCCCTCTGAGTAGTTTTTGTTCCACCTGTACGCGACAGAACTACACTTAAACCAACTCTACAAACTACTACCATACATCCCGTCGCCGATATGTGCTCTACTCTTTGCCCCATAGCCTTCGCCTCGGTTTACTATCCACCACGATCGACCATGACCATCATTACGACTGCTCAACTGACCCACCCTTCTGTCCGGCACTTCTCCGCCCGTCGGCCGCGTCACCATAGTCGCACGGCTCGCGCGATTGCCATATCCTACCTCATCTCTGGCATAGTGATACCTTTCATCCCACCGGCGCTCGAAAGCTTGCGTCAGAAGAGCTCCGATCTCCCAGACAGCAACAAGTGAGTCCACTGGTGGCATCCCGAATACATGCACAACACGTCGTGCGGTGACCCATGAACCCTAATGCGATATAGACCTCACCCCCCTCTCTGCTTCCATGCACGCTAGGGCAGAACTCATCGTATCTACGACATGCATTCCAGAGACGAAACGTGTCAATGCCATTGTGATTTTTCTTTTGTTGGTTTTATGAGCGGACTCTGATTCTCAGCCCCCGTGACGATCCGCGATATCCGATAGGTTTTGCTCTTTGGTTGGCAGTGCCTCTATTGAATACCGTTGGTTTATTTCAGGAGTGAACTAGCATTCTATAGATAGCCAGTCCCGAACGTAAGCAGAACGGGGTGTGATGGGCATATTCAACACACACACTTTCTACAACGAGGCAGAGTGCTGTCTACAGATGAAATGCTTGCGTTCCTAGTTCGACACCCCGTTTCACAAAATAGGTTTTCTCTCGCTTCTTCTGACTTCTCTAACATTGACACTATCACAGTTGTCTTGGATTACTACCAATATCAAGGGGGTGTCATAATGTACTGATTGTGGTTCATCTGTGGTAGTGAAACAGACACCGCCGTATAAAAGAAAATAAAATAAAACAAAGAAACAATACAGCCTTGTCGCTCAATGTGTATCACAGTTGATCATGGCATCAATCTTAGCGCGAGCGTTTTGGAAGACCCCCATCTGCTCGTTGGTACGGTCAACATGAGGCACGTCGGTGCCCTTCTGCACCGCCGCCCGCTTGCCGATCTCATCGACCCACCTCTTGACAGCCGGAAACTCAGAGAGATCAATCTCCAGAAGCGCAGGGCCTCGGCGGACCCACGTATAGCTGGCGATATCGGCAATGGTATACTTCGCACCTGCCAGATAGGGGCTTTCCTTCAGACGGGATTCCAGGACCGAGTAAAGACGCTTGGTCTCATCCATGAATCTCTTGATAGCGTGGTCGGAGCGGACATTGGCAACCAGTCGGAAGTGGTTTGCCTGGCCTATAGTAATGACAATTATATAAGCCCGAGAAACCTATTTCCGTTTTTCCAACATACCCTGCATGGGACCAATGCCACCTATCTGGAACATCAACCAGGACACCTGCTCAATGTACTCGGGAGTGCCAGGTGCATAGCTGATCTTGCGTTCTGTGTCATATCTGTCGGCAAGATACAACATAATCGAGCCACTCTCGAAAACACGTTGTGAGCCGTCGAGGAGTGCCGGGATACGGCCATTGGGGTTAATCTTCAAGAACCACCTGTATTTCGATCACTCGTTAGCAGGACGCTTCTGAGATGCGGATGCCGGGGACAACCGTACTCCTCCCTCTGAACGCCGGCTCCAATATCAATCGGTTCAATCTTGTAGGGTAGGCCAAGCTCGTCCAGGGTGATGGAGGCCTTGATGCCATTTGCAGTGGACCAGGTGTATAGTGTGATGTCGGACGACATAGTGTTGGAGGTGCTGATTGTAGATGATCAAATACAGAGTCACGATGTGGTTATGAGCTAACTATCGCGGAGGGCATGGCGAAGCATCACCAGGGAGTGCAGGAGAGATCATATGGTCCGCGGCGTGAGATTGAGCTTTGTACATGTCGCTGTTTCATCTTCGGGGAACAATTTGGTCCGCTACATTCCCTCCTCCAGTTAAGTCACGAATGATGTCATTCCCCGAGGCTGAGACCGAGCCTGATCCTTACCCGGGAAGTCTGAAGTTGGTTTCGCCATAGACTCTAACATTGCGCCTTGCTGTTGATGGCGGAGGTCAACTATCTTACTGGATGGCGATTATGCATCCCCATTTTTGCGGGGTTTGGGCTGCCGAGCTCAGCCGTTCGGTCGGCTCGGCCCAGGTGTACCGAAAGGTTAAGTGGAGCCCAATTGTTTTTATCCTCCCAAGTAAACAAATAACCTTGACCTGTTGCAATCTTACACTTCTATCCTTTCCGTGTCTCCCAGATCACATCGTTGACGCTTACTTGGTCAGAATGCTGATCTATAGTTACTCCACCATAGCTCGTAAATATTCCATATCGTCTTCATTTCGGCTTCTTAAGTAGCACCACCCGCCGTAGCACAATAGCTGAAGCAACCCAGGCTGATGTTGTGAGCCAAACCCAGAGGGGATATTTTTTACTTGATGACGATCAGGGATGTAATCTATTTCACTGCCTATATCGACTCCCTATACCAACACCAACACTTCCCTGGTCTCGTACAAGAATCACTTGCCGTGACCCGTCTTCACTACTGGAAATCCGATATAGAGAGAACTATTGCACTAATACAGTCCCCCATAGCCATAGAATACTTAGAAACAAGATATAGCACATAATAATAAAGGTAATAGATAACTCTACCGATTGAGCAAGGCGGCCATATGCTGCCTAGTTACATGGCTGTAGGATTAAATTCAAATAATAAGGGTGGTCGTAGTAGTAGTAGTAGTAGTAGCAGGAAGAGGACGAGGGCGAGGAGGAAATATTCAGATATTTTGCACAACAGAGAATTAGAAGACACTTCATCAAGGGCAAGTTTGTTCTCGGTAGTCGGCAACTCTACGAAAAGTCTATACGCCCCTAGGGGATCCTCAACTCCACTATTCAGTATTAACAGAGTTCTACGACTATTCCAACGGGCTTACTGCTTCCAGGCAGCTTCCCCAGATTTTCTGAGGAATTACCCCGCCCCCTCCCTCTGGATTGGTGGCATTTTATAAAGTACATTGAACGCGGACCTGGAAATCACCGCCACCGTCTCCTACTGCCAAAACGAACCCCGAGTCTGCAGAGCCAAAGGCGAGTAGGTGTTGGTTCTGACGGATACGGATAACAAGCCTGTGTTCTTTACGCGAGAAACATGCATACCAAATTCAAAGAATCTAAGAACACTGATGAATTCATCGAAGATATTGATAGTGTCCAGGCTGAGCAGGGCGCTACGACGTCAACAGATTCCAAATATGCCGAAGAATTTACAAAGGAAGAACAGAGGAAGATTATCCACAAGGTCGACCGTCGCCTTGTGACTGGGCTGGGGCTTCTTATGGGCATGTGTCTTATGGATAGGACTAATCTTGGCTCAGCGTCCATTGCTGGGTATATACCCTCTATTTGCACTCTTCCCTAGAGCATATAAACGACTGACCGAGGATGAATCTACAGAATGTCGGAGGACCTCGGTCTGGAGAGCGGCCCGAAATATGTACAGTAGGTCTTATTCTCTCAGTCACCGTATACTGATAGCATTGCAGTCCCTTGTGCTTTTGATATTTTTTGTACCCTACGTGCTGGTGCAACTGCCAATCAATGCCATAGCACAAAATATCAGCCCTAGACACTTCTCTTGCGGTGTCACATTGTGCTGGGGTGTACTGATGGTGGTAAGATGGCAAAAACGTTTCTCGTCCGTCGCTAACGGGTAAAGGGCGCGGCCTTCGTCGACGAATGGTGGCATCTCATGATTATCCGGGCTTTACTCGGGGCCTTTGAATCGGGTCTGTATGCATCACTCCTTCCGTTGCTATCTGCTTGGTATACCCGATATGATGTGCATAAGCGATACTCAATCAGTTATTTCATAAGCTGCCTCATATCTGCTCTCGGACCGGTTCTGGCGTGTGGCTTCATGCAGATGGGTGGACTGAGTGGGCTTGCCGGCTGGAGATACATCTTTTTAATGGAAGGGGTCCTCAATTTCGTCGCTGCCGTCATTGGCTGGCTATTGCTGGTTGAATATCCCAAGGGCTCTCACAAATGCTGGATGTTTTTGACAGAGAAAGAGGAGGCCTTTATCATCCGCCACATAAATGCTGACCGAGCAGATGCCGCCGAGCACATCAAATTTGACCTTGGTGACTTCTTCCGCCCCGCCAAAGACTGGAAAGTCTTCACTTACCCTATGATGTTTTTGTAAGTTGTTTTCCTTCGATACTGCAGTTGACCAGTTCACTGTTGACTGTCTGATCAACAGATTGTCGACTTGTGTTTCTTACTCCATCGCATTTTTCTTGCCTATTATTCTTGTATCCAAACTGAAGTTCGGGGTGACCGCGGCACAAGCATTGTCTACTCCCCCATATGTGGTGGCCGGTATCTGGATGCACTTTACCGCCTGGTCCGGCGACCGATACCACATTCGCGGACCTCTCGTGATCTCGAATTGTCTTCTGTCTACCGTTGGTCTGGCGCTGCTGGGCTGGGTTGCGTCTCCCGGGGTGCAATACTTTGGGGCCATTCTTGTCACCTCCGGCAGCAACGCCAATGTTCCAACGAACTTGGCCTGGCAGGCCAATAATATCCGCGGGAAATGGAAACGCTCGTTTTGCAACGCCTTGCTCATCATGGGTGGTGGCCTTGGCGGGATCGTCGGTTCTTTAGTATTTCGTTCTCAGGATGCGCCGACGTATCGGCCTGGAATTATCGCGTCTATTGTGTAAGTGTCGCGAGTGGCCTCCTCAATTCTTTCATTTGAATGTTAACTCCTGCCATTTTGGGATTTAGGGCCAGTATTATCACCATGGTCATTTCAGGAGTTCTGATGCTACGAATGCATGCTCTCAATAGGAAGGCAACCACTGGCGCTATTGTTCTGGAAGAGCTGTCGGGGTTTAGATACACGCTATGAAACGGGAAAAACAAAGCCTGGCTTTTTCTCACACTCGTTCGTCAGAATGGCAGCACCTTTTGCTCATTGGTGGTAGTCTGGGGATGACGACGGCCGTGGAAAGCCATTTACTCAAGCCTCCGCTCAATTCTGAGAAGGGCATCAGCTCGCTGCCGAGTCATGTATTGTATACATGAAGCTAGAGTATCTCACAATGCAAATTAAAATAGTAACTGTCTTCATTGAATATTACTCCATTTTCAAGATATTTTCCTGGTTTGAGGTCTCCCATTGAACCCGATGCGGGCAGGTCTTTCGTTCAAAGCACGTTTTAGAGATCGCGGATACAGGACCTCACCCACTACGAGTACGATTGAAAGATACAGTTGCTTTCCGGTAAGAGATAGAGTCTTCATAGCTTGGGTTTGAGTGTTAAGTCCTTCCTGACAGGAAGGCCTAGAGTCTTCTGGGCAGGCCGTGGATATTCCGTAAGCGTGCAACTGAGATAAAGCAACCAGGGAGCAGTAGCAGCCATACAATACATTCATGATGAAGTAATTTCTTTTTTTGTAGAGCCATGCCACACAAGAGAGGTGATTAATAACGGTCCCATTTTCCCCGGGCCGGCTATAAATGTAAGATAGGGCAATGTTAACAAACTAACTGATATGCAGCTAGTGAGCTTCCATGATCTTAGGAAAGACAAAAGAAATGCTCGGGAGGTCATTAAATTCATTGTGACGTTCATGCCAGATAGCACGGACAGTCTACAGATGCCGTTAACCTAGGGTATGGCCAAAACACCTAGTCCCCTTAGCTGGCTTAGATCTTGATATGGTCCTCGCTCATAACGTATAAGCGACTGCATGTCGAGCCGGTCATCCGCTGAAGCACCTAAACTGATCCAGCTGAACGTACTGGCCGAAAGCCCATTGGTTCGGTGGGGATGAGCCGGCACATTTGTTTTCGGCGACTGGATATGCCGTCCACTGCCGGCACACTGTCTTCACATCTCCGTGTAGATTTCTTGTCGGCGGGCATTGTCGAATAGCCGCGACCAATATGACCATAGGCCTAGATTCGGTCCTGCGCAGGCTTTTTAACTCGTTCCTTCCCGCCTCCCACTTTACCTCCGTCGCGGTCTATTGATCAATATAGCCCTATGCTCCCATGTTCCACCAGGTCACCTCGATAGTTCACGAAACCCAACGGGGTGCTGATCAGAAAGAGGTGCCACCGGCCGAAATCCCGGAACCTGTTGAGAGGTCGAAACACGATGTCGGTTGGCGAAAGGTTGTCCGGAACTTCACGCCATCGTGAGTCGCAGCAGACAATGTTGGAGAATCAGAGACTAACAGTGACACAAGCTGGTTCTCTGTTAATATGGGAACAGGAATCGTGTCTATTCTCCTCAACACTCTGCCTTACAATGGGCAGTGGCTTTACTACATTTCCATCATCATTTTCATCTTGAATGTGGCATGTTTCATGGTCTTTCTGATCATTACTCTCCTGCGCTACATCTTGTATCCGGACATTTTCGAGGTGATGGTCACTCATCCAGTTCAATCACTCTTCCTCGGTACGTTTCCGATGGGGCTTGCCACCATCATTAATATGTTTTGCTTTGTCTGTGTATCGCCATGGGGTGATGGTGCAGCCTATTTTATTTGTGGTGTGTGGATTTTCGACGCGGTGGTATCGGTCTTGATTGCTATCGGAATACCGTTTCTCCTGTATTGGTTTCTCTCTCCCTTTTTTGTATATGCGTCCCTGCTAACGTCCATTCACAGAACAGCGAGGAATAATGGGCTCGATCTGTCCTCCATGACTGCTGCTTGGCT